CATACAAAATGGTCGCTGCAATGTTTCAAATACCCTTCACTTTCCTGACAACTTTAGGTTGATAATGGTACGCAGTATTTTATATCATTAACACATCACAAAGAAGGAAACTCCTCCATGTTACAATAATGTATCAGCAAATTTACCTAATACATCTAGTTTTCATTTCCAGTGTGACATCAGATAAATCGGACATAATAAAAACTTTAATATATCGAGAATGAAAAGTGATACGCATAAACTATAAACTAGTACAGAAAGTCCATTATCATATTAAAATGTCTGTTCAATAAAAGTATAACAAAGGTTAAATTTTCGTTTCATAGGCATTTTATGCTTTAACTCTAAATTATCTGACACGTATTGTTTCTCTTATTCATTGGTAAAGTGAACCACGTTATCTATATTTCTACAAACTCAAACTCTATCTCATGCTTTTTCTCATTCTTGTGCAAAATTGTTTGCATTAAAATAGAGACTTTGTCGTGGTGACAAATCTGAAAATCGTTTAGCATACCATGGTGAATTACTTTTACCATTCACCATGGTATTTGCGATCTTTAAAATGATTGCTAGTATTGTTTTCCCTTTGCCGAATTGAAAATTGTTATTTGCAGTTTTCAATTATTTTATTGAGCATATGATGATTATTTGCAAGAAACAATTTGTCTGTCATGTGTCTATTGTGTCAGGGTTTTCGTTATCGAAAAATTTCCTTTTTGATGAAATTTTTACTCACAAAAGGAATCATGCAATTCAATAAATTCTTAACACTACAAAAAAAGTAAGTGATTTAAATTCTTATCATATCTTTCAGTCCTTTGATAAAATTCTTGTTTGTTTTAGAAACGAAGGAAATCATAATGTTGCAGTGAAGGTATAATAAATTGACAAGATAAGCAACACAAACGATACAAGCAAATGATCGAACTTTGGCTTCAAATCTTGTAACATCTTTTTATATTTGGATGCATTATATGTACGATCTAGAAAATTTAATTATCTTTGGCTAATCAACTTTAATAATTTGAAAAATTTTCTCGTACAATACAACGCTCCTCTAGAGCTCTCTTATAAATAAAGTTAAAGACAGCAATTGAGCAAATCATTTCCCAGCTTTCACATAAAATTTTCAAATCAATTTTATATCTAGCCATGTAACTGTCTATTTATTGGTCAATTTGTTTAACTATATTTGCATTATGTTAAATGTAGAATACGTTGGTATTACAAGAAATCAGTAGACCACAATTGAAAATATGAATCCCTCTCCCACCCATTAAACATTCTAGTCTCGATCCTCTATACAGTGGTGCGTGCTACAATATCTGAGAAAACATGATACAGGCATTGAGTTCTGTCAGCGGCATCTCATCAGCAGCGTTATTAAACACCCCATCTCCTACCCAATTAACGTTCTAGATTTGCCTTCTATATAATGGTCAATGATACAATATCTGAGAAAACATGATACAGCCATTAAGTTCTGTAAGCATATTTCATCATTTGAATATCTTCTCTCCCCACACCACTAAAAGTTATAGTTTCGGCCCTCTATAAGTAATCCGTGCTACAATATCTGAGAAAACATGTCACAGCCATTAAATTCCAAGCGATATTTTAGCAGCAGCGTTATTAAACACCTCCCCACCCCATATAAATTACAGTTTCGGCCCTCTAAACAGGGTGTGTGCACAATATCTGAGAAAACATGATACATCTATTGAGTTCCGTAAGTTATTTCATCAGCAGTTATTAAACACCCCTCCCCAACCCACCAAAAGTTATAGTTTGGCCCTCTATACAGTGGTCAGTGCTACGATATCTAAGAAAACATGATACAGCCATTGAGTTCTGTAAGTGATTTAAGCGGTAGTGTTACTTTGCTCAATCGGGTGGCTTGTCGTAAGTGGCTTGAACTGATTGACGTGCACTTTTTAATGGAGGTCATCAAGCCAGTTGACAATCATCAATTAAGACACAGTTTGAATCATAAATGAGATTTTTGGAGTCACTTGCTCTTCTAATATAGTCGAAATAATTATATTTATTTATTTTGAGATCAGTTGGAGTCATTTTTTGAAATCAATAAAAACAGCCGTTGTTTTTATGTTTTGCGATTAGTAACGTTATTTGTTTATCCATTTTGGGAAATTTTCTAGTAGAAAACTGATACAGCAACTTTTATGCTCTATGCAAGTTTCAAAATGAAATTCTAAGTAAAAGTATTGAAAATTTAATTCTAAGCTAGAAAATGATCTTTGTGGACTTTTGAATGATGTTCACACTGAAGAGGTAATCTCCAGTATACTTAGCAAAGAGAGAGCTCAAAAAATCTTGTAATTTTCTGTAAATTTAGAATTTAGAAGATCGTTTAATAAATGTGCAATTTAATGCTACATTTGTCATAATGAAAATTTCAAATAGCCTTCTTTTTACTGTGGAACCTTGAGAATTCACATCCTCAAGGTGGCTTATTTTCCATGTGATTTTGAGGTATTTTACTTACAATGAACAGGAATTTTTATCTATTGAAGTATATTGAGCAAGTGGATTTGATGGTGGCCTTTCTTTGCATAATTTTCAATGTCATTAGCTAGGTAGTGTATGCATGGTGGTGCAAACGTGAAGTATGACAGTATATCCAAAAGATAGTTTGTTGAGAAGTTTTTGTGATCAAACAAGCAGAATACAAATAAACGTTACTTTAAAAAAATAGATTGCACGATGTCATTATCACCTCATGTCTCATCTTAATTTAAACTGACTATAATGTGCTTCAAGTACAAATTGTGAAGTGACAAGATTTTACTGTCATGATTAAAACAGATGAAACCAGGTGCAAATGTTACCATTCAATGTTGCTTAGACATGTGATGAAAAATTCATATATTTCATAACATTTGTTAATGTAAAGGTTGACTGAAGACTGTATATGAAGAAAATTACTTAGTGATGTTTTTTTCAATTGTGTCAACACTTTCGATGCTGTAAGCCAGGAGCAAAAAACATAATTTCTATCTGGAAATAAAGTTATACTCCGACTAATCTCTTGTACTCTAACAAAGAAAATAATAATTAATGTAATCAAACACGAGCACTTTTAAAACAGATGGTCTAACCTGAACACTTCTAAAATGCAGGGTCTGATCTGTATGGAGTACATTATGTCAAGATTTGTTTTAAAAGGTATTAGTCTATTTATTATAATCCTTTTTCTTTAATGGAACTTATGAAATGTAGTCAATTTGAGCACTTTATAAAAAGAGTTGCGCCACTTTGCTGCTACGCAGTATTTATTGAGATAAACAAAGACTTGTCAAATTGTGCTGAGCACTGCCGTCTGGTACACAGTACATTTAAATTATTTGTCGTTCGCAAAAGAAAAAAGTTAAGTCATTGATACTGTATTGAACATACGTAATAAACGAACGTTTGGAGTCCAAAAGTGCAACACTGTATACGTACATCATGCATATTATTAAATAATATAAATCTTCATAAAAACACATAAATATCAATCAAATGACTTGAATTGTGATACAATTCAAAACAAATATGCTTAGGTCACGCAATATATATAAAATAAATTAGAATTGAAAGGCATACCTTGTTCTGTATTTTCAACATCAGGAGAATTTCCGACTTCTTTAGCATTATCAACATCACCATCAGAGTTTCTCCTCTCTCCCCATTCTCCCTTCCCCTCTCCCTTCCCCATTTCTTTTTCCCTGAGGTTTTCTCCCCTCAGGAAGGTTTTCTCCCCTTTCTCCCTATGGTTTCTCCTCAGGAGGGTTTTCTCCATGAGGTTTTCTCCTGAGGGTTTCTCCCCAGGAAGGTTTTCTCCCCAGGTTTTCTCCCCGAAGGGTTTTCTCCCCAGGAGGGTTTTCTCCATTATGAGGGTTTTCCCCGAGGGTTTTCTCCCCAGGTTTTTCCCCCTCAGAAGGTTTTCTCCCCAGGAAGGTTTCTCCCCATGGTTTTCCCAGGAGGTTTTCTCCCATTGGTTTCTCTCTCCCCTCAGGGTTTTCTCTCTCAGGTTGTTTTCTCCCCAGGAGGGTTTCTCCCCTCCCCCATGAGGTTTCTCTCCCCTGAGGGTTTCTCCATTATGAGGGTTTCTCCCCAGGAAGGTTTTCTCTCAGGAAGGTTTTCTTCCCCTGTTTTTTTCCCCTCAGAGGTTTCTCCATTATGGTTTTCTCCTCAGGAGGGTTTCTCCCCAGGGTTTCTCCTCCAGGAAGTTTTCTCCTCAGGAGGCTCTTCTCCTGAAGGTTTTCTCCCCCAGTTTTCTTCCCTATGAGGGTTTTCTCCCCTCAGGAGGGTCTTTCCACATGGTTTTCCTCCTGAAGGTTTCTCCTCAGGAAGGTTTTCTCCCCAGGGTTTTCTCCCCAGGAAGATTTTCTCCCCTGAGGGTTTCTCCCCAGGGTCCCACATGAGGGTTTCTCCCTCAGGAAGGTTTTCTCTCAGGTTTTCTCCCTCAGGAGGTTTTCTCTCAGGTTTTCTCCCTAGAGGGTTTTCGCCTCAGGAGGGTTTTCCCTCAGGAAGGTTTTCTCCCTTATGAGGGTTTTCTCCCTCAGGAAGGTTTTCTCTCAGGAAGGTTTTCTCCATGACGTAGCTAAATTTAAAAGAGTTTCTTTCAGTAAAATTAACGTTTCGTTATATTATAATAAGATAATAACATATTATAATAATGCATTTAGGCAAAATGATTTGTCAGTTTGCATTTTCATGTGGTGGATGTTTTATTTTTTACTTTACTCGCCCTACGGGCTTGGTCTGTAAAAAAAAACTTCCATCCGATATTTCTCCATAAAGACTACGAGCTCTCTTAATAATGGCTTAATAAACAGTAATATCAACTGGAGAGATAACTCTACATAAACTCTCTATCATCATTTGTGTTTTTCGCTCACTTGAAGGAGATTTAATTTATTTTGGATCATGTGAGCACAATTTTACCAGTCCAAGTTAGTGGGGCTTTATAAAAGTACAAATAATAAACCTACATGTTGTCTTCTCCACTTCCTGATCAAGCAAATTATACAAATGAAAACAACAAAACAAACGACAATGATCCATTGAAGAGAAATACTGGTCTTAGATGAAGTATATAGATGAAGTACTTTGTTTAAAAGAACACTGGCTTCAAACGCTGGGATCAATTTGTAGTTAGGTTTCTCTGCGATAGCAAGCACGACTTTAGTAAACGTTCCTTCTTTCACATAAAGGAGTAACTCCACATACACAGTTCTGTTTGATACACCGCGTTGTTTTCTCGAAGCAATATCGTTATCTGTTGAAAAAATTCAAATCAATGTTCGAAAGTACTTCTACTTTTAGCATCGTCAGCTGAATTTTTAATTGGTTATCATATGATTTAGCAATTCTTAATTTGTCGGATGTTTTTCCAGGACAGTATCCGTGACGTAAAGGACTCGCTTTTTCAATCCTGCTATGTATAGTTTTTTGAAAACGATAAATTTGTACAGGAAGTTTCGAGTGCAATTTGGAAGAACATGCACGAGTGAGATTTTCAAAGACTATCAAAATTGCACGAGTCCATCATCCTGCAAAATGGCACTTTGTTTCATCATAAACATTTTGCCGGTCCATTATTAGGGAGCTTTAGCAAGAGTACGACTACGACAACGAGTACGAAGTTTGACCGTGTAGAGAATGGCACGAGGAAGTTTGTTGTCGTTGTCGCTTCGTGAAGGGAGCTTTAGCAAAGCCTACGAGTACGACTACGATTACGATTACGTTATGAAAACACGTTACAAAAACAGACGTGATCCATTTGTAAAATTCGTAGTCGCGACTACAATGTCCTTCAAAGAAAAACATTCCAGTTATTATACAGCATTCATTTTTAATTTAGAACCCTTTGAGCAAAAGATGTTAGAAAGGAAAATATCGCAAAACTTCGATTTATACGCAAAGTGAAAGGTAAACAAAGAATAAAATAGTAAAAATATACATAATAATAGTGAAGATTTTCAGTGAGTCCTATATTCTCGCAAAACCAGTATTACCGATTCATTGATATCATTATTAACAAATAAGCCGTAGCTGCTTCGCAAACTTCGGTGTTTTAACAAAAAAGCTCGTTTTTTGTTGTTTACAACTAAAGCAAAATTTTGACGAAGAGATAACGACAACAAACTTCCTCGTGCCATTCTCTTACACGGTCAAACTTCGTACTCGTTGTCGTCATTGAGTTCTTTACATTGAGTTCTATAATAACTGGAGCGGCTAACTTTACTGGGGCGAGGTCGCCAAAAAATGGCGGCTAACGTTAACTATAGTTAAAGTTAACTACGTTTTTATACAACCGGCCCCAGGTCTTATAGAACTCAATGGTTATCGTAGTCGTACTCTTGCTAAAGCTCCTTAAAATTTAGTTTTAGTTGTAAACAACAGAACGAGTCTTTTTATTGTGTAAAACACCGAAGTTTGCGAAGCAGCTACGGCTCTATTTATCAACTATGATATCAACAAATCGGTAAAATTGATTTTGCAAGAATATAGGACTCTTTACACTGAAAAATCTTCACTATTTTAAGTTTTATGTACGATATATTTGTACTACTTTATTGTTTGTTTACCTTTCACTTTGCGTACGAAATACATGAAAGTTTTGCAGGTCATATTTTCCTTTTTGATGTACATCTGCGCTCAAAGGGTTCTAAATTAAAGCCTGATGCTCGAAAATAGTACTGTAAACTAATTTACAAAATGAAGAAATAATCTTTCTTTTTTAAGAAGACATCGTAGTAGCGACTACGAATTTTACAAAACATCGTACTCAGATTGACGACGGCTACGTGTTTTTGTCGCAACAATGTTTTCGCCAAAATGACGTACTTCGTACTCGTAGTCTTTGCTAAAGCTCTCTATTTTCCCGTAATCGACCACGGTCCAAAACGCGTAATTTTACAGTCAAATGTAAACAAACTTCGTAAAGCAAACAGCAAAACGCAAAAAAAAAACAAAGAAAAAAACATTTAAGAATGTGATTCGAAGGAAAAACACTTGGAAAACAGTTAAACTATCCAGACGATACAATTCGAAACGAGTTTATTTTTACGGACGAAAACTAGAAAAGTGAAAATCAACCCGTAAAAAACAGCAAGGACGAGAAAGAAGCAAGCTTCGTTTCAGGTCAAATAATGCCATATAATAAACCTTTTAATAACCTCGCTTTCTCGGTCTTTACTGAGAAATATCGGATCTCTGTCTTTTTGTACAAACCTCGCAATACGGGCTCGGTCTGTACAAAAACACCTCGGTCCGTTATTTCTCCGTAAAGACCTCGCGCTTGGTCATTAAGAGCTTAATAATCTACATGAAAAAATTTTCAATTCTGTTGATTTTTAACTTCAGCGTACGTACATTTCAGCCGGCGAGTTTAACCATCGATCAACCGCCTCGTATATTTAAATTCTGTCGGATATTACTTTTCACAACACCATACCTTCTGCACACGCAGCTAGAGCAAGGTATCTACTTTTAGCAGTGTTGTTATTCTCATTTAGAAACACTTTGCAAACGGTGAATTGTAAACTTTTTCGCTAAAGAAAACTTACTTAAAACTTACGGCAGCCGTTGTAATTGCTTTGTTTAAAATAATTTAACTTTCCCGCGTTTTATTTTGATTGGCTCTTAGATCATTTCTTTCTTTGACTAGCCAATCAGGAGGGTATTTTTCAAAAATAAATTGCACTGTATTTCCTTTTTTTTTGCACTGTTTTTCCTATTTTTGCACTGGTATTTACGATAAATTGCACTCCTCTAAACCAATCAAAATTGAGAAATTTTTTCATGTATATTGTTAGAAGAGAAATAAATGACGCTGCTCTGAAATTTACAAAGCACCATAAAAACACTATATACATCAGTGACTGCAACATCAAATCCAGACCTTGCATTATCTAATTCTTATTTTTTTTTTCTTATTTTTTCTTATTTTTCTTTTTGCACCCAAAATGTCTACGAATATAGCCATTATATAGGCTACTTAAAAAGATATGGTAATGTTACACTACGACCCAACAGAGCTTAAGAGTGAACTCGAGTGCCTTGCACTCCCCCCTCCCCTTTACCGTTAATTGCCAAACATAGAATATAACAGGAGGCAGAGTGGATAGAAAAATTCAAAAATTTAGATCATCTAAACCAATGGAAAAAATTTCATCGCCTTTAAGTCTGCTTTTTAAAAATTTACTGAAGGTCATTCTTACCTTCCTTCTCCTTAATTAAATCTTTTAGACTCTTCTCTTTTTCAGTTCCCTCAATCAAATCTTTAACATAGTGTTCAAACACTTTTATAAAGCCACGCTTTTTGAACAACGATGGAGGGGCATCCACAGTTAAGTTCAAAAGATATTCTGTATCAATACATCTAGCAAATTATACAGCAGAAAATATTTAAATATTTGAAACAATAAGATTACGTAAAAATTAAAATGATGACAGAGTGATGCAAAGCATTTACTTTCCAGCAGCTTTGACATTCGATAGACAGAATTTCGGCTGAGGACAGGAAGCACAAAGTTTCTTATCACGACAGTTGTCATCATTAGGAACTAGAAAAATACATTATTTTTTATTTTTGAGACTGTTCTCGATCTTTCACTTATCATTACCTACGCTGACACTCGTTATCTTATTTCTTATATATTTTAGTTACTTTAAAGACTGTTCTTGTTCTCTGCTGTTTATTTATCACTACCTACACTGACACACGTTATCTTATTTCTTATATATGTTAGATAGTGTAAACACTGTTCTTGTTCTCTGTTGCTCATTCATCACTAACTACACTGACACACGTTATCTTATTTCTTCTATGTATCAGTCTTAAATTCAATTGCTTTTTTTACCTTGAATATGAACGACCAGGTTTTTTGACAGGGTATGACGTGGATGTAAGGTACTTTCACATGAAATAGGAACATTGTAGGATAGATTTCCATGAATAAATATACTTTTCTTCACGTGCAATCTTGGTGGACTGTCATGAACATAAAAATGACTAATCACTTTAGTAATTTCACTTAAAGTGTCTTCCTCCTTCTTGATCTGACAAGTGTATTCCGATAATTTCTCGGAATATGGCTGAAGATCAACCGTCCAATTTAAGCCACATTGTATTTGAGGATAATCCAAATCCTCGATAAAGATTTCACCAACAACTGAACAATCTTCACCTGAGCGAGGGGCTACGAGACATATTGACGTGGGTTCTTCGTTCACATCTGTATGTAATAAAGACAATGTAGCACTTAAACATGAACTATTTTGTGTAGTACATTATTCAATTAATGATGAACAATGGTTTGTGGAGAGTTAAAATAACAAAGAATTTTCGGTTCTCGACCTTAGGCAACAATAAACGAGAATGCTTTGCTAGGTAAAATCGATCAGTCTATAAAATTCACTAGTAGATCCCCGCCAACAAATACAAAGACCCGCTAGTAGATCCATTGATGTATACAACGATCCACTTGTAGATCCATTAATGTATACAAAGACCTGCCAGTGGATCAACTAATTAATACAATCATACACCGGTAGATACCCCTATAATATTTTCATTGTCTTCGAATTAAGGATATCTTCCTGTTTTAGTTGACAATTTTGTGTTGTCAAAGATCCCTGAAATTACAAATATTTGTTAATTTACAAAGCATTAAATGTACATCATGAAGAGAACAAAATACTGATAAACATTAATACCACACCATTTGGTTCCAATTTACCAAAAGTCAACAAAATAACATTTATTTTATAAAAACTGAAGTAAAAACAACATTGAATACAAAAACTGACAAATAACAGACAGCACAAAATAGAGAAAAAATATTGTCTTAAGCAAAAACTCAGCAACTAAAGCACATTTTCTATTACAATCTTTCACCAAATTTCAGATTTCAAGGCTTCAGAGTTGACTGATTTTTGCCAGCCAACTTCAGCATAAACAGCACTCACGATGTAATTAACCCTTTCTTTCCCAGCGTTGTCGTTGACAATATCAATGAAATCATCCCAAACCCATAGCACCAAAAAACTTGGGAAGTAAAGGGTTAAAAGCTAGACTTACCAGTGATGGAGACTTTAAATGACTTTGAAATATCGAGGCCAGCCGCATCTTTACAAGTGACATTGATATTGTAAACATTTCTTTCTTCAAAATCGAGAAGACTATTATATTTAACTCGGAGAAAATTGTGATCAGTTTCGTGAGTAATGTAAAACTCATCTTCGTCACCACCCCTTGAGTTCTCGAGGGAGCAAATATGGATCTGAGGTGGCACACTTTTTACATCTGGATCTTTTACCTGTGACAGAAGTATACTTTTAATGCATGTTCTAGGCTAAGTTTTTCATACGGTAATTTTATGGCTTCTTGTTAAAAATAAGTTCTTTCTGACTAAAAGATGCTTAGTGTTGGATTAGGGTTGTAATTGCTTTTACGAAGTTACAGCGATAGTGTGAGGTTTTTGAAGAATTGAAAAACGCAACAGTAAAAAACTCTTAAAAAGAGCATCTATATTTTTAACAAAAACATTGCCTTTGAGGAATCGCGGTATATCTTATTAACAAACAAGAAATCTAAGCAACCGACTGATATTTAACTCACCAAAAACTTTCCAATCACTGTTGAAGCAGGAGAGTTCTCTGCTACAAAATTTTCAGACATCAAAATATCAGTTGGAGCTTCGTTTACATCGGTTACTTCGATCTGAAATCTTTCAAATGCCATTTTCCCCCCCGGATCTTCGACAGCCAACCAAATAATGTACACGTTTTCTTCTTCATAATCAAGAGAACCGTTAACAACGAGGGGAATCGAGTAAATATTAGTTGATTTATCGTTCATTGTACGATATTTAATATTTGGAACACCTGAATTAAGAAAAATTTTTTTATGTGAACAAGATTGTATTTGCAAACTACAAACGAGAAATTTGGAATCTTTCTTTTTCAAAGTACTCGGAGTCAGTGTTGATTTAATCTATTGTTAATATACTGAATCTTTCTTGTATTTGATATTAAAGAATGAAAAACTAAATCACACTATCAAAGATTGTGGATGTAAAGTCAAAAACCAACTATGTATACAAACCTTGTAGAGCAAACTTTTCACGAACCAAAACACTACTGCGATTCAAATAAAACTTTAACATGTCATTATCGTCATCAGTCGCAACGAAGTCGCCGATGAACGACCCCAGAACGCAATTCTCCGGGATGCGATTACCCGTCAAATTTATATCCTGGGTGATTCGTTAATGTCTCGTACAAAAACAAACAAACTCTGGATAGAAGATTTTGGTGGATGACCTGGTCCGTACATTTTATCTTTATACGATGCTTATTCTTTGCTTCGTAATCGAGGCTTTTGCAACAACTATCATGTTATCTAGCAACTTGAAGTAACCATTACCAGAGTCAACCAATTCCCAGTCAAAAATGGAGTGTGTTTTCATCAAGATCATCGTCTCTAGCTGTTAGATTACCAACAACAGAACCAATAGTGACATTTTCATGCACTTCGTAACTTGAAAGTCTTATATCGTAAGGAGGATCATTAATGTTCAACACAGTAATGTTAAAACTTTTTGTAGTAAACATAACAGGTGAACCATTGTCGCTCACCTTAATTTTAACAGTGTAAATATTATCTGACAAGCGTTTCCACACCAAACGTCTATTTACCAACAATGCTCTTTCTTGAACAAGAAAATAAAAATTTGCGTCCGCATTCATTATTGTGAACGTCAAGGGATCATTTTGAAAATCGAATGCATTGAACAAGCCGACAATGGCAAAACGTTCATTTTCTCATTATATAAGTTCTCGACAAAACAATATTTGAAGGTGGATCGTTCACTCTCCTGCAGTAATAAGGTTCAGCAATTGGGTCCCAGTCCCAAGCAACATTCCGGTGTTACCGTCCAATATACATTGAGCCCTCTCAATGGATACGTTGAAATTAACCATATGGAAGTTTCTAGCGAAGGCGTTAGGGCTGTTTGTTGATTTAATGACAGCTAGTTTGAAATTGCCATCACAGTCAAGGGAACAGAATTTCAAATATTCATGTCCGTGTGGGCAACTGATGCGTGCAGGCTTGCAGGCTGTTCCAAACTCATCATGATATGCATTTGACGGACATGGAGGTGCGATCAATGGTGAACATGATTTAGGTTCACACTTGTGTGGAGTTATTTCTGATTGTTTATAACCAGATAAACAGTCGCACAATAACTACCATCTGTGTTTGTACAGTTGGAGTTGATACAACCACCATTTCCATTTTTACATTCGTCTATATCACCACATGATTTACCATCAGCTAAATGAAAATAAAATACAATACAATAAATGAAAACATTTAATAACTGGTCATTATTACTTATGGAATTTTTAAATAATGGTCATCACCATTTATGGAACCATTAAATAACTGGTCATAAATAGAATCAAATAACGGATCATTACCATATAAGGACACTTTAAATAATGAATTACTGCGATGTACTACGTCTCAAGGTATTCCAACTTCAATGCGCTGCTGTATGAAAATTACAGAATAAACTCCCGCAGCTTTGAAAATTCTGAAAGATCGGAGTTCTAGCTATGAAGTGTCATGTTGTTAATTACGTGCTGAAAAACAACAAGCAAATGAGACTTAACACTTTAAATTAACTACGCGCTTACATATGTAGTTCACATTATCATTTTTATGCATATTCGGTGATCACGTTGAAGTGAAAGTGGTACAACTCGCGACAGAATAATGCAAGTAGTGCTCAAAATTTTGACGAGACGGACAGTTTATAAATAACGCACGATGAATCGTTGTTTCTTCTTTAATCTGAAGCTGAGGTACAAAAATACTTTTTCGATTCGAACAATGTTTTTTCCAACGTGCTCACATTTGCCCGTTTTCTTACTTACTACATGCTTTGAACCATGGACGGATTTTCATGTATTTTACAGGGTGGTGAAAATCTGATGCTTCAAGCATTTCAATGTTCCATGACTAAAACATTTGTTTTTTTATGACGATTGATCATTCAGCAATATATGCATAACAGTAAGCTGAAGTTTTTTGTTGAAGCTTGTTTAGAAAAATATATATTGAATAGTCATTACCTTGAAGTTCATAACCGGAGCGAGTTACACATAAACACGATCCATCTGCAGAGTTACAAACATCTTGACATCCCCGTTAGGTGAACCACATTGAGTAGACTCTTCTAAAGAAGGACATCGTGACCCCCGTGAGCAGGATTTGTCGTGATGTGACGACGACGAGTTCTTCTTCCAATGCTACATTTTGTACTACAAGCACTAAATTCCGTCCACGCTGTAAAAAGATGAAGGAAGAATATTGGATTAAAAATCAAAGATTACTTATGTTCATCATTTACGAGTTGTGTTTTGCCCTATTGTGTTGAAATTTTCTCACTGCCAGTAGCGTAGTTGGCCTGGAGGTTTTGGTCCTGCCATGTAAATTTGGATCATTGTTATTATTTATGTTTTTATAAATCTATTGTTTTTGCAGTAAGTAAATAACGATAAATTTCACGGTAATGAGTGGATAAGCAGGATGGCTACGCCACATTATTACATCTGGACCTTATACCATCTTATAACCTTGCATTACATGTAACAAATGTTAACAAAGATTTCTTTGAGTTGGAAGTTACGGTTGGAAGTCTCATGCATGAAATATCCAGCGACTTCAAAGATAGTGAAAGTTGCATTGACAGATGGAATTTTGCTATTTTGAACATAATGGTTGAACGCTGTTATCTTGTTTCGTTGCTTCGACGTTTGTAACAATTGGAATTATTTTTTGCAAATTTTCGCACCTATGATTGTTCATTTCAAGTCGTTTCAAATCGTCTCATCGAGAGCAACGATAAATTCTTGATAACGACTGCATACTGAGAAGGGCCAACGGAGCATGAGATGTATCAAATATTACACAAAAAGCTTAGATACAAAATAAATCTAGAGACGAGAAGACGTTACTTCATGTTGAGCACAAAATAAATATTAAGTTTACCTATTAAGAATTGATCGTCACAGTATACTGCAAGTTTTAATGGCAAAGATTATCTAGAATAATCTAAAAGTTTAAGCGCGAATTCCGGCATAATGATTGAAAATTTCATATGCAGCTAAGCACAAGATAGTTCATAGCAATATTTGCAAATCTAAAGGGACGCAGGAGGATAATTCTGGGTTCAATATTCAAGTGAAAGATCACATAAAATACCATATAAGCGACTACATTACCTCAAAATAACCAACACGATATTCATGCATCAAACGAATGAAGAAATTAAAAGATGTCATGCAAGGCATAATTTGACTTTTTGTGATAAGCAAAACGAAATTCCAATGGCTTGAAAACGTATTTCGGCATTTAGAAAACAATATTTGATGTTACGGATGGATGAGCACGACTTTAACAATGAGCAACTAATAATTTTTAAACATTTCTTCCAACATCTATAATAAGGCAAAGCAAAAACTTACGCGAAACTTGACAATTTACTGAAGGTTGAGGACTTCTTCGTGGTCTTAATACTCTCAATGATAACACGAAGATCAAATGAAATACCATGAATAAATAAATAACAAGAAAGAAACGTTTCAATAACATTACAAAGGATTCAAACGTTTTACCACAGGAAAATATTCTTCATATAAGTGAAAAAGAACTCCGGTTTAAAGTTGTCAAAGATGTCTTCAATCATTAACTAATGTACTTTCATATTTCGTATCACAACGTCCACACTGTGGTTTCATGCTGTTTTCATGAACGCTAAACTGCATTTGTTATTCAAATGAGACATTCCACACAGTTTTAAATATGAGTACAATAAAATATTGTGTTGAATGAGCAACAGAAAGCTAAAACAGTATAGTATACGGCTAAATTCGTCAGAAATCACTTTAAATAAAACTGTGTTTCGTCTATAATTGTATATTGTCACTCTGCCTTACGTGTCTAATAAATTTGCGTCAAAATCTTAATAAGCGTAGGCAAGGGAGAAAGCGGCATGGAGGCGACTGCCGCGAATAATAGTTTCAAGACAATTATCTTTGAAAATAGTTCAAAGAATAGCAAATATATGAATGGTAAAGTAATATAATAAGTTGATAGTTCTTAAAGAACTTTTTAAGTAAAGAGCACTAACCCAATAGTTCTAAATCAAACGACACGATGCATTTCGGCAGACTACTCCTCAGGTGTCAACGTCTGCTAAATGAAAATCTACAATCTACCGATATTTATAATGTCAAGAAAGTGTGTACGTCATCTCCAAAAGGGGAGATGACGCTCAAAAACAGGGATAAATTAAAAACATTATCCTTTTGTTGACGGAGGACGGGATTGGTTAACCAATCGTCTAATTTAGAACTATTGTGTTAGTGCTCTTTACTTAAATCACTTCTTTTAAGAATTATTAACTTATTATATTACTTTTACCATTCATTATGGTATTTGCTATCTTTAGAACTATTTTCAGATTTGTCACCACGACAAGCAGTCTCTATTTTACAATTATCTTTATTTGTATAATTAAGTGCTATATTTATGTACGTACATTTTGCATAAAGGAGGGGGGGGGACGATGTTGCCCCTAAAGAACAAACATATACCTGCGAGTCTTCTAGATATTCTCTTCCTCAGCATCTGAAAAATACTAAATAACAAATTGGTGATATGACAAAAACAAACAAGCAAAAACATACCGCAGTTTTTATGTGCGCCTAGTGCCATGTTTAACTGTTAAGCTGAATAATTACTTAAATGCATTGACCAAACTTTTGGAGCTTGTGTATTTTTTAAAACCACTGTTAGCAGTAGATAAAGTTAAAAATTCCCAATTTCCAACTGAATGATGTATGGTCTTCATAGCAATCCCTTTAGAACGTTACTTAAAGGGGTGGAGTGACGTGTTTATTCATATACTCAGTAGTACCCGACTAATTTCTTTTGAAAAGAAAGGCTTAAAATCCTTCATTAAATTGCTTTCATAAGAAATCTTTGGAGGACAACTGAGTATATGAAACGTTTTCCCAATAAAGTTGTTATTGTTGATAGTTAATCGAAAAGCAAACATGCATTTTATTTTTAATGGCCGTTTTTTACACATTTTTTTGCTGGACAAAAATAATGATTCCTCAAAAACACGCGTTCACTTGAGAAAATATCATAATTTACTTTAAATTTGTACAAAATTTATACCAAACTTTAAAACACAAATCGCGAGAAAAATTCTCCTATATACTACACATTGATTGTAGAACAAACAACAGAATTGTAGTTAATAAATAATGAGCCATGAAGCTAGTCCCGAGAAAATGGAGTAAATAAATAAGCTTTTCAAATGCTAAAACGTAGTTAAATTCTCTTTAGATTGTGTTAGATGAAAATACTAAAAATTGTACGTAGAATTACTTTAAATAAAAGAGAGTGAATCATGTACGTAAGAATTTATAAACCACACAAATGCAAATATAGTTGAGTAGAAGTCACTCAAGTACAGTCAACGAACGATAAATCTTCAAATTAGTTTTCATTCTGAAAGCATTCATTATCAATGTGTCTAGCAGCGTCATGGATCAACACATTCCACCACTACAGAGGAAGTCACGTGTATGGACACGTGATAAAACTTCAACAAGTAGACGAAGTTATCTTCATGACCACGTGATCGTCTGATTTCGCTACCAAGAAGGTCAAATGATTCCCGGCATTACGAATCAACTGCATTGCACTAAAAATGAACGATATATGTTTACAGTCGCTGTATGAAAACATCTTGCTTTTGGTTCAAAATTAAGACTATGATTATCACACAAACCAAAATGATTCCTTTCAAATATTAAGCCGAAGATTTCAGCTCGTGCATTTTATCTGCCTCTCAACTCGTTATCAAGTAAAAAGGGACTGGAAATGAGTCAAATTTTTTAATACAAACAGCAAGTGCACAGGACTTTGTTCACAATGACTGACAGTGTTAATAAATAACAGAATCGTGTTTCAATTCTAAAATCCTCCTTCCACTGCTTTAATATCGTGTACAGTGGAGGCAACGCGGAAGGCAGGAATTCCAAGTTGCTTGTTTTTGGCGTGCTTATTAACATATCAGAAGAAACATTCAGATCCACGATGGTGGCTTTGAATTTTTAAGTGAAGCTGTTTCAAAGTGAAGTTACGGTCAAGTCAAATAAAGAATTCAAAAAAATACAGAAGGTAGAAATAAGGTAAAGGATTTTCACAACATGCGACAATATCTTCATTTGAAAATAGATGTGAATTAAGTTATCATGAACGATAAAAATCAGTCATCATCAATCAACTCGTTTTTGTTGCTTCTAATCAAGAAATTTCATCAGGTATAAGTCTAATGGTGAAGCAATCAAAACACACAAATCTTACATTTACAAGTATTCATTAAAGGTCAAAAATTCTCACCTTTGATAGTCAGCTCCAACCAAACTTGTCCCGTTTACAGCAAGAATTCTATCACCCAACTTTAGTCGCCCATCCTGAAGGGATAAGCATCATTATTTAAACTGACCATAAACACGGGCTAAAATGTTCTAACTAATATTATGAATCAGTAAATTCACCTGCGCTGCAGGTCCAGTAGAGACCAAAGTCCTGACATAAATACCGTTTGACTTAAGCGGTGTATACTACAAACAAAGCAAAATAAAATTATGCAACAGAAGTTAAAAATACAAAAAGAAACAAAGAAAAGCCTCATTTTGTTTTGTACAATGATGAGTATAATACATGCAAGTATTGTATAAACGGATCCCCATTGGCTCTAAAAAATTCGACGTCACGTCTTATCAAAATGTTTACTACATCAAGTATTGCATAGGTAAACAATATTGTTGTCATGATTTCTTAAAAGCACTATATTTATCCGGCATTTCAAGTGTACGACAATTTTTTTAAAGCAAACATGTTTCGGCATGCTTAAGGTCTCCCTGTCTGACTTTCGATCACTTGAGAAGTTATCTACGAAGAAACGCAAAGCCGAATTGGATGTTAATTTTTTAAGAGATTGTCAGTTGTTCAAAGTTTTTCCCAAATTTAATATAACTGTAAATAGATATCATAATCATTCCTTGTACTGAAGATGGCATAAGCATGCCAAAACATGTTTACTTTAAAAAAATTGTTGTCATGATGATAAAATTTACGAAAATAGTGAATTCCACAGTAAAGAATGAATGTAAAAGCTACACATCAAACCATCGATATCCAGTTTCACTTTACACATAAATTCCCCCAAAGATACTCACTAAACTCTGTACAAGACCTACACCAATCCCACTTTACACATAACCCCCCCTCCCATGATACTCACTAAACTCTGTACAAGACCTACACCAATCCCACTTTACACATAACCCCCATGATACTCACTAAACTCTGTACAAGACTTACACCAATCCCACTTTACACAAACCCCCCATGATTCTCACTAAACTCTGTACAAGACCTACACCAATCCCACTTTACACATAACTCCCCCCCATGATTCTCACTAAACTCTGTACAAGACCTACACCAATCCCATTTACACATAACCCCCCTGATACTCACTAAACTCTGTACAAGACTTACACCAATCCCACTTTACACATAAATCCCCATGATACTACCAAGCTCTGTACAAGACTTCACACCAATCCCACTTACACATAACCCCCCATGATACCTTCATAATTGCTCTGTACAAGACTTCCACACCAACCTGATTTTACACATAAATCCCCCCATGATACTCACTAAACTCTGCACAAGGCTTACAACCAATCCACTTTACACATAACCCCCCATGATACTCTACTAAGCTCTGTACAAGACTTACACCCAATCCCACTTTTACACATATAAATCCCCTCCCCATGATACTCACTAAACTCTACAAGACCTACACCAATCCCACTCCTTACACAAACCCCATGATTCTCTACTAAACCTTGTACAAGACCTACACAAATCCCACTTTTACACATAACTCCCCCCATGATTCTCACTCAAACTCTGTACAAGACCTACACCAATCCCACTTTTACACATAAATCCCACATGATACCTACTAAACTCTGTACAAGACTCACACCAATCCCACTTTTACACATAAATCCCCCCATGATACTCACTAAACTCTGTACAAGACCTTACACCAATCCTAATTCCTCCTTTACACATAAATTCCCCCTATGATACCTATCACTAAACTCTGTACAAGACTCTACAAATCCCATTCTTACACATAACTCCTCTAATGATTCTCTACTAAACTTCTGTACAAGACCTACACCAATCCCCACTTTTACACATAAATCCCCCCATGATACCTACTAAACTCTGTACAAGACCTACACCAATCCCACTTTACACACATAAATCCCCATGATACCACCTAAACTCTGTACAGACCTACACCAACTTTAATTTTACACATAAACCCCTATATGATACCAATTTCAAACTCTGTACAAGGCTTACACCAATCCCACTTTTACACAAACCCCCTATGATTTCACTAAACTTGTACAAGACTTACACCAATCCTAATTTTACACATAACCCCCATGATTCTCACTCTTAAACTGTACAAGACTCCATACACCAATCCTAATTTTACACATAACTCTGCATGATATTTCTTTCACTAAACTCTGTACAAGACCTACACCAACTCTAATTTTACACATAAATCCCCCTATGATACTCATTACTAAATCCCCAGGTCCAAGGCTTACACCAATCCTGCCTTACACAAACCCCCCATGATTTCACTAAACTCTGTACAAGACTTACACCAATTCCACTTTACACATAACCCCCCATGATTCCTACTAAACTCTGCAAGACCTACACCAACCCCACTTACACATAAATCCCCCCATGATACTCACTAAACTCTGCACAAGACCCACACCAATCCCACTTTACACATAAATCCCCCCCATGATCACTAAACCTGTACAAGACCTACATTAACTCCACTTCTTACACATAAATCCCCCATGATTCTCACTAAACTTGTACAAGACCTACAAATCCCACTTTACATAACTCCCCCATGATCTCACTAAACTCTGTACAAGACCTACACCAATCCCACTTCTTACATAAATCCCCCCATGATACTCACTAAACTCTGTACAAGGCTTACACCAATCCCACTTTACGCAAACCCATGATTCTCACTAAACTCTGTACAAGACCTACACAAATCCCACTTTACACATAACCCCCATGATTCCTCACCAAACTCTGTACAAGACCTACACCAATCCTAATTTTACACATAAATCCCCCATGATACTCACTAAACTCTGTACAAGACCCACACCAATCCCACTTACACATAAATCCCCCCATGATTCTCACTAAACTCTGTACAAGACCTACATTAATCCCATTTTACACATAACCTCCCCCATGATTCTCTACTAAACTCTGTACAAGACCTACATTAATCCCACTTTACACATAAATCCCCCCCATGATACTCACTAAACTCTGTACAAGACCCACACCAATCCCACTTTACACATAACCCCCATGATACTCACTCAAACTCTGTACAAAGCTTACACCAATCCTCCTTTACACATAAATCCCCATGATTCTCACTTGTTCTGTACAAGACCTATTAACTTAATTTTACACATAACCCCCCATGATACTCACTAAACTCTGTACAAGACCACACCAATCCCACTTCTTACACATACAACCTCCCATGATACTCACTCAAACTCTTGTACAAGACCTACACCAATCCCACTTACACATAAACCCTCCCCACATGATACTACTCAAACTCTGTACAAGACCTACACCAATCCCACTTTACACATAACCCCCCCTCCCATGATACTCACTAAACTCTGTACAAGACCTACACCAATCCCACTTTACACATAAATCCCCCCATGATACTTCACTAAACCTGTACAAGACCTACACAACCTAATTTTTACACATAACCCCCCATGAGACTCATCAAACTCTGTACAGGCTTACACCAATCCCACTTTACACAAACCCCCCATGATTCTCACCTAAACTCTGTACAAGACCTACACCAATCCCACTTTTACACATAACCCCCCATGATTCTCACTCAAACTCTGTACAAGACCTACACCAATCCCACTTTACATAAATCCCCCCATGATTCCCTACTAAACTCTGTACAAGACCTACATTAATCCCACTTTACACATAAATCCCCCATGATTCTCACTTAAACTCTGTACAAGACCTACACAAATCCCACTTTACATTAACTCCCCCATGATTCTCACTAAACCTCTGTACAAGACCCACACCAATCCCACTTTGACACAACCCCTCCCATGATACTCACTTCAAACTCTGTACAAGACCTACACCATCCCACTTACACATAAACCCCATGACACCTACTTCAAACTCTGTACAAGGCTTACACCAATCCCACTTACGCAACCCCCCATGATTCTCACTCTTTCCAAACTCTGTACAAGACCTACACAAATCCCACTTTACACATAACTCCCCATGATTCTCATTTCCAAACTCTGTACAAGACCTACACCAATCCCACTTTACACATAAATCCCCCCATGATACTCACTAAACTCTGTACAAGACCTACACCAATCCCACTTTACACATAAACCCCCCATGATTCTCACTAAACTCTGTACAAGACCTATGAATCCCACTTTACACATAAATCCCCCGATTCTCACTAAACTCTGTACAAGACTACATTAATCCCACTTTACATAACCCCCATGATACTCCACTAAACTCTGTACAAGACCACACCAATCCTAATTTTACACATAACCCCCCATGATACTACTAAACTCTGTACAAAGCTTACACCAATCCCACTTTACACATAAATCCCCCCATGATTCTCACTAAACTCTGTACAAGACCTACATTAATCCCACTTTACACATAAATTCCCCCCATGATACTCACACTAAACTATATACAAGACCTACACCAATCCCAGTTCATACATAAATTCCCCCTACGATACTCACCAAACCATCGATAAGACCAACACCAATCCCAGTTCATACATAAATTCCCCCATGATACTCACACTAAACTATATACAAGACCTACACCAATCCCAGTTCATACATAAATTCCCCACTACGATACTCACCAAACCATCGATAAGACCAACACCAATTCCAGTTCATACATAAATTCCCCCTACGATACTCACCAAACCATCGATAAGACCAACACCAATCCCAGTTCATACATAAATTCCCCCTATGATACTCACCAAACCATCGATAAGACCCACACCAATCCCAGAGTCTCCCTTTTCTAGCTCAACAACGAATACGTCATCTTGTGTATCACTTCCTCGTCTGTAATATTCGTCATCGACGTCAACTGATTGGTTGACACTAGATTGAGCATCCGATTCTTGACGTCGTATACGTTCAACTCTTTTTCCCTTGAGCGAAGTTTTCTTTGGAGTATAAACATTCTCAAACGATGCACTCCTTGAAATTCCATTACCAACTAAATATTGACGTAACATTTATACAACGTAAATTGAAATATTTGTACAAAAACATGTAACTGACTGACTATATATGTTTGTAGAAGATCCTCCAGGTCAGTGAAATCCTGTGAAGAAGTTTTGGTGTGGATGTTGAGTGATATTTTCACATCCTTAGTGTTAGTCAACTTCTTACTCAAGTGAAGAGTGAAAAATGTCCACTATGAAGATGACTACCGCTATGTATATGAAACATAAGTCAATACTAACAGTCCTTCTCAAGACTTAGCTAACCTAGACGGTCTAAACCCCTAAGCCTCGCCCCTGGAAAGCTGATACAACATTTTCATTCGGGACTTCACTAACCTGGATCATCAACGACTACAGACACGTAACGATACACAGACTCAAGCTAATGCCTCATAACTTACTGAATAACAATGGTTCGACAATGGCGTCGGCCATGTTTTGATTCACAGGTGACACTAACATGGTGACATTAACATGATGGTACTAACAAGATGGTACTAACACGGTGACATTAAAATGATGGTACTAACATGGTGACACTAACAAGATGGTACTAACATGGTGACACTAACATGATGGTACTAACATGACGGTACAAACAAGGTGACACACTAACATGATGGTACTAACATGGTGACACTAACATGGTGACACTAACATGATGGTACTAACACGGTGACACTAACAAGATGGTACTAACATGGTGACACTAACATGATGGTACTAACATGATGGTACAAACAAGGTGACACTAACATGATGGTACTAACACGGTGACACTAACAAGATGGTACTAACATGGTGACACTAACATGATGGTACTAACAAGATGGTACAAACATGGTGACACTAACATGGTGACACTATCATGGTGACACTAACATGATGGTACTAACATGATGGTACAAACAAGGTGACACTAACATGGTGACACTAACAAACAACTTGAAAAAGACCTATACAATTAGAAGCTACAAAGCTATACAAAACAAAAGATGACGTCATGCTCCAACATTTTGCTCAACATACTAGTTTCAATCAGAGCACTATGATTTCATTAAAGTCAAATTTATAAAATACTCTTAATCTCACCATGATTTCTTAAGTGTTTACTCAGTTTGGCAGGATCCACTCTGTGTAACGTTGGATCACTTGAACTGAACGTCTGCGCCATTTTCTTTGGGCTCTCAACTACTGACGTTGGAGGACTGGATCTGACTGACGAATTTGGCGTGGAACGCCGGGAAGGATTTCCCGATTCGGGAGCGTGAATCAACACTTGTGGATTCCTTGGAGTAGATGTGGTTACTTCAGGATCTTTACCAGGTCCAAACGTTGAACGTAAATTATCGAGGGCTTTCTGGACTAGTGGATTGGGAGTTTCAGACTCGAGGTCAAGGAGATAATCGGACGTTGGAAATAAAAATGGTGGGTGAGTTGAAAAACTCTCAAGAATTTCCTCTGTAAATAACCAAGGCAAACGTAAAGCAGATTGAGGATGGTACACAAGAAATCAATGTACTTTAACTCCTTATGCTTATGTCATAGTGAAGATGGTACATAAGAAATCAATGTACTTGATCTCCTTATACTTATGTCATAGTGATGATGGTACATAAGAAATCAATGTACTTGATCTCCTTATATTTATGTCATAGTGAAGATGGTACATAAGAAATCAATGTACTTGATCTCCTTATACTTATGTCATAGTGAAGATGGTACATAAGAAATCAATGTACTTGATCTCCATATATTTATGTCAAAGTAAGGATGGTACATAAGAAATCAATGTACTTGATCTCCTTATACTTATGTCATAGTGAGGATGATACATAAGAAATCAATGTACTTGATCTCTTTATACTTATGTCATAGTGAGGATGGTACATAAGAAATCAATGTACTTGATCTCCTTATACTTATGTCATAGTGAGGATGTTACATAAGAAATCAATGTACTTGATCTCTTTATACTTATGTCATAGTGAGGATGGTACATAAGAAATCAATGTACTTGATCTCCTTATACTTATGTCATAGTGAGGATGGTACATAAGAAATCAATGCACTTGACCTCCTTATTCTTATGTCATAGTGAGGATGGTACACAAGAAATCAATGTACTTTATCTCCTTCTACTTATGTCATAGTGAGAATGGTACACAAGAAATCAATGTACTTGATCTCCTTATACTTATGTCATAGTGAGGATGGTACATAAGAAATCTATGTACTTGACCTCCTTATTCTTATGTCATAGTGAGGATGGTACACAAGAAATCAATGTACTTTATCTCCTTATACTTATGTCATAGTGAGAATGGTACACAAGAAATCAATGTACTTGATCTCCTTATGCTTATGTCATAGTGAGGATGGTACATAAGAAATCAATGTACTTTAACTTCTTATGCTTATGTCATAGTGAGGATGGTACATAAGAAATCAATGTAGTTGATCTCCTTATACTTATGTCATAGTAAAGATGGCACATAAGACATCTATGTACTTGATCTCCTTATACTTATGTCATAGTGAAGATGGTTCATAAGAAATCAATGTACTTGATCTCCTTATGCTTATGTCATAGTAAAGATGGCACATAAGACATCTATGTACTTGATCTCCTTATACTTATGTCATAGTGAAGATGGTACATAAGAAATCAATGTACTTGATCTCCTTATACTTATGTCATAGTAAAGATGGCACATAAGACATCTATGTACTTGATCTTCTTATACTTATGTCATAGTGAAGATGGTACATAAGAAATCAATGTACTTGATCTCCTTATACTTATGTCATAGTGAAGATGACACATAAGACATCTATGTACTTGATCTTCTTATACTTATGTCATAGTGAGGATGGTACATAAGAAATCAATGTACTTGATCTTCTTATACTCTCATAGTAAGAATGGTACATAAGAAATCAATGTACTTGATCTCCTTATACTTATGTCATAGTGAAGATGGTACATAAGAAATCAATGTACTTGATCTCCTTATACTTATGTCATAGTGAAGATGGCACATAAGACATCTATGTACTTGATCTTCTTATACTTATGTCATAGTGAGGATGGTACATAAGAAATCAATGTACTTGATCTTCTTATACTTATGTCATAGTAAGAATGGTACATAAGAAATCAATGTACTTGATCTCCTTATACTTATGTCATAGTAAAGATGGCACATAAGACATCTATGTACTTGATCTCCTTATACTTATGTCATAGTAAAGATGGTACATAAGAAATCAATGTAGTTGATCTCCTTATACTTATGTCATAGTGAGGATGGTACATACGAAATCAATGTACTTGATCTCCTTATACTTAAGTCATAGAGAAGATGGTACATAAGAAATGAATGTACTTGATCTCCTTATACTTGTGTCATAGTAAGGATGGTACATAAGAAATCACTATACTTGATGTATGTACAACTTACCGTCCCTCAAAGCAGCATCAACCTCGTCAGACGTCGGCCGCCATTCGGCAGGTCGATGTTTTCCCGTACCCATTTGATATTCGGTGAGGATTTTATGCAACTGTGCTGCGTTGAGAACAGGAAAATCATGACGAAGGGTCTTCCAGTCAGCCTTTGTAAAATATATCAAAATTATGGTCAGGGAGAAAAACCTTGGTGTTCAGAATGCATCAATAAACTCCTAAAGGTAAATTCAGCTGACACTAAGAGCTTGCACGATTTAACAGTAAGCTCCAAGGAGCCGTAAAAGTCGTTGAAAAGAATTTCATCCTTGTGACTTGCATTGCGAAAATGAAGTCATTCGCATTTATTGTTGTATTGTTGCCATTTCTTGCTCGTCGGTTATAAATTACTGCTGATCATGCCAATTTTTTTTGATACATTTTTTTAAAAGAAAAATCCGATGTTTTTTGTGATGAAAAACCCACCTGCAAGAGTTGTACTTTAGGTGTTGCAAGAACATCGGCTGCTGACGATAATTTTCTTAGGTAATCAGTAGCTTCCTCTTGAAGGCCAACTTCCGAGGCCCAGCTTTCCAACATGTCTAGATTACCCCGTATCTGCGCGCCTTTTGCCCAGCGGTAGAACTTTCCACCAGAACCTCTGTCCATAAGCGTATTGAACAAAGATGCGTTTGTAAAGAAAAACAGATACGCGAAAAGTTGACGGATGATCTGCTCATGAACGTTGAAGGATATGATGAGATCGTAAACTGTCTGGAAGATTTGAACAACTATTTCGGCTCCCTCCAACGCGTCGCCATTGCGACTTTCATCATCTTCAAGTTGAAATGGATTTGTATCCAATATCAGTGGCAGGGCGACATATAAAACCTACGATAAAACGATATGCAGGTTGGATGTATGTAACATGAAGTAAACGGAAATTCATAATCACGTGCACAGCTCGTGTTATCAAACATGACTGTAAAATTCGTTCGTGATAAAGAGCGTGCAAACAAACTTTATAACTTGAACTAAATATTTATATGAATTCTACTGAGCTCATTTAAGTACAACATGGAGCAAAAAAATGATGTTAATTTGAAAGGAACCTTGGTCAAATGATAAACGGTCTGTTGAAATGTAAACATTGCAACTTCCTCCAAGACATTAAGCAATTCTTCATCAGCATTTGCCAAAGCTTCCTCTTCCGGGTCGTTAGACCTGCTGTTCACGTGAAACGCATTCGGTAAATACGTGGACAGATTGTCCTGAAGATAATGGAGCATTTCTAAAGCGTTACTCATCCAGAATAGAATCTGCTTTAGATCAGGGATAATCTCATCCAAAGACTTGAGAGGATCAATTTCACTATAAAAAATGAGAATTTTAATCATGAAAAGTTGAATAAGTAAAAGATATTTACGTAAGAAGCAATATGTTTAATTACCCTTCAACATTTGTCTCTGTAATTCCCTTCGTTTTGTCCTAAATATTTTAGAAAATAGAAGTTTACATGTATGTAACCAATGAAATATGAAACAGCTGTGAGCATTGAATTAAACTACATGGAAGCCTAGTAAAGTTTGGAAGCCAAATCTTACACCTAGCCACGCGAGATTACACCCAGCCACGCGTGTGTAGTTAAATCGATTTTCACGCAGCGAGAGAATCCCGAAACATTACACACGCGTGTCTGGGTGTAAGATTTGGCTTCAATTAATTGCTTCAGGTTGCAGTCCATGTATTAAGTTCAATGGGTGTGAGTGATGCAATATAAGCGAGGGGTCTGGGTCTTAAACACAATAATACACATATTTACTATTAAATGAAGATATGATCTTCGCACTTTTCCTGGACAATTTAAGCAATTGTCTCATGAACATGAAAAATTCAGGTGACTCAACGGGATTTGAGTTTTTTCAGGTTCATAAGACAATTGCTTAAATTGTCCAGCAAAAGTGCAAAGATCATATCTTCATTCATCAAACACCACACTGCATAAAGCATTCTTTCATAATACACATCTTTACATTAGAAATAAAAACACTCTAAAGTGTAAACATAATGTTATAATAAAAACAGCAAACAGAGATGAGAGTGCTGACCAAAAAAATGCTTACTGTTGCATTTAAACTACTAACACTTCAAACATCATGTTACATAACTAAACAGTCACAGACGGGGGGAGTGTTGACCACAAAACACCTATTGTTGCAATTAAGCTACTAACACTTCAAACATCATGTTACATAACTAAACAGTCACGGACGGGGGGAGTGTTGACCACAAAAATGCTTACCGTTTCATTTAAGCTACTAACACTTCAAACATCATGTTACATAACTAAACAGTCACGGACGGGGGGAGTGTTGATAACAAAACACCTATCGTTGCATTTGAACTAAAAACTCCTCTTACATCACTTTATTTTACCAAAAAATCACGGGGGGGGCTGTAGAGCGTTAACAAAATAACGCATATAATACAATAGAGTTTATATAAACCTAACCCTAACCAAACCCAAACACCAAAAAATACCTAAAAGTAAAAGTGTTGTTTCTCTTTCTAACAAACATATCTCTGTAGTCACATTTCAAACACGCATCGTAAGTAAAAGTGTTGTTTCTCTTTCTAACAAACATATCTCTGTAGTCACATTTCAAATACGCATCGTAAGTAAAAGTGTTGTTTCTCTTTCTAAAAAACATATCTCTGTAGTCACATTTCAAACACGCATCGTAAGTAAAAGTGTTGTTTCTCTTTCTAACAAACATATCTCTGTAGTCACATTTCAAATACGCATCGTAAGTAAAAGTGTTTCTCTTCTAAAAACATATCTCTGTAGTAACATTTCAAACACGCATCGTAAGTAAAAGTGTTGTTTCTCTTTCTAACAAACATATCTCTGTAGTCACATTTCTAACACGCATCGTAAGTTTATTTTAAAGATGAGATATTAAATCACTTACCCACGCCACACCTTGAATCACATTGGTAATTTTAAGTATAAGTCGTCTTGTGTCAATATCATTATGATGAAAAGCTGAATATTCAATGGCAAGTATGAACAAATAAGAAGCAACAAGTTCGAAATCATTCTCTCTAACTGGTTCGCACATCGTTACAAAATATTCCAAAAGCTTATCTTCGTCTTCCAAATCGTAAGCTAAAGACAATCGATTTGGATTTTGCGTTACAGCCGGCATCCGCATGAGCTTAGCTCTGTCACGTGTCATGTCTTGTCCGTCCACCATTGTGGACCCAGGCAGCCAATCAAATACCAGATTTGCATCAGATAATCTGATTGGATCCTTGTACAAGAAAACATAGTTTGCTCCAATTTGCAACAAGTCGCCTGGGGCGAGCATTACATAATCTATTACAGGACGTCCATTAACAATGACATCACAGTTCGGGAAAGGTTGGATAAATACCATATCCAGGCCGTCCTCTGATTCAGCAACACTCTCGTTATCTCCATGTAACTTCTTGTAAACTTTACAATGTTGCGTCTGCACGTCATCACTGTACAGCGGTATGTCAGGATGTTTTTGACCAATAGTAGGTCTTCCTATGATCATGTGATCATCATCTAAACGATGCAATAAATAATCTTCGGCAATTCCACTGCCACGAAGCAACAAAAGATATGGCACATCAACCGAACTACTCATATTGAACGTCAAATTTGATTGGCTAACGCTACCATCGTCATCGTGACGGGAACCACTCATGGGTAAATCATACACACCCGATTCGCTACATTCCGACGTACTACTAAGGCTAAGTTTTGTCTGGAGTAAATTTGAACCGGGTGGCTGATTTACAATCGCAGTATGTTTGTGCTCGGTAGCTCCATTGCTTGTGGCAACCAATGTAGATTTGTAATCTTCCTCACCCCCCCTGAGGCGAATCTCAAAACGACGCGAGCGATTGGCGGGTGGTTTCCAAAGCATCTGTAGAAGCAGAGGTTTTTCGTTCTCCCCAACAACACGCGCATAGTCAGTCACCCATTGCATTTTCGAATCTTTACCTTTACCGGAGCCGCCCGAGGCATTACGGAAATTCCCGACCACATCATACAGTTCATAGTTCTTCCATTCTTCTGCATTAAGTTTATATTTTGTCAAAGTTTGTTTGATTACCAAATCAGCATTGGACTTACTAGTAACCTTGACACTTTTATAGTTTGAGTCAGCGGAAATTCCCGTACCAAACACTTTGAGCACTCCAGGTACGGTGACATCACTTGAGAGCTCTTCGCCTCGTTCTAACGCACGATTTTTTTTTGGTAATTTTAAAACAGCACCTATCGATTTTCCTTTAGTTCTACTGCCTTGAGCCTTTTTCGGCTTCGAGGGACTTTTCGATTTCTTTTCGTAAGTGGCGCCCGCGGTCATCTTAATACTCCTATTACGACCAGCGTACATAAAGTTTCCACCGCTCAACGGTCTCTCGGGTTTTTCCAACGTTCCCCCATTAACACGAAGCAAACTCTTAGTATTTGGTTTGCTTTGTTCCATAATTCCATCGATATGATCCGAGCCATTTATGATTATATTTGGGTTTTCCTTGTCGACACGAAGAACGAAGCGTATCGGTTTCGTTGAGTTGAGGGCAATGGCCAATGGCCATTCAGAATCAACTAAACAGATTTCATCTGAAAGAAATAAAAAATAATCTCTAGAAACTACAATGAAATTACAACGCAACACTTAAAAATTGTCTAGATTTTCTTTACAGGTGGGCGAATGGGTGGGTTGATAATTAATTACGTCACGGCCGCCATGTTGTGGTTGCTAATTAATTACGTCACGGCCGTCATGTTGGTTGCTAATTAATTACGTCACGGCCGCCTTGTTGGTTGAATTTGACAAAAAATTTCTTGTATACAATTCAAATTTCAACCACCATAGCGAAAATCTCTCTTTCCTTTGACTCCTTGGGTAGTTGTTGCAAAGCAGGTGGCTATATTAAATACTACAGCGAGTTTGTTCATTTGTACAACATAGTATTAAACTGCACATTTGGATCTAAAAAATTTGTTTTAATATATATTTGATGCTGAAAAAATACTTAAGCGAGCAAAGTTCTTTGTCAGAAATAAATCATGCAATCTTCGCCAGAGAGATTTTACTCTAAATCAAGAACATGCCAAAAACCTCAGCATACGTAATCCGTCCTAAGTTTATCCCATAACAAAAAACATACTTTTACAACAATTGTTACAAAAAGAAATTACTTCAAAAAGTGCTTTAGAATTAAAACATTAATCCAAAAGTTCTCAAATGAATTGTTTTAAAAATTGGAGACACGAGTGAAATATATGTTTTTCTTGGATTTCAGAACTCTAGCAACTGTCAAAACTTTGGCCATTCACCATGGCTATTGCACTTTCGAAGGCAATATTTAGATAAGTCAGCACGACAAACTCTCTGTTTCATTATTTTTCCATTGAATGAATACAAATGTCAATTTCTACGTATGCACAATTGAATGTGTAATAATGGTAAGAATTCATGATCTGCGACTCACGAAGTATCTAGCAACATACGAAGTATCCAGAAGCGATTCATCTCAATTTGAATAATTTATCCCAATATTTCAAAACAACCATTGATCTGTAAAATTTTGCGAAGAAGCGGTACTAATATTTCAGATCAATGTAACCAACGCGGTAAATATTCAGAGAAAAATACATAAGAGTTAAAGGTCAACGCCAATAAAAATCGCATACAAAACCAATCTGTCGAAATGTTAGTTAAATGTAAACAAAATATCGATGAATCAGGAATGTTAAGGCGAGCAAACAAAAATCATCGACACCTATGTTAAATAATACGGAAACAATGACAATCACTTCAGAAAACAAGCTCAAACTGAGATGTTTTCAGAAAGAACAATAAAATCCATTGAAGGCAAAAATGCTTTAAAAAAGCAGGCAGGATGTAATTAAAGAAGATAAGAATATATTTACATCATATTATATTGAAAAGACAGTAATTATTACTAACGCTGGCAAAACATTTCCTTATGAAGAAAACCAAAAATATCAATCAATAACCATTTCAAAATAAAAGTAAAATCGACGAACCTTCTTCCAGTACGGCGTAAAGTTTAGAAATGGCAAGAAATTCCTTTTGTAGTCCCGGTCGAAATTTATCAACCAAGGAAGGCAGCAATTCTTTCACCGTTGTTTTGTTAGTCAATTTCACAGCTTTAGTTAACTCTTTACCTTGGTCAAGGAAGTAAAATCTAAGTGCACCTTCGTAGTTCAGATTCTAAATAATAGAAGAAACAATTCAAATGGAATTTAGTTGTAATAGACAAAAACCATAGCTAATGAGTAAATTTTCACAAATCGTTCCTGAATGAGATACAATATTTCCGCTTTCGTCGTACATTCGTTATATTTTAACGTCGACGTTGTTGCAATTTCGCCCAATTAGTAATTTTTCGACAGTTTAAGTCTCCGTTGGAATGCGCTTTAATGTAAACAAATTTAAGGGCGACTGGTTAATATCTCATCATTCAAAGTATAATGTAATGGATGCAGACAAAAGAATTGACGGTTTTCTCAGGCTACTTAACTATTACATGATACAAAGCAGCGAAAAATGCATATCCCAGAAAAACGCCAAGATGACGAGGATTACATTGTATGGTTGTCTTCCGCTTGCCGACATTTTAATATGCTTGTTTAACTCGTATATTAAATTTGAGACGATTGAGCACGACAGTTCTCAGAATAAAACTGTCGAGATTAAAACGAGTTAAAACTAAAAGGAAATCTGGAAATTTAACACCGCGATTACATTTAAAGAAACACTTATCATGTAAAAGACAATTCAGCTGTTTTTTATCTCATATCGTTTGTACCTACACTGACCTTTTACAAATCTATGTATTATTGAATAAACGTACTTCTCTGGATAAAATCTTGAAGGCTCCCAGCTGATTCCGCTTGTTATAAGCAGTAATTTTGTCATATAATTCTCTTCGTTGATTATCAATATCAGTTTCCTCGCTCTCCGATATATTCGTTGGATGAGACTCTTGAGCCACGATTCTCAAATGCTGTAATATTCGAGGGTCAGAGAGAATGTTCGAAGTTGAACGCTTAGAAAACATTCCCTGGGCCTCGGTCACTTCGAGTTTAGCGTCCATTACTTCGGACTCTACTACAATAAAAAAAATCACAAATACACTGACATCTTCTGCTTTATTTCGCACTTACTACAGACAAATTATAACGAGTGACGAATATTATGGCATAGTAAACATTGCAATGCATTCTGGGTGATCTCCTGACGTAAGCGAATATCCCGGGGCGTGACTTCGCCAGGTTGATATGATTGGTTAATATTTAACACCTAGGAAACAATATGATTAATAGTATTAATCACCTGCTAATATCTCAGATATAGGATACATACAAAATGCAACATAATGAGCAAGACTATTAGAAAATTCTATCCCATTTTTCCTCGGAGGAAAAGGAACAAAAGGCTGTGTAGTTTTCTTTCTCAAACAATATAACAATGCGTCCAACACAGTTCGTATAGTAAAGTCTTTGTCTGTCGTGATTAAAGCATCGTGCTGTGATATTGAATTTCTACAACAGCTTAAGTCTCCTCAAATAATAACAAAATGACATTTAAAATATGTTTAGCTTACATAAATCCTTATCTTTACAAAAAACATTTCATGCAAAGTTACTGCGTTTCTAGAGTTAAACAATTTCGATTTGTCATATTTAGCCGCGCAAGACGGCACGCGAACGAAAATGATATTTTTAAATATATTAATGGCGTCATGTCGAGCCAGCTAGGTGAAGCCGTTCATTTTGGAGTTGCATTTCAGCGTCATTGTTTAGAACAAAAAATATCCAAATTTTGGTTATATACCTTAAAATGGGGAGAAAGTGAACTTTGTTGTCGTAGCCAAGTCGCCATGGTTACGTAAGCAAGTGGTGTCATTGGAGCCTAAGGCAAACTACGAGACAACATGTTTTCATTGACTTCTGCAAAAAAAAAAAACGAGGAAAGGGAAATGACGAAATTGATCACGTAGGGAGAACACATAAATACAGGATGTTAAAAACTCACAAAATTAATTTTGGCCTTGATTCATCAAATTGGGCCTTCGCGTTCAGAATATACGACCTTTATACAATGTACAGGTAATTTGCAACGTTTTACTAGACATGAACAAGAAGACACTTTCATAATGCATAGACTGACATAAATTTATTAATAATCATAAAAATAAAGACAAAACACATATGGAAATACAAAGACATAACTTTCATTGTTTGTACCAAAGACACTTAGCTTTGTATTTCTTCATTTCTTGCAGGAGAAAAGAAGAAGACCACAGTTCAATCACGAAATCATCTTTAACTCCTACGCAGACGAGCTTGAACTGGAAGAACGTCGTTTGAAGTTGCGTCCCTTGAGAGGTGACCGGGAGGGGGAACGTGAAGACGATGACCTTCCTCTACGCCGGGGGGAGCGTGAACGAGATGGTGACTTCCTACGGTTACCTGGGGGTCTATATGAACGAGGAGGAGATCTTCTACCGGGACCATCAGGCGATGATCTTCTCCTGATCGGTGATCGTCTACCAGGAGGTGATCGTCTAGCTGGAGACCGTCGAATGGGGGATCTTCTAGGAGGGGATCTCCGGGGTGGTGAACGACGTGGAGGTGAACGTCGTCCGGGTGATCTTCGAGGTGGTGATCGTCTCCATGATGGTCGTCGTCGTGGTGGACTGGATTTACGTTGACGTGGTGGTGGACGTTGATCCAAAACAAACTGTGCAAGAACTTCCTGACCATCTATCTGTCCACCATTCATATGTTTCATAGCCTTATTACAGTCAGCATGATCTTCGTATTCAACATATGCGTAACCAGGGTGGACAAAGTTCCTACTGGTGGGAACATCGACACTGGCAACTTTCCCGTATACGCTAAAGATTTCCAAGATATGATCGCGAGTGACATTACGAGATAGCCGGTTCACACACAACTTCTTTGGTTTAGGACTGGGACTACGGCGTTTTCGCGGTGACTTTGATCGTGATAATGACCTGGAGCATGCACACGAAACAATTACGAGATCACTAGGACTGTCAGTAACATACATTAATTATACAATTGGAAGGCTATCTTTAGGTAAACATGCTTAGTAAATGCTTAGGCCGCAAATGGAAAGATTGGGACAGCTTGCTTCAAATTTTGGCGGGAAATAACCATCCAGTAATATTTAGTTCAATGTCAACACATGATGCACAATTAAATTCCAGGCTTCAAATTATGGCGGGAAGTAGTCATCCAGTTATATTTAGTTCAATGTCAACACACATGTAACACAATTGAAAAGGTGGCTTCAAATTTTAGCGGGAAGTAACTATCCAGTTATACTTAGTTCAATGTCAACAAATGATGCACAATCCACCTTTCCGATAAACAAATGTGTCAAAAATACGAGATCAACTTACAAAATTCTGACAATCAAATGGTCGGCGATAGTATTGTTTATGTAGAATAGTGGCAATAAAATAGAAAGAAGATGCTCTTGGGGCATTTGTAAATCTTATTTTAGAAACACAGAACGACTAATTATAAGGGCAGAAGGTGTAAGAGTAAATAAAAACCATTTTCTGTCAAACCAAAGGAAAGCTTGGATATGACATGCAATATGCAAATACAAAGTTATAGAGAAAAATAAAAACATTTCTAACGTTGCCGCGGATTTTACGAGTGCCGTAACAAAGTGTTGACGAGTTTCACATGCATTTGTTAAAACAAGCTTAACACAAAGATCATGCCAAAAAATATATGATTGAAAACTTGCTCAGCGCATCTACAAGCACCAATTTCAGAGCTCGCTCTGTCACAAGCAAATTGAGAATTAATCTGAGCATGCGTAGTCAATTCCAAACTTTCCAAATTCATGGTCATGGCAACGACCAACTGGATGTACTAGTACCAATTATGGAGTAATTAGCTCACTCGGTCATAAATTTTCAGATAAATCGTCTGCGCATCCGCAATTTTCCCAGGCATGCGCGGTCGACTTGATCAAGTTCATGGTCATAGCTACGACCAACTGCATCTACTGGCACCGACTTGAAGTAAATAGCATGCTTAGCAACAATTAATAGAGAAATCATCTGCGCATGCGCTTGAGCATGCGTAGTCCACTCGACTAATTGTTCATAGTCAGGGCAACGACTAACTATATATGCTTGCACTACATTTGCTCAAATTAACTCACTTAGTCGCAAATTATCGAAGAAATCATCTGGGCATGCGCAGCAGTGACATTAATTATACCACAAATTTCGTAAGCCTTTGAATTTTGGTATATAAATATAAAGCCAATACTAGGTATCGCAGATGTCAATTAGCAGTGGAAGCTGGGTGCGATATAGTATGCAGTGGCTTAGGGGCTCACACTTCGGTGGCGACCGCACTCTCCCTGCGTACCCCGAGCAAAGCCTATCGCAGGTGATCTCGGGGTCTGATGGGCGGAAGCTTGCTATTGCATCTCCCAAGTAGGATAGCGTGGAGGGGCCGAAATCTCCTACCGAAACGTTAACATGCGGCGTTCTAGTGCCTTGCGCTTAAGAAGGTATCGGGAAGCATGGACCGAAAACGGGGTTTTTTGCTTTTGAATTTTATCTTTTTGTTTATTTTTTCTCATAAAATAAACCAAGCAATATTTTAATTAACTTCTTCTGACACTTATTAGACAACCTTAAACATGTTTCATAGAATTTTTATTGGTATATATCTTTCTGATTTTTCATTTACTGTTTCTCATGTATCACGAGCAAACCATCCATGTGCTTCATGGCAAACATGGATTGTCTGGTTCCCTTAATTAACATGCTACGCTCTAGTGCTCAACTATCTTGGGTATCGGGAGGCATGGACAGAAAACAGGATTTTTTGTTTTCAAAAGTAGTCTTTTTTTTACAAGAATTCTTCTCATAAAAGAAACTAGAACATCCAAGGATAATGCAAAGGTTCAAACAATTTCTGCCTCTTTGACTCTCTCTCGTGATGAACGAGAGCCTCCTTATACAATGTAACTCTCTCATCACGAACGAAACCACCCATGGGCTTCATGGAAAAAAAGGATTATATACTTTAATAATAGCTTTTACAACGATTACATTTAATAAGCCATTTGTATCGTTTAAATTGAGCCTCTATGTCATGAAATTTTAATTCATTTTGGATAGTAAATTTTTTTTACCTTTTCATGATTCGATCTAGAAAGTAACTTCATTTTTCAAGTAATTTTGAGATTAAACAGTACACTCTCCGGATTCAAATGATTTCTTTTGATCGCATAGAGACAGCCGTCAAATTTATTACATAAATGCATGTAGTATGCATTTCGTTGCAAGAAACCATCCTTCCAAAGTATATCCAGATGCCATTCTAGCTGTATCGAGCGAAGAAAATTGCAAGTCATAGAATTTTTTTAACAACTATTTTTACGATATTTATGATTTGATGCACCACGAGATTCCAGATGAGATTTACGACTGCGCTTTTTGCAGCTGGAATCCGTCCTGGATATTCTTAAGTCACACCGTAAAAGCCCGTAACAATCCTTACATAAAAGTCATTAGCGCGACAACTTGCCAGTATTCAAGCTTTCCTTCGATCGTTATGCTTTTTTCAAACCCAAAATGATTAATTTTTGCTGTTATGCCTTCTGCCTTTATAAATAATCGTTCTGAATAACTAGAATCAGACTCGCAAATTCCCCACAACTCAAAAGCATCTCCTAAACCTCACCATTTTATTGCCATTATTCTACATAAACAATACTATGTCCGACCATTTGTTTGTCCGAATTTTGTAATTTGATCTCGTATTTTTGACACGTGTGTCTACCGTCAAAAAGGTGGCGTATTATTTTGGCGGGAAGTAGTCATCCAGTTAAATTTAGTTCTGTGTCAACACATAGAGCACAAACACTGCACTAACCTTGACCTAGAATCAGAGGATGATCTACTTCGGTTACGTGCTCCAGGGCTTGAAGATCTGGAGCGAGATCGATACTGTCTTGGAGGTCTGGGTCTCTCACTGAATGGAGGTCGAACTTTCCTGGGTGATGGTGATTTTGAACGTGATGGAGCAGTCTTTGAAGGTGGAGTCTTGTCTTTGGTTGGAGATGATCTTTCAGGAGGTTGGGGAGATCTTTCTCTGGGAGGGGGAGATTTTTCTCTGGGAGGGGGAGATCTTTCTCTAGGAGGGGAGACCTTTCTCTAGGAGGGGGAGACCTTTCTCTTGGAGGGGGAGATCTTTCTCTAGGAGGGGGTGATTTTTCTTTCGGGGGAGGGGATTTCTCTTTGGAAGGAGGTTCTTTTGATGGTGGGGATGATGGTTTTTTCACTGGTTGAGGAGATGGTGATTTTTTCGAAGGCGGGGAGTGTTTAACTTCAACTTTACCCTCTGGTTTTATTTCTGCTTTTTTCTCGAGAGGTACATCTTGTTTTGGTGCTTGTCTCTTCTCTGTTACTTTCTCAGATTTTTTTGCTGACTTTGATGATGCTTGCTTCACTGATGATTTAGTCCGAGCTAAAGCAGTTTGAAAAAGGACAAATGAAAAACTACCACGGCAAAAAAATTCCAATGATCATAAGAAATTGTATGTACAATAAGTTACTCATGCTTATAAGTTGTAAATATAAGTTGTTTATATAAGTTCAGTTGTTTTTATAAGTTCAGTTGTTTTTATAAGTTCAGTTGTTTTTATAAGTTCAGTTGTTTTAATAAGTTCAGTTGTTTATATAAGTTCAGTTGTTTATATAAGTTCAGTTGTTTATATAAGTTCAGTTGTTTTTATAAGTTCAGTTGTTTTTATAAGTTCAGTTGTTTTTATAAGTTCAGTTGTTTTTATAAGTTCATTTGTTTATATAAGTTCAGTTGTTTTTATAAGTTCAGTTGTTTTATAAGTTCAGTTGTTTATATAAGTTCAGTTGTTTTATAAGTTCAGTTGTTTTATAAGTTCAGTTGTTTATATAAGTTCAGTTGTTTATATAAGTTCAGTTGTTTTTATAAGTTCAGTTGTTTTTATAAGTTCAGTTGTTTATATAAGTTCAGTTGTTTTTATAAGTTCAGTTGTTTATATAAGTTCAGTTGTTTTTATAAGTTCATTTGTTTATATAAGTTCAGTTGTTTATATAAGTTCAGTTGTTTATATAAGTTCAGTTGTCTATAAGTTCAGTTGTTTATAAGTTCAGTTGTTTTTATAAGTTCAGTTGTTTATATAAGTTCAGTTGTTTATATAAGTTCAGTTGTTTATATAAGTTCAGTTGTTTATATAAGTTCAGTTGTCTATAAATTCAGTTGTTTATATAAGTTCAGTTGTTTTTATAAGTTCAGTTGTTTATATAAGTTCAGTTGTTTATATAAGTTCAGTTGTTTATATAAGTTCAGTTGTTTATATAAGTTCAGTTGTTTATATAAGTTCAGTTGTTTATATAAGTTCAGTTGTTTTTATAAGTTCAGTTGTTTATATAAGTTCAGTTGTTTATATAAGTTCAGTTGTTTATATAAGTTCAGTTGTTTATATAAGTTCAGTTGTTTTTATAAGTTCAGTTGTTTATATAAGTTCAGTTGTTTTATAAGTTCAGTTGTTTATATAAGTTCAGTTGTTTATATAAGTTCAGTTGTTTATATAAGTTCAGTTGTTTATATAAGTTCAGTTGTTTTTATAAGTTCAGTTGTTTATATAAGTTCAGTTGTTTTTATAAGTTCAGTTGTTTATATAAGTTCAGTTGTTTATATAAGTTCAGTTGTTTATATAAGTTCAGTTGTTTATATAAGTTCAGTTGTTTTATAAGTTCAGTTGTTTATATAAGTTCAGTTGTTTATATAAGTTCAGTTGTTTATATAAGTTCAGTTGTCTATAAATTCAGTTGTTTATACATTATTTCAGTTGTTTTTATAAGTTCAGTTGTCTATATAAGTTCAGTTATCTATATAAGTTCAGTTGTTTATATAAGTTCAGTTGTTTATATATAATAATATTTCATAACAACACAATGTTGTCAAGTTCAATTTACATTTTCCTTTCTTGTTACCAACACTGGAAGTGGAACTTGAACTTGAAGTGCTTGAGGAGTAACTACTACTTGAGCTGCCAGTGCTGGAGCTACGAGAACTTTGACTGCTAGAACCAGTTGAGCTACTTGATGATCTGTTGGGATCAATGGTAATGATTGTAGTCAAATATAATAATTTAAAACAATATAATACAATATTAATAAACAAAGAACATCTAATTTCCATGGACAAACTACTCTTTTTTGGGAAATCCTTCTAATTTTCATGTAAAAACATTCCTTTAACATACAGAGAAGCTATGTCCTTTCGCTTCTGTGTTAAACTAACTTATACAAACACTTACAATTTGAACATATGCATTATTTGTAGGAGTCCTAAATCAATCATTTTTCCCAAAAATAAAGCTTAATCCTGTTAGAAATTCTGTCATTGCAAAGCTCATTACATGCAACTATCAAAGTATATATTGTTGTAGAGATATCATTGTTTCTCAATGTGCATTCAACATCATAAAAATCTATACTTATCTACATGTAAAGCCCTCGTGTTTGTAGTACAGCAGCTCACCAGTCTTTCATGCAAAATTATTCAAAATCGCAGAACTTAATATATGTCATTATCCAAATCCAAACAAAAACAATATTATTTAATGTTGTCTATCATTCATTTTTTTTTTGGCTCCCTATTCCTCCACACACACAAAATACACATATAAAATACAATATAAAATCCTACTTAACCAGTTTAGTACATCTACACTTGCATACTATACATCACATACACTAATCTAACCTTGAAGCCCGCACATTACTAGTGCAAATCTATGGTTTTGCAAAAGAAAACAAGCCAGACTTTTTTTATTAAGTATGATTAGAGTGCTCGAACCTGCTAGAAGAAGCTCTGCGCTTCTTGGGCTTGTTGTTGCTGGATTTTTTTGCAGGACTGCGACCTCTGGCAGGTTTTTGTTCCGACTTTGTTGTCTTGCTTTTTGATTTTGCGCCCTTCGGTTTTGGAGACTCAGATCGACTTCTCTTTTTTGCCCTAGAAAAAATTTAATGCAATTTTTATATTTCATACATCATTTACTACACATTTAGTAAACATACTGTTGGAAAAAGTAGTGAAATAAAATAGGATTGTAAAGGATTGCACATACATTTTTCTTCGATCAAATTTTAGTGATCATCAATAACACAAATAACACCATCCATAAATAACACAATCTACATTTATGAGCCAGCATGCTTCAACATCTCTAATCAGCAGTTTCTCTCATGAACACGATTAGTTACGGTTTAGCGCCAAAGTGGGAAGAAAATGTGCAGTTTACTTTCTAAAGTTTTCATCGCCGATTTTTCATATACTTTTCAAGAAAGCATCGTTTTGATAAATGGATTCAACGACAGAATTCAAATATTTATTATGTAATATACAAAAACTGTACTTTCAAACTGTAGGGATGAAATACTTTGATTTGGAGAAGTTAACTACGACAGAAAGCGATTGTGACCGTCAACTGAAAATTTTACATGCTGTACGTTTATCCCTGAAAATTTAAATTTAAAGATTTCATAGATGAAGTAATACTTGCATCAGATACATATTTAGCGTATATATTTTTCATGAAATATAAGGTATATTTTATATAAATGATCGCAAGCATTTTATGGTAATAAAAAGATTGAAATACTCACAACATTTTATGGTAATAAAAATTTCTCAGTTCTCACTATGAACAGTTTATGATTTAGTCTTAAAAATGTGAAGATTGCATCAGGTAGAAAACGTCTAAGCTTTACTGAAAGTACTGTTTCAAGTTTTACAAATGTAATAGTCAGATTTTATTTATTATGAAAATATAAAGTTAGAAAAAACAGTATAGCTATAGTATGTATGTATTTTGCATTAAATAGACAGTGCTTCATCCACGTAGTCAAAAATGGCCACCATCCTCAAGCTACAGACTTAAATTTCTGAAATCCTTACTCTTAGTGTTGGAGGAAAAGGGGCAAGAAATTTGTGACGAACTATATGATTTTGTGGCGTTACTGATGGCGGAAAAAAGCTATCTTGCCAACAGAGACTGCTATAAAACCTACATATTGGTATAAAATTTATCTATAATATTGACACATTTAAGCGCAAGGCACAAAATGACTCAAGTTCCATTATAACTTGATGGTGAAAACTGAATTGCAATTACGGATATAAAAACTAAAGTTTCCACTGGAGTATTGAAGAACTCGAGTTTCAACGTCAAATTATTCCTGATGAAAACATTTGACTGGAGTTTACAAGGAATCGATTTTCAACATAAAATCACTTAAAGACACTAGATTGTACTATGTAAAGACTTAAGTCTCCACATCAGATCATGAAGACATTAATAAAGTTTATGAAGGCGCTGTCCTTTCAAATACAAAATAAAAACGTAATTTTACTTTGAATTTTAGCCATGCAGAAAAGCTGTTACATTGGGCGAATCATCTGACTTCGTATCGCAAGGAACAACGGGTCTAAATACCTGGCAAGTAAGTATTGTTAAAATATTGACACAGCGAGCGCACAATCTTAGTATGAAAGAGTTTAATAAAGAAAATATGAGGACTTAAAGAAAATACAATCACTCTGCTTCGAGTTCGTTCATACGCATAAATTAACTTATAATACTGACCAATCAGTGTTCTGATGCATGGAGTAGCGCGGGAAAGTTTTTACTTATAAACGAGCATAACATAAAATATTGAGCTGAGAGATTCAGTGATTCGTGCTTATTTATGTGTTTGTTTGTTAGGCTGGTATATATATGAGTAACTGGCTGATAGAAAACACATCATTAATCCAAGGAAAGTATGTTATGGATGTACGAAAAACCACTCAACTTTCTCAAAGAAAGGACATCTCTTTTCAACAGAGACATCTCTACGTCCCTCCCTAAAATATATAAACCATAAATCATTTTTTAGCTGATACATTGCTGTGTCACTCTACATTTACATAAAATAATGATATAAACCAGATATCTTTTTCTACAGAAGCATTAACTTCTCTCTTTTTCATTATCGAAACCATAGGTCAATTTTGGAATTAGGTTGTGGAGTTGGTCTTTCTGGATTGACAGCTTTACATTATTGTCGTCCAAAGTCGTATACTTTTACGGATTGCAACCCAAAAGTTTTAGCTAAAATCAAAGAAAACCTTCAGATAAATGGTTTTAGCTGCTCAGTAGATTCAGGAAACGAGAAAGAGCGCCATTCTGTGTTTAAAGAGAGGGACGATACAGGAGATAGTTTTGAAAATTCACACGGCTCTCATCATAGACTGTTATGTTGCACTTGTACACCTAGCGATCACGTGGCACCCAAACAGAGTCACGTGAGTGTTTGTCTTCTAGACTGGGACCAGTGCAATTTTGAAGAAATAGAAAAATTCGAACAAGATATCGTTCTTGCTTCAGGTGAACGAACAGCTATAGAAGAGAATCACATCGAATTCACAGAAAACTTGTTTAGGAGCTTCGATTACAATTTCTAAAATTTATGTCCAAATATTATGTTGTTTTGCAGACGTGATCTTCCATCCACATACTGTAAAACCGCTTGTGAATGTTTTGAAATGTTTGCTAACGTTAAGGTAAGATTTTCTCCTGCGTCTGAGAGTGATCAGGATCTCGAAAGGTTTACAAATGGCTGTATTTTATCGAGTATTAATCAAAAGCAATAACTTAACAATGTCCGTGTTTTTAGAAATGACACAAAAATTTCTCCTGTCGCGTACGTTGCTTCAACGATTAGAAACGAAAACACATATAACGGATTTCTTTGTAATTTAGGTAAGAAACATAAAAAATATATAACTTAGTATTAGAAAGTATGTTATTTTGGCAGCAGCGTGAACTCTGGATTTCGCAGTTTGCTGTCCACACGAATTTGTGACATTATCTAACCTATGCAAAACGTTGCTATATTTTCTTAACGAAAACTGAAACTTCGTTATCTTTGAATCAACGTTTTATTCGATTGATTGTCCAATTAAGTGTAGCAGCTCAATGCCTTTTACCTTATTTAAAAGAATAGAATGCGCTCAATAAAGAAATCGGTACAATACAGGGAGCGCGAAGCAAAGTAGCCGGAGGGCACGCGTTCTGCGGTGTATTCATGGCAAGCAATGTTTTAGGTAAAGTTAAGCATTCCACCTATAGAGTATGTTCTGGTGCTATTCTTCCGCTCCCCCTGCGTCTTCACATTGTGGAAAGGCTCTGCGGTCCCTGCAATACAGTATAATCTTCATACAATAACATGACGATACTATGTTATAGAAAATGCTGGCATAAAGTACAAACGATGGAACAATGCTTTTCAACACGACTATCTATTTTACGAAAAATCTTCGGAAATTGAATTCCTTCAATTAGAAATGTGATTGTGATGACGGCCTTCTCTCTTACCGTCTGGACCGTTAAAATTTAAAATTTATGAACGTCAACTGCGATTGGCCTGAATTAGTTTCGACCTCCGAAATATACATTCGGTAACCTTGTGTCTCGCGAATGCACAAAATAAAGACGTGAGCATAGACATTATGAACGCAAAGGTCCACCAATGGCAGGAGAAACTGAAGGACAAAAATGGCTTCAATCAACCAGTGAAAAAGAAACTTATCTAAAGGCTAATTTCCTCGTGAAAACATTTTGCGTATTTAGAGCTTGGTGTTGTATGTGTACGTCATTTTAAGTAACATAACGGTAATAAGGTTAAATAGCTGTTAAACATGGAGAAGATCATTAAATAATATCTTACTAAATAACCTAACCCGAGAACCAAGTCTGCTTTCTTTAACAGCAAGTTTATTAACTAGTAGATTTTTCTATGAATTTCAATAAACATCTATTTCTCTATAGTTGAATCTTTACGATTATTTAGCTACGTACAGTACAAGCCATTCACAATATAGATTTACAATTCACACTATAAATAATCAAAACTGGGCTTAAATGAAGTAAAGAAAGTTTGTTGACTTGTAACACAACGTTAACATAAACACCATTACTTCATGTAAAGTAAACTGAACCAATCTTCAGCGTTCTCTTGTATTATTTCACCCGGAGAAAACAGCAAGACAAACTCTTTCTTCGATTCATGAAGAAGGAAACTTGTCTTCAAAACCACTATCCATAATTCTTATTGTTATATCCTCCATATTTGGTAGAACAAATATTGACTAAAAATTCAAGTCATTAAACAAAAGCATCAGCTATAACAATGTTGATCCAACTCACATCCCCAAGTATCCCATCAATGACCTCACAATACCTTAAATTCTTGTTTCAGTTTGTACTCGATCCATTCCGTGACCTGAGTCAGTCTGACATTTTTTTCGCCAAGTTTTGGCCTCGCGATCAGACTTAATATAGGATTAACATGGAAACCAAGCCTACGAGGACAGTAGCGAATCAGTTGTAAATTTTATTTAAGAAATAAAAGATGTTTACTGTGTTTGCACAGGCTTATGCAAACCGAAGAGACCTAAGGGAGAACTAGAGAGCAGATCAGTGCAAGCCCAAGACCAAAGGTCGAGGGTTGCACATGCTCAAGAGTTCTCACAAACGTCTCCGAGGTTTGCATAAGCCAGTGCAAACACGAAAAACATCTTTTATTTCTTTTATAAAATAACAATAATGCGAAACAGACAAATGTATTCATGATTAATTTTTCCTCTAAAATGTATTCATGATCGATTTGCAAATTCTCTTTGACTGATTGATTGTTTTGATTGATTTGATTGGTTGAGCTCGGATGTGTTTTGCACAGTCTAATGCAAACACAGTTCTAGACCAATCAGCGCACGCGTTTCATTGTGTTTATTTTATAAATAGTAGTAGCACACTTTTATATCACATCATACCGTACCATAATCTATTTGAAGGAGGCGGTGGTATATTAGCAGCCAAAGTTCCTTGTAACCTCACTACTTCGACGCTCACTTCAATGGGAATATTTGAGAGTTTAGAGACAGCTTTTTGTACAACTTTGCTTTCTGCCGCCTTCTGTACCCATTTTGACTTGGCGAACTTCTCCAACATGTTGACGATCTTTTTACCCCTTGGATTCTTTATTTTACCTGCCCATCCCTGATTATCCTCCGGTGCACAGGACGTCTTTGATCTGAACAAGAAAAGATGAGATCACGCTATGAAAAAAATTTTCAATAAAATTTTTTATGAAACAGACTGAACTGACTTATCATCAAACTTTTGGTCTCCATCAGTTGATTCTTCTATATTTTCCCCATCACTCACAGATCCGTCACTAGATGCACTAGGGCTGTGGTACTCGTCTGAACCATCTTCAGTGTCGCTATCAACACTGACGTCACTATGGACACTATCTTCCCGCGAAAACTTGAGAACAATATCGTTTTCGGGTTTATTCTGCTCAGTTAGTTGTCTGAGATAGTACTCCAGGTTTATCATTGTCTCTATTGTTAACATTATACCACCAGTATAATCCACATCGAGATCCACCCATATCCCACGATGATCCTGACGAAGATTGTGCACGCGTTCAATCTTAGGTAAAGCGTTGCCCAATTTTATATCCGTGACCTAAAACAAAGAGAAATGTTCTGTTTATACATATATGCCAGCTAACTCACAGGAAAATGTGCATCCCTTTTCGTACCCCATGTACATTAAGGTAGCGAATAAATGATGGTAATTTTATTTTTGAAAATAAGCATCCCCTTTCGTACCCCCATGTACCTTAGGGTAGCGAATAAATTATGGTAATTTTATTTTGGAAAATGTGCATCCCTTTTCGTACCCCCATGTATCTTAAGGTAGCAAATAAATTATGGTAATTTTATTTTGGAAAAGGTGCATCCCTTTTCGTACCCCCATGTACCTTAAGGTAGCGAATAAATGATGGTAATTTTATTTTTGATATTTTGCTTTGCAATCGATTTTTCATTTTGTCGTTCCAATATTTGCTTTTCCAAACATCCCAGAACAAACGTCCGAGTAATGCATTGACCCAAGTTAGTTGCGCCATTGTTGTTGGTTCACATTCACCACCAATCAACTTTTGCATATAGTTAGTAAAGGTCTTTTGATGGTAGAATATATTTTCAATTTCCTTGCTGTGTGTACGAGGTTTAAGAATATTCTCCATTCGATAATACCTGTGGAAAATATAACATGATTATAACATCATATAATATCACTACAAAATTGAATGTCTTCATTGTTCAACTATTGTTAAATACATATAGGAGAAAGACATTGATCATTAAAATGGTTAAACAAGATTACCATTCTTCCTTCGCACGCCCAGTGGTACTAAACAGGTAAATCTCCTCTGTGTCAGAGGGTAAAACAAATGTATCTTGTGATCCTGCATTATCCTCAACGTTCTCTTGACTGGGTGGTTTGATAAAAAGTTTTAAATAAATGGGGTATTTCCTAGCCCACAATCGCTTCAATGTTAATGTGTTTGGAACAAGTTGAATGTCACCACCATAACTTAAATCGTAGTCCTTCGTATCACTAAATTTTATATTCTCATTTTTTGCAAGCATATTGCTTCGTTTAATCTTCCCCAAACTCTCTTCAACTGGAAAGGAAAATGTGAGCAAATGTGATTCCAAGCTCAAATAGACTGGTTGTACTTGATCGATGTCCCCAAAATCAACAGGTTCTGAGGCACTATAATCTGAAGCTTTAAAAAACCATCCCTAAAAAAAGTAAATACAAAGAAAATTTTATTCTTGTCGATGTTACAATCACTACAAATCATAGAATTATCGACTACCTCCAAATCCTGAGGTTGATTTGAATTGCTACATTGAGTTGCGTTCTTGGAAATTTGCAACTTTTCCATTTCATGTTCATGTTCTATAAGGTCACGTCTATATCGTTCTTCGTTGGTCATCTCAGGTGTCAAAATCCAAATCAATGTGAAAATAACAAAATACATCAATACTCCACCAAAGGCAAGGCCATTTACAAAAGATGAAGATGGCAACATAAAATATAAGAATACTACCGTTGACAACAAGAGTATATTGTAAACTGGTACTTCTGTTTGAAATACATCTTCATCCTTGTCAGTCTCTTGGTCAGTGATTTCTGAACTTAAATCTCCCACACCAAATGGCATAATAAGCTTTGTTGTACCAATTATGGCTGAAGCTAAAAGACTTTTTCTTTTCATATCATCCAGACTTTTCGCTTTCGGAAAATTCGACAAACTGTGTACGTCCTTTTTTAGTAGAGATTTTAATGATATAGACGAATGAATTACAGGATTATCTACCCCTGAGCTCAAAGGAATATTTTCTTCTTGTTCATTTGAGTTAACAGAAGCTATTGTGTTAGCTTCGTTATCATAATGAGCTGTTTCGAACACTATTTCATCAGAAGAGTTATTTTGTCCAGCAGCTTTACAGTTCAATGTTTCACCGTCTGAAATAGGCTCTTTGTTAGAAATATTTGGCGCTTTTGGCAAGAAAGGCAGCGAATGAAGTACACAACCGCCTGAGGGTGTAGCTGGCGAATTCGATAGTGAATTTTCCCCATGGAGTGAACCATTATTCAATGGGTCTGTTTTGTTTTCATTATTTCTGTCCAACTGGACAACTGGTGCTTTTTCCTTGAGAGTGATCGAGATCTCTTCGTCCGATTGATTACTATCATCTCGACAGTAACGTATGGAGAAAGGATTCCTTGTCGCTATTACATCTTCCGTGTGCTCTGTTCTCTTTGTATCGACTTGCTTCTGCTTGAGTTGGTTCTTCGAAGGCAAAGGCGGGCGAGGTGGTCCCACTTTCTTAGAAGCCATTTCCCTCTGACTTCCAACAATGATTCATGTAATGTGCTCGATAGCTTACTTTGGGAATATTAAATAAAGGAAAAACCACAAGGTTTACCGTCGTAAACATTTCAGTTTTGCACCTTTAATACGATACGTTTCCCTTTGTTTACTCTGAGATAATGATGAGCCTGCAGTACAGTTATTTAGTGGCGCATTACTTTATCTCTAACGAAGTCAAACGTAATGAGAAATTCTCACTAGTCACACTCCTATTGGTCGAAAATAGTCTAATTGACACATTTTGTGACACTTTGATGTTTCCCCGACACGTATACGGCAAATTACGGAGAGACACGTGTCATAGGCAAAATATTTTCTCATGTTTGTTTATAATAATTTTATGTTATAAATGGAAATGACGAAAGTGTTCGAGATATAAAGTGTGCAATTTTACAGTAATATTTTACAGAGTTTGCATGGAGTACTTTACTGTTATTATATTGTAAGCCGCCTTAATGGCTGATTTGTCCACACTACTTTTCACAGCGTTGTTGATATTCTTGTCTTATTTGTTTTGGCAATGGTACTCTTCACGACATACACAACACAAAGAGCCGGAAAAACCTCATAGAGCCGATATAATCAAAAATCGTTTAAAGAAATTCGATAATCCCTTGGGAAAAAATCCATCGACAAAACTTACCGACGATGGACACAACAAAAGTGGTGATAGCAGAGATGGTGAGGGGATCTTAGAGGATAAGAAGGATATTATTCTGGCTAAATCTACTCATAGCCACCAAAGTGTACGGTTTTCACTCACAGATAAAGAACTTACCCAGGAACCTGTTATTCGCCCGTTGAGAAAACTCGAAGAGCTTTTTGCATGGAGAGAGGGGTATGATGAATTCAATGTAGCTAGTACACCATTAATGAGGGACACTGATGGATTGGAGCAACGGCCAAGGACTATTGTGTGTCATGATATGAAGGGTGGATATTTAGAAGACAGGTGATTCAATGCATTTCATCTTTTATTTCATAAGTATACAAGAATTTTTATATCTTTAGCAGTTGACAGTAACTCACTATAAAAATATCAAAATTTTTGTTAAATTTTAGGTTTAGTCAAGGATGTTCATCATCGGATTGCTATAGAATATATCATTGGCAATATATTGATGTATTCATATACTTTAGTCACAACATGGTTACCATCCCACCACCATGTTGGACAAATGCTGCTCACAAACATGGTGTGGTGGTTTTGGGTACTTTCATCACAGAATGGGAGGATGGTGCTATGCAATGTGCAAAGATATTTCATGATAAGAATTTGTACCAGACTATTGCTGATCAATTGGTCCTACTGGCTAAATATTATGGATTTGATGGTTGGCTCCTAAATATTGAAAATCCCATTCAGGTAATCAATGGTAATTCTAGACATGACTCATTTACTGCTTTAAAAGAAGTCAGAAGTTTTGCTTCAATTGGTTTTAGTATTTTAAAGTAAATAGATTATCAACACACAAGGCCACGATTCCTCATGAACATAAGAATGTGCATATCAACAACTTGTGAAGAGGACACTAAACTAGAGTATATAAAAATTGAAGTTTTAACATCAGATAACTCCTAATGAGAATGCTAGTCTAGAGTATATAAGGATTCAAGCTCCAGCATGTGATCACCCAGATGAAGAAACAAGAATGGATTCAAATGTGAGTCTATGTATTGACAACAATGATAGTGAAAAGAATTTTTTTACACTTTAGCCAGCTCAAATGAAGAATGTGGTTGAATTTGTGAAGTATCTGACAGATGAAATGCACAAACAGAGTGCGTCATCTTTGATAATTTGGTATGACAGTGTTACATATAAAGGTGAACTAAAATGGCAGAACCAACTCAATGATGAAAACAGGTAATTGGTGTTCATTGATGCTCATTGATGCCCCTAAATGTCAATTTGCAAGATTGCTATTCTCATTTTACAATATCCATTGCAGTGTGTTTTTTAATATGTCCGACGGCATTTTCTTAAATTATGGTTGGAATGAGAAATGTTTGGCTTCATCTGCTCAAGCAGCTCGTGAAAACAGACAATATGATGTGTATGTCGGAGTTGATGTGTTTGGCAGGGGGGTGTTTGGTGGAGGGGGATGGAATAGTAATAAGGTATTAAAATGTTCCATTCAATGTCTCGAATGGCTATGTCCTCTCGAATGCACACATAGCCTTAGTTACATAATGATAAAATCATTAAATTCAGGGACTGTGAAGTGTGTGAGGGGGGGACATGCTACTCTCTTTTCCCATGGACAATTTACTGGGTTAACACATATTAAGTTTTTGTGTTATTGTCCCCCCCCCCCTTTTGAATAGTGTCCTTGGTCCCTTTCAATTCATGGATATTCTTTAAAAGACTACTTAATTAGCATTCATAATAATGAAATATTTTCTATAACCTAACCAGGCAACTCACCTCATCAAAGAGAAACTTCTTTCAACGGCCTTATTTGCTCCGGGATGGGTCTATGAGAAATACAAATCAAATTTTAAAATTAATCAAGATAAGTACGTGAAAATAGCCCAGCTGACTTCATTTTCTCGACATTTTAGTTTACAAAAAAAACTTTAATTTCTTCTCCTAGTTTTTGGGCCTCCATTGCAGCAGATTTAAATACGCATTTGATTGGATCTCGTTTGCCTTTTGTGACATCATTTTGTCAAGGTTATGGAGACAAATTTTTCAGTTATGGAAAGGTATCATTGCTCCCGTAAAATATCTGTTACGAGGAAAGACGAAGTCCCGTCGCTTAGGATTATAAGCAACAATCACAATATCATTGTCAAGCTAATTCACATATGTAGTTTTCTATAACTGAACCATCTATAAAACTACTTCAATTTACAAACACTTATTCGGTCAATTCTCTTGTTACGTACGTGTGTCATTCACAATTTAATGCTATTGTCCTTCCTGGCTCTGTGCTTAAACAATAACTAAGACCCATGTTTTACGGATACTTCAAAACATACACTGTTATAAGGTTATTATATTGGTTTTTCATTATTGTTCTTAGAATTGCAAAGGCAAATGTACCACAGTATATCACGTGTGCTAAGTTTGCTAAATCAATATGCCAAACTCTGTAAACTTTGAGACGGAAAAGCCATGAATAATGCCTGAACTACGTAGTGCATTTTAGAATTACTTACATATGTATACATGTATTTCATTTGTAGATTGTTCTACATCATTCATGGTCTCACCTTAGTGCACAGCAACTTCAACCAACTTTCATCAACCAAGTTTATAGTCTAGGACAACCCGATGGTGTTTCTCTGACCTCCGTTGACCATCAGACAGATACGGCATATCATGGTGGTGGTTGTCTCGCTCTTGAAGGGTCAACGAAAATTACCAATCAACCATCAAAAGCTATTGTAAGGTAGAAATATTACCATTTAAATATGAATTACAATCAGTGCAATATAATATAGTATGTAAATGTAATAGTCTTACTCTTCAAGGCTTTTCAAGACCAATATGAAGCTTCCAAGAACCACAATGATCAGCGTAACGATGAAAGTAGAAGGAAACGATTCTTTGGTTGTAGCTTTACAATTACATATTGATACAAAACCCAACTATATTATGTTGTGCCCAATGAACAAAGATAGTGCTGTAGGTATATATCATGATCACATGTGTTGGTCTTTTAGTATTAGTGGATGTTCATTGAAAGTGAAAATCAGTTTTGAAAAGGCTTTTAAACGATTTAATAGATGAGCAAGACTGCCAAGAAATGGATATCGTTGACAAACGTTTGGTAGAGCGTTACGGGGTGCCCAGGTCAGGAAAAGCTAATAAACGATGTATGTCGTTACCAACAGTTGGTGAAGAGCATTACAGATTGTTTTCACCTTTACACGGAGACTATCACACCAAAATGATGGAAATTTGTTGTGACCACAAAGACGCTGATAGTAGCTCTTGGTTTACAAGGTGTTTGTTGCTTCTTGTGATAACTTGTGTTGTACATGTATCTCGTTCCTACAATCCTTTGCGGTACACTGTGGTACATGCATGTTCTTCCTTTATACTATTTGTGTACTTACATGTCCTTCACGTACCTCTGTTGTTCTACCTTGTTGTTTACGTACACATGTATTATATAAACCATGCATAAAACAATATTGTTTTTTTTCGCAATGCATATAGATACTACCTACTTGCAGAGGAAAATCTCAAAGGTTCCACTGTTAAAGAAATTCGTTTGGTTTTAACAAACAACACAATCTCTGGTTGGTTTCAAATCATGTTTAAGCAATACTTAAAGCCAAATGCAGAGGCGTAACTAGAACGTTAATTGGGGTGTACTATATAATATTCAGTTGTGCCCTACTGATTTCTTTTGAAATTCAATTCACTTTCAAAAGAAATCAGTAGGGCACAACTGAATATATGAATATGCACCCACCCCACCCCCAATTAACGTTCTAGTTACGCCTCTTACCAAATGCTAAAAACATTCTTTACATCACGTTAATTAAGTGAGGGGGGCGATTTTCAAAAAATATCAGCTTTGTACAACATTACATATCTTTATTACTAGCATAAAAGGTTATTTGCTAAACTATTAAGCCTCCGTCGGTTAGTCGATATAAGAGTAGAGGCTTGACGATCTTGGTGGACTTATATATGTAAGGGGATACAGGCAGAGGTTTAGCGTAAATTACTTGTCTGTGGAAAAGTGTGTGACATACCCCCGTTTTCCCCTATTGTTGTTGAAGAACTACACTATGTTTGACTATTGTTATAATTTATATTTTGATTATTAATTTATATTTTAACTATTAGATTCTTCGATGGAAAACGAAAGCGTTTCATTCAAACTTCATATTGGAGAGATTAAGGTTTGTGAATCGTACTTCGTAGCCTTTTTTCAAAATTATTTGTTCACGTAACATTTTTTATTTAGATTATTAATGCTGTTTCCCTCAGACAACCTTTGCCATCAATTTATGGATTGAAATGTCTTGAAAGTGAAATTAAATGCCATGTAATTGATGAAAATACGCAAGCAACGACTTTAACATTATCTTGGAATTATGACAACAGTTTAAACATTGAGCGTTGGGAAAGATTTCAAATTTACCATCTTCAAGATGGCGATAAGAATGTGTTTCTAGGATACGCTTATTGTTTGTCGTATGTGGTCTGTAATCTTCATATACCAAGGACACAGACTGAAATTAAATTTTGTGTACAGGCTGTGAGCGTTTGCCAGCGTAAAGCAAAGTTAGAAGATTGCCCTACGATTATTGTAAATTGGTCTTGAAATTCACAATTAAATGTCTTTATTTGTATAAAGCACGTTCTTTTTTTGAACATTATCATCATTCGTGATTAACGAAACACATGCCTCCCTTTTTTCAAGACAGTTTCAAATTGTCAGATATAAGTTGCTTTTTTGAGAGAGAAATATAATTTTTCAACCTAAATTACATGAACCGCGCTAAATGTTTCTTTAATCGATGCTGTCATAGAACAGAAGAGCTTTTCAGCATTTTAAAATGGCGTACGTAACTTGTTCAATCTCTTTTCGTAAATCTTGCCCACGACCCGGGCAGAAGTTTAGTTACAAAAAAACTTTTTTCGTGTGATGGTACTTTTTATAACAAGGTTTTACTTCTTCTAACAAACATGCTTCTATAAATCGTAAAACATAACAGTGGTTTAAATTTCAATTTAAACAGGACAAGCGTTACTTATTCGTGCTTTGGGAAACCGTAATCGGATAATTCAGATTACAAGAAGTTTAGTTTTAACGCGCGTGAATGACACGTGCAAATCTAAAAAAAGTAGACTTGAACAAGGGAATGAAGGGATTCTTTGTGCATATTTCAAAGAGCAACTTGACAGCTCCTTTCAGTTTAACCTAAGTCGCTTTTCTGTGAGAGAAATTTGACCGTCACAACGCAATAAAACAGGAAAAACTTTACAGAAAAACTACAGGTGAAAATATCGCGGTGGGAGCTATCACTCCAGTATAAACAAGAGCTCAGTATGTACAATGACATAATGAATCATTTTACAGTTGGTAAATTTTTCATGAGTTCTTATGTAAATTTCTCACGTTTTTAAGGTTTAGATTTCATTTGTTTTGATCTCGGTACACTGATTAGTCATTGATGCGAAGAAGTATGCGAAAAAATACGTTTAATTGTGGTTGAATATCGATATGTTTTAAGAGAAATCACTGAGATCTTCGGGGCAAACTGACATTTTTTGATAATTATTCTTTATAATTACACAATGATGTCTTTCGTACGATCCAAGAAGAGTCAAAACTTGAATCAATACGCATTGCTGAGCAACTTGGAAGGTATGAAACTCGAAACTAAAGCAATCGAGGTCGTTACGCATGAAAATAGACCGTTTTGTTTGAAAATTTAGTACAAAACCTTTGCGTTTATAGACCAGGTAGAAAAGCTCAAAGCCTCTCCACAAACGATAAATGATGAAAATATATCATTACAATGTTTCTGTGCAACTCTGGAGCAGATCTTCCTGGAAGGCGCGAGAAGTATGCATTATAATGTCCTAAGTTGTTTGAATTACATTTAAAATTTGCTAATGGTGTGTCGTTCAACCTTTGTTTAACTTTGCGTTTGACACAAACCAAGTACTCAAATCTGCTGCAGCCTGCAGGTGCAAATGAAATGTTTGCAGACGTTAATTGAAAAAAATATCTAAATGCATATCTAAATATGTAAATATTTTTCACTTAATAGAAGTCATACATTCAGTCAGTAGCATTCATAGTCAGTTCGCTTATTTAGTCAAGCTGTCGAAATTTTTCTTTGTTGACTTGCTACAAAATGATAAATTTTTTTTAAAAAAATGATATTGTTCTGATAATTACACAGTAAAGGCAAAAAAATTTCAGACTCCATGGCATAGTGCTACTGGTTTTAGAGTACTAGTATAGTTAAAAAATCAAAATTTGAAATTAGAAATACTTAAAGTACTATTGGTGATTCATAAAGAATCATTTCGATAAAAAAATATGTAGCATTTACATTATTTTTATCTTCTTTGTTTGCTTTTAATAAGCAGTGATTTGAACCAAATGCTTTTTGATTTGAAAGATTTATAGTCTTTTCATTTCTGTTTCTGACATTCATTGTCATCACTGGATTTTAATGCATAAAAAATCAGCCTGCTCTGATATAGCAACCTGGTTCAGTGTAAACAGGATCTAAATGGTTGAATAGTGATGCCTTACTTCTATTAATGCATGAAATTTGCCAAAATATTATTTACCAAATATGTTATTCTTTCTACCTTTAGGAAGTGTATTAATATTTAAACAGAAACATTACTGGCATTGGATTTCTGAGATACCCAAATATCTGCAAAGCTGTGGAAGGTATACATAGAATACATATGTACATACAGGGACATTTTATGTAATAAGTTCATGTTTACTTTGGGGATAAAGCCTAAACCATCAGTGAAGTTAATGGCATAATTAATATCATTCTTAGGCCAAAAAGTTGTCTTATATGATCCTTTTTGATAAATTGTGATTTAGCTTTGCATATGCCATAGTTATTCTACTAAAACTGATTAATTATAAATTTGATTTAGCAATGACCTAAAGCTAACCTATATCATAAACACTGTTGATAATGCAACAAAGGTAACTTGCATGTTATGAAAACATTAAATTTGGTTCATATATCACTGGTTACTTATCAGTCATATGTCTATTAACACTTTGCCTTCTGTGTTTGCAGTCTTGGTCAATGGAAACCAAAGGAAGACAGTTTATTAGAATGGCCCTTGTAAAGAAGTGTTTACATAAGATAGTGGAACTGTTGGACAAAAATATATCAATTTTGCAGGTACTAGATTATTTTTATGGATAGTATGGATTATATAATGCCTGTCTTACATGAAGACTTCTTTAATTATTTTATAGAATTTTTATACGTATGAATCTTTCTTATCAACAACGCATTTGAGAGGTAATTTATTGCTACAATATATTAAGCAATATGTCTTTGGATTGAAAGTCTGTTCACTCTAGAGTTAACACACCTAGTTTTGTTCAATATACTTGCATAAATAATTGCGTTAAAAAAGCAAGTTCTATTTCTATTTATATTTGATTCAATTTTGTTTAGTTCAAAGTTGAGCTTATGAAACATTTTTAATCATAAATTCTTCGGGAATAATAAAGATTTCTCACTGTGTTTAGAGTCATTGTTGGCACATTTAAAGGAAATAAGTAATTTGGATTTTGATTTGAATCTGAAGGTATATTGAATGGAACAATACTCTTCAATTATTTAAATTTTAATGTTTGAATGTTCTTTGTTTGAACAGGCTGTGCAATTTTTAAATGAAACTTGGATAATTCCGGTATGAGTATAGTAAGATTTTTTATCAAAAAGGAAAATATATGATAATGAACAACTTGGTTTTTCACAGAACTGTTTATGGTTGATATGAATAAACTTTTTTCTGTCTATTTTTTCATTATGCAGAAGATTCATGAAATTTTAACTGTTCCATGTGATCAACTGGGGATTACTATCAGGTGTCATATAATACGCAATTAATATACACAAAGAATTTTTAAAATAGACATGTTTTGACATCTCATGATGCCATCTTCAGTATAAGTGAAATAATAAGTGATACAAGGTTTATATAAAAGTAATATGATACATAAATTACAACAATAAAAAGAAAATAAGATAAACTAATGTAGAGCATCCGAGCGTATTATAAACTAAATATTGTATTGAATTTAAAAACTTGAACATTGAGGTCTGGGTTAGTTTTGTTAATATGGAGTGCTTCTTTGAGGAAGTGTGGAGGTGCTGGAAGTGCTTCTTAATGTGGAGTGCACATTAGCAATAGTGCTTTTATGAAATTATCATATAATAATCTTAAATGTTACTTACGTCCGATTATGTCTAAATAGATATAGTTTTGCTAGATATGTAAGATGTCAATTGAAATCTCCATTACAACTTAAATGACTTTACCTACATATTAATCTAGTCAAGTTGACGAAAGAGCTATGGTTGCTTTTGTGTTAACTGAAAGTATTGCAGATGAGGTTGGTGTAATTACATTGTACATGTTATGCTCATGAAATACAGTACCGCTCGTGTATTTGTTTAACATAATTTTGCATTTAATACGCATATCGTTCTCGTATCATATGCGTATGTTTTTCATATCATACATGTTTCATATGTTAACAAATATGCAAGCTGTACTGTACCATATCCCCTGCTTGAAAACTCAGTGGTGTTGCCTGCTTGCAAATTTAGTGGTGATATGCATAATTCTCATCATTTGCATTATTTATTTTTTTACAAATTCACTTTTCTTTTAGTCAGTTAACACCAAAATATGTACATAGCACGAGCAAGCTTGCAAGCTGACCACAGTGAAAATTTTGTGCCAATTTTTTCATTATTTATTTCATTAGATGTTGATTCTTTTCATTAGTCTATGTGTACAGCATTGAACTATTATTTAAAGTTAAAACTGGCTACGTATGCTATACTGAGAATATAAATAGCCTTGTGTATGTTTAATAAATGAAGCCTTGTGTATGTTTAATAAATGAAGCCTTGTGTATGTTGAGGTGCAAGCTTGTTGAGGTGCAAGCTTATTGACGTGGATACATTTTTATTTCATTAGAACAACATTGATGTTGGTGACTGTATTTTGAGCATGTGTGGAAAAGATTGTTGTGGTCAGACAGTTGAAAAGGTTAAAAAAATTATTTTTCATTGATATGTTTTGGCAATCTTATTATTTTTATGCAAACTTTCATAAATTTCTAGGTTGCAGAAATTTTAAAACAGAATCAAGGACAACCCATACCAATAAGCATCGCTAAGGTAAACCAAAGACTGTTGCTAAGATATACCAATAACTGTTGCTAAGGTATACCAATAACTGTTGCTAAGCTATACCAATAACTGTTCCTGAGGTACACCAATAACTGTTGCTAAGATATACCAATAACTGTTGCTAATGTATACCAATAACTGTTGCTAATGTATACCAATAACTGTTGCTAGGGTATACCAATAATTGTTGCTAAGGTGTACCAAATACAATAAATATGGCTAAGGTATACCAATAACTGTTGCTAGGGTATACCAATAACTGTTGCTAAGGTGTACCAAATACAATAAATATGGCTAAAAAACACTTGAGAAAAACGACGATTTTTTTGAGAGCAAACATGTTTCGACATTATCAGAATGCCATCTTCAGTGCAGAATGATTAGTGTTAAGTAATATGATACATAATATGATATGAGTAAATTAATTACAATGAGTATTAAGTATTAATAACTATAACGTAAGTTCTAAAAATAAGTATTATGAATTTATAACAAAAGTATTATTATAAAGTAAATATAGTGTTGTAGTGGTGAACTTGGATATTTAAATCGGGATTAGTTTTATTAATGTGTAGAGCTTCCTTGATTTTGAGTGAGAAAGTGGATTGATCAGTGTCGATGATTTTAAAACAGGAAGGTGAGAATTTGTTTTTACATGAAGGAGAGGCTTGAAGATGTTTGTAGATAGTGGAGTTTTTGTCTGTGTGAGTATGTTCCTTTATCCTGGTAGATAATTGGCGAGAAGTTTCACCAATATAACGGGAATTACATCCCGGGAATTAAATATGGCTAAGGTATACCAATAACTGTTGCTAGGGTATACCAATAACTGTTGCTAAGGTGTACCAAATACAATAAATATGGCTAAGGTATACCAATAACTGTTGCTAGGGTATACCAATAACTGTTGCTAAGGTGTACCAAATACAATAAATATGGCTAAGGTATACCAATAACTGTTGCTAAGGTGTACCAAATACAATAAATATGGCTAAGGTATACCAATAACTGTTGCTAAGATGTACCAAATACAATAAATATGGCTAAGGTATACCAATAACTGTTGCTAAGATATACCAAATACAATAAATATGGCTAAGGTATACCAATAACTGTTGTGTTTGTTAAATGAAAAATTGCTGATTTAAGTGATATTTTTTGCCATACAACAAAGTCAAAATTGACAACTACAAATACAAAAGATAAGCTATAACTTACTCTAACTGTTTATTGTAATTTTATTGTTATTATACGCAGATGAAGTTGGCAAATGGTGAGCTTTTCCTTCCTCTATTGAGGCGTAAAAAGGTTCTAGATAGTGAAGACTCAAATTTACAGAAGCATCCTAACAAAACTGCCGGTGATAAAAAGATTCAATCACAAATAAGTGGTTATAATGAAACTCCAGTTCACGGTGTTTCCAAAGGAAAGTATGTGGTTTTGTACATTACGTGTGAAGTAATCATGAGATTTAAATAATATATAAATATAAAAAATAATATAACGTATGTATGCACTGGTTAGTCTCTAGCTGTGTTTGCATTAGCCTGTGCAAACTGATCTGAGCTTAAACAATTAACCAATCAAAGAGAATTTGCACTAATCTGCTCTTGAGTTCTCCAAACATCTCATTGCTTAGCATAAGCCTGTGCAAACACAAAAAACGTGTTTTATTTCCTAAATCAATGCCATGTATAATGTCTTTTTACATTTTTAGTTTGTATTTTCAAGCTAACTATATTGGCAAACACAAAACAGGCGAGGTAACGAAACAAATTGTTGTGAAATGTTTAAGAATCTCAGAGTATAAAGTTTATAATGTTTAACTAAATACAATTTAGACTGGAGACCTCAACTCAATTGAACCTTCTATTTTGGAAGTTGTTGATCAAAGAAATACGCCTTTGGTAATCAATTTTATTGGCCTGATAATTTTTTGTATAATTTCTTGTTGAAAATTAGCTTTTTGTTAATCAGGTTTGTAGACATCGCTCGATAGGGAAACGGAACAAATGTAGTTCTTGAACAGCTTTAAATGCGTCACGAGAAATGATATTTTGCTGCGACTCGACCATAGCAAAAATTTCATGAGTAAATGTCGTTGTATATTTGAATTGCTGCTGAGAACTTCTGATGTTTAATTTTTTTTAGTTTAAACTACTCTCATGCCTTTACACCCTTGCAAAGACGTTTCCAGTAAAAATGGCCGAGTTACATCTATCAGAGCAAAGCAATTTTTTTGTGACGTGAAAAATTATCTTTTGATTTTCATATAGGCTGTGTTAGTTAAGCTTGCTGAAACTTCAATTGAAATTTTGGACGAAAAGTCAAATAAAGTAAGGATATTCAGAAGGACGTAACGTTAAATAACAACATTTTAAGAGCAGTGTTTATTCTTCGTGTTTGTCAGACTTTAGCTGTTCATTCATACACTGTAACATCGGCTTGTGGAAGAGGAAAAGTCCACACAAACACGTTCGCTTACATTTCAGGGTAAGTAAAGCATACAAATATAATTTTAGGTTCTTACAATAAACTATACTATGATATGAGTGAGTACACGATGAATACTAAAGTTTTCAACGAAATAAAGCCTAATTCGAAAAATTACATCTTGTAAACTCAGATTCAAGTTATCAAAACAAGACAATTAGAAGTGTAATATTTCGGTTTTATTACAAAATCATCATCAGGCAAATGAAATATTGCCCTTTTAATTGTCTTGTTTTGATAACTTGAATCTAAGTTTACAAGATGTCCTTTTTCGAATTATACTTTATTTCATATTCAATGAAATTGTTGTCTGGTCAAGGATAACAACGAAATGTACATATTAAAACTTTACTGCCTACTTACGCAAATCATTGTTAACTTCTGCTTCTTGTCTTTTAGCGTTAGAACGTTTCTACTGCCCACTTTAATCAACAAATTGTTGTTAAATTTTACTTGTTGTATTTTAGCGATACAACTTGTACGATATCAAAGGATTTCACTTGTTACGTTTTTACAGTGGAGTCAGAAAATCAGGTGAGTGTAATATTATGTACTTTAATATCTCAAAATTATAATACCACGACATTAGATTCAGGTGTGAACTCTTAGGCCTGTTACAAACGTCGCATTTTACATGCGTCGAATGCATTAAAGACAAAAGAAAATGCGATAAAATTCCTAATTATCTTTTGTTTTAAATGCATTCGGCTCATGTAAAATGCGACGTTTGAAACAGGCCTTAATCATTTTACAAATACAATAAAATTATTTTAATATGACTTCTGTAGGCAAGAGAAGCGGTCTACGGTATAGGTACGTATGTATTAATACTTTAATAAAAATTGTATGTCACTAATAATCAACAAACTATGGTTTGTTTTCAGCGCAAGGTTTCAATCGTACATTGTGGTATGTGTGATGAGAAATATGGACAATTTTTAAAACTGAAAATGTTTTAAAGGTCAAAAAATAATAAAATAACAATTCAGTATATATATATCAGCAATAATGGAGTAGAGTATTTTGTTTCGACCGACGGTTTGCCGATTTTTAATTAATGTACATTTGTGATTACTTGTAAATACAATAAATTCTACAGTTTTTTAAGTAATTTTTGACGACGATGTTCGAGAAAAAACATTTCAAATAAATCAATGTGGGCATACAAAGAAAAAAAGTAATTAAACATAATGTAAAATCGAGTAATTTGATTTTGATTAAAATTATATTTCTTTTAACGCAAGCATGTTTCTATACACACATTGAAGTGTAGTCCAAATGGATTAGTATAAGTTATAAACTATCAATTAACGTTTTAATGTTAGAAACTTGCTGGCAAAATTATTCATTGTGTTCTTTGTATCGTTCATATTTTACTTGGTTAAAGGTTAACGCATGCGCAGATTACAGTACAACATCTTTAAAATGTTACATCCAACGGCGCATATTCTATTCATTTTTACACCCATGCAACAAAGACTAACTATATAACAATATTAAAACGACATACCAAATGTCAGCGGTTGTCCGTATTATATTCATGCGCGTGGATTATGAAAATCACTCCATCCATGAAAACATCTAGTGAATTCGTGCGGTTCTTGGCCTTTCTGCGTGAATCTCAACTTACGTGGATTTCCAACTTTATGTTCGTATAAATATTGAATATAAACCTACAAAAAAACACCATGAAATAGTGAAGGACTTTCAGAAAAATAAATTATTTTCGTATTGAATTTTTTCTAAAACAAATAGAGAAACGCAACATGAATTTTATTTTGGAAAGGGCTCAGCGCCACTTCAAGAGAAGAAAGCTGGAGGTTTTGAGCCCCACTAATGCAGGCGTGGATTCAAATTCCACTCCATTTAATGATCGATAGAAATGTAATTGCCAAAATAGCACGTGACTTATGCACGTGACAAAAGCCGATGCAGTGACTTCTAGTGCTTGTATACACCCAGGCCTGTAGTACGTACATCAAATACCAAGTAATCATGACAACCATACACACACACATACAAACTTATTCCCTTGTAAATTTAGTAAATTCAAGTCTAGTGGCCTTCCTGAACCTTTTAAACTTATGTGTTTTTAAATCAATAGCTAAAAATCCCTCCAAACATGTAACGGCAATTTCAGCACACCTGGATAACTTTATCCTCATAGGCACATTTGAGGTATACAGGAAATACGTACCTGAGCACTTTTAAACGTCAATTTCCTTTCCACGTGACTCGATTGGTTTCCAAACCATAAGAATATCTATTTTACATTAATATAAAATGAAGTATTCAACAAATAACAGATGAGATAAGAACCAAGGTGATAAGGAAAACAGCACAACTTGCAAATGTCTCTCTTTACCTCGTCACCACTGTCCAATATCATACAGTCATCATCTGCCAAATCATCTTGACAAAAATCTGAGCATTTCTCAGACACTTTGAAATATCCTTGCTCATTGGAGCATCGGAACAGGCGGCAAGTGCGCATGTAGTCCGCTGACTATAAACACAACAGGCGCAAACACATTGTCATACATTAAAACCATATTACTTACAGCACAACGTGATATGCAATGTTTCACTTACTTTGTCGTAATCACTCTTTCCTCCTAAAGCGACCCAGAAAAAGTTTTCTGGTTCAGCACCCTCTCTGATGGCCTGAACTGAGGTCGTGTCCTAATAAAATAATCAATCCAAGAATGCTTTAACAAGTTTTTGCTTTTTTCAATACCTATACTTCTAAACTACGATATGTACTTCTAACCTGCTACATGTACTTCTAAAGTGCGACATGTTCTTCTAAATTGCTACATGTCCTTCTAAATTGCTACCTGTACTTCTAACTTGCTACATGTACTTCTAAATTGTTACCTGTACTTCTAAATTGTTACCTGTACTTCTAAATTGCTAAATGTTCTTCTAAATTGTTACCTGTACTTCTAAATTGCTACATGTACTTCTAAATTGTTACATGTACTTCTAAATTGTTACCTGTACTTCTAAATTGCTACATGTTCTTCTAAATTGTTACATGTACTTCTAAATTGCTACATGTACTTCTAAATTGTTACCTGTACTTCTAAATTGCTACATGTTCTTCTAAATTGTTACTGTAATTCTAAGAATTGCATGTGCTTAAATGTTACATGTACTTTAAATTCCATAACTAAATTCCTTCATACTACATATACTAAATTGCTACATGTACTTCATTCCACTACATGTACCTAAGAGATGACACTTCTAAATTGTTACCTGTACTTCTAAATTGCTACATGTTCTTCAAAATTGCTATATTGTTCTTCAAATTGTAAATGTTCTTCCTAAATTGCTACATGTACTTCTAAATTGCTACATGTACTTCTAAATTCCAATACATGTACTTCTAAATTGCTACATGTGCTCTAATTACTTCATGAACTTCCTAGATTGCTACATGTTTTCCTAAATCTACATGTTATCTAAAATTGCTACATGTACTTAAAAATTGCTACATGTACTTTTACATTGCAACATGTACTTCCATATTTTTACCAGTAACTTCAAAAAATCATCCGAGTTAGTTGCCAATTATAATAACTTTATAACTTACATCCCATATTTCTTGTCCAGTATCCGTGGCATGGCTCGCATCAGCATCGTTTACTTTACTAAAAATTTAACACAAACTCAATGAGGTAAGTTCTAACAACAAGACATACATTTTAAACCGTACCTTCCATTCCAAACGTACACAATCCCACCACTGTCGTTATCAAAAGGAACCTTTAATATGTAACTGTATGCATAGAAAAAACAATGTAAATTTATAGGTACATTATCGTATGAAAAAAACTTCCCAAAATTGATCTTACCTAAACTCGGAGTTTAAAAGTTTCGGATCAGCTGGGATCTGAAATACGAAATGGAAAAAAGTGGTTCAATGGCAACAATTCGTGATTTAGAACAAAATTATTGATGATACCATCGTCAGTTATTACCTGAATTGCTCTCTTATAAATGTTGCCGCCATTTGCTCTGATGTGAAACAATTCAGGTTTCGGTTTTTCTCCTTCGGGAATCTTGGGATTTCGTTTACCCTATATGTTATAAAGCGCAACAATTTTGAACCTTATCCATTTCCATCTCAGTGTATCTTTGCAACACAAATCTTATCCGAATCTTATCCAAAGCTATCCTTTACATCCTGAGGTTATCGCAACTCCTAAAATCCTACCTAATTAAATCACGACAAATCTTATCCAAATTTTATCCAACGTTATCCTTTACATCTTGAGGTTATCACAACTCTTACCATCCAACCCAATTACATCACAACAATTTTTTTTGTAATTTAATCCAAAGAAGATTTGCCTCTTGAAATCATCGCAACTCCTACCATCCATATACATTGGTCATTAAAAACATCGTATTCTATAAATGTACCTTGTGTATGATAAAACGACCTTTAAAATGAGCCAGAAATCTCGGAGCTTCCCTTTGCTGGAAGAAGATCAAAAAAGAAATTAAACACCACAAAAGCAAACTTATACATTTATAAAATGTAATGAACTTTTATCATCTGTCGTCATCCTTTATTCCCAACTAACCAAATAGCTTACTTGTGGAGAACAAGTAACTTAAAATTAATAGTTTGTAAGGTTGCTGACCATCATCTCCTAACATCAACTATCATGAGTTGTCAACTATTATCATCCATTACCATCTATGATCTTCATTTATCCCTAATTATACCCAAACATCTTACTTGTGGAGTGCGAACAACTTCAAGTTTTTCACCAAAAAGTGCCTCAAATTTTTTCTGCAAACTACATAAAGAATAAAATCATGGTGAAAATAATCTACACCGAAAATTCAAATTCATAAAACATAAAAAAGCAGTAATAAATCTGGCAAGAGAGATGAGAACGAATAACGATTGCAATACTAAGCCCTTAATAACCGAGCTCGAGGTCTTTACGGAGAAATATCGGACCGAGGTCTTTTTGTACAGACCGAGCACGTAGGGCAAGGTCCGATATTTCTCAGTAAAGACCGAGAAAGCGAGGTTATTAAAAGATTTATTATATGGCATTATTTGACCTGAAACGAAGCTTGCTTTCTTTCTCGTGCTTGCTGTTTTTTACCGGTTGGCTTTCCCTTTTCTAGTTTTCGTTCATAAAATATAAACTCGTTTCAAATTGTATCGTCTGGATAGTTAAACTGTTTTCCAAGTGTTTTTCTTTCGAATCACATTCGTAAAGGGTTTCTTGTTTCGTTTATTTTGCGTTTTGCTGTTTGCTTTACGAAGTTTGTTTACATTTGACTGTAAAATTACACGTTTTGGACCGTGGTCGATTACGGGAAAATAACGGACTGGCAAAAATGTTTCTGAGCCAATCAAAGCGCGCCATTTAGCCGGAAGTGACGCTTGCCATGTAATGAAATACAGTAATTTTAAACTTACCTGAAGGTGAAGATAAGCCAACCCATATTTCCTGCATCGCGACCCTAAAATAAAACAAAACTTCAGAAATCCTTTCCACGACAGGAAAAAAGACTCAGAGTCAATTACCTCCCAGAAGTAAACAACACATTGAAAATCTTCTTCCTGTTCTTCATGATCATTTTCTTCATCTTCTTCGTCTCCAGACATCTCAACAGGAACAAAATATCGACACAGAAATACGTAACAAGTGCCACTGTAGAAATGACCTTAAAGTAAAATATTACAGTGGTATTTATACTTAGCTCTTTTACACAGAAATACGTAACAAGTGCCACTGTAGAAATGACCTTAAAGTAAAACATTACAGTGGTATTTATACTTCGCTCTTTTACACAGAAATACGTAACAAGTGCCACTGTAGAAATGACCTTAAAGTAAAACATTACAGTGGTATTTACACTTCGCTCTTTTACACAAAAATACGTAACAAGTGCCAATGTAGAAATGACCTCAAAGTAAAACATGACAGTGGTATTTATACTTCGCTATTTTACACAAAAATACGTAACAAGTGCCACTGTAGAAATGACCTTAAAGTAAAATATTACAGTGTATTTACACTTCGCTCTTTTACACAAAAATACGTAACAAGTGCCACTGTAGAAATGACCTTAAAGTAAAACATGACAGTGGTATTTATACTTCGCTATTTTACACAAAAATACGTAACAAGTGCCACTGTAGAAATGACCTTAAAGTAAAATATTACAGTGGTATTTATACTTCGCTCTTTTACACAAAAATACGTAACAAGTGCCACTGTAGAAATGACCTTAAAGTAAAACATGACAGTGGTATTTATACTTCCTTTTTTTACACAAAATGCACGTAACAAGTGCCACTGTAGAAATGACCTTAAAGTAAAATATTACAGTGGTATTTATACTTCGCTCTTTACACAAAAATACGTAACAAGTGCCACTGTCTTAAAGAAATTTAAAATTAAAACATGACAGTTAATTATTATACTTTTACACAAAAATACGTAACAAGTGCCACTGTAGAAATGACCTTAAAGTAAAACATGACAGTGGTATTTATACTTCATCTTTTACACAAAATACGTAACAAGTGCCACTGTAGAAATGACCTTAAAGTAAAATATTACAGTGGTATTTATGCTTCGCTCTTTTACACAGAAATACGTAACAAGTGCCACTGTAGAAATGACCTTAAAGTAAAACATGACAGTGATTTATACTTCTTTTTACACAAAATACGTAACAAGTGCCACTGCAGAAATGACCTTAAAGTAAAACATGACAGTGGTATTTATACTTCGCTCTTTTACACAGAAATACGTAACAAGTGCCACTGTAGAAATGACCTTAAAGTAAAACATTACAGTGGTATTTATACTTCGCTCTTGTCGTGTGATAATAATAACTATAGAAAGTTTGAGGAAGTTCTTGATGATGCTGTTGCAATAAGGGCAAAATACTCTAGGATTACTACATCATAGAGTCTTGCATATTACCTCTCAAAGGACTAATTCATATAATAATATATTATACAATCCCCAAATGTACCTATTTCCTCCTCAGGTAGTCTGGTGAATTTCTTTCCTTCTAAGACAAAACATTCCATGCCATCTAAATCCTCGTTCCACTCTTCCACGAGTTGTTCCTAAGGGATCACAAAGTACAATAGAGGTTACATGATGATAACACGATGCGTGCAGAAGAATGCAATGATATATTCAACTTACAACTTCGGAATCTGGCATCGGAGCTTGCCGTTGTGTGAACAATGCCGTTAAGTCAACCTTGTCAGAAGAAAAAATAAGTGTCATTAAGAAACTGTCATCATAATGTAAAAAACAATGTTTTCATAATGGTTTTCATGCATGATGTTTCGTTAAAACGAAGGATAGGACTTTCTTTGTGCATGTTATGACTTTATGACGCGAAGGAAAGTGAAACAACATTTATGCATGCAAGCGAACAAAACGTAATCTTAAAAAGTAATGCTGTTCCTTATAAAATGCACAGACTTATCAACAGTAAGTCATGTATGTAATATGTAATTTCAAACTTCTTATGACGCTGTGAATCACTTAATGTCACTCATTAAAATTTAAAAAACCCATTTGATGGTGTTAAAATTTTCTGTTGGGCGATCGTGTTTTTACTAAGAATCCGTTTTCTGAACGGCAAATCTATAGTTACAATATTTAGGTTAAAGTAAATGGTTTGAACCCGGGAGTATCGTTACATGTTTGTAAATGATGATCGTCCAGGTTAATAAAGTCCTGAGAAGGACTGTTTTTGTTGTTGTTGACTGACGTTTCGACAACCAGAGCGGTAGTCATCTTCAGAGTCAAATGACTACGACTAAGGACTTGTCTCTGACTTTGACTCTGAAGATGACTACCGCTAAGGTTGTCGAAACGTCAGTCAACAACAACAAAAACAGTCCTTCTCAGGACTATACCAACCTGGACGATCTACATTTACAAACATGTAATATTTAGGTTGATGTAAACGGTTAATGCAAATGATAAGGGTTTGCACAATTCTTCATCGTATATAATCAACCTCATTCAATAAGTGATACAGTAAATATGAAACCACTATTAAATGTCAAACACAAAAAGTCTTTAACGTCCTCAAAATCAATTCATGCTCTATTATTTCTGTATCTTTACCTTGGCAATTTGTTCAGTCAGTTCAACTTCATTACTGTTCTTGGGCTAAATGTTATTTAAAGAAATGCGTTTGAGCATCAGTTTCATTTTACAGTAAAATTTCAACTGTGTTACATGTAATGCATGTATTTTTTGGAGAAATTTCACAGCACAAACGACTAAAATGACTCCGGAACTCCGGTGCACAGGGCTACATCCAATTAAGTCAACCACAACAAAACCACTTGTTAGTATTAAGTTGAACTGATCACCACCTAATCAAGCAGACCACCATCAAGACAAGTTGACCAATGCAAAATTAACGTGCTCGCTATAAAATTTGTAAGAAAAATGTATAGTTTTGAACCTTAGCAACGGGCAATTTTCTTTTGTTGGCGACAGATTCAGCTGTTCTAGTAAAATCAACTTGCAACACGTCATTCCAGCCGTGAAACTTTGACTTGAAAATCCAGCTTTCGGTTCTTCAAAACAAAATATACATTTGATGTTCTCAACCACAACTAAATTTACTTTTACATTCGGTTCGAAGCCCTTGAAACACTTACTTCTCCAAGTTTCTACTGACGATAGCCTCGTCGGGTCTTGAAATCATATTTCTCATTTCCTGAGCAAGTTTGAGAGCAGCTGCTCGCACCAAACGAGGCGACTTTCTACCCAACCTTAAAAACGAGAACAGTTGAAGATATTTTAGGTTCACAAAACCTGAAAGTCTTAGCTAGGAATCCAGGTATAGCACAGAGTTGCCATTAAACGCCCCCTTTTTGACTAATAATTTCAATCAACTTTAAACTTGTTTAAAACATCAACTCCGATTTAATTTTAAGTCATGCAACATAAGAAGATTATCCATTTTTGACAAAGCATTAAAAAACCTACCAAGTAAATATTTCGGTGTGGCAGTCGACAATATACACACCGCTCGTCTCCAAAATTGATTTAGTCAGTTTTTTACCATGAAATTCAACTGTAAGAAAAATGGACGACAATGAGCGTTACTAAAGTCTCAGGGACGACGATAAGAAAAAAACAGAACTACGCTAACGGGTTGCTTGCATCTGTGTTTTGTCCATGGTGTACAGACGTTGGCAAGTAGCTACAATATTCCATAAAGCAACTATCTGCGAGTTTTTGAAAGTAAATTGCAAATGAGGTTAAGAATCTATATTTCATTTTATAATTACAAATGTAGTTTGTTGAAAGGCGTTCATAATTGTTCAACTAGAGATCCAAGGATAGTGCATTATTTACACAAAAAGCATATTTTGAAGTTATCCCCTAGTCCGATCACTTAATTCTGTTATGTAAAGATTTATGTGCGCGCTCAATACGAAATCAATAAAGTTTTAAACAAATGAACAATACAAAACTCTTTTAGAACGTGCAACTATATATTCTCGGTAAAGAATGTTGATGTTGGTGACTGAAAGCTAGAACAAGGTTACTCGAATAGACCTGATATGAAACACAATAACACTCTACCTTGAGGCAATTCAAGATAACCATGACCAAGTCCAACTTTGTATATGATTGGCTGCATTGTTTTGAAATCATCGTACGATTCCACTTCCTGGCGGGAAAATTATGCAAATGTTCAATTTGATGTTAAATATTTTATGTTCATAGGATGACGAGAGAACCGTTATTTTAGATGGTTTTCCACCAAGACAAGCCCAAAAATCTGCATCTGGTTCTTCATCCTAAACACACATGCTTACTTTAAAAACATTACGTTTCAAACGCGAGCAACATTTTGAAGATTCAAAAGAATATAAAAGAAACGCATTCAAACACAGAAAACTACAATGATTAAAAAAACCTTTTCATAAACAAAAATTTCAGCGCGATTTTTTCGATCATTCTTGTTAATTTTTTCACTGAAAAGTCGACCTTTGGTGTGGTCGGTTAGCTTTGACTATAAACGAAATAAAGGTCACTGAACTTGAGCAGAATATTACGAAATAGTCATGAGAAAGAAAAGTGAACCTTTTCTCCAGACCAAACATATATTTTCATTCCAGTATCAAGCAAAAAGGAGTATCTTGGATCCAAGGATTTGTAAGTCAGAGGAACCTGAAAGGGAAAATGTTATGAAATATTACAAAGAATAAAGATTTTTGTTTGGTAGTTGTGATAGTCTTACTGGTTCAAGATGGACGATTCCTGAGCCAACCAATCTGTAAAGACGAGTGACATATACCTGATGAATGAAGATTTAATTTCACATTAATGTTGAATAATCATTATATATCATCAAATACACTACCATCATATTTCATAAAGTACCATCATATTTCAGATATTACCATCATACTTGACAAACTACCATCATACCTTATTAACTACCATCATCCTTTATCAACTACCATCATCCTTTATCAACTACCATCATCCTTTATCAACTACCATCATCCTTATTAACTACCATCATCCTTTATTAACTACCATCATCCTTTATCAACTACCATCATCCTTTATCAACTACCATCATCCTTTATCAGCTACCATCATCCTTATCTACTATCATCATCCTTTCGTAATGCTACCATCATCCTTTATCAACTACCATCATCCTTTATTCATCATCCATTAACTACCATCATCCTTTATCAGCTTATCATCCTTTATCAGCTACCATCATCATCAGCTACCATCATCCTTTATTAACTACCATCATCCTTTATTAACTACCATCATCCTTTATCAACTACCATCATCCTTTATTAACTACCATCATCCTATCAGCTACCATCATCTTTATCATACCATCATTATTCTACATCATCCTTTATCAGCTATCATCATCCTTTATCAGCTACCATCATCCTTTACACCATCATCTTAACATCAGCTACCATCATCATTAACTACCATCATCTTTATCATCTATCATCATCCTTCATCCTAATCATCTGCCTCGTCACATTGGCTTACCATCTATCATCATCACTATCATCATCTTTATCATCATTTATCAACTACCATCATCCTTTATCAACTACCATCATCCTTTATCAGCTACCATCATCCTTTATCTACCATCATCCTTTATCGCTACCATCATCCTTTAATCAGCTACCATCATCCTTTACATCTACCATCATCCTTTATCAACTACCATCATCCTTTATCAACTACCATCATCCTTTATCAACTACCATCATCCTTTATCAACTACCATCATCCTTTATCAACTACCATCATTCTTTATCAACTACCATCATCCTTTGTCAACAACTATTACCTTTATCAACTACCATAATCTTTACCATCAACAACAACAACAACAGTTCTTATCAAAAACCATCTACCTACATAAACTACCACCATCCTTACGAATAACTATCATTTATATCAACAACGATCATCCATTGTCAACAATCACAACCTCTTATAAACTATCATCGTCATAGTTCATCAACTAAAACCATATTTTGTCGACTACTGCTTATTCAACAGTATCATTAATCAAATATAACTTCAGATTTCAAATCAATAAGCTAATATTGTCCAACACAATACTTACGGTTTCTTCAACTGTGTAAAATCCACTGCCTGATCCACCTGTAAAAAAAAAACACATCACTAAAACCTTCAACTATAAATATTCTAGTCCAAACTTTCAGGAAAATTATTTTTATGAAGACCATTATCACAATGAAAAAACCCATTAAAAAGCAGTTACTAAAATTACAAACCTTGAATGTATCTTAAGCTTTCGTCAAAAAGATCAAGAAATTCCTCCGATTCATCGCTTTGTTCTTCTCTCTGTTAAATAAAGGACCAAAACGTCATTTCAAACAATAGAAAATTATTCTGATGACAATAATCAAAGCATTTTGTACAAAATCATTAATTGGTCACTTGTTCTTCAGTTTCACAAGACTCAATCTTTCGAAATTCCCCTAGCTTTAAAAACCAATTCACATAATACCTTATCATGATTCTATTCAGAATGAAAATCTTAATCCCTTACCAAGATCGTATTTAGAGTGTAAATCCTAATCCCTAACTAAGACAGTATCTACAGTATAAATTCTAATTCTTTCCTAAGACGGTATCTACAGTGTAGATCCTAATCCCTTACGATGATCCTATTTTCTGATCCAAGAAAGTTCCTCAAATTGACAGAATGAATGGCGGCACAAGCCTTGCTGTCCAGCTAAACACAGAGAAAAAATAATTTATTTAGAACAACAAAGTAAGTAAAAGCCATCGACAAGAGATCTCTAGCCGTACGAATATCGATATTGGAGACGGGGGGGGAGCATATTCATAAATGAATGTTATACTCCGTAGAAAACATTGGATTTCAAATGAACTTAATACTGCATATCATGTGTCTACGAACATCACCCCCCCCCCCAAATTATCAATCTTCCAAACGATTTTTATGACATCATCAGTAACCTACCGCTGCGACAGCTCCAACCCAGAAATAAATATCCCAGACCAGTTGATCAGTGTCGTCATACTCCGTCTAAAATTGACAAAAAATTAAAGTTCTTAGAAATACCATAAGAATTGACGTTTTGTGTTTCAGTAAAAATATAATTGTTTTATCCTACCTTTAAGACAATATAACAATCGCCAGTGTAAAACTTTCCATGAAATTCTAAAGTGCCAAAAAATGGTGGTGACGCAACAAAAATTATATAGATTGTAAATACTGCGCGCTGATTGGCTAAAAGTCCTGTAGGTATAACGCAATGTTAACGATTCCAATTTTTCAATGGGCCAAGTGACGTTATGATTCTAATGAATGTGTGCAATGTATCTTGAAAGTCAAAATAGCGACATGATTGTCTTAATTTTACGTCTTTTCTAGTATCAAAGGCCCCTCTTTAGGTGAAACATTAACTGTAAACGAAACAAACCGTCTTCTAGTTGAACTGGCACGAAATTTTCAATATGCCAAATAACAAGCCCTAAAAGAATAGTAAAGAAAAGTAATTTAATCTCATCTCATAAGACTTCAATCAAATAAACTAAAGTAACTCGTTTAAGAAAGAGTTTCAACCTACCCTCTTCTTGACCAATGTTATCAGGAAAGAAAGCTTCATAATTGAGATTAGGTCGTTTCAATTCGGAAAGCCAATTGGTCCTGATAGAGTTGAAGGAAAAAATCTTAGTGATATCGAAGTCATAAGAACAATTTTTAAAGCCAATTGCTCCTGATAGAAAAAAAGCTCTTGAAATCGAAGTCATAAGAACAATTTGAAAAATCGGAAATAATTTTAAATACTTTTTGGGGGCTTCTTCAGCTTCTGAATCCATCGAATCACCCTTAAAAAAAAACAGAAAGAAAACGTTATGTCATTAGGACACCTTGCGTTCAAAAGACGTTACGTACATAATGTAGTAGATCAAAAAAATAATCTAAGTTATAACTGCAAAGGCAGTCATAAACATTGTTCGCTATACTGTAGTGAATGACGAAACCGCTTTGCAATTTTTGGTCCTGCAATGTATATTTCATATCATCATCGCCATACTCTTTATTTTAGAAATTTACTGTTTTTGCTGTGATTGAAAACAGAAAAATTTGCAGGGCAGGAAGAGTCTACAGGAAGAGTTTGCACGCTGGCTGCCTACTGAAGTATTCAGTACTTAGTATACAATGTTTTTTTACGTATTTGTGGGGCACACATACTGTAATAAACCACAGTACATCTAGTGTATTTGCGTAACAACATATTGTTTGCCATAGTTAAAAAAAAGTAAGAGGGATAAAATGCTCAATTACAAAGCTAGTCATACAAGAACATTATATTACCATTTTCAATGCACGTTTAGATTTTCCTTTGTGTTTTTTTTCCTCAGCATCTCTGACCATTCCCTAGAAATGAATTGAAATTGTGACATACATCTCTAAACGACGTATAGTTCAGATGATCGAGCATTCCCCAAATCCTTCATATTTTAAAAAACAAACAGAATTGACACTTTTCAAAGATTCCTTAGTATTGCCAGCCAAGCATTGCTGAGTGTTTCTGGTTTGCTAAAACTCATTGTACATTTCAAGAAAGATTTGCACTTAAAATAAAACTCACCTTTAGATCTCTTGGTTCAGAGTCTTCGCCAGAATTGTCATGGTAACGTCGCCCTCTAAGACGCATCTTTTAAGAAAGAGACTGGGAGTTAATCAAAGTATTTTCTGCCTAGTGGAAAAGGATCAAAGAAATCACAATAAAAGTACCTTTCTTTGCGTTGGATCCTTCATCACTATAAACGAAAAAAAAGAAACTCGTTTCACGTTAAGCTACCGCATTTGGACTTAGTTTCGAGATATAGAATCGGGAAATTAAATACCAGTCAAAGTTCAAAAATACTAAATCATTATTTTGTAAATACTGTCAACAAAAACGTCTACAGCTCCTTTATTAGTCGGAATGTATTTGCAGATGTTGTTCAAAATTGCATTTTTTTCAATAAATTAATGTTGCTCAAAAATATTTGGCAAATTTAAGGCCCTTTACGCTTTATTAGTCCATCAGAATCGCGAAAATAATGTTTGCGAAACATGGCATCGACAAACGTCGCAAAATCAATGTCGTGTGAAATAAAATACATTTAAAGTAATGAAGGTATGGATATGAAGGTGCAAGCATAGGTACATGCAGGAACAATGGGAAGGTATGGATATGAAGGTGCAAGCATAGGTACATGCAGGAACAATGGGAAGGTATGGATATGAAGGTGCAAGCATAGGTACATGCAGGAACAATGGGAAGGTATGGATATGAAGGTGCAAGCATAGGTACATGCAGGAACAATGGGAAGGTATGGATATGAAGGTGCAAGCATAGGTACATGCAGGAACAATGGGAAGGTATGGACATGAAGGTGCAAGCATAGTACATGCAAGAACAATGGGAAGGTATGGACATGAAGGTGCAAGCATAGGTACATGCAGGAACAATGGGAAAGGTATGGACATGAAGGTGCAAGCATAGGTACATGCAGGAACAATGGGAAAGGTATGGATATGAAGGTGCAAGCATAAGTACATGCAGGAACAATGGGAAGGTATGGACATGAAGGTGCAAGCATAAGCATGCAGGAACAATGGGAAGGTACGGACATGAAGGTGCAAGCATAGGTACATGCAGGAACAATGGGAAAGGTATGGATATGAAGGCAAAGCATAAATACATGCAGGAACAATGGGAAGGTATGGACATGAAGGTGCAAGCATAGGTACATGCAGGAACAATGGGAAGGTATGGACATGAAGGTGCAAGCATAAGTACATGCAGGAACAATGGGAAAGTATGGACATGAAGGTCAAGCATGCAACATGCAGGAACAATGGGAAGGTATGGATATGAAGGTGCAAGCATAGGTACATGCAGGAACAATGGGAAGGTATGGACATGAAGGTGCAAGCATAGGTACATGCAGGAACAATGGGAAGGTATGGATATGAAGGTGCAAGCATAGGTACATGCAGGAACAATGGGAAGGTATGGACATGAAGGTGCAAGCATAGGTACATGCAGGAACAATGGGAAGGTATGGACATGAAGGTGCAAGCATAGGTACATGCAAGAACAATGGGAAGGTATGGACATGAAGGTGCAAGCATAGGTACATGCAGGAACAATGGGAAGGTATGGACATGAAGGTGCAAGCATAGGTACATGCAGGAACAATGGGAAGGTATGGATATGAAGGTGCAAGCATAGTACATGCAGGAACAATGGGAAGGTATGGACATGAAGGTGCAAGCATAGGTACATGCAGGAACAATGGGAAGGTATGGACATGAAGGTGCAAGCATAAGTACATGCAGGAACAATGGGAAGGTATGGACATGAAGGTGCAAGCATAGGTACATGCAGGAACAATGGGAAGGTATGGATATGAAGGTGCAAGCATAGGTACATGCAGGAACAATGGGAAGGTATGGACATGAAGGTGCAAGCATAAGTACATGCAGGAACAATGGGAAGGTATGGACATGAAGGTGCAAGCATAGGTACATGCAGGAACAATGGGAAGGTATGGACATGAAGGTGCAAGCATAAGTACATGCGGGAACAATGGGTACATTATGATAAAGTACTCATGAAACATACTTTGTTTAGTAGCTTGATCAACATGTGATGCCCCAGCAGCCAGTCGCAATTGTGTTTCCAATGTAAAGTCAACATTGTAATATTCAGCACCACTTCCTATTTGATGAGCAGAAGGTTTTGGTGGCATTGTAAGATTTGGATTGTTATGAACGTCCAGTTCCTAGAAATTTATACAATTACTAGATAAGTGCATGACCTTTCAAATTATCTAACGTGAGTCTTAATCATTGAACTAAATATACAACTGGACGGAAAAAACATGTCTGTTCTTAAATGAAGCCAAATTTTACCAGCAAAAGCGGATGCCAGAAATAAAGTCCTGTATTTGTTTAGTTTACTATCGTAATGAAACTTCATTGGGCCGTGTGTGAAAAAGCCTTCAAAATTTCGCTAGGCTAGCCATCCAGTTACATACAGTTCAGTGGGTATATTTCCACTCTTAACTACCTTCATATTGGGCAAGAAATGAATAGCCTCGGGTAGAGTCACCAAACAATTGGAATGTAAAATCAACTTCTTAAGCTTCAAACACCTGTAACATACAATATCTTCAAAACAAGGAAGTGACGTCAGCGATGAGAAAACACGTCAACATCACACTGACCGACATAATCCTTCTGGAATGCACTCTAATTTATTACAAGCAGCTGCGAAGATTTCCTGTAAAAAAGGCTTCTTGTTCACATGATTTTTGGTAGCATTAAAAAATATAGTGTGTGTGACTACATCAGCTTTTTTGATTTTTGTGCAACAATCTTGTGTCTAATTTACATCAGGGACAAAGGCAGGCTGATGAAATGTTGGGAAGGCATGGGGGGAGTGTTTCAGTGACATTACACACATATCACACTTTTTTGGTACATTAACACTTTGTAACAAAATTGACGCCCCTCCCGGATCACCTTTAGCCAAGCTTAGGAAGGGTGCGCACCCCCCATCCACTAAATCCAAATATACATTACATGCAACCCAGTTGGTTACCTGTAGTCTTTACTTGCTTACCAATTTATAAAGTTTACTTGCTTACTAATTTATAAAGTTTACTTGCTTACCAATTTATAAAGTTTACTGACTCCAGTTGGGATGCCTTCAAAGTTAATGTTGTTCCCTGCAGAAGAATAAATCACAAAAGGTTGTAGTAATTTATCTTGTTTGTAACACCAACATGATTATAGAACGAGGGAACAAGAAAAATGAAACATACCGCTTATATAAAGTTTTCGTAGATTGACGAGTTTACAAAGAGCGGACTGTTGAAAGGAAATTCAACACAGCATTATTTTATTTTTTTTCACTTACTTTCCTCATCGTCAATTGCTCATCATATGTATTATATAAACTTTTAAACATCATATTTCAAACATCGTCAACTGCTCATGATATTTATTATATAAACTTTAAAACATCATATTTCAAAATTTAATGTTTCAAAATTTCAGAATTTCAAAATTTAGCGAATAAACTTTTTAAGGATGCAGTAAGGAAGTAAACTAAATGACACCATGATACACAGGGCGCCATAAAAGAAGACGACCTTCGTGAAAAACACAACAACAACTAATGTTAAAAATAAAAGCTGAGTTTCTAACAGTGCGCGCGCCTCCTTTTAAGCACCCTACATAACATTTTTCGTAACTGTTGCAAATCGAAGCGAAACTTTTCGCTGTACTCACAGGTAAAGAAGTCAGTTGATTTCTGGAGATATTTAAAACTTCCATTTCTGTCCAGGTACCTGCAAAGCAATACAAAATAGTAAAAAAAACAACCCGATAAGATGCTTTTAAACTAAGACAGTCATAAATTTTCAACTCCATAAAGCTTATGCTAATTGATAATTTGAAATGAAGAACGATTTAAGTGACGTCACTAGTGACGTCACTACATACCAGTAAGATTCGACAGTTCAGAGATCGAGTTGTGACTTAAATTGAGTCTTTTTAATGAACTTAGACGATAGATAGGTTCAGGAACTAAAGCAAACACGATTTATGTCAGAGCATTTCAGTTGCTAACATATTTAAATTTCAAAGATAAATTTCACAAAAAAAAACGCAAAAAGTAATTTAAAATAAGTACAACCTCTTGGTAAATCATTGTATGAAAGATCAACATCTACAAAGAATAAATTAGATATTAATTGAATTATAGTATAGAACATAATTCTAATGTATTGCATATAACCAAATATTGTCAACGAGTAATGTTTATTAAACAGTTTTTGCTGTGCGGGAAAATCCAATTTCAATCATCATTCAACGAGACTACTACAATTTCAATCATCATTCAACGAGACTACTACAATTTCAATCATCATTCAACGAGACTACAATGTAAGTGAGTGCACAATAACTGTAAATAAAACTATGTTCAAAATTCTTTACAACAACCCGCGCATTTGTCTTTGCAATTCTCAAGATTTTTTCTAATGAAAATAAATCATCAAATTGCATGAACCCAAAGTTACAGAATTAACTGACCTTGCCTTAGCGATATATCATACATGGATTAATAAAAGATTTTTTCATCTACATTAGACATATTCATCACCTGTTAACTTGGTCAAACTGTCCAGTTTATTCGGCATATTTGTAATTGTCCTCTACATTAAAGAAACATAAGAATGCGACCATCAATATGATACTGGGGAGTTTCATTAGAATGTACGAAAACAAAATTTAACTTAACGTCAATTCCACATTTTAACACTTTATCACAATTCACAAATAGTTGAAACGTTATTAAACAAAAAGAATGATAGCATAATGCTCTATCCAACAACTACAAACAATAACGACTTTATCTAACAACATTTGAAAAACTAACCTTCCACTCCTCTTTCTTGTAAACGACACAAGAGCCCCGCGCTAAAAGTCCCGGTCTGCTATACCGGTCACAAGCCCGGGACTTGTAGCGCGGGGCTCTTGTCTTGTTTACAAGGAAGAGGAGTGGAAGGTTAATTCACAAATGCTGCAAAATTCATTCAAATGTTCCTTGCAAGGTTTATATAATATTCAATCAAATTACAACGTCAGGATCAAAGTCCTTCGTGATTCGATGACACACAAAACTTGTCAAAGAAGATTTGAACTTCGAAGAAAAACAATGCGTACGTAAGTTAACTGTGTGTACTCGCAACATTCGGCGATTTACGTAACTATAATGTACGTATAACTAGAAAATTTCAATCATAAATTCTTTAAAACCTGTGTATTTCGTAGATGAAGCGTATGAAGAGCCATCAAGTTGGGAAGTTGTCTATACATGAAAGCAAAATATGACGAATAAAATTTTAATTGTATCATTTGACTGTTAGACGTGATCTCTTTTAATGACAAGCAACACATCACAAAATTTGATTTCCCACCTTAGCTGTGCGTGCATTAGAGGATTGTTGTTTAAAATCTAGAGGAAATATCAAAGTAAATTAAATAATATATTTAATTCACTTGTAGTACCTAAAGACGTTGTGTGTATCAAGCATCTTGTGCACCATTGTATATTTGGTATTGTGTTGAGCATTATATGTTTTTAGACGCTTTGCAAGGCATTTCTTAGTCAATTAAAAATGCTATTTTGAAGAAGCCTGTACGTTCTATAAGTCAGTTGTAACAATAAAATTGGGAAAACGTGAAAACGCTTCAAAAACATTGAAGGAGGCCTTTAAAAACACAAGAATTAAGGTCCCTCGCGTCGTTAGAACATACCGCGGGTAACTTTTTGAGCTAGAAAACTCAGACATTAGTTTATTCAAAAGATAATGAAAAGCGTTTTGCTAGTTTTTGGCTCATACGTATCATACTGTGTTTTTGTTGTCTCCATCATTTGGTTAAAAATCTCCTTTTTAGAGATGGTGTGTCTCCCATGTGATTCATTTTATTCTTTATGCAGGATGTAAGATTTTCTTTTACCCATATTTGAAATGAGTATTGTTGGTTACAGGTACAAAACAAAAAGGTTTAGGATTTCTTTCAAAGCAAAATAGAGCCACTTACCAATACTTGAAGGTTCACTAATCTCCGTAGTTGAGGTGGTAGAGAATCTGGAAAAATTTTAAATATTGAAATCTTTAGCATATGAAAAATGAATGTGATGATCAAAAACGGATACAAAATAACAACTTTTTATTTTCTTATCAAAGAATTTTACTTGAACCAAGATTATGATGGTCAATAAAATAAAGATACAAACCAAGTTGGTTGTCACTGAGATCCAAATACATTAAATCTGTGCAGTTGATGAATAACTAAACATAAAATATGAAAATGAACAATTTTCAGTAAACAGATAATAATTATAAAATTGAGAATATAATCATACACACCTGATTTGGAATATTTTCAATCCTAAATGAACCAAAAATCAAGAGAATGTAAAAAACATCTCACACACGACTACATCTTACTTCCTCTTTTGCAGGGGTCTCCAAACTACGGCCCGCGGGCCAGATGCGGCCCGTTTGGCCTCTCAATCCGGCCCGCAGAGACAATTAAGAAAGACAATTTCACCACTCACATTGAGAAAACTGAACAGACTAATTGTGATTTTGTTATAATATTACTCTTGGTTGAAATTTAACCTTTAAATTTTGAATAAATATTTTCTTAACTAATGAAGCTTGTGTTATGTACTTCGTTTTATTAAAATATTTGCTCTTTGACCAGCAGTATACGATTCTTCGGCCCTCAACATGCTGGATGAAAGTCATGTGGCCCTCTGGCTGTAAAGTTTGGAGACCCCTGCTCTATTGGATGGAAATTTTAATTTGCAAAAATTCTTACTTCCTCTATTGAATGGAAACTTTAATTTACATAAAGTAAAAGCCTCAGATCTCACCTATTATTGGCCAGTGATAAAACACAGAGAGAGTGTGCATTTTCCAGTTCTTCAGGTACCTACAAATAAAAAGAAACTACTTTACTAAAAACATACTTGTAAATGTTTAGTAAAATATTTGAATTTTATCACCTCTTTTAACTGGTTATGACTGAAATCCTTAATGGAAAAAAAAAACATTAAAAAATTTTTAGTAATTCTTGCAGGTATCAAAATCATCAAATGAAAAAGTCAGATTCATTTAAAAGTCTTACCACAGTCAGTAGTTCTTCCAAGCTGAACACGCCATTGGGAATACCAGAATTTTTCAGTTGATTCTTCCGAGCATTAATCACCTGAGTTTAAAGTTTTTGAAGTTAGTGTTGGCAAGATGTTCTAGGTAATATTTGTGGTCAAGATATGATGAAGACATAAATTGGCCATTAAGACAATTTATACATCATTTTCAGGTTCGAACAAATCATTATGATTTCAACTACACAACCAGGACATCTTGACCCCAAATTCATAGGTTCCATTTCGTACTTACAAATAACCAATATAAACACAATGTCTAAACTTAGTTTATGAAAATTTCATCTCAAAATACATAATACATACTTTAAGATTGCTCAAAGCAGTTAAATCCCCATTATGAAGGCTGTTCAACTGGTTCTTTTTCACAGACAAATGTTCCTTGATAAAATAGATGAAGCAAAACATCTTATCCTTTCATACTTTAGCTTTCACACCATCTTTATCGCAGACATTTTTTTGCACTCAAGGTCTTCAATAACATTAAAATAATATAAAGTTATAAGTTTCGAGTGAGATAAATAAAACATCAAACAAAGGTAAAACATGACAAAGAATAGATACAGTATATAGGATTTTGCAATAGATAACAAACATGTAATGGATGTAACTTATTTATTGCATTTATGAAATTCTTTCTTTATATCCTTAGAAAAGGCAAAAAAACATGACATGGTAATACCTTGTCAACATCCTATTTCAAGGCCATCATAACAAATACAAGCCATAAAATTACCCCAAATCAAAACTTACTGATATAAATTTTGGTTAAGAATTTGTAAAAGTTTCTTACAAGTTTCTTTAGATGAGATATTTCATCAGGTAACTCGTGCAGTTTTGTTTTGTCCAATTTCAACCATCTTAAATTAGGCATGTTTCCAACTCTTTCTGGGAATGATTTGTCCTGTTTAGCATGAAAAATGTGTAAGAAATATTTCAGCAAACTTATGCCGTGCTCATTATATTTTTAGTGAGTTTAATACAGCTAAAAGTACTGGCGTTTATAAAAAATGCCTAGCTGCTTTAGAGCTTTGACGAAACTACGAAGAAAACTGAAAACATTTCAACTTAAAGGACAACCAGCTGTAAATTGTGTAAAAACACTTTCTGAATTGATCAACTATGCAGTGCAGACTGTTTTTCAAGTTTATTTATACTTCAATTGCGTGTTTCGTCAACACAAACCTCAAAATCATTTTGAGAAAAGTCGACACCACGAACAAATGGTAAAATTCCAGCAGCCATCTTCGATCAATAAACATAGGTACGTGCTACGGACATGAATTTTAAATTAGTTTTACAAATCTGTGTCACGTGTTCCTGGACTAGAGACAACCAGTGACAACTGATTAGACTGACACCTACTACTGAATGCAAACGTGTTCGCTGTTTTGCTATGTGCCGCTGTTAAAGAATACCGATCTTCTTGTTATTTGTTGACTTCTTGTCGTCTATATAATGATGGCCCAACAAGATGTGAATAATGAAGAACATCTCTTATCAACAATTGAAATGCTTAGGAATGAGAACTTAGAGTTATGGAATAAAGTAAAAACTCTGAGTACAAAGTTGGAAGATGTAGAGTCAGAGCGTGATTCTTTACAGAGAGATTTAATAAGTTCACGTAAGATCAACAATGAATTTAGGAATGAGAACTTAGAGTTGAAACATGAAAATAAAACTCTGAGTACAAAGTTGAAAGCTGTAGAGTCAGAGCGTGATTTCTCACGTAAGATCATCGATGAACTGTCCATAGAAATAAAATCAGTGAAAGTCAATGGTATGTCTCCGATAAATATCGCGTACCCGGAGGAAAAAGTGATTAACTTGGTCAGGGAAAATATTAGATTGAATTATGAAAAGAGTAAGTGGTTTCTTCTCAGTCAACAAAACGTGAAAGAGTATCAAAATCACCTTTATACAACAGGTCAATTATGCTCAGTGAATTGTTTCTTGTGTTGTATTTTATGGATCTGCAATAACAAGCTCAATTTATATCTTTGCGGCTGTCAGTTCCTAATACTGTTATACCCAGATGTAGTTGATCAAATCAAACCCGAGCTTCGTAGCTGTGAACACTTGATAGTGGAGATATTTTTTAGAAAAGAAATTGTCTATTCAATTTTTGATTTTACCAGAGGAAATGACCAGAATGAAAACAAAGACAAGATACTTAAAATTTGGAATGCAATTAACAATCCTAAACCTGAACAAAGAGTAACATTAATTCTTTCATTGCATAAGTGTAACCAAAGTAGCAAAGGAGAAGTGTTTCATGTTGAAAGTGAAAGCCTTGGACATGCTGAAGTGTTTGATGTTGAAAGAAGACCTGGTCCCAGAAAAATAATAAAGTATGATCCCCAGACTCGAAAGAGGGATACTGTAAACTTTCAGTCATTTTATGACCATGTAAAGGACTTTAAAAAGCTTATCTTATTTGGTGTTGGCTTGGTTAAATTAGAGAAAACAATTAATGATTTTAAAGAAAAAGAACAATTGCATATAACATACGAACCCAATGGAGAAACAAGACACGAAATTCCATCATCTTTGGGCCATACTTAATGGGACAAGCTTAAACAGTGATATGAAGGCGATGGGTATAAGGAGAGATATGGCGAGAGATAGAGACGTTTGGCATAGAAAAGTTCATGGACCGGTCAACCCCCCTGGCAGGGATTAATACTGGCCGGAATACAAATGTTGTTTGTTTGTTTGTTTTGTGTGTTTGTGCCATACTTAATGGGACAAGCTTTCCTGACACTTGTTGCATAATTACTATATACATACATATAGATACAATTTATTATCAAATGAATTGTATGCAAAACAATAAAGTGCTCAATATCAATTTCAGTTGGAGCGGTTCAAGTTTAAATTACAATCTACTTGAATACCATTGTTGGAAGGGAAACGCAGTGTAGTGGATATTATCAAAATATTGATCATAATTTGAAGTTATATATAAACACACGTAGAAATATAGATTTATAGATTAATAAAAAATATCAACATCAATTTCAACATTGTTCAAATAATTTTTAAAAATGCTAGTCGGCAAACTATGGAACACAACAAATTTTTCATTTATTAATTAAGTTTGATTTTTGTTCTGGACTATGGTGGGAATAGACCTTTAAAACCAGAGGTCTCTACAGTCTATAGTATTAGTGGCTTAATCCTTGGATGTATTTAAACAGCAACTGCAAGAGTGCAAGAACAAGAACTGAAACATTTATGATGAATTAGAGATTTTATACAAGTATAATTCAGCACATATTCATACATGTTTGATGTTAAGCCTATAATAATATACATGAAAAAATTTCTCAATTCTGATTGGTTAAGAGCAGTGCAATTTCACATAAATACCAGTGCAAAAATGTGAAACAGTTCAAAAAGAAATACAGTGCGCTTTCTTTTTGAAAAATGCACTTCTGATTGGTTAGTCAAACAAAGAAATCATGTCAGAGCCAATCAAATTAAAACATTTCAAAAGCAGAATAACCATGTAATAACCATGTAATAACCATGACCAGCCGACAATTTAAAGAAATATAGTATAAAGCAAATCCCGAAGAAGCAAGACAAAGTCATCCTCATAACCTCTGTAAAACAAATCGCACCATTAGAGATGTTTGCTTTCTGTTGATATAATTTCTAACTTGAACCTATTTATAACGATGACATTATTTTACATTGTGTATAACCAAAGTTTTGAGACAATGAAAAAATAGATAATGCATTACCTTAATCTGTTTAATAGGTCGCCAAGGATTAAAGAGGCATTTGTAAACCTTTGTATTCATCATCGTTCAACAACTCAGCATTGTTAGTTTCATTGCATCCATCCTTATTTTCAATCTTAAGCAACATTTTGAAGTAGATTTGACACACGTGCATTCATTTGCCACCTTTAACATAATCTTTAAATTCTTCCAAATTCATTGCTCTTGGAACTGAACTTTTCTGGGGATCACAAATCTGAATTTTGTCAGCACATCTGGTTTCCAAATTGCATGCCACAGTGACTGAAACTTTTATTTGTTTCATTTTTTGGAATTCTTCCCAATAGAATGATGTAATTTTGCTGGAGTTTATCATAATCCATGCACATAATGAAGTCCCAAACATCAACACAATTCTAAGAATAGTCAAAATCTTCTTGCTTGTAGATTATGTTTAATTCATAAAGCCAATCCAGCAAGTCGGTGCTCGAATGCCATGAATAATCACGAGTTTCTTTTTTGTATTTTGATAGGATTTTTTCCAGCAGATGATGATTGCATGGAGTTAATCCTTTGATTGTCCAATAAATCCATACCAGGCAAACTGTCACACAGTCAGAAAAGCAAGCCCTTAACTTTAACATGATTTTCATATCTTCCAAATCTTCATTTAAATTATTGATATGATCGTCTTATTCTGCTAATTTTTTTTCGCTAAGTACTAGTAACGTTCTTTTCAGATGTAAAATCTCACTTTTCAGGTTCTTTATACGATCATCGTTAGAATCTTGACTCATTTTTTAAGATGTAATGCTGAACAAGTGTAAACTGATAAAAATATTGAAGCAAAATAATTTACACAACGTACTTCCGTTTAAACTTTGTATTTGAGACTTAAAACGTTGAAATTTCATAAATAACCAGAATGTTTTTTGCTTCGAACAAGAAATTTATACTACAATGACGATGTAAGAATCAGGGGCGGATCTAGAGTATGTCAAATCCGTCGCGCGACTGATGTTTGAAATTCAAAAATTACCTATTCATATTAATTAAAAATTCATTAATTATTCTTACTTTATTATCGCATTTACTTCGTGATAAAAATCCAGCTTTATTTATTATTGAAAACTAATGACTAATCAATGAATATCTCGTTGGTAACCAGATCAGTTGAATTTTAATTGACATGGAATAACCGACTGATAAGGGGGGTGGCTTGACTGATTCGACTGATAAAGGCGTCTATGAACGCCAAAAACGCTTATTTTATTGGTCAATGGCCAGATCAGTGGACAGTTTGGAATGGTCTCGACCGATAAGAGGGGTGGCCGGACGTATAAGGGAGTCCAATTGCTATCTTACAATTGGTTCATTTGAATTTTTGCTTTATTGTGATTGGTTTGACGGATTTCGACTGATAGCCAACTGAACTAACATAGTCAAGCTCACTGTCTGAATTGAATGTTTGACTGTTTCATAGTAATTTTTATAAGCATGATAGAAACTAAACTATAATCAGATGAAATTTATGGAAATCTTTTACAAATTCATATATTGACATGATTCTTGTTATTTTTTTAGTGTTACATGGCTGCTTGAAGAATATGGAGTTGCTGGTCCGAACAAGAAGTTGGCATTCCATTATTCAACGTGGCTTCAATTCTTTCCGTTTTTCTGGTGTTACTTGGGTACTTAGAGCGTATGCATTTCCTAAACGTATGTAAAGTTTTGATTCTCGTTTATGATACATAGCGTTCCCAAGTCGCAATTGGGTATTGTTTCTAAGTTTTTAAGAGATTTACGATCAAAATTTTATCTGTTGTCAACATTTCCATTTATTTTTTTCCTGAAAATGAATTTCTGTTTGCAGAAACCGATCATTCAGTATTATCAACTTGCTGTTTCATCCACAAAAAATGCTAAACGATCATACGGGGCAGCTGCTTGGCAGTTTTGAATATCATATGATTTTTACATTCTTTTATTGAATTTTTAATTTCAGAGAATTTGATTGGTAGTCTTGACGGTCGTTATGGATTTACCTGCAAACATTGGCTCATAGATCGTGCCAGTAGAGGTTTTATATTGTTTGAGAGGAAGAGAGTCTTAGAGAAAAGTTGCATTAAAAAGTACGTTTTCCAGTTAAATCGCAACATTAATTGTAGTTTTGATCATTTTTAGAAAAATTCAAAATACATCAGTGACACAATAAAATTGTAGTGAGCCTGTGGGAACATAAAATACTCGCGATTTGATATCATTTATATTAGTTTGTTAGCTTTATATGACTAAACAGAACATACGTGAGTGTCTACACTGTAGTGACAAAGCACATGAAATATCAAAAAAACTGTAAAGTTTTTGAAACGTAAAGACAGCGTCATATTTTTTAGCAACTTGCTATCCCATAATTGTGTAACTTTGATCAGTTGCGTTTTAATTGTTGCTATACATCGTATTTACTCATACTTTTCTCTAAAATTAATGTTTTATCGCTATAAAATCATATAGGAGTCGTAGTTGACATCAAAAAGTGCAATTTTAATTTTCTACCATTGTAAGAGCTCTAAATTTGTATTTTTGTAGTTTGTGTCACAAGCAATGTCTACCGCCAACCAATTACCAAAGTTTAAAGCCAACACTGGTATTATGCATTCTCACCCATTTCCATGCACAACGCTATTCATTCATTTTCAGCAGTTTTAAAAGACAATTTGGAAAATTGTGAGTCTCTTAGCGACCAAATGTTTTTAATGTTCTTCCTCTCTCACTTAACTCGCGTTTCTGGAACTATTATTGTTATCGTACACTAGTCGTGTTCACTTCTGCCCTTTGAAATGAGCTAGACAGCCCATATAAATACTTGAAATAGACTGCGCTTCTATCGCATAATATTCCCGTGCCTGCTTCTTATTGGCATTTTTATACTTAGTACGACTTTTACTGGTTAGTACTGCCCAATGGCGTGGAGGTATAGTTTTTATTGCGGTGGCCAAAACAAATTTTGCGCCCCTTTCACCTTTTCTTAAAGCTATTTTCAGTTATTTTAGTTATTTTTATTTTATAAAACACAAGCATGAATCTTCATAAAAAAGAAAGTAACTTAAAAACAAAGTATCATCAAGCAATTATATGTCTGTTACGATACTTGTTTTTCATAGTAAAATATATTTATATTAATGCCTTTGCAAGCGTTGGGGAGGTTTCCACAAGTAAAGTTATGATTCTATCTTTGTTGATAGAAACTAGAGTTTTTCTTTCAACTTCCTTTAAAAGCAATGATTCCAGACGTTCCTGTACCATCGTAGATCGGTACCTCGTTTTTACTCTCTTCAGGGAAGAAAAGAACGTTCAGCAGTTGCTGAGCTAATGGGTATGGCCACTGCAATTGAATAAACTTTGCATAATGTTGGGTTTGCGTCGACTAAATGGTACTTTGGGAAACAAAGCAGCTTCAAGGCATCTAAGAATGACGGAATTTTAGCCTTCTCGGTAATTGACGCATTCTTTAAATGCTTACTTATCTCAGTATCAGAATTATTTTCATCATCATCATCACCATCACCATCATCAATACTTTCAAAGTTCTGCTCATTATGATTATGGTCACATTGAGTTGTAAACTGAGAACAGTGAAATTTTTTAAATGTTTCTGCAAAGCTTAACGGCTCAGTAGCGCATCTTTGGGAATCTATATTATACACATCACAAAGGGTTTTCACTCCAGATTGAAGATCGTGAGATGTCTTGTACTTGCTCTAGAGCTCGTGAAATTGATTAGGTGCGAATAAAGCAAATGATTTCATTAGTGGTCGCTTCGGGACTTCTTGCATATAATCTCCGCAATAAAAATATATCATCTATTGTGAATGCATTGGCAATGGAGCTTTACCGTTGAAGAAAAAAAGAAAAGTTGTGAATGCGATTTTCAACGATGCTGAACGATAAAATTGCGTCAACCCAGCAATACTGTACAATCAAAAAAGTTATGTCATATTGCAGCACGTTATATTCAGAGAAAAATTCTGTGATAATCGTATAAAATAAATTCTAAATTCTTTAATAATCGTATAAAAGTCGTAGTTAACATGAAAAAGTGCATTTTTAATCTATTAACATTACAAGAGAAACTCGTAGCTATTTTTGTGGTGTGTCACAGGCAATACTTACTGTCAGCCAACTTCAACATTGATAACTAACCACAGTTGCATACACTTTTTTATTCAATTTGAACAATAGTATTTTGATCATAGTCTCTATGGCTAAATTCCGCCCTGAATTTTCATCGTCTTTTTTCTTTGATATTTTTTGTAGACAGTAGTAAAAACGGTGGAGAAATTAAAGTTATTGCAGCATTTGAAAACAAGAGAATTACGTGTAAGTTTTTTCAATCCTGGGTGGGGTGTAATCTTGTCAATATTAAAAATTGGAACACATTCATAGTTTGATTGAATTTTCATGATCTTCTCCAAACTTATCGGAATTACTCCTATGTACAAATCCTCCGATGGTGCGTATAAAATTGAAGAAATTTATTGGGGAAAATAAAAAATATATAAATGCGATAACTATACAGTAATTCCACGGAATTGGGAGTTTTTTTGTTACGTTTTTAACCACAAGTAAGGTTACGGATATCGTTGGGACTAAATCTCGTTGATAACAAGTTTTCAAGATTGTCTATGACGAGTAAAGAAACCTTCATATAGTTATGCGTCACGTGAAATTATTTGTTCAAATGAAGTGGATTTGATGTTTTATTTATTAGCTATTGCTTAGTCTATCCCATTCAATCAGCATATCAAAATTAATAATTTTTCTCGTAATACTTTTTATTTTCTACAGTTATGAAACGTTTAATAATTTGTTAATAAACAAGCGTTTGCAAAACGATTGCAAAAACGAGTAAGAAAGCATAGAGAAAATGAATGATCATTTATCTTCTATAAGAGCTCACCATGGACTCATATTGTCGGAGGTTTTCGTATAATGGATCATATGCTAAAATATGATGAAAAATACGATACAGAGAAAGTAAATTCCAGTTGAATGGTTTAGAAAATGAAATATTTATCTTTTCTGTTTCGTTGTTTGGACCAAATTTATGGTGAAGTATGTGTTTCTTCTAATGTATTTGCTTATGACTCACACCAAAGGCATTTTCGAAAGCATTCGCGTGTAAAATTTAAACTAAGCCCTTTCAAAACTCCTCCAATCTCCGCCACCAAGTGTCGCCAGGTCACTATATCTTGCTGTGATCTTTTCAAATTGAGAAAATTTATGTAGGTACGAGGACTTGCAAAACAAGTCATTCTTGTTGTTTTGATGCTTGTAGTCAGACGATAGTAAAAACGGTAGAGAAGTTGATAGCGTTGAATTACTTGAAGATCGGAGAATTTTCTGTAGGTTTTGCAGACTTATTTGTATTGTACTCTCATCAAAAGTCAATATTAAAAACCGGAACGCTTTAAAACGTAAGGTTGAATTTTGCAGATTTTTTCATTCATTAGAAAAGTCATTATGTCAGAAGTTAAATTTGATCACATAAAGCCTGTCTTTCTTCCTTATTTACATGTCTAATTTCCGAGTACAAATCTTCAGATTATATTTTTAACAGGATAATTCTTTGCAACTCACAGGAATCAAAGCAAAAATTATTTTGGCAACAACAATTCAAACTAAAACCTTTTCATATTAATTGGTGTATTTTTGTAGAGTTATTATTCTCTAGTCAAGATGCAGATTTTCGATTTCCAAAAAAACAAGGCAATAACATAGGTTTTTACTTTGTTAACGTGTATGCATGACAAAAGTGGTATGATATACGTGGCAGGAAGAGCACACGCATGCAAATTTTCTTATGAAAATGAATATGCTTGGAAATGATTTCAATACTTAGAGTTATAGGCTGATAAGTTTATTTCATAAAGGTGAAGAACCTTATTGATGAGAATTAGAAGAATCAACCTTTTGAGAAAGTTTATCATTAACCAATTATCTATGCTGCATTACTGCAATCTTGAATAGATTAAATGCAACTTTTATCAAATGTATATCTTTTGAAGCTTCCAAAGATTTAATCATGTGCTTTTTCCGTATACTATCTAACGATGGCAAACGGATTATAAGAATTTGATTCTTGGTGCGTCTTGTGATTTTCCTTTGACACAGATTCATTGCGCTGTGGATCTGAACTTTGGGGTTATAATAAGTTTGTTATGTAAGTTGCAATTTACAATGCATTGTGACGTGTCCTTACCTCCCTATTTGGAAACTACATACGAATTAAGATTGGACTGCACCAAGGGCTTTGTACTACAAGACATTTTAAAACTTTTGGATCCTGGTCAACCTGATATATCTCTATAATAAAAAATTGGCACCTTTATTTTGTTGTTTGGTTTTATTTCCGAGAAAAATCATTATTTACTACAAGTTCATCAATAAAATGCTGAGGATTTTTCAAAGCACGTTTCGGTATTGACGCATCTTTGTTTATCCATGCACAATTTTGTTCAAATATGTATTAGACACGAGTTGGAGGAAATGTCCCAATTTTTATATATATATTTATATGTTTAAATTTGGACACATTCGTAGTTTTATTGAATTTTCATGATCTTCTCCAAACTCATCGGAATTACTCCTATGTACAAATCCTCCGATGGTGCGTATAACATTGAACAAATTTATTGGGAAAAATAAAAAATATATAAATGCGATAACTATACAGTAATTCCATGGAATTGGGAGTTTTTTTGTTACGTTTTTAACCAGAAGTAAAGTTACAGATTTCGTTGGGACTAAATCTCGTTGATAACAAGTTTTCAAGATTGTCTATGACGAGTAAAGAAACCTTCATATAGTTATGCGTCAAGTGAAATTGTTTGTTCAAATGAAGTGGATTGATGTTTTATTTATTAGCCACTGCTTGGTCTATCCCATTTAATCAGCATATCCAAATTAATAATTTTTCTCGTAATACTTTTTATTTTCTACAGTTATGAAACGTTTAATAATTTGTCAATAAACAATCGTTTACAAAACCATTGCAAGAACGAGTAAGAAAGCATAGAGAAAATGAATGATCATTTATCTTCTATAAGAGCTCACCATGGACTCATATTGTCAGCGGTTTTTGTATAATGGATCATATGCTAAAATATGATGAGAAATACGATAAAGAGAAAGTAAATTCCAGTTGAATGGTTTAGAAAATGAAATATTTTCTTTTCTGTTTCGCTGTTTGGACCAAATTTATGGTGATGTATGTGATGAATAACCGACTATTTTTGTGTTTCTTCTAATGTATTTGCTTATGACTCACACCAAAGGCATTTTCGAAAGCATTCGCGTGTAAAATTTAAACTAAGCCCTTTCAAAACTCCTCCAATCTCCGCCACCAAGGGTCGCCAGGTCACTATATCTTGCTGTGATCTTTTCAAATTGAGAAAATTTATGTAGGTATGAGGACTTGCAAAACAAGTCATTCTTGTTGTTTTGATGCTTGTAGTCAGACGATAGTAAAACGGTAAAGAAGTTAATAGCGTTGAATTACTTGAAGACCGGAGAATTTTCTGTAAGTTTTGCAGACTTATTTGTATTGTACTCTCATCAAAAGTCAATATTAAAACCGGAACGCTTTAAAACGTAAGGTTGAATTTTGCAGATTTTTTCATTCATTAGAAAAGGCATTATGTCAGAAGTTAAATTTGATCACATAAAGCCTGTCTTTCTTCCTTATTTATATGTCTATTTTCCGAGTACAAATCTTCAGATTATATTTTTAACAGGATAATTCTTTGCAACTCACAGGAATCAAAGCAAAATTATTTAGGCAATAACAATTCAAACTAAAACCATTTCATAATAATTGGTGTATTTTTGTAGAGTTATTATTCTCTAGTCAAGATGCAGATTTTCGATTTCCAAAAAAACAAGGCAATAACATAGGTTTTTACTTTGTTAACGTGTATGCATGACAAAAGTGGTATGATATACGTGGCAGGAAGAGCACACGCATGCAAATTTTCTTATGAAAATGAATATGCTTGGAAATGATTTCAATACTTAGAGTTATAGGCTGATAAGTTTATTTCATAAAGGTGAAGAACCTTATTGATGAGAATTAGAAGAATCAACCTTTTGAGAAAGTTTATCATTAACCAATTATCTATGCTGCATTACTGCAATCTTGAATAGATTAAATGCAACTTTTATCAAATGTATATCTTTTGAAGCTTCCAAAGATTTAATCATGTGCTTTTTCCGTATACTATCTAACGATGGCAAACGGATTATAAGAATTTGATTCTTGGTGCGTCTTGTGATTTTCCTTTGACACAGATTCATTGCGCTGTGGATCTGAACTTTGGGGTTATAATAAGTTTGTTATGTAAGTTGCAATTTACAATGCATTGTAACGTGTCCTTACCTCCCTATTTGGAAACTACATACGAATTAAGATTGGACTGCACCAAGGGCTTTGTACTACGAGACATTTTAAAACTTTTGGATCCTGGTCAACCTGATATATCTCTATAATAAAAAATTGGCACCTTTATTTTGTTGTTTGGTTTTATTTCCGAGAAAAATCATTATTTACTACAAGTTCATCAATAAAATGCTGAGGATTTTTCAAAGCACGTTTCGGTATTGACGCATCTTTGTTTATCCATGCACAATTTTGTTCAAATATGTATTAGACACGAGTTGGAGGAAATGTCCCAATTTTATATATATATTTATATGTTTAAATTTGGACACATTCGTAGTTTTATTGAATTTTCATGATCTTCTCCAAACTCATCGGAATTACTCCTATGTACAAATCCTCCGATGGTGCGTATAACATTGAACAAATTTATTGGGAAAAATAAAAAATATATAAATGCGATAACTATACAGTAATTCCATGGAATTGGGAGTTTTTTTGTTACGTTTTTAACCAGAAGTAAAGTTACAGATTTCGTTGGGACTAAATCTCGTTGATAACAAGTTTTCAAGATTGTCTATGACGAGTAAAGAAACCTTCATATAGTTATGCGTCAAGTGAAATTGTTTGTTCAAATGAAGTGGATTGATGTTTTATTTATTAGCCACTGCTTGGTCTATCCCATTTAATCAGCATATCAAAATTAATAATTTTTCTCGTAATACTTTTTATTTTCTACAGTTATGAAACGTTTAATAATTTGTTAATAAACAAGCGTTCGCAAAACGATTGCAAGAACGAGTAAGAAAGCATAGAGAAAATGAATGATCATTTATCTTCTATAAGAGCTCACCATGGACTCATATTGTCAGAGGTTTTCGTATAATGGATCATATGCTAAAATATGATGAGAAATACGATAAAGAGAAAGTAAATTCCAGTTGAATGGTTCAGAAAATGAAATATTTTTCTTTTCTGTTTCGTTGTTTGGACCAAATTTATGGTGATGTATGTGATGAATAACCGACTATTTTTTGTGTTTCTTCTAATGTATTTGCTTATGACTCACACCAAAGGCATTTTCGAAAGCATTCGCGTGTAAAATTTAAACTAAGCCCTTTCAAAACTTCTCCAATCTCCGCCACCAAGTGTCGCCAGGTCACTGTATCTTGCTGTGATCTTTTCAAATTGAGAAAATTTATGTAGGTACGAGGACTTGCAAAACAAGTCATTCTTGTTGTTTTGATGCTTGTAGTCAGACGATAGTAAAAACGGTAAAGAAGTTAATAGCGTTGAATTACTTCAAGACCGGAGAATTTTCTGTAAGTTTTGCAGACTTATTTGTATTGTACTCTCATCAAAAGTCAATATTAAAAACCGGAACGCTTTAAAACGTAAGGTTGAATTTTGCAGATTTTTTCATTCATTAGAAAAGGCATTATGTCAGAAGTTAAATTTGATCACATAAAGCCTGTCTTTCTTCCTTATTTATATGTCTATTTTCCGAGTACAAATCTTCAGATTAAATTTTTAACAGAATATATCTTTGCAACTCACCGGAATCAAAGTAAAAATTATTTAGGATATAACAATTCAAACTAAAACCATTTCATAATAATTGGTGTATTTTTGTAGAGTTTTTATTCTCTAGTCAAGATGCAGATTTTCGATTTCCAAAAAACAAGGCAATAACATAGGTTTTTACTTTGTTAACGTGTATGCATGACAAAAGTGGTATGATATACGTGGCAGGAAGAGCACACGCAAGCAAATTTTCTTATGAAAAAGAATATGCTTGGAAATGATTTCAATACTTAGAGTCATAGGTGGATAAGTTTATTTCATAAAGGTGAAGAACCTTATTGATGAGAATTAGAAGAATCAACATTTTGAGAAAGTTTATCATTAACCAATTATCTATGCTGCATTACTGCAATCTTGAATAGATTAAATGCAACTTTTATCAAATGTATATCTTTTGAAGCTTCCAAAGATTTAATCATGTGCTTTTTCCGTATACTATCTAACGATGGCAAACGGATTATAAGAATTTGATTCTTGGTGCGTCTTGTGATTTTCCTTTGACACAGATTCATTGCGCTGTGGATCTGAACTTTGGGGTTATAATAAGTTTGTTATGTATGTTGCAATTTACAATGCATTGTAACGTGTCCTTACCTCCCTATTTGGAAACTACATACGAATTAAGATTGGACTGCACCGAGGGCTTTGTACTACGAGACATTTTAAAACTTTTGGATCCTGGTCAACCTCATATATTTCTATAATAAAAAATTGGCGCCTTTATTTTGTTGTTTGGTTTTCTTTCCTAGAAAATTCATTATTTGCTACAAATTCATCAATAAAACGCTGAGGATTTTTCAAAGCACGTTTCGGTATTGATGCATCTTTGTTTATCCATGCACAATTTTGCTCAAATATGTATTAGACACGAGTTGGAGGAAATGTCCCAATTTTTATATATATATTTATATGTTTAAATTTGGACACATTCGTAGTTTTATTGAATTTTCATTGTTTGTACAGGAAATGTGTGGGTGTCAATTGTGTATTGTCATTGTGAATTAGTGTGAAGTGTAATGTTTTTAGTTGATCGTTTGTTTGTATTGTGAAAATAAGTCGTTTGTAAGGTGCTGGTAATTGCTGTGATCTGTTCAGGGGGGTTTGTTCCAAGTTGGTATACAAACTTTCTAATGTAAGCCGTTGTCTATAGTCAGTACTGTAAATAATGCATTTTGCCTAGTCCCACCCAATGTTGTGCTTTGTCAGTCGCTGATGTTCGGCAATGTGATTTGTTGTCTTGTTTCTTTGTAGCTCGTTTTTGTTCAGCAAGTTTTATGTTTAAGTTCCTGTCAGTCCCCCCCCCCTGATGTAGGAAATGTGGCAGTCGGAGCAGTTTATTTTGTAAATTGCACCTAGTCGTTCGTTGGGTTGTTCTTTGTCATTTATGTTCGTTAGTACTTGTCGTAACGTTGTGATTGGTTTATGTGCGACACGTATGTTGTATGGTCGTAAGATCCACGAGATAGTCTCAGACGTACCTTTGAACTAAGAATTTATAACTGCGAGCAAACATAACGTCGTTAAGCATAAGACGCTTTTATAGTGCACAATCGGTTGTGTTTTGAAATATTTGAAGTAAAAGATAGATGTTTACCTATGTACCTATTAATAATATTCACTTACAATTGCTTTCCACAGCCAAAACTGTCAAACATTATTGGAAACTTATTTAAGTGTGATTCTAATAAAAGTGAAAGACATGACTCTGACGATAACTATCGCTTAACATTACCAAACGTCAGTTAACAGGAACAGAAACAGTTATTCACAAAATTGCACTAACCTGGACAATCTACATCTACAAAGTGTTTAAATAACACGTCGACGCTTGTTGATAAAATTATAAAAGAGTATAGTTAAACTAAGAACTTGGCAATTTTTAGTGTAACTTCGCTTTCGACTAACCTAGGACCAATTTTCGATGCCCCACCGGCAAAATTGGCTTTTACTTTGTCCCCCCCCCCCCACTTGCAAAATCCTGGCGACGCTAATGAACGCAAAATATTTAATATTTACTGTTATGCCTTGTGCCTTTATAAATAATCGTTCTGGATAACTAGAATCAGATTCACAAATGCCCCAAAACTCAAAAGCATCTCCTAACCATTTTATTGCCACTATTCTACATAAACAATACTATGTCCAACAATACTATGTCCAACCAAAATAGTTTCCACGCAACATGCTTGAACGCAATGGTAGTATAATTTGTTGCAGTTGATTTGTAATAAATTAATAAACTTTTAGTTTGAGGCCCCGTTTACACTATTCCGGATTGCTATCTTAGCAGGTTGAATATTCTTTGTAGTAAAAGAATATATACCTGTAACATATACACCTAGGACTGTAGAACCCAGTCTACTAGATGCCTGACACCGCCAAAATTCTATACTTGCAAGTGAAACAAGCCGCCATCTTGAAAGGTGGCTAAACTGACGATATTTACGATTAATATCTACTTTTCCTGAGTTGATATACAGTTACAGGGCTGATAGTCTAGGTTTGGTTTTTAGACGTCAAGTTTGAGCATGCTCAAATGCTCTTATCTAATCAGCTTACGAATAGTTCACTAGAAAATACATTACTTGGTAATGCTGATTTCTGAGGGCAGGACAATAAAATAAAGAAAATTAAGAGTAAAATAAGAGAAAAGTAAATAAGAGTAGAGTATAAAAACCCTGACCAGCCTACAATTTAAAGAAATATAGTATAAAGGAAATTCCGAAGAAGCAAGACATCTTGAGATTGCAAAATATGCATCAAAACAAGACGAGAAGTAAACTGTAAATTTTCGACTTTATTTCAAAGTCATTCTCAGACAGAATCAGAGTATGAATGCAGAATTTCTTATGGTTATACTTTACACTTTTGAATATTTCAAATGTAGTAAGATTACTTTTGGTTCTTTGTAGAATCGCGTATTCTAGAATAGTGTTAGTGGTTTGGGGGAAGCCAGAGAAGCAATAGAAGTTTGAGATTGAGGAATTAAAGTGTCCTTTCACCTTTTGACTCTGCTATACCGGTCACAAGCCCGGGACTTGTAGGGTAAGGCTCTCTGCTTTTGAGCAGACTTGTCTCGTTTACAAGGAGGAGGAGTGGAAGGTTTTTACTTACTATTTTATGATTGCTTTAGTGTAAGAAAAATATGATTAAGGTGTTTTGCAAATTGCTACTCGCATTAGGTTTGGTCAGCTTAATATTCTCATATAATTTCTGTAAGAGTGAGTATATACATCGAGGAGAATGAGTTCTAGTTTTAAAATGTTGCCTGGAAACAACATGAAACGTAGAATACCAGAACATGACGCAAAACGCATTATAAATAGTAGCAACTCGCCCTAAATAGTTATACGTAAACAAATTAATCCTCTAGAAAGTAGAAACAATCTGCCATCAGAATCTACAATGACACTAATCAACTTTTTTTAATCGCCATTGTCGAAGGGTTTTTTCAACACCATGACTGCCTACGTCATTGTGCACGTAAATACACTAGCTGTGTTGTTCAAAATGAGGATATAAAAGATCTTTTAAAGTGAGACATTTTCATTTGAGATTTTCACTGTTTCTAGAAGACGGGAATTGAAAGGAAGACTTGCGTCAAGTGAACATCATGGAGAAACTCGCGTCGATTTTTGCTGCCTTTATTCTATCATTGGTAAGGACCTTGTAAATTTACGCTGTTTTTTTTTTAATTTTGAGAAGGATAAACAATTTCTATCATAGTTTTTACATATAGAGCGTGAAAATTAAGCTCAGCAACTAAATGATGATGAAAAACAAATTATTTCTTTGCACCCAGTTATGTAGCTAAATTTAAAATCATTACAATCGCTCAATTTTGAAATAGCTGCGACACAAAATAAAAATTCCGCACTTAACTGAACAGCTATATCATTCTTACATGCAAACACCGTTTTAAATTTATCATAAATACATACATCTATATAAAGCAATAATGCAAAACCAGGTTTGGCATTTTTCGTGGCACGTTTGTTCACGAAAGTTAAAACAGATTTTTCATTTTTTGTTCTAGATAATTTCCATCAATACAAGCCAAGGTAAGGTTCTATAATGAAAAACATAAACGCAAGAGAGCTTCAATTTTTTGTGGGGTAGTACTTTACTTGTCCGAATTTCAAACATATCCATGAGCCATGTAGTAATTTATTATCACTAGCAAGTTTTGTGTTTTAAATCAATTGGTAGAATAAACTGACATCCTTGTAGCAATTTTCACCTTTGCGCTTTAGCACAAAGCAGTTATGCGTCTGCCAATTCGTTTTTGGGACTGTATACTATCCTACTGTACGCGCAGTCGAGACAAAATTCTCACTTTTACTCAATATAACTATTTCAATTTAACTATTTCACATCATAGACAATCTTAAGCATTTCAAGCTTTTACATTCACAGCCAGCGACAGAAGAGCCCTGACTTTCAACGTGTCACAACTAATTAAGTATCAACATAAGTTCCTATTTCCGTTCTTCCATAAGTTCCTTGTGTCAAATAACAAATATCTACTACTTATTTACATAAGTTCAGACAATACTTTCGGGCCCCTAACGACTGATTTGGAAGTGGTAAAGTTGCTAGCAAGAAACGCATAAGGCACGATATAAAGGGCCTCTAGTCCAAGGGTTCTGACTATATAAGAAGAGTTTTTTTTTCCTTTTTTTGCGAGCATGTTGAGCAAGCAAACGCAAATTTATCTGTAATTGCACAACCTCATAGATGAAAGTCGTCTTTTCTCGCAGTCTTACACAATAACAAATGATGCAAATATATCAAAAACAACCGGCTTTTGCTCACTTTGTCTTATTCCTGGAGTGTGTTTTGTACTATATTCCTTACTCATCATTCCTTCAAGCATCTTCCTTCACAACAGGTTACTTATCGACATGCGCAAGTGACTTGTATGCAGTTGGTACGAATGGGAAATTTTATAAAGCTTCTCCACCTACACATGCATACGATAATTGGATTCGTCGTGCAAAGGCAATTGGCAATGGAGGTTGGAATCGCTTCAAGTTCCTCTTTTTTGGACCTGGCGATGCCTTGTATGCAGTTGGTATTAATGGAGAATTTTATAAAGCTTCTCCACCTACATGTGCAAACGATAACTGGATTAGGCGTGCAACGAAAATTGGCAATGGAGGTTGGAATCACTTCAAGTTCCTCTTTTTTGGACCAGGCGATGCCTTGTATGCAGTTGGTTATAATGGAAAATTTTATAAAGCTTCTCCACCTAGAAATGCAAACGATAACTGGATTAGGCGTGCAACGAAAATTGGCAATGGAGGTTGGGCCAAATTCAAATTTCTGTTTTTCGGTCCCGATTTAAACCTATACGCCGTAAGACCAGGAAGAAATCAGTTTCTAACGTCGTACGAACCAAGAAATGCGTTCGACAACTGGGAACGTCGCGCCACGATCATCGGCACAGGAGGTTGGCACGACTTTAAGTTCCTATTCTTTGGTCCTGGAGGTTATCTTTACGCGGTATCAAATGATGGTTCATTTCGAAAAGCCCCACATCCAACGTACCCTAGGGATAACTGGACTGCTCGCTCAACTAAAATCGGTACTTCGGGATGGGCGAGTTTCCGATTTCTGTTTTAGTTCTCTTTTATATACGTACATGGTTTGAGTTAACTTTTACTTTTACAGCAAATTGAAATAAAGTTGTAATTGAAGCATTACATGAGATGTGTTATTTTTTCCCCATAGCTAGTTTTAATGTAGTATATTTCCCAAACCCATTTGTTTTTCTAGATTTTCGCACATAACAATGATTCTTTGATGTTTTTTTCAACAATTTTTCGCCAAATAAGAATTTTATTCGTAAAATCCCGTTTTGTTTCTCATGCTAATCGGGAGATGCAGAAATTTTCTACTGCTTTTGAAATTCGCAAATCGCGTAAAATTGATATGGGAAGTAGCTAAAAATATCTTGGTTGCGCATTCAAATACAGGAGTTTCGTTTCAAAATATTGTTGTAGTGTACAGACGATTTTAACAGAATCCATGCGACGTAAATTGAATTGTAGATGACAAACCGTTTTCACAAAAGAAAAAAATTTAACACTAACTGAACCAAAGAATATGTTTCCAGACGGAGAAACTAGACACCAAAACAAAAACAAAGTATAATTTGACCTTGAACTGACTGATAATGAAATTGTAAACGCTGATCTCTGCACCATACTGTAAAAAACCGCCAAAAGGTAAGTATTTTTAAAATTTCATCCGCATTATTATGCTTTCCGTGCGCATGCTCACACTTGTACTTGTGAAGCGACAATCCCCCAAATAATCGTCATATTCTCTTCGAGTCCTATAAATTTCAGGGTAACAGCCTCCAACTCTAAAAAACTATAAAGTAAATGGTTTGAGCCCGGGAGTATCGTTACATGTTTTTAAATGTAGATCGTCCAGGTTGGTATAGTCCTGAGAAGGACTGTTTTTGTTGTTGTTGACTGACGTTTCGACAACCTTAGCGGTAGTCATCTTCTGAGTCAAAGGTTGCGACAACTCTTAGACTCTGAAGATGACTACCGCTAAGCTTGTCAAAACGTCAGTCAACAGCAACAAAAACAGTCCTTCTCATGACTATACCAATCTGAAAAACTATCATATACAAAAATCTACATGCTTTTCACAAGTTTCCCAACTATGAACAGTAGGTAGTCTTGAAACGGAGTCTGTAATTTCATACCTTCCGTCCACGTGCTCAAATTTATACTTCGCCACAATCTTCAAGATAATCGCTGTGTTTTCGGGAGGCAAAGTTTTCCTTGATTCAAAATCAAGCATGCTGACTAATCGCTTATTGTCTGTAATCAATGTAAACGTGATCTGTTTGTATCTTTTGACTCTGAAGATGACTACCGCTAAGGTTGTCGAAAAGTCAGTCAACAACATCAAAAACAGTCCTTCTCAGGACTTTATTAACCTGGACGATCATCATTTACAAACATATAACGATACTCCCGGGTTCAAACCATTTACTGTAAACGTGATCTCATGAAAATAATTATAAAAACGCTCAACTGCCCACACAATTACTAAAGCCTGGAAAATAACTGCTAATTGTAAAAGAACGCATTCTACATATAATCAACTATGCAAATCAGAATCTTTTTCAATTTGACCTACGTTTCAATTGCGTCCTTATTTAAAGTGCTAATGCAGTGAAATTTTCATACACTGTTTATTTGCTTATTTAAAAGTACTTAATTTTCACATAATTTTTATGGAAATAGAGTTAAATTTTGTTTCTTCAGATTGATTTTATAGACGTCAAAAGTGGCGGTTTTTGTTTTTTTTTGTGCGAACTTTTTTGGCTGCCATGTTTGCTAAATTGACGTCATAAATAGTACACATTTTCAACATGGCAATAGAAATTACTTAATTAAATGAAGATATGATCTATAAACATTCATAAACATATATATTTATAAAACATTCATAAAACATTCAATAGAAATTACTGTTAGTTTGGCGACTTCCGTACTACTTATGACGTCAAATAAGAAAACATGGCGGTCAACAAAATTCGCACAAGAGGACAACTTTTGGAGTTGAAATGAGTCAATTTCCACTCAACGTAAAATGAACATAAATATATTTATTGGTTGCAAACATCTGAATATTTCATTAAGGTTATAAAAAAGTATAAAAAAATTTCACTGCATAAACACTTAAACACAAACCACAAAATCATTTTGAGAACCATTTTTATTAATAAATACAGGTGCGCGTTACAGACGTAAATTTATAATCTGTTACAATAATGAAAATAAATGTTTTCCATTTCTACTAGTATAAGCTGATGTTCTTGTTGTTGTCCAATGTAGTACAGGTTAGGTAAACTATTTTCATCAATGAGAATTCATCAATTATTGACTATGAATGTTCTTATACACAACAAGCTCGTTCAATATCAATTAATGAATTATTAAAATCTTAAATTATTAATCGTAATTAAGTGCTGCTTTTGCATTGGTTGAGGCATTCCATACAATATCAGACTACACAATTCGAATATCAAAAGCATATAAACGTTTTACAATCCATCTAAATCCTGGAAACAAATTCACATTTCTTTTATATGAGCATCTCGCAATAGTTTAGAAAGGTCCAACGTAAAATTGCTAGTTTCGCTACATCCTTCTTTATCTTCAATCTCAAGCAATTTTTCAAAATCAATAAGACCCAAGAAAATTCCTTTGTCGTTTTCAACATAGTGTTTAAATTGTTCAAGATCCATTGTTCTTGGAACAGAACTTTTTTGAGGATCACATATCTGAATTTTGCCACCAGACTTGGTCTTTAAATTGGATGCTACACAATGACCTTCTAGTGCAGGATAAACTTCGAAAATCCTTCCCAATAGTAGCATGTAATTTTTCTTGTCCTCATCAAACTTTATGTTCATAATCGTGTTCCAAACATCATCAACACTATTTTTAGAATAGTTAAAAGCTTTACACAAATGGACTATTTTTAGCTCATAAAGCCATTTTAATAGATCAGTGCGCGGAGCATGCGCACTGTTGCTGGAAATTTTCTTGTGTTTTGCTCTGATATTTTCCAGTAGATGAAAACTGCACGGAACGAAGCCTTCGACTTCATCATAAATCCACACCAGGCAAGCTGTCACACAGTCAGAATTGCAAGCCCTGTATTTCATGACTTTTCGCGTATCGCACAGTTCGCGCAATAATTTTATGATAAAATCATCCTTTTCTTTTAGTCGCTTGTCTTTTTCTTCTAATTGTTTGTCTTTTTCTTCCAATTTTTGGTCTTTTTCTTCCAATTGTTTGTCTTTTTCTTCCAATTGTTTGTTTTTTTCTTCAACTTGTTTGTTTTTTCCTTCCAAACGTTTGTCTTTTTCTTCCAATCTATTCTCCTTTTCTACCAACAAGTTCTTTTGTTCTTCCACTATTATCTCCAATTCAACAACCCTATCTTCCAAGTATTTTGACTGACCATCATTAGATTCTTGAGTGCTCATTTTCAAGATAAGACATCAAATGTGACCTGATCTAATTATTTAAGCAAAATAACTCCTTTAAATATTTACGTTTAAACTTTGTAATTGAGATTTAAGCCAGAAACTGTTTAATCCAGATAATTTGACGTTGAAAACTTGAATATACATGTTGAAATCTTTTTGAACACAATATTATTTAATGATTGAATAGTTCCTTATATTTTACTACTCCATAGCTACAACCTTTAGAAAATTAAAATTGTATAAATAGCCTGGTTATTTTGTGCTTCAAACAATAAGATTACCATATTATCTTATTAGCACGTTTTCATTTATCTAAAATGTTTAATCAAACAATAAATTAATCCTGTATTGATGATGTCAGAATTTATAACCCATCAAACAGTTTACTTAACATGACAATGCCTATATATCACACAAATGCTAGCTAAGTGGCAAAACCATCATGACACTGGTGTTAATTCCTCAGAATTATCAGTCAATGTGAAAAATGGAGCTTTTATAAATTCTTGCTCCTTTTCCCTCCCATTTGTATTAATTTTTGAATTTGATGGAGGGGCTTTGCATTCATCTTCAAAAGCATCATCATTATCGTCATCAAAGGCTGCCACATTAGGCTTGTTATTTACAGCAGTATCTAGCTATCACCTATAACAGTATCATAATCATTTGAATTCATCTTCTACCTCTCTGATAATTATGAGTTTGAGCCTGGGTGCAAAACTTATTCAAATTCAAGCACTTTCTCTGTGCCACACTGAGTCCTTTGCTGTCTTTGATTAAATTCCATAGCTTAAATGAAAAACCATTTACAAAAATTGAATTCCATTTTTACAAGATGTAAAATAAATTTACTAATCATATCATGTCATATGTTTGTGTTCAAAAATTACTCAAATTTTGAATACAAGAAAACAAAATAATAACTTTATGAAGCACACTTTAGAAACATTGCACTCAATCAAATCATATTGGATTCTTGAACCTTACTGGACAAAGTTGCCAATTGGCAACAAAAATATTTTGAACGAAATAAAACAAAACAATGTTGCCGTTCACTGATTAGAAAACTATAAACAAACCCATTTAAAGAACCATGACCAGCCGACAATTTAAAGAAATATAGTATAAAACAAATTCCGAAGTAGCAAGACATCTTCAGATTGCAAAATATGCATCAAAACAAGACGAGAAGTAAACTGTAAATTTTCGACTTTATTTCAAAGTCATCCTCAGACAGAATGATATTTAAAACCATACATACACATATCTATTCAAAACGCAATAGAAATTAATAGTGTGATATTTACAAAGGCAGAGTTGGAAGAGGTGTAGTATTTCAAAAGGATGAATTGAAACTGCCGACCCAATAAGTATACTTCCGTTTACTTATTTCATGCGTTGTAAATATATATGTGTATGTATGGTTTTAAATATAATTCTGTCTGAGGATGACTTTGAAATAAAGTCGAAAATTTACAGTTCACTTCTCGTCTTGTTTTGATGCATATTTTGCAATCTCAAGATGTCTTGCTTCTTCGGAATTTGCTTTATGCTGAACCATTTAAATCTATACATCTTTTTTTATTAACAAATATCCTGAAGATTTAAGTATAACAATGACAAAACCAAAAAAAATATCATACCTAAAAAAGTGCAATCTATCACCCACAAAAATTCGCCTTAGCAGTTTTAAAAATTTTGTATTCTTTGTCTTTTCTCATAACAAAATGGCGGCTACATGTCAACAAACATTACATTACTTCATGTTAGCTACATATAAAGACGTTAGAAAACAGAGGGGGGGGGGAAGGAGGAATCTTTTATCTCTAAAGAATTAGAGGGTTATGACGTAATGACAGGCAAAGTACTATCTGTGCGGATTTACATCGTCAAAATTAATGTCAATGACATTACAGAAAAATGAAAGGTGTGAAATTATGAGCGCAAGTAGAATCAAATTTATGCGATTGCCTGCAATGAAAAAGCTATTTCAAAGATTAAATCAATGCAAGTCACGAACGTGCAGATATATCGGTTGAATGAAGAACATACACACATCAGAAATCTGTTTTGAAAGAAAAGTTGTTGGCGATATAGTATTTATTAAAAAGAATTTTTATTGAAAATGATGTGTTTATTTGTGAGAAATCTTAAAAACTTCTCTTGTAACGACGTGACAAGCAATCTAATCATGGACAGAAAGGGTTTGACAGTTACTGGGTCATTTCCCTAAATAGTTAGCACGAAAACACATTATTGAAATCACAAACAAGTTTGATTTAAGTAATATCAAATGCATATTATTTCAATAACCTTCAATTAACCTACTTCATTAAGTGACGATATAATTAACATGCTACCCATGTAATGCGTACCTATTTCCACTCACATTGCTTTGGTATTAAAGAACGAAAATACATATAATCTCCGTTAGGTTACAACATTCACTTTTCTAATGTAAAAGTGTTTTAAAAAATTATTATTAAACATTTTATCAACATAGGAAGATAGTTGAAATGATACTTGTGCTTGATCTAATATTTCTGTTTAGTGGTGATTACTATTATCGTATTGTACATTGTTCATTAAGCCATTCTTTGTTTTATATCTATGCATTATTGTTGCATTTGACCATCACAAATACTACTTATTAATTATTTACTCTTATAAAAAAACTGTGCAAAATTTGAAAATTGTTTCACAAAACAAAGAGAATTCTGAATTTTAAGTCTTTCATACTTTCTCTTTTTTTTTCAATGTTTTATCCCTTTCTTTCAAAATTTTTGTTTTTTCTTCAAAGCTGTTCTCTTTTGCTTCCAGTCCGTGGTTCTGTTCTTCCAACCTGCTGTCCTTTTCTTCTAATCCATTTTCTTTTCCTTTGAATACATTGTTTGGCTTTTCCAGAATGTTGCCTTTTGTCTTATCCTTTCCTTTCGATTCATTTAGTTTTTTGTTTAGTTGCTTAACCTCTTCATTCAATCGTTTTACTTTTTCATCGGATTGTTTCTCTTTTTCATCCATTTGTTTCTCTCTATAATCCATTCGTTTGTCTTTTTCATCAATTTGTTTCTTTTTTTCATCTATTCGTTTCTCTTTTTCATCCATTCGTTTTTCTCTTTTATCAAATTGTTCCTCTCTTTCATTAAATCGTTTCACTCTTTCATCAAATCGTTTCTCTCTTTCATCAAATCGCTTCTCTCTTTCATCTATTCGTTTTTCCCTTTCATCCATTCGTTTTTCCCTTTCATCCGATCGTTTCTCTCTTTCATTCATTCGTTCCTCTTTTTCAACCACTCGTTTCTCTCTTCCATCCAATTGTTTCTTATTTTCATCCAATTGCTTCCTGTTTTCATCCAATTGTTTTCTGTTTTCATCCAATTTTTTCCTGTTTTCATCCAATTGTTTCCTTTTTTCTTCCAATTGTTTCTTTTTCTCTTCCAAGGCTCTTTCTTTTTCTTCTAATCTTTTGTTTTTCCGTTTCAACATATTATCCTTTTCTTCTGACACGTTCCTTTCTTCTTTCAACATTTTTTCCAATTCAATGATGTTATCTTCCAAATAACTTGACCGACCATCTACAGATTCTTGGATGCTCATTTTCAAGATAAGATATCAACCAATCTAATTATTAAAGAAAAATAAAATAAGTTAAAAGTATTGAAGTAGGAATTCAACGGAATATAATTGGATGGCTACTTCCCGCCAAAATTTGAGGCCAGCAATTCAACGACTCCCAATCCTTCCCAACACGGCCAAAATAATTCATTAGTCATTACGGTAGTAAAATAAAATGCACAATCTTATCTACAGACACATGTTTAAACGTAAAATTTGGTTTCATGGAAGTTCAGGTCTTTGTTTACCTGGGGCTCGTTGCCTGAAGCTTGGATAGCATTATCCATTGGATAGTAAAATTTTCAAACTTGTAAAAATGGTGTTTATATTGTCTTACGGCAAAAGAAATTTTGTAATCTTAGAAGCAATATTTTATTTCAGTGATTGCTCAGTTCAAACCTTATATTTTTCCTTTTTAAGAAGTTCTCTAACCGTTTAAAAAAATTGCTATCCAATGGATAACGCTATCCAGGCTTCGTGCAACCGGCCCTGAAAGTAGCCTTCACTTTCCAGTTAAACAATTAGTTGAGATGCGTGTACCGTATAATTCGCTTTGACAATTCTAATGTACTAAAAAAGTTCAATAGAAATTCCCCGGAATGACTGAAAAAATATATAAAGAATTCTTTGTATTCGAACTTCTCTCATTAGAATAAGAGGGGAAAATTATTAGAATAGTACAAAGTTCAGTGTCAGTGTAGCATTTAAACAACAATAGCCATCAATATTCGCCACAACCAAGGTTTTTGAACTTTCCTCGCTGATTAAACACAAATTTGCCTTAATCCAGCTTATTAATTAAAAGAAATAAAAAATTTATATTGACTTTCTTATTAATGTACTTGAATAAGTGCGAAACATGCATCATAATACAAAACATAAGGAACAATTCAGAATTGATGCCAATAATTTCCAAAGTGCAAAATGTAAATTTTACAGTCGTAAAATAACGGAACAAGCCTTTAAATAAATACACATAATGAATCATCACCTTTTTAGTGTAATGTAAACCAATTAGAGATACCGATAAACTCGTGACTAAATGTACAACTCCGCTTTAGGGAACTGTAACAGAAATATAAAAGATGATAAGTACATTTGAGAGACAAACATGATGTAAGTGACTTGATTTAATATAAAAATAAACAAAAAGTACTAAATGACGAACCTTTTCTAAATTAACGTTTTCTTTCAAGTCGACGCACTTGAAGACTTGCTGATGTCAATCAGTCAATGTACTTTGTCCTGTGACCGTCACAAGACATAGATAATTATATTTTGAATATTACATTTGAATAATATACAATAATAAAAATAAATTAATAGTGAGTTAATAAAAACAAACAATAAAGAATGTGATTATGTAATTTATTTAAAAAGTTCACAAGTTTTGTTTTAAAGGAGTGAAAAATCTTGGAAAACCTAAGAAAAACGCTCAAAAACTTCTGCATAAGTTTAAAACACAAGTTTAATCTTGAACTTCATGATGCAGCAGTATTTCTTTCTAAAGCTGTATTTTTTCTATATCGATGAATTGATACCACTGAACGAATTATAATTGGATGGCTACTTCCCGCCAAAATTTGAGGCCAGCAATTCAACGAGTCCCAATCCTTCCCAACACGGCCAAAAATATTCATTAGTCATTACGGTAGTAAAATAAAATGCAGAATCTTATCTACAGACACACGTTTAAACGTAAAATTTGGTTTCATGCAAGTTCAGGTTTTTGTTTACCTGGGGCCCGTTGCACGAAGCTTGGATAACATTATCCATTGGATAGTAAAATTTTCAAACTTGTGAAAAAGGTTTTTATATTGTCATACGACAAAAGAAATTTTGTAATTTTAGAAGCATTATTTTATTTCAGTGATTGCTCAGTTCAAACGTTATATTTTTCCTTTTTAAGAAGTTCTCTAGCCGTTTAAAAAAATTGCTATCCAATGGATAACGCTATCCAGGTTTCGTGCAACCGGCTCTGAAAGTAGCCTCCACTTTCCAGTTAAACATTTAGTTGAGACGCGTGTACCGTATAATTAGCATTGACAATTTTTAGCGGGTGTTTACATGAATCCGGAATGACTTTCAATCCCGATCAAAACGTGATGTCAATCCGTGTTTACATGGGAAATCAACACAAGGATTGACATTTCGCGGGAATTTTGAAATTTGAAGATGGCGAACATAAACATTATAGCAACCCTTTTTTTCTGTTGCTCCTGCGTTAATACAGCTTAACACTTGCATGAAACTAATTGTTGTTTTTCTTCGCACTTATTTTAGCCCATTTAGCCGCTTTATTTGCTCACGAGCTTCAATTTCCCTGAATCACAATCTCATTCCAGAATGAAACTCAATTCGTGCTTACATGAGATTAAAACTAAATTTCGATCCGGAATGAAAATAGGAATGAGCTCCATCCGGATCGAGTTGTGACTCATTCCAGATTCATGTAAACATGCAGTAGGATTTCTTTTGAAATGGAATGAGTTCATTCCGGATCGATAGTCCTTCCGGATTCATGTAAACACCCCCTAATGTACTAAAAAAGTGCACTAGAATGACTGAAAAAAATATAAAGAATTCTTTGTCTTCGAACTTCCCTCATTACAATAAGAGGGGAAAATTATTACAACAATACAAAGTTCAATGTCAGTGTAGCATTTAAACATCAATATTCGCCACAACCAAGGTGTTTGAACTTTCCTCGCTGATTTGAGTAATTTTCAGAAATTTTCCCTGACGTCCATCAATTTAAACGCAAATTTGCCTTAATCCAGGTTATTAATTAAAAGAAATAGAAAATTTATATTGACTTTCTTATTAATGTATTTGAATAAGTGCGAAACATGCATCATAATACAAAACATAACGAACAATTCAGAATTCATGTTTATAATTTCGAAAGTGCAAAATGTAAATTTTACAGTCGTAAAATAACGGAACAAGCCTTTAAATAAATAGACATAATCAATCATCACCTTTTTAATGCAATGTAAACCACTTAGAGATACCGATAAACTCGTGACCAAATGTACAACTCCGCTTTAGGAAACTGTAAGAGAAATATAAAAGATGATAAGTACATTTGAGTGACAAACATGATGTAAGTGACTTGATTTAATATAAAAATAAACAAAACGTACTAAATGACAAACCTTTTCTAAATTAACGTATTCTTTCAAGTCGACGCACTTGAAGGTGATGTCAATCAGTCAATGTACTTTGTCCTATGACCGTCACAAGACATAGATAATTATATTTTGAATATTACATTTGAATAATATACAATAATAAAAATAAATTAATAGTGAGTTAATACAAACAAACAATAAAGAATGCACTTAAACTTAAGTCGTTTTTATAAGTGAATTTTAATTGATAGTGTTATTTATTACAAGTGGTTTTGTTCTAGCGTAAATGGCTAAGTTTGGCAGAGCGTGGCAAAGCTGAAACAAATTTGATGCAAACTTCGAACTTCATCTAACATTTTACAAATAACCCATTCTGTTTTCATTTGACTTATTCGATTATTAATATGCATAATGCAGCATATACTATAAAGCATTAATATTTTAAGCAAAGTGTGCGGTAGCTAGTTGAGTGATATGATTTATCCTTATTGGCAAAACTACCAAAGTTAAATCTTGCCAATTAAAGAAAGCAGATTTTCCAAAAATAAACACGTTTAAAAAATACATATTTAAAAATTTATCGAAAGACCAGCTTTTCAAAGAATTCCGCTACCTATTACATTATTTCCGACTCCAAAAGCGGAAAAAAGTTTCCATGGTTTGACCACAAGTTCATAGCTACTTTCAATGCAGATATCAATGACATATTCATGCAACAAATACTTGTTTGTGACCTACTTCTAAACATGGTAGAACGGTCAATATTGCAATCAGTGATTCCAATACATGGTAATCGTGTCGTACATATTGTGTTCTCAGTGATGAGTCATTGTCAACGGTATAAAAAAATTACCATTTAACAAATTTGAGAAATGACAACGACATTTATCTAAATAATATGTTGACTAAGAGACACAAGTGATTCAGCAAAATGAAGTTAAGTGGAATACTCAACACAAAAAGAAACATATTGCTCTCACAGATATCTCCAGGTACCAGTCAATATCGGGCTTATACTTCAATTTTTTCCAACTCTTTCAAACATTCTACCAGACTTTACGTTCTATAAGTCAGTTGTAAATATAAAATTGGGAAAACGTGAAAACGCTTCAAAAACAGTAAAGGAGGCCTTTAAAAACACAAGAATTAAGGTCCCACGCGTCGTTAGAACATACCGTGGGTAACTTTTTGAGCTTGAAAACTCAGACATTAGTTTATTTAAAAAAATAATGAAAAGCATTTTGCTAGTTTTTGGTTCATACGTATCATCCATTGTCTCCATCATTTGGATAAAATCTTCTTTTTAGAGATGGTGAGTCTCACATGTGATTCATTTTATTCTTTATGCAGGATGTAAGATTTTCTTTTGCCTTTATTTGAAATGAGTATTGTTGATTACAGGTACAAAACAAACAGGTTTAGGATTTCTTTCAAAGTAAAATAGAGCCACTTACCAAGACTTGGAGGTTCACCAATCTTCGTAGTTGAGGTGGTAGAGAATCTGGAAAATTTTAAATACTGAAATCTTTAGTGTATGAAAAATGAACACGTCAACACGATAATCAAACGACAAAAAAACAACTATTCATTTTGTCTTTAAAAGAATTTAACTTGAACCAAGATTATGAAGTTCAATAAAATAAAGATACAAACCAAGTTGGTTGTCACTGAGATCCAAATACATTAAATCTGTGCAGTTGATGAATAACTAAATACAAGATAATAAAATTAACCATCTTTAGTACACAGATAACGATTCTAAAATGACAAAATGATAAAATCATGCAACTGATTAGGTATATTTTCAATCCTAAATGAATCAAAACAGGAGAATGTAAAACAAGAGCAACATTGTCTCTCAGCACACGACTATAGCTCACTTTCTCTATTGAATTGAAGTTTTTATTTACATAAAGTAAAAGCCTCAGATCTCACCTGTTATTGGCCAGTGATAAAACACAGAGAGAGTGTGCATTTTCCAGTTCTTCAGGTGCCTACATATAAAAATATATCACTTAAGTAAAAACATAAAAGTTTTTTAGTAAAACATTAAGATTTTATCACCTCTTATAACTGGTTATGACTGAAATCTTTCATGGACAAAAAAAATTATTTCTCAGTACTTTATCAGTAAATACATCATTAATTTAGAAAGTCAAATTTATTCAAACACCTTACCACAGTCAGTAGTTCTTCCAAGCTGAACACGCCATTGGGAATACCAGAATTTTTTAGTTGATTCTTCCCAGCATTAATCACCTGTGTTAAGGATTTTTGACTTTAGTATTGACAAAATGTACAAAATACTATTAATGGCAAAACAAGACCCTACAATTTGTTATAGTGTTAGGGAATATATGACCAATGTTCAAATAAATTGTCATATGTGCATTTTTATGCATGGTTCTTGTTAAATAAATCATACAAACAAACAAACAACATTTATATACCGGCCAGTATTAATCCCCGCCAGGGGGGTTGACCTGTCCATGAATTTTTCCACGCCACACATCTCTATCTCTCGCCATATCTCTCGTTATACCCATCGCCTTCATATCACTGTTCACAGCATCCATCCATCTCTTTCTCGGTCTACCTCGTTTGCGGACTCCATCAACAATCTCTATTACTAAATTTCTATTACTAAATTTCTATTACTAAATTTCTATTACTAAATAGAGATAAATAAATCATCTCTATTACTAAATTTTATATTTACAAATAACTAGTACAAACACAATGTTTGAATTTAGTTTGCAAAAATTTTGCCATAAAATACATAATACATACTTTAAGATTGCTCAAAGCTGTTAAATCTCTATTATAAAGGCTGTCCAACTGGTTCTTCCTCACAGACAAATGCTCCTTCATAAAATAGAGAAAGCAAATATATGTTGTATTGTCACATTTATTGCAGACATTATTTTGAAGTCTACTTAACATGTTCTTTAAGAATGAAAATAATGTAAGCTTTTTAGGCAGCCGTGAGTGGTCAATAAAATATCAAACCAATGTTATGCCATATTGACTGAGCTTTAGTAGACTCAGTACTAACATTCACTACTTTACAATTATGTACAGTCAGTATTGACCAAATAATAGGTGTAACTTCCTTGTCAACCAGCTTATATCAGGGCTGTCATAACAAATGCAGGTCATATAATAACCTCAAAGTTTGTTAAAGTTTGTTAAAGGTTTCTTACAAGTTTTTTTAGATATTTCATCAGGTAATTCCTGTATTTTCGTCTTGTACAACATCATCCATCTCAAGTTAGGCATGTTTGCAACTCGTTCTGGGAATGATTTGTCCTTTTAAGCAAAAAAATATATATCTCATGAATGTTTCAGCAAACTTATGCCATTTTCGTTACATTGTTTAATGAGTTCAATACAGTTAAAAGTACTGTCGTTAATCAATTCTTTAGAAATGCCTAACTGCTATTGAGCTTTCATGAAAGTACGAAAACATTTTAACTCAAAAGAAAATAGCAGTAAATTGTACAGGAAAATATTCTACAAAGGATCAACTATACAATGTAGACTCTTTTTCAAGTTTATTTACATTTCAATTGCGTTCTTAGTCTACACAAACCTCAAAATCATTTTGAGAAAAGTCGACATCATGAACCATTTTAATCAATAAAAGTACGCGTTACGTCACAAATTTTGAATTAATTATAACTTTATAATCCCACCTTTCCGACAATACTGATGTAAATTGTTACATGTCACTTGTGTTTTAGAGAATATAGACAACATTACAGAATAAATATCTTCTTGTTGTTTGTTGACTTGTTGTTTTCAATTTAATGATGGCCCAACAAGCTGTGAATAGTATTGAAAAAACTGAAAATCAAAATCTGCATTCAATAATTATAAAATTAAAGAATGAAATTTCACTGGTGAAGAAAGAGAATTCTGTGTTAAAAAATGAAAAAGAAATTCTGAATAAAAAGTTGGAAGACCTGTACGTGTATGTATGGTTTTAAACATCATTCTGTCTGAGGATGACTTTGAAATAAAGTCGAAAATTTACAGTTCACTTCTCGTCTTGTTTTGATGCATATTTTGCAATCTCAAGATGTCTTGCTTCTTCGGAATTTGCTTTATACTAAACCATTTAAATCTATACATCTTTTTTTATTAACAAAGACCCTGAAGATTTAACTATAACAATGACAAATTCCAAAAAAAAATCATACCTTAAAAAGTGCAATCTATCGCCAACAAAAATTCGCCTCAGCAGTCTTCAAAATTCTGTATTCTTTAACTTTTTACATAACAAAATGGCGGCTAAATGTCAAGAAACAATACATTACTTCATGTTAGCTACATATAAATACCTTAGAAAACAGAGGGGAAGGACGAATCTTTTATCTCTAAAGCAGGGGTCTCCAAACTTTACAGCCAGAGGGCCACATGAACTTTCATCCAGCATGTTGAGGGCCGAAGAATAAAAAAAAATTTCCACGTTATCCTTCAGCTTTTTAAATTTCGCAATGTGCTTGAAACGGAAGTAGGAAGTTGGGAGAAAAATTGACGTAAGCCACTCTTGCTAGTTGGCTTGCGACATAACGTGAACTTTCTGCACAAAATTTATTTTGTTTAATAATATTATTATTTTTTCTGAAGTGCCTCTGCGGGCCGGATTGAGAGGCCCAACGGGCCGCATCTGGCCCGCGGGCCGTAGTTTGGAGACCCCTGCTCTAAAGGATTAGAGGGTAATGACATAATGACAGGCAAAATACTATCTGTGCAGATTTACATCGTCAAAATTAATGTCAATGACATTACAGAAAAATGATACGTGTGACATTATGAGGGCAAACAGAATCAAATTTATGCGATTGCCTGCAATGAAAAAGCTCTTCCATTTCAAAGATTAATCAAAGCAAGTCACGAACGTGCAGATTTATCTGTTCAATAAAAAACATACACACGTCAGAAATCTGTTTTGAAAGAAGTTTTTGGCGATATAGTATTTATTAAAAAAACTTTTTATTGAAAATGATGTGCTTATTTGTGAGAAATGCTAAAAACTTCACTTGTAACGACGTGACAGGCAATCTAATCATGGACAGAAAGGATTTGAAAGTTACTGGTTCATTTCCCTAAATTGTTAGCACGAAAACACAATATTGAAATCACAAACAAGTTTGGTTTAAATAATATTAAATGCATATTATTTCAATAACCTTCAATTAACCTACTTCATTAAGTGACGATAAAATTAACATGCTACCTATGTACGCAATGCGTACCTATTTCCACTCACAATGCTATGGTATTGACTGACTTGTTCTTACAAGACAACATGTAATATGTGTTATTAAATAAAACAATTTCACAGATTGTCACTTCATGGTCGTAAAATTCCAAATTGACATTAATAGCAATCATCACCTGCATTAAATTTCTATTTACTCCGCAGTTATACAGGAAACTTTAAAATTGACTCCTGTAAATACATGACAATAGACTTAAATGTTTGATTAAAGAACGAAAATACATATAATCTCCGTTAGGTTACAACATTATCTTTTTCTTTGAATACATTGTTTGGTTTTTTCAAAATGTTGTCATTTTTCTTATGTGAAAGTGTTTTAAAAAATTATCATTATTAAATGTTTTATCAACATAGGAAGATAGTTGAAATGATACTTGTGCTTGATCTAATATTTCTGTTCAGTGCTGATTACTATTATCGTATTGTACATTGTTCATTAAACCATTCTTTGTTTTATATCTATGCATTATTGTTGTATTTGACAATCACAAATACTACTTATTAATTATTTACTCCCATAAAAATATTGTGCAAAATTTGAAAATTATATGACAAAACAAAGAGAATTCTGAATTTTAACTCTTTCATACTTTCTCCTTTTTTTTCAATGTTTTATCCCTTTCTTTCAAAATTTTCGTTTTTTCTTCAAAGCTGTTTTCTTTTGCTTCCAGTCCGTGGTTTTGTTCTTCCAACCTGCTGTCCTTTTCTTCTAATTCATTTTCTTTTCCTTTGAATACATTGTTAGGTTTTTCCAGAATGTTGCCTTTTGTCTTATCCTTTCCTTTCGATTCATTTAGTTTTTTGTTTAGTTGCTTAACCTCTTCATTCAATCGTTTTACTTTTTCATCGGATTGTTTCTCTTTTTCATCCATTTGTTTCTCTCTATCATCCATTCGTTTGTCGTTTTCATCCATTTGTTTCTTTTTTTCATCTGTTCGTTTCTCTTTTTCATCCATTCGTTTTTCTCTTTCATCAAATCGTTTCTCTCTTTCATCCATTCGTTTTCTCTTTCATCAAATCGTTTCTCTCTTTCATCAAATCGTTTCTCTCTTTCATCAAATCGTTTCTCTCTTTCATCTATTCGTTTCTCCCTTTTATCCATTCGTTTTTCCCTTTCATCCATTCGTTTCTCTCTTTCATTCATTCGTTTCTCTTTTTCAACCACTCGTTTCTCTCTTCCATCCAATTGTTTCTTATTTTCATCCAATTGCTTCCTGTTTTCATCCAATTGTTTCTTTTTTTCTTCCAAGGCTCTTTCTTTTTCTTCTAATCTTTTGTTTTCTCGTTTCAACATATTCTCCTTTTCTTCTGACACGTTCCTTTCTTCTTTCAACATTTTTTCCAATTCAATGATGTTATCTTCCAAATAACTTGACCGACCATCTACAGATTCTTGGATGCTCATTTTCAAGATAAGATATCAACCAATCTAATTATTCAAGGATAATAAAATAAGTTAAAAGTATTGAAGTATGAATTCAACATTCTAGACCCGAACTGATCATTTAGAAAAAAGTTTTGAGCCTCATTTCTTTAAACAATGTCGTCATTCTGAATGAAGAATACCAGAAAATAAAAACGAAGCACAAAGTTTCCGTAACCATGACAACGCTCAATCATTCACAAGGTTACATGAAACTTATAGAAGAACAGATGGTGACAGTAACAGAAAATTATAATGTGTATTTTTGATGAATTTGTTCTGACCATAATATACGCTCAAATTTCACGGTTTTCACTGACTAACATAAGCTGCCAAAATTGTTTTAAATAATTTTACTTGCTCTTGAAATCATAAATCACATTATTAAATCTTTAATTAATTTTTGCGATAGCAATTTGACTATTTTAGAACTTAACATGAAAAACATTCGCGTACTTCATCTTATGTAATTTAAATTAAAAAGTTCACAAGTTTCGCTTCAAAGGAGTGAAAAATCTTGGAAAACCTAAGAAAAACGCTCAAAAACTTGTGCATAAGTTTAAAACACAAGTTTAATCTTGAACTTCATGATGCTGCAGTATTTCTTTCTAAAGCTATATTTTTTCTATATCGATGAATTGATACCACTGAACGGAATATAATTGGATGGCTACTTCCCGCCAAAATTTGAGGCCAGCAATTCAACGAGTGCCAATCCTTCCCAACACGGCCAAAAATATTCATTAGTCATTACGGTAGTAAAATAAAATGCAGAATCTTATCTACAAACACATGTTTAAACGTTAAATTTGGTTTCATGCAAGTTCAGGTTTTTGTTTACGTGGGGCCCGTTGCACGAAGCTTGGATAGCGTTATCCATTGGATAGTAAAATTTTCAAACTTGTAAAAAAGGTGTTTATATTGTCTTACGACAAAAGAAATTTTGTAATCTTAGTATGAAGAGTAATCAATCTTAGTATCTTAATCTTCTACTACAGTTGGCTAATGCTGAGTTGACAATGATGACAGGAAGTTGACCCCTTCATAGTAGCGATGATATTGCCCTCAAATATGGCACGCCAAACATAACAAAAGTGTATCGAGAATTCCAACCACCAGTCGAGAATCATAAGTGACATATGAGAAAAACAAGCATGTGTTGAGAAAATCAACCATACGTCTAGATGTCTGACTGGCAAACTGGACAGCGGTTGCGAAACGTATATGACAAATACTTCGTGTCATCCATATAACATAACATGGTCTTCAGTAAACAATGGCTGAAGAAAATGGCGTTCCGAATAATATTGTAGAAAATATTCTTACAAGACTGGACGAACTCTCTTCGCGCATTTCTCCCCAAGAAACTGGTGAAAGAGAGGTCAGGCGTCTTTTTAGTGGAAGAAGAACTTCTTCTTCAACATCACAAGCATCGTCTTCCAGGCTTGCAACCGGGAGGCAAAATTCAACCTATCCAAATAACAGAAATTTTGTACGGAGGCACAATTTTCAAGGACAACGTCCTTCAAATGTTGGTCGCGGAAAGCTAAGGAGCCTAAAGTCAAAGCGATCGATAACAGGACCTTCATGCGTGACTTGGTACTGCTTGACGGCAGGGAAGACCTGCTTGAAAGCACATGCTTGTTTTTCTCATATGTCACTTATGATTCTCGACTAGTGGTTGGAATTCTCGATACACTTTTGTTATGTTTGGCGTGCCATACTCAAACACATAAAAATCGATATAAAGGTCGAACGACACAAAATTAGTGAATGATTTAGGTTTACTTTGTGAACGTAAGTTGTTTGTACTCATAATGTTTACCTGGAATTTTATTCCTTAGCTTTTACACAACTAGACAGGATATTTTTGAGGCTTGATCGATCCTTGATGTGCTCGAACATATACTTCTGAATGATCTGAGTTTTACATAGCCGTTTATATATTGCTAAAGCTATTAAGACATCCCTACTGCGTGGTGTTGTTCTTGCAACACCCACTTGTATAAAAATTTATCAAAGATTTGAACATTTTTCATTTGAATATACCACCATAAAGAATAGTTTTCGCAGTATATCTATGCTTAATATGTAAAATTTGAAGATTACAATTGATTGTGTGGTTATTGTAAGTAAATGATGATGTTATCATTTCGAAAAATTATAATCATGTCCAAGAGGAAGATAGTAACAATAAATATCTACAAAAATCTTGCTGTATGTATTTGATTAGACATGAGACAATGTATAGTCGGGATAAGGAAATAGCAAAGCTTGTAAAAACGCGTGGGTTTTTGGGGGTATTTTGTGAAATTTTCAAATGCAGAAAATATTTATTTTTGAAATTTTCTGTCCTGCAAGAAGCCAAATATTTCATTTAGGCCTGTCCCGAACAATCTGCTCCTCGAAGTGAACGACATTCCTTGTTTGAACAAAACATATACCTTGATATCGGCCGATCTTGTAATTTAAGTTTGTGATCATTAGATTGTAGCTTTATACAAATCTATCATAATACTCATTAAAGAAAGATACAGAGAAACAAAACATAAAAAATTCAAAGAAAGTTATATGAAGTATAATAACTTTGATATGGTTTGCTGCATTTTTCAACCTACAGCTACTAAAAACCTGTCTTGTTTAGAAGCTTTTTTAAAGAACTGGAAAGTTGTTTGGAAACTTTTATAGCAAATGTTTCCATAATTCCATGGCAACTAAACGTCACCATAACAATGATAATTTGGATTCAATTGCTTGGAACAAATTCTATTTGAACTGAAAGAATATTCATTGATTCAAACTTGAAGGCATGTGAATTTTCTTTACATCTTGTAATGAAAATTCGCCTTCCATTTGACCAAACTGTCGGAATCGATTCTGATATTTTGTAGACATTTTGTTACGCTCAATTCATTGCACTCAACAATATTCTATCTTCAAACTCCACTTCAGATACACGCCATAAAGCTGCTGCTACTGATATTTGCTAAGCTAGTTGAAGCGGCAATCGTAACTGTCAAATAATTTTCTCAATCACGTAATTAGTCAATTTGATTAATTTTTCGACAAACTTTTTTATGTTTCAATAGTTATTATAACTAACCATAGTTACAAAACAACAAAATCCTGAATGTACAGTTGACGGTTTAAAAATTTAAAAAACGTTTTTATGAAACCAAAAGTTGTCGTATTTGAAGTGCTATTAGTTGTCTGGATCTTTCGATCGCTGATGAAGTAGCAATGTATATATTGAATTTTGATAAAAAATTTTCACTCACGTTTCGTTAAAGTTGTTTTGCTTTACTTTATCATTGTTAAGTGTGCTATATCAAACAATATCGTAGATGCAGATTTTAATTTTTAAAAGCAATCTTATCAAGGAAGACGTGTACGCCTTAAAAATATAGCGATGGAATCAAATCAGTCTGTAAAGCTTCTGTTCGTTTAGACTTTTCCAGCACATAAGCTAATCCTTAAGCCCGCCGCACACTGGTGAACTTGCCGCGCGTACTTGTTATTCGTGACAAGTGCGATCGACAGAATTTCCTAGTGTACGCGGAAGTTTTGAACAACATTTGTCATTCGTGACAGATGAGTCAAATATCAAACGCGGCAAGTTCACCAGTGTGCGGCGGGCTTTAGCAGACCAAGTTACAATTGTCGAACATAAATTGAGGTTCGATATTTTTTACGATTCTATTTGTAAGTAAAAATATTATACAATTGTCATGAAATAATTTGGCTTGTATTATAACACAGGCAACTGAAATCGCTCAATCATTAAATCCAGAATGACTCTACAACGCTTTGGAAATGATTAAAAGCAAAGTATATTATTTACTTATTAAATAGGAGTTATTATTCACTTCACGATTTTGCTCAGTAAAATATTCACGATTACAAACGCATGGCGCAGTACATAAGAATCAGTTTAAGGTTTTTGATCTTTTACAAATGCAAATGTATGAGGTGTGGTAAAATACTTGGAATAGCTACTGAACATAAACATTAAACATTTGAATTTCTTTGCATGAGAACATTGTTTAGACAATGGCTCGGTGGAGATAACGGTATAAACACATTCTTAAAATACTTTTTATACGTTTCATCGTAATTATTTTTATATACAGGAAAAAATGTGAAACAGCTTTGTAATTGTCGACAAAAAGGATTTCAACTTTAAATTTTGAGAAGACGTGTGTTGTAAATTTCGCATGAGCACCTCTCAAGAAAGTGTTGTTTTAATAATCTCTCAATATTATTATATCCGTCTGCTTTTTAGATCATTTATACTATGTGTCATCTCTTAATACGGTAGTGTTTTAGTTTTATTCTTTCATAAACAACAAACTTTATACTAAGATTGACACGTGTATATAAAGTGTAATTTTATCCTGTATATAAAAATAATTACGATGAAACGTGCTCAATGCAGGTGTCCAATTTCAGTCAAAGCACAGAGACGATTGAGGTCAATCCAATTACATTCATTCATAACTTTAAAAATATTTTAAGAATGTGTTTATACCGTTATCTCCACCGAGCCATTGTCTAAACAATGTTCTCATGCAAAGAAATTCAAATGTTTAATGTTTATGTTCAGTAGCTATTCCAAGTATTTTACCACACGAAAAATAAACACGTTTAAAAGATACATATTTAAAAATTTATCGAAAGACCAGCTTTTCGAAGAACTCCTTTACCTATTACATTATCTCAGACTCCAAAAGCGAAAAAAAGTTTCCATGGTTTGACCACAAGTTCATAGCTACTTTTAATGCAGATATCAATGACATATTCATGCAACAAATACTTGTTTGTGACATACTTCTAAACAAGGTAAAACGGTCAATATTCAATTAGTGATTCCAATACATGGTAATGTGTCGGATATATTGTGTTCTCATTGAGAGACGAGTATTTGTCAACGGTATAAAAAAATTACCATTTAACAAATTTGAGAAATACAACGACATTTGTCTAAATAATATGTTGACTAAGAGACACAAGTGATTCAGCAAAATAAAGTTAAGTGGAATACTCAACACAAAAAGAAACATATTGCTCTCACAGATATCTCAGGGTACCAGTCAATATCGGGCTTATACATTCAATTTTTTCCAACTCTTTCAAACGTTCTACTAGATTTTCACGCGAGAAGTTCTTTTTTTGTTGATAATCGACAATATTTTTCTCAGCTTCTTGTGATCATCTTTGTAGAAGTGGTTATATCGAATGGTATTCCTTTCATTGTCATCAATCTTTATTAAACTTGCAAGTTTGTCCAAGTCCATCACAATGTGTCTGCTTAACATATACATTTCACTTGGGCTCAATGAGCGTGACGTAATGTTACGTCATCACCATCAGTAGGAGAACTTTCCTGAGATGTGTAGAGTCTTGAAAAAAGAACGCAAAATGTAAAGACTTGTATTTTTGTAGAAAGCAAACTTTGAACATTAGTATGATATTTTTTGTTATGAGAAGATAGACTTTCAACAAACGCGAAGCTCAATTGGGAACTGTCCGTTCATATCAGTTTTCTATGCTGAGTGATAGTTTGAATAATGCACTAAAAAACATGTGAAGGTAGCAAGAAAGTGTCAACTAAATATTTGACCAAGAATGAAACGAAGAAGAAAATTTGTGTCAAGCAAATTGTTTGTAAATAAATGCTGAAAGTATACTAATATTGATAATATCCTGTTTTCAAGTTTATTTTTTTTCAAAATTATTTGCAAAACGTTAACAGGCAGTACAGACAAAAAAAAAACAAAAACATGCATATATTGGCTACACAATTTCTTAATTAGCTACTGCATCATGATATGCTCTTGCAAAATCGCATGTCGTAAGATGAAACTTTTTTCTAGGAATCAAAAAAAGTAAACATCAAATTGCTAATAAATATGACAAATCATTTAACTCAATATTTCCGTAATTCAAGAATATGTCACAGTGTCAATATGTGATCAATCCACAATTCATATAAACTAAATCTCTGTTGCTGATGAGCAGCAAAGTTTGTCTGCATTTGACTTGTAGCGCGGAGTTCTTGTCTCGTTTACAAGGAAAAGAAGTGGAAGGTTAATTCACAAATGCTGCAAAATTCAAATGTTCCTTGCAAAGTTTATATAATATTTAATCAAATTATTAGGTCAGGATCAAAGTCCTTCGTGATTCGATGGTACAGAAAACTTGCAAAGAAGATTGACTATTGACAAGATTTATTATGATGGGTGTAACTACCTTGTCAACAGTTTATATCAAGTCTGTCATAACAAATGCAGGCCATGTAACAACTTCAAAGTTTGTTCAAGTTTCTTAAAGATTTCTTACAAGTTTTTTTAGACGAGATATTTCATCAGGTAACTCCTGTATTTTCGTCTTGTCCAACATCAACCATCTTAGGTTAGGCATGTTTGCAACTCGTTCTGGGAATGATTTATCCTTTTAAGCAAAAAAATATATCTCATGAATGTTTCAGCAAACTTATGCAATTTTCGTTACATTGTTTAATGAGTTCAATACAGTTAAAAGTACTGTCGTTAATCAACTCTTTAGAAATGCCTAACTGCTATTGAGCTTTCACGAAAGTACGAAAACATTTTAACTCAAAAGAAAATAGCAGTAAATTGTACAGAAACATATTCTACAAAGGATCAACTATACAATGTAGACTCTTTTTCAAGTTTATTTACATTTCAATTGCGTGTTTAGTCAACAAAAACCTCAAAATCATTTTGAGAAAAGTTGACATCATGAACCATTTTAATCAATAAAAGTACGCGTTACGTCACAAATTTTGAATTAGTTATAACTTTATAACCCACCTTTCCGACAATACTGTTGTAAATTGTTACGTGTCACTTGTGTTTTAGAGAATATAGACAACATTACAGAATAAATATCTTCTTGTTGTTTGTTGACTTGTTGTTTTCAATTTAATGATGGCCCAACAAGCTGTGAATAGTATTGAAAAAACTGAAAATCAAAATCTGCATTCAATAATTATAAAATTAAAGAATGAAATTTCACAGGTGAAGAAAGAGAATTCTGTGTTGAAGAATGAAAATTCACAAGTGAAGAAAGAGAATTCTGTGTTAAAAAATGAAAAAGAAATTCTGAATAAAAAGTTGGAAGTCCTGTATGTGTATGTATGGTTTTAAATATCATTCTGTCTGAGGATGACTTTGAAATAAAGTCGAAAATTTACAGTTCACTTCTCGTCTTGTTTTGATGCATATTTTGCAATCTCAAGATGTCTTGCTTCTTCGTAATTTGCTTTATACTAAACCATTTAAATCTATACATCTTTTTTTATTAACAAATATCCTGAAGATTTATTTATAACAATGGCAAATACCAAAAAAAATATCATACCTAAAAAAGTGCAATCTATCGCCCACAAATATTCGCCTCAGCAGTCTTCAAAATTCTGTATTCTTTGTCTTTTCTCATAACAAAATGGCGGCTAAATGTCAAGAAACAATACATTACTTCATAAAGTAAATGGCTTGAGCCCGGGACAAACATATAACATTACTTCATGTTAGCTACATATAAATACCTTAGAATACAGAGGGGGGAAGAAGCCATCTTTTATCTCTAAACAATTTGAGGGTAATGACGTAATGACAGGCAAAATACTATCTGTGCGGATTTACATCGTCATAATTAATGTCAATGACATTACAGAAAAATGATACGTGTGAAATTATGAGCGCAAGTAGAATCAAATTTATGCGATTGCCTGCAATGAAAAAGCTCTTCCATTTCAAAGATTAATCAATGCAAGTCACAAACGTGCAGATTTATCGGTTGAATGAACAAAATACACACGTCAGAAATCTGTTTTGAAAGAAGTTGTTGGTGATATAGTATTTATTAAAAAAAATTTTTATCGAAAATGATGTGTTTATCTGTGAGAAATGCTAAAAACTTCACTTGTAACGACGTGACAGGCAATCTAATCATGTACAGAAAGGATTTGACAGTTACTGGGACAATTTCCATTATTAAAATCACAAACAAGTTTGATTTAAGTAATATTAAATGCATATTAATTCAATAACCTTCAATTAACCTACTTCATTAAGTGACGATAAAATTGACATGCTAACCATGTACGCAATGCGTACCTATTTCCACTCACATTGCTATGGTATTGACTGACTTGTTCTTACAAGACAACATGTAATATGTGCTATTAAACAAAACAATTTCACAGATTGTCACTTCATGGTCGTAAAATTTCAAATTGACATTGATAGCAATCATCACCTGCATTAAATTTCTATTTACTCCGCAGCTACACAGGGAACTTTAAAATTGACTCCTGTAAATACATGACAATAGACTCAAATGTAAACGAAAATACATATAATCTCCGTTAGGTTACAACATTATCTTTTTCTTTGAATACATTGTTTGGTTTTTCCAAAATGTTGTCATTTTTCTAATGTAAAAGTGTTTTAAAAAATGGTCATTATTAAACATTTTATCAACATAGGAAGATACTTGTGCTTGATCTAATATTTCTGTAAAAGTGTTTTAAAAAATGGTCATTATTAAACATTTTATCAACATAGGAAGATACTTGTGCTTGATCTAATATTTCTGATCTTATAAATGTTCATTAAACTATTCTTTGTTTTATATCTATGCATTATTGTTGCATTTGACCATCACAAATACTACTTATTAATTATTTACTCCCATAAAAATATTGTGCAAAATTTGAAAATTATTTGACAAAACAAAGAGAATTCTGAATTTTAAGTCTTTCATACTTTCTCCTTTTCTTTCAATGTTTTATCCCTTTCTTTCCAAATTTTCGTTTTTTCTTCAAAGCTGTTCTCTTTTGCTTCCAGTACGTGGTTTTGTTTTTCCAACCTGCTGTCCTTTTCTTCTAATTCATTTTCATTTCCTTTGAATAGATTGTTTGGTTTTCCCAGAAGGTTGCCTTTTGTCTTATCCTTTCCTTTCGATTCATTTAGTTTTTTGTTTAGTTGCTTAACCTCTTCATTCAATCGTTTCCATTTTCATCCATTTTCCTTCCTTCCATTTCTTCATATTTATTTCATCCATTCGATTTACTTTTATCCATCGATTCCTCTCTTCATTAAATCGTTTCCTCTTTCATCAAATCGTTCCTCCATCCATTTCCATTTTCATCCATTCGTTTTCCATCCATTCGTTTCGCTTTCATCCATTCTTTCCATCCATTCGTTTTTCTCTATCATTCATTCGTTTGTCTTTTTCGTCCGATCGTTTCTCTCTTTCATTCATTCGTTTCTCTTTTAAAACCACTCGTTTCTCTCTTCCATCCAATTGTTTCTTATTTTCATCCAGTTGTTTCCTGTTTTCATCCAATTGTTTCCTGTTTTCATCCAATTTTTTCCTGATTTCATCCAATTGTTTCCTTTTTTCTTCCAATTGTTTCTTTTTCTCTTCCAAGACTCTTTCTTTTTCTTCTAATCTTTTGTTTTCTCGTTTCAACATATTCTCCTTTTCTTCTGACACGTTCCTTTCTTCTTTCAACATTTTTTCCAATTCAATGATGTTATCTTCCAAATAACTTGACCGACCATCTACAGATTCTTGGATGCTCATTTTCAAGATAAGATATCAACCAATCTAATTATTCAAGGAAAATAAAATAAGTTAAAAGTATTGAAGTATGAATTCAACGGAATATAATTGGATGGCTACTTCCCGCCAAAATTTGAGGCCAGCAATTCAACGAGTCCCAATCCTTCCCAACACGGCCAAAAATATTCATTAGTCATTACGGTAGTAAAATAAAATGCAGAAAGTTCAGGTTTTTGTTTACCTGGGGCCCGTTGCACGAAGTTTGGATAGCGTTATCCATTGGCTAGTAAAATTCTCAAACTTGTAGAAAATGTGTTTATATTGTCTTACGACAAAAGAAATTTTGCAATCTTAGAAGCAATATTTTATTTCAGTGATAGCTCAGTTCAAACCTTATATTTTTCCTTTTTAAGAAGTTCTCTAACCGTTTAAAAAATTTGCTATCCAATGGATAACGCTTATCCAGGCTTCGTGCAACCGACCCTGAAAGTAGCCTCCACTTTCCACTTATACAATTAGTTGAGATGCGTGTACCGCATAATTTGCATTGACGATTCTAATGTACTAAAAAAGTGCACTAGAATTTCCCCGGAATGACTGAAAAAATATATATAAAGAATTCTTTGTCTTCGAACTTCCCTCATTAGCATAAGAGGGGAAAATTATTAGAATACAAAGTTCAGTCAGCGTAGCATTTAAACAACAACACCATCAATATTCGCCACAACCAAGGTTTTTGAACTTTCCTCGCTGATTCGAGTAATTTTCAGAAATTTTCCCTGACGTCCAACAATTTAAACGCAAATTTGCCTTAATCCAGGTTATTAATTAAAGGAAATAGAAAATTTATATTGACTTGCTTATTAATGCATTTACATAAGTGCGAAACATGCATCATAATACAAAACATGAGGAACAATTCAGAATTGATGTTTATAATTTCAAAAGTGCAAAATGTAAATTTTACAGTCGTAAAATAACGGAATAAGCCTTTAAATAAATACACATAATCAATCATCACCTTTTTAATGTAATGTAAACCACTTAGAGATACGGATAAGCTCGTGACTAAATGTACAACTCCGCCTTAGGTAACTGTAAGAGAAATATAAAAGATGTTATGTACATTTGAGTGACAAACATGATTTAAGTGACTTGATTTAATATAAAAATAAACAAAAAGTACTAAATGACGAACCTTTTCTAAATTAACGTTTTCTTTCAAGTCGACGCACTTGAAGACTTGCTGATGTCAATGTACTTTGTCCTGTGACCGTCACAAGACATAGATGATTATATTTTGAATATTACATTTGAATAATGTACAATAATAAAAATAAATTAAAAGTGAGTGAATACAAACAAACAATAAAGAATGCACTTAAACTTAAGTCGTTTTTATAAGTGAATTTTTATTGATAGTGTTATTTATTACAAGTGGTTTTGTTCTCGCGTAAGTGGCTAAGTTTGGCAGAGCGTGGCAAAGCTGAAACAAATTTGATGCAAACTTCGAACTTAATCTAACATTTTACAAATAACCCATTCTGTCTTCATTTGACGTATTCGTAATATGCATAATACCGCATATACTATAAAGCAGTAATGATTTTAAGCAACGTTTGCGGTAGCTAGTTGAATGATATGATTTATCCTTATTGGCAAAACTACCAAAGTTAAATCTTGCCAATCAAAGAGAGCAGATTTTCCAAAAATAAACACGTTTAAAAAATACATATTTAAAATTTTATCGAAAGACCAGCTTTTCAAAGAACTCCGTTACCTATTACATTATCTTAGACTCCAAAAGCGAAAAAAAGTTTCCATGATTTGATCACAAGTTTATAACTACTTTCAACACAGATATCAATGACATATTCATGCAACAAATACTTGTTTGTGACATACTTCTAAACAAGGTAAAACGGTCAATAGTACAATCAGTGATTCCAATACATGGTAACGTGTCGTACATATTGTGTTCTCAGTGATGAGTCATTGTCAACGGTATAAAAACATTACTATTTAACAAATTTGAGAAATGACAACGACATTTGTCTAAATAATATGTTGACTAAGAGGCACAAGTGATTCAGGAAAATGAAGTTAAGTGGAATACTCAACACAAAAAGAAACATCTTGCTCTCACAGATATCTCCAGGTACCAGTCAAGATCGGGCTTATACATTCAATTTTTTCCAACTCTTTCTAACATTTTACCAGACTTTACGTTCTATAAGTCAGTTGTAACAATAAAATTGGGAAAACGTGAAAACGCTTCAAAAACAGTAAAGGAGGCCTTTAAAAACACAAGAATTAAGGTCCCACGCGTCGTTAGAACATACCGTGGGTAACTTTTTGAGCTTGAAAACTCAGACATTAGTTTATTCAAAAGATAATGAAAAGCGTTTTGCTAGTTTTTCGTTCATACGTATCATCCATTGTCTCCATCATTTGGATAAAAATCTTCTTTTTAGAGATGGTGTGTCTCACATGTGATTCATTTTATTCTTTTATGCAGGATGTAAGATTTTCTTTCGCCTTTATTTGAAATGAGTATTGTTGGTTACAGGTACAAAACAAACAGGTTTAGGATTTCTTTCAAAGAACTCAAGTTTCAACATCAGATCACTTCTGATGAAGACATTAGACTGGAGTATATAAGGACTCAAGTTTCAACATCACATCACTCATGATGAAGACACTAGACTAAACTATACAAAAAATTGTGCATTATATTGTTTTAAATAAATATACTTTTGAATCCGCTAGAGACTGAATGGAATGCTCTAGAATATAGATTAATTCCTTGAAATAATTAATAAATAATTCATTTTTATAATATCATATTACGATGACGACGTTTAAAAAATTCAGCAAACTACATACATTATCAAAAAGATTCAAAGTTTGGTAAAGTTCGCTAATATTAAAAAAATTAGTCCATCAAGTGCTTTCGACTGACTATCAAAGATACATGTAAATATTAAAGATTGGATTTTAATGCAATAATTTTTGAGTCGATAAACTTAAAGTGTAGCAAAGAGCTTCCGGCTTGTCGAGAGCTTGTCGCATTTGTAGTTTCTTCGTACAAATTACATTAATGTATTTGTTTGAAGATTTTCATTTATTTGAAAATTAGCTGTGTCATTTATGGTTACATTGAATGACATAAAAGAAGATAAGAACATTATCAGGTCCGTTGTAAGAGAACAACAATCTGTAATATATAAATATGTGATTGAGACATTACACTCTAAAGATTCAATTTTCAATATCAGATCTCTTTTGAGGAGACCACTATTCTGAAAGTACTCGAGTTTCAATAACAGATCGACTGAAGTATCTTGAACTCAAGGTTCAATATCAAATCACATTTGACTTGAAAAAAACTTGAATGCAGTTGATCTCATGATAAAGATATTACAGACTAGTGACTGTAGCACAATAATATTTCAAGTGTCATGACCTAATAACTTTTGATGAAGACACTAGACTAGAGTATATAAGAACTAAAGTTTCAACATCAGATCACTCCTGATGAAGACATTAGACTGGAGTATATAAGGACTCAAGTTTCAACATCAGATCACTCCTGATGAAGACATTAGACTGGAGTATATAAGAACTCAAGTTTCAACATCAGATCACTCCTGATGAAGACAATAGACTGGAGTATATAAGAACTCAAGTTTCAACATCAGATCACTCCTGATGAAGACATTAGACTGGAGTATATAAGAACTCAAGTTTCAACATCAGATCACTCTTGATGAAGACAATAGACAGGAGTATATAAGAACTCAAGTTTCAACATCAGATCACTCCTGATGAAGACAATAGACTGGAGTATATAAGAGAGCTCGAGTTTCAACTAAAGATCATAGTTGATGCTGACAATTGACTGAAATTATGTTAGGACTTCAGTTTCAACATCAGATTACTTCTAATAAAGACATTAGACTGGAGTGTATAAGAACTCAAGTTTCAACATCAGATCACTCCTGATGAAGGCATTAGACTGGAGTATATAAGGACTCAAGTTTCAACATCAGATCACTCCTGATGAAGACATTAGACTGGAGTATATAAGAACTCAAGTTTCAACATCAGATCACTCCTGATGAAGAGACACTAGACTAGAGTATATAAGAACTCAAGTTTCAACATCAGATCACTCCTGATGAAGACATTAGACTGGAGTATATAAGAACTCAAGTTTCAACATCAGATCACTCCTGATGAAGAGACACTAGACTAGAGTATATAAGAACTCAAGTTTCAACATCAGATCACTCCTGATGAAGACATTAGACTGGAGTATATAAGAACTCAAGTTTCAACATCAGATGACTCCTGATGAAGACAATAGACTGGAGTATACAAGAAAGCTCAAGTTTCAACTTAAGATCATAGTTGGTGCTGACAATGGACTGAAATTATGTTAGGACTTCAGTTTCAACATCAGATTACTTTTAATAAAGACATTAGATTGGAGTGTATAAAGACTCAAGTTTCATCTTGAGATAACTACTGATGAGGACACTGTTCAGTTTCTATGATTTAAATGTCAACTTCAGATTATTCCCGTGTTATCAGGAGTACATTGGAATACACAGTACATACATAAAGAATCAAACATTAGAACGAATCAACAACAATATCAAAACATATGCTGAAGTAGTTCATTCTTATAGTTAAAGCACGGCCCTTGTAAAATCGTCAAGAGAAATGTCCACTTACGAAACATTTTAATATCATAACGTATTTCATATAAATTATTTCGTTGACTTATATAGAATGGCTCAGTCCATGCATGTACAAGAAACACCTCTAATCGAACGTTTACTGGAAGAGCAAAAGCAAGCGAATAATTTAATCAGACGGCTTAGGAAAGAAAAATTCCAGTCAGAGAAAGAAAAAATAAATGCAGAAATTATATCACAAGAAAAAGATAAAATAATAGAAATGCAAAGCAATAGAATTATTGAGTTGGAGGCACAAATCAGAGAGCTGAAACTTGGAAAGGAAATGACAAATCATAAATTTAAAGAAAATTTACATCGTAAAGGAGAACTGTGTGACTACAACTGCGTACAATGTTGCCTTGTTTCCATATGTCAAAAAAAATTGAAGTTTTATCCTTGTGGAAGACATTTAGAAAAAATCATTGTCAGTCATAACGTCTAAAGTCCAATAATTGATCACAAGGAAGAGGATTTGCGCTGTCATGCCTTCATGGATATTTTGAAAAAATCTGGAATAGTTTTTTCGGAGAATGTTACGTTTGATTTTCGGGTTGATGGAAGTCAGTGGTGGCAGATAAGAACAGAGGCGTGGAACCATATTTTATCAGTTGCTGATAAATCAGTTCTCATTCTTGGAAGGATTTATTCCTATGAAAACGAGACACTTCGAGGTGAAGGTCATTGCGTTATTTGCAACACTCACACAGCCGTAAATGGAATCATTTACGACTCACAAAATGAATTTGAGGGTATAACGAATATCGACGAGTTTGTTGAATACGTTTCTAACGACATGGGTTTAGAAGTGTACACAGTTAATTTGGCAAAACTGTACGAAATTGTTGAGCCACATGAGAATTGTTTGCATACAACATGTGAATTTTTAAACAGCCCGACACATGAGACCACAAGTTTATAGTTTGTGGGTTTTGAAATTACGTCTGTAATTTCCAACATATCAAGAACTCGTTAATTTTTATGTTCGTCTACAGCGACTGACATCTTTAACTGTTTTTAAAACAGAAATACAGTGACAAACAACTTCAAAGGTTGTTGTATCACACAAAAACTTTCTCTCCAGGACGTTTATTAGCTTATCAGAAATATGTTCAAAGTCTATAGTTTGAAATGTAGACTTTGCGTTTTGATGATTAGAGCTTTTAAAAGTATGTATAATGCAGTCTCTCGATGAGTTGTTTGAATTCTCTCATGAAGGACAAAAAGCAGCTTGGCTGAACATATCGCCATTCAAAAATAAACCTTTGCTAACGACCTATTGGTCATTGTGTTGTGTGTAGCTTAGCTACAAGTAGCTGCAATGAAATGCTCTGAATTTACCATTGTTAAATTGACGATAATTATCTCAAAGACGAAGAAATATTCAACTGTGGAACTGGAACCTATGGATATTAAAGCCAAAAAGATTAGTATTTGTATTTCTAATTCCGTGAACCATGTAAGTATTCTTTAGAATATGAAAACACTGAGTACAGGGCTGGGTTTAGTGGCACTCCAAGGGGCCAATGCCCTGGGAAAATCACAAAAAGGAGCGAAAAAGGGGCAAACCAACGGATCTATCAAATTGCTCAACTGATAATACAAGCGACGACTACAGAACGAATGCCAATAATTATAATGACTAATAGTGTTGAACAACGACTAGTTGCTGACCTTAGACTGTGGCCAGTTATAGTCTCAAATGAATTGTTTGGCTACTGGCTTTTTAAACGAGCAAATAATGTTCAAAAATATGGTAAAAAACTGTTTTCAAAGTAAACTTAATCAATAAAAGCAACACACCATCAAGTGGGCCCCAGGCCTCCTCGGATGTTAATCCAGGTTTTCGACTAAATGAAGTCATAAAATACTAGCTTCTCAATGAACTCACGTCATCTTCTCAATGTATTATAATTTATTTTTTATGATATTAGTGCATCATGTATTTGAAAACATATATGTTATATCAACACTATACAAAGATTGTACCATACTGAGAAATATGCCTTGAAAATGTTTATTTTTATAAAACATGTCGTTGTCGTGTTCCTTAAATGCGAGATTAAATGCGCCTGTTGTAAAGCTGCAATGAAAATTCCATATTTCATGAGAGATTCGTCATCTAAACCCACCTAAACGAAACCTGTGTAATCCTGAAGGCACAGTTCAGAAATGCGCATGCCCAGAAGCATATAAGATTTTCGCGCCAAAAGTTAAGTTTCGGATGAATGAGTTAATATTAAATTAGGTGATTAATGTTGCAAATTAACACAATAAATATTTAAATATTCAGTAAATTTACTGAATGTATCATTATTAAAGTGATTTAAAGAACGAAAATCTCGCGTATCTCAAGTAAGTGTTTTAGTTATTGTTTATCTTTTACCACGTCCATTGTATATGTTAAATCTTGGCAGCAATACGCCAATAGGTACGTTGTTGGTCGCTTGAATAAACCGTTGAACACTGAGAAATGTGTCGTGATATGACGCAATTTTGTTTGCAAATTGCTACACGTTATATAAATAAACGACAAATATTTAATTTTTCACTGAATTATTATGTTTTTCAGTGATCTCAAACATTTTGCATCGAGCATTTCTTATTTTTAGAAGCTAAGCAAGTTAATTGATTTTGATCAGTTACAATTCGATGTTTTATTGCTTCCTATCGCCACTCGGATTAATTAACTGTGAAATCAAGCAAAAAAGCAATCGCTTTAAACAAACTATAGAATATCACGATAACGTACAAAATGAGGAAATTTTACTTAGGCAAAACTTTTCAAATACGTATGACTATAAATTACGACAGAAGATAATATATGATAAGACGATATAATGTTTTCACATCTTACTAATTATAATGGTTTGTATTATAAACCCCTAAATTAATTACTTTTATAACTTTCAGAGTAACCATGGACAAAATTAAATATTGCTTTTACCCTAAATGTTTTTGTAATACATTGGAAAGCATTGTGTGTAACTGAATAAGGGGCGGTGAGGGGGTTGAGATAATCAATGATTTTATTTTGTAAACCCAGAGATATCCAGTCAATCTTCCCACTATTCAAAAACAGAATTTTGCCCTTGTTTTAAAGACATGACATACAGTATGTTACATTTGAATTGATTGATAGGTACATGATGGTTAATTTGCTTACTGTAATTTATATAATGAAACATTAAGTTCTATCTTACCATGAGAATGGATCTTAATAGTTTGATTAAAATTACTTAACTCTTTTCTCACAGTCTACTTCACATAGATTCACACTAAGTATTAAATTTTAGCTTCCCCTTTGCTTGGCATCATGGTATCTTTATCCTATCTATCAATCATTGCATATTTCATGCACAAAATCATTTAAGTGCTAATCTGAGGAAATGATTAAGTAATGAACAAAAAGTAAATAAAATCAGCTTATTTGCCACACATTTAATAATTTTATTGCCAACTTGTTTAACTTTGTTTAACTAGTAAGGGATTGTGATGAAATATTTATGTATATTTTGCCATTGCTCTGCAGTCATCCTGTAAAACAATTATAAGAGATGGCAAACAAGAAATTTTCCGGACAGTTAATGAAAGAAGAGAAGATTAAAGACTTGGAAAAGCAACTAAAAGACATCATTGTCAGCATAGAAGACTTACAAAAGAAAGAGAAAATTATCAAAAATGAATTGAAAGAGTTAAAAGCAAACCAGGGTACTGTGGTCTTAACATTAATTCCCACCTAAAGTATATATAAATCTTCAGGTTTCAAAATGAGACCACTCCTGACCAAGAAGCTAACTAGACTGAGATGAAGAGATTAGACTAGAGTATATATAAGGACTAAAGTTTCAACATCAGATCACACCTGATGAAGACACTAGACTTAAGTATATAAGAACTTATGTTTAAACATCAGATCACTCCTGATGAAGACAATAGACTGGAGTATATAATAAATCAAGTTTCAACATGAGGTCACTCCTGATGAAGACACTAGACTAGAGTATATAAGAACTCAAGTTTCAACATCAGATCAATCCTGATAAAGACACTAGACTGGAGTGTGTAAGAACTAAAGTTTCAACATCAGATCACTCCTGATGAAGACAATAAACTGGAGTATATAATAAATCAAGTTTCAAAATAAGATCACTCCTGATGAAGACACTAGACTTGAGTATATAAGAACTCAAATTTCAACATCAGACCATTCCTGATGAAGACACTAGACTGGAGTATATAAGAACTCAAGTTTCAACATGAGATCACTCCTGATGAAGACACTAGACTAGAGTACATAAGGACTAAAGGTTCAACATCAGATCACTCCTGATGAAGACAATAAACTGGAGTATATAAAACTCAAGTTTCAACATCAGATCACTCCTGATGAAGACACTAGACTAGAGTATATAAGAACTCAAGTTTCAACATCAGATTACTCCTGATGAAGACATTACATGTGAATGGAGTTTATTAGAAGTTTGATTCCTTATATAATCCAGACCAGAGTCTTCATCAGGAGTGATCTGGTGTTGAAACTTGAAAATTATTATAGTTCTTCTTTAAACATTGTATCATTCCTGAGGAATATACTAACTAACTTTAGTGCATATTAAAAACTCAAATTTTGACACTCCTGATGATCAAAGACACTAGACTGAACAGTAGGAGAACATCAAATCATTTAGATGCTTGCTTTCAGGTAATCTCTTTCGAAATATTAATCATGACTTATCTGAGATTGTTTTATCTTATGTATAGGAAATTCTTCGGTGAAAGCAAGCCTCACAATGGACGAAAATTCATGTTCGAATACTCCACTACCACCGGCCATGGAGGAAAGTAAAGGCACATTGTCTAACTGCAAACATTGTAATTACTTACTATCGATCTTGAGAAAAAGAGACAATGAAATCACTTCGCTAAGTACTACCTTGGAAGAGTACAAGTCCACATTGAAGGAAAGAGACGATGAGATTACATCGGTAAAGAATACATTAGTACAACGTGTATCAATCTTGAATCAAAAAGACAAGGAGATTGCATCTCTGAACGCATCATTAAAACAAACTGTTTCTATCTTGATTCAACGAGACGATGAGATTGCAAAGCTAAATTCAGCATTAGAACAAAAAGTATCAAAGTTGAGTCAACGAGAAGATGAGATTGCAAGGCTAAATGCTGCATTAGAGCAAAAAGTATCAATGTTGAGTCAACGAGAAGATGAGATTGCAAGACTAAATGCATCATTAGAACAAAAAGTATCAATGTTGAGTCAGATGGACAATGATTTGGCATGGTTAAATGCATCATTGCAACAAAAAGTATCATTCTTGAGTCAAAAGAAAAATCAGATTGCATTGCCTTTAAAGGAACGTGAAAATTTGAAAAATGCGGGAAGGCTGTGTGAAAACGATTGCGTTCTTTGTTGTTTTGTTGATATTTGCAAAACGTACATAAGTGACTTGCCTTCCTTTTGTGGTCGTTCTTTGGAAAAGCAAATCACAGCCTACGCTGTTGGCAAAAAATTACTCGATGAAAATGATTTGAACTGCCTTCAACTCATGAATATCTTACAAAAGACTGGACTTGTTCACTTTCGAAAATGTTTTGAATACCCTATTGATCCGTTGTTGCGTAAAGGAAAGATTAAAGAAGCTTGGTTAGCGATGATGAAACTATCCTTCGAGACATCTGCCTTACTGATTGGCCGACTCATGTTTAATGGACCAGGTCATTGCGAATGGTTTTGCAGGGACAAAAATACCATATTTGATTCGCAGTCAGGAGTTTCAACAAAAGCCAATTTTGAGAGCTTCTACATTCGTGTACAACATGACAAAGGAATCGCGTTCTTGGGGTTCAACATTTCCAGAGTAGAAAAGTTTATCAATGAAAACAGAAACCATCTGAAATGTGACTCTTTTCACGACCTAAATTATCAACGAGTGGATTATGGATCAGGTGTCTTTAGGGAAACAGTGCTTTTCTTATGATTGTGACTAGGTGTGTCTGTGTCAAGAAGTGAAGAAAGAAAAGTCATGGCAGTGAGGCAGAAGAATCAGCTGTAAAAAGACAGTTGTGCATTGTTTTTCAAGTTTTATCAATTTGTGGGCTTTTAAGGCCTTCATCATTACTTTTTGGAACGAAACAGCTTATAGCTATTTCAGTAAATTTTCCATAAAAAATATAATATTAGTATTAATGAAAGTAATCCTAAATGTTTTGGTAATCCAATTTTAGATCATACAATAGTTTTAAAATGTTGGATGAATTCTACATCTATAGTATTTTTAAGTATTTTAGATAATAAATAGTTATAGATAATCATAATTATTGTTATTCATGATTGTTATTGCTGTATAGCTATTAGCTTTATAGCTATTCTGTGTAAGTATTGAAACATTACTAATACCAATTACCATTAAAAATTCGAAAGTCAGTTAAGGCAGAGTTTTAATGTTTTTTTCTTCATATTTTCAGTTATGTTTTCGGCTTTTCGTACGAGTTGTGACCTGTGTATCGTCTGGTACTCTGCTTTTCATATGTTAATTGCCTGAAGATATTTGTAACCCTACACTTATATTTTTATTGTCTGTAAAAATTTAATCGAATGTTTGTAACATTGAGAGTATGGGGATTGATCATTGATCGGGATGAACCATGATATTGAAAAAATGTGCTTTCTCTAATAGTCATGCAATTTTGATAACTTGTATTTCATTTATCAAATTTGGAAGTCTTCTTTTGTTGAAAGCAAGACTATAAAGACTGATGTGTAAACTCTATAATCGTATTGTGCCATTTTGGAAATTGTTCTTACTTGTTAAGCAAAATCAACATCATAATTCAGGATGGGGTCTCGCCTACCCAAAGCATGCCTCCCTGACGATTTGTTTTCTAGATTTGAAGGTATCTTCAATTTCAATGAAATTATGTGTAATTTAATGGCATTTCAAAATCATTTTCACATTCTCAAGTCATGACTCAATGAGTCATGAGTCACAACTGTAAGAGCATCGTTTTAGCCAGAAATAGTGGCCAGAAGTTATGATATAGTGGCTCTTGATGTAAACAATTTTTCCCTAAGTTATTAAACTTGAGTGTCATGGTGGATGTATTTATTTTCAGTCACGAAAGCGCGGAAATATAACACTCCAAGTAAAATAGCACGCAAATATTTACGTTGCAGAGCCAAATTTTTTACTACAATTTTCTTTTTCAACGACGAAGCGCAAATTTTCTTGTATCGCTCCCTCAAAATCGTCTTTTAGCTTGTGCCCTCTTCCACTCACCCTATATCATTAGCTGAAGAACTTGAAATTTTTGCAAATTTTACAAATGCATGATTAAAGATGCATGTATGACAGCCCATGACGCAGAAGCAATTGCCTTTCGAAATACCGAATTTTAAATTACAAATACAGCAAAGCTCATTCGGCAAATAAAGATTGTCAAGAATTATTTGCAATCAACAAAGAATTATGTACTGCTTAAACACCTAGTTGTCCTCTCAATCGAAAATTACTGCAAGTATAGGACTAATCTCAACATGGCAGTGATGGCACTAAAATGTTTGTCTATCAGAAAAAATCCAAAAATAGAAAGTATAAACTAAATGTTTAGATAGTTCTGTTGATTCATATTTACAGCTGTTAAATGAAGAACTGAAATGTCGGTTTTCACTGTTGAAATAAATTATTGAAATAAATTTTTTTCTTAAAGTTAATTTGTCAAAGACGTAGCTTTTGAGGAGCCTTTTTCAAACTTCTTTTTCTCTAACTTTCTTGGCCATGCCTGTCTACAAGGACGTTTACAGGCCACACCCTATTTCAGGGCAAAAATGCTCCACCACCCTAGTGCTTAGGATCAAGTTGCGCAGCTGAATAAGACGTGAGAGTAGGAACATCGAATGTCGGGATTATGAACGGAAAGTTAGAAAGTTGGGCTAAAAAACCTCATGGAAAGGTAGTAAAGCTAGAAGCCAAGGAGCAATATTCAAATTGTCTGATGTTGGTGGGGATGGGGAGAGATATTGAATGAAAAGACTAGAAACTATTAACAATCTGAGAGAAGATTATTGAGAATGTTCTAGAGAAAGAGATATGTTTGAACTTAGAAATTAAAAATGTTTCGTTCGATTCCGTTTCACAGGTAAGATGTGATTAAGAAGAGTAAGAGAAATTTAGCATCCAAACTGTAATGAATACTGTTTGTTGGTTTTACGCACAAACGTTTGCAAAGTTTTACTTAGGTACAAATGTAGGCAATACTAGATAGATAACGTTTTATGGATATTTGTTATTGTTAATATTACGATCATTAACATAAGAATGTCCTATAATATTTATAGTATCTTTATAATCTTTATATACTAGGATATTTTTTGTTTTCGTTAAGGAGCAGACACAGCTCCTAAACCATTCTTAATTTCATTACTAATATTACCTTTTGCGTTCAACTGTTAAGTTTCACGAATTTTTCGCATTTGTTTACGTTTCGAACGTCACGATTCTTAAGCAAAACGTCGAGTTTCAACTGGTAAACGTGACGTTTGTTTGAATCGCGGATTTCTAAGTTTGTAACAGTCCTTTATTAGGTTATATGGTCAATTATCAAATTTTGCAAGTCGCGGAGAATACACGTGTAAGTTTTAGTTGCAGCAGCATTTTATCAATGTAAAATCGTCAAAACATGTTAATCACATGACCAAAACTGTTCATATTTTTCCTCAAACGTTAAACATTCCTGAGCAAACGTTCAGTTGAAAGTGAAACTAGGCGTTTCGCTCGACATTTGCATACTGAAATTATCCGGATACAGGTCAAAGTACAAATTCTACGTACATTTGCTTTGTTATATATGAATGACGTACTTATGACTATCCAATGAAAATAAAGCCGTCTGGTCATGTCATCATTACTCTTACGTCATAGAAATATCTCTATAACGTTCGTGTTAACATTGTAAAAAGGAAGCGCTTAAATATAATTGACATAAAAGATTAAGGGGAAAACAACAATACGATATGTAAGTTTGGATTTGACACGTTATGGACTAATGTAATGATATAATAGAGAAAAAAGGGAAGATACAATATTACAAAAACATCGATTTAATGAAGCGTAGCTGAGTTCAGTTCGATGAAATACTTTATGTAGATTATAAAAGTATAAAGCAAAATATAGGTTGAAAATAATGCATGAAGTTGCATCAAAACATCGGAAAATAAAGTTTTTATCGCCTTTATTTGTTTTTTAAAGTGCTTTATAAAACACTCAATACTTAAATATTGGTCTTGAAGAGATATAACGTCATAACTTGGCCGACAGAAGTAATCAAAACACCAAATTTCGTACTTTTAAAGTTAGCATCTTACCAAACATCCTGTTAACGAGCTTCAGAAAACTGGGAAAAATCGAAACATTGCACTTGCCAAAGCAATGTTTTGCTGAATTTGAGAGTTAGTAAATGATCAATGATTTGTTGACACAATTTGCAGTTCCGTCTATAGTCCTTCAATTCGCACTCGTCAAAGCACACATAACCAATATGATACAAACTTCAGGAAATCAGCACAGAAAAGTACATTAGCAACAGAATGTTGCATCTGCCTAGTTAAGGTTTCATCATAAAAACCCTTAAACTTGGAACAGTTTGGTTTAATAAATCCTTTCATCTTCACTGTTGCATCTGGAAACATTTTCATCATTTGTCTCATAACTTCCTGTGCACAATAATTTATACAACTTTTTGTCTATACTTTGTAAAAGTTATTTGTTAGAAATAGTTTGTCAAATTCTCCCGAAATGATGCATGTAAACAGAGAAAAATTATGTATATAATAATGGCGATAGATTTCCCAGGAGGGAAACATAATCGTATAATGAACATTAATGCCTATCTTATGGCAATGAAATGAATTACCATTGTAATTAGAAATATATAAAAGACATTTTTATTGACGTTTCATCGCAACGCATGACATCTTCAGAAATTCAGAATGATGATATAAGGTTATAAAATAAGAAGATTGACTAATTATAGTGAGGCTAGAAGAGTGACATAGGAATGGACTAAGGGTTTTGGTTAAGATCAGGTTTAAGATCCGAAATAAGCAAGCTTTCACAAAGTAATAGTTCGAGATAACCGCCCATGGCGTAGAGCTAAAGCAATGCAAATTTCATCAACTTGTTTTGACCAGATTTTTGTAGGCGATATAGGAGACTAGTCCATACATATAGTGGTGTAAGTGAATTTACCGTTTAGCCTTTGCTGTGTGCATACCATGGTTACAATTACAATGGTATTGTCACTGTCGATATCCGTCAAATAGCAACTTAAAATTTTTAGTATTTTTCAAGTATTTTTCTTACGATTTAGTTATGAAATTCCTTTCGACGTATTTCTATGAGATTGTTGTTTTGGGCGTTTTGTTAAATGAGTTCCTCGTTTCAAATTTGAAACTTGTGTTATAAATAAATCGTATTATTGCTAAAGTATTATAGCAGAATATTCAACGCGACAGAACGCTGCGTTTGCTTTATCGACGACGTATGAAAATGAAATCAACTTTTCAAATATTCATTGTTTCGATTTATTTTAAGGTTTGAATGTTAAATATTTTTGTTTGACATGGTTCGGAATTTTCTTTATATTTTGATGGAAACATGCTGAGCTATTTTAATACAATATTATCATAATTTCGTCACATCTTTCGTGCGCTTATCTAAACTTTCACTTTTTCCTGCGTATTCAGATTATGTCATTCAAATAATTCAAACACGGAAACCAATTGTGGTTTGATAATATGAATAAAGTACGAAAATGAGGAAACTGATAAATTTTTAATGTGTTTTGATGGATCGATCTTAAATATAGCAATTGATAATTTCTTGCTGCTCACCAATTAACTCGTCTTAATACCCTTCCCATGTAAAGATTACTTGATTAAGGATGGTTAAACAAACTAGGACTATAGTATGTTTTGCAATTTTTTTTCAGACTAATTATTGAAGATGGCAAACATGCAGTACCCTAAACAGATTTCAAAAGTAGAGAAAATCAAACATCTTGAAAAAGAATATAAAGATAATGAAACCAAAATTGAAGATTTACAAATGCGAAATGACTCTATTGCATATGAAATACAACAGCTAGAATCCAAAGGTAACCTTGTTTTCACAATACACGTTGCCTGATGAAGACACTTGTAATTAAAGAGTATATAAGAGAGTCTTAAGGACTCATGTTTCAGCAGAAACAATATTTTGACAAGTCGGCTTCCACTGATCTTGTCGGATAAAAATAGAGCAAGTTCTATTTCCATCTGATTATTTAGGTTGATGTGTCTGTTTATTTTCCCGCGAAATTCATGAATGTAATTAAACATGTATTTTTTACTATCCAATGAAAATAAAGCAATGGTCATGGGATTATACGCTACTTCGTGTAAGATTATCGAAACATCAATGATTATGGATTACAACGGTGTGCAGTACAACGAAATGGTCTTATATACAACGATTATTGTTTATTATGACTTGTATTAGAACTCGTTAAAAACAAGAAAATAAAACCGTGGTAGAACGCCTTACTTTGTATTTGTTCTGTATTTATTTAAAAACGTTTTTATGTACATCAGATAAAGGCACTTCTACGAGTTAGTCTAATGTGATTGATTGTGCTTTTATGTAATTTTTTCTGATTAGTAATACTTTTCTTTCTTTGCTGAAATATATATTTTATCAAAACTGATACAATAATGCAGCTCCAAGACACAATTTTACAGCTTTACAACAACTATACCAAATTCCAATTTTTTAAATTAAAAAAAGCAATTACAGTATCAAGACTCTGTAACATTTCCACATTGTTTAAAAAGCTGCATCACAAGTTGAAAACAATCCTACCATAACTTAATGAGAAAGTGTGATACGAGCTGTAAAGCAAATAAGCCAACTTGGGGCTTCAATTTTCCAACTATACATTTTATTGTGCGTTACCAATCTAATTTATGTATCCATCAATGGCCTTAACGCATCGAATTAATTCTCCTGAATTTTTCAAATAAAAGATTTGAAAATTGTATTAGAGACGGTTCATGATCTTTCTTTCTTATGTAGACGAAATGACAGAAGAGGAAAACCTGGAACATGACAGATGGAGAAAAGAACTTCAAGAAGCAAAGACCATTATAGCGCTCTATCACAAGGATTCGGAACAAGCAAGCGATAAGGAAAACTTCACAAGCTGTTTATCGGAATACCAAGGATTAGAAGTTTATCCAATCAACATAGAAAAATTTAAAGCTATTTTAACTCATACTGAAAATCTGCATTTTCATTGTCCTAGTCAAATAGAGCTGGAAGTTGTAAATCAAATGGAAACTGCTGAACCGATGAATGTCGATCTACCTCCTATACAGAATTCCAATGTTATGGAGCTAAACAGGTTTCAATATTTTTCAAGACTTAAAATGTTTGATGTTTAGACTAAGATATACTTTAACACTTCATACAATCAAACAATTGCGAAGCAAATTTTACAACATGAGGCCAAAGGTGGATCCAGAGTTCGGTAATAATAATGCAATAGTCCACCAATTGTTAAGATTTCATCCATTGTAATTTCATATCAAATGGCCAAATGGCATTCTTACCATATAAAGGTATTTTAATTCAAAAATATTACAGTATAATTTACTTTGCAAAACCCTGGGTCTGTTACTGCATGTACTGTAAGATCCGTGTGCAAATAGGCAACAGAATAGGGAAATCGAGCAATTTGATTAATTCAGAGCCACGATATTTAAGAGTTCAGACTACAGACGCATGAAATAATGTCCCATGAACGAGTTGTATATTTAACACATGAACGAAAACAAATCGACGAAATATAGGAAGGTATAAGTTTTGACTCACTGAGAGTAAATATTAATCTTGAATTGAAAAATGAAAACCTGAGGAAGATTTCGCTTGAACGGTGGAATAGTTTGAAATTAAACAAAAAATAGAAAAAGCCTTTTTACTAACTTTGGGATCATTGGATTGAATATAACTGAACAGGGCCGCGTTTAGACATATTAGGGCCCTGGTTTTTTCTTCTCGCGGGTCCCCAAATTATTGCCTTTATAACGACGTAAAATGCAGTTGGAAGTAATTGAACTGTGTATATGTGTATAATATATTCTATACGCTAGAAGGTGATGCTGGTGATGTTTTAGAACTTAATAACTCATTTTAACCATAGATTTCAAAAATGTTAAGTCTCATTTTCTGACATAGGCACTTTAACACTTTGCTGAATCCCGACTACCGGGCTCATAATATAAACAGCCCCTAATTCTTTGAAATTTATACGAATGTAAGGGGCTGTTCACATGAGCCTGGTAGCCGGGATTCAGCGAGGCGTTAATAGATTCTGGCAAATGGAAACGATTCGATACTTATTATCAAATAAATCTTCTCGAGCAATTTCACAATATTCTGATTTAGTACCTACGCAAAACTTTTAAATTTGAAACAACCAGTTTGGCGTAATTTGAGAATTACAATAGATATGAAACTTTTGAACACCATAACGTATTTCATATAAATTATTTCGTTTACTTATATAGAATGGCTCAGTCCATGCATGTAGAAGAAACTCCTCAAATCGAACGTTCATTTGAAGGGCAAAAGGATTTAATCAGACGGCTTAGGAAAGAAAAAATAAATGCAGAAATTTCATCACAAAACAAAGAAAAAATAATGGAAATGCAAAAGTATATAATTATTAAGTTGGAGGCAAATACCAGAGAGCTGGAGGCACAAATGAGATTATTGAATCATGAAAAAGCAACGAAAAATCATGAATTTAAGAAAAACTTGCAGTGTCAAGGAGAACTGTGTGACTACAACTGCGTACTATGTTGCCTTGTTTCCATATGTGAGAAAAAATGGAAGTTTTATCCTTGTGGCAGACATTTAGAGAAAATTATTGTCAGTTATTACGCCCAATTGCAAAGCCCAATAATTGATCACAAGAACCCTCTTCCTTTGCGCTGTGATGCATTTATGGATATTTTGAAAAAATCTGAAATAGTTTGGTCAGAGCATGTTGCGTTTGATTTCCGAGTTGATAGAAGTCAGTGGTTGCAGGTAAGAATAAAGGCGTGGAACCACATTTCATCAGTCGACAGATCTGTTCTCATTCTTGGAAAGATTTATTCATATGAAAACGAGACAGTTCGAGGTGATGGTCATTGCGTTACTTGCAACACTGACACAGCAAAAAAAGGAATCATTTATGATTCACAAAGTGAATTTGTGGGTGTAACGAATGTGGAGGAGTTTGTTAAATACGTGTCTAAAGACATGGGTTTAGAAGTGTACACAGTTAATTTTGAAAAACTGTGCAAAATTGTTGAGCCACATAAAGATTGTTTACATATACATCCTAAACCGCATTCTAAATCCTGAGCTGAATTCTAAACGGAGAAGCGGGTGCTGAGATGATCACGTTGTTGAATTGGAAAATATAAAAATGTAAATGTATTGCATTGCGATTTTGGGGCTGAAGTTTATAATCCTCTGCATTGAAAACAAAGATCAATTACGCAGCTTTAAGGTGTTCGTTACATTTTTAATTTGTCATGAAAGCACACACAATGTAAAATTTACTTTACTTTGTAATATGACTCTGTTAAATAGGCCCTATTTGCATATTATTTTAAGTGCGTAACCAGTCATGAAAGTGGAGAGTTTATCTTCAAAATACATCTTGGTTTTTGAGTTATTTAACAATTTTATGACTTATGATTCTTGATATTGGGCAAAAATTTGTATTTAGCTTCGTTTTCATTTCAGATAAAATTTTGAACTTTAATTAGTATTGATGTATTCATGTCAATATCGAAATTTTTTGAAGGGGGTAAGATAACAGGCTGGAACGCTACTAAATACAACATGTGAATTCTTAAACAGCTCGACACATGAGACCATAAGTTTATAGTTTGTGGGTTTTGAAATCACGTCTGTAACTTTCAACATATCAAGAACTCGTTAATTTTTATGTTCGTCTACAGCGACTGAAATCTTTAACTGTTTTTAAAACAGAAATACAGTGACAAACAACTTCAAAGGTTGTTGTATCACACAAAAACTTTCTCTCCAGGAAGTTTAATAGCTTATCAGAAATATGTTTAAAGTCTATAGTTTGAAATGTAGATTTTGCGTTTTGACGATTAGAGCTTTTAAAAGTATGTATAATGCAATCTCTCGATGAGTTGTTTGAATTCTCTCATGAAGGACAAAAAGCAGCAAGGTTGAACTTATCGCGATTCAAAAATAAACCTTTGCTAACGACCTATTGGTCATTGTCTTGTGTGTAGCTTAGCTACAAGTAGCTGCAATGAAATGCTGTGAATTCACCATTGTCAAATTGACGATAATTATTACTAAAGACGAAGAAATACTCAACTGTGGAACAGGAACCTATGGATATTAAAGCCAAAAAGATTAGTATTTGTATTTCAAATTGCATGAACCATGTAAGTATTCTTTAGAATATGAAAACACTTAGTACAGGACTGGGTTTAGTGGTACTCCAAGGGGCCAATGCCCTGGGCCACTTAACAAAAGGAGCGAAAAAGGGCCACCCAACTGATCTATCAAATTGCTCAACTAATAAAACAAGCGACGACTACAGAACTAAAGCCAATAATTACAATGACTAATAATTTTGAACAACGACTAGTTGCTGACCTTAGAATGTGGCCAGTTATAGTCTCAAATGAATTGTTTGACTACTGGCTTTTTAAATGAGCAAATAATGTTCAAAAATATGGTAAAAAACTGTTTTCAAAGTAAACTTAATAAAAGCAACACACCATCAAGTGGGCCCCAGGCCTCCTCGGAGGCTAATCCAGGTTTTCAACTGAATGAAGTAATAAAATACAAGCTTCTCAAAGAACTCACGTCATCTTCTCAATGTATTATAATTCATTTTTTATGATATTAGTGCATCATGTATTTGAAAACATATATGTTATATCAACACTATACAAAGATTGTAACATACTGAGAAATATGCCTTGAAAATGTTTATTTTTATAAAACATGTCGTTGTCGTGTTCCTTAAATGCGAGATTAAATGCGCCTGTTGTAAAGCTGCAATGAAAATTCCATATTCCATGAGAAATTCGTCAACCAAACCCACCTAAACTAAATCTGTGTAATCCTGAAGGCACAGTTCAGAACTGCGGATGCCCGGAAGTATATATGATTTTCGCGCCAAAAATTAAGTTTCGGATGAATGAGTTAATATTAAATTAGGTGATTAATGTTGCAAATTAACATCTATAAATATTTACTGAAGGTATCATTATAAAAGTGATTTAAAGAACGAAAATCTCGCGTATCTCAAGTAAGTGTTTTAATTATTGTTTATGTTTTACCACGTCCATTATATATGTTAAATCTTGGCAGCAATACGCCAATACGTACGTTGTTGATCGCTTGAATAAACCGTTAAACACTGAGAAATTTGTCGTTATATGACGCAATTTTGTTTGCAAATTGCAACACGTTATATAAATTGACGACAAATATTTAATTTTTCATTGCATTATTATGTTTTTCAGTAATCTCAAAGATTTTGCATCGAGCATTTCTTATTTTTAGAAGCTAAGCAAGTTAATTGATTTTGATCAGTTACAATTCGATGTTTTATTGCTTCCTATCGCCACTCGGATTAATTAACTGTGAAATCAAGCAAAAAGCAATCGCTTTAAACAAACTATAGAATAATAAGATAACGTACAAAGTGAGGAAATTTTACTTAGGCAAAACTCTCTCATATACGTATGACTATAAACACGACTGAAAATAATGCATGATAAGACGATATTATGTTTTCACATCTTACTAATTATAATGGTTTGTATTATATAGTCTCTATATTAATTGCTTTTATAACTTTCAGAGTTACCATAGACAAAATTAAATCATGCTTTTACCCTAAATGTTTTTGTAATACATTGGAAAGCATTGTGTGTAACTGAATAGGGGGCGGTGAGGGGGTTGAGAAAATCAATGATTTTATTTTGTAAACCCAGAGATATCCAGTCAATCTTCCCACTATTCAAAAACAGAATTTTGCCCTTGTTTTAAAGACATGACATACAGTATGTTACATTTGAATTGATTGATAGGTACATGATGGTTAATTTGCTTACTGTAATTTATATAATGAAACATTAAGTTCTATCTTACCATGAGAATGGACCTTTATAGTTTGATTAAAATTAGTAAACTCTTTTCTTACAGTCTACTTCACATAGACTCACACTAAGTATTACATTTTAGCTTCCCCTTTGCTTGGCATCCTGGTATCTTTATCCTATCTATCAATCATTGCATATTTCATGCACAAAATCATTCAAGTGCTAATCAGAGGAAATGATTAAGTAATGAACAAAAAAGGAAATAAAAATCAGCTTATTTGCCACACATTTAATAATTTTTATTGCCAACTTGTTTAACTTTCTTTAGCATGTATTAGTAAGGGATTGTGATAAGATATTTATGTATATTTTGCCATTGCTCTGCAGTCATCCTGTAAAACAATTATAAGAGATGGCAAACAAGCAATCTTCCGGACAGTTAATGAAAGAAGAGAAGATTAAAGACTTGGAAAAGCAACTAAAAGACATCATTGTCAGCATAGAAGACTTACAAAAGAAAGAGAAAATTATCAAAAATGAATTGAAAGAGTTAAAAGCAAACCAGGGTACTGTGGTTTTAACATTAATTCCCACCTAAAGTATATATAAGTCTTCAGGTTTCAAAATGAGACCACTCCTGACCAAGAAGCCAACTAGACTGCTGATGAAGACATTAGACTAGAGTATATATGAGGACTAAAGATTCAACATCAGATCACTCCTGATGAAGACACTAGACTTAAGTATATAAGAACTTATGTTTAAACATCAGATCACTCCTGATGAAGGCACTAGACTGGAGGACATAAGAACTAAAGTTTCAACATCAGATCACTCCTAATGAAGACAATAAACTGGAGTATATAAAAACTCAAGTTTCAACATCAGATCACTCCTGATGAAGACAGTAGACTAGAGTATATAAGAACTCAAGTTTCAACATCAGATTACTCCTGATGAAGACATTACATGTGAATGGAGTTTATTAGAAGTTTGATTCCTTATATGATCCAGTCTAGTGTCTTCATCAGGAGTGATCTGATGTTTTAACATAAGTTCTTATATACTTAAGTCTAGTGTCTTCATCAGGAGTGATCTGATGTTGAAACTTTAGTCCTTATATATACTCCAGTCTAATCTCTTCATCAGCAGTCTAGTTGGCTTCTTGGTCAGGAGTGGTCTCATTTTGAAACCTGAAGACTTATATATACTTTAGGTGGGAATTAATGTTAAAACCACAGTACCCTGGTTTGCTTTTAACTCTTTCAATTCATTTTTGATAATTTTCTCTTTCTTTTGTAAGTCTTCTATGCTGACAATGATGTCTTTTAGTTGCTTTTCCAAGTCTTTAATCTTCTCTTCTTTCATTAACTGTCCGGAAGATTGCTTGTTTGCCATCTCTTATAATTGTTTTACAGGATGACTGAAGAGCAATGGCAAAATATACATACATATTTTATCACAATCCCTTACTAATACATGCTAAAGAAAGTTAAACAAGTTAGCAATAAAAATTATTTAATGTGTGGCAAATAAGCTGATTTTTATTTCCTTTTTTGTTCATTACTTAATCATTTCCTCTGATTAGCACTTGAATGATTTTGTGCATGAAATATGCAATGATTGATAGATAGAATAGAGATACTAGGATGCCAAGCAAAGGGGAAGCTAAAATGTAATACTTAGTGTGAGTCTATGTGAAGTAGACTGTAAGAAAAGAGTATACTAATTTTAATCAAACTATTAAGGTCCATTCTCATGGTAAGATAGAACTTAATGTTTCATTATATAAATTACAGTAAGCAAATTAACCATCATGTACCTATCAATCAATTCAAATGTAACATACTGTATGTCATGTCTTTAAAACAAGGGCAAAATTCTGTTTTTGAATAGTGGGAAGATTGACTGGATATCTCTGGGTTTACAAAATAAAATCATTGATTTTCTCAACCCCCTCACCGCCCCCTATTCAGTTACACACAATGCTTTCCAATGTATTACAAAAACATTTAGGGTAAAAGCATGATTTAATTTTGTCTATGGTAACTCTGAAAGTTATAAAAGCAATTAATATAGAGACTATATAATAAAAACCATTATAATTAGTAAGTATATAAAACCATTATAATTATGAGTATATAAGAACTCAAGTTTCAACATCAGATCATTCCTGATGAAGACAGTAGACTAGAGTATATAAGAACTCAAGTTTCAGCATCAGATTACTCCTGATGAAGACATTACATGTGAATGGAGTTTATTAGAAGTTTGATTCCTTATATGATCCAGACCAGAGTCTTCATCAGGAGTGATCTGGTGTTGAAAGTTGAGTCCTTTATGTAGTTCTTCTTTAAACATTGTATCATTCCTGAGGAATATACTAACTAACTTTAGTGCATATTAAAAACTCAAATTTTGACACTCCTGATGATCAAAGACACTAGACTGAACAGTAGGAGAACATCAAATCATTTAGATGCTTGCTTTCGGGTGATCTCTTTCATAATATTAATCATGACTTATCTGAGATTGTTGTATCTTATGTGTAGGAAATTCTTGGGTGAAAGCAAGCCTCACAATGGACGAAAATTCATGTTCGAATACTCCACTACCACCGGCCATGGAGGAAAGTAAAGGCACATTGTCTAACTGCAAACATTGTAATTACTTACTATCAATCTTGAAAAAAAGAGACAATGAAATTACTTCGCTAAGTACTACCTTGAAAGAGTACAAGTCCACATTGAAGGAAAGAGACGATGAGATTACATTGGTAAAGAAATCATTAGTACAACATGTATCAATCTTGAATCAAAAAGACAAGGAGATTGCATCTCTGAACGCATCATTAAAACAAACTGTTTCTATCTTGAGTCAACGAGAAGATGAAATTGCAAGGCTAAATGCATCATTAGAACAAAAAGTATCAATGTTGAGTCAACGAGAAGATGAGATTGCAAGGCTAAATGCATCATTAGAACAAAAAGTATCAATGTTGAGTCAACGAGAAGATGAGATTGCAAGGCTAAATGCATCTTTAGAACAAAAAGTATCATTGTTGAGTCAAAAGAAAAATCAGATTGCATTGGCTTTAAAGGAACGTGAAAATTTGAAAAATGCGGGAAGGCTTTGTGAAAACGATTGCGTTCTTTGTTGTTTCGTTGATATTTGCAAGACGTACATAAGTGACTTGCCTTCCTTTTGTGGTCGTTCTTTGGAAAAGCAAATCACAGCCCACGCTGTTGGCAAAAAATTACTCGATAAAAATGATTTGAACTGCCTTCAACTCATGAATATCTTAGAAAAGACTAAACTTGTTTATTTTCTAAAATGGTTTAAATACCCTATTGATCCATTGTTGCGTGAAGGAAAGATTAAAGAAGCTTGGTTAGCGATGATGAATCTATCCTCCGAGACACCTGCCTTAATGATTGGCCGACTCATGTTTAATGGTTCAGGTCATTGCGAATGGTTCTGCAGAGACAAAAATACCATATTTGATTCGCAGTCAGGCGTTTCAACAAAAGCCAATTTTGAGAGCTTCTACATTCGTGTACAACATGACAAAGGAATCGCATTCTTTGGCTTCAACATTTCCAGAGTACAAGAGTTTATCAATGAAAACAGAAACCATCTGAAACGTGACTCTTTTCACGACCTAAATTATCAACGAGTGGATTATGGATCAGGTGTCTTTAGGGAAACAGTGCTTTACTTACGTTTGTGACTAGGTCTGTCTGTGTCAAGAATTGAAGAAAGAAAAGTAGCTACAGTCATGGCAGTGAGGCAGAAGAATCGGCTGTAAAAAGACAGTTGTGCATTGTTTTTCAAGTTTTATCAATTTGTGGGCTTTTAAGGCCTTCATCATTACTTTTTGGAACGAAACAGCTTATAGCTATTTCAGTAAATTTTCCATAAAAAAATATAATATTAATATTAATGAAAGTAATCCTAAATGTTTTGGTAAACCAATATTTAGATCATACAATAGTTTTAAAATGTTAGATCAATTCTACATCTATAGTATTTTTAAGTATTTTAGATAATAAATAGTTATAGATAATCATAATGATTGTTATTCATGATTGTTATTGCTGTAAACTACACTATATTTTAGCTTTATAGCCATTCAGTGTAAGTAATGAAACATTACTAATACCAATTACCATTAAAAATTCAAAAGTCAGTTAAGGCAAAGTTTTAATGTTTTTTTCTTCATATTTTCAGTTATGTTTTCGGCTTTTGTACGAGTTGTGACCTATGTATCGTCTGTTACTCTGCTTTTCATATGTTAATTGCCTGAAGATATTTGTAACCCTACACTTATATCTTTATTGTCTGTAAAAATTTAATCGAATGTATTTAACATTGAGAGTATGGAGATGAACCATGATAATGAAAAAATGTGCTTTCTCTAATAGTCATGCAATTTTGGTAACTTGTATTTCATTTATCAAATTAGGAAGTCTTCTTTTTTTGAAAGCAAGACTATAAAGAATTTTTTGTAAAGTCTATAATCACATTGTGCCATTTTGGAAATTGTTCTTACTTGTTAAGCAAACTCAACATTATGATTCAGGATGGGCTCTCACCTACCCAAAGCATGCCTCCCCTGACGATTTGTATTTCTAGATTTGAAGGTATCTTCAATTTCAATTAAATTATGTGTAATTTAATGGCATTTCAAAATCATTTTCACATTCTCAAGTCATGACTCAATGAGTCATGAGTCACAACTGTAAGGACATCGTTTTTAGCCAGAAATAGTGGCCAGAAGTTATGATACAGTGGCGCTTGATGTAAACAATTTTTCCCTAAGTTATTGAACTTGAGTGTCATGGTGGATGTATTTATTTTCAGTCACAAAAGCGCGGAAATATAATACTCCAAGTAAAATAGCACGCAAATGTTTACGTTGCAGAGCCAAATTTTTACTACAATTTCCTTTTTCACCGACGTAGCGCAAATTTCCTTGTATCCCCCCCTCGAAATCGTCTTTTAGCTTGTTCCCTATTCCACTCACCCTATATCATTAGCTGAAGAACTTGAAATTTTTGCAAATCTTACAAATGCATGATTAAAGATGCATGTATGACAGCCCATGACGCAGAAGCAATTGCCTTTCGAAATACCGAATTTTTTCCAAACACAGCAAAGCTCATTCGACAAATAAAGATTGTCAAGAATTATTTGCAATCAACAAAGAATTATGTACTGCTTAAACACCTAGTTGTCCTCTCAATCGAAAATCACTGCAAGTATAGGACTAATCTCAACATGGCAGTGATGGCACTAAAATGTTTGTCTATCAGAAAAAATCCCAAAGTAGAAACTATAAACTAAATGTTAAGATAGTTCTGCTGGTTCATATTTACAGCTGTTAAATGAAGAACTGAAATGTCGGTTTTCACTGTAATGTAAAAATAATTGTAATAAATTTTTTTCTTAAAGTTGATTTGTCAAAGACGTAGCTTTTGAGGAGCCTTTTTCAAACTTCTTTTTCTCTAACTTTCTTGGCCATGCCTGTCTACAAGGACGTTTACAGGCCACACCCTATTTCAGGGCAAAAATGCTCCACTACCCTAGTGCTTAGGATCAAGTTACGCAGCTGAATAAGACGTGAGAGTAGGAACATCGAATGCCGGGATAATGAACGGAAAGTTAGAGATTTGGGCTAAAAAACCTCATGGAAAAGTAGTAAAGCTAGAAGCCAAGTACCAATATTCAAATTGTCTGATGTTGGTGGGGATGTGGAGAGATATTGAATGAAAAGACTAGAAACTATTAATAATCTGGGAGAAGATTATTGAGAATGTTCTAGAGAAAGTGATATGCTTGAACTTAGAAATTAGAAATGTTTCATTCAATTACGTTTCAAAGGTAAGATGTGATTAAGAAGAGTAAGAGAAATTGAGCATCCAAACTGTAATGAATACTGTTTGTTGGTTTTACGCACAAACGTTTGAAAAGTTTTACTTAGGTACAAATGTAGGCAATACTAGATAGATAACGTTTTATGGATATTTGTTATTGTTAATATTACGATCATTAACATAAGAATGTCCTATAATATTTATAGTATCTTTATAATCTTTATATACTAGGATATTTTTAGTTTTCGTTAAGGAGCAGACACAGCTCCTAAATCATTCTTAATTTCATTACTAATATTACCATTTGCGTTCAACTGTTAAGTTTCACGAATTTTTCGCATTTGTTTACGTTTCGAACGTCACGTTTCTCAAGCAAAACCGTCGAGTTTCAACTGGTAAACGTGACGTTTGTTCGAATCGCGGAATTCTAAGTTTGTAACAGTCCTTTATTAGGTTATACGGTCAATTATCAAATTTTGCAAGTCGCGGAGAATACACGTGTAAGTTTCAGTTGCAGCAGCATTTTATCAATGTAAAATCATCAGAACATGTTAATCACATGACCAAAACTGCTCATATTTTTCCTCAAACGTTAAACATTCCTGAGCAAACGTTCAGTTGAAAGTGAACCAGACGTTTCGCTCAACATTTGCATATTGAAATTATCATGATACAGGTCAAAGTACAAATTATATGTACATTTGATTTGTTATATTTGAATGACGTACTTATGATTGTCCAATGAAAATAAAGTCATTTGGCATGGTCATCATTACTCTTACGTCATAGAAATATCTTTATAACGTTCGTGTTAACATACGCGGAAAGTTAATTGTAACAAGAAAGCGCTTAGTTGGAATTGAAATAAAAGATTAAGAGGGAAACAACAACACGATATGTAAGTTTGGATTTGACACATGTTATAGAATAATCTAATGATATTATAATAATGATATTATAGAACAAATGGATTATAAAATACAAGAAAAACATCGATTTAACGAAGTGTAGCTGACTTAAGTTCGATGAAATACTTTATGTAGATTATAAAAGGTGCAAAATATAGGTTGAAAATAATGCACGAAGTTGCATCAAAAGATCGGAAAATAAAATTTTTATCGCCTTTATTTGTTCTTTAAAGTGCTTTATAAATACTCAATACTCAAATATCGGTCTTGAAGAGATAAACGTCATTACTCGGCCGACGGAAGTAATCAAAACACCAAATTTCGTACTTTAAAAGTTAGCATCTTACCAAACATCCTGTAAACGAGCTTCAGAAAACTGGAAAAAATCGAAACATTGCACTTCCAAAGCAATGTTTTCCTGAATTTTGAGAAAGTTAGTAAATGATCAATGATTTGTTGACACAACTCGCAGTTCCGTCTATAGTCCTTCAATTCACACTCGTAAAAGCACACATAACCAATATGATACAAACTTCAGGAAATCAGCGCAGAAAAGTACAATTGCAACAGAATGTTGCATCTGCCTAGTTAAGGTTTCATTGAAATAAACCTTTAAAACTTGGAACAATTTGGTTAAATAAACCTTAAGTAAATTACATTATATTTCATTACGTGAATTGCGTTGAATTCTTTATTACGCAATATTCATGAAATAAAATTTATTTTTCAAATTCGCGTTACTGAAAAAGTTAGAAACGATCTAATTACAAATATATTTAAAAAATAGGAGAGAAAATATTTCAACTAGACAGATAAATATATGTTTGGAATGCTCTCTTTTCAATAAATTTAAATAATGGCCTTTCTTCATTGGTATTAGCCAGAACTCATTGAAGTTATATCTTAACTAAAATTATCTTTACGTGTTCCCATCGAAGTTGAAATTCCGACACATTTATACATTAATACATTTACATGTATGCTAAATACTGTTTTTATACATGATAGTAATAATTTAAAATTTGCATCTTGCCAAACATCCTGTATACGATTTCCAGCAAACTGGCCAAAAATCAAATAATTCCACTCGTTGAAACAATGCAGACCAGTAACAAACTTTTACGAAGTTAAACAAACCATTAAGTATTTGTTAACATAAGTTCCATAACAAATGATCAACATTAATTACGGTAGATTCCTTAGAAGCACACAAAACTGATGAAATTGATATCAGGCTAACAAACCCACAAAAACGCATGCGAACGACTTACTCTGCCCAGTTAGCCAGTTAAGATTTTACTTTAGAAAAATATAGAATCCTTAGATCCCCGATTTCGCATGTTAAGCAGAAACAATATGTCATATAACTTCCGGTGCACTGACCATAATTTGGCCTCTAATTCGTCGAAAATAAACATACGCTACAATTTGCAAACTCTCTCTGAAATGATTCATGTTTTCTTGAACACTGACTTTTGTTTTTGTTTGGAAGCAGTGTAGTAGCTACTGTTGAAAGTTTAGTTTATGTTAGGTTTTTACACATTTTGTGCTTTAAAATTGCATTTGCTCTTATATAGCAACATATTTTCGAAGAAAAGCGCAACTGGCAAGGAAAAATTCGTGATGGTATAGGCATTTGCATGAGTAACTAATAAGAACATTTTACTTTTATCATTTGCTAGCTTTCTTCAGTAGTCTAACCCTTAGTTTCGATTTGCAACTCAGTGGTCAAAAAAGATGAAATTGACAATATTGCAATGTGCTGAACAACATAGTTTTAGGCAGCTGGCTAGCCATATTTTGAATGACATTGCTACTATGAGTGTTTAGTAATAACAAGGATCTTGTGAGTAAAATTACAATAACATTTATCCATTAAATAAACAAAAGATGAGAATGAAGAATATGTTCATAGAACTTATTTTTTAGTAGCATAATGAGAAGAAACAGATCTATGATCTGTTAGTTGATGCTTTAATGCTGCTAGTTTCTGATAAATATTTTGTATTGCTTTCGGAATTTCATACAATATCAATCGCTGTGGCTCGTCTTCTCACTATGTTTGGCGTTTTCCATGAAATTAACATTTTTGTAGCCATTGTAGCCTCGTAACATATGAGCAACACTCACATAAACAAAATGACAACTCGATTGACAAAAAAGTTCGGTCAGGCACTTTAAAGCAGGGTGAACACACAACGTTGTTTCAACGTCTATATAAAGTTGAATAACTGATGTATTGTAACATTCATTCAACGTTTTTAGAGTTTAGACAAGAATTAGTCTCACGGGCTTCATCACGTGGTATAACAATTTATGAATTTTCTTTTAAGTTTCGACGTCTCGTAAATTTCTTTTTTTCACATTTGAGACTTCTGGGTGGTCAATATTGTGTTATGATACTTAAGGAATAATTCTATTGATTGAACGCTTTTTCAAATTTTAACAACGTAGTTAAACAACGGCGCATGAATTTGTTGTCCCCATCGTTTGACTCTAAAATCATGTTCTAAATTCTAGTTCCAGTTATTTTGAACACTTGCAATAACACAACTCTTTTTGTATAGTTTTGCTTTTACTTAAATATACATTTGAGTCTTAAATGAAGTCTAAATTCGCCCTTCACACGTTTTAAACACTTTCAAACGGCTTTGAATCTGGTTTATGTGACATTAAAATTATTACAATTACTAACCATTTTTAAAATGAGAATTGTGTTATCGAAAAGAGTATTTAAAATACAGCTAGAAAGGAAATAGATTATATATGGTTAAAATAAGGCACATGTTGTTCAAGCTAACCAATTTTAGAGAAATTAGGCTTATGTGCACGTAAAAGCTTAGCTTTCAAATTGCATTATTCGTTTAAAAATATAATCCTCATTAATTATGCCTAGTAAATTGCCTTAACAAATAATTGCCTTATAAGTAGTTTTTTCAAAAGACATCAAAAGAAAAAACAGAATTTATGAATAAACACTCCACCCCCACAATTAACTTTCTAGCGACGGCCATTGTCTTTTCTAAAGTCGTTTTTTTCGTTTATCCATACGTCGACTCGATTTGGTCTGCGAATCTTTTTCAATGTTGAGTTAAAATCGACATTTCTTTGTTCTTTATGACCTCGATTACATCGGAGGTTATTCAAAGTGATAATTTGACTGATGTGTTTTTTTGTTTGCAGACATATTTTTTGACTGTCACTAATTATCATGGCATATGCAAAAGGACCTGAACAAATATCAAATGAACAGCAGCGAAGTCATGTTATAAGTCAACAGAAAGAAATTGATTCCAAAATACAATCCTTGATAATGGACAGGATTGCAATTGGAAATAGTTTGAAAAACTTTCCAGGTGTTGTAACATTGGTTGAAACAAATTAGTCTATTTTCAACAACAGATCACTCCTGACGAAGACACTAGAGTAAACTGGAGTGTAAAAGGACTCGAGATTAAACATCATATCACGTTCCTAATAAAGACATTAGACTAGAGTGTATAAAGAGTCTAGTTTCAACATCAAATCACTTCTGATGAGGACACTAAACTGGAGTATATAACAAGTCGAGTTTACGCATCAGATCACCCCTGGTGAATAGTCTAAAGACAGTATTAGACGAGAGTATATTGGAACTCAAGTTTAAAAACACTGGGGTACAAAAAATTTAAATGCAAAAATCAATTACTTGCAAAAGAACGTTTTTGTATTGACGTACAACATAAGTACTTAGACTAAAATACAGTATACAGCATCTAATTCAGATAGTGTAGTGAAGAAGTTAGAAATTGGATCTTTTTCAGTTAAGCCTACAATTCAATTACAAAATAATTGTTTTACATTTTTACAGCAATGTAATATTTATAATTAATGTTTTTGTATTTTTAAGCACTTCACATTGGCAATCTCGACGATTATGATGGCCGTTCAGCATTGGAATTGAGTGCAAGGTGTATCAATTTTTTTAGAACATGAATACATGTTTTTGTGTTTATGTATTATGGTAAAAGGTTTACTTCGAATATCAGTAAAATGCCATGTTCTCTTTGGCATCATTAACAACTATTCTTTACTGAAACTGTATATCACTATTTAGTACATTAACAGAAATATTGCTTTCCCAAATTAATGCGTTGATGACTGAAAAATCACAGCAAAAAACTGAACTCGACGAAGCAAATCAGAAAGAAAGGCAAGGAAAAAGTTCTTTCAATAATAATTATTCTTAATATTTGAATTGATATTGTTTCATTATTTAGAGAACATCAAGACGAAATTGAGACATTAAAAGAACAAATAAAAGATTACAAAGACAAAGTCGATAAATTGGAACGTATTCTTGAACAAAAAGGGTTGTGTAACTGGAACTGTGTGCTGCGCTGTCTTGCCTCAACATATAATTCGATATATAATGAAAAACTTTGTGACAGACAGTTGCAATTGATTGTTGCCTGCCATTATTTCAGAAAAAAGAACACTGAAGATCCCCAAATTTACTCAAATCATGAATGCTGGCCAATAATTGAAGTGTTTTTACTTACTGAACTACGATGTGAGAATTTATTGGAAATATTAAAAGTATTGGAATTAGTAAAAAAAAAGGGGGAATTTGAATTTGAACAGACGTCAAAGGAAGAAAGAACAAAGGCATGGAAGTATATAACCAAAGAGGACAAAACCGAAATACTGTGGCTTGCATTTGTAAAACAGCCTGTGGGTCATTGTGTAATTAGAAGACTAAAGCAAACTGACTCAACTCGAGTATGGATTGAAGACCCCCAGAGTGGCGAAGAAAAATCCAAAAATGAGGAAGATTTCATTGCTTATACATACGATTATAAATGCTTAGAAGTTTATCAATTCAACAAGAAAAAGTGGGACGAAATTGCTCGACTTAACATTGACATTCTAGGTTTTTTTTCTCTTATTCATAAGAAAACTTCTTCAACACGTGATAACTTTTTAAATCGTCTACATTTTTATCATCTTATTCAAATGAAGTTAAAAGAGAACAATCAATTGGAAAGTGTTCGAAATTATATTGAAAAACTACAATTTTCTGATATTCACGCCTTATCGGACAGAGAGGCAGAGGAAATTGCTCAAACTTTTATAAAAAACTTTTCTTTTTATCGTCCCATTGGAATGGACCGGAGAAGTTGCACTAAAGTGGGACCCGAAAAAACTTCTACTGAAGATCCAGATACTTTTATTGAAGAGAGCTCGAAAGAAATTATTCCAATGGAAATCCAATAAAATCAGGTTTCGATAATTTTAGATATTTTTAATGTTGACATTTAGCCTCAGCTATTTTGACTGAGATATACTTAACTCTAACATGTATAACCTAACAATTGCAAAGCTGATTTTCATAATTTTAGAAAAGTGAAACTATAATGCGTGTACCAAAGGCCAATTCCCTTTTTAAACGTAAGAAAAAATAACAAATCTATACTACTAGTTCTTTTTGCTATTTGACGCGTGAAAAATAGAATTGACATTGCAAGCAGCACACCTACAATGTAGTCGTAGTTCTTTCGTTGAAATCTTGTTTGATTGTAAACAACAGCAAACAAACACGAGTTAGGAATACTGCACATTTTAAAAATTTCTTATCCACCGTTCCAAAACTCAAATGACAAAAAACTCGGGAAGGGTTAATGCAGCTAAGCCTCTATTTTTCAATGATATTTATTGTCGAATATAGGACTCTTTAGACCAAAAAAACTTTATTTTTGGCATTTTGTGTTATATAATTTATGTTATTGTATTACTTGAGTTTCGTGTTATATTTATTAAACTTAACACATGTGACGTCATACTATGTATTTATGATAAACGAACAACCTAAAAATACAATCGAATCTGATTAAGCGGAACTGTATTAAGCTGTCACCCTGTTTTAAGCGATCACGAGGCAAAAAGTTTCACTATATAAAATATAAATACAATCGGCAAACTTTATAAAAGAATGACTTATCTTTCAATTTTTTTAGAATCATGATTGGTGGAAAGAACAAGCCCCGAATTCACTAAATAATACAGAATAACAAATAATCGTTTTGCACTCGAAGCTAAGACCATTATCTAATTAATTGTAATCTACGTAAATTACCTGTAACTTGAACGAATAATAAATCTATTGCAGGATTGTCTTCACAGTTTAATGACTGGCTCAATAGTCTTTGTTCCTCCCCAGTGATTTTATAAACGAGAACGTCAATAACTTAAAAATACGGGAAAGACTTTGTGAAAACGATTGCGTTCGTCGTTGTTTTTTTCATATTTGTAAATTCAATTTTGATAATATACCACTGACTTCGTAGTGATTCTTTGGAAATTACATATTTTGCTGGGAAAAAAGTTTACTCGATTTTAAATGCATTGCATTCATGAAAATTTTAGGGAAGACTAAATATGCTTCCTTGCATAAAAAAGTTGAATACCCAATAGATACATGGTTGCGAGGCAAAAAGATCAAACAAGCTTGGCAAGCGATGATGGCACGTGTCGCATCTTTGTCAGTAATATAGAGACTACCAGATCTGGCGCACCTCGCACCTTAAGACTTATTATACGCAAATCTAAGCGCCCCAGCCCTAGTTCGCCTATGTATGTCTTAGGGCGACCGATCCTATCTGGAGTGTGACCTCCCACCAGGTCGAGCGGGCTGTGGTTGAGGGCGGGAAGCCCGTGTTGTATTATTTGAGCGATGGGCCCTAGCGCGCGTTTGTGCGAGAGGAGCTCCAAGTGGTGCCCTTTGGGCCCGAAAAACCGCCGGCTTAGTCGATGGGGTCCTCATAAGTACAACCTTTAATCTCTCTCTCAAATCTCTGTGTGCTTGAGTAAAGCATCCAAACTCAAACCCGGGCTCGTGTAGTAGTGGGCTGGGTCTAGCTGGTACTGCTCGAGGCACAGCTTTCGAAAGTTCTCGAAAACGTCGGCGAGGAGAAGGACGTCAGTCCTGAGATAGAGGTCATGGTAGTTGCCTAGATTTGAGCAGCCAAATATATCCCAGACATTTTTCCGTGGGTGTAGTTAGCGTCGCTGATGCGTTTGACGGGAAGCTTGCTGTAGAAAGCCTCCTTCGGTGGGAAAGACTTTTCATCGAACCGGGACCAGCTGTCCATGTACTCGTAAGGGTAGACACTCATCCGGAGTAGTAGAGTACTCCTCTGGGAATCTGGTTTGTAGTCTGCTGTAATGCGCATGTCTTGCGCATTGGTGGCTTTCACAAGCTTATCCAGCCTTGATAACATGAATTGAGCGCTGTCGATGAATCGGAGCTGGCCGAGACTGAACGAGATGTATTTCTCGGCGTTAATGGGAATGCAGGTGAACTTCCCTTCGGTCTCTGCGATAGCCTGCACAATGAGATGGCTATCGTAGCCCCGCAGGTTGTGGAAGACAACCGGTATGGTTGTCGTCTTCGGGCTGAGCCGCAACTTTAGATTGCACTCATTGTGGGCCGCACCTCGGTACTTACCAGTAATGTCGCAGTGGTCTCGCACTGAATCGCCTTCAAGGGGCTTGCTGCAAACGTGGCCATTTGTGGCTTTCTTGTGGCTCCCCCAGTCCTTTCCTGTCATGTGTATAGGCTCGGGATTAGCCAACACCGTCTTGATCTTGCGCTCTTCTTGGAGCGCTTCCAGGAAATGCTTAGCCGCGTCAGGCCCTCGGTAGAGCTGCGGCGGCTGCCTTTCCCCGTCGGAACGAACGACTATGTACGAGTAGCCGCATGCCTGGTGTCAGGAAGTTTACTGGGTGCCGCTCTTTTCAGGTTTAAGCGCGGGGCCCTCGATTTTGCAGACCAGACTCTCGAAGTCGGCGTAGATTATGAAAGGCGCTTTGAGCTGTTTGTGGTAGCTCTTAAAGCGAATTTTGTCATTTGTTCCGGGGGTTGGCATTCTGATGGCAACCGCCTGGTTGATTGCCTCGACATTCAGGCTTATGTTCTTCCAGCAAATCCTGCCTAGTATGGCCGTGAAGGCAACGCTCACAGAAGAGCAGCCGGTGGCCATCCTTCGATTCCCGGTTGAGAAGGCGGTTGAAGTCCTTGATCCAAGTGTAGTGGTGTTTTTCGAATCCGAGACGAGGAAGAGATTCACAGTCTTGCGAGCTCTCTCTACCTTGCTTAGACGGCAAGGAACGACGCCGCCTTCCCAACCATACACGTTGATAGCAAGGTCGTTCTGACGCTTTACTCGTTTGAGCTGGGAGAGCGGTGTGGGTGTGCTCACTCCCGCAAAGTCAAGACTGTCTTTAGTGAGATACTTGCCCAGCCGGTGCGGGTCTTTAGCTGAAGGAAACAGCGCAGATCTTAGAGACCAGCGAAGGCAGTCGTCGTCTTTGTTTTTCACGTTGACGATCGCCTTCTTATTCTTGACTGCGGTGGGGAGAGGAAGGTATGAGCCTCCGCGTAAAAGCCTATAGTGAGCGGTGTCAAGCCAGAGTGTTTTGACACGACCCACTATCCACCCAGACCCTTCCCGAGTGAACTTTTCCAATTTTTCCAGGATTGTTGCCCTGCCTCATGGCTGTCGAACGTTTGGATATACGCTGTGAATCGTCTTTCTTCAAATGACCCACGACCGGGCGGAGAGCACCGCCTTAGCCCCGAGGGCCGCCCGCGCGGGTGCTAGGAGTGGGTCGGCCGTCTTTGGCTCCTGCCTTTGTCCTGAGTTTGGCTATAAAAAAGGCCGGCATTTTTTATATACGCTATCCGGTGCGATTTTCGTCCGTACTTATGTATACACAGTACTTCGTACTGTGTAAACAAACTAGGGCTGGGGCGCTTAGATTTACGTATACTAGGTCTCAAGGTGTGAGGTGCGCCAAAGTATATATACTACTTTGTTTATGGTCGATCGAGCTGGCCGTTGGGCACCCGTCTATATGTCAATAGTTAGATACAGTTTAAACATATGATTTAACACATGTATAAAATACATCACGCACGCAAATGTTACGAATCCGAAAGATTAAAATGCAAATTTTATCATACTTGGTGATGGAAGAAATGTCGATACCTAAACACTGGTAAGTGTTTTGGGTAATGACAGAGAATTAATCTCATGATGTATATTGCATTTATACAAGCCATATTGCACTTATGTAAAATACAAATGTTTATTTTATACACAGTTATTCATCCAAAATAATGTCAAAATTCATGTTCAAAGTTTTTAGTTTATACAACTTAGAAAGTTCGGTTGTTTATATTTAATACTAACTTTGCCAATAATTACAGTTTACATAAGCCATCATGTCGGTCAACACTAAGTATAAGTATTTGCTCTGAATTCATGAATGAAATCAAAAATGTATATTCGATTATCCAATGAAAATTAAGCCATGGGTCATGTGATTACTGCGTACTCAAGTAGAAATACATGCCATAATCGTTAATGCTTCGTAGATTATGATTGCAAAGAGTTTTTAAATTGAACTGACATTAGAAGACTGTAAGTGAAAATAACTACAAGATAGGTAAGTTTCGATTTGATACATCTTAGATTAATCCATAATGATAATATAGAAAACAAATGGGTGTTAAAATATAAGAACAACATCCATTGATGAAACGTACGTGGCTGTCTAGTTCATGTAGTTAAAGTACAAAGAATTATAGATCGATTATTGTTTATTATGAGTTACATATAAGAACTCGTTAAAAACATGAAAATATAAGCATTGTATTACGTGAGAAAATACAAATAATATTATCATATTCTTTGTATGTATAGTTTTAATGTTGTTTAATCCTGCGAAATTACGATATTTTTCTAAGAACGACCTTTGACTCTTCCGGCAGCGAAGCATAGTTCCTATATATTTGTAATTGTTGTAATTATATCGGCAACGAAGGTCTACAACAATTCTATTATATGTGAACGAGCGTTGTAATTGTTGTAATTTAATCGCAGACAAATCAGGAGCTGATGTATACGTTGAATCTTGTTCATATGCCGACAACACTTGTCGACACTAGACTGGAGTATACAAGAACTGAAGATTCGACATCGGATCACTTCTGATAAAGACACTAGACTGGGGTATATAAAAACTCAAGTTTCAACATCAGATAACTCCTGATGAAGACACTAGACTGGAGTATATAAGAACTCAAGTTTCAACATCAGATCACTCTTGATGAAGACACTAGACTGGAGTATATAAGGACTCAAGTTTCAACATCAGATCACTTCTGATGAAGATACTAGACTTGAGTATATAAGAACTCATGTTTCAACATCATATCACTCTTGATGAAGACACTAGACCGGAGTATACAAGAACTCAAGTTTCAACATCAGATCACTCCTGATGAAGATACTAGACTTGAGTATATAAGAACTGAAGTTTCAACATCAGATCACTTCTGATATAGACACTAGACTGGAGTATATAAGAACTGAATTTTTAACCTCAGATCACTCTTGATGAAGACACTAGACTGGAGTATATAAGGACTCAAATTTTAACATCAGATCACTCCTGATGAAAACAATGACATCGACAAAAATAAGGACTTAAGTTTTAACATTAAATCAGTTCTGATGATTAATCTCAATTGAACTTTTTAAAAATAGTTTTCATTTTTTAATTTCCTTATCAGAGAAATCATTGTATTTTACGTGTAGGAAGTTCTTGGCTGAAAACAAACACCCCGATTAATGAGAATTCACGTTCAGTTACACCATTACACCAGCTATGGAAGATAGAGGAAGCCCAATGTCGTGTTGCCAAAATTGTAATTACTTACTTTCGGTTTTGAAAAAAAGAGAACAAGAGATTACATTGCAAATGAAATTGTTTAAAGAAACAATATCGTTGTTGAATCAGGAACATCAAGCATTGTTATATGAAAGGCTAAACGCTTTGTCAGAAAACCAACGTCAATATTTTAAAGATGTGGGAAGACTTTGCGAAAACGATTGCGTTCGTTGTTGTTTTTTTCATATTTGCAAAACCTATTTCAAGCATACTGAAGCCTTATGTGGTCGTTCTTTAGAAAAGGTAATAACATATTTGGCAGGGAAAAAAAATTTACTAGATGAAGATGATTTGAAATGCTATGCATTCATGAGTATTTTACAAAAGGCGAAATTTGTTTCCTTTCTGAAAAAAATTGAATACACCAATGATCCATTCTTGCGGGGAGAAAAGATCAGAGAAGCTTGGGAAGTTATGACAGACAAGTCTCGTGACACACCTGTCCTAATGGTCGGCCGAATCGTGGCTAATAAAATTGGTCATTGCGAATGGTCGTGCTTAAAACGAGATAGCGATGGTCAAGCTACCATATATGATTCACAGTCAGGAACAACAACAGAAAATCTTGACCAGTTTAAAATTCATGTTCAGCATGACGCTGGAGTGGAGCTGTACCCTGTTAACATGACCGACCTAGAATACTTCATTGAGAGGTATAAACATGTTATACAATGTAACTCTAATGTTGCTACTGCTGCTACTGATACTGACCAAAGCACAACAAGCAATCTCGGAAGCAAAGCTATTGCAACTGGTCATTGTGAATGGCTTTGCCGAACATCAAGTTACAATGGTCAAGCTATGATTGTTGATTCTCAGTGTAGAATCAAAAGAGTGGAAAATTTTGATGTCTTCAACATTCATGTACAGATTGACGCTGGATTCGTGCTGTACGCCGTTAACATGATCTACCTTGAACAGTTCTTGAAGAAATACAAAGACGTTCTGCGATGTAACCATGCTAATATTACTGACAATAGCACAACAAGTAATTTCTTAAGTACGTCGACAGCAATGTAGGTTCATGAAAATTTGCCTGAGTTTCGTGACAAGCATTTAACTCTAATGACGTTCAAATTAGATTGGATTAGCTGTAAAGGATAATAAAAATTTTTAAAATGTGGAAAGGAATTGTGAAAACGATTTCGTCCTATTGGTTGTAAAGCGAGTCATGTGACTGTCAATACATTATGAAGCATTAAAATACTGTTTAATTTATGCAAACTAATTCAATATGCACGCATAAATCAAAGTATTGCGTTTTTTGAGACACCCTGTATAAACTTGTTTGTAAAAATTCACAAAATTGAAAGAGTGAATAAAGGCAATGAACAAAACATATCCCAAACGTAATGATCAGAAAAAAACTACAAGCTAATTTCACCAATATTTATTGACAACGAAGAGGCCCTTATCAAAAAGCTGTGTACAGTGTAATGAACGAGAATGATACGAAAACAAATTTGATTGCATGTTGTATTTACGTACATGTTCTATACACAGTAATTGATCTGAAAACAATTAAAAATACAAGTTTCATTTTCTATGTTTTTAAATGAAACAACTTAGAAACTTGTGTTGCTTGTATTTCATTGCGTAAAGTTCACGACTTTGCCATTAAAAACAGTTTGATCAGACTCAGAACGCTATGTTAGTCAATACAAAAGATTCTTCTTAGTCTTCTACTTTATTTAATGATTTTTGAGCACTGAACAGAGTACATGAATGTCATTAATTCCGATTTCCAATGTAAATACTAAATAGTTTTGGTCATGTGATTATGCCTTACATCGTCAAATATAATAGTGAAAGTTGAAATATTACGAAGACACCGCTTCAGTGACGTGAAATTATTGAACGTGGGATAATTCACGGTAAGTAGTGATTTGTTATACCTTGGATAATATATAATAATATAAAATAATAATAATAATTTTAAGAACAGTTAAGTGGTAGAAATACAAAAAAATCAATTGAGAACTTTCTTCCGCAAGTTAATCTAAAATTGTGCTGCGTATTGTGTTAAACATTAGATTCATTTTGTATGAAATAAGTTAAAACAATCTTGGAAAGCGTAATTTTTCTGTAAAAAAATATTTGCAAATTTGCAATATTGTTAAGGATTTCTGTAATTAAAACAAATGTAACGAATAAAACTTGATTTGTTTAACAATAAATACCATGAAATGCAAATTTGATAACAATCGACATGAGTGAGGAAGTGAGACTATAAAAGTTTGAGAAAACTGTGAAGTTTGAACATGAATTCTTAACAAATTTTACAAAACCGTTACACAGTATGGCTAGCTAGCTATATTTTGATTTATATTTTAGCAACAGACAATGTCGAGTTAAAACTTAAATGTTGTCAGTAAAATCGAAATTCTTTGAATAACAAAGAAAGAATTCGAAATAAAAATTGTAAATCCGATTTACTGGATTATCTTCAATATTTGGCAAGGTCATAAGCTGATGATAAAAAATTGGGGGATACGACATTCTCAAAACTGATGTTTTGACACACCTATAAATTCAGATAAATATTTCGTATAAAAAAGATGTGTTGACATCTTTTGCTGCGTGTTTAACAATCTAGTGACCATCATATAACACATGAGGAACAACCACGATGCAAAATGAATCGTTGCGACGTCAACTAATGAGTCACAAGCTAACGAAGATTTATCGAGTCGAACAAATTTTTCAGATTATGAGTGCATGCTTAGTTCTCTATTCTTGCTTCATCGTAAAAAGTTTTTCCTAATCATGAGATGGCGTATGGAAGTTGCAAATACATACTCTCATCCAAACTATAACTAAGTTTTTTCCTCTTAACTTGTACTGAAATTGCATTATTGTTTAGTGCATGAAATGAAGAATTAAAGTCAAGCATTCATCAGTTTGAATATTGACAATTTAAGGTTAATTAACAAAGCAAATGAGAGAGCAAGGTATGTAAACATCGTTTTTTAAGAGTTAATAACCGATTTGGAGGAAAAGTTTAGGAACGAATATCAGAAAGGTCCTTAGCATAAGCAAGTATACTTTAGATTTGTGCAAGTATTTACTTTTAAGTGAAGTCAGCACGCTGCCATTTGTAATCATTGAATTAAGACAGTTCATGCATTTCACTCATAACATCGTAAGTGAATTTCAAGCTGAGACAAATACCTCTCACCTCATTTCTTTCAGAATTTTATGAATTGGACATGCAGTAAGTCAATAAGCAGCATGCATGATAAAGTTTTAACTGAAAATTTCACCCATTGACGTAATCTTAGAAACGAATTACAAAATTTATGATACTTAGCATGTAGACGATTAAAGGAAGTCACAACAAATTCCTTTCTCGAGACGCGAATGGATTCGATATTTGTTTTCGTTTCAAACACAATTTTTAATAATATTTATATATGATATAAAATTTATATAAATTATAAAAAATGCTCGTGTTTTAGAATGTTGACAAAAAATGTTTTAAACGCATCAATAGGAAACGTATGTGTTGACTGCACAAAAATAACAAATACAATATGTGTTTTTCAGAATAATGTGCAACTATCGACGTAAAATTAAAGCTTGTTAAATTCATGTTATAGCACTTGTCGAATGTTCTAGAATGTGCCTTTATTTCTAGGATTGATTAGCTACCATATTTTAATTCATTTTACTTCATAGCTATGTCTATAATCATCTTTAACAAATTGCAACAACAAAGTGTAGTAAAGTTCTCTAATATTAAAAGAAATAAAGTGGTCACTTTAATGCGCTTTTAGCTGAACATTACAGATGCATGCACTTAAGTATTAAAGATTTGATTTGAATGCAACAATTTTTAAGTAAATAAATTTAATTTAAAATGTTGCTATTAACTTCCGGCGTATCAAATGCTTTCTTAGTTTCTCTGCTTGAATAAACAATGCAAATTATCAATGTCGGTTTCTTTCATTTGAAAATTGGCTGTTTTATTTCTGGTTGCATTGAATGGTGTAAAGAAAAATACAACCATTATCAGGTCCATTCTGATGGAACACCAATATGTATAGTATTACATTTATAAAGGACTGAGTTTTAACATCAGATCACTTCTAATGAACCACAAGAGTCAACACTGTAGTGTACAAGAATTAAATTTCAATATAAGATCTCTCCTGATGAAGACAATAGACTGGGGTATAAAAGAGCTCAATACCATAAAAATGTTACAATACGAGTTATTTCGTTGCTTTCAATAGAATACACTCATCTCCTTCCTACAAACATCGAATTTTATCCTGTCTGCAATTCTTTTTTCTATCATAAAGAATGGCGACGTTTTGTCAGAAACTTCATGGGCAAGAAACCAGAAACGAAATCAACCATTTGGAAGAAAGAATCAAACAGATGGAACGCAAATCAGAATCAGAAAGACGAAACGCAAAATATACATCACAAAGGAACGATGAAATCATAGAAAGTAAAAATGATGAAATTAATTTGAAGAAACAAATCAGAGAAGCGGAACTTCAACTAAAGGAACATTTGCAACGTAAAGGTGAACTGTGTGATCAAAACTGTGTGCTATGTTGCCTTCTCTCTATATGTCAGAGAGAATTGAATTTGTATCCTTGTGGAAGACATTTAGAAAAAATTATCGTCAGTCATATTATCAAAACTTCAACAATAGACGATAATATAGAGGATTTGTGCTGTGGTAAGTTTATGGATATTCTGCTAAAATCTGGAATAGTTTTTTTGCTGAAACAGTTTGACTATCGGGTAGATGAAAATCAGCGGTTACAGATAAGAAACCAAGCATGGGAGTACATTTTATCAATTGAAAGATCAGATGTTATACTTGGAAGGATTCATTCCTATGAAAATAAAAGAGATGGCCATTGCGTCATTTGCAACAATTCAGTAAATGGAATAATTTACGATTCGCAAAATGAATTAGAAATAATAAAAAATGTAGACGACTTCGTCGAGTACGTTTCTCGAGACGAAGGTTTAAATGTATACAAAGTCAACGTAGAAAAACTAAAAGAAATCCTCAAGCCTGTGAAAAATTATTTTCATTGTCAACGAAAGCCATTGCTACGGTCGAAATTATAGTTGGTCGATTGTTAACTTTCTATAACTTCCTGGATTGAAAATTAAAATACTCGTTGATTTTCATCTTTTACAACAGCGACAAACATTTTGTATCGAAATTGTAAAGTGGCATACAATACGTTATATGTTATAAAGTACTTTTAAAATGGTTGAGCATATTACATGTCATTATTGCAGCACTTTTTTTTGCAATATTACATGTCATATTAATTTTGATAGAAGTGTGTACAGTTTCATTGAGTTTATACTAACTACCCATATACCCATCGTTGAAGGCATGTTTGCTTTAAAGAAATTTGTCGTCTATTTTAAATGTCTTATAACAATTATATTTAATCAATTAATAATTACATCTATAACTTCCTGGGTTATAACTTCAAATATTCGTCGATTTTTATCTTTTAAAACAGCGACAAACGTTTTTTTATCGAAATTGTAAAGTGGCATACAATACGTTATATGTTATTAAATAATTTTAAAATAGTTGAGCATAACGCTTGATTAGCTGTTGAATTATAACATAGTCTTGTATTCAAGAAAAACTTTTGCTTGCTAAAGGAAAGCAACCTATTGGTCTTATTTGGTCCTTGTCAAATCAACGATAATTACTGCCGCTAAAGCAAGAGTCTTAATTTCGCTCTGTTTTCTTTCGCGCAAGTCTTCTAAAGTATTCTAAAAGCTCACTCACTCGCACTCAATGAGCGGTGCTTAAAAATCACGTCATTATTATTCGAAGATGGTAATTACAATCCACTGATTGTTCGATTTGAAAACTCTAGGAGAAAATCTTGCCATAGATGAAGAAATGACTTTGCCAAAGATTAGATAGTGTGATTTTTATGTCGCACTTTTTGAATACGAGCATTATCTCTATGTAATGTTGAATATGAACTTGTTTGTTGAAATCAGTGGCGTAGCCAAGATTTTCGGTCAGGGGAGGCAGTTAAAAGAGAAGGGACATGATTGTCGTTTAAGCATTGCAATGTACACAAGTAAAAGATTATATTTTGTTTGAAAGGGGGGGAGCAAAGAATTTTGTCAAGAGCAGCCTGGCACTTGGGAGCCCCTCTAGTAACGTCACTGGTTAAAATCAATTAAACATATAAGTTCATTAACACATGCATAAAATACATCACGCACGCAAATGTACTTATGTAAAATACAAATGTTTATTTTATACACAGTTATTCATCCAGAATAATGTCAAAATTCATGTTCAAGGTTTTTAGATTATACAACTTTGAAAGTTTGGTTTTTTATATTTAATATTAACTCTGCCAATAATTACAGTTTACATAAATCCATCATGTCGGTCATTACTAAGTATTTGTCAACTTTATTTTCGCGCTGAATTCATGAATGAAATCAAAAATGTACACTCGATTATCCAATAAAAACTAAGCAATGGGGTCATGTGATCAAAGCCTACTTCATGTAGGAATGTCATGCCATAATCGCAAATGCTTCGGTGATTATGGATAACAAAGAGGTGCTTAAATTTAACTGACATAAGAAGATTTTAAGGGAAATAACTACAAAATAGGTAAGTTTAGATTTGATACATCTAAGATTAATCTATAGTGATAATATGGAAAACAAATGGGTGTTAAAATATAAGAACAACATCCATTGATGAAACGTAGCTGTCTTGCCGATGTAGTTAAAGTACGACGAAATGGTCTCACGTGGATCGATTATTGTTTATTATGAGTTATATATAAGAACTCATTAAAAATATGAAAATATAAGCATTGTAGTACGTGAAAAAATACAATTAATGTCATCATATTATTTGTATTTGTAGTTTCAATGTTGTTTAATCCTGTGAAATTACGATATTTTTCTAAGAACGACACTTGACTCTTCCGGTAGCGAAATCTAGTTCCTACATATTTGTAATTGTCGTAATTATATCGGCAACGAAGGTCTACAACAGTTGCAATATAGATGAACGAGCGTTGTAATTGCTGTAATTTAGTCGTAGACGAATCAATAAACATTTGAGAAAAGAACGAGCATAGAAAACAAAGAACATGAACATTTTAGGAAACAGAGAAGATTAACAACTTAAGAAACAGAGAACATGAATATCTTAAGAAACAGAGACCATGAATACCTTAGGAAACAGAGAACATGAATACCTTAAGAAACAGAGAACATGAATACCTTAGGAAACAGAGAACATGAATATCATTGGAAAAGACATACTCAAATAATAAGCTTTACTTCAAGAAGGTAAAGCCTTAGTTATGAATTGGCCTTAGATGAAATTTGAGCTGAGATGCACCTATACAAGTTTGAACTATAGCTGAGAAGTGATATGATTTTGCCCTACCGAGCTCAAGTGAATATCCTTGTATGAGACTTATGAAAAATGCACGAGTACAGGCTTGATCTTCTTTCTTAAATAGGCGAAATGGCACAAAAGCCGGAACTTGACAAATCGAGAGACAGCCCTGACAGTTTACGTGCTGAAATAAGGCGTTTAAGAGTGGATCTATACAACGCTCGAATGGCGAACGAAGCACAAAGAGAAAAACACCAGAAGGAGCTGCATGAAACACATGAGCATTACCAAAATAAGATCACCGAACTGGAAGAAAAAATTGATGAGCTTAAATTTCAAGAAGATGACAGAAAGTTGGCAACAGAAATACAATTAAAGGAATGTTTACAACTAAAAGGTGAACTGTGCGACAGAAACTGTGTACTTAGCTGTCTAGTTTCAATTTGTCAACAACATTTCAAGGAATATCTCTGTGGAAGACATTTGGAAAAAATCATAATCGATTATTATATCAGTAATATATTTGATGAAAAAATCCACAACAACGTGGAGGATCTGCGCTGTGAGGCATTCATAAGAGTTCTACAGAAATGTGGGATAGTCAGCAGCCGTCCTATGCAATTTTTTTACCTAAATGACATGAATGAAGTCGATCGCTTTGGACAAAGAGAAAATGCGTGGGAATACTTTACGACAATGATACAGAACAATAATTTCCTTTTGCTAGGAAGATTTTTTCGCGATGCAGACACCGAAGGACACTGTGTGATTTGCCAAGGATGTCAGGAAGAGAAGGTCTCGATTGTTGATCCACTAAAGGGGTCAGCGAATTTTATACCAAAGATCAATTCATTGATTATGTATGGGGCGATGTAGGTCTAGAAGTATATACAATCGACCTAGAAATGCTGAGAAGGATCGTTCATCCTCACAATAACGTTCTACATAGAACATATCAAAACTATGGAGTTTCTTCAAGCTTGAAATAGCTATAAGTCTTAATTGTAAATATTTTGAAATAGCACTGAAGTCATTTACATAGCATTTCATCTAAATTTTTTTTGCAATATTACATGTCATATTAATTTTGATGAAAGTGTGTACAGTTTCATTGCGTTTAAACTAACTAACTACCAAGTCATAATTCCCATCGTTGATGGCAACTGATTCATCGTGTTTCAACTAACTACGAAGTCAAAATACCATCGTTGTAGGCAACTGAATCATTGTGTTTAAACTTTAAACCAACTACCAAGTCAAAATACCCATCGTTGAAGGCACAGTTTGAAAACCATCAAACACATTTTCTTCAAAATTTCGGCACGACAAAGTTTTTAAGCTAACGTCATCACTTTCTTCATGGCCTATCAAAGTTTTTTCGGGGACAAAAAGATCCTTTATATCTAAAACTTGTGTCAACTCTTCTCCCGTCAAAAATTGTTCTGATTCTTCATTGATTAATCCATGAAACGAATCATCTCTGACAAAAGAATTCGTACACAAGGTTGTAAGAGGCGAGAAAGGATCTGTTTGATTTCCATAATCAGGAGAACAAGCAAAACTATTCCATGCATATTGACTGTGAAAGTCGTTGGCCAAATACGTCTGGATTTCGTTGGTAGATGGAGAAAGAACTTGTGCAGTGTTATGTGAAACAAACATGTTATTCTGAGGATTTAGTTCTCCATTGGACAATGGGAAGACTTCGTTATTTGACTTATTAAACATTAAGTTTTGTTGAGCTTTAATGTGATTATTGTTTTTCTTCTTGTGTGGTGTTGTACCTTTAGTATTGCGTCGTTTGCGCCTTGGACAGATCTTCAACTGTTTCTGCAGATATCTTCGATGATTGATATTCTTCTTGTAGTTTTCTGGTTTTTGTAAAGCTGTTTTGACGCTTCCAGTTGCCAACGTCATAAACTTTAAAAGGGACTGACCGAAACAAGTCTCCTCGCTGTTTTCAAGGCTTTGAGTGGAAGACTCGCCGGTGTGATCAACTAAAACGTTTTCAGTGTTCATCTTCTCTTTCGAAACAATCTTTTTTCTTGGCAAATGACAACTCAACTAGTTTTTCAAAGCTTCAATAAGCTCTTCTACACTGTACTGCGAAATCTTGTGACTGTTTGAACTAATTCTTGGTCAGAAAAACTCTTCCAGAAAAGTTCTCTCGACACAGATCGTGTTAAGCACTACAGAACCACTGGTTCCTTTTCTCCAATCTTCTTTATAGAATGAAAAATTTTCTTCTTTTACAGCGGGATAAAGCCGTTGCTCTTTTGTGCAGACACAACAAAGTTGAACATCAATATAATATGCTAAACACGTCGTTGGTCTCTTTTATATTTTTTCTCGCCCAGTTAAACAATTCATCACGATATTATTGTATATATTTGCACACTTAGTGATATGTAAATAGGCATTTGCAGGTGCAGCGAATATGTATTTAAAGATTTTGTAAAACGACCGGCTTTCATTCATAAGTGACATACATACATGCAAATTATAAATGGACTTTTTTATTCCAAGTACAATAAAATACATTAGTCATAGCACAATGCAATTTTAATTTGTTGTATAGAATGTCCAACGTAGGTTTTGTCACTTTGTCATGGACATTTTATAAAACTTTTTTTAAGACATTCTACAGCAGCGGACGGTTTGCTAACCAACCGTTAACAAAACACGTGTGTAGCTACTTTAAATTTTTAGATTTAACGTTTTTTTTACAAAAATGTAGACACAAGGCACACAAAGTGCTGCTTTATTTGTGTTTGATGTTAGTCTGTATAATTTATGATAAAAATATAGCTAATCGTCTGTTTCTTTTGAAGGTATTCAAAAACGATTAAGAAAATCGTTATCAAATGGCGATCTTGTAACATTGTAATGCAGTCTTCAGGAAGATAAGTTTAGTCATTCTTCAGATACGCATTTGTGAAGAACGAAGACTGTTATGCAGCCCTATAAAAAATTTGCGAACTGGTTACGCCAATGTGAAGAAGACTGAGCTGGCGATAACTTTGTCATCATTATCCAGCATGTAACAATGAAAAAGACAGAGCTTGAAAAAGACATGCAACTGACAAACAAGGAGGAGGAGTAATGTTATGCAGCACAACAAAAGGATTTTCAAAGAGGTGATTTTTATTGAAGAGAACAAAATCTTTTTGAATTTCTTATATTACAGATTTTAATGTACTTCGAGAGTTTTGAAGTCACAGCTAAGAAAACTTCGACGATATAAATAAGAACAATAAGAGAACAAGTTTCCCTTACCCAAAAACTTGAATGTTTTTATCCAAATATTATAAAAATAATTTAGTATGCCTTTAGCCATCTATTTATGTATTTTATAAGCCCCAGCAACGATAATTTGGTACATATTCTTACTTAGTACCCAAATGTAGAGTTTTTATAATTTAATTATTTATATTATTTAGTGATTAGTCTATTTTAAACTATAGAATTGTACAATTATACAGAATAAATATAGAGATCACTACTTATGAAGACACGAGACAAAAGTATTTAAGACCTAAAGTTTCAAAACGAGATCTCTTCAGATGAAGACACTAAACTGGAGCACATACGGAGCAAAGTTTCAACAACAAATCACTCCTAATGAAGACACAAGACTGGAGTATAAAAGAACTCAAGTTTCAACATCAGATCACTCCTGATGAAGACACTATACTGTAGTATAAAAGGACTCAAATTTCAACATGAGATCACTCCTGATGAAGACATTAGACTGAAGTATATAAGAACTCAAGTTTCAACATCAGATCACCCGTGATGATGAAGATACTAGACTGGAATATATAAGGAATCAAGTTTAATATGAAACCACTAGACAGAAATCTCAACATCATATTACTCTAGACAAAAATACTACACTATAGTATATCGATAGAGACTTAAGTTTCAAGGTGACAAAAATACTTGGGTGGGTATGAAATTAAGAAAATTCTAATCAATCGCAATTCAATAGAAGTCAACTTCTAATGAAATATAATATCTTAACAAGGATTCAATTGTCAATACAATGTCTGCTTGCCAAATTATTATTGCCATGCGGACGTAATACAATATAACATTATCTAGAAATGGCTAATTACGCGTCACCCCACGGAAAATTAATCAATTATTGCACGTGTACATAAATGCATTCAAATTTGCACAAATATAGACCAATTAAATATCCGAAAGCACGCATCTAGTAACTGGAGTCATTCGTTTGAAAACAGGTAATACCAAACAAGCTTTTGTATAGGTTGAATTGTGTCGACATGCAATAGCGCTTTATATTTTTGTCTTGGGACTTTTGACCACTTAACCTTTTAACTTGTTTAAAGAGTAATTCTATTGAAGTACTTGCATCAAGGCAGTAAGGTACATCTCCAAAAGCAATGCGGTAAAGTACATCTCTCAAATCAAGGCACTTAGCTACAACTCTCAAAACAATGCAGTAAGAAACATCTCTCAAAGCAAGGCAGTAAGCTACGTCTGAAAGCAAGGCAGTATGATACATCTCTCAAAGAAAGCCAGCAAGGAACATCTCTCAAAGATGGGCAGTAAGCCACATCTACAAGCAATGCAAGGTACATCTTTCAAAATAACCTATTTATAAGTCAGCACGTAAAACAGAGATTTACAACATGAGTTCCGACATAAGATCACCACTCTCATCTCACAATGGCTGGATCAAATCGAAGACAAAGGCTGCAGGAAACATTGAGTGACGAAGGACACAATTAACGATTGTGTAAGAGCAGTTTAAAGTTGTTTTACAGGAGATTTCGATACAAGAGTTTTTTCTAGTATATAAATAAACGTTGAATGTTTCACAAACAAAATCCTTTCTATATCGAGAAGTCGGTCTCCTACTGTGCGTGAAAAGAATGAAATTGCTCAACGCAATTGTAAATGATTTGATAAAGAAAACAACGACTAATTATTCACGATGTGCCGGTAATTAATCCGTTGAAATGAAAACGGATGACTTTAAGAACTCCTCGATGGTTGAGTATCATAAATATGATCTTGCTTCGTATAGCAAAGACCACAGAACCTGTTCAAAAGTGTGTGTGAGGGGGGGAGGGGTAAGGATAAGTGGGCAGAATAGCATGAAAACATATTTCACACGTGGAACGATGAATTATACCGTCCCTATAAACTACTTGTCCATGGAAGTGTGGAGTCCATGCCTCCCGGGATCGCTCAACTCCGCGGTCACCGTACAAGCCTTACAATGACTATCCCATATTTGTAAGTTGTAACTCTAACGTTTGCGTATTTCTTCTAAACATATTGAGATGCTAAGAATCTATTTCACATGTTCCCAAAACACAATACTTCGCAGCTACAATCTCATTTCACTGTTGCATGACCATATGTCGGCGGAACTTTCGAGTTTGTTTACATTTTGATGACGTCATGGGCACATCACGCTACCGTGAAAGAGGTAAGATGCATTTATGTCATCATATATCGCGAGACTCAGATAATGGGAGATCCTATTCAGCTGTGATACCTGCAAGTGTTTCTAGCTATACTGTAACTGCAAATTACAATCAATTGCGCACTTTTAAGACAGATAAAATATTGACATTTGTCGCATAAGATTTTGCCAAATATATTTCCGAATAGAATTTTCGAGCAATTGGGTTTAAATGAAAAAGAAGAACAAGCGCAGGTACATGTACTACGACTATAGACTGCATGGACTTACGTAACTGCAAATTTTTTATTCGGCTGACTGAAAAATTCCCAAATATACAGGTATGTCATATATAATTTGATTGCTCCTGAAAACCAAATAATCAGTCATGAAAGTGCTGTTTGAGCACTAAGACATTCACCAAAATGGTACATTAAGAAAACATTTTGAGTGTAAATTTCATATCGAATGACGAAATAATCAAAGTTTAAGGAAATAAGAAATTCAATTACACATCAAGCAGAGACGATAATATGGACCGTGTTTGTTAACTTTGTTCACGGGGCACATATTAAGGTGTGTGTGTGGGTGTGTGTGGTGTTACACCCATCTTTTGCAAAACATGTATGTAAATTTGATCAATAAACTTATGAAGGACAAAGAGATTCGGTCCAGAAAATTTTTTGAGCTTCTTTATGAAATAAAGACACTACAAAACTCTGTCCCAAATTGTTCAACCCCCTCCCCAGGTTTTTAGGACAACGTGCACTCATGATCTCGGTATCAACTGAATTGAACTCGACTTTAATAACGCGCGTTCTATAGTATTTATAGAATATTGTGTCTTTTGTTGTGCTTAGTGCAAAAAGAATGTAAACCGGACAGGTCGGTGAGACCATCCATTTTTCCAATACACAAAACCTGATTCTAGACACACAACAATAACACAATATCAATCAAATTATGTAAATTATAAAGGTGTATTCATTCGAGAAAATGTTTTCACAATGAAATGGCGGTGTTCCATTCATCGGCGTAATTAAAATCAAATAACACTTTGCCGGGAGCTATTGTCGGGGATCTATTGTTTATGCCTTTTCGTTCGAGTCTCGGCAGTGGTGGAAACAACTAATTTTGATGGAGTATTTTTACTATAGGCATCTACACTCCTTCTTTCATTCATTCCAACGAAAGAGATGACATTCAAAAGATCTTATATTTATTATATGCCGACCGTTAACAAATACGAAGAAATTTCACAAATTGAAAATTCTTCAATTAAGTTACAGCGTGTAAGTCGGATTCGCTTTCTATAGATAAAAATTCCGCAACGTTAAAGTTTTATTTTTGTGCAGAAATGAATTGTAATCGATATCAGCAGAAGTTTCTTTTGGAAAATTCCTTAAAGCCTACAAGAGGCAGTCACTCAAAACAAACCAAAAAATACACTAACTTTGATTTCTAATAGCCCAAAGTCTGAAAACGTTTCTAATACGACGATTCGAGTTGAATGAGAAGAATCAAGCGGAACATGATGTATTGCGCTTCGTGGTCGAAACAAATGCGATCAATTGCAACGATAAATGTTTGATTTATAGCACTTAAGATTTGAAGTCGAAAGCAACACGGGTATTTTTAGACCCACATTTAAAGAAAAGACAATAGATGATAATTGCACACGAGCCTTTCTGTTCGTCAAACCCACGTTTTTTTATTGCTAAGGTATTGAATATGAAAAGGAGAAACTGATATCAACCCAGTGGGGAGTCTAGTGTGGTGTTTTAGAAAATGCAATGTGTTGGAAAGAGTTCTCTTTGTTAAACTCGCATGGTCAAAGAAAACTGATATTGAATTTTTAGGCCACATGCTTCGCACATTTTCAGTCATCCATGAGTTCTGTTGCAGTCTCTCCTTCAATGAAAAGAGAGATTTTTTTGGAGATTTAGGTAAGACATTCCCAAATTTCAGTAGATTTAATAGAATAAATCACAAAATCGTTAGTTCTCAGTAGGATTAAAGTAATAAAAGTAATTGTATAGACGAGTAATTAATCCTTTATTGCTTCTTGCATGCGTAGCTCAAAGATTGCGAAATCTTTATTTTCTGATGGCAGTTCTTCTATTTAACGCAGAGAAAACATTTGAAATTTAAAAGCGCGCATCACGCATACTTGTACAGCTAAACGGACGATAAAATAAAGATTGAGCAAATATTGGAATAAACAAGAACAATAAAGACAAAGTATGTCAAGTCAAGAGCAATGAAATTTTACAAGTTCAAATTAAAATACTTTTAATGTAATAATTGTATTTAATTTCAACTAATTGACGATCGTTTCGACTATTTACATTTCGTACATTTTGCAAAATTAAAAGCCTTAAAATACATCGCGAAAACGGTAATAACACCGTGTTCTAAAAATACGCAAAAATGATTCATAATCTGATCTCTCTAACCAATATGTCGGCCATAGCTTGGTACTATACGATTAAGGATTAAGTTTAGGTTCGTAGATCAATGCCGGGTGTTAATACGAAATTATTACTGAAAATGGGACTTTTAAACACAAAATTTTCTGCCATGATCGTGCCCAGTCTTCCGTAGTATTGCGCGAGATGAACAAATAACATAGGGGATACTTAGCTGTATATACATACATCACATGAATCGTTCTCTTTAATTGTACGCTCAACACGAAAACAAAGAGGTTAAACACATCTCATTTGCTTGTGGCCATCATAAGCCCAAGACAGTCAAAAACAACACAAAAAAGTAGCCTGAACGTGTCGACTTTTTCCAATTTAATTGAATATAAATAAACTGGAAGGCTATCTTTAGGAAAACTTGCCTGTACTCGCATGAAGGCAAATTTCGCCCTTAGAAACAATTGTTTTCGCTAATTCCTCGTTATAAATTTGAACTTTTCGTCGTGCTGGTACGAGGAAGGAATGCCACTAGTTGAATTGCTGGCTAAAAAAATATGGGCGGAAGTAATGGTCCAGTGTCATTGAGTTCAATGCCTTTTCCACACTTGATCAATCTTTATGAGGACATTCACACTTTGAAAAATTATTTACCACAATATTTGCTTCAATATGCAATATATTGTTTACGAATCAATGAAATACATCAAATAGGTGATTTAACACCCTTTGGAAGATTCTGTATTCTTTCTTGTTCATCCAATAGTCTTACTCGTTCATTGCCATCTTTCGCGAGACATTTTTGAATAACAAAGCGGAGTTTATCCGCTATAAGGCAAAAGAGGATCGCATTGACAAAACCTTGCGATGGATCACCCATTGCCTGAATAAATGAGATCATAAAACGTTAGCTTATGACAAATAAAAAAGAAAAAAGTTATTAAGAAGTGAGACTTGGATGTCAAATGTTTTACGTCCACTCTCTATTTTAAATAATAAAGACGCTGCGAATGTTGTCTCCAGAATTCCATGACATTTTATTGCAAGCATTTCAAATGCAAAATAAAAACTCAGAGATACAAACAAACTACTCTCAACAAAGATACACACAGATCCCTGAGATGCGAATAAAATGCTCAAACCTGTAGAATTTCCAAAGCAGGCGTTCTCGTTCTTCCTGTGATGGCAAAGACGAAGAACTGCAGCGTCCCCCATATACGAACAAAACTAAAAACTTAGGTATCAAAATGGTTCGCATCTCAACAGCACGAAAGCGTGCAATGGCCATGGTAGTTGCATGATCCTCAACCTATAAAACATACACTCACATGTAAGCTCGCTGTTCCCGCACACTAACTTCGTACAGACGAGAAATTTGTCAGGTCGTGTTTGCTTTTTTTATACAGGTAAAGGCAAATTTATATGTTTTCGTTCCTTAGCAGTGAGCAAATGATGTTTTGATTTATTGCTAGTAACACGGTAAGACTCTGATATGATCTCAAACAAAAACTACTTATCTCAAAGGGCACAATTTCTACGATCAAACTGAATCTTCCTATAAATTCACTTCCTATAGATTCTTAACCATTTATGCATACAGGAGATGTTTAGAATATATATTAATTGTATTACAATTTCGCAATACAATGAAACCAGTTGACGCAATAGCTGGGATACACCTTATAGACAGTAGCAGATTAGCCAGTAGGCTAAGTAGACTGAAGACTATACAGGCCAGGGCTTTCAAGAGGCCTCGTGGTATCTAGACATAATTAGTGTTGAAGAAAAATAGCTTTCGTACTATCTACTAGAAACTATCTCTGTATCTAACTAGAAATCTGCCACTGCAACAGTAGACAGAGTATATGTATATTTCAACTGGTTGTCATTACCCCTCAAATTTATCTTTAATACTGTAATATCGATTTAAGATAAGAGGCCGAGAAAATTCAATTACATAATTCAGAAGCTGAATGCATCCTTCAGGCATAAATATCCACAAGCCAATCACAAGCTAATCATGTGATACGGTTCAAAAATAATCACGCTCAGACTTGCCTTATTATTTCATCACTAGCATCACTAGAAAGAATGTCTTTTTGGCGATATTCATCAAGCTTCATATTTATGAGACAATTTTCTTAAGAAGACATAAGCCAACACTGAACCTTTTCCTTTAATCGCTAAGTTTCACGTAATTCATAACTAAATTCAACTTCTCAATAATGAATCGGTCATGACCTTTCGACCATAAAAACAGAAACCCTTCCTGCAAGTTAAACTGCTCTATTCATTGTTCCATAACATACATAAATATCTCTTGGAGTAATGAGGAATATCGAAGGTCTTTACATAATCAAATTTATAGCAAAGCTTTACTGAAACCACGTGCCGTGGATTTCGTTACTCTTAGGCTGAAGAACGACTCTTGAAGATAATTCGAAATTAAATAACTCATTGCAGTGTCAAAATACTTAAAGTTCAATAAATGCATGCAAACAAAAAAACTTGTATCTTACAAAAGGACAACAAATGCTTCCTCAATTCTTTATCCTATAATGAAAAACATATTTAACGTGTACTTACCACTTTCCTTTCCTCTCGCACATAGAAATAAATACGAGTATATACGACAACAATAATAATATAAGTGAAAATTTCCCAAAATTTTCCCGCCAACAGCATCCAAAGCACGGTTTCAGACCTAGGAGTTTCGTCCGTAGCATTTTTGCAAGATGTTTCCTTGATCCAACACCAATCTACCGTTCCAGCGCATGATGGACCGAGTTTGTTCAAAGCTAAAGCTATGATGCAAATCAAAACGGGCAGAGGCCAGGCAATGCAGTGAAATATAAAAATAAGACGTTTCCCAAGATCTTGGTTTGCATTTACGGATACAGCGTGAAGAAACAAGGCCATACAAGACGTCCAGAAAAAACTCACAATACTTGATGTTGTCGTGATGAAACTTTGTACGACACAGATGTATTTCCAGTCGGCGACGAGGTTCAAGAGATAACCCGTTGCCGTACAGAAATCGGCGATTGTGATGTAAAGTAAAATATCTCTCGACTTCGACTGAACATCACGCCAGAATTTATGCGCAAAAAAAATCGTAAAGCAACCACAAATTGATAAACAACAGAAAGTTGTCGACAAAACCTCAGTAGTCGTCTTAATTTGCATGACTTCGTTAGAGCTCCAAAAAATTTCTAGATTTGATGTAGTGCTCTATGATGTTTAGCGAGTTTCAGTATTTCCCTCAACAAGGTGTTTATGCCTGCTTTGCAAACAATTGCATCAACCGGAAACAAAAATATAGTACGATTTGTTAAGACTTGCAACGATGTGACAATCACGCTCTATTGACACACATATAAAACTCGTGTTATATGTCATATATTACCGATAAATAGACAGTCCATCTACAGTACTTAGATCAGAGGAAATCACAAGACGAACACAATTCAACATCATGTGAAATGTCTTAACCGCAAGTTCATTGAACGCAAATGAGGTGGCCCCATGTTGATTTGGCCGGAGTTCATGAGGGCGGGCAATATCCGTTAATGCCGCCAAGATGACAAGCGAATTGACAGAAAATAAAAGAAAACCTAAATTCGCCTATTTTTAATTTATTATATGCCTGTATATTGGGATTTTTTTTGCAGCAAGCCAAAAAAAGTTTGCAGTGGGCAGTACGCGGTCTGTATAATGGTAGTGTGAACTAGCTAGCGACGGTAATTATTTATTATTATATTCATCAAACCCAATTACCCAAACATTTGCGTCTGTAAATATTGCGAAGTATGCGATAATGAGGGAGAAATTAAAATTTTATCGTTCTCTTGAGCGTCCATTCGTTTTTCCCCCCACAGTTCGTTTCATTGCGTGAATTATTTGAACACAAATGCTATGGACGACACGTTATTGCAGAATTATACATGATCCACGATGATCATTCTCATCGACATTATGATCGAACTATACTTGCAACAAAATTATCATCATTGAAATGAATGCTGTATGCGTGCAGTGTCTCGTGATTTGCATTTAACGCGCTTCAATATAGTTTTATTGCTTTGCACCGCTAAATTTTTAAACCCTACAGGCCGAAATTTAAAATTGACGATTTTTTAAGCGTGAACGTAGAAATCACGCAGTTGCTGGATGCATTTCATAGACACCGAACATTACTTCCAATTTTTAAAAACATTTGTACGCCTTGCATAAACTACTTGTCATTTTTCACATGAGCATCACGAGGTTACCAGTAAGTTAGCTTTTAAACCACAACAAGAATCAATTTACATTAATTAATTTGCATCTTTCAAATATCTTTTTGTGTATCAAGTGTCAAAACAAATGTGATTAAAATGTTTAAAATATGCGTTAATCCATGTGTCAACCATATTTGATGATTCGGAAGATTTATGAACTGAAAAAGTTGATTGTCTTCAGTTTTTTTCAGTGTAAATGTTTGGTTACATGTTTGTAAATGTAGATCGTCCAGGTTGGTATAGTCCTGAGAAGTACTGTTTTTGTTGTTGTTGACTGAAGTTTTGACAAGATGACTACCGCTAAGGTTGTCGAAACGTCAGTCAACAACAACAAAAACAGTCCTTCTCAGGACTATACCAACCTGGACGATCTACATTTACAAATATGTAACGATACTCTCGGGTTCAAACCATTTACTGTAAATGTTTGGTGCTGGTTTCAGAATTTTCTACTTTATTCGTAATTAAGACTGACACAAGGGTTTAACTAAATAAAGACTGCAACGTATCTTTGCTAATGGACATGCAAAAAAATGTTTGATAAAAGTTTAACAGTTTAATTAATAACAGTGTATCACATACACTGTAATACACAAAACTATACAAATTATGTATAAGCGAATCCACAATATGTCCCCAGATATCCCTCATTGATAACAGTGTATCACATACACTGCAATACACAAAACTATACATATTATGTATAAACGAATCCACAATATGTCCCCAGATATCCCTCATTGATAACAGTGTATCACATACACTGCAATACACAAAACTATACATATTATGTATAAACGAATCCACAATATGTCCCCAGATATCCTTCATTGATAACAGTGTATCACATACATTTTAATACACAAAACTATACATGCTATGTATAGATGAATACCACGAGATATCCCCAGATATCCCTTTTTAATAACTGTGTATCACATACACTCTGATACACAACTGTATACATGTTATGTATACACGAATGCCACGAGGTATCCCCAGATATCCCTTAATAACTACAGGTACTTTATACATTTTATGTATAAAGTAAACAAGATGACTTTGCTGTTGAACTCAATAATTCAACAAGCTGTCAGTAAATAAACAATGATTAAAAAATCGCAAGCATCGTACCTGATACTACGTTAAATCTCCTTCTCTCCGTTCTTTGTACATGTACATATCCAAAATTTTCACGAAATTTAAGATCGGCAACACAACACCCTCCTAGTGATTTTCGAAACATAATCAATGGGCAACGATTTCTATAATAAAATGTAACGTTTTTTTAGGAGAGATTACATAAATTTTCAAGTCATCCATTTCTTTATTGTGGATAGTGTAAAGACTGTTCTTGTTCTCTGTTGTTCATTCATCACTACCTACACTGACAAACGTTATCTTATTTCTTATATATTTTAGTTAGTGTAAAGACTGTTCTTGTTCTCTGTTGTTCATTCATCACTACCTACACTGACACACGTTATCTTATTTCTTATATATTTTAGTTAGTGTAAAGACTGTTTTGTTTTCTGTTGTTCATTCATCACTACCTACACTGACACACGTTATCTTATTTCTTATATATTTTAGTTAGTGTAAAGACTGTTCTTGTTTTCTGTTGTTCATTCATCACTACCTACCCTGACACACGTTATCTTATTTCTTATATATTTTAGTTAGTGTAAAGACTGTTCTTGTTCTCTGTTGTTCATTCATCACTACCTACACTGACATACGTTATTATGTCGTTATTTTATTTCAAAAAACTGTTCGGGAGAAGTGTGTGAGAGGAAAATTTTGCCTTCAGTTCCCAACCATAAGGTCTCCCAATTCGAGAAATGACCTAGACACTAAAAGTTACGTTTATCTTTCAGCTGCACACACTGTCAAATCACAAATATTTAAGATCATGACGTCACACAACCCTGGCAAAATCCTTGCCTAACACAAGAAGGGCGAGGGAAACATTACAGCTCGTTCAGACTGAGTGCCGGAGAACGATACCCTGGTTCGGGCACAAATCTGCAGACCGTTCACACTACGTAGTACCTACTACCTTCGTCTATTAATAATTTAATGTTTTTCATTGTAAACAAGTTTTAAAACCACGTTTTCATTGGTGCCCGTGCCTGAGCACTGTACTTGAGTACTAACAATTTTCCTGGTGCCCAGACCCAGGCACTTTGACTCGGGCACCATCAAAATGTTGTGTTCACATTGGTGCCCGTGCCTGAGCACCGTACCGGGGCATTCAGTCTGAGCGCGCTATTAGACGCAAATTTAAACACTTAATACCCTATGCATCAGTGATCATTGCTGAAACAATCATCGTACATATAGGTATAAGAAACGTTAATTTTTAATGCATGCATTAGTCAGTCAAAAAGAAAATACGAAAAATCTATCTTATAAAGTCTTATTAAATGAGTGTAAAATAGTCTGCAAAATATGCGGAAATATAAGGCATGGAACATAAAACGCACGCTTAATAAATATCTTTGAAAAATTAGTCTGAACATTAAACATTAGTCAAAGATTACATACGTTTCCCTCCTAAATGCTCGATTGCAAAATGTTTGCATGATTAAAATTGCTTGCATGATTAAAATTGCTTCAAGCTGAGCATACCAATATTAATAAATAGCTTAATACTTGTTCCATCTACCTTTTGTCTTCGTAATCCTTGTGCAAAGCTGGCCAAATTCTTTGTTGTTGTTTTTGTAACTAACTACGAGAGAAACAAAAAAATGAATTTTTATTGAGGAAGTTCATCGGTGTTATATGAAATGGGGAAATCTTCAGACGCTCTTCATTAATAAACAGGTATGAAGATTATCAGAACAGCCAATTTAACAAGCTTTTAATACGAAGTGATTTTCATTCCTCATTGGAATTGATTTTAAAAAGTTGGTTTTTCAAATATGTTGACTAACATTTCAACCAAAATATCAGCATGATTTAGACAACAGCAAAATTTATAGGTCCAAATATAAACAATATTACACACGCTCTTATACAATGCCGAAAAAATCTTATGTAATTCAAGGGCTTTTTAACCGATCCTTTTGAATAAAGCATATATCACTTCACCACGAAAATCTTCAGTGAACTTAGAAGATATAAAATTTTAGCCAAACCTATTTGATTAAATGAAGATTACAGATTTGCCGTTTGTTCAAAATAAGATATGGAAAGCTAAAGCACGTTGAAACTCTGGAGCTTAATGAAGACGAGCTTCCGCATAAAATAATGAATATCCATTGATATAAGTATTTTCTAAAGACACACTTTATAATTGTCGCTTGTTTCTTTAACTTACAGCAAAATAGTACATGTTAATGCTTAGTTTTATATATGTAAACAGTTTGCAAAGATTGAAATAACGCAGAAATTTGTAAAAAAAGAACAGAAGAAAAGGTTCAATATTTCTGCTACAGTGATTGTATTGTGATTGGCCAAGTAATAATTCATACACTTAAATATTGCAAAAAAAATGAAATATTTTGACATCTTTGATTACACAATCATTCGAAAGAAAAACTGGGTTTGTTTGCGAGACCAACTGACGGGACACAATGCGTTCAACGACTCGACAGGAACCAAACGCAAAAACTTTAATAGAGTTTATGGATGTTGCAACGGATGAAGTAAATTCTGCTCTAAATTCATCGAAAATATCTTCAAATCATCGCCTCAAAAACCATCAGCAATTCTTGCAACGGCGTGTAAGCTCAACAAATCCTTGCATCAACACAAGAAGTCAAGTAAGAACAAGAAATCCCATGACTTTAAAGGAAGACGTACAAAAACTCGTACGAGACGCGATCAAAGAGTTGAAACATTCTCATCATGTCAGAGAGATGATTGAAGCCAGCTACAACTGGAATGAAGAAGGATTTACAAAGCAAGTTCTCGCCTCCAATACACCACAACTTAACGTCAACGACGAAAGATCAAAATTCATTCACCATACCTATCCTCTAACGCATTCACCAATAATTCCCTCAAGAATAAACCAAATACCACATTGCTACTCACCAGCTCAAACAAGCCCCATCAATAACAAAATGTCGGGCGTCATGTCACTGCCGAATTCGGACAACATCTACGATTTCAGCTCGCATAACTCGCTAAGCTCAAACGCTTTCCAATCAAATAACACTCAGCTAAATTTCCCAGCAAATGAAATCAAAGTCACAGAAATGGATTTGACGAGTTTATACACCTACGGAGGCAACGAAAATGCAAGTCCTGGCTTCGACAAAGAAATTGATAATTTTGATGGATTTCTATCTGGCGAAGAGCTTACACAAAATATCGACATTACAGATTTATACATTCCAGAACTATATGAACCTCGATATCCAACAGTGAACCCTAAAGAATATTACATTGTAGAAAACAATGTTGAATTTTCACCGAGTCTAACGACAGAAGATTTTATGTTTTATGACTGAAATTCAAAATTGCATATAAATTGGAAGAACAGAACTGACTGTTTACTTTATGCAGACGACCTTCTACTTCTTTCTCAGTTTAAATCTGGATTACAAAATTGTCTCAACAAACTCAATATAGTTTGAGCAAAGACGTTACAGCAGTAACGCATTTGAAGATAAGATTTGCAGGCTTTGTAACACCAATGAAATCGGAAATGAACGACATCTTATGTTTTGCACAAATACAAAATTGATCGATATAAGGAAAAATTCATGGAAAATCTTTTTAGAATAAATAGATCTTTCCAAACTTTTACTGGAGAGACTTTGTTCATTTACTTAATGTCAATGAAGGACAACTCAACTAATGAACTAACAGGGAAGTTCTGCTTTGACATGTTAAACGCATTTGTTTATAGAAATAGTCGGTAAACAGAATTAACTCCAATATAATTTATTAAACCCAAGGACTGATTATTATCTTTAAAAGATGTTATGTACTATACACCTATTGTGGTGTCTTTGTCATTGTTTTTGTAAATATCATCAAACAGTTCTGAAAAATGTAATAGCTTGAAGGATGATTTACAATAAATAACTATAAACGCGTTAGATGCACTGAGGAAGAAACCAAATGTATATTTTCAGTTTTCACCAACATGTATTGCACGCTTTTTCTGTTTTCACGAACTTATTAAATAAACAGTTTAGTTTTGTATCTTCGTACAAACAATAAATAAACGTCCCAAATGAGAAAACTCAATTTTTAACGCCCCACGAGGCAATCCACGCCACAAATCATAAATCAAAGAGCTTCCGTTATTTTTTTCACTGAACAAATAAAACTTAGGCCTACCTTCACAATTTCTCATCCAACTATCATTTTTCATCGTTATATGCATCATTTAGTCGCCCAAAGACGCGAGTTTCTTGAGAAATTAGTCAGAAAGACAAGTGTTTATTTGAGACTTTGAACTCAAAAGAAGGATCAAAGTGCGCTGTGGGCAGGCCGTGGTGGTTTGAAATTCCCGCATTTAATTTCAAGCCTTATTCTTAGGTCTATCCCAAAATTCGGGCAAATTACTCTAAACATGGCGGATGAGCACGAGTGGACTTTCGAGGAATTAGGGATTACATCTTGGTTAGTCAAGCAGTGCGCCGCAATTGGGATCAAAAAACCAACAGAGATTCAAGCTAAATGTATTCCAGAAATTTTAAAAGGCCGAGATTGTATTGGTTGTGCGAAAACAGGTAGCGGGAAAACTGCTGTTTTCGCTTTGTCCATATTACAGCATCTCTCTGACGATCCTTACGGAATATTTGCGTTAATTTTAACACCCACGAGGTAAATTTACTTCATATTTATCGTTGTATATCCTCACACTGAGCAGTGACTTTATACGATTCATTTTTCATATTTAGGGAATTAGCTTTTCAAATTGGTGATCAGTTCAAGGCAATGGGCAAACCAATAAACCTACAGACTTCTATTATCACGGGGGGAATGGACATGATGGCACAAAGTCTAGCCCTTGCCAAGCAACCACATGTTGTCATAGCAACTCCAGGTCGATGTGCAGACCATTTGCAAAGTACAGACACTTTTAATCTACTCATCAAGTACTTGGTTTTGGATGAAGCTGACCGCCTCCTTGAAGACAATTTTGCACCAGACTTAGAAGTGATATTGAGAATATTGCTGTAAAACGACAAACGCTTTGTTTAGTGCAACTTTAAATGATACAATCATAGAGCTACGAAAGATCACTTCAACTGACCCATTTTGTTACAGCATTGAAAATAAGTATGATTCTCTATATATTGGCATTGCAAGCTCAATAATTGAACCAGTCATATTCATATACATGTTTTGTCGTATTAAGGAGAATTTTTGAGATTTTAAATAGCACTTTAGTGTTGCTATGGTACAAATTTCAATTTTTTCCTATTTTTCGGATACTTATACCAAATATTTTACAAATTAAACTTTATAATCATAAACAAGAATGATATAAGTGTCTAAAATTTCAAAAAATTTTTTCATTTTTTCAAAATGCACTGCACTCGGAAGGGGACGACAACCTTAAGTTCCTAGAAATCTATTGTTATCTAGGGATTATAAAATACTTTTATGAACAAGATTCCCTCAAATTCTTGATTTTTCTATGTCACTGGCTCTGTATTGAGACACTTAATATTCAAAGTGAGGTCTCTGACTAACTGATCTCTATGTAGGGTGGCAACTGTTGCTGAACTGGACCAGCGATATCTTCTAATCCCAGATCAAGTGAAGGACTGTTACATGGTTTACATACTTCGTGAACTTACTGACGACAAGTCTGTTATTGTGTTCACAAAAACATGTCATAGTTGTCAAGTTTTGGCTGTTATGTTTCGAAGAATTGAACTGCCATGTGTAACTTTACATTCCTTGATGTCACAATCAGAACGTTTGTCTTCTTTGGCAAAATTCAAGACTGGAATTGTTAAAATACTTGTTGCCACTGATGTTGCTAGCCGGGGATTGGATATTCCAGAAGTTGAGCTGGTATTAAATGCAAACATACCCAGATCCCCGGATGATTATATACACAGGGTAGGAAGAACTGCGCGTGCCGGACGTGGGGGCCTGGCACTGAGTCTACTTACGCAGTACGATATCAAAGCTCTGCAAAGAATCGAAGAAAGAATTGGAGTTAAGTTGAGCTCTTTCGATACGACAGAAAAAGAAGTTTTAAGATATTTGAAAGGAGTTTTAGTCGCGAAACGTGAGGCTGAATTGAGAGTTAAAGACAGTGGTTTATTTGATAAACGAAACATTCAAAAACAGAAACGGGCTATTTTACAAGGTTTTGCTTCTAATTCTAAACGTAAAAGAAAAAGATTTAGCTTTGAGATCTATGTAGTGTATCTGAAAACTGTTGCGGGAACTCAATGATACGTCTAGAAGACAGAACTTTAATGTGCGTCATTTCAAGAACATTTCTAGAAGACAGAACTTTAATGTGCGTCATTTCAAGAACATTTCTAGAAGACAGAACTTTAATGTGCGTCATTTCAAGAATATTTCTATAAGACAGAACTGTGTCATAAATATATTGAAAACTCTAAGTCACGGACATTTTCTAATCAACTTTAACAATAAAAACCACGTTTTCAACTTACGTGTCAGAACTTTTGCACAACACTTTAATTTTACATTCACCAAAAACTTTGTACAACAATAAACTCAATTTACAATCATTTGCATCTCAGTTAGAATTATTTTCTAGCTTCTAGGTAATGAATTAATCACGAAATTCAAACACATTAACGCATTTGTTCAACGCGTGGCAACGCTTCACTCAGACCACGTTTTGCTATCAATCTTTCTAACGACTTCGTGATTACAAAAAGCCTGCTTTTGTAAAAAAATGAAGCGCAGAAAGTCGTCACTATTCACACTTGTGTACTTCAATATTTTTACTTTTTCCTTGCTTTACTTGCCGTGTCCTTAAGTATTTGGTTGTACCTATCGGAACGTATAAATCTCGGATAACTGTCTGTTTTCATTAGTTGAAAAATGTGCTCCTGTAAAAAAGACGCCATTTCATTAAAATTGAGCAGTTTATTTTATGGAGATTATGAATTTTCTATTATTACCTGTGCTTCGTCGAAAGTGTTGTATGAAGGATTGTTTAGATTCAATTTTACATGATTGTATGTCTTCGCGTCGACATTTATTGTGTGTGTTGCATCTTCGTTGAGAAAATCGCTAAAAATATTACAAAATGAAAATAAAAGCGATGAATTTATTTCGCAAACAGTTCTTTGTTCACTCATTTCATAATGACCCCGTTAAACAAGCTAAATTAAACCAGATGCATTTGCACATCTCAAACTCTACTTTTTCCTTCCAAAGAACTATGAAAAAGATTATTTTTCGTTAAATCCTTTCTACAACAATACCGAAGACCTTGCTACAATGGACCAAAGTTAACTGGAACATTCCCTCGAACAATTAACTAAATAAGTTTCTCTAGATTTAACCACATAAGTTCGCCAAGATTTGATAGTACATTTAGAAACAATTCACTCAAGTCATATCGAAATCCTCGCTATAAGATGACTGATTTTAATTTCCTTGGAGAACTAGAAACGTTAAAGGGTAAACCGAAAGGCATAAAATTCTATAAATCGAAAGTTTAAAGTCGATTTAAACAACAAGAAATTAATAAATTTCGCATTTATATAGTTTCTAAAGTTCATTATGAACTACTAGCATCAATAGCATTACAACTGCGATGTTACTTATCTATTGTATGCAGTTCCTAATTATATGGATCTTAAAAGTATGGATCTTACAAAGTATTTAATCAAACAACGATCTACGTATCTGTGTGTTTGAGTGAAAGTGGTTGTAGTGTATGTTTCTTGTGTACACCCATGTCCTACAACATCATCAAAAGTACCATGACTTTTTATTCTTACTTGAATATTTTTTTCACTAAATTAGGAACGTTCATTCGCGGGGTCTGCTTCAGTTCCTGACAGGCCAGCCAAAACCTAAAGAACAAACAGAACAAGATCATAAACAGCTGAAGCGTTGCGTTTATCGAATACATTGATACTTGCAACAATTTATGTCATATTCAGATAGTCATAGAAATTTCAAGGGCAACGAAAATCATGCCATCGTTAAACTTACCGTAGATTCTCTGCACTAAACTCTTTTTCTAAAAAGGTAAGAAATGTTTGTACTCCAACATGATCACTTAGCAAGTCCAAAAATGAATACGACCAACGCTGGATTCTGTTGGTAGTCAACTTTTCTCTGTTAGAAAAAAAAAATATATCGTAAGTCATCGATAAGAAAAACACAAAAAATCTCTTAGCATCATCGAACAGTTGCCAATATCAAAACATCAACTGGCCGTTTCCGGAAGACACCGACAAAAGAAAACGATGAAAAAGCTATAACTGCATCAACCTGTGCTACACAAGGATACAAAAGAACTCAAGAGTAAAGAAATAAATTCCATGTTGTATGAGTTCACAAGCCCTATTCCTTGTTAATTAGCTTACTTTACACAAAACGGGAAAGGCTCTTCAATGAACTGGTTTTGTCGACAAGACAACTAGCTAATACATTATTGAAAATGCCCTTCATGTATCGATAGGTCTTTCCATTCGTCCTATCACAAAATATAATGTGACTAAAAAACCCCACTAAGTGCTATGAATATATGAAGTTGGTACCAGTGGAGTAGCCAGCCTGAATGTCTGATGTGCACTCTTGCTATATGCAAAGATTTTAGTGTTCACTGACTACAGAGCAAAAAAATCTATTTCTAAAGAAATAACGTGACCAAATCTACTGAATAGCTGTCTTGCTGGTTCGTATAATCTTATTTTATTTATTGCGAGAATTTTGACATTAACAGAAGATTAATAATAATAAAAAGATTAAACCGCGCATTGAACATTAGCATTTATCCGCCATCCCAAAAGCTCTGCAATTACACAATTCAAGTAATAAGGATTCCTAAAATGTTTTTAATCAGACATTCCATTCCAATGCAATCTTCAGCTGTTGCCTATTGTATACAAATATGTATTGCCTTTTTTTGCTGAGCTTTTGGATAGCAAAAACAAATGCTTATATTAATATATTGGGATCTTCTTTAATTAGAATTTGGATTTTTGCGATTCTTACATAACTCAATTTCTTAAAATGTCGCTTCTAGGAGTTTAATGCAATGCAACTTTGACAGCAACATATTTAAGAATCGTGATTTCTTAAATTATAAAAATATATGCTATATTACGCTCTTTTGAGCACTTTCTTCCAGCATTTAACAATTCTATTGGAAATATACAACTTATGTACATACATGAAACAATTCAATAATATTGTGTTTTGTGTTTAAATCGCTAAACTATTTGTCACTAATCAGGTTAATGTCTTTCTCTCTCAATAAATAATACTCAGTTATATAACACGATACGCCAAAAGCAACATGACTTTACGCAAACAACAAAGCTAGTTTAGGTTACAACACAAAGCTCTTCACTTTGATTTTCCCCCTAGTTTTCTAGAGGAGCCACAACATACCCACGCAAGTATAATCATTACTTCCACGCGTCAGACACATTTTTATGTTAAAAATTTTAACATTAAAGAATCGTCACGAAAGGTGTTCACACACTTGGGAACAAAATAAAACAAAGCCCCAAGGAAGGAACGTTTCGACAATCCAAAATCGTCAACAAAAATAGTATGCAAAGAGCTATCATTTTAAATATATTATAAATTCAGATTTGTATTAGACCACGCGATAATTCTAACGAAAGGCAAGTGGACGAAGCGAAGAAGCCACCTTTCTGAAAGATGAATCATATCAACGAACCCCCCACTACTCTATGTGACTGCTATTAAGAATCTGAAACGTTACAGAATCGAGAGTTTGTCTTAAACCAAGTTTCACCAGGTTTTAGGGTTAAGCTAAGGGGAAAAGCTTTAATGAACAACTTATCTATGGGTGTCAATATAATAATGAACGGCTATATGCTTACAACTTTACACTGCGGCGCTGGAAAGCTGACCCGGTTGTCTTAGACGACTTGAAGCTACGAATCGACATCAATCTTACTGGTATACGACCTCGACAACAGACTCCAGTGTGATAAAGTAGATTTAAATCCTTCAAGAAAGGCGATAGTACAAACTCGAGCCCACGAAGATCGTTAACGATGATAGGAACAATCCAATGATTGGCAACAACAAATAAAACTCGATAAAAGAACAGGTTGTTTGAATATCTGCTGAGATTAAATGATTCTTTAATTAGCACACGGTCTAAAGTAGCGAAACGGCTCTGCACAGGTAACACCAAAATGTACAAAACGAAGATTTTGAGTGTGTTCAGTTGGGATTAGGAGATTTAAATCCTTTTTCATACACAATTGCGAACGATTCTGAACTTGTCTTGAGTTAGACAACACAATATCGAAGCGTTGAATCGGAAGGAAGGGGGATTCTAACGCACATGCTAATGTTGAATAGTTCAAAAATAAAAGTGACGTCCTCACTTGAACCAATCAAATTAAGAATTGACAAGATCCCAACCAATCAGCTAGTAAAGAGATGTAGCATGACCTACACACTTACTTATTCAAGGAAATACGGATCCTTGACTCATGTGTTGTACATCAGGTACCATAAAGTAATTCATATAGAATTTTGTTGTGTTGCTTGAAACCTTCATGTGGGCGAATTCAAGAGGTTTACGATATAACATCGAATGTCTTCGTATGGAAGGTTTGAAAATGTTGGGAAACATCTACAAGATCATCGGGATGGACAATGTTGATGACGTATACTTCCTAATCACAAAGAGGAAGAAGCCGAGACCAAAAAGAATATGAGGGAAATTAATTTTCTACATAGGCAACATTATGTTGAATTTTCTACTGGAAAAAGAAAACGAAATTTTGTCGACTTCACAATATCTAATCCTGCTTTAGCTATCTAACTAAAGGACAATATACAAAGTCTTTATTTGCAAAGTATAAATTGTTCAAGCATTTCCTTCCGCCTCAAACTCAGGGATGACTAACAGCGTTATGATGACAAACAGCGTTTTAACAAACATATATTATAAATTTATAACACTTTTTACCAGGGAAAAGACAAGGATCGTGATATAACAATAATAGATAACTTGAGATAACTGTGCTATACCGCTCTCCCCCAAGGCAAAATTCTTCAAGGATGCTTAAAGCGAATGTAATCGTGCCAGCGCTCCCTTTGAGCTGGTTTGACGTAGTGAATGAAACATGATTTCCCATATACAGAGCAAGCAGCATATATTACAGCTGTTTTATTGTCTATATTTACAGAAAGCGTTGGCAGAAGAAAGTACTAAAAAGTGATTAGCTGGCCCATACACCGCAAGACTGCTTAAGACAGCATGAGACAACAGAAGCGTAATTCAAGTTCCGTAACAATTTATGCCTTCAAACCAACATAGAAATAACGAACAAGAATATTTAATATTAAAATTAGATAGTTTCAATAATTACTATCAAAAGTTAAAGAGCAAAGGGTATTTTAAAATGGAGAAACTTGTAAAAAAACACCGCTAACAATTATAACATATATTAATTGTATTGTAAAGAAACTCAACAAGCGATTAAGCTTCTTGATAGAACAATTATCATATTTGATCTCTTCAGAATACTTGGACCTGATAGACATCTATGATCTTGGAGGCATTAACACAATCGCATAACGACTTAGCAAAATAACATTAGTCTGAGATGACAATGAGTGTGAGACTACTGCAAGATTTTCCTAACAATGTTACATTTTATAGTCAAACCTTTTTGGGCTTTTTGCTGACACCCATGAAACAAAACTCGCTTCGCGTTTCCTTCCCGGTTTAAGCATTGTGGTAAGATGCAACAGCAGTGGACCGACAACAATACAGGATACCAATTTAGTCGTAAAACGCGTGTGGCTTTTCTAAATTATGTTAAAGTCTTACATAATAAAACTGTCTTTTATGCAAAACGTACAACTGTCTTTGATGACCTCAGCGGAAGTAGACTTAGTGACATCACAATAGATCGAAAAGGATATAGCTTCAGACGTGAGAAAACTTTTTCAAAAAACGCAATAACAACAAATCAGAGCTCGCTTCCACCCTCAGACGAACTGGACCCACCTTGCATACAAATGCTAAATATTTAAATTCAAGGATTGTTTGTTGACTGTTATGAGTAATGGGTACATTTAAATCACTATCCACCTAGATCTTATGCTATCCACCTAGATCTTATGCTATCCACCTAGATCTTATGCTATCCACCTAGATCTTATGCTATATATTTATATGTGTATGAGTCGATGTAAGTATTAAATCTTTCCTTAGTTAATACACTTAATATCGTTTACTGTTCTAGATTGGACAAAGGGAATTTCGAACATTAGATGGTCTTCAATTATTTATCGAGAGTCAATCCTCGTGTAAAAAATGTAAGGTGGGCAAGCAGGTGACGTAAGACAAAGCAAGATAAAAATTCATGAAGGGCGGGTTGTGCCGCCAACTGAGGGAGCTGTAGTATCAAGATTGAAAACCAATTAAAAAGCAAACAAACGCAACATTATAAAACAAGAAATAATTGACAAAGATCACACTCGTGAATGGCCATTTGACGACAAGATTTCTCATTTAATAATTCATACATTCTAATACAAAAATATTAACAGCCATGTTTCTTTGTAAATGGACTAAAATGTTTTGCATCACAACAAAATGCCGAAATCTTCCATTATTAAAAGAGGCATATGACTGACATATTTCGCAAAAAAACAGCTCTGTTATTTTTTAAACATTGTACAGCAAAACTCCGTAGACCTGTAGTTTTAACTAAATATACATAAAAGACGACAACCTTATAGCTTATAATCAAGTGCATTTTTATAGATATTATTTTAAAGTTTATGTTGACATCTGCCTCAAGTTTAGTAGTAACGTATGTACTCTAAGTGTTTAGCAAAAAGAACTCTTCGTACAGTATAAATATGTTTACATTTCTCGAAAATGGAATGGATGAACGGTTTTTATTCGTAATCAGCTATCTCGTCACACAATTAGAAACTAATGCTTGGCTTTTTCGGTTTTATAGTTGATTATTTGAGACGAGTCGGTTTCAAAAGCGCGCGACTTCAAACGATTCTACATATGGTTAATAAATGATGTAATTTCAACATGACTAGCCGAGATAACTCAAATCGCGTGAACGGCCCGTTATCTATCTTCCGTTATCAAAAAAGATTAACGATTTAAGTATAACATATACAATGGATAAAGCATGCTTAATGGACAAATATATTACAGCTATTTACTAAAATATTAGAGCACATATAAGGCTTATGCCACATTATGGCTTGTAGCTGAAGACTGGAGGTAATTTTATTTCTCAGTTTCAAAGTCCAGCAGAAACAGACACACCGAACAAGTCATATTAATAACGCGTTAAAGCAGCAAATTGCTAAACAAACACGTCGAAAATGACGCACAATGAAACACCTGCAAGATTGTGACGCTTTGGACCAGTTTGAAAAGTTAAACTTGTCATGTAGATAAAGAATGTAAAAGAAAAGATAATAAATCATTATCTTGTCTTTAATGCTTCAGCACATGAGAACTATATGATGAACGGGTCTCATACAGCAAGAGTCGTTTTCTGCATGTTGTTCATTCATCACTACCTACACTGACACACACGTTATCATTTTTTTTGAATATTTTAGTTAGTGTAAAGACTGTTCTCGTTCTCTGTTGTTCATTCATCACCACCTACACTGACACATGTTATCTTATTTCTTATATATTTTAGTTATTGTAAAGACTGTTCTTGTTCTCTGTTGTTCATTCATCACTACCTACACTGACACACGTTATCTTATTTCTTATATATTTTAGTTAGTGTAAAGACTGTTCTCGTTCTCTGTTGTTCATTCATCACTACATTCACAGTTCAGAATCAAGCTATTAACACATAGTTGACCACAATGACAAAATGACAACACTTACATGACGCGACTATTCAGCTTCGGGAGGTATGGAAACGAGCCATCAGAGTGTCGACGAGTCGACAGAGTTGGTGGTGCATAATTTCTGAACGATGAAACCTGAGGTGACCTTCGAATCATTCTAACGACAAAACAACAAACAAACAATTGGTGAAAAAAGAATTCTTAAGTCATATATATATTCTTCAATAAAAAATCTTAATCAATAAAAAAAACTATGAATGGACATAGAACATTGATTCAACCATGGACGGTTTTTCATATTTTTGACAAGGGTGGAGCAAAAATTTGATGAGGATGATCTGGTAAGTGGGGTGTTCGTGTAGTGCTGGTACCGAAGGTGGTGTACAGATTTGAAACGTTGCCCAGAAAACTCAGTTCAGCCGTACTACAGGTATGTTTTGCTAAAAGTTAGGGAGTTAATGGTTTCTTACAGGGGGTGAGCAACTTATTTAGGAGTGAAATCTGATTTTATTGGAGGGTGGCACCCCCGTGCTGCCCTCAGAAAACCCCTCCAATGGTTTAAGATAACTTATAAAGACTCGTGCACTTTGTCTTCAAAATTACTCAAACTAAAATGTTAGCTGGATAAATACATAGAAAAATGTCATTTTAATTAATCATGGAAATAATTACAGCTCATGCTGTCTTTGATTAAATGAGAGAAATCTCTCTTAGCGGGAGTGGACGTATCCAAGCGACAAATGTAAATGTAAATGTTGCAAATCAACACGAAGTATGTCCTAGGTGCTATATTTCGGCATGTAAATATTGTCCGGCTGATTTCATTTGAATATACATATTGTTCACACTCACTCGTGGGTCAAATTTCGCTTCGCAATTTTAAGCATAACGAAGATTTGATAGTTCATCTTTAGTTTGTTGATAAAAGTCGCAGAAAGTTACCACGACGGCCTCAATTATCGAGCAATTAAGAGACAGATGTTTAATTTATTAAAATTTGAATAACTTTTTACACTTCCGCCGTCAAACGTCACTTAAAACATACAAAATATGCACTATTTTTCGATTTCGTACTTGCCATGACTGCGATATAGGATTTTTAGCTTTGGAATTTCTTCATAAAAAGGAATAGCTCGTGACGAAAGACGAGGTTCTTGTCTGTTGTCTCATTACCATATGCAATATAAACAACACATATTGGCGAAATATGGAACATCCCAGTATGTAAACGATTGTCGATTTCATCTAACATTCGTATCACTAAAATACTCTTCAAAAGACATTTTTTACGAAATAAGTTGTGACCGCAGGACTACTACTTGACTGAATGTCAAAACCAGAAATTCTCACATTCGACTTGGCATGCCAATATCTGTGTATTGTATATGATAATACAACTTTCTATTCTCCCTTCTTCGTCAGAACAAAAACACTAAAGGAAAAAGAATTACCTTTCCAATCCAAACAAAACAGTGTTTTTTTGAGTTGAGCGTTTCAACCGTTCTTGTCCTATCCTTGAATTGTCTCTGTCGGCGATATTTGCACTCTTTATAAAAGCCAGATAAATACAACATGAATAATAAACATTCGATTTTCCATATTAAAGAATTGAATATTCGATTGATTGAATCAATATTTACTAAGTTTCGTAAGTCATGACAAATACCCTTTAATCCTCTTTTCCTAAGCTTCGTAAACTAAACCTGAGAGGGAAATTTGAGAAGTCACGGGTGCTTCTAGTTCTGGTCTATAGATATGACCTATAGTTTGATACCGAAACTTGATCGAAATTCGAAACAATTGACCGGGGAGAGACTAAATGTAGTCTGTGATCGTGCGGTTCTTTAACAGAAATGAAAAAGCTTTTATTACAAAGTTTATTAAAAAAACAGTGCTTTCATTACATATTGGATTTAGTTTTGGATTTCAAATATACGTTGGGCATTTAGGTAAAACGAGATAAAAAACGGTCCAATTTCAATTATATAACGCAATTTCTGCGTAATTTTACGATTAATGGAAAAAATCGTTTTTTTACTCGATTGTGAACGAACGAGATGTGAACATGGGCCACCTGTCGGGTGACGACAGACTTGACAGTCGCCAAAATATCAGCCAATCGAGAAAAATCTGCATAACACATCATGAATAAGTTAATTAAAAAATCCAACTTTAAATTGAACCTTTCAAAATGTATTTTGCTTCAAGCAGAAACTCTTGCAAATATTTTATTTTATGATTCTTCTGCAGTGGGCATTGAAAATATACTATTGTCCACCCACCAAAGCGGAAAAGAAAGTCCGTCGGAAGCGGGTTGTCAAAGCAGGCTGCAAATTTTCTAATTGTTTGCTAAAATTGTTGGAAAATTTAATATGCCTCACTTTCTATCCAAATCCCTTGTTACGTTGTCGGATTTTCAGTACCCTTATTGTAAATTGCCTACGACGGCCCAGATATATTCACTACTTCATTCCTTTTTTTTTCATCTCACCGTGCACATTGTGTATGTTCAGAAACTTAATGGCTTTAAATATTCATGTTTGATGATTATAAACTTGGCTTGCATTGCCGTATTTATTTTCATTGCGTGCATTGTGAAACGTCTATCTAAACAAACCTTTCCTTTCGATGATTCACTGCATCTTCTTTGAACAAACGACTTCACGTCTTTATACTCCTTTAAACTGCTTGGGCATTTTTTAGTATCCATCAAAATAGATGGCCTCTGCGAGAAAATATCGAAATATTGAGAAAAATTTGTCTGTGGTATGTCAGCATGCATTCGAATAAACCTTCCCAAACCTCTTGACTTCGGCAAAGAAGGTTAAACTAGAGGAGTCAGATCTTTATCAATTAAATTGATGTCTTGCGCAAGAATAATTACAATGTAAATAGACGAACGAATTTAGCAACTGTTGTGACAGCTGTTTGCTTTCTTCCTCGCTCACGACCAACAATTTTAATTACAAGACGCGGAAAGATTTGATTCGGACTTCACATAAATAAATAATTCGAAAGATTTGTAAAAAACGAGATAGCATCACGCGAAATCGCGTTATTTTCTGTTTTGTCAACCAATACTGAAGTGTTCGACGCAATTTTCAAACCACAATCCTCAACGATAAACACAATTCTAGTTTTCGTGTTACATCTCTACGGAGCGTATGAAAAAGGCGACTTAAGAATCAACCTACTGTTATAATTTCAATGCCCTATCATTTTTTTACATACCTGAAAGTGCGTTATGTCAGATACGAACATGGGACACAAACTTTTCACCATTTGTGAGTTCAGCATAACTTTTAACACTTTGGACAATTTGCCATATGTACCATGAAATTCAATTAAATTGTGCATGTTAAGCCCTTGGGATTGAGCCCCTTGGAATTAGCATTAGTGAAGCAAGCATTAAAATTGTAACAATTGGCTGATTTCGAAAGGTCTAAATTTTTCAGCCATTTGTTTTGTTGTGCTATGAATTTTTTCTACTTTTGCTTCGCTGCTGGAACGATAGATTCAGTCAGCGCAAAGAAATAAATAGAAATATTCTAAAAATTGCCCAGCATGACAACAGAAGACGGCTGGCTGCCGGATTAAAACTTGCGGGTTGCTGCCGCAGTCTTGACCATTAACGTACGATTTAGCTTTCCAAAATTGGATTTTACTGCTTTATTTGGCATCTCAAAGAGCCACATTGTCGGGGCTCAGGCGGCTTGCAAGCAAAATTGCATAATTGGGGGTATGAGCCTTAAATTTTTGGGACAAATAGACTGTACTTATGATTATCAAGGAAGTTATCTATCTTCGGAGTCTACAAAAAAAGACTTATAAAATTGACGTATATTTGTGATATTTTGTCTGCTAATTACCATGCTGAGCCCACGGTTGCATACAGATTTCCATCTGCGTGCATATTGGTAAACCTCACGTCACTAACGCAAAAGCTCCTCTTGGGAACAGTAATGCGCCTTTTGAACATGAATGACGTAAATTGACTGCAACAATGGTACAATAATGATTACTGAACAAATAAATTCATAATTTTCAGCATTTTGGAGAAATTTTACAATGATTCTAAACTTTATTTACAGAACTTACAAATGTGAAACCCACCGCAAGCAACGTGATTACTTTTAAAAGGGAGAAAGAAACTGGGGGTGGGGAGCTACAGCCTGTCAACCTACCCCCTGATCAAAAATTATACAAGTGGCATTACTCGTGTATTCCAAGAGCAAATCTTTCAAAATTAATCTGGTAAAATTATCTATACAATTCGCTATAAATTTACAAGTGAATTAACTATGATTGAAGTGGAAGTTACAAAAATGCCGAATGATTTTTTGTAATATGTATGAATTTTGGCAAAATGGTAGGTTTATCAATTATGTTAACGACGTTGGCTTGAAGATCAAAACTTGTCACTTGGCATTAAATTAACACTCTACAAAACTAATGGCAGTGATTTTGTTTTCAATGGCAAAGCAAATCTAGCTTGAGTTTTGGCTACCCTGCTATACAAGATATTTCATTGTTTACTGACTTTTAAAGAAATAGATTTCTGAAGAAATGATTTATGAGGATAAATTAAAATTTACATAGCTGGACAAAAATCTACGGTGTCACAACATTTCTATGTGATGAATCTTTTTAAATGAGAAGTTGATCTCCAAGCGTTCGTGAATGAAATCCACTAAAATACTACTATACTAAAAACTATTTTTTTCATTATTAATAAATGGATTGTATTTTTTTACATTGATAACTTTGATTCCATAGTGTGTTGTTTTTTTTCAATAAAATTGTTGAGCATTAAAAGGCTTTAAGATTTATATTTTTTAAGACTTGAGATTTAAATTAAACAATAAGTTGGATAAGAAGCCTTATCACTATAGAAGCCTTACCACTATAGAAGCCTTATCACTATAGAAGCCTTATCACTATAGAAGCCTTATCACTTTACATCTTTCAATTTATGATTTCCTTCTACGTACACACCATCATCGTATACCGCCGTCATTCCCCGTCACAGTATTTTGCTGCACTTTTCTCAAGTTAGTCGGTGATCTGGGCAAAGCTTTGCTTTTCAAACCAAAAACTAAATTTCTTTGCTCTTCAGGATCAAGATTTGTGATGATATTTTCCACTTTCAGAGCGTAATCCGCATCTTCTCTTGGTGGAGTATTCTTTGCTTTTTTTGGCTTGAATGGTTTCAAAAGATTTCTACAAAAAGACAAAATGTATTGACTACGAACATTGCAACATACATTGATGTAACAAAGTATATTGACTAGGAACATTGCAACATGCATTAATGGAACAAAATATATTGACTAGGAACATTGCAACATGCATTGATGTAACAAAATATATTGACTAGGAACATTGCAACATGCATTGATGTAACAAAATATATTGACTAGGAACATTGCAACATGCATTGATGTAACAAAATATATTGACTAGGAGCATTGCAACATGCATTGATGGAACAAAATATATTGACTAGGAACATTGCAACATGCATTGATGTAACAAAATATATTGACTAGGAACATTGCAACATGCATTGATGTAACAAAATATATTGACTAGGAACATTGCGACATGCATTGATGGAACTGAAAAAATGCTTTAATAAATAATTCTATTTTGACTAACTGAAATAGAGAGAATTACATCAAAATAGGACATTGACAAGTCATCATTATTCCAGATATTGCAAACATATCATTTACTAAATCTTTGTAGATAATTTTATCAATTATGTATACTAACTACCCCTATCCATTATTACATATCATGCATTTACTATCCTGTGCATAATATGAATTATGTATCATCTACTAACCCCAAGTGTCCCACTTGTTCAAATATCGCATAATAACTATTCTTATCCATAATAACTATTCTTATCCATAATATCAATTATTTATCATCTACTAACCCCAACTATCCTCCTTATCTAGATATTATGTTTAACAGTCCCAATCCATGATATCAATTAAGTGTCATTTACTATCCCCCTACTATTCCCTTACTAAGATATCATGTATCAACTATACCTATCCATGACATCAATTATGTATCCTATACTAACCCCTCATATCCCCTTACTTAGATATAAAGTTTTACTGTCTCTATCCATGATAGGGGGTCTTCGTTAATAAACCATTGATCTTTCGATAATATATACATACTTTGGTAGCAGATCTTCTCCTCTCTCACGCCTGACTTGCGGGCTGGCGGGAGAACAACTACGTGAATCTAACCGCCTCAATTTACTCGGGCTGTCAGTGATCTCAATAAAGTCTGAACTATTGAAAGGCGATAGAACATCTTCACGTTTTCGTTTAAAGGATTGACGATGTAGACTGTTGTTTTTCATGTTTTCCTTTCCTAAAAGTAAAAATATTTTTTTGTTTGTAGAAATGCCGTTAAAATAATTGCCTGTTTTCTGTCATTTTACTAAATGTACCTAAAATTAGAAACACACACAATAGAAGATTAAAGAACGTTATACTTACTGTAGATAAAACACAATTAAACTGGGAAAAGTCAATTACAAATTAAGACTTTGGTAATATCATACATCATTTTACGACAAATGTAATGACGTAATGTTATGATGCGATTCACGGAAATGCAATTTGAAAAACATCACGTAATCGCATCAATTTAAGTTTGTAAAGTCAGCCCAATTATTTCGTCCTTCTAAATAAACTTTTAATGTTCGTTCATTGTGGAGACAATAAATTTCTACGGAAATGAATAATGATAACGTTCTGAAATTTACATAGTAGGACTAAAACTAGGGTTAGCTACGTCACTGCACTATTGATATAATGACGTCACTGCACTATTGATGTAATGACGACACTGCACTATTGATGTAATGACGTCACTGCACTATTGATATAATGACGTCACTGCACTATTGATGTATAGACGTCACTGCACTATTGATGTAATGACGTCATTACACTATTGATATAATGACGTCGCTGCACTATTGATGTAATGACGTCATTACACTATTGATATAATGACGTCGCTGCACTATTAATGTCATGACGTCACTGCACTATTGATGTTATGACGTCACTGCACTATTGATGTAATGACGTGACTGCACTATTGATATAATGACGTCACTGCACTATTGATGTAATGACGTCACTGCACTATTGATGTGATCACATATGAAGTCATTGTATAAGAAATGAAAGACGCAAAGTCTTCATGTCATTGACGGACGAAAAACGTTTGAAACCAAATGTTAATCTCTTTGCACAACAATGAGAAATTACATCTTTCCTTTGTTAATATTTAAATCAAATTCATATGACGTAATTCACCATCATGTAATAAACGACACAAAAGTCTTCATGACTCAATTTAATTAAAACGTTGTAAATGAAGCTGGATGGCTGAAATACAGTTTCATTTATCGCCTTAATCAGGTTTACATAAAATTCAACAGTTGTAATTGTCGGATAGAACATAAGAAAGAAATACAACAAATTATGACAGAAAATTAACTTGATGAGGATGCAAAGCAGCCTTCTCACACACAACTGAGAGCTGCTGTAGCCAATCCGCCACAAGCTTGACATTTGTTACATTTATAAAAAACAGTTAGTACAGCTACCATAACATCGGCTAAGCGGCCCTTCTCCTAAGAGTAGCAGCCTAAACTCAACAGTCTTAGTTACCAATATACATATGTCTATAGTGTTCCATCCAGGCTGGTGGGCAGGTGGACTCTAGTAAAACTGTACAGATGCAACAACAAACTGTGCTTAATATAACCTACACCACCTGCCACACAGATTCACAATAAGGTTCCCAAGGGTGTGTGAGAAAACATTTTCCGCCTTTTTCATTCCTCAGTAGGCAGAAAATAATACTTAACCCAGAGATGAAGGAAAAAGACTTACCCAATGATGATTTTGGTGTTTCAATTATATCATCACTTTTCCTTAATGTTATCCAACCAGAGAGTTTTTCCTGATTTTTCCTTACACAATCACCACATATATAATTGTCCTCACAATCTTCAGGGGTCGGAAGTACTGTGGGCTCAAGTACAAAGTCAAGTCTTGCTTTAGTTTTTTTATCAATAATCAATGGTCGTCCGCCAACCAGCTGTAATAAAACCCATTGATCCGCGGCATCTTGCTTTAAAACTCCATCAACAACACACCAATGAGCAACCCATTCCCAGTTAGCTGTAAACATAAAGAAATGATATAGTAAATGTACATTCTAAGTTATAATAAAATTTTTTAGTTTTTAAATGCATCTGTTACATTGAAACAAATACATATTTAGCTAATATAAACCTTTACCAGATGACAATTTCATAAGATACAAACTAAAAACAATCCGAGAAAGGGCATCTTGTAAACTTAAATTCAAGTTAATAAACAACACAATTAAAAGTGCAATATTTTGAGATATAAACCGAAACATTACACTTTTAATTGTCTTTTGATAGTTTAATAACTTGAATTTAACTTTATAAGATGCCCTTTTTCCGAATATGTTTTATTTTAGCTAAATATGATGCAGCAGTTTAGAAGGTGTAATTATTGTGCTTGTAGTGCTGTAAAACTCTTATTTGTCGACTTTATCTTATTTTTCTATATTTTTATGAATGTTTAAATACTACTATAAAGCATCATATTGATATCATATTACAAACAATGACAATTTGCATGCTAATAATTAATGCATAAGATTTCCATCACTACATAATGTTTATTTTTTTATGTTTTAGCAAAAAGCAAAGTGCAAATTGGACATTGTACACTATTAATTTTCATACTTTAATGCATTGTCTGACCTTATTCCGTTTCCATGGATGACAATTAGTCAATGCATGAAACTACTTGCACTTCATCAAAAGCATGTTTAATTTATGTAGCAAACTAATTCATTATGCATGCACAAATCCTGTGTTCCTTTTTTTTTGAGATACACAGTCGATTAACAGTTATTAAAACAAACCACATTATAAAGTAAATGGTTTGAACCAGGGAGTATCGTTACATGTTTGTAAATGTAGATCGTCCAGGTTGGTATAGTCCTGAGAAGGACTGTTTTTGTTGTTGTTGACTGACGTTTCGACAACCTTAGCGGTAGTCATCTTTTGACTCTGAAGAAGACTACTGCTAAGGTTGTTGAAACGTCAGTCAACAACAACAAAAACAGTCCTTCTCAGAACTATACCAACCTGGATAATCTACATTTACAAACAAACCACATTATGTTAGTGCAAAATAATGCCCTTAATGTGAGTGTACTTCTTGTTGTTCAATTTTCACTGTGAAACAAAAATCTTTGACACCAACCATAGGCATAATAGGTTGGCAGCAGGGATAATGGAAAGGCAGGTAACAATTTCAAATTAGGTTATTCATGATTGAAAATGTACCGACCTTTGCCCAAGAAATGTGATAGCCGGTTTGCTCAAGACACCACCAAAAAAGATAAATAATTTTTCTTATTTTACATGTCCTAACCTTTTGGTGTTGATGAATTCAAAGTTTCTTTGGCCTTTTCTGATGGTTTGGTTGTGATACTCAAATCACATTCATCTTTGTCCAAGACAGGACTAACATGGTTACTATTATTATCATCACTGATTGCATTTTCATGCGCTTCTTCTATTGTGCCAATGTCTGATAGTTGAATTGTTTCAAAGTACTGCCGTAGCCTTTCTATAAGTTCTGAATTCTAAAATAAAACAAAAATAAGTAAAAAAATATAGAAAGCAAACAAGCCATGAACAAGTGGGAATAATGACTTTAATGACTTTAATGACAAACAATAGGTACTCCTTATAGGGCTTTTCATTAACTATTTACAAAATTAAATACATATACATATTTGTCTTATAAATGTATGAAAAAAAGATTATTATTAAAAGGATTTTTAAAGATAAAAGTAACATTTCGAGATGGAACTACAAAAGATCTTTTAAAGCTTTCTTAAAAGAATCAAGAGACTTGAAATCTTTCACATCTTTGTCTAAATTGTTCCACAATTTGACTGTCCTATATGAAAATGTGCGTTGGCCGAATATGTTATTTTGAAAACAAAACTTTAGCTACCTTTCCAATTGCCTTTAATTTGTGCTTCTTACAAAGAGCTTGTAAATCTCTTCTTTTCAAAGATTTCAAATCCTTGGGAATATTTTCAACATGTGTTTCTTCCACATTTGTTTCGGTTTTCTTTGACTTTTTGCCTTTAGTCATTTTACAACCCATACAGTTCACTCTAGACACATTAAAGGAAAGATAAATAATCAGTGTTTTAGAAAATACGTGCAAACTTCTAATGGAACATTTGCTTTTTGGACAACCTAAACTAGCATTCTGTACTTCTTCTCCAAAACAACCCTCAGGGTTATTTAGACACAAGGCAGCAAATGCACTAACCAGTTATTTTAAAATTCAATTTGAAACGTAAAATCATTATACTAACTCCATCGTCTTTAGAAAACAAACACAACATTTCACATTAAATCGTTCCTTCTCGTTGCATTCATAATGAACGCAATTTTTACATTGATATAAGATACAAACAAAAGGATCGTATTTTAAAATGAGCGCCACACCAAATGTGAAAACTAAAGCGGCTAAATATACGAAGGATCAAAGTGCTTTAGATGTATTGGCTTGCAAAATATTGACATATTGTATTTCAAATCCAAATAAGGACAATCGTGTTCACCTGGTCGAAAAAACGCTTTTACGAAACAAATTTGTTGAATAGTTAGTTCATAGACATCCATGCAAAGAGCGAAAGTCTTCACATGTAGACAAAAGAGAACGCAAAGAAAAAACAGAATTTTTTTTAAGTCCACTTGGAAATGGCTGTTTCCTCTGCTGACGCCTGACAGCTGACTTCAACTGCAACTGTAGCCGGTGTGCTTTCACAATTGAACGTTTGAAATATTTCACGGACGACAAACAAAATAATGCGATTTTTCCAAAGATAACGTCGTAAAAACTTACCGGTTTTCTTCGTTATAAATGAATTTTATATTTTGATTATGATCTTATTATGGAATATAAACACAAGCATGGGCACGATCGCGATGACATTTGTAGGGAGATGAAGGGATTTGTAGGGTTTGACAGGGGCATAAAGTGCTTGAGATGTCTGATAGATGAGGTTATATAGGGATCAAGTCAATATTTTCTTAATTTTTCAAAATGGCCGAAAAAATTAGCGAAGGAGTGACTAAAGAAATTCTTCGTCCTGGAAATGGGAAGATGCCGAAATCAGGCGATACGATTACTGTAAATTGTACAGGAAGCTTAGTAGACTCGCAGAAGAAATTCTGGAGGTTTCTGAGACAGTTATATTACATGTTTTATTGGCATGTTTTATTTCGCTTTGCAATTGTATTTATTTTAGTAGTTGAACTAACAATTTTGTATATTTAGTACCCACGATGAAGGACAAAAACCGTTCAGCTTTCAAGTTGGAAAAAGAAGAGTCATAGCAGGTTCAAGCACGAACATTAGTCTTAGACAGAAAGATGATTAATGGGGTTAGGGTAGGGACTAGTGAGTAGCATGATGCTTATTCAGTGTTAATACAAACTTAAATATATTTAATATAGGTTGGGACGAAGGTTGTCTAACCATGAAGGAAGGTGAAAAGGCAAGGCTCGTCTTGCAAGCCCATAAAGCGTATGGTACTACTGGTTTCCCAGCCTGGAAATATCCTTTTAAACAATAAATTTACGATGGAAAGTTCACAAATTAATTTTACAAATCATCCATATGTTAGTCGTTTCACCCTTAACATCTCCTACCATCCCACCAAATGCACCTTTGCAGTTTGATATTGAGCTTCTGAAGATCAACTGAACAGAGGAAGACGTCAAGATACACTGCTAGCACTCGACCTACGTAGATTTGAATTTTCTTAAGAAATAATGAAGGGCAATATCAATAAAATATGTTTTCAATGAAATTTTTCTGTGTTTTATTTTGCCAAAGCTTTGTTCGAATGCATGAAAGAATTGAGAAAAGTGGCGGAAAAGATTTCAAATCTGTTATAGAAATATTTTTGGTAAGAAAAAAGGCTTGGCTTTATTCGACGTAGTTTTTTGTTAAACGCTTCCTTTTTCGTAATTATACGTATTCCTTTCAGAGTTGTATGAAACATCAAAATCATGCAAGATACTCTATTGTTGCTCATAAACCTTAAAGAAAAAGAAATTCTGCCAAAAATAATCACGAACACCGTTCTACAATAAACACGTATTTTACATTTAATATACTTTACGTAATATAATCTGCAATGTACAATAAAATAGCTCCTATTGCACAAAAAAACTATTTGAACATTGTTTACAATGTAATTTCGTGCACAATCAACAAATACAAAATACAGCAAGTGAGAAACAATTTCATGCGTAAAAAAATATGTCACGAATATGTTTGTGACAACATAATATATTTTATTAATTAATACATCTAAAATGCCTGAATACTTTAGTACAACAGTGTGACCACTTTGAGGGTTTTTTCAACGTTTGGTAAAATGTTGACAAAGTTTAAAAAACCTGGGCACGAATGGTAAAATTTTACGACTTAATGGATTAGGTGATTTTCGGTAAAATTAATATTAAAATTAATAAGACCATATATACATATAACCATAATTATTAAAGGTGTTTTAAACAACGTTGGAACTAAGTAATTATAAGAGAAGAAAAATTAAAAGCGTTTGGTGTATTCCCTCCTGAAATAAAAGCCTGTTTGCGGGTAGCATTTTGCTTTCTTCAGCTTAAGCCACTAATGTGACTTACTTTGAGCTGATACGTCATTACGTGCTTCATCACTCACAGGAAGATAATAGAACTCAAAATCTAGTAAATTTTTTTTGCCCATTTAGAAGTAAAATTTTGTAAAAGGTTTTGCAAAAAAACCGTTGAGTAGATTTGGTCACAGCTATGACATCGTACTTAAAGTTTTCAAGTATTTTAAAGGCAGTCGTTCTCATATCGAAAACTTATATATTTTTATAATGATAAATACGTTTGCTACAAGATAACCCAATTAAAAACCCATTAAAGTTCCAATAAATAATACTTCGTATTCCTGCATAAAATGTCCACTTTTAACAGTGAAAATTTTTCATACCCAATTTCCAAAAGAAAGAGTTTATTCGGCAAAGACGAGCAATGAATCGCACGAGACCCGATTTTCCTTGTATAACAGCGATATTTCATTAAACGATTGTCACTGACTGCAAAGGGAAACTGGATGAAATAGTTGTATATTTTTGCATAAGCGAAACATCACCATTTTTTGTAAGTGTCAAAGTCTTGCCCGGCGAAAAACATTTACACAAAGCTTATACTTTGCTGGTATTTTTTAAACTTGGCTGAAAAAATTTCACAATTGTGAAAACAATTTAACGCTGATATGAATTAAATGCATTGCAAAAATATCCTGTGAAAAGACGAATCATATCTTTCTTAAAACAAATACGAGTGGCACGAGAGCAATTCTTGTTACATTTATAAGGTGAAATTAAAACAACGTTAAGTAAAAACATCTCATACATGTGCTAAGATAGCTCGCAAAAAACTCGTGTCCAGGCTTTCTTAGCCACATAATTTTCTAGAAAAAATTCCCAGCAAATAAAAATTCGTCAGATGAAAGCAATTTCTTTCTTCTGACGATTTTGAAATACCGGTAGACTCATTCGTAAAAAGTATTTTTTGTGCATCATGCAACTCAGTGCTCGTCTCTTTATGTGCAATACGATAATTGTTCGAGATTACTTCTTGTTTCGACGCAATGTGCTTATTTAAACAAATCATCAATTTCCGTGTTTAGATTGTCCAACATGCCTTGGATGTCATTGAAAAGCGAGTCCGTTTTACTGTGAAAAGAAAAGAAACATTAATGTGCTTATTTTATAATCAAAGTAAAAGTATATTTACTCCATTGTGAGAATTCCTATCAATTAAACCGCAATAACACATATATCGAAAACAAACACATCCTGCTATCAAAACAAAGTCACATATTACATTGTACCTTTGCTCTTTTTTATATCGTAATAGTTCTTCTTCCCTTTCTTGTTGTTCTAATAAATCTTCTTGAGACAGAGTAACATAAGCTAAATAAAAAAATACAAACTCAAGCGACGTTCATGTTCAACAAAGATATCACGAGACACGGCATAGAAACTTTTGCAAGAAGCTGTGTTAGGTAGTTCCTAAATATCCCAATACAGCTATTGAATATCTCAAAATTTCCTATTTCTCACATAAATAACCCCGAGATTCAATGCTTCGCGAGTTGTTCAGTTAACATATCAGTTTCTGAAGAGATGGGAAAATTACAATTACATTCAACATGACAAGCTACAATAAAAAGATTTTAGGTACACATAACGTTCAAGTAGATTTTTTTTAATCTTATTGCAGTTTAGGGCCTGTTTATATGGAGCCGAGTTACTACACGCCAAGCCGGGTAAGTCGGCCCTTATATAAAATGAATGCATTTCCCGGTGAATCGTTTATATGACACATCCAAGTAACTCGCCTTGCCGGGAACTCGGTTTGTCCAAGCGAGTTACCCGGCTAGGCGGGATAAATTTTTCCATATAAACGCATTTGCCGGGTGACTCGGCGAGGCGAGAAAATTGGCTCTGTTGGTACGCATGCGTACTAAGCCTTGTACTTGCAGCATTATTATTCAAAAACATACACATATCATAATTTTCAATTTTATATTCACCCATTCCATTTTTGCTGCGAAACTGTGAGGCTTTTTAAAATCTCCCGCCTTTACTCGAAGTTAGCATTGCCAAACTTCATTTAAAACAAATGAACGGAAGTACTAGCCGAGTTACCCGGTGCCATATAAACAGATCACTTTTTCAAACCCGGTTGAGCGAGTAACTCTTGTGAAAGCGCAAAGCATTCTTGGTCAAAAAGTCGATTTCTCGACACCGCCGAAACCTTCACTCGTGCCCCTCCAGAGCACGAGTAATTAAAAGTTGCAAAAATAACGGTAAGAACATTGACAACTTACGCAGTTTGTCGATATCTTCAACTGAGCTTCCGGTTGACGTGGTTCTCTGCAGACTCTCTCTGATTTCACGTTGAAAGCCTTTCAAATGAAACAGAAGAAAGTTAACCTTCTCTATTAACACTTGAATACGGTATGGATTTCTAAACATAGAATACATCTAATATTCATAAGCATTTATAGAAGTCAAATTTCCACTTTTAACAGTTTACGAAAATTGGACGATAGAATAGCAATAAGAATCCTTTAAGGCCCGTTCACACGATCCGATTTGCCGGATCCGATTGTTTTGTTCCGACTTTTGATTGCTTATTCAGACGGTCCGATAATTTTGTTGATATTTATATTCGTTTAGATATTTGTAGTCGTGTGAGCAGACATTTGTGTTATCCAGTACATTTATCGATATATTTTTCGTACTTTTGTTCTTGTTTCCAAGCCTTTTTCAAATCTATGTAATTTGACTAGTGGTTTCCTTTGATATTGTCGGATGAAAATAGAGCAAGTTCTATTTTTTAGATAGATAAACCTGACTGTCGGTGTTCACACAATGCGTTTTTTAGATCCAGCATGATGGAAGGAGTATAGTTTAAAAATTGTTTCTTCCTTTTTGGATGTCGCTGTTCTGGTTATAATAGAAGTCAGACTGTCCTCGTGGACTATAAATGTTTGCAGTCAACCAAAATATGTAGAATTGAAGGACCCACATTGATACTTGGTAAGGACTAAAATTGCACCCACACCTTACCCCACCGTAAGAATAGGAAGGATAACATTCCCCCCGTAAATCCATCGTTGATATAAATTACAACATAGATATTAAATTCCAGTTGGAATGGTTTGAACCTCCAAGCATACATGCAGTGAACCCACACCTTACCCCCCTGTACCTAAGGATAAGAAAGATACCCCCCAGTAAACCATTGAACCTCCAAGCATACATGCAGTGAGCCCGCACCTTGCTTCCCTGTAACTAAGGATAAGAAAGATACCCCCCAGTAAACCATTGAACCTCCAAGTATGCATGCAGTGAAATTCAACATCGTACGACAGAAGCTTTAAGTTTAAACAGCGTTAAACAATTTCAAAGATATGATACTAATCCGATAACTTACCATCTGGTTCACTATTTAACGACCCACGACTCCCAGTTAAAGAACTGCTAACGGACATTCCACTCTCCGATCTGCGGTCAGAGCGACTGAGCGTAGATGGAGGGGACTGTTCCGACCCACTTTCTGAGAGAGCCTCGGCTTCCTTGATGACTCCGGTGAAATCAACGATTGAGTTTCGATCTGGATTGAAAAGAAATATAAAAAAATTATTTCGCTTTATGAAAAAATGCTGCTCCCTGATCTTTATTTTTTAATACATAGCTCATACACAGCAGAAATTAAGTAAAATTCATGACAATGATTTTGAGACAAAGCATTAATCTATATTGTTACTGGCTGTCACACAATCAAACACAAAGCTTTTTAACATTAATTTCTCTGTGAATTAAGACTTTAAACAATTTGAAATATGATAATTACTATTTGCAAATAGTTTACTTTATGCACCTATTCAAAATGCTTCGTTGTGTTTTTACATTGTAAACTGCGAGAAGGTTCCGGAAAACTGTTTTAATTATTTTCTTGTCGTGTTTTGTACATCTATAAAAACCGGTTAAACCAAGTGCGTAGTTTCACTGCTTCAAGTCGGCTGTTTAAAGGTGATTTTTAGCATTTAAAGGAGTCAAAATTTTAACTGTAAAATTTACAATCTTTTATCAAAAACCACAAGTTATTTATGTCATAAATACTGAATACGTTTTAGTATTTTATAAGGTCTAAATAATTTGATAAAGCTCTTTAAATGATAAATGTTATAACAACAAACAGTGTAATTATGTTTATATATGAAAAGATATTCATGTTTATTGTCAATTTATATGAATTGTATAATGCAGGAGCACAGTGAAAACTTGCTGAAAACCACACAAGCGATGTGAGTATGTATGAAATACATAAATGGATGGTTTCAATTTGCCCAAAATGTTTACCCTTGGTTGAACGCTGGCTAGCGTCGCTCGCATAATCAGCTTAATTCATAGCTCACTTTCGCGCGGGGTTTAAAGAAACCGAAAGAAAAAAATCACAATTTTATCGCAGCAGGCGAAATGATTTCGCCAATATTTTGTATGCTGGTCGTTGAAAATATTATTTTAACTGCATCAAAGGACATATTTTCACGAGATGTTTGTTTCATTAGCAGCAAAGTGATAGATGAAAAATATGCATACATAACAAGACACAATAATTAAAGCACACAAACATATCGATTATTATGCAAAATAAAACTGTGCTTTTGCTCAATTACTTTGTGTCGTTATTTTTGCGATTATATAAATGTATATATATTTATATAATCATTAAGATGCGGAAGAAAGCAAGCAGACTAAAGGTTGCCATTAAATAGCAATAAACGAATAATTTAAAAAGAAATGTGATGACCTTGCTAAAAGAAATTATCATGTTGAACTCATAAGACATTCATTAAATGATGTTGATGAAATTTTTTAGCACCACTGTGATCAAAAGCCTTTCATCACTACGCAGTAACGATGCACAGAAATAACAACGTTAAAAATAGCTCAACTATAACCCAATTCAACCGATTATTCATTTTTTGCGTCACAAAATACCAAGTTCTTACATTTCATAGAGCTTTGGTAATGTAAAGTTTTCGTTCTGTTGTTCATTCATCACTACCTACACTGACACACGTTATCTTATTTCTTATATATTTTAGTTCTTGTGAAGACTGTTCTTGTTCTCTGTTGTTCATTCATCACTACCTACACTGACACACGTTATCTTATTTCTTATATATTTTAGTTAGTGTAAAGACTGTTCTTGTTCTCTGTTGTTCATTCATCACTACCTACACTGACATACGTTATCTTATTTCTTATATATTTTAGTTAGTGTAAAGATTGTTCTTGTTCTTGTTCATTCATCACTACCTACACTGACTTATCTTATTTCTTATATATTTTAGTTAGTGTAAAGACTGTTCTTGTTCTCTGTTGTTCATTCATCACTACCTACACTGACACACGTTATCTTATTTCTTATATATTTTAGTTAGTGTAAAGACTGTTCTTGTTCTCTGTTGTTCATTCATCACTACCTACACTGACACACGTTATCTTATTTCTTATATATTTTAGTTAGTGTAAAGACTGTTCTTGTTCTCTGTTATTCATTCATCACTACCTACACTGACACACGTTATCTTATTTCTTATATATTTTAGTTAGTGTAAAGACTGTTCTTGTTCTCTGTTGTTCATTCATCACTACCTACACTGACACACGTTATCTTATTTCTTATATATTTTACTTAGTGTAAAGACTGTTCTTGTTCTCTGTTATTCATTCATCACTACCTACACTGACACACGTTATCTTATTTCTTATATATTTTACTTAGTGTAAAGACTGTTCTTGTTCTCTGTTATTCATTCATCACAACCTACACTGACACACAAGTTATCTTATTTCTTATATATTTTAGTTAGTGTAAAGACTGTTCTCGTTCTTTGTTGCACATTCAACATTACCTACATTGACACGTTATTCATCCATCAATACCCACACTGACAAGCTTAGTTATTCCTCAAACAACATAGAATACAATATTTCATGCGATTGCTATACACCAGGTCAACACGCATTCCTTCAGCAGGCAATACCATCGCGCTGCACGACTCACTACCATCCATCCATAACAAAAACGCTTTTGCAATATATAATGCATAAATAATTAATGAAACCCGTAAATATGTAATATCCACGATAACGATTTTTTAAATATGGTCATGGCAACTTGGAAAACTTTCAATAATATTGGCACATGAGAGTTTGTAAAAAAGCTGTAACGGTAAAAGATTGAATGTAAAAATTCTTCGTAAAGTGAATAAGACCCCCTAAAGACGTGTAAACATCATACTATGATCATGACCAAGTTCGCAAAGCACGGGATAATGTGAGATTTTGATTCAATATTGTCTTAAAATCGCTAAAAATGACGAAGGAGAAGCGATTATCTTATTTAACCCGAGTAGCGGAATCTGGCAAGAACTAACAGCAAAATCTAGACGTAATTTTGCCGATTAAATTAGCAACAAGTACAATTCAAATTGGTTTGAAATTACTCAAAGGAATTCTAACAACGCTTCAGATCGTTATGAAAGAATGTTTATTTAACATAGAATCCTGCAAATATGTCTCAAAAAGGGAAATATAAATTTTTTCGTTTTGTTTTGAGGGTCGAAAGCCCAAATCATGTCACGTAAACGCTTTAGAAGGATCGGGTCTAATCACATAGAATTATTCATTAAATTCTACTCAACGGTGGCCTTTAGCCCTTGTCAGTTGTCAAATATAGATAGCAAAAATATCGTTGTTACAATTAACTTACTTGTCGCGTTTTGGTTTTGATCAACTTTTCCTGCATTTGGTTTCGATTTTACGGGTGGGGGTACTCTTTTGTAGGTTTTCGATTTTACAGGAGGCGGCATTCCTTTCTTAGCTTTCTCTGTTTCGACATAAATGGCGTTTTGAAAGGAGGCTGCGAGTTGTTTAACTCCGTCCGTAGAGTCTTTTACTCTATTTCCATTCATCTCTAACGATTGTTGTTTGGATTTCGTTTCCAATGTTTTGTTGTTCGAATTGTTATCGAATTCCCCAAGACCCTCTTCCAGTGAAGTCTTTCGATTACTATACTCGTCAATGCAGGTAAGATTATTTGAAGCAGCGAAATACAAGGTCACGTTGTTAGTGGAAACAGATTGACCGCCCACGCGTGGAACTCCCACTCTTGTGACGTCATCAATAGGAACGGCAGTGTAATAGGCCATCTTAGGTGGAGTTTTTCTTGGAATTTCATGCGAACCGTTTTCTTCATCATTCCAATCTAAACAGAGATAATAAGATTCTCGAGAATCTGTATCGCTTTCGAACTTTGAGGAGAAAAGAGATGACAAGTTTAAAGGAAAAATGGAAAGTGTGAACACCGAAGTGGAAACACCGGTATCGCTCTGAGTGATCTGGCCCTTGGGTCTGGTTCATTATTCTGGTATTGTTTGATCTGTTGCGTTTTCTGTTTACATTCCTTATTAGTCAATGGGTAAAAAGATTTTTCCAGTTCTTTGTAGTTCAGTTATTCATACGAAAATTTTCATCTTTAAGTCACAAATTCACATAATTTGTAACTGGTTGTTTTAATATACATTTATAAATTATCAATGTACTCAAAAAGAAGAGAATTACAAAATTTCTTCACCACGAAAGTCACTGACTAATTATTCGCATGACTACATGCACATGCAGTGTCAAGTGTGATCAAAACTAGCCATGTGACATACAATCACAATATCGTTAACTCGTGTTTCACAGCTTGTAGTCATAAATAATAAATGCCACAAAGATATACTTTCAGACAGATACAAAACAAAGATCCAAGCAATGTGGAAAATACTAAATTGGTTCGAAAACGACTTCAGAATGAAATCGAAACATAACTGGACTTCAGTTTTGTTTTGTTAAAGATAATTTAAATCTTGAGTGTCTTTCGAAGTTTGTTTCGTTTCATAGAAGATAAACTTCCTTAAAACTTCTCAATCGAATGAAATAAGAAAAAGCGCACCTTGACCGAGTCATTCAAAAGTCACGAGTAATTTTCAGCTGATAATACTGAAATTCATTTAATAAAATGTGAAGTTGATGTGGGAAACGAACGATCGGCAAACCGAAAATGGTAAGGAAGTACAGATCGATTAACCATTCAAGATTTTAACAATAATTTAAAGCGATAAAATTCGAACAAAAGCCATTAAAGGCATCACTAAGAACGGAAACACTTAGCTGACTGCTACGTGTGACCACTTAAGCCAACATCGAGTAGATTGTATAAATATGTCAGCGTTGAATATGAACAAAATGCCGAAAAACCAAGGAACTTTTTAACTCGCCCATCCGCAATGAGAGTGTGTAATTTGATTGCCACATCTTTCAACAAATAATCAAATGATAGCTTAATGACTCATTAGATACAAGGAAAAGTACTTTTTTCTGCTTCCTAAGGATACCAGCCACATCAACAGGTAAGTAGATCCGCCAACACTCAATACGCGCCTAACAACACAGCCATAGCAACATGACAAACAAGCTTTCAAAACGGCCATAGAAAAAATACATTTATACTAAACGTTCAGGTCATCAGTCAAGTATGTAACTCTGAAGCGAAATCTTAATAAATTAAACTGAAGATATATAGCAAGAGGCTACCTTAGTTAAAATGTGCCTATTCTTGTACGAAATGAAGTCACTTATTACAACTCAGTTGTCACGAGGTTTCTTTTGGCCGCGCGCGGAAAGAATGGAACTAGTTGACTTGCTAGCTTAAAATTTTTGGCGGGAGATGTTTATATATAGGGTTATTTTTCGGTTATTTCAATTATATGGCACATAAAATCAAAATTGTTCTAATTAATTTATATTTTCATCAAACAGAACTTTTAAAATGACAGCAGACTCTCTATAACAGTTAATGCATATCGCTTTTCATCCTCAGGATATTGAAGTTTTTGTAATGTTCGTTTTAAACCAGTGACGTCGTGTATTGCATCATGGGAGCATGAATTATTACATGTTCCTTCTTACTTCAAACAGGCAGAGTTGCCTTCTTGTGAAATTTTAATAGTATTTAATCCTGGCCGAAGTATTTCCTCCGTCATCTGACGGCCTTTACGTCATCTGACGTCACTGGTAACGTAAATCGCACATGAAAAAATTTCAATACCTTGAACATGAAAAGATGTAAATGAAGCGAAATTAATGACAAAACAGAAGACAACTTCTTTCTATCTTAACCAAGTGAGGACAAGAATGAATGCTATTTTCATACAAAGCCATTAAATGTGTAATCAAATACGATTATTATAACTGAATATTTGGAAAAAATAATTTTATTGCAAATAATTTCTATTCTTTCTAATTAATTATTTTAAAGCATATGCATATTTTATCCTTTACGCTAAGCATATCAACATAACGTGACTTAATGAAACAGTTCGATCCAAATAATTAGAAAAATTAAAATATTCTAAGGTAATAATAATTATAAAATTAGATCATTAGTTCCTTCATTAGTTGGCATTATATATTTCGTGAAAACATCATATGTTTTCTGATTAATGGGGTAAATAGGGTTAGTAATAGATTCTATGGATAATTTGTTTTCAATAAATCCGTTAAATATAGTTGCCAAAGTACAAAAATTGTTCATAATTTTTGGATCGCACCATTTTTAAAGATTTTTCATAACGAAACTTGTAGCGCACACAAAAAAGAACACTATAGAACATCTAAGTGTTATGTAAAGCATAAACACTCCATAAAAATAAATAAATGTTTTTCACAATGTATTTTTTCATACTAATAGCATACACCAGTCTTCACGATTAAGATGGAAAGAAACATGGAATCTAAACAACTGGTTCCCAAGGAGTACCTCTTTGTTGTAACTTCTTGGCCGCCATAAGAATTTTTCGTTGATGGCCAATTTTAGTAACACCTATAGCGTCAAGATCCTCTTTTGTGATATCATATAGAAACTCGAGATCGTCAAATCCACTGTCGATAAATTGATCTTCGTATCTTGAAAGACCGAGAGATTGCAACCAAGATGGAACATTGTTCTATGATGAAAAAAAATTATCAGACGTCCTTATAAAGATAGCCATTTCAAATGTGAAACAGCCATTTCTTGAGAAGGAATGTAGAGAGGAAGATAAAGCAGACGGTTTTAAACTTAACGCTTGGTGAGCAAATAAATTTACTTGGATAATCTTTAAGGACTTTACTATTCGTAGTCATTTCAATCTCAGTACAATTAAAGTGAGTCTACATGCTCTCCAGCAATTATTGGTTGAAGTAAATGGTTTGAGCCCGGGAGTATCGTTACATGTTTGTGGATGTAGATCGTCCAGGTTAGTATAGTCTTGAGAAGGGCTGTTGTTATTGATGTTGACTGACGTTTCGACAACCTTAGCGGTAATCATCTTCGCAGTCAAATGAGGAGTAAACGTCAGACAACAAATACGGCTAACCTGACGTTTACTCCTCATTTGACTCTGAAGATGACTACTGCTAAGGTTGTCGAAACGTCAGTCAACGTCAACAACAACAGTCCTTCTCAGGACTATACTAACCTGGACGATCTACATCCACAAACATGTAATTACTGGTTGAAGTAAATCAATATAGTGTGCTCCATATCTAGAAGACATCTCATAGAGCAGACATGGATCCAAGATGATTAATTAGGATTGTTTAAACTACATTTCAGGGGATCTTTTAAAGTGTGGCCATACATGAAAGTTTTTGTAGTCTGAAGAGCATGGATGGAAAGAACAGAGGTGGTGTTTAAGTTAATCCGACCAAATCTGGTAAAAAAAGCATGGTCACATTGCTTCTTTGTGGGTGCCAACATGTCATGTTGGACATTTTATCGTTAATTCTGTTACTCATACACGATAATTGGGAGACTTTTTTTGAAAGTATGCTTCATTAAACCCAAGTTACAATTGCTTTTGCTTGATTGCTTGGTATGTGACTATTTTGCAAGGAAACTGTTCCCACTCGACCCAAACCCCTCCCCTACACATTACGTCATACGTGTGAATACGTAGCAAAATCAAACTTCATACCTCAAATGTGGCTGTTGATGTTGATAACTTAGCTGCCTCTGATAAAAGTCGTTTACGATGACCAGTTTTATTGATTAAAATAGCGGACAAATCCTTTAAGAAAAGAGAGTGGTTTATCATTGATAATTATAAAATAACCTTTCAAAAACACGAGCGCTCATTGGTTATTACATAGCTGTGTTAGCATTGGCTGTGCAAACCTATCAGAGCACAATAAATAAATCCATAAATCAATAAAAGAGAATTTGCAAATCAATCATGAGTACATTTTAGACGAAAAATAAAAACTCTGGTTGAAATTTGTTTGTTTCGCATTATTTTTATTTTATATGCGTAAAAGAAATAAGAAATCCTTCTGTATTTGCACTGGCTCATGCAAACCTCGGAGATGTTTGTAAAAACTCTCGAGCAGGTGCAACCCTCGACCTTCGGTCTCTGGCTTGCACTGATCTGCTCTCGAGTTCTCCCAAAGGTCTCCTCAGTTTGCTTAAGCCTGTGTAAACACAGTAAACATCTTTTACTCTTAAGTCATAACCAGAAACATCTTTTCACAAGGCTACCAAAGACTTTCCCTGAGCCTAACCCACTCAACAACCAAATCAAACAATTTTAATTAAAAGTTTTTCCATACGTTCATATTGTTCAGCATTAGAAATGAGCTCAAAAACACTGTCAGACAATAAATAATATCTTTAAGGGAAACCATTTCAATGTTTCTCAGGGGGACATGACATCACCAAATATCTGGTCGTTCTATCAACAAAGTAAACTATTAAGCCCTTAATTAACCAAGCGCGAGGTCTTTACGGAGAAATATCTGACCGAAGTTTTCTCAGTCCGATATTTCGATATTTCTCCGATATTTCTCAGTAAAGACCGAGAAAGCGAGGTTATTAAAAAGTTTATTATATGGCATTATTTGACCTGAAACGAAGCTTGCTTTCTTTCTGGTCCTTGCTGTTTTTTTACCTGTTGGCTTTCAATTTTCTAGTTTTTGTCCATAAAAATAAATCGTTTCAAATTGTATCGTCTGGATAGTTAAACTGTTTTCCAAGTGTTTTTCCTTCGACTCACATTCGTAAATGGTTTTTTGTTTTGTTTATTTTGCGTTTTGCTGTTTGCATTACGAAGTTTGTTTACATTTGACTGTAAAATTTCGCGTTTTGGACCGTGGTCGATTACGGAAAATAATGGACCGGCAAAAATGCTTCTGAGCAAATCAAAGGGCGTCAATTTGCCGGAAGTGACGCTTGCCATATAACAAAGTATGATAAGTATTTACCTCAGTTGTGACACCAGCCATGGAAGAAAGGTCGAAACCAGCCTCAGCAAAATTTTCAATGTAAGTCAATAGTTTGGACTGAGCAAGCCAATCATAAAGCTCGTTGTATTCACGCATCTGATTAAGAAAATAAAACAAAAATACCGTTGTTAATATGCTGCAATATGAGTAAATATTAATGTAATATCGTCTGTGTCCATTTTATTCATCGACATAAAGTTTATGTTTGGATCTTCAGCTTGGTTCTCATTATGTCGCTTGAGTCATCCGAGTCGTTCCGAATCTTTCCGAGTCGTTCCGAGTTGTTTTGTTGTTTTTCAAAACGTCAGGGACGACTCAAGCTATGGAATTCTCATATATTCGTACTAGCGCTGCCGAGAGACTGCTGCATTAATTTTTACGCGAAACATTTAGAAATGGCGGCTGCTGTTTATCAAAGACAAAGTCTTTTGGCTAGTTATTTGCTTCTTCAAATCGTTTTTCGCCATAAAAAGATCGCTTGCATTTCTCGACGGTCGTTTCGGTCGTCCGAATAGAGCAAAGTTCTATCCAAGCAACCATGGTCGTTTCAGTCGTGTGAGTCATTTGAGGTCATCCCGGTCGCCTCTGAAATGTTCTCATACCGTGGCAAGGGTCGTCAGTGAAATTTTGACACGAGTAAAACGACTTAGGCGAGAACCAGGCTTAAGAAACAAGTTTCAAGCACCATATGTGTTTTGGTTGAAACAAACCTTGAAATCATTCGTTTCATTGGATGGAAGTCCTGATGTGACTTGTTGAGGCACAGGTGATACGCGAAGTACTGGTACGACTCCGGAAGTAGATTCTTAAAGTTAACATACACACAATGTTGAAGTCCGCATAAACGCAGACAAGACTTTATAAGCTCAAATAAATCCTTAAATTTCCTCAACCGTTCCTACGTATCCAAAACTATCCCTATACGCAGGTCACCAAGTACTCCCTAGAAATCCTTACCTTTTCTTCAACCGTTCCTACATATCCAAAACTTTCCCTATACGCAGGTCACCAAGTACTCCCAGAGAAATCCTTACCTTTTCCTCAACTGTTCCTACGTATCCAAAACTTTCCTAAACGCAGGTCATCAAGTACTCCCCAGAAATCCTTACCTTTTCCTCAACCGTTCCTACGTATCCAGAACTATCCCTATACGCAGGTCATCAAGTACTCCCTAGAAATCCTTACCTTTTCCTCAACCGTTCCTACATATCCAAAACTTTCCCTACACGCAGGTCATCAAGTACACCCCAGAAATCCTTACCTTTTCCTCCTACGCCACACCATTTCTCCAAGTCCTAAACTTTTCTTACATCTCCTTAACTATGCGCCCAAGACCCTCAACTATGTATTTCTCCAACTCCTAAACTTTTCCCCAAATCCATCAACTTTTTCCAAAAAATCGGCGAAAAAAAACCTGCTAAATATTCTTCAATCGAATTCAATCAAAACACGACTTACCATTTTGTACAATTTCACCAGTTTTCAAATTACCGACCTCAAAATTTTCATAAGGATGACGAATGGGTTTTTCTGGTTTACATAATTCACCAATTTCCAGTTCATCAAGCTCACCAGAACTTGTGGACTTCTCCATTTTATGAATATGGCCAAGTCCTCGCATTTCAAGATTCCGTGTTTTAAGCGGAGTAAAGTTTTCGTAGAGCGGTGAGTAAAAGGAATAGGGCTGTGACGGTGGACTTTCATTGGTTGGTGGTGTATCAGGGCGCTTTACTGGATTCACCATCACATACCCTTTTCCGTCAATTCCATTTGTCCGTCTCGACATCGTCATATCTTCGTAGCCGCTTCGGGACCTGCTGATTGAAGGAGTAAGAAGCCCAGATTTGGTTGACGTTTCTTTACAAGGGGTGGTTGTGGGGGTCTTTGCGGATAGGGTCGTGAAAGACTGGGTCGTAGTGGGGTGGATTGTAACGGAGAGGGTTGTCGTAGGATGAACTGTGGTGGGCGGGGTTGCAGTGGAGTCATATAACTCCATGTTACCAGATTTAGATGGAGAATGATTGCTTGAGGTGTTCATATGTGGAGGTGTGCCATCCTCATTTGATGAGTTTTCAATCATAAATTGAGGCGGTGGAGGAAGTTCATTGACATCTGAGGAAGAAGTCGAGGTAAGACCAGGAGGAGGAGGTGGAGGAGGAGGTGGAGGCAATGGAGGTGAGGTGGACCGAACTTCCTCATTTTGAACTATAGGTTGATTAACCAACAGCTCCATAGGAGGAGGGAAAATGTCTGCTGATGTACAGAAGTGCTTTTTGTAGTTGTTTCTTCTCGTTGCTGGGAAGTGGGTAGGGGTACTGGCTTTTTGGAAAAATTAAATGATTTATTGATTGATGATGGAGACAGAACTGTTTTTGGATCACGAATGAGAGGGGCGGGTACCGTAGGTGATTTGGGGGTTGTCCCCCTCGGTGTGGTGACGTCACCACTGGGTGTGGGTGAGGATGGATTTGATTCAACAGGAGGTGAGGGTGGAGGTGGTGGAGGTGAAATAATTTTGCTTTCTGATCTTAGTGATGATCGTTTTTTATCCTTTGACGGTGAAGACCGTTCGCTTTCCGAAGTCGTGTCAACTGATGGCGTCGTGTGTTGTCGTGACTTGGAGGGTGAGTTCGGGAGATTGGACGCTGGTGAAACAGGACCAGATTTCCACTCCATTTTCGCGTCTTGTTCAAATATTCGTATTGTTTCTGCGACATTGTTTTCAAGAGTTTGTACATCATGTTTATTTTCGTTTCCAAGATCACCTTGGCATCCTTCATCAACCCTATGTATCCCATGGTGATTTCCATTATCCTTCGAATGCTGTAATCGTTTCAATCTTTGTTCCTGTTGATTCAATAACGCTCGGTTTATTTCTCTTGCTCCTCGTTGTTTTTCCCAAACACTTGATGTCCAAGTCTTGCATAACTACCGTTAACTCGTACAGATTTCCCACTATTGTTTGTTCTTTCAACAACGTTTGCAGTCTGTGGCCCATTAACATTATCCGCACTCTTCCCTACATTATCCATAGCTACCCCAGTGTCACCCTTGTTTGTATTTGGACACCAAACATCCGCGTAATCAGTCTTGCTGGCGGGAAGCGAGACAGACGGTTTTTTGTTAGGATTGTCTACTACGACTATATCCACGTAATTAAGTTTCTTTTTTTGGTCATTGTCGGCGTGGTGTTCGGATTGCAATCGGTTGACATCGTTGACGTTTGAACTTTCATCGTTGTTCGCCGCCTTTTTCCGGAAACTAGTCATGCGTGGCGCACGAGATTTTCCCGCCGCAGGTTGAGTGGCTACAAGGATGAGCAATGTCAAATTATTATTGATGGCTAAGCGATTGCACTAGAACTGGATGTAATGAAACAACAATACAGTGTGTAAAATAAAACAACACAGCGTGTAAAAACTATAATACAGTGTGAAAATAAAACAACGCAGTATGTAAAATAAAACAACACAGTGTGTAAAAAAAACAATACAGTGTGTAAAAACAACAACACAGTGTGTAAAAACAACAACACAGTGTATAAAAACAACAACACAGTGTATAAAAACAACAACACAGTGTGTAAAAACAACAACACAGTGTGTAAAAACAACAACACAGTGTGTAAAAAAAACAATACAGTATGTATCATAATCAAAACAATCAATCAGTCAAAGAGAATTTGCAAATCGATCATGAATACATTTTAGAGGAAAATTTGAAATGTTTGTCTTTTTCGCATAATTGTTATTTTATAAAAGAAAGAAAAGATGTTTTTCGCGTTTGCATTAGCTTATGCAAACCTTGGGTTTGCACTGATCTGCTCTCGAGTTCTTCCAAAGGTCTCCTCTTTGCATAAGCCTTTGTAAACACAGTAAACATCTTTTATTTCTTACATGATTTGCATAGCAGCCACTTTCACATACTAATGCCAGGTAAACTTTTATTATCAAGGTGTTTTAAAAAACGTTGCGATGAATAGTTCATTGTACAGTAAGGACCAGTTCAATAAAGTATTTGTTGAACTAAAATATGCGTGAAGGCAAAGTACAATCGAAGAGTAATCGTTCACGAAATAATGAGCAAAACAAATTACAGCTACTGCATATTGCAAAACCTAAGCATAAAATTACAGCTACTGCATATTGCAAAACCTAAGCATAAAATTACAGCTACTGCATATTGCAAAACCTAAGCATAAAATTACAGCTACTGCATATTGCAAAACCTAGGCATAAAATTCCCTTCAAATGCTTTTACGCCTCCTTGATGGATAAATTACTGCTGAGAAGTAGAAACTCAAATCGTAAAAGTGGGTTGGTTTTAAAAGTTCCAGTTTTTATACACTCTATTAAACAAAACATAGCATGAACTTACAAAGTAAAAATTCAAGTGCCAATAAAAACATAGATTAAAGTTATCTTTTCTTTTACAACTTGAATCTTTCGGTTACAGAACGATGGTATTCGGAATGTAATTCATTAAACAATTTGCAAATTATTCAGTTGGTAAAGAAATACATATTGTTGTATAATAATAAACCTACGTGGTGAAACAGTGACGATTTCAAAGGTATTTGAAACCGTTCCAGAAGTTGAGATCCTCGATGTTTCGCTTGACGAGCTCAACGAACGCGATACTGGACAAAAGTTCACAGAAACGTCAATAGAAAACTTTCATAGTTTAGAACTTTTAAAATGTAGAACAGAGAATTTTATACAAGCTAAACTTACTTGAATTTCTCTGTGGGGTACGAAGAAACTGGACACAGGACGCTGGGAAAAATCCAACTCTCTCTTTCTGAGGAGAAAAATGAACAGAAGTTCAGATCACAAGAAAACGTAATGAACTTCAGAGAAAATATATAGTGTGAAGTGCAACTTATTTGGGACCTTCTGTCCTGTTCAATATTAAAGTGCTCACAAATTAAAAAAATTAAATAAGACACAAACATTTACATGTTTGTAAATGTAGATCGTCCATGTTGGTATAGTCCTGAGAAGGACTGTTTTTGTTGTTGTTGACTACATTTGTACAGCAATAGTTGTAGTCAACAACAAAAACAGTCCTTCTCAGGACTATACCAACCTGGACGATCTACATTTACAAACATGTAACGATACTCCCGGGTTCAAACCATTTACTTTAACACAAACATTTAATTGTTTATAAACTCAGTATTTCCATAATCTGAGTCGAACCTTAGCCTATAATCACATGCTTTGTTTTTGAATTTCTGCGCTCTTATATTTCAAGAGATTGTCGAGTAAAGAGCAAGAAATGGAATTTATCGTCGTCGATTTGAGCCCCCCACCAGAAAAAAATTCAAGATGAACGTAATGGCGAAATTTTGGTATCAAATTTTCCATTATTTGGTTTCGTATCACAAATGCAGTACCTGATCATCCCTTATACAGTACCTGATCATCCCTTATACAGTACCTGATCATCCCTTATACAGTACCTGATCATCCCTTATACAGTACCTGATCATCCCTTATACAGCCTTTCCACATACCATCTTTTCTTTTCTCTAAAACCTAAAAATGAAGCAGAACGATTTTAAATGGCAAAATCCAAGATCACAGCAGTTGGAACTATTAAACAACTCACCAATACAACATCACCCATGTGTAATGTTAAAGATGAGCTATCTGTCACATTGGCGTAATCTTTCACAGCTTTTGCGTACACCACTTCAATAGAAGCTTCTAAAAACGGAATATATTGTTTATTGTTAGAACAATCGTAACAGTTATGGTTCGTACATTAATATGATGACAGGGGTGGCCCATTGAACGGAAATACATGGCACGCTACCTGTAATAGAAAACCCTAATAATATTTTGAAGCCAAATTTCACACCCAGACACGCAAGATTACACCCAGACAAGCGTGTGTACTCAATCAATTTTTACTCTGCAAGATAATCTCGAAACACTACACACGCGTGTCTGGGGTAAAATCTCGCGTGTCTGGGTGTAAAATTTGGCTTCAATTATTTGCTTCAGATAGCGTTCCATGTATTTTAGTTCAATGGGTGGTCTCAGGATGACGACAGTAGGGGCCTCAGAAATTCCGAGACACAAGTAATAAGGTTCAAGACAAGAGAACTTCTAGGTTTTCGTGTTCGAGCTCAAAAATTTGTAAACAGTAAAGAAGCAAGAGACAACAAAAAGTGAATGCATACTTTGAACTGATAAAAGTGTTTATTGTGTGACATAACGATTGGTGAAAACGTTTCTCACACAACTTTCTAAACACAATACGCTTGAGAAAAGAAACTTTGAATAGTGTTTATTGTGTGACATAACGATTGGTGAAAACGTTTCTCACACAACTTTCTAAACACAATACGCTTGAGAAAAGAAACTTTCAATAGTGTTTATTGTGTGACATAACGATTGGTGAAAACGTTTCTCACACAACTTTCTAAACACAATACGCTTGAGAAAAGAAACTTTCAATATAAAAGAAAGCTAAAATTTGGAACACACGTACGCATCTTGAAGTAAAATCAAGCTTTCTCAGTTCGTACATGTATAAACATGTTTACCAAAAAGACAACCATCCCGCTATATTTTTAGTTCAATGGTGCAAACACATACAGCCACCATTTCAAAAGTTTCATCTAAAGAACTGTTAATCAAAAGTTTTGATTTCTTTCAAGCTAATTACGTTGAAAACCTTTAAAGAAACCAGCTGTATGTGTTTGTAAATGTATTTCTTAACATTACTAAGTAAATACCTCGCAACAAATGTTTGATTTCCGATGAAGCACCGGATTTCGTAAATCGTGTTACCATTTCTAAGGCTGTATGTCCTTCTCTGTTCTTTAGGTTAGCATCAATACCTGCCTGAAAAATAAAATAGAAAAAGTTCTTTAAACAAATGTTCCTCATCTGCAGACAACCACACAAACTAACAAAGTTTTCACGACATTACAACGGTGTCATCTCACACCACAGTTGAACACTAGTTATGTCATCTCACACCACAGTTGAACACTAGTTATCTCATCTCACACCACAGTTGAACACTAGTTATCTCATCTCACACCACAGTTGAACACTAGTTATGTCATCTCACACCACAGTTGAACACTAGTTATGTCATCTCACACCACAGTTGAACACTAGTTATGTCATCTCACACCACAGTTGAGCACTAGTTATCTCATCTCACACCACAGTTGAACACTAGTTATGTCATCTCACACCACAGTTGAACACTAGTTATCTCATCTCACACCACAGTTGAACACTAGTTATCTCATCTCACACCACAGTTGAACACTAGTTATCTCATCTCACACCACAGTTGAACACTAGTTATCTCATCTCACACCACAGTTGAACACTAGTTATCTCATCTCACACCACAGTTGAACACTAGTTATCTCATCTCACACCACAGTTGAACACTAGTTACTTCATACCAGAATACCAGAGTGGAAAACAAACTCACTTCAATCAGATATTTGCAAACATCAGTTTTCCCATACAATGCAGCTTCATGAAGGCAAGTACCAGTAGGTCCTCTCTGATTAATATCTGCTCCACACTCCACAAGAAGTCTATACAAAAACAGCAATTATTTAAACAATATACATACTTGAATTTGTTGTTTACAACAAGCAGAATAGTGCAATAGTGGTTTCAAATAAAAACCTACATATCACGAAAATATAAATTGAGTCAATTCTAAAGAATGTATTGGATACACATATAAAGGAAAATATACTATATATATATATATATATATATAAAAGAAAAATTTCTGTTATGGCAATCTTTACAGCGTCACTATTTAATACAGTCAAACCTTTTTAAGAGGACACTCTTGGGGAACGGACTAGTGTCCGCTTAATAGAGGTATCTGCATAATATCTGTTTCATAATTACAAATTAGCTATATGGGATTAGATTTGGGACTTTACGAAGTGTCCTCTTAATACAGGTTTGACCAGTGCTGTAGAAGTGGGGCACTTGGGGAGCAGCCCCTTCTACCTTTGAAATGGGTAATTTTTCATAATTTCATGGCTTCAGCTTTGTCAAGAGAGCCCCCCCATCTGATAAATTTAGTTCTACAGCAGTGGGTTTTACAGTAGATAAAAGTTTTCTTTGTCTTGGAGGTTTACATTTATGCCTTGAATGTAAAAATTACAAACCTAACAACATCAAAATGTCCAGTTTTTGCAGCCATATGCAAAGGGGATGCTTTTTCTTGAAACTCTTTTGGATTCAATAGCTTTTCACATTTCCCTTTACTGTTGTTGAGTAGTATCCTCACAACCTAAAGAAGTGAAATCATTGCATTTGACTCAGAGTCTTGGATAGGATAATGGCTTTGCATTATAGAACAATGAGAAACCAATGCCTTTTTGTGTAACATAAAGTTGTCTGATCCAACTCACTTATGGAGGTAAACATAGAATAAATACAATACATGTATTGACAGAAATAAAATTGCAACTTTATTTCTTTATCTTTATTTTATCTCTACGCAACAAGACAATAAAGTACAAAGTATTGCTGTGTTGTAAGGTAAGAATATTTTAATGCAGACAAAACTGGATAATAGAAAGGACTTTATCCATTTCCACTTAGTTTATTAAATACCCGTCACGAAATGACAGTAGCATAACATTGAGTCAGCACTGGAAAAGGATCATTAGTTCCCAGGCTTATGCTAATGATTATGATTCTCTAGATAAAGGTTCAAGATAGAGCTTAGTCTTACAATGATGAACACAGCACACATACATACCTCTAAATGTCCAAAGCGACATGCTAAATCTAAGGCTGTCTCTAGAGCTTAGTCTTACAATGATGAACACAGCACACATACATACCTCTAAATGTCCAAAGCGACATGCTAAATCTAAGGCTGTCTCTAGAACTTAGTCTTACAATGATGAACACAGCACACATACATACCTCTAAATGTCCATAGCGACATGCTAAATCTAAGGCTGTCTCTAGAACTTAGTCTTACAATGATGAACACAACACACATACATACCTCTAAATGTCCATAGCGACATGCTAAATCTAAGGCTGTCTCTAGAACTTAGTCTTACAATGATGAACACAACACACATACATACCTCTAAATGTCCAAAGCGACATGCTAAATCTAAGGCTGTCTCTAGAGCTTAGTCTTACAATGATGAACACAGCACACATACATACCTCTAAATGTCCAAAGCGACATGCTAAATCTAAGGTTGTCTCTAGAGCTTAGTCTTACAATGATGAACACAGCACACATACATACCTCTAAATGTCCATAGCGACATGCTAAATCTAAGGCTGTCTCTAGAGCTTAGTCTTACAATGATGAACACAACACACATACATACCTCTAAATGTCCAAAGCGACATGCTAAATCTAAGGCTGTCTCTAGAGCTTAGTCTTACAATGATGAACACAGCACACATACATACCTCTAAATGTCCAAAGCGAAATGCTAAATCTAAGGCTGTCTCTAGAGCTTAGTCTTACAATGATGAACGCAGCACAAATACATACCTCTAAATGTCCAAAGCGACATGCTAAATCTAAGGCTGTCTCTCCTCGATTATTCACAACTGTTGGATCACAATCATGATCAACAAGACGTTCAACCTGGCAAAAATTAAAACAGTTAAATTTAAGCAGTGCTTGATGGATAACATGAATGGGTATCATGATGCTGTCATTTCATGATGTAAGGATAGCAGAATGGTATCTGGACTTTCATGTGTAGCCACCCCCCAGAAAGTAATCCCCCTGAAAGTACTCACCCCCGAAAGTTACCACTCCTGAAAGTAACCACCCCCTGAAAGTAACCACCCCCTGAAAGTAACCACCCCTGAAAGTATCCACCCCTGAAAGTAACCACCTCCTAAAAGTAACCACCTCCTGAAAGTAACCACCCCTGAAAGTAACCACCCTCCAGAGAGTAACCATCCTCAGGAAAGTAACTACCCCCAGGAAAGTAACCACCCCCAGGAAAGTAACCATCCTCAGGAAAGTAACCACCCCCTGAAAGTAACCACCCCTGAAAGTAACCACCTCCTAAAAGTAACCACCTCCTGAAAGTAACCACCCCCAGAAAGTAACCACCCCCCAGAGAGTAACCACCCTCAGGAAAGTAACTACCCCCAGGAAAGTAACCACCCCAGGAAAGTAACCATCCTCAGGAAAGTAACCACCCCAGGAAAGTAACCACCCCTGAGAGTAACCACCCCTGAAAGTAACCACCCCTGAAAGTAACCACCCCAGAAAGTAACCACCCCCAGAAAGTAACCACCCTCAGGAGAGTAACCACCCCCAGGAAAGTAACCACCCCAGGAAAGTAACTACCCCCAGGAAAGTAACCATCCCCAGGAAAGTAACCACCCCCTAAAAGTAACCACCTCCAGAAAGTAACCACCCCCAGAAAGTAGCCACCGGCAGGAAAGTAACCACCCCCAGGAAAGTAACCATCCCCAGGAAAGTAACCACACCAGAAAGAAGCCACCTTATTTAACACATACTAGAGAATAGTGAAAGCAAAAAGCATGCACCTTCAAAAGAAGTGACCACACTCTTTTGAAGAACTTTTAAAAGCTTTACCCCATTTAAAATTTCATAAAAATAAAACATTGATGTACGTTTGTATCAACTACCAAGACCTTATACAACTTTAAACACATTGAAAAACACCATTTATCAAGCATTTATAATCATTGTAGTTTAACCAATGCTGAAGACAACAACTCAAACAGCGCCTTTCAAAATTTAACACCCATTGATAAAGATTATCACATGAGAGCACTCATATTGAAAGTAGTGTCAGGCAGCTAATTTCGAGAACTTAGGTTATTTGAAGACGACTATAGTGTATATATGTAAATATAAAAAGCAATTCTCACCACTCCATAGTTGCCATGTTCTGAAGCAAGATGAAGAGGCGTAGCACCATTCTTTGAGCACAGATTTGTTTGAGCACCCGCATCCAAAAGAAGAAGTGTTGGTTCAACTTTACCTGCCCACGCAGCCAGATGAAGAGGTGACATACCTAAAATCAAGTTCAAAAGATTCAGTGTTAATCAACTATGAAGTATACAGTACCTAAAAGATTTAAATAATCAATTGTCAGACCTTTCTTATCTTTAGCATTAACATCTGTATTGAACTCCAACAATGCCATAACAATCTCACCGTTGCCACTGAGGGCAGCATGATGCAAGGGAATGAATCTTAAGTGAATAAAATACCAAGTTTGATGTAAGGGAATGAATCTTAAGTGAATAAAATACTAAGTTTGATGTAAGGGAATGAATCTTAAGTGAATAAAATACCAAGTTTGATCTAAGGGAATGAATCTTAAGTGAATAAAATACTAAGTTTGATCTAAGGGAATGAATCTTAAGTGAATAAAATACCAAGTTTGATGTAAGGGAATGAATCTTAAGTGAATAAAATACCAAGTTTGATGTAGGGGAATGAATCTTAAGTAAATAAAATACCAAGTTTGATGTAGGGAATGAATCTTAAGTGAATAAAATACCAAGTTTGATGTAGGGGAATGAATCTTAAGTGAATAAAATACCAAGTTTGATGTAAGGGAATGAATCTTAAGTGAATAAAATACCAAGTTTGATGTAAGGGAATGAATCTTAAATGAATAAAATACAAAGTTCGTAGCTTGGATTTTTTATTCCAATTGAATGTAGTCACTATAGGACTGAACGTTTGAAGTTAAAAATCAAGTCAGCAAGGTTTTGTTTTGGTGGGGGGAGGGCAAATAAAAAAATGCTTTTACATTTTATACTTCATCATTAATTTCTATATATTTAATATTATACAAATAAGACTAAACTTGAAAATATCATGAAGAGGCCTGAAGGGAGAATTGCCAACCTGCCCTTGCCTACCCCCTCTGATAGCAAATTACTTGATAAACTGCCAAATACAAAATTCCATTTTTTTAGCAACACTTGTATTATGATATATCGTGATTTTGGAGATCTTTTTACTGAATGACAAAAAATTGAAAGTACTGCCAACGTGAAATGCTTTAGTACATAGGAATTTGACCACAAGTACATTTAATGTGATTACTTAGGCAGGTCATTATGACATTCACAAGATCACAATTTTTTTAAAAAATCAAAGAGGCATCATCACAAGGTCTTAATATGATTTGAAATACTTTCTAAAAAGGCTTTTAGGTACAAAATACTTTGCAGAACTAACCCATCGTGATCAACTATATGTAGCGAAATTTTCTTGGTCGCTCTTTCTACAAAACAAATTAGGCAAAATCAGTTCAATGATGAAAAAACAAATAAGGTGTACTTGGCAGCTAGTAGATTCAATATGAGATTTCCAAATAAAGTTATAAAGGATATCGCGCGAATACTTCAAACTGAAAGACGAAAATATAACACCTCGTGTGAGAAAGAAAAATAAAGTTGAAGTAGAAAGTCATTTTCTTCATGGTTATGTTTTATTTCAAATTTTATGGAAGCGACGATTACAAACGATTAAAATTCTTTTAATAATCCTTCAAAATTTTAAGTCTAAATTTGGTATTTCCGCTCAAAAAGAAAACATTTCACACACAGATACAAAGACTTAGGATTTAACCTCTTACTATTACGAACAGTTAGCGTCATTAAGGGAGGTAATTTTGCACTTTCTGACAGCCTGTTGATAGATTATACGCCAGTGACACTCAGAAATGAAATATGAACAGTTTCTTTTGATTAAATCGTGATTATTTTGCCATATGAAGGCTTTCCACATGTCTCGCGTATTGTGTAGTATAGCACTCAAATTAAGCCACAAAAACACAGTACTCCAACAAAACCATGAACTACATTAATTAAATTGATCACCAAGAAAAACGCTTTCAAACAGCTGAATGCTTCAGATTTCAAAAACAAACGATGCAGTCATAAAAGTAAACATTTTCGACGTGTTTAAAGATTTATTATGCATTAAACGACTCTAAAAGGTCGACGATCGCCAGATTTGTTGATCTGTCTTCAGAGACACATGTTTACGAAGCAGAACGCTCAACGTGTATCAAAATGAACTCGCTGAAAACGTTTCATTATTTTGCAAATACTTTAATGTTTACTCATCGCATGAGACTAAATACAAGTGTTTGCATCTTCGTTAAAACACAATGCTCCTTGCGGTAAAAACAAGGACAGGACAACTTCAATCATCAAAATGACGCACGTTATAACTTACTCGTTTTCGACTTGAATTTCGCGATGATTTTGCGAAATGACTCCACGTCATTCGTTCTTATGGCTTGCACTAAATCTTGCTCTTTCCCCATCGCTTCTCATCCCCAAAATAGCTAATGTTTCGTCCAGACAGATAGCTGTCTAAATAATGATCATAATCACAGACGTTCGTTATCTAATCCTTTTCGCTCCGGCTTAACTCAACAATTGACAGCATAGCTCACAATTATCTGTGTATTGCAAGATTTATTCGCGTTTACGAAGCAACACTCTTGATAAAGCTGCTTTTTGAAGCTCATATGCTTCGCAAACAGTTGTCAAAATAAAAATATAATCTAAAAATTATCAGCACCGTCTACATGGTTTGCATATCACAGGACTGCTTGAGTGCCTCGAGTAATTGATTGCTTCCATTTGTGTACAGCTTCATTTCAATAGGCTAATTTAAAGATTAAGTAATTACTGTGGAAAACAATATTTATCAATAATGTTTCGATTGATTTGATTTATTTTTCATTGTTTTCGCCGACCAAGATATGCTAATCACTAATAAATTCAATATGAAGCGTATAGCTCTTATTGCAATTCTAAAGTATTTTCTTGGTTATTTATTTGTGAGAGATTTTATTTGGATAATTATGCTGTTTATTCTTTTCTTGTAGTCTGATTCATGGATTCGTATCACTCGTTTTCTGAAAAGTGGAAGCATCCGTTTGATTTTAGTCGCATTTCATGCAAATCACTAATCGCGAGTCGCGCGAGTCTCACAGGGAGTTACCGCTGACCCTAACATCAGCGCAATCTATCAGAAATATTTTTATGTGACGCATATCCTGTTACGCAGTCATCATATAACTAGCGACTGTCAATCAATTGCATTTTTGACCAATGGAAATGCTGAACTAGCTAACCGCAACGAGTAATACTCAAGACAGAGTTGCACATCTTACAGCATTTAAAGGGGATCAAATATTTGTGTTTACGACGTCATTCGGATCCGAAAGTTCCAAACAAGTTGTCACAGGAACTGGGTGTGATCCGTTTGAATATTTTTTTTCAGGATGTCAAAAGAAAAACAAAGCAAACAACAGCAACATATCCTATTACAAAAACGATAAAAACATGCTTCTTCGCGGGGATTTCGGAAGCTTTTTAATAAATTTGAGGGTGATATCTGTTCACTAAGTGATGATACGAGCTGCTTGGTATCAGTTATTTTGAGTCGGTTTTTCTTCTTTCGACTTTTTGACCGCATCATATCAGAGCGAAATGAAAGGTCTGCTCAATAATTTGAAAAATTTAAACATTTGCAAAAACTTTGAATTCAATGTTTCATTTACGTTTAAGCAAGAAGGAAAATTTACAGATGTCGTTCCGATAGGTGACACCATAATCCAAGTTGCCATAGGTTACAAAGCTTCCACTTCATTGAGATTCAAAAAGAAAGCATTAGCATTGGCATTCTTTGGCTTTAGTTTGCTACACACACAAAGAACATTTTATTGTCACATGTGAAAAAAAATTTACCAATTTAAATGACTTCCTTTCACAGTTGTTTATCTGTAATACATGTATCATGTTTCAAAGGTCAAAGGTCAATATCTTGATTCGGGAAGGTAAATACAAAATCACATGAAAACGAAAGGAGAGATGACACTGCAAACTTCGACAAAAGGAATTTAGAATGCTTGCAACAGAAGAATGGGCTCTGCCTTACACGGCGACATGGAGCGCGTTTACTAATTTCACTGTTACGGCCTCGCATCCGAATCAAACAGTTCATGACGGCGCTAATGTAATCACAACAACTGTTGGCGGCTGTTTGTCTATGATGGGAGTCATTTTTATCACTGTGTCATACTTTAAACTGGTTGAATATCGAGCTGGTGGCACAACTGCCCAGACTATACTGCTATACATATCTTTTGGTAGCTATTGCTTCAGCATATATTCAAGTTTTGATGATTGAACGACAGGGAACAATAACAGTCTTTGTACTGTATAAAATATGTCAGAAATAAGACAACGTGTGTCAGTGTAGGTAGTGATGAATGAACAACAGAGAACAAGAACAGTCTTTACACTGACTAAAATATATAAGTAATAAGATAACTTGTGTTAATGTAGGTAGTGATGAATGAACAACAGAGAACAAGAACAGTCTTTACACTATGTAAAATATATAAGAAATAAGATAACGTGTGTCAGTGTAGGTAGTGATTAATGAACAACAGAGAACAAAAACAGTCTTTAAACTAACTAAAATATTGAAATAAGATAATGTGTGTCAATGTAGGTTGTGATAAATGTACAGCAGAGAACAAAAACAGTCTTTACACTAAATAAAATATATAAGAAATAAGATAACGTGTGTCAGTGTAGGTAATAATGAACAAACAACAGAGAACGAAAGATTTTGGATAATCTAAGGACCATTCTTGTTCTCTGTTGTCCAAACAGCACATTAACAATCATTATAATCTTTCTTTAGCTGATTTTTTAGCAGCTTCTTCAAACGTGACTAGTGTATGGTTCCCACAAGAAGCACCACCAGGCTGCAAGGCCAGTGCTTTTGTCATTATTTTCGCCAGCACATCATCGTTCTTATGGACATCGTGTTTGGCACTACACTTGTACCTCATCATTATGGATAAAAACAATATCACTGCACGACGATACAAAATGCTGATATTTCATTTAATTAGTTGGAGTATCCCACTTGTCCTTGCGAGCATCGCCTTGGGCAGTGATGCTCTTGGTCCTTCGCCGATCTTCAGCAAAAGCGAATCTAACGTAAAGTTGACCACAGGTGGATGGTGCTGGATAAGAGACTTTCACGATAAGTCAAAGACAATTGCTTGGACGATGATGACGTCAAAAGTCTGGGAACTGGCGTCGTATTGCCTTATCACATTTCTTTGCTGTGCAATACTGATTCAGCTTAGACGTAATGTAAGATTCGCTTTAATCATATTTGATTCAGCTTAGACGTAATGTAAGATTCACTTTAATCATATTTGATTCAGCTTAGACGTAATGTAAGATTCACTTTAATCATATTTGATTCAGCTTAGACGTAATGTAAGATTCACGTTAATCATATTTAGGCTAACTTTACTTAAGTAGCGTCCGTTGTAGAACTTATATTGCCAAATGTCTGCAACGATGGCTAAAAGCAACGTGTTAGCTAGCTCTATAATTGGGGGAAGGCAATATTCATATATTCATCAATGTTCTGCTGCATTAAGTTCTTTTGAAATGCATGATTTATTATTCCCCTCCAAAAAAGTTATCGAGGCTAATAAAGACTGTATGTCTTAGCTGGGCTATACATGGTATCCTTAACTCTTCCTTTCATCCCCACCCCACCCCACCCCCCACAGAAAAACACAAAAAATGCTTATAAATTGTCCTTTGAAAAACTTTAGATTAGAACAGCATGTTCTGTGAGTGACGAAACGCTAGTCGAGGCAAGGAAACTCGAGAAACGCATGATGTTCATTCCAGTCGCGTTTATCCTCCTCAGAATATGGGGTACAGTGAGGTACTTTGCGTACACTAGTAAATTACCAATCCGTGAAGATATTCTACACAACAGGGCACTGTATGCAATGCAGGTATGTCAAACATTGTTATTGGGACGTGGTTAGTGTAAGGGGGGGACGGGGTTAATGTTCGACTTAAGGGGCGGGAATTTCTTGAAAATTTTTGGATAAATGGTCGAAATGTGTGTGAATTTTATTTTTTATCTTTCGTAGTTTCAATTTAGTTGCCAACATGAAAAAAGTCTTTGCTCTGTAAGAACCGTGCTTCTATACAAAATTTATAATACAGCAATAATGTTGCCGAATAAAGAATGATCTGAATTTTCAAAATTTTTCATGATTTTGCCTTTCCTACCTTAAAAAAACATTTCTACGTTCCTGCGTTGTGTTACGTATGTGTTGTTTATTTTGTATTGCATCTTTTATCTGTATTTTAAAATCATTAGGGACTCGGGGATAGCAGTCAAGGTTTTGCAAACAGTTTATTCTTCTGTTTATCCAACAAACGCGTGTATGAATATTGGAAGTTTGTACTGTCCGATATCCTGCCTGACTTTTTGTGTTACACGGATAGCTGGGAATCAACCAACGAGAGAACTCCCATTCTTTATAATCTAAACACCGAAGAAAAAAGAAATGAAGAGCAAAAAAGCAACTCAATAGTATGAAGTGAACGAATACAGCATGGATTTGTCGAAGCTACCCTCAAACTTCAAGCACAAGTCATTTAGCGCCAGCATTTTATCGAATTCTTCTTCTAACGTAGTTTTAAACTGTTTTTCACAATTTACATGGATTTCGAAAGCAGTCTAATCGAGCATTATAGGGAAAATATATTACATCGACTCATTAACTGGTTAGATTTTATTCATTTTAATTTCATAGCCAATGGCATAAAGGTATTTTGAATGAAGAATTAGCAGTTTTGATATATTTTGCTTTACTTTGGGTCCGCTACTATTTTATGAAAGTAAAACAAAGTCATTGCAGCTGGTCAACATTCGCAAGCGATTGTTGAACTTTGCGGATAATAAACGATTGTTTGTTGTTGAATATTGCAAAACCATTGTTGAAAATGTCAGACTATATCACCTGTTCTCATACCTACCAAGTATGACGTAGTAATGATGATGCACCTTTAACGTCCATTTACTTCAAAAATAATAAATGCTTATAACGAGTCTTCATTCGACTAAAACACATACACATTTTTAGCTAAGCTCTAAGCACTACCATTTTAATTTGGAAAAAAAACTCTTCATACTTTTATTTCACGAATAAAGATTGCAATTATCCGAAAATTTTATCAAATTCTTCTGGTTAGAATATGGTAGGAAAATTTATCAAACTGTTAGCTACAACCGTATATTATGTACGTCGCCACCATGTAGCAAAGCCAGCCCGTTTTTTATTTCTATAATACAAATATTTTTGTGTTTATTCACTGGGAACACATTGAATAGGATTAATTTTCTAAAGAAATGAACAATAATTTTGACGAAACATTTGCATTATAAGAGTAAAAAATTGGGCTGACTTTGCCACTGGCAACAATTACAACATTGATGTAAAATTTGTATTCAAGTTCAGTATTTTCTCCATGCAGTGAAATGAGAAATATCGATATTATATTTTGATTAAATAGCGCGCGACAATCGGTACACAGAACAATACATCACAACAACGAAACCTCCACATTCGTATTTAAATGCACAACAGTCAGCACCTGGATTGCAACAGACTTTTCCCATTTATTGAAATAAATCTTTGCGGTGTTACGTGTATATTCATTTAGGCATCCCATTAAAATAAGACGATTGATAGCTTTGTATTCTTTTACTGCTCGGCAAACAGATTACTTTAAAGACATAAACAATAGATGCATAAATTAACCTCTATCTTAATTACTTGTGCAATCCTTTGATGACAATTTTGACGAGTTTTGAAGAAAGAAAGCAAAGCTATTTAGCCCAAGACAAACAACGCGGACACGAGAAAATCTGATGTAGACTCGAGTTGCAAAAACACTGCACAAATCAACTGTAACTTTACCTCATGAATCGACAACGAAAAAAGGCAATTGCCCATCCGACTGTTAACGCTTCTTCGCTCAATCAAAACAATTTTCTTCGTAGTTTTTATTCAAGTGATAAAGCAGAAGACGACTTCTTCATGCAGCCGCAAATGAGGAAAAATAAAAACAATATTAATAAATATGGGCAAAGACGATGTTCGGTCAACAATATGACACTGACAGTCGATCCTGAAAGACGTAGGAAACACTCGTTTCAAATTGGTGCATTTCGTGGCAACCGAGCGAGAACACAGCAGCCGATTGAAGATCATTTTACTGTCATTTTAGGAGCGCCGAGTGTAGGAAAAACAGGTATAAGAATATAAAATCTGACTACGGTTTTCATTGCATAAAAGTCGTATTATATAATGCATATTTAGGAGTAGCTATACTAAGGTTTCTTTCACAAAAGTTTCAAGTAAAAAGTTTGGGGCAGCGAAAGCAAAGAATTATTCTGAATCTTAATTGAACTATTGTTTAGAGAAGAGAAAATTAGAATGTTGAACACATTGTAGCTTGAGTTTTGAAGCAAAAGCTGATTTTTGTCATTTCTTTTGGATGAGCAATTTAGAAAGAAAGTAAAGTCTAGGTTTCTTCTCGTAAAGAATAACAGATGATTTTCTTTCGATATTTACGAAGAAATGTTAAGGGTTATTGAAGAGCTATACTGTATACATGTCATATTTAAACCAAACAACCATTAAGGAAAAAACATGATAAATTGATAATCTATGAGGATTATCCTAGACGCATGCTTTTAAAGTTGACATCTAGGCAAAAGACTGACTGCATTAACTAATAACTATTTTCTCACGGTTAAAGACTTTATCTTTGATAAGACGCACTATTTAAGAGATTAAAAAGCTTAAAGATGGAAAATCATTGTGTTAAACAAAACGTTGAAAGAAATTCAAACAGAGCAAATTTATATGTTTGTAGATGTTGATAGTCCTGAGAAGAACTGCTTTTGTTGTTGTTGACTGACGTTTTCACAACCTTAGCGGTAATCATCTTCAGAGTCAAATAAGGAATAAACGTCAGGTTAGCCGTATTTGTTAGCCGTACCTGACGTTTACTCCTTATTTGACTCTGAAGATGACTACCGCTAAGGTTGTCGAAACGTCAGTCAACAACAACAAAAACAGTCCTTCTCAGGACTATACTAACCTGGACGGTCTACATCTACAAACATGTAACGATACTCCCTGGCTCAAACCATTTACTTTAGAGCAAATTTATGTTTTTATGTTTTGATTTCAACATTAACAAAGAATTTTTTAATTTTTCCAAGCTTTGGTTGTTCGTTATGTAACAGGAAGGTTCGTCCACGAGTACGATCCAACATTAGGTATGATACAGTTTCTTCTTGAAATAAACTGAAGATTTTTGTTAATCTGAAGGTTTTATTATCGAAAGTTTACAGCATGGTCCAAAGATTGATAATCTGATGGCGTTTTTATCTGGAGGTTTAATAATGAGAAATTAAAATCTTATGGTTATAATTAACATGATCCAAAGGTTTCTTAATCTGATGTTTTTAATCCGATATCCTTTAATTTCAAGGTTTAAAATATCGAAGTTTTACAACCTGTAAAATTGTTATCGTTGCTTCATTTCTTGCCTTTCAACGCCGACAGTATAGTATTTTTGAAGGTTTCTCATCAGTAGATCTGCTCATATAGATCTTTACAAATTTTCACAGAAAGGATCTATGAAAAACAACAAGAAATCGGAAATGTGAAAGGACTATTGCGAATCATGGACACCGCTGGATCGGTAAGTATTATTCCAAATTTGTAAACGAGTGTACACAATCACAGAAACCGCGGAAGAGGATAACTGGGGGGAGGCGGGGGCGAGATGGTATTATTCACATTGCATGTGCTATTTTAATGGTTAGGAGTATCGTTATATGTTTGTAGATGTAGATGGTTCTGGTTGGTAAACACTGGAGAACGACTGTTGATGCTGATGTCGAACAACCTTAGCGGTGGTAGTCATCTTTGTCACCTTAGATGTAGAACCGCTTGTCGAAAGGTTGTCGAAACGCCAGTCGACATCAACATCAACTGTCCTTATCAGGACTCCACTAACCGCATCTACATCTGTAAACATGTTCTACTTTAGTAGTTTCTATTGAAATTAATTTTGTTGCGGATTGCAATTGATGAATGTAAATGAAAATACGAAAATGAGCTCCCCCCTGAAAATAAGGAAACGAGCTCCCCCCCATACTAATTATCGAGCTTCCTCGGTCCCAGCATTGTCCCTTCAAGGACATAGGTATCACGCACATTGACTTTATGTACAATATTCATCATTAAGTTACAAATGCCTTCTAGATTGAAAACTGCAACAGTTACGTAAGAAAAGCCGAGGGAATTGTAGTTGTTTACTCGATAACAGATCGAAATAGCTTCGAAGTCGCTAAAGATTACCTGAACACGACGAAAGAGTATCAAAGACTCGGAACTCCTTTCGATTACAAGCTACCGACGATTCTGGTCGGCAACAAACGTGAGCTCCGAAGAGCTCGCGAAGTGGGCCGATATGAAGGTCGAGAGACAGCAAAAAAACTAGGATGTTTGTTCATCGAATCTTCGGCAGCTTACGACAGAAATGTACAGAAGATTTTTTTAAACATGTTTTTACAAATCCAACAAATCAAGCAAGAAAGACAAACGACAATTGTAAATAATGCTGGAGGATTTGTTAACACTGTGAAAAATTTTTTCCAAACAAAAAAGAAATAGATACTCAAGCGCAAACTCTGTCCGCGGTAGGATTAGAAAAGATATTCATTGATTTTAAATATGGACATCACACACATTGAAGCACATCAGCAAAATTTTACATCAAATCATTTAAGTAGTTTCATGATCATGGGACTGTATGGGTGTATGGGGGTGTGTTGGGAATGCTTATGGGGGTGTGTTGGGAATAATTGTGTGGGTGTGAGACCCACAAATTTTGTGAAATATGTCAAGAAAGTCGATAGATAACGAAATAACGATCAAACTAAAATGATAAACTTTCCTGTCTAATGAGTCCTGCGCAAAAGTCAGTCTCAAATCACAGAACCTCGAATCGGTTTTTTCTTGCTAAAGAGGGCGCTGGATGAGAGCCATTTTCCTAACAAAATACTGAAATACCAAGCTTATGATCTTTGTTCTATCACAATTAAGCACAGACATGTAAGCACAGACACGTCCAAATTCCCAATCATAACAAACAAATCACGGCAACAAGTTGCCACCGAAATCTCATTCGTGCTTAGACTCGCCCCCACTCCCCACACACAAAACATTGTGGATACATTTCTGGCATAGACTTACCATTATGCAAATAGTTTGATGTTGATTGGCTGTAAAACCAATCAAATTTTCGGGGCCTGTCATCAATACAATACATACCGTTAAATTTCTATCATAATATACAACGGTAAACATTAATCAATGAAACTTAGTCCGCGAGCTGGTTTTACCACAACAAAAAACAATATTCATTTACTTGAACAAAGAACAGTGTCCATATTAAGATATATAAACTAAAACAAATACATTTCTTGCTGTATTACAAATAAAATCTATCGCCGATATTGAGCATTACACAATATGCAGGAATTGTTTGTCACCTGGACGCAGATACAGGGGTTCATATGAACGATATGAACTGTGATTGCACGTAAGAAAAAAAAGGTTTTAAATAATAGTGCGATATTTCTGGCACATCAATGGAATGAAATTTTCCCTTTTCTTTCTAAGTATTCGAAATACTGAAGTATACGTGGGCAGCCGAGATAGTTTGACAATCGTTTTACGTACAATACATTGTTTAAAGTCAATCGTTATAAACAGAAAATCTGTATGCCTTGCCCTAACTTTGCAGTTCAACTTTACTATGACTATATTACAAAATGTTTTGGAGTTCGCAGGCCTTCATCAAAAGCTCGCAACTGAATTCTCAAATCAACGAAAAGTTACTTTAAAACTTTCTTTTAAGTTAATGTTCGGCACGAAATATCTTTATGCATATAACTGAAATTAAAATCCTAATAATAACTTCATATTTCGCAACTTCACAAACTTGACACAAAAAAAAGCCGTCTCCTGTTCTATAAGCATATCAAGTATTCCTCTTAACTCAATATCAATGATTGCGCTTCGAAAGTGTTTCAAGAAGCATCAAACGAAGTTTGTGGTCAAGATTCAAGAGCTCATGCAGACTAATTACTCCGACGAAGAAGAAAAGAAAGTTTAAATTACCAACCTTGAATGACGTTGCGCATTTCCTTAGCATAAGAGCAGACGGCTGTTCCCCCACTTGGCATCGCTACTGGGGTTCGATAGGAACAGAAATCAATAAGCAGATAACTCAATTGACTATATACAGTAGAATGACGTCGCCTTATGAAATACAGTGAAGATTTTGAATATTTATACGACATTTAATAGATTGTTCCACCCCCTTTCCGCTACAACACTTAAGCCCCAATATGAATTGCACAGATATGAATCGATGGAATATAATGGTCCAGTCATAAGTTTGCATGTTTATCAGTAGTGAGTTAAGACAGTCTAATCATGAAGCAGAAAAGCAGCCATTTGAGATCAAATGTATATTTAATACAATTAAGGATTAAATAACTTTACCTGTTAAGCATGCCTAAGTGTTATTTGCCTCGCCTAATTTCGAGCTAATAAATACAAACATCTCTTGGCTGCATAAGGCACTTATATTTTTCTTATGATCAAGATTTCCGCCTTGTTCATCAGTTGCAAACATAATTTTTCTTGTATACGCGACGGATGTTTAAATGATAAGACAGAGAAAACGTTATTTTGAGGTATCATCTAGAATGTCAAAATCGTCAGTAAATAGAAAGTTTAAGAATATTCCTTAGTTCATCTTAATGTCGTGTTTTTTTTTAACTTGTTTACTCCGAATGACTCAAAACGCAAAGCGACAGTATTAGATATCCACAGGGCATCTAACAACTAAATTAAGTAGTGCAAAGTCTCTTAATCTCGAGCCTGTTACACGAAGGCTAAATAGCGCTATTTACTGAATAGAATTATAGTCGATCACTTCAAAAATCTATGGAAAAGGAAAAATCTACAATTTCAACGGAACAATGAATGAAATAAAATATTGGTTTTAGAATTACAAAGTTTCATTGCAGTAAAGAAAATATAAACAACTTCTTTCATGAGTTTGAAAACATTACTATCCAAGGAATGACGCTAACCATGCTTTGTGCAGCGGCCTGACGGCTTACAATGCCTTGCTGTACAACATAGAAGTAATTTTGAGGAAGCTTTTTAAAACAGCGCCACTCGATTGAAGATGAAATGTTTGCCACTGAAATAATAGTTGTCTACAAAAAGTTTTCAGGAGCGCAGCGAAAGTGTTGGAATTACAACAAGTTTCTAGCAAGCAAGCAATTTCTCTTTACACAAGACCATCAGAAGTAAGCCAATATTGATGAAGGGAAAGGGGAAGGAGGGGGGAAGGGAAGGGGCAGGATTGAAAGCATAGGTACTTTGAAGGAACTTTTTTCAATGTCGAATTATATGACGATTGGAGGTTTCTCACTTTCATGAACTGATATATCCCAACTGCCTTTCGTTAGCTAACTTTTTCTTCTTTTGAGTCGTTTATTTACACAAATGCAAATAATTAACGTCACCCCCTCCCAGGCCTTCTATTCCGATGACCTTGAAACTCAAACTTTAGCATGTAGCGTTTGTAACTTAGCTACGGTGAATACTGACGTACGTTTTACAACAAATGTTTTTTTTGCGAAGAAATTAAACTAACGTCTGTGCAGACATCTTCTCATGCCTATATTTATCGAGTCCATGTGAAACGACACAGCACAACCGTTTTAATTATCCTCACTGGGGGGTCGGTTGGCACTGGACAAAAAACTTTTTGTGAACCTTTTATCGGTCGAGATTTAGTACAGACGCAAAAAATCAATTTCATAATAAAGCTGACAAGAACAAAACAATGAAATAACATAGATCCTAGGCTGAAAAACATTGACATATGTAATACAATATCATAGCACAAGATCCCTGCGTGAATATACAGTAAATTTTGACTCTGTAATCACAAAGATACTATCATAAAACGCTTGGGTGGAGGTCAAGTTAATAAAACATACACCAACAGAAATCTATTTTATCATTAAGGGTAATAAAATGGTGCTTAAAATGCCATGAAAGTTGCATAAAAAGTTTATCATTAATATGAAGTGGATATTGATGCTCTTTAAGAAAACTTGTGGTTTTTAACATAAAGAACATAAAACAAGACCATTACGAATTATCGAGACATCTCAATCTGTAAGCGAAGAGCTGTTTACATTAATCTGAAGTTAAAAATATTCAATAATACACTGCACATCTTTAAGTTTTGTCTAGGCTCTCATTGTTGAGTATATGCGTGAGTATGTGAGCGGATCTAGCGTACATTAAGAAAATCATATATTAGTTATTCATGGCTATAATTACACTTCGAAATACTTCAATTTGATTGGTGGTTTTAGTCATGGGGTTTTCAGAACCAATACAACTAGTGTGGCGGTGTTTATAATTCTCAATCGAGTTGCTGTACTTTGATTTTAAACTAATGCTAAGCGTGTACTGCATGAAACAAAGCAAAAGTAACTAAGCACAATGCCAACAATCTGATTGGTGGAGTTTGAGTGAAAAACAAGTGCGGTTTATTAAAATTAGTTTCCTGATCAAATTGTTTATCGTGTATTGATATTTGAAGCTAGCTGCATAACAAATGCTAAGTTTGTGAACTGGATTTTAGGAAGATAAACACTTCAAAAAAACGGAACGAGTCCGAAAACTTATATCACAGAATGGAACAACATGTTAGTTTCAGGTTCTGGCATAGCCTTCGAATAAAGATCTTTGTCGAAAACAGACAAAGTACCTTTGCTAAGATTTACAAAAGGAAGTTTATCAATGCAATTAAAGGTTATTATCCTTCCATTTTTGAAAAAAATCGTTCAATCCAATATATATTCTTTTAACCATGAAAAATGTTTTGAACAACAGATATAATATAGCTTTGACAGTGACTATTCAAGATATTTTATAATTGTCAAAATAACATGTTTACTTCGCCTTTCAAATATTTTCATATTTACATGATTTCACTAGTTCTTTCGTTCTATATGCTTCCACTTCTATCAAGAATCGATTCACTAATACATTTAGATCTCTGACACATAACATATACGGCAGTCGTGATTCCGATTTGGACCAGCCAAATCTCTATTTAAATTTCACTGCATATATAATTACACTTGACTTATGTCAATTACAAACGAACAAAGAACTGAATTAAGGCTCAGTACACGTGAACATTGTGATTGTAGAAATAATTTAAAGGTTCCTTGCTTGTCGCTAAATACTTCGTCAAATCTGTTTCGGCCATAAACAAATCTTTAAGTTCAATGGCTTCTGTCAATTCCTCACATGTAAGAAAATCCTCTTCGATAAGTAACTCGGGTAGACTTGCATTGAACGCTGGTATACGGTTGGTGATTCTGGACTCGTAAAAGCAGCTAGCTCCCTCACTTCTTTGGTAGAATAAGCAATCTGGTGAAGGTTCTTGCTCGCGTATAGTCAGTTCGTGCATATCACTTTCACCAGCACTGTTGCTGCGTTCTATAGCAAAGCGATCTTGACTATATTCATCATATTTCCAGCAACTATCTTCTCGCCTGGATGTGGAGCCTCGATCTTCATTTTGATGAATCCCAAGATGGACAGATTGCATCTCGTTTATTTTAAGGCCGGGATGTCTTCGTGCGTGCATTTTTCCCGATTCTGGGCTTTTTCTAAGCGCTTTAAACTGCTTTTGTAAAAATCGTCGATGATTGATGTTTCGTTTGAAACTGTTCGGTTTTTCTAAAGCTCTCTTCACTTTACTCGAAGCAGAATTTAAAAAAGATAACAGGGAATCTCCTTGGCCAGCTAGATCTCTGTCTTGCGTCGTTTCGTAAATCTTCTTGTTGGCGACCATTTTTCTTGCTCAGATGAAGCTTTCCACTCGGATCAGATTTCAAAGTCACGGTCCAATTAAATAAGATGTCCTAGGAGCAACTCGCGATCGACGCAAACGGATCACAAATTTAAAGTCCTTAGGGTGATTTAAAGTTGTTAAATACGACACAATACAGCAACTCGATATATATATACAGCAGACTCCTTGACTGTAAACTGATTCCAGGTGTTTTGATCAACGACAGATTTATAAATGAGCAACGTCAGCTAATAAATGTCCTATATTTATTTCCAAGAAAGCAGATGTCAATACGATCGTATCCAAAGTCTTTCTGTCAGCGTTTAAATGCTGAAACATTTATAATGCAAGACGACAAAGAATTAAGAAACACAAGTGTTGGCCTTTAATAACCTACAATTAGACTATTGAAAAACACGCCCAATAACACCGATTAACTACATGTTATGATGAAATGTTAGGAAATGAACTCTTTATTACCCTACACGCAATTTCTGCATACTAAATACATAAAATGACGTATTTTCATGGGGACAATATTTATATTTAAATACAAAAGAGTGTGTATAAGTTAAACAATTAAAAGAATGTATCGAAAGTTCCTTAGTGATGCATCCGAAAAAATAAACACATGCTCTTATCAACCGGAGAAGGCAACGGGAAAAACAGCATTGGTCTCTTGTGGTTTTTGATTTGTTCATCTCCTGCACTGACATGCTATTTTGCATTCTTTTATAAATCTGGAAGTGTAAAGACTGTTCATGTTCTCTGTTGTTTATTCATCACTACCTGCACTGACACACGTTATCTTATTTCTTAAATATTTTAGTCAGTGTAAAGACTGTTCATGTTCTCTGTTGTTTATTCATCACTACCTGCACTGACACGTTATCTTATTTCTTATATATTTTAGTTAGTGTAAAGACTGTTCTTGTTCTCTGTTGTTCATTCATCACAACCTACACTGACACGTTATCTTATTTCTTAAATATTTTAGTCAGTGTAAAGACTGTTCTTGTTCTCTGTTGTTCATTCATTACTATCTACACTGACACACGTTATCTTATTTCTTATATATGTTAGATAGTGTAAAGACTGTTCTTGTTCTCTGTTGTTCAGTCTTCACTACCTACACTGACACACGTTATCTTAGTTCTTAAATATTTTAGTCAGTGTAAAGACTGTTCTTGTTCTCTGTTGTTCATTCATTACTATCTACACTGACACACGTTATCTTATTTCTTATATATGTTAGATAGTGTAAAGACTGTTCTTGTTCTCTGTTGTTAAGTCTTCACTACCTACACTGAAGCACGCTATCTTATTTCTTATATATTTTAGTTAGTGTAAAGACTGTTCTTGTTCTCTGTTGTTCATTTATCACTACCTACACTGACACACGTTATCTTATTTCTTATATATGTTAGATAGTGTAAAGACTGTTCTTGTTCTCTGTTGTTCATTCATCACCAACTACACTGACACACGTTATCTAACTGCTGACATATCATTAGTTAGTCTAAACTCGACATTGTTCACGTTCGTCTCCTCCATTGCAAATCACTACAGACCAAAACAATACTATGTTCATTTTTCGTTGAATCACCCCCCCCCCCAAAAAAAAAAAATAAATAAAAAAGACATCTATTTCCTTGTAAAACAACTCAAAGATATCATTTGGCTATCGCCTACACTTTTTAAACTGTTTTTGGTCAAAGAGTGTCAGATAATATTTTTCTTTCATCAACGCTTACTACGATCATAAAGCAAATATTAGCAGATGAAACGACATTTTAGAACATATAATTCGTGAGCAGAGGTGATTTAAAACTTGTCTTTCATCTGTAGGCGTGTGACACTACGTGTTTGGAATGTTAAACTTTGCAGGAACGAGGATTTGATCTATAAGGACCAAGTAAAGGGAATCTTATTAAATGAAAAAGGAAACTCTTGATTCAAACGCGCTGACTGACTCTTTCAAAACTTAACTCTCTCAAGACAATAATAAAGACTTAAACTTGCTTCGTCATATTGACGTGGTTTGTTTTTGTAAATCACGTTTGCTCAATAGTCGCTCGCAAACAACACGATCAAACTACAACGAAAACAAAATGTTAAAAAAGAGACACTTACAACTAGTTTAAGCATGTTTTCCTCGCAGCACGAAACTAAATTTTTTACAACAAATTACATCCGGTTAAAAATGCCACAAGACACGCATTCATCGATGATTAGATCTGTTTCTCTTTCAAAGGATTCTTTTCTGCGCGTGCAATGTTCGTGACTCGTAGTGAATGCTTTTCATATAATCATATATAATTGCATTATCTGAATACTAGCGATAAATATATCACATGCTTATGATGAAATTCTTGCAGCGTATAATTACTCATCAAATTCAACGAGCTATTTAGTTGTATCGCTTTGTTTCGCTATCACCGTTTGAGCAAAATAATTTTTGTCTGATAATTTAAATATATAAATTCGAAACTTCTATCTAATTGTAAATTAAAAATGACTTAAAAGCTAAAAAAGAGCTATGGCATCTATTTAAATCATTCATATATATGTTGAGTTTTGAGAGTTTTTTGTTAATTTTATTTATTTTTCACATATGCGGTGTTCCGAACGACAATGAGAACACCACAAAAACTATTTCTCAAATGGGGGTCGCAAACGTATTTTCTTGCGGTCACTTTTTGACCTAATAGCGCGTAGCCTGTTCGCGGTGGGGTAGAGCAATTCACGAGTGTGCTGGCGTTAACGGACAAGTGGACGATTGAAGATTGTAGAAGTTTGCAGTTCAACAGACTTTTCATTTAAACGATAAGACTTTGTAATGTTTTTGAAAACAAGATGTATGCTCAATGTAGGGCAATGCGGTCCTTCTTTTTAGAGTCAAGAAGAAAACACCAAATTATCTACATGTGTAGCTACTTAAATCGGATTTAAGAACAGATAATGAAAATATCACTGCCGACGGATAGTTATAAAAAATAGAAAAGGGTTGTTTAGCTTCCTAGAAAACTTGACATTAGTTATAAGCCTTTTAAAGCAAACCCTCTTCATTAATCGCATTTTATTTTCATTTGCTTTTGGTGTAAAAAACATACCTCCACATAGATCCAATTGAGAGTTTCCGCACATCTTTGCAGTACAAACAAACCATTCGTAAAAAATGCATGACGAAGAACTTAGATATTCGTACGGCAGTTAAGTCCCTGGAGGCACGCGTGCGCTGTTCGGAAACTGTTGTTGACTATAAATTGGAAGTTACATGTGTGTAGATGTAGATCGTCCAAGTTAGTATAGTCCTGAGAAGGACTGTTTTTGTTGTTGTTGACTGACGTTTCGACAACCTTAGCGGTAGTCATCTTCAGAGTCAAATAAGGAGTAAACGTCAGGTTAGCCGTACCTCAACAACAACACTAACAGTCCTTCTCAGGACTATACTAACCTGGACGATCTACATCTACAAACATGTAACGATACTCCCGGGTTCAAACTATTTACTTTATAAATTGGAGGTGTGTGTTATGCCTTAAGGGGTTCTTTGACACAGAATGCTTTTAAAAGATGAATCCAAGCTCAAACGCTTCGCTTTGCAAATGACATAAAATTTGCTGAAATAAGATTTCAAGTCCAAGCTTTAACTTCACATACTGTTTAGCTGTGAATATTGATTTGTGCAGCTATAACAGTTATTAAAACCACATGAACTTTCAAGGCTTGCTGAGTATGTCGTTTGCCTATGGGGGGAGGGGGGAGGGTGGAGTGTAAAGAAGCAATTAAAAGGGAAGGAGGCGTGTTTTGGCAGAACACACTATATCTACAAAGAGTTATAGGTAATCGTTTAAAAATACGTGATCATAAATAAAGATCCATATAGCAAATGCCAAGGAATCATAAACATGTTCTAAAAAGAATAATGGCAAAGAGCTAAATTAACTCTAGAAAAAGCATGTACGTCCGGTAGTAACTGTTTTCGTAACGCTTGAGAATGCAATTTTCTCGCTATATTGGCATCAACAAAAAAATCAAATATGTCACGTATCTTTATGCACGAAATGTATGTAGAAGGTTATTTTTGTTTAGTCCACATGGACTAAATAGCACAGTGTATATACTTTAAAACTATCTTAAAACAAATATTCGTATTTCTAAAAAGGCAACTGATGGAAATAGTTTAATATCAAAATCTGTTGAGGATTATTGGATTATAATGTTGACGTTCTTATGATTATACTCAAAATATCCGTCTTTCCGCAGTTTTAAGCATACTTTAATATAAAACACGCTAACTCTTCTCTTTCGATGACTCCTCAATTTTTTGATTTATTTAAAGAACTGGGACAAATGCAATTTATCACGCACAGCTCATGAAAAAATTATATGGCAATGAATTTGGCAAGACTTACTTTGAAAACCTGTCCCAAACCCCCAACCTATTGATTTTTCATACCTACACTCTTTTATTTTAAGACTTGATAAAGAGAAACGGAATTTCATGTCAAATTGTTTTTCAATGTTGCTGCCTTCGTCTCCGCCATTTAATGATGCGTTCCCACAGTCCTCATGGTCAACGCACTGGTACCAGTGTTGTGCCTTGGTGTAGTCTCCGCGAAACTAACTCAAGTGTAATTCAAGCCAAAAAATAATCTACATATGATAGCTAGTTCACTAGAAGACAAACATCAAACATTTGTCTCCTCAATACAACCATCAATGCCTTATCCTGGTCGTGCTTCGGCTGTTTACGAGCTAAAAAACACACTACACTCATAATATTCGTAAAATATTTTGTAGATGGGTGGTCGATATATATTAGTTGTTTTGGTGAGAAAAATGCAGTTTTAAGAAGATTTCTTTATTTGTGTTTTGGATTTATCCCACGGCGGCAATTTTTTAAAAGAAATGGCGGTCAGGGCTAATAGATGGAGCAAACAGTATAGGTGTCTACGACTTCGGTGCTTCATGAATAATTATTTAGATTATGGACTGGACTTAGCCAGCTTATTGCTCTTGTTGATCTGAAAATTCAAACGCTCTTCTGCCAAGGCCTTTATCGTAGTTAAGTATATAAATGAAGCATCATCATTCCGAAAATTTCAATTGGGTGAAGTTAGACAAAATATTATGGAGGTCATTTTAAATTCAAAATAGAGCAACAACGTTATAATTATATATTGGTCAGAAATTTCGAACAAATGTTTTTAAAGCCCAAATAGGATTGTTTGTAAGCTATATTGAATACTAAATATTGTTTTTAAGTTGCCTCAAACGCTTTAGTGTTAAAAGGAATCATTAATGATTGATTTGACGACCGATAAGGTAATAAATAAAGCTTTCGCCGTTCGAAAAACCTTCTCAACAAACATCAAAGTTGAAGAACGACAGATTCCCGTAGAGATAATTAATAAGTAAGTTATATTTGTGTCTGTGAGGCTATTTGATTATATTTCATCGCATTTTTCATGTCTATTGATTATTGAGGTAGTTCTCTTATCAACGATAGTACACGAGTGAAGGATTTCGTAACCTCTTACTTTAGAAATAAACAAAACCAATCACAAACAAAGAGCCCAAAAATAGGTTCAAGATTCTGTGAGATATCAGATAAACTGAGTAAATGTTATAAACTTCGCGCTCAAGAAAGGAAATCACATTAAAGAGGTCTTCAGAATTGTTGAACAACACAAGGTCAATCAAAATAGCCTAAGATAATATAGATATTAATGACATCCTTTCGTGTCAAAGGAAAAGGATATCGCACTTCAGTTTTAGTGAGTAGTCTTCTCAGCAAAAAGTATCTAGAGCACATTGTTATAAAGAAACGTAAAGACTGTAGGACTAGCACTTTTCAAACCATCTGAAGCGTAAGAAACACTATTTTACGTCTCTTACAATGAAAACAATCTTTACACTAACTAAAATATACATAAAATAAGATAACGTTTATCAGTGTAAGTAGGGATGAGTGAACAACAGAGATCGAGAACAGTGTTTTACTACCTAAAACAACTAAGATATATGATGACTTGTGTCTGTGTGGGTAGTGATGAATGAACTACAAAGAACGAGAACAGTTCGTTTATGCTAAATGTAAACTAAAATGACGCTTGTCAGTGTAGGTTAAGATAACTAGCGTCTGTCATTGAACATAAAAAAATACACATAAAAATACTTCCCCTAGAATAAAGCATAGGAACCGACTGGAGTCGAATGTCAAAACTCGAGGGACAAAAAAGTGGGTTTTTCGCGTCCTTTTGCTAATTATGTGTAATCGCATCAGTACAAGGACAGTATATCCTACAAATAACAGGATTATCACAAGTGACTTCGTATAAATATACGGTTCATGTAACTACTCAATGCACCACATCTTTCAAAAGCAAGAGGTTAGATCACATTTGACAAACAATATTGAGAAAAGTACTAAAGGTTTTGAAGGTTGTAAAATCAGATCAGACGTCATTGTGTATTCCGTTTGCCTTAACAATACAATTTATTTGAAAATTTTAGAGATGATGAAATCTTACAGCGGGGTGATATTTTCTTTACTTTCGGTGATGGTGTTCGCCCTCACTATTCAGATCACGACTCAGAGCTGTCGTGTACAGCCGCTTCTGCGCACCGTGGACTTTGGAGGATGTCAAGTATCATTTGTTGTCACAGCATGCAGAGGTACATGTCTTTCAGAAGAAGTACATTTGGGCCAAACCGTTTCACGCAAATGCAATTGCTGCAGATCGGTGGGTAGAACGATAACTAAAGCCATAACTCACCAATGCTCGACCAAAAATCCAACCTATGTAACTAACGTCACGAAATGCGCATGCGTATCATGTTCAACGAACGCTGGGAAGTGAAGAAACCGTATGGATGGCGAGAAAAGAAAATGACAAGCATTTATTTAAAGAACTTTAATCGTATTATAAGTTAGAGGAAACATACAATGTGCTGTAGCATGCTAAAGCAATAGCAATTAGTTATCCAATTAGTTGTAAAGAAGGCTAAATGTATTTTTTAGAAAACTACAAAATTGTACTCATGATTTCATATGAATAGAAAACTGTAACAGTCGGTATTATATACTACTCTTTAACAGAATCTTTTAGTATTCATTATAGCGTATTTGATTGAGAAGGATGACGTAGATTGTATATAAATACACGGCGCCCTTATCAACGGAGCATGCGTATTACAATCTGAAACTTAAAAAAAGGTACGTGCGTACAAGTTTGTTGCTTGTGTCATAGATTATACTTACATTAAGTTTTTCTATATAAAACTACAAACATTATTGGTGATATTTCTTGATATACAATACACTCAATGAAAACGTCAATCGTGAGGAAAATAACTGACCATAACGAACGGAAATAGGCACTGTATCAAACAACTTTCGTAAAATTCAATATCCTCTGCAACCTACCAACCTCCCAGATTGAACCAATAGTGATAAAATTTGTATTTTAGATACTTAGCTGAATGAATGTTTCGAATACTTGCATCTCATTTCAACGCAAACCTAACTCAACTTAATCACACTTTATAAAAAATATGCCGGATCTTGTTTCAATTACGCAAAAATTGCTAATCTTATCAAGTGTACTCCGAGTGAAATTTCATCCCAAAGTATTCCAAATTAGGTGGCAGAATTCTATTTTGGAATACATACAGACTTTTTGGAGAATTTCTTTCCTAAATTAGAAAGCGAGGGAACTTTCTAATTCAGTAAGAATATTGCAAATACTCATCTTTGTACTTATTCTTATGTTAGTCTGCTTAGATGCAATTTCGCTATGAATATTTATAGTTTTGGCAAAATAAAAATTTGCAATTGATCATCTGCAAACACTGATCGAAGAATTGAAATCAAAAATTTTGTCTTTCTAAAAAATGCTATCTTTAAATGATAGTACTTAATCTAAAAACAAGTAAAAATAATTGGTTGCACTTACCGTAAGAGACGTTAATTGACCTTGGTATGCCACGCCGTTCTTAAAGAGAAACATGCAACAAAATTGTTAGATTTGATGAATGATAGAAACACTTACAGCTCTCACTTCCACCAGAATTCTTGCTTCTTCTTGTCCTCTGCACCTGAAAAATACTAAGTACCAAGTTAGTGGTATGCCAAAACAAACAGACAGTCAACCAAACAACCACATACCGCAGTTTTAATCAGCAACTGTTGCCATGTGAGAACAAACTCTAAGAATAATCGTAAAATACAATCATGGCGAACTGTTGAAGTTTATGTATTTCGTAAAACCAGTGTTTGCAGAAGATCTGTTGAAATTTCCATCGAAACTCGTACTTTACAATGATCAACAGGATTAAGACAGCTGTAAACCTCAAACATTTGCCGAGAAGACTTAAAGCTACTTTGATGCTAACATGAGATTGTTGTCAAATATTTCAAATAACTTTATCAGAAAGACTTTGTGTTCGCTATGTTTCAACTTCTTCATAGAGGTCTTCATAGACACTGTTATAACATCCCTCAATGTTATAACAGTGCTAATCATAGATACAATAAAGGAACTAAATATTATATGTCGTCAGCTTGTAGCCCTATAAGGTATAATCACTTCAAATAGAGTAAACATAATTTAAAGATTTTGCAATACTCTGCCAGCGTATTGCAATTTCTTTTTTCATAGAAGTGCTAGTCAGTTAACGTGCTGACAACACATTCCTTTAATCCCAAATCTCCCAATTTTTGCTAACATCGAAAGCAGGAACCACAAATAGACTTTAAAATATGAAATAAAAGGATTATAGATTCAATTCTTCGGACTGACTATCTGAGAATCATAGATTTATTATTCTCATATAGTCAGTCCGAAGAATTGATATCGAGGGTGAGGATGGATGTTTCGTGTTGAAGGAAAATCTACTTTTTTCCATTTCCATCATCTTGACGAAGACTTTATAGTCTAGAAATATAAAATAATGGAGTATCATCGTATGGTAAAAATTAATTATGTTCGTCATTAAAGCATTAACTGCCGTCTGTATTTCCAGTAGATATTGTTGGTACTATATGGTATTTAGATCCAATAGTTTAGTACGTATTTTAAACGTCATAGTTTTGTTTTGTTTATCCGTTCTTATTTTAAGAGTTGCTGTGATAGCACTCACATCGCTGCCATCTTTCCTCTTTCTCTTCTGCGATTCTAAAACATTCATTGCGGTATTAACTATTCAAATTATTTGGTTTAAAACTGAATTTCTGAACTGATGGTTGTATTTGAAGCATGGACAACCAAAGTATAAGATTTTGATGTGCCGTATAGGGCAGTTTTCACGCAACGTCAAACTTAGATAAGGTCGTCTGTCCGATCCGTCTTGCAAACTCTCATGGCAATGCCACAGTAAAATATAGTTAGGTTTACAAATTGACATAAAGCACCATCAAAGTGACGATTAAACAAAGACAATAAACGAAGCATGGAAAATTGGCTTTGACCTAATCACGGGCATAAGCAAGACTAAGCATAAATCTAACGACAAACAAAAGAAAATTCTATTTCTCATGTCTTACGAAAATATAAAACTTGAGGTTCTTCGCTTATTTTAACTGTAAAAACTAGGCGTCGATGACCCAACTTTTTAACTATAGACCATTAGGCATTACAAATCTTAATTACTTTACTTATACCTACTTTAAGTAAAAGTTTAAAACGATTTAAATTCTTCCATTTAACTAGGTACAACGTTAAACTTACCACCACGTTATCATCACAATCGTAATTTAGATATTACCGCCATGAATCCATGCTTCGGCAACAAGATATTCCAAACTATCCATCAATAATCCTCATCCACCTTCTTTTGGGATTGACACGGAACTTCTCTTCTCTTCAACCTACTAAAAAACCATGCAATAATTTCATCTACAGCCGATCTCTTAAAAATTCATTGAGAACTTTCCCAAACTTTTCATCAACACAACAAAGATCTTGCTTAAACACCTACACATCCTCACTCGACAAATATCGCTCAGAGAAGAACATGCGGCACAGCATGCAGGCAAGATGCAGGCAAGTTATTTAAAATATTTGATCTCTGTCAACCTACATGATCAGAGAATATGATTGGTTTAAAGTGCAATGAAGAACAACGCTCTACACAAATGATAAATTTAAAGACCAAGAAGTATTGTTTCATTAATGCTATTTGAAATCACATTCATATAGTTGATGTGTAATCATTCCCCTGGGAGTGAGAACGTAGTGGAATGTTCGTCATTTTGGATTACATTTGATTTGCAAACAAGGAAAATGCTTATATGCGGGCAAATGAAAAATCTTTGATTATTTTGAAACTACAGTAGATTATTTCTGCTATATCCATTCCAGAAATCTCAAAGACTATTGAGTTATATTACTTCCGTAAACTTTTTGATATTTCCTTTGGCGTCAATCGAAAATTACGGGTGCATGGGAAACATATTCATATATTAAAGTAAATGGTTTGAGCCCGGGAATATCACTACATGTTTGTAAATGTAGATCGTCCAGGTTGGTATAGTCCTGAGAAGGACTGTTTTTGTTGTTGTTGACTGACGTTTCGACAACCTTAGCGGTAGTCATCTTCTGAGTCATAAGTCAAAGTCAAAATCTACTGTAATTTCATTTTGACTCTGAAGATGACTACCGATAAGGTTGTCGAAACTACAGTCAACAACAACAAAAACAGTCCTTCTCAGGACTATACCAACCTGGACGATCTACATTTTTAAACATATTCATATATTCTGTAATACAAGACTGATTTCTTGTGAAAGTGACCATTTCGAAAGAAATTAACTAAGTATAGCAAAATATATAAATATGGTCCACCTCAATTAAAGTTTGGTTGACTGCGTAGTGAGTATTGTTTTATTATATTTATTTCAATTGTAATGACTAAAAAAAAAGACACACTACGGACGGTTTCGACTTAGTGGATAGCTGGGCATGCGCAGTAGCTACGCCAAAAAAGTAAATGATTAAAGTTTGAAGAATGTAAATTTCGTGTATTTCATCAAATACAGTAGATAAATATCGAAAGGTAATAGAAGTAAATACAATTTTAAGTTGAAGACCGACTATTTGTTCAACATTCCTGTAATATAAAACCTTTTTATCAACAATACATTTGCACATAAGCCGTTGATAAAAGACATTATTCAGCAGCGGTATTTTTCATCTCGTTGCAGGGTGTACTGTGCCTTTAATAAAAGACGGCACTTTTTACTTTTTAATCTCAATCAATCTTTTAATCACTTCTCCCTAATCTCTAGATTAACCCATCTATAAAGTGATCAAAGAAATCCCATAGGCATATGATGTGGGGGAATGAGGTGGAGGGTGGGAGCATATGATGTGGGGGAATGAGGTGGAGGGTGGGAGCATATTCTGTTTAATTTTTAAGTTGGTCACTAAAATATCTGCAACGCCATTATAGTAACATTGCAGCACAGCCTGCACAGGTACTCTTGACTATTGATCTATCAAGAGCAAACTTTCAGCCTGAGAAAGCGAAATTCTATAGTTACGGGTAAGGCAAGCCGCCATCTTGAAGGGTGGCAAAACTGACGATATTTACGACTAAAATCTGCTTTTCCTGAGTTGATATACAGTTTCAAAGTTGAGTTTTCAAAATTTTTGATAACATAAGTTTTTTAAACTTTTTTGAAACTTGGTTTTGAGTAGCTTCCGTTCAAGATGGCGTCCTTGCCTCAGCTTGGAATCAACCAACATTTAAAGCCGTGATTGAGGAAGCCGCTCGAGTTATTAAGTAACACAATTGTTTTCTTGGTTTGATTTTTGTTTCCAAAGTAAATTTAGCACAGCTTTGCACAAATACGTTCTGGCTCTACCCAGGCCACCACGCCACTGATAGTCATGGCATATTGGAGTATTTTTGGCAATCTATTCTTGGGAGTACACACTAATTCTCAAATTGTATTCTAATCTCCCTCTTTTGATTGTGCTTTAAAAGTTCTATCCCATTGCTTGTTGCAGTCAATTTAACTTTACCTCCGTGTAATGAGTGATGGTGTTGTAATTTTTTGTTTTCAATTATTAAAATGTTAATTGCAAAGTTCATCTTTCATCCAATCATAATGCAATTCTCGCCACCATTTCAATGCGATATTCGATAACGATACTGAATGCTATTATATATGTATGTGTTTCACATAAAACTCAAGTGTGTAAACGTAAGACATATACTGTAAATTTATACAAGTTTTGAAACTTCTAAAATCTGTATTTTTATATAAAATCAAGTTAACAATATGTTTGCTTGTGTTTACAATGACACAAGGATTTCAAATATTTCAAATGTTTTATTTCAAAACATAAAACATATTTACATTCTTTGGAGTCAGGTGACTCAGTGTGTTTATGCAATATCAACTCTCCAACTCTTCAGAAGAGTCTTTCCGAAGGGACCAAAGTAACTGTTACACACACAAATACTTTTGTGCCAGAATGTTCAGATTTGGGTAGTATTTATTTGTGTGCATTCTAGTAAAGGAATTGCTTTGACACTCCTGGCATATGATGAACTTATGATCTCATGCCAAACTACTGCCAGCAATTAACATTACTGCTGGTAGTTGGCTGTGTATCATCTTCAATTTCAACAGGTATATTTTCTTGTTGCCAAACAGAGCTCGTGAATTCCTAAACTAAAGTCTAGACTCCTTGTGTTTCTCCACAATTTCAAAATGCAACCTTTTCTGACGAGGATCGAGAAGTGTAGCCTTAGCCAATGTTTCATTTCCTTTGATGTTAACAAAACGTCGTAGCATCTGAGCAATCGATTCTTGTTTTAAAGGAATTTCTACTTCACACTTTGATGTCTACGTCACACTTTGACCATTTCACGAAGTTTTGGATATTATAAGACGTTACAATGGCTTCGAAAAATTACTTTGACAACAATCGCGAGCTTGAAACACTCAACACTGCGAATAAAGATACACAACCAAAGAAGAAAAAGATCGATTTTGTTTTAGTTTATAATGACACAGATAATCATAAAATGCGTGACATTCGCAACAGATATGAAGAAAATTTAAAAAAGAGAGGCTTAGTATTAAATACTGTCTCATTATACGATGAGGTAAGTAAAAAATTGGGTTTTTTACATTGTTATTACCATTGTTGTTTTGGGATGTTTTGTTATCAAAGGGACGTTTACTGACGTATTTCCGTCAATTAAAGGGATGGTGGACTTCCAGTTCTAAATTATTTCAAATAAGGGGTTGGGGGAAGCGAAATAAATAATCAACTTTCCTCCCCATCCCTTATAATTTAATGTAACGATTTGAGTATTTTACAGTTCTACGTTCGAGAGGTTTGTGTTGTGGTGTTTTAAATTTCAGCTGTTCTAGATACAACTAATTACCTAAAGGGAGACATATTCAAATACAATGATTGTTTTTAAGTTCAAGCGTTTGAATATTTATTGTTTATATTCAGCTCGAAGACAAGAACATATACTTCGTTTTGGTGCACGCGCCGTTAGACCCAGTCCTTTTCCAAAAAGCAGAGGACATGCATATTCAAATGCCATTAAAAGATGAAACCAACAGTGAACCGGTCACGTTTAACAGTGAACCACAAAGTATACTGACAAGGTTCTATAGAAAGCTCGTAGATAAACGCCTTGATCCATTCACAGTAAAGAAACCCACCGTTCGCACTCAAAATTGGAACACGGTGACTTCCTTTTCAAAATCAAATGTTAAGGCTTTTCAGAAAAAGACGACAATGGTTTCTTTGAAAATGCTGAAAGAAGTCGAATGGTAAAACGAATTCTACAGTTGACATCGTTCACAATTGACGAATCAATGGAAGTCATTGAAAACATGACGACGACACAAAACTTGATGAAGGTCACGGTATTGAACAATTGGGTCATACAGGAGTGTATGATTCTTACTATCCAATGCATGATGGACCTTCAATAATACATAATCACGTGGACAACGATCGGCAAAAGTTGCGCGCAGACTGGGCAACATTTACAATGTCTTTAAAATACCAACCTTTAGATGCAATCCGCGATTATTTTGGTGTCCGTGTTGGTTTCTACTTTGCATGGCTTGGGTTTTATACAAGTTTTCTAGTTCCTGCAGCTGTTGTGGGTTTGTTGTGCTTTCTTTATGGACTTTGTACTATGAACACATCCCAACCATTGAAAGAGATATGTGATGAAAAGAATGAGAGGTTAGTGATCTTTGATTTGAGAAAGAATGTAGAAAGTGTCAGCGATAACAGGTGGTACATAGTGTCTGCTAAAGCTGATGGTAAATAGTGTCAGCTATAGCTGGTGGTAGATATTGTCAGCTGTAGCTGGTGGTAGATAGTGTCAGTTATAGCTGGTGGTAGATAGTGTCAACTATAACTGGTGGTAGATAGTGTCAGCTATAGCTGGTGGTAGATAGTGTCAACTATAACTGGTGGTAGATAGTGTCAGCTATAGCTGGTGGTAGATAGTGTCAACTATAGCTGGTGGTAGATACTGTCAGCTGTAACTGGCGGTAAATAGTGTCTGCTATAGCTGGTGGTAAATGGGGTCAGCTATAGCTGGCGGTAGATAGTGTCAGCTATAACTGATGATAAATAGTGTCACTAAAGCTGGTCATTAAGTAAACTTATAGGCATCTTATATCTTTTTAAGATTATTCTACATGTGTCCACAATGTGATCGCCACTGTAGCTACTACAGTCTTACATCAAACTGTCATTACTCCAAACTAGTTCATGTATTTGATAACGAAGCGACCATATTTTTCTCTGTCTTCATGTCAATATGGGCGACGGTTTTCATTCAGTGTTGGAAAAAAAATGAAGCGAAGCTAGCTTTTTGATGGAACGTTTACGACTTGCCTAAAGAATACGAGCCATTGCGTCCTGAATTTGTGAACAACGTTGACACAAAGAAAAAAAATCCAGTGAACGGAGAACTAGAACCATATCTACCATTAGGTATCATAATACGACGCCAACTTGGCGCTTGGACAGTTGTTATTTTCATGTTACTTGTTGTTGTTTCAATATTAGTTGGCATCGCTGTCTACAGAGCTAGTGTACCTGCCGCTCTTTATGCTAATTCTAGCAAAGATATCCGTGAATACGCTGGTGCTTTGACGTCATTCACAGCAGCCTGTATCAATTTTGGGATCATAAAAAGTTTGACATTTGTGTATAAAAAAATCGCCGTTTATTTGACAAACTGGGAGAATCCAAAAACGGTGTCCGATTATCACAATAACCTCACATTAAAAATGTACGTCTTTGAGTTCGTGAATAAATACTTTCCACTCGTCAACCTTGCCTTCTTTAAAACCAGTTTGATCAACGGTAATCCCTCGAAGTACAACAGAATCAATGGCGGACGGATTGAGGAATGTAGTGCAGCTGGTTGTTTGATTGATGTTTGCATATATCTTTTCGTCTTCATGACTGGTAAACAAATTCTGAGCCTGGGAAATGAATTTGTCGTACCGTACGTAGCTGTTATGTTTTCCTTTTTTATGTACAGAAGGGGATAGTTGTGATCATTTCCTATTTCTTATCATTTTAAGTACATTGGGGATGTATGTGATCAATTGTTTCTTTTCGTTTTTTACCAATGAAGTTCATTGATTCGATTAATTTTAGACTTTTACAACGAGTTCCCGTTATCGCATCACGTGATCATTTTCAATTCTCAAACTATCACAATGAGAGATAAAAGGGGAAAATTGGGTCATTTTCTTTTTTAGTTGCCTTAAGAAACGATGGAGGGATCGCTCCCGTTCTTTATACAAGAATAAAAAGATACCTCAATGGGAAGATGATTATTGGTTGGAGGAAGAGCCCGAATTTCGCATATTTTACGAATATCTAGATATGGGTGAAGATTGAACAATAATTTTTTGTACACAAACACAACTATCATCACTATAAAAGAAACAAATAACTTTTTCTTTCAGTGATTCAGTTCGGTTTTGTGACAATGTTTGTTGCCTCGTTCCCATTGGCGCCTTTATTTGCCCTAATCAACAATTTCGTGGAAATCCGAGCTGACGCCATCAATTTTGTCGTGAATTATCGACGTCGTGTCTCAGAGCAAGTTAAAAATATCGGAATCTGGCTTAAAATCATGGAAATACTTACGACAATATCTGTTGTCGTAAATTCGTTTGTCATCGCCTTTACGACTGATTTTATACCAAGGTATTTCAATCGTTTTACATTTTAATGAGAATAAATTGGAAAAGTCATTGATTTTCTTTGCAACAATAAGAATTATCTCTAACCTAGTAGAATTAGTTGAACTCATTCGTCATAATTAAAGCAGATCAAATTTAAAACACTTTAATTATCAAAAGAGTTTCTTTATTTATTTAGGTTTGTGTACGTCCATTACTACAGCGAAAGTGGTTCTCTCGAAGATTATGTAAACAATTCCCTCAGTTATATCAAGATATCTGATTTAGAGAAAGACAGTCATCCCGAAGATCCTTACAAAAATCTGAACTACACACTGCCTTACTGCAGGTAATCACAATAAAATTTAATCATAAACCATAAGCAAAGTAGACAAAACATTTAGCTTCCTTATCCTCCTGGTAAACATGATGAAGAGACGAATCATTCAAAAAACACAGTACGCTACATGATTTCCTAGCTTGTTAAAAGCTTTCACATTGATAGAAAGAGGAGGTCCATAGATACTATCATGAACCGAAAGTCATAATTTATACCAGATTCTTAACTTTATTTCACAGATTCAAAGAATATTTGGAACCAAATGAACCATATAACTTCAGTAAACAGTATTTCACCGTAATGATGTCTCGTTTCATTTTCATCGTCGTCTTTCAATATGGTATCTACGTCGTAAGATATTTTGTAAGATGGTTGTTTCCTCAAGTTTCCAGCTCGTTGCAGACAAAGATTGCACGAAAAATGCACGTGACCAGAATGCGCTTTCGCAAAAATGTGGTTGAAACACTGGGTCTATAGTATGCATTTATAACATTTCTCACGGTCGAATGAAAAATTGGGAATTCTAACGACAGTTGTCATATTTCACATCATGGCTTTGAATATGTATTTTTTTGTCTTAAGACGATAAAATGTCAGAAAACACTGGAAATCAACAAGGTCATAAAAAATATTGTACAAAGACTCCAAAAATCATAACAATTCACCTCCTTGGGGCACACTTTCATTTTTTTTTGTTTGACCTTCAGTCTGCAGTTGTAATCATCTCCATTCTGACTTCAATATATTTGAATTATTTAATAAAAAACATATCCTGCATTTTGAGCTTCATCACGCGTTTTTTTCTACTTTCATCACTGAAATATTACTGGTTTATAAGTGTTTCCATTATAAAGTGTGTTTTCATGTGACGTCATAGCGGCCATGTTGACACAGTGTCTGGCTACATTTAACTGATTTTTCCATAGGCGTACTGGACGAAGGGACAGTGGGAAGCTCCTCCCCCCCCCCCACACACACAAGAAAGTTTGCAGATTAAAAAGTCGGGAAAATTTTAAACGCTAGTCAGGCGAAAATATGGCAAAACCTTCATACTGAGTTGGGAAAAATATTTACTGCCCCCCTCAGAAAAAAACATTTTTTTCTATACATATACTTGACTTGTCGTGAGTGTACTTTCCGTGGCATGCAAAAGCCTATAAAAACAATTATTTCTTTATCTATAATGACTCATTGCTCTAAAACTAAGGCTATATTAAACTAAAAATTTGGCAGTTTAAATATGTAGCTGGAACAAGAGCTTTTGAGATGTTTCAATAAAAAATAATAAAAATAAATAATTACATAAGTTTGACTGGAACTGTGAGGGCGGTAGGGGAAATGCGTGGTGTAAATATTGAGCCTTGACAAGTTTTGTTTTGATAGAAGCCCTGATACTGTAAATTTCAAAATCGATTATATTTTCAAACGGATTTTGTGCCAGTAGTTCTTAATAGTTTCGAGAACTATTGTAGTCCAATGGAGGTCACTAAAGAAAACTAGTGCCCATGCCTCCAGTCACAGCGAGAGTGACGACGATGATCGACGTCGACTCTCGTTTTCAAAATGTTTACAAGGCAATGAACGTTCTCAACGCTATCACGAAATAAAATGAAAGACTTCAAAAATATGTCCACCATTGAGGTTAAAAACTGTGGCAATGCATATTTCGCTAAGAAGCAGTACGATTCAGCCATCGATTGTTATAGTAAAGCCATTGTAAGTGGTTTAATTGACTTTGATAAAGTTTGATAATCCTCGCCAATTTTTGACATTCATATCGCAGCAGTGAAAACCATTGTATTTAATCAATAATAAGGCACAATGCATAACGATCTCTGCCTTTCAAATACTTGTGTTTTATAATCATTGAACATACAATTTAGATTTGAATTTTTAAAATGAAATTATGAACATTTTGACATAATTGATCATCGTTCCTTTAATTGTATTTTAATATAAACTTTGTAGTCCGTGACGAAATATTTTTACATTAATATTCTGAGTTTCGATTGTGTCATTCTGTGGTAGATATCAACAGAAAATCTTCCCCTTGTTTGAAATTTCACTGAACATATAAGATATTGCCCAATCAAGCTTTTTAGTGATATTGATACAGATGGTGGTACTTGGTACAGTACAGTACCACATTTCATACATAGTGTTATCCATCATTGCACCCATATTTCCCCTTTTATGTGTAGAGCAAAAGTCCAGACATGGCAACATTGTTCACAAATCGAGCCTTATGCTATTTGAAGTTAAAAAAATGGGAGCAAGCTTGTAATGATTGCCGGCATGCCTTGGAGATAGACAGTAATATTGTGAAAGGGTACTATTTTCTTGGTCAGGCTTTACTGGAACAACAGTTATTCGATGATTGTATAACAAACTTGCAAAAAGGTTGGAATGGCAATGTTTTTCTTTGTTAGAGATGAACATTGCAAACTTTATTTCATTTGCAACATTGCTAGGCCCAAGAAGTAAAACTCAATGTACAAAGTTCATAATTTTTAGCTTTAGACGCTTCCAAAAAACAGAAAAGTAATTTTGGTGATGACATAGCATTTTCTTTACGAGAAGCTAAGAGAAAGGTAAACTTTTTTGATCACAACCACATGTGGTGATCTTTTATATCTTATGCAACCCAATTGCTTATAGCGTTTTCAAAAACAAGAGGAAAAAAGAATTCAAGAAGAGATTGAATTGCAGACATATTTAAATAGCTTAATCAAACAAGATTTTGAAAGGTAATGAATTTCTTTCCATAAATGAATAGGCAAAAATCACTAGATTGAGACTTTTACATCAACTCCTGTACAAGTTGCAACGGCATTCTTTAAACTCTTTGTTATAAATTTGGCATTAATATTCAGAAAGATAAGTGCAACTTCCAAAAATGATGATGGAGAGAGAAACAGACTTAACATTGAAGCAGTGAGTCGTCAATACCTGATTTTGAAAAAATAAATTTCCAGTCTAAGAATGTCACCATGTACGTAGTTTGACAAATTTTATGCAACATACATAGGAAAGTCGAATGGCCGAGGTCAACAAAATCTTTGCACAAGTGGATGAAAGACGAAAAGTAATTTCTCTGAATTGATTTGGAAAATCTACTTTGTTGTTGTGTCAGTGTTTTGTCTTCATACAACTATATATTAAATTTCTTACATGTTTTATATCTTGTTACTTAGCAACGTGAAGTACCGGACTACATCTGTGGAAAGATCAGTTTTGAGATCATGAAAGATCCTGTGATAACCCCTAGTGGCATTACGTATCCTTTACAAAAAAACAATCCCATGATAATCCCTAGTGGCATTACATATCCTATACAAAGAACTATCCCGTGATAACCCCTAGTGGCATTACATATCCTTTACAAAAAAACAATCCCGTGATAACCCCTAGTGGCATTAGGTATCCTATACAAAACACGATCCCATCATAACCCCTAGTGGCATTACGTATCCTATACAAAAAACACCCTCTCAAAGAAAGATTGCCTAGACGTGGAAAATACATAAGTCCTAAATTAAATAACTTTAACCTGTCTGAGAAAGGAATGTTTCTTTGATTTTTATAACAGATATGATCGCAAAGATATTGAAGAACATTTACAGGTAAAACAAAATATAACGCTTTTTATGAAGTCAAGCTCAAACAGTGGTAGTCCGGGAGAGGGTCACAAGTTTCAGAATGCATTATATTACTGATCAGTTTGATCTTTGTAATGGTTTTGGTAAATTTTATGTTATAACATAGGTAAAAGTTTATTAAAATCAAAGGTTAGAAGAAATGCAGTTAGGAAACCAGTAAATTAGTAATTTAGAAACAATTTTACCGACATATGCTCCTTTATGAAAAAGCAGTAAAGTCTGAATTGTCTGATATAATAATGCCATTTTTGATGGTGTAAAAATCATTGTGTTTCAGAGAGTGGGGCACTTTGATCCAGTTACAAGGACAGAACTAACACAAGAACAGTTAATACCTAACTTAGCAATGAAAGAAGTTGTCGATACATTTGTCAGTGAGAATGATTGGGTTGTAATGGAATACTGACTGTGAAGGGTTTGGGGTCTTTTCTTCTTGCTTGAGTTGTTGTTCTCATACTGTTTGTGAGAAGTGAAAGATTGGAAAAGTTAAGTGTGTGAAAGAACAAGAAATGATAAAATAAAGTAAAATAAATGGACCACTTGTTGTCCCATCACTTGTACACTGATGCATCCAAAAACTGTAACTTGTCATAATAAACTTTGTGTGATGCTATCAGGGATGATTTTGACTATTTTAACTCAGAAGATCACACTTGTAACAATTACTATTTTTATGAACTACTTTTTAAAATCCCCCTTTTGTGTGTTGCATTAGTTGAGACCATTTCAACTGAGAGTAAAGCATTGAACTAAAATACGTGGAAGTTGCGGAACGCTACCTTTTATACAAAACCCTCATAATTTTTTGAAGCCGTGATGATTTTACACCCAGACACGCATGTGTAGTCAATCAATTATTACTCCGCGAGAGAATCGCGAAACACTAAACACGCGTGTCTGGAGTAAAGTCTCCCATGTCTGATGTAAGATTTGGCTTCAATTATTTGCTTCAGGAAGCATTCCATGTATTTCAGTTTAATGTTGTAAAGGCTATCTCTTCTTGCTATCATTTGAGAGAGACATGTTGCATTACTGAACACGAGATAACAAATGTGAACTTAGCCCGGAGCCTGACCGTGGTCTAGAGCCAATATGTGCCAGAGCATGACGTTGACCTAGAGAATGACCTTGGCTTTGAGCATGACCTTGGCCAAAGAGCATACCTTGGCTTAGAGCATGACCTTGGCGAAAGAGCATGACCTTGGAGCAAGACCTTGGCTTTGAGCATGACCTTGGCCAAAGAGCATACCTTGGCTTAGAGCATGACCTTGGCGAAAGAGCATGACCTTGGCTTAGAGCAAGACCTTGGCTTTGAGCATGACCTTGGCCAAAGAGCATACCTTGGCTTAGAGCATGACCTTGGCTTAGAGCATGACCTTGGCTTAGAGCAAGACCTTGGCTTAGAGCATGACCTTGGCCAGTGGCTGTCCAGGATCAATGTGGGAACAATGAAACATTTAACATTTCATTGTTTACTTCATTATACATATATCCTTAACAATTAATATAAAATAAAGCACTTGTTCACTAAGACCCGATGTAAACAATATTCTCTGTTGCCCTCAATGTTTCAAATATCAACACCATTGGAAACATTCAAAGTCTCCAGTTAACAAAACACACAGTTTCTCTGGGTCTTAGGAAACTACTATTAAATGCTAATTTTACATAAAGTAAATGAATATAAATTGACAAGTTGTAAATTAAAGCATAAAGTTGAAAATTAACGTAGACAAAGTTATTCTTACAATAAAGAACTAAAATATGAATACAATGTATAAGTGTCCAGCACTTGTGGCAATGATAAGAAATTGAATTGTGCAATAAATCAATATAAACAGGTAGAAATTTTACAGCTAATACATTTACATCACTCGTGATATTTTGGAAATTCACATTGAAAAACAGCACAGGTGACTGGGGGATTTTCATGGATATAGTTTCTCGTGAGATATGTTACCTTTAATCTGGTGAACTTTCTTCTCTGTTTTTTAGATAAGCTTCAACTTTACAAAGATTGTCTTCTAAAGAATTGATTTTTAATTTAATTTACAATGAAATATTAAAGAAATATAAAAACATTTTCCATGTTTTTACAGAGTTAGGTACGCACCCTGTAATGTTTGGGAAAAACAAAAATTGCATGGTAAGCAAGACGACCAAGTGCTAACATTTCCAAGCAATTTTGATTTCCTCCCAAACTTTTACAAGTGTTTTTAACAGGCTATTTTATTAATAGAAGTGTAACTCATTGTCAGTTAGTGCAGAAATAGTATTTTTCCTAGAAAATACATATGTAGGAAAATGCATTAACATGAAAGCACAATACATAATTGGCTACACAAGCATGTTGACTATTCCAATTTTAATTTTTTGATGAAAAAATGCACATAGCAATAACTATTATTGGAGGGTGCTAGACAATGTAGGGGGATGGGTGTGCAGACTCCAGTATAATATACATCCCTGCGTGCAACATAGAACAAAACACTACCATTACCTTTAATGTCTAATGGTTCTTTGGTTATATATTCCACAGTTCCTGTAGGTCTTTCATCTGAAGAAACAAAATCATCCGGCACATGCTACGTACTTAATCCAAAACATAAATGAACATTTTGTAAATAAATAAACATAAATTTAAACACGCACCTTTTTTAAGGTCACTCTCAACCTTTTCCCACTCTGTTTGAAAGAAATATATTCAGACAAAATTCAGTAGGTAGTCATGAAATGTTTTTGCTGATAATTTATAACCTTTGATGACACACCTTTTAGTAAATGACTGGCATAAAGTCTATGTGAAGACTCCTTCCTCTCTTTATTGTCAAATTGTGAATTTCTAGGAGAGTTACTTCGCCTACTTCGTGGGCTAGATCCACCTGACTTATTATTGTACTCCCTAGAATTAAAATGGGAGCTGTTTAAGTTTAACATGAAACACATACAGCCTAATGCAAACAAGACTGGAAAGTTTGTATTGCGCACATGACATCTCGAGTGAGCAGTTTTGAGAAAACTAGGCTTTTGGGCATGCTAATTTTGAATCTTACATAGGTGCAAATTTCTCAAACTTTCCAGTCAGGATTACAAGCGACATTGCCCCAGATCAATAAACTTCGCACAGTTCAACATCCCCAGAAGAAACGCTTCTTGAGTTGGGACCATGACCAAGTTGACCCCAAAATGAATGTCTGCTTCCCAAAAGTTTTGAGATGTAATGGCTTACTGGTAAATGCTTCAAAGCGGGAAATTTTTCACAGAAATGTCCAATTCTGTTTGGTTTCCGCCATAACTAGACATTTGAGTGAACATATGGAATTTACCCTTCCTCAATTATCGAGTGGGCTACGCCGTTTTATCTTTCATTACTCAATGAGTTACCATCCCACACTACACATGCTGCCTATCTCCAGTGTACACATAAGATAATTTCACGGTTTTGGAAAAGCATTTTCACAAACATATAGTCTATAGGATCACTTGATCAATGATCAGTTAAAACTTCATATTATGGACATTTATTTTACCTAGACCAAAAGTCACGCTTCTTCATGTCTCCTCTTGAGCCTAAACAAATTGAAAAATTACTTTAAATTGTCAACATGTTAATGGAAACAAAACAGAAAAAGGATGGTTTCACTTTTACAAACCTTTGTTGTTAGCTCGATTGGCAGCCATGTTGAACGTTAGGTAATTATATAAAATATTGCGAATGTTGTCAATTGTCATAATCAAGTTTTTTTGCTGGGGGTAAATCATTGAACTAAATATATAAGTGGGGGGCTGTTCACATGAGCCCGGTAGCCGGGATTCAGCGAACTGTTAAATCCTTTTGGCAAATGGAAAAGATCAAATACTTCACAACAAAAAACTTCTTTGAGCAATTTCACTATGCTCTGACTTTCCAAATGCACAAAACCTTTAAAATAAAAACAAATTACTTTGCCTGATTTGAAAATTACGACTAAAATGACTTATGACGCTTAAGGTACTCATTCCCCTTAGAAGTAAATTTTTTTAATTCTGATGATTGGCAGCCAAAAATAACAGTATTAGAAAGTTCATACTCGTACAAATCGCATCACTCTAATTTTTTTGTCATAACTCATTAATTATGCTAATTAACCAACATGGCGGCTAATTAATTACCATTAAATTAGTCTCACGGCAAACATGATAACTCAAGTTCTATTCGTAACTATGAGACACAATATATATTTGGGAAGCTTATAACCTGGGCTAGTGCATGACACTCTTGGATTTTGGAAACTATTTTTAGAAAAAAATTTGAGAAAACTGAAAATATTAGAAATTTTGACTCTAATTAAGAGATCAACATTCAATTAGTCATCATTAAAGATAAATACAAAATTTAAAGAGTGTCAGGCACTAAAATAGTTCATTTGCTTTTCACACACAAAATTTTAGCCTAATACTATTAATAATAAAGAAGTTATGGTGTCACAAAGATAGTCCTCTTTGCCGAAATCATGAAAGTAAGAAATTGTTATTTAAAGTTATAGTTGTGTTTTAATGACCTTAAAACTGCCTCAGAAATGACCAGGTTCATAAGTTACACCTTCTTTGTCTTTAGCATCATCTATATGTTTTTTCTTAAATGCCTGCACTTTTCTTCTTTTTTCACCTTTTCAGAGCTCATTTTGACTGAGAGGTTGATGCGATCCCGATCGCAATCATGAGCCCTTACTGGCAAACAAACCGGTACTATGTCCAATTCAGTTAGCATCTTTAACAAGGAAATGTCCCCATCATTGAACTTGAGTATAGCCAAGTAAGTGGCTAGAGCAACAGTTTCTTGTTCCACATAAATTGTCTTAGGGCACCGATCCCAGATAAGACCATTCAGACACTCGCTTACATTCTGGGTCAACCCGTGTGTGCATTTCGACAACAAGCTAGGGTTGCTGAGATTATCTAATATGGGCTCTATTAGCTCTACAATGCAATCAGGAATACCATTCTTATGTACATATGTCTCTTTATCTCTGGTAACCACACCAACTGTCACTTCCAATAGGGCAAAGCTGATGCGGGTTTTTCATTTGTTGAGGCTACATGAAAGAGAGCTGCCTTAATCTGCTTAGCCATTTCATTTACATCATTCAGATTGTTTCTCACAGCTAAACCATAATAATTCTGAAGCATATCAATTTTTCCATCAGTAAGTCTCCCTTTTCCACTTATTCCTTTCCCATCACTCAATTTCACCCCTTTCTTCAGATTCTTTAATTTCCTTAGACGACTTCCCACCCTCTTTGAACATGCCCGATACATTCTAACTTTTAGGAGTGCACTCTTCTCCATATGGTTTTCTTTCAACAATACTATTGTACGTAGCAGAATCTCCATCACCAAGCATACTGGTGTACTTTAAGCCTCTGGTGTTAACCGATCTTTCAAAAATCTTCACTGCTCCCGATGATTCCATGTTATTTGCACTCCCTTTATGGTTGATCTTACAATTATGTGATGCTTTCCATGAATGGTACCTGGGATCACTTTGCTTTTTCCCCCACTTCAAACATTGTTGACACTTGTCTGACAGCACCTCAACATCTATGCACTTCTTGGTGTCCAAGGAAATAGCTGTTACGATTCCATTGTGCGAAGCATGCCCCCTTTTCTGCCAAGTACCATCCATTGAAATACCACATTCTCCATTGCTGTTGACTTCTCTCACCTTCAAAGCACTGGTTAGCATACTATCATTTGCCAACTGTTTGACAGCAGGCAATAGCTTCTTATTTTGAATCTTTGTAAACACACGACGAGTAGGTGGAGCTGGCATATTCATTATTTTGCAGAAGGTGACCATTGCTGCATGTCCTCGTCCAATTTCTCTGAATGCCAACACAGTTCTAACATTCATTTCGTGGGAATAACCTTGCTTCTTCGATGTAGTGAAACAGTATTTCCAGCCACATTTTTCTGCATTACATTGCAAAACAATGTAATGTGAGAAGCCATTCTTTTTTCTTGATGTCGACATGAGAACTTACATTGCCATCACATTCTGGGCATTTTAGCAACTCGTCAAATACCCCAAACAGCAAGGACAAGTCCATAAATATTGTACCTTCTCTCAATATACCAATAGGCGAAGAAAATGATCCATAATTTGCACTAGGCGTGCCGATTTTAACTCCAGAAGGCCCTCACTAACATCATCTTCACCGCCGGCGCAGCCATGTTTGGGCATCTTGGCATTTTTGATGGGGAGTTCGAACCGCTTTCTCTTCTATTTCGCAAATTTCCCATTTTTAAACAAAATATAATCCAAATACAACAGGGTTAGTTATAGAACACTAAGAAACCAAGTTTTCGCAGTAAAATACAAAATTTCAACCGTTTAAACCAGACTTCGAATCAGAGGACAATCACTCGTGTGCTCGCTTTGGACAAAGATTGTCCGTTACTATGGTGTCCAAATTGGACCAATCAAAAGCAGCTAGGAGAAAAGGCTTTGAAAATACATCCACCAAAAGAAGAATTCAAAAAAATTATTTACGGAGGCTTTTATCATAAGAAAAAGTTGCTAGAAAGTGGTTGCTAAGGCGTTGTCAAGGGGAAAAATTATGGAAGGATGATTTCAAAAGTCTTTTCCACATAAAAATATACCTCCTAGATAAAAACAAACTATGTAATCTTAAAATACAGTATCCCAACTACCTAGAACATCAAAAAAAATTTTTTTGAAAAAATCTTAAAAATTTGTCTTTGTAAGGGGAATGAGTACCTTAAGAGGTTGTAAGTTTTGCGCTTAAAGTTTCTACTCGTTTCAATGACTCAAAATCATTTCACGCCTCTATGAATAACGGTTACCGGGCTAATCTGAACAGCCCCAAGGTTATCTTTAGGCAGGCCTGTACTTGCCGTCTTAAATGAAGCGAGATTTTACCCCCGGTAGAATGCAGGTCCGATAAGGTTTTCCACCCTTACAGACCTGAGAGCTGGTCTGACAGTATGAGTTTGTCTTGGTAATATACATTCATAATGCATAAGCCTTGCTCATGAAGAAAGGTTGTGTCGAAAACACACATACTGTATTTTCCTAGCCCCCTAATAGGCCCGCATCATATCGAGGACCTATACCCCACCTATACTACTATCGACGAAACCTATCTAAAATTTTACGAGGAACTAAATGAACCCCGCTCTCTCTCGCAAAAATCCATCTCTCGTACAAGTCCCTTTTCAAAAGGTTGCAAAACAACAACCCCTCCCCCCGTGCAGCTTAATATTTAAAGCCGTCTGTTTAATCGTGATTTTCTCACTCACGCACAAGAAAGGAGCCTGGAGTTTTGCAAGAGTAAGTACGGCAATGAAGTGAGTCGCTGTGAACGGCCACAAATTCTCCTTTCGTCTTTCGAGAAGTTCTCAATTTTGTACCAAACTCATTTTGACTGCAAAACTAGATTTAGTAGCCTAAAAAAAGCATACAAGATATTACATGAAGTAACAGTAGTATGTCGAGAAGCTAAACGATTGTAAACAGTTGTCATTGTTTGAAAACTTACTTCGTTCGTGGAAGATTTGGATACATGGAAGAGAAGTCAGCTAAAATATGATATAAAAAACCTCAAATAATCGTATACACTCAAACTAGGGGAAATAAGATGTTCTAGCTTGTATGAGATTTTTGGTGGCTATTGTATGAATAGACGAGTCACGTGAGATTTTTTTCAAGTATTACTTTTATACCTTTTACTTAAAAAAACTTAATTTTGGAAGTGTGCTCCTTTAAAAGCAATCACCATTTTCATTTGCTTAATTGTACGGCATATTTATTTTCTAAGAAAAAAATAGCATCCCCTTGCACCTCCAGTAATTCCACCCTGTTAAAAAATTACACCCTAAGAACCTCCAGTAATTCTACCCCTGTTATAAAAATAGCACCCTCTTGCACCTCCGGTTATTCTTCCCCTGTTACAAAATAAAATCTAACAAAGAACACCTCTAACAAAGTGAATGTTAATATAGGAGAAGCATGTTAAGCTTTAAACATTACAGCTTAATATCAACTCACTTTTTTTACCGGAAAGACATTCGCTGGATTTTCCAACTTGAAGAACTTGTGCTAATCTATCGACGGAAGTATGGACTAAATTTTCCCGCAAATCAACTGACACTAAAAATAATAACGACACCTGTGTTTATGATATTTCATGAACAACAAAACATAAAGAGGAGGGGGGTTTATGAAGCACACATTAATCATACTTTCAATTATCATAATACGCTACCGTCAGAAGGAATTTCATTTATAAGTTCAAGAAGTTCCATACATATCCCTCTCAGATCATAGATGCTCAATAAATTTGTGTAGTCAAGTTCATCCTCCATTACCTAAGAAGAATAAACAAATCAGAATAAGACTGCATTACCACAGAGAGTTTAAAAAAGAGTTGAAGAGTACCAAACTTTAAAAAAAAGTATGAAACAAATATTTTGATATTATGTTTTACGCTTATATTTTTACATAGAAAAAGAGGCGAGCTCTTTAGCTTTCCAGTCACATGTCTTTCATTTCATAATAATCAGAAATGATAGAGTATTCTTGTTGAAGTTGAAATTACATTTTCCCGCCGTTAGTAATTGAATACAATTACTGAAGATCCTTTAGTGCGGTATGCTACAGCACAGGAAAAAGCCGCTGTCCATTTGCGTTTGTTTGAAATGGCGGTGAAATCTCATTAATCAGTGGAATAATGCAATTTTTACTAGCAATTTTTATTTGAAGATAATTCGATTGCTTCCGATTTTTATGAAGTATTAACGTATCATCGAAACGCTAAAGAGCTCCTTTCTTTTATGCTAATAAATATTTAAGCGTAAAACACAATATCGAATACACGATACACTTTTTATAAACACTTCATTATTGGCAGTAAAAATAAAAGCTATTTTATTTTTCTTACTGCTAATTTGATGTAAGCTTTTCTACCTCTCCGGGTTCCATGTCATTGTCGTGGTCTTTCTCATCCAGCTGTTTCTTCGTCGCGAGAAAACTTTGAAGAACACCGAACTGAAGTTTAGAAAATACGAGCATGATGCTTTTACATTCATCGTTCATCGCGAGCAAGTTGCCACGTTTTTGCGATATGAAGCAAATTGGTCCCAATATACTCCATCTGTACAGGTTAAAGAAAGATTATTGATTAAATTCTCACATCAGGAGAAAGTCGTGACGATGCAAAGTTTTAAAAAACACTGCCTTTTGATTCGTAGTATGAATCAACTATACATTTATTTTAGTTCTCCTTTAACTCCCATTTCATTTTGATTTATGTATCATGAGCTGAACATCCATCGACTACCTACCTTATGAAATGATGCTATTTAAAACCTATCATAAGATACAGTTACATGTTTGTAAATGTTGATCGTCCATGTTAGTAAAGTCCTGAGAAGGACTGTTTTTATTGTTGATGACTGACGTTTCAATAACCTTAGCGGTAGTCATCTTCAGAGTCAAACGAGGAGTAAACGTCAGGTTAGCCGTATTTGTTAGCACAGTAGATTGTGACAGCATTCTCTCTGCGTACCACCTTCGTGGTCTGACGGACTGAAATGTTTTTGTGAAGTCTTACACATATTTATGGTTAACTCAATTGAATAATTTTATACAATTCATACGTATTTTCCCCCAAATAAACATTTTAGTCATTCCGATCATAATTTGTCTACCTTATGAGACCATCACTCAGTTGAATAACTTTATACAATTCATACGTTTTTTCCCAAAAATAAACATTTTAGTCATTTCGATCATAATTTGTCTACCTTACGAGGCCATGTAAAGGACACAAAGGAAGTTTTCGTGTTTGGTCTTTGGTTGAAGGAGGTGCCAACTCCTCGTTCGTCATACGACAGTTTGGCAGTGAAGCAAGGTGTTGTGGGTAAGACGTCAGTAAGACACCCGGTTGGCACGTGATCCAGTCAGCAACCAATTGCAGCAGTGATCTTGGTGGAAACAATGAGCTACCTTGCATTACACTCTCTGATGTCATCTGCTCATCTACAGAAAAGATTTCATGACACATTTCAATTCAAAGTCATTTCGTATCTCTCGGAATTGAGACGCACAGACGTTGGACGTACAGGACAGGACACACAGAGTTTGAATGGACGTACAGGGGAGTACACACAGAGTTTGAATGGACGTACAGGACAGTACACACAGAGTTTGAATGGACGTACAGGACAGGACACACAGAGTTTGAATGGACGTACAGGACAGTACACACAGAGTTTAAATGGACGTACACGAGAGTACACACAGAGTTTGAATGGACGTACAGGACAGGACACACTGTGTTTGAATGGACTTACAGGAGAGTACATACAGAGTTTGAATGGACGTATAGGAGAGTACACACAGAGTTTGAATGGACGTATAGGAGAGTACATACAGAGTTTGAATGGACGTACAGGAGAGTACACACAGAGTTTGAATGGACGTATAGGAGAGTACACACAAAGTTTGAACGGACGTACAGGAGAGTACACACAGAGTTTGAATGGACGTACAGGAGAGTACACACAGAGTTTGAATGGACGAATAGGAGAGTACACACAAAGTTTGAATGGACGTATAGGAGAGTACACACAGAGTTTGAATGGACGTATAGGAGAGTACACACATAGTTTGAATGGACGAATAGGAGAGTACACACAAAGTTTGAATGGACGTACAGGAGAGTACACACATAGTTTGAATGGACGAATAGGAGAGTACACACAAAGTTTGAACGGACGTACAGGAGAGTACACACAGAGTTTGAATGGACGTACAGGAGAGTACACACAGAGTTTGAATGGACGAATAGGAGAGTACACACAAAGTTTGAATGGACGTACAGGAGAGTACACACAGAGTTTGAATGGACGAATAGGAGAGTACACACAAAGTTTGAATGGACGTACAGGAGAGTACACACAGAGTTTGAATGGACGTACAGGAGAGTACACACAGAGTTTGAATGGACGAATAGGAGAGTACACACAAAGTTTGAATGGACGTACAGGAGAGTACACACAGAGTTTGAATGGACGTACAGGAGAGTACACACAGAGTTTGAATGGACGAATAGGAGAGTACACACAAAGTTTGAATGGACGTACAGGAGAGTACACACAAAGTTTGAACGGACGTACAGGAGAGTACACACAGAGTTTGAATGGACGTACAGGAGAGTACACACAGAGTTTGAATGGACGTACAGGAGAGTACACACAGAGTTTGAATGGACGTACAGGAGAGTACACACAGAGTTTGAATGGACGTATAGGAGAGTACACACAGAGTTTGAATGGACGTATAGGAGAGTACACACATAGTTTGAATGGACGAATAGGAGAGTACACACAAAGTTTGAATGGACGTACAGGAGAGTACACACATAGTTTGAATGGACGAATAGGAGAGTACACACAAAGTTTGAACGGACGTACAGGAGAGTACACACAGAGTTTGAATGGACGTACAGGAGAGTACACACAGAGTTTGAATGGACGTACAGGAGAGTACACACAGAGTTTGAATGGACGTATAGGAGAGTACACACAAAGTTTGAATGGACGTACAGGAGAGTACACACAGACTTTGGATGGAAGCACAGAGTTTGAACGCACAGGACAGTACACACATGCCAGACACACCAAAAGACTTTGCAATCAAATTTGATGACAGAGTAAAGAAAGGACATTAACTTTGGGGGTGGGAGAGTGTAGAAAGGTCACATACAGGAGTAACAACAAAAATTTTAAGATACCTTCAGACTTGAGTTTATACATTGGATAGAGGACTGTGACTGCAGTGAGAAACTGCGATGAGAACAGTGTTGAATGCTTGACCATTGACTCTAGAGCTGGTAGGGAACTGGGTACAAGAATACAGTAGTCGTAAATGATGGCTTGAATTAAATCCAGAACATCTTGAATGTATGAACGATGTTTCTGTAAGAGTTGAACAAATTAAATTAAAAACACTTGTGATTTTCACATTTACATGTCGCCCAAACTACTTCTTTTTTCTACGTACACATCTATCAAAAAAATTAACTAACTAGTCATGCAAGTCATCTGTGTACATCTATGAAACCTAGGAAAAATCATGCATCTTCACACAATCTTATATAATATCCTGTAAATTTATATTATCCAGGATTGTGTAGGATCTTAGCAGAACCACTGGCGTAGCCAGCCCGCAAGCGTACAATGCCAGTGCAAGGTTAAGAACTGTTACACAAATTGGCTCTAAAGTGAGCTAGATAATATTTCTATGTAATCTCTACCAACCATAATCCAAGCACCAACACAATCCAATATGGATGAACATTCTAATCCAATTGACATGGATAGCAGCTTTGACAATATTTTCAGACGAAACTCCTAAAGAAAACATTCATGAAAGAAATTTCAAAATTTGAAGATATATGTGGCTAAGATACAGATATTTCCTACAGTAATTTAATTAAATGGACCATACAGTACAGGGCTGTTTCCATTCCAAAATGTACATATTTACCCACGGAAACAACCACACATTTGACTGGACAGAAACTAAACTACTCGGACATGCACAAACAAAACACACATGCAAATTCAAAGAAGCTTGATACAGTAAAGACAACTACACAATAAACAGACATAACGACATACCATCATATATTCACAACTAAAAAAAAAAGACAAAAGAACTACAAACAACATCCTCTACAACATACAACAATACACTCTACCAATATCAACACCAATCACATCCACAATACACTAAAACCCATGGCAACACATTTTACACCATCCAATCATATTAATACACCAGCTAATCCAAATAGACGCTCTAAACATCTACAAGCTAAAAAACAACTGTAAATAGATAACTTCCTCATTCTTAAGAAGGCTTGAAGCACCGAGTCGAAAGCTCAATAAAATAATTTTACAATCCGGAGAAACTTTCATTTTTGATACATTAAATGCCTGGATTACCAATTTTCAAGTATATATGTATATCTATACATTGTAAAGTTAGTTTTAGATGTAGATCAGCCGCATTAACAAAGTCCTGAAAACTGATTGTTGATGATAGTGTTGAGTGATTAAATACTTCTGCCTGGTCCTTAATTACGACATAAGCACAAGAATAAGCATTAATGTCCTCATTTGTAATAAACTACAATAAGCGCAAGCATAAGCATAAGCATAAAAAGAATGGAGAGTTTTGATAATCTTGTACTCATGATTATGCTCATGTGGCAAGTGAGGACTAGGCTATCAATAGGTAGGTAGTCATCTTCTGAGTGATGTGAAACAGTCAACACTGACACCAACATTTCTTCTTGAGACTACACTAATCTGGAAAATAAACATCTACAAATATGTAACGATATTCCTGGGTTTGAATAATGCACTTTAAATTGTTATTTCTAAACATATATGTTTTCCAAAAATCCGATCAAAAGATGACATACAATCCTAGGAACATCAAAAGTCAGAAAGTACAAATAAATGTGTTTTACGTAAAGGAGATACCTTAATTTCATCATGTGGACTTAGATTGAACATCGTTGCAAATTGTAAATATTTGCAAATTTCATCTATATTGCTCTGAAAATGACTGCAAATTATTTCCAAAAGTTGTAATTCTTGCAGCGCAGAGAGTTGTTTGCCTTCATTGAAAATAAATTCATCGACAATTTCACCTATTACATCAACATTATCAAGATCTTCCTCAGAGATGTCAAAGTGAGCACAACGTTTTAAAGCGGTCACAAAATAAACTTCTTGTACGTTCAAGGTACGTTTCCACGAGGAAGGCGGAACTTGTTTCTTCAGATTTTGACGAATAAACAAGACTTTTGATGATATTTCAGACTTCCACGATGCAACATCTACACCAAAGGACAGGCCATCGTTATACATACAAAAATCTCAGGTGATTCTGGTCTAAAATCCAAACCACAAGTTTGGCTTGGAGTTTGAACCGAATATTAGATTATAGTCACTATTCAACTTACTCCAAACATCTTCACCGCTACGTTCTTGCATATTGGCTGATTTCAGAATCATATATCAAAAATTAATCATTTCTACATTCAACACAAAATATCTTTAGTTTCCATTGTGTAAACTGCTATAAAAATTGTTTTTAAACAATGTTTAACTTTGCTGGTGACTTTGGTCACTTTGCAAACGAAGCGATAAAACTACATGAAGTATTTTCCGTTACAACAAACTGACAGAACCACTGACCTGAGGAAACAAGGGCCTGGAACTGTGAACTGCATTGGTGAACTGTAATATCAACTGTAATATCAACTGTGAACTGTAATATCAACTGGAACAATTACTCCTTTTTATCAACTTTTAAAAAATCTCTTATAGCAGAAAAATATACGATTTGAACTGTGCAACAACTGAAATAAAAGATCAAAAACCATGACCAGCCGACAATTTAAAGAAGTATAATATAAAACAAATTCCGAAGAAGCAAGACATCTTGAGATTGCAAAATATGCGTCAAAACAGGACGAGAAGTAAACTGTAAATAATCGACTTTATTTCAAAGTCATCCTCAGACAGAATGACATTTAAAACCATACATACACATATATATATTTACAACGCATGAAATAAGTAAACGGAAATAAGCAATAGAAATTAAATAGTGTGATATTTACAATGAGTTGGAAGAGGTGTAGTATTTCAAAAGGATGAATTGAAACTGCCGACCCGACTGGTAGAATGAGTGTGTTATAAATTAAGAAAAGAGTTGTAATTCTTTGCTAGCCTTAAGTCCCGTGTTGAGAAAAGGTTTGTTATGTTTGATGAGTAGTGCTTCAAGAAAAGCAAGAATATGGTAGTTTTTAGATTTGGTTGAGTGAAGTATTTTATAGTTGTTGAATACAAGGTTTTCTATAGGAGAGGGAGTTCTGGGAGGTGGAGGGAGATCATTGAGTTGCGAGAACTGGTTTTGTAGAGTCGCCAGGAATTGAGCGTTTTCGCACTCAGAGAAATGCTGACCAACTGCACTAGAAGAGAGTCTGGTTGCATGTTCTCTGAGCCCTACAGACAGGCATCTTTGTGTCATGCCAATGCAGGTTTTACCACAGCCAGGGCAAGTTATTTCGTATAAAAGATTACTGCGAGAAAGTTAAGGAAGTTTGTCCTTGTTAGCGACAAAATAGGACAGTTTTTTAGTGTCATACATAGTAATAAGTTTCACCGGTTGTGAAAGATGTTTTTGTATTTTCTTAAAACAGGACTTTAAGAGGAAATCAGCACGCATGCCAAGATATACTTTTATATCAGGTGGCAATACAGCTGTTACAATCATTATGAATTGTATGTGGATGCACAGCATACTTTTATATCAGGTGGCAATACAGCTGTTACAATCATTATGAGTTGTATGTGGATGTACAGCATACTTTTATATCAGGTGACAATACAGCTGTTACAATCATTATGAATTGTATGTGGATGCACAGCATACTTTTATATCAGGTGGCAATAACGCTGTTACAATCATTATGAGTTGTATGTAGATGCATAGCATACTTTTATATCAGGTGGCAATACAGCTGTTACAATCATTATGAGTTGTATGTAGATGCATAGCATACTTTTATATCAGGTGGCAATACAGCTGTTACAATCATTATGAGTTGTATGTGGATGCACAGCATACTTTTATATCAGGTGGCAATACAGCTGTTACAATCATTATGAGATGTATGTAGATGCACAGCATACTTTTATATCAGGTGACAATACAGCTGTTACAATCATTATGAGTTGTATGTAGATGCATAGCATACTTTTATATCAGGTGGCAATACAGCTGTTACAATCATTATGAGATGTATGTGGATGCACAGCATACTTTTATATCAGGTGACAATACAGCTGTTACAATCATTATGAGTTGTATGTGGATGCACAGCATACTTTTATATCAGGTGGCAATACAGCTGTTACAATCATTATGAGATGTATGTAGATGCACAGCATACTTTTATATCATGTGGCAATACAGCTGTTACAATCATTATGAGATGTATGTGGATGTACAGTATACTTTTATATCAGGTGACAATACAGCTGTTACAATCATTATGAGTTGTATGTGGATGCACAGCATACTTTTATATCAGGTGACAATACAGCTGTTACAATCATTATGAGATGTATGTGGATGTACAGTATACTTTTATATCAGGTGACAATACAGCTGTTACAATCATTATGAGTTGTATGTGGATGCACAGCATACTTTTATATCAGGTGACAATACAGCTGTTACAATCATTATGAGATGTATGTAGATGCACAGCATACTTTTATATCATGTGGCAATACAGCTGTTACAATCATTATGAGATGTATGTGGATGTACAGCATACTTTTATATCAGGTGACAATACAGCTGTTACAATCATTATGAGTTGTATGTGGATGCACAGCATACTTTTATATCAGGTGACAATACAGCTGTTACAATCATTATGAGATGTATGTGGATGTACAGCATACTTTTATATCAGGTGACAATACAGCTGTTACAATCATTATGAGTTGTATGTGGATGCACAGCATACTTTTATATCAGGTGACAATACAGCTGTTACAATCATTATGAGTTGTATGTGGATGTACAGCATACTTTTATATCAGGTGACAATACAGCTGTTACAATCATTATGAGTTGTATGTGGATGCACAGCATACTTTTATATCAGGTGACAATACAGCTGTTACAATCATTATGAGATGTATGTGGATGTACAGTATACTTTTATATCAGGTGACAATACAGCTGTTACAATCATTATGAGATGTATGTGGATGAACAGCATACTTTTATATCAGGTGGCAATACAGCTGTTACAATCATTATGAGATGTATGTGGATGTACAGCATACTTTTATATCAGGTGGCAATACAGCTGTTACAATCATTATGAGTTGTATGTGGATGCACAGCATACTTTTATATCAGGTGGCAATACAGCTGTTACAATCATTATGAGATGTATGTGGATGTACAGAATACTTTTATATCAGGTGACAATACAGCTGTTACAATCATTATGAGTTGTATGTGGATGCACAGCATACTTTTATATCAGGTGGCAATACAGCTGTTACAATCATTATGAGATGTATGTGGATGCACAGCATACTTTTATATCAGGTGACAATACAGCTGTTACAATCAGTGCATGCTGTCCATTATAAATTATTGTGATAAATATCAGTTCTATCAATTTTAAAGTACCTTTTCTAAAAAATTTTTGATTTCTGATGCTGGTAAATCATCTAAAGTAAGTTTGAGCTGTTCACACAGACCTGAAACCACATAGTCATAAGCCCAAGGTTTTAAAATGCATGGTGACGGACCACCTTGCAAAATGGAGGTAGCCATAAATTTTCCAGAATACAAAAATTCATTCTCTGTTATTGCTGATGTTGAGATAATGGGAACACCAGTAATGAACAGTCATTGTGTAATTTCTTTAAGAACTTCTGCAAACATAAAGAAGGATTTTTTAAATGCTCCACATATAAATATGTGGCAATGACTGTTTAAAGGCAATGGACTTTTTTACTTTTTAAAAACAAAAAATGAGTCAAACCTGTTAAAAATTCTCTCCTTGGTCTTCCAGTACCTTGAGCAGGCTCACCAATAAAAACTACTTTAAGTTTATTTTCATCGATAATCCAGCTACAACATTTTCTTGTATCAATGTAATCAGCAAATAGCTGGCCTCTCCTTACATTTATTCTAGATTGTGCTTTGAGATTTTTCACTAACGGTTCAAGAATATCTGAAATTGACTTCACACCAGTATCCAAACTCACATCCTCAGTGACATCCCCACTTGTGTTTCCTTCTGCAATGCCATCTAGAAGTTCAAATTTTGTTTCTTGATAAAAAGCCCGTCGGTTAGCATTTTCTGCACATATGTCTGCATGTAATACAATGTCTTTATCTACAAAATACCTAGGAAACGGTAATAACATTTATACATGGTAACAGAAACCATAAAAATCATAAGGCCGTATCTTTGCTTTACATAACAATAAGATTTAATGTTTAAAATTAAGTTGCACAAAATAAATGGCCACGTATCAACTCAAACGACGCTGACATTTGACGCTTAACTTTTCAGAACTTTAAATTTATCTGAAAGATTGAATGTTCAAAGTTCCAACCGTCGACCAGCAAAAGGTTTGTAAAACATCGTAAACACACAAAGATAAAGAATTATCATGTGTGTTTACGATGTATAAATGTGACCTTAAATACAAAATGTTTGTCATATTTAATTAATATATTTTTACTAAATATTAGTCACACCTTAGTACTATGAAATATACATCATAGATACCCGTAGCAATTTGTAATCCTGGAATTGTATACCAAACAAACGAAGTTGCAAATACAAACAATTTAATTACGAAAAATAATTACTGCCATCGAAAGGAAGGCCTGTTTATCGTGATGTGTTTGTTTGCCAAGGAATTGAAATTGCTTGCTAGCATGCAATTATATTCATCTTTGGGTCCGGACGGTATATTTATAAAATATGTATTATTTCATTATACTTGTGATAGTATGAAATGACATTTATGAATCAGGAAGAAAATTTAGTTTGAAATTGCAAATGGATTTATGCATGCCATCATTGAATGTTTTAAATATTTGGTCGTTTTTTTAACATTTAGTCGTTTTGTAACGTTGCAATTATCTTTCGTCGAGCTGTTGACGCTAAGGTGATACATGCAAATTCATAGCACTAAAAAAACTGAAAATCTTTGATTTCTGATTTGTAAAAACAGAGATTTTGGACCACATGGTGGTGTACAGCAGAAATTCTAATATAATTCTGTCACGTTTGAGGCTCTTCTGGTTAAAATTAGACCGATTAACTAATTATAAACTAATTATTCAATTCAATTACAGCAATGAACATTTTTGTATTCTGGGTGTGGAATCGTTTTGACTTGTGATTTTGATAAACTTAACTTTTGCCACTTTACAAATCAATTCAGATTACCAGAAACAGCTTGTAGTTAAATATACCTAAAAGATACAACCAAACATTGAACTTGATGTTAACAAATATTTATAATTTCTACAAGACTACAACAAGAATTCTCTATCACCTTCCCTTCATTTGATTTATCACAATATAATGCAATGTCACCTTATCCAACTCTTTTCTATTTCTTTGATTGTCTTATCATACTCTTCTAAAATTTCTGGTTCCCTTTTCAGCCATACTAACTGACCCTTTAATCTTCTCAAACTTATGCTGTAATTTGTATAGTCTAAACTATGTCTATACATCTTCCTCTGCTATTCCTAAAGTTTCAAAATCCGACAAATGGTTGACATTCTTAACTAAACTTAAATTTCCTGAACTTTCATGCGCAATAAAGTTTACTTGAGTGTGCATGTTATCCAAATCATTTCTTGCTTTCATGGGACCGGACAACACCCAACCTAACTTAGTAGACACAGCAACAGGTTCATCTACCTGTCCCCGAACAACATTGCCTACTTGAAACCACCAATGATAGTCTGCTCCAATCAAAACTTCAATACCTAAAACTTCCTTATCTTTGCAAACATCTGAAAACCACAGACACTTTAAATGTGAATAATCCATCTTTCTTAACTCTACATGTGCATTCCTAATTTGAGATATACAGTCTACACTGTATGCCTCAATGCTTATACTCTCTCCCCATGTAACTGACGACAACTCTAATTGAAACACCTCTCGCAACTTACCTTCAGCCTTCTATAAACCAAACGACTTAATTTCTATCCAATCCTTTTTACTAGCCTGAATACCTGGTCTCTGAAAAATCTTTCTATTTACAAATGACTTGTGACTTCCTGAATCAAACAACACTCTGTCCCTAACACGTCCCTTAGGTCCCTTAATAAAAGCCTGTGCTGTCTGTAATGCTACCCTACAATGAGATCCCAGAATAGAATGATTGGTTTGAACATTGCCTGTAAGAATCCCGTTGACTTCACAAATTGACCTATGGTGTGCCTTCTCACATGCATTACATTTATCATTACTATTACAATTCTTACTGACATGTCCTTTCTTCAAACAAATAAAACATCTTCCGTACTTACGAATGAGTTGTTTTCTCTCAGTGACATTGGTTATTTTCTTACAATCCTCTGGATTGTGTTCCCCGCGACAATAAACGCATTTTCTTTTCGCTTTACCGTTCGTTGACTCCTCGTTGCAACTCTCGTGCTTCGCGTGAAGTGCTGATGCTGACGCCATATTTCTTTGTCGCGACGTTTCTCGTTGTTTCTCTCCATCCTGTCTCTTGGTTTTCTCGCCGATCGGTGTGTGAGCTTCTCGAAGCTCCAACTTTTTTTTCGTTCAACGCATCTTTCATTGACCATTCCGTGAAATCGAATCCTCTTGTTATTGTCAATCGAAAAGCGTCCGGCAACTTCGCAATGACTTCCGGTCCGGTACTACGATTGAAGAATATACGGCTTCGTCCACTCCTAAAGCCTTTAAACCCCGGTAGCTTGTCTCAAAGGTGTCGTATAACCGCCGAAGCTTGTCGATATCTCCTTCGTCCGTTACGGGTTTTATGTTCATTGACTCCTAGATATGCGCTTTCTGGATTATGTTCTTTTCCCGTATCTTCGTTTCAACAAACTACAGCTTCGTGATAGTTCGCTGAAGTTAGGGCAAATCCCGATATTGTCGATCTTGCAGGTTCGAGCAAAAAACTCCTTAAATGCTCAAACTTGTCTACGTCAGCCAATCCGTCATTATTATTCACCGCACTATCAAAAGAGTCCCAAAACTCTTGCCATTCTTGCAGCCGTCCGCTAAATTTCTTTACTTCCACATTTAGGAGTTTTGCTCTTATAACTCTGCGCGTCTCACTACTTAAACTGCTGTTCAGCGTGCCATTTAATGTCGTTGTTGCTGTTTCAACTGGGACATTAGACTCCTTGACGATGTCGTTCACATCCAAAATTCCTTGCTCGAATTCTGCCTGTATCTTGTCCGCATCTTCAATTTCTTTTCCCAATTCTTCCGCATTTTCCTCATTGCTTTAGCTCAGCATATCGATAATCGCATCATCAAAAATTTTCAATGTTGCGATCTTGTCGTTTTATCCATCTCGTAGTTGTTTCAGTTCGTTTCTATCGATCTCGCCGTCCGTTTCTCGTATTTTCTCTTTTAATTTACTAGCAATTTTCCTCACTGATCCTCTATGTCCTGCGTGCACTCGTTTCTTTTTCATAAATTCCTCCATTCTGCTATTGGACTAACAAACTTGAATTTCCAAATAGATCTCCAACTAAAATATCTCCGACTCGAAGGACCACGTGTAGCAATTTTCTCCTTTGCACGTTAGCACAAAGCAGTTATACGTCTGCCGATTCGTTTTTGGGACTGTATACAATCCCACTGTACGCGCAGTCGACACACAATTCTCAATTTTACTCAATATAACTATTCTGCATCACAGATAATCGTAAACATTTCAAGCTTTTACATTCACAGCCAGCGACAGAAGAACCTTGACATTTTACATGTCACAACTCAAAAAGTATTAACATACGTTCCTATTTCAGTTCTTCCATAAGTTCCTAGTATCAAATAACAATTATCAATTACTTATTCACATAAGTTCGGACACTTAGACTTCAAATACAATATATATTTGATTTTTAGGAGGCGCTGTAATGAATAAGAGCGTCAAATTTTAAAATTGTATTAGAGAAACGCATTTGGCATTATACGGTTAGTATGATTTCACTCCTTAAAGTCCATGAAATGGCATTTTAGAGCTTCTTAATAAAGAATTTTCCCTGAGAGCATTTACCCCAGGACTTCCCAAACACGACTTGCACCTTAGGTTCTCAGCTCAGGCTTTGGTCCCCGTTTTTAAATTGTGTATATTTGGGGCCCATTTCAAGTGGTAGCTGACTGCCCCCCTTGGAGTGTTCCTGGCACGAAACTGATCCCCCCCTATATTAAACAAAATTATTCAAAATACCTGTTAACCCAACAGGACTCTGTCGAACCAACTTAAATGTGCTCGCAAAGTGTCGTCATTTGATGGCCGCCATAATTTTTCCGTTTCAAAAAAATGTGTTAAATTTTACTTTTCTTACATGACATACATCACGAAGAAGCCACTGACTGACTCTTAACCTTAAGCTTCGTTTAACGGCTCAGATATTTCATTTTCAATGGGAAATGTTGCACTTTGCCCCAGATTACGCTACGTTAACGTGACTTATATAAATCAATGGCCAAAAGGTAAGTTCCTTTCCCATAAACCAATATTAAACATTCATCCCCATGAATTACTTTCGTTGGCTTTCTCAACTCTTCATAGTCCTTACATGAAGTTTGATTTCTTCATGTAAATTCTCGACTTTAACAAAGAGTGATGCATGTTGAAGGTCGAACTTTTGAAGTTGATTGATTTTAAATGTCTTGTTGATACATCATATTCTTTTTTAGATGGAATCAAGAGAAAACAGAAATCTACTTTACTTTAGAGCAGTAATTAATGTGGTACAAAAGGAACTTGCTCAATTTTTCATCAAAGAATGGAACTCTCGTTACAAACATAAATATGGAGAATGGGATGATACACTCAAAAGTGGCAAAATATTTTGCAAGTTAGAATCCAAAATGTTAAAGTTGGATAAAGAACAAAAGTTAGAATATAAAAATGGAGACACAAATAAATGGGAATGCACAACATTACTCAATGCTATACTTCTTTCAAAATCGATTGGAAAGCATCTTGACACAAAAACAAAGGATGCTTTTCATGCACTTCATTGTGAAACAAAGAAATACGCACAATGGTATAAAAGCGAATGCTCAGATGATGATTTTGATGAAATAGTCAATATCATTGAAAAATCATTTCAAGATTTGAAATTTTCTCTTGATGAAATCATTGAAATAAAAAATCATCGAAACAGTTTTAATTCGTTTCAAGTTCTTCCTTCAAAATCTAATCATTTTTTTGTTGAACGCACTGAATTACGAGATAAAATTATAAAAGATCTTGAAAAGATAAGGAATGATAACAATAACGAACTGACATGTTTTTACATCACTGGTAATCCTGGCAGTGGTAAATCACAACTTGCAAGACAGGTTTGTGAAAAAATATCGTGTGATTGGAAAAATAAAACTTCGTTTGTAATGACTTTCGATGGGAAGAATGTGGAATCTCTTTTACAATCTTACTGTGACCTTGGATACCGTTTAAACTGTAACAAGTTTATGGTTGAAAAATTTAAAGATGAAAATGTTTCCGCCAAAGAGAAAGTCAAGAACCTTCGATCATTAGTATCTCCTCGATTGAAATTCTGGCAAAATTGGTTTATTATTGTCGACAACGTTGTGCAACTGAGCGAAATTTCTTCGTTACTACCACAAGTAGGTGATCACATGTGGAAAAATGGACAACTAATAATAACTGTTCAGAACACAGATGCCGTACCTTACGATGAATTGTCCAGCAAACATATTTCTATCAGTAGTGGAATGAATGACAGAGAATGTTGTCAATTGTTGAATTCTTACACTAAAGATGAAAATGCTGATGATCAATTGTTGAATGAAGTATCCCACGCATTAGATCGTCAACCGCTGGCTTTGGCTACTACTGGTTATTATGTCAGTCGTGTAAACAAAACAAACTGCTCATTTACTTGGAGTCACTATTTAAAGAAAATATCTTCAGAAGAAGAAGAAAGCATGGACGCCACTTTTGTTAAATTAAACTCGGTGTATCCTAGAAGTATGTTACAAGCTTCACTTTTAGCTGTCAGACAAAATGCTGAAGAATCCTCAATATTGGCAAATGTTATTAACTTTTTTTCCGTGATATCGTTTGATCCTATACCACGAGACATTATTGTTTTTTATGTTCAAGAAATTGATCCCAAACACTCAGAGGAAGATATATGTCTTTGTTTAGACGAATGCTCATTGTTCTTGCATTCAGAAAATGACATTAGTCTACATCGCATTGTTCACAAAGCAATTATTGTTCATCAATCTGAACACTTAAATGAAGAACATGAAATGGAAAGAAACGTTGATCAAATATCTAAAGCACTTTACATGTTTAAAGAGAGAGACGACGAAATCAAATTAATGCCACATCTTGAAAAACTTATTCAATTATTTAAGACCAACAAGACAAAAATCAACATGAATACTTTACAAATTTTCCAATATTTTGTTGAACTATTGGATAAATTTAAATCAGAAGTATCTAGTTATGACAAAGCTTGGTATTTTAATATCCTTGGTTTTTTATACTGTGTTACCGGGAAGTATAGCAAAGCTAAAAATCATCATGAAAAAGCTCTGGAAATTCAAAAACAATCGTTAGGCCCAAATCATGTTGATGTTGCTGCGTCTTTAAACAATCTTGGTTTGGTGTTTTATAAAACTGGAAACAACGACAAAGCTATAGAGTTTTACGAAAAAGCTCTGGAAATTAGAAAACAATCGTTACGTCCAAATCATGTTGATGTTGCTGCGTCTTTAAACAATCTTGGTAATGTGTATAGTGATACTGGAAACTACGACAAAGCTTTAGAGTTTTACGAAAATGCTCTGGAAATTCAAAAACAATCGTTAGGTCCAAATCATATTGATGTCGCTGTATCTTTAAACAATCTCGGTTTGTTTTATGATAAAACAGGAAAACACGACAAAGCTATAGAGTTTTTTCAAGAATCTCTAGAAGTTCGAAAACTGAATGTGCCAGGTGAAGACCATACTCATGTCACTGCGTCTTTGAGCAAGCTTCGTACGATGTACGAAGAAACTGAAAAATATGAGTCTGAAACTCTTTGACAGGTTGCATAAAATTGCATAAAGTTGTAATAGTTTCCTTGTCCTCAAAACAGACAGCCAACAGCAACGGACTTTTACAACTTTTTCTTATAATTACTAAGATACTCGACAGATATTGGCGACAACAGTTCGTTAACACTGGTTAACACTAGTCACTCCTCTAGTTTTTGCCAACAGAAAATATATAGTTTGAAATTGTGTCGCCTAGATAACAAAACCCACTTTTTGAGTGTTCTTTTTTGACTTACATTCATATCATGGTTTTTTGTTTTGTTTTTTCCAATTGTAAAGTCATTTTATTACTTGAAAATGTCAGTCATGTAAAACAGTGCGCAATATATGTATATGACATTTTGGAGCTAATGGGCGAAACGAAATGAAATATATAGTTTTAAAAAGCTACTATCCCAAACTTTTCAATTTATTGGTGTTATTTCTTTTTGAGCGCTAGCTGTAAATTCATTTTTTTACTTGTTGTCAAATAGAAATACACAGCTTGTGTGGATAACGTTTTTTTAAATATTATTCGTAGAAATCACAAGGGGTGATGATGCTAATGCTAAAGGTGTCGGAAATTCTCCTGGTGTTGAAAATAAAGAACAAGGTATGCCTTTCAATTCTATTTTATTTTATATATATTGCGTGACTTAAGCATATTTGTTTTGAATTGTATCACAATTCAAGTCATTTGACGTATACATGTACGTATAAAGTGTTGCACTTTCGGACTCCAAACGTTCGTTTATTACGTATGTTCAATACTGTATCAATGACTTAAATTTTCATTTTGCAAACGACAAATAATTTAAATGTACTTTGTACCAGACGGCAGTGCTCAGCACAACTTGACAAGTCTTTGTATATCTCAATAAATATTGCGTTGCAGGAAAGTGGCGCAACTCTTTTTATAAAGTGCTCAAATTGTCTACATTTCATAAAATGTATTGAAGAAAAAGGATTATAATATCCGAGCGTGCTTTGTGTTTATTTCTTCTTGTAACAAGGATTATAATAAATAGACTAAAACATTTTAAAACAAGTCTTGACATAATGTACACCATACAGATCAGACCCTGCATTTAAGAAGTTTTCAGGTTAGACCCTGTGTTTTAAAAGTACTCGTGTTTGATTACGTTAATTACTATTTTCTTTGTTAGAGTACAGGTGATTAGTCGGAGTAAAACTTTTTTCCAGATATAAATTATGTTTTTTGCTCCTGGCTTACAGCATCGAAAGTGTTGACACAATTAAAAAACATCACCAAGTCCAAGTTCGAATAAAAATTTACTTCGAATACAGTCTTCAATCAACCTTTTACATTAACAAATTTTATAAGATATATGTGTATTTTTCATCACATGTCTAAGCAACACTGAATGGTAACATTTGCGGCTGGTTTAATCTGTTTTAACCATGACGGTAAAGTCTTGTCACTTCACAATTTGTACTGAAGCACAGTCAGTTGAAATCAAGATGAGACATGAGGTGATAATGACATCATGCAATCTATGAAATATCGCTTATAGAACTCAATGGCTATATTATGTTTTCTCAGATATTGTAGCACAGACCACTGTACAGAGGACCGAAACTATAAATTTTAGTTGGGTGGAGGAGAGGGTGTTTAATAATGCTGCTGCTGAAATATCGCTTATAGAACTCAATGGCTGTATCATGTTTTCTTAGATATTGTAGCACAGACTACTGTATAGAGGGCCGAAACTATAAATTTTAGTGGGGTGGAGGAGAGGGTGTTTAATAACGTTGCTGCTGAATATCGCTTATAGAACTCAATGGCTGTATCATGTTTTCTTAGATATTGTAGCACGGACTACTGTTTAGAGGGCTGAAACTATAACGTTTAGTGGGGTGGAGGAAGGGGTGTTTAATAACGCTGCTGCTGAATTATCGCTTATAGAACTCAACGGCTCTATCATGTTTTCTCAAATATTGTAGCACGGACTACTCTATAGAGGCCGAAACTAGAATGTTTAATGGTTTGGGAGGGGGTATTCATATCTTCAGTTGTGGTCGACTGATTTCTTGTAAAGCCAACGTAGTCTACATTTGACATAATTCAAACAGAGAAATATATCAATAAAATTACAGGCAGATGGATAAATAAAAAATTGATCTGAAAATTTTATGTGAAAGCATGAAAATGATTTGCTCAATTGCTGATTTTAACTATATTTATAAGAGAGCTCTAAAGGAGCGTTGTATTGTACGAGATAATTTTTCAAATTATTAAAAGGTGATTGTGGTAGCCAAAAATAATTAAAATGTTCTGTATCGTACATAAAATGCATACAAATACAAAAAAGATGTTACAACATTTGAAGCCAGAATTTCAATCATTTGCTTGCATCGTTCGTGTTGCTTATCTTGTTAATTTATTATACTTTAACACTACAACATCATGATTTTTTCACATGTTTCTAAAACAGACAAGAATTTTATCGAAAGGACTAGAAATATGATAAGAATTTAAATCGCTTACTTCTTTCGTGGGGTTAAAAATTTATTGAATTGCACGATTCCTTTTCTGTCTGGGTAAATATTTCCTCAAGAAAGAAATTTTCTCGATAAACGAAAACCCTGACACAATAGACACTTGACAGACAAATTGTTTCTTGTAAATAAATCATCATATGCTTAATGAAATATAAAATAATTGAAAACTGCAATTAACCACTTTCCATTCGGCAAAGGAAAAACAATACTAGCAACCGTTTTGAAGATCGCAAATACCATGGTGAATGGTAAAAGTAATTCACCGTGGTATATGCAATCTTCAAAACAATTTTCAGATTTATCACCACGACTAAGTCTCTATTTTAATACTAACAATGTTACACGAGAATGAGAAAAAGCATGAGGTAGAGTTTGAGTTTGCAGAAATATAGATAACGAGGTTCACTTTATCAATGAATAAGAGGAACAGTACGTATCAGATAATTTTTTAAAAGTGTACGGTATCAGTATCCTTTCCTAATTGGGGAAGTTAAAGCTATTTTGATATATTTATTTTGTTTCTTCAACCCTTGAATGTAATATTTTTCTGTAGAAGAGTGGAAATACATTGATGAGTCATCGAAACATAGAGAATTGCTTTTAAAATTGATTGAATATGGACGCAATTCCAATGTTGGAGTTGAAGTGTTGGGCAATGTGCGTGTAATATTCACAGAAGAATTTTGCATTGGCGATGGAAGTAATGCAACCCGTGTTTTTCTTGGACTGGGTAAAGATGGTTACGGTAAAGCAGTGAAACGAATACATCGACATAAATTTATCCAGCTTGCACATCACGAAAAGAAAATTTTAAATGAATTCAATGCAAAGAAGTCGAAATATGTTGTGAATTATTTCTACTTAGACGAAGATACTGGAACAGAATATGTTTATTTGATGTTAGACTTATGTGAAGAATCATTGGAGAGTTTTGTCAAGTCTTCTACTTTGCATGATCTTCAAAAAGCTCTTCCTGATATTCTTAGACAAATTTTAAAAGGATTAGCTGATCTTCATAGTGGCCCAAATCCTATTCTACATCGGGATTTGAAGCCTTCCAATGTTCTGCGAGACTCAAAAAGCAAATTTCTGATAGCTGACTTTGGCATAAGTCGAATAATGAAGAATGACACGACAACATATAAAAGCGATACTTCCATGGGAACTTTGCATTGGTTAGCTCCTGAATCATATCGCGGAGATGTTGATTCAGAAAAAAAAGCGACTTACCAAAGAAGGTCTGATGTATATGTAAGTGTAGGAATGTAAACATTTGTAAGTTGTAAAGAAACTCAATGTTGTGAAATTGCATTTGATGTAACGCTTTTTATTATTTTAGAATGCAGGGATGGTAGCTTATTATGTAGCAACAAAAGGAAATCATCCTTTTGGAATTGAACGGCATAGACTGGACAACATGCTGAATGGAAACCCTGTTGGTTTGGATGAAATCAAGGATGAAACACTAAAGGACCTTCTGTCGTGGATGTTAAATCTAAAACCTAAAGACAGACCATATTCTAACGAAGCATTAAAACACCCATTTCTTATGTCAGATGATGAGAAGTTTAAATTGTTAAGTAAAGTTGGAAATCTTCAACAGATTAAGTCAAATGATCCCCAGTCAAGTGTCGTTCGACAATTGAATAGCGAATCCGTACATTGGAAAAGTCAAATGGGTAGTAATGTTTATGAATATTTTGTGAATGGAAGGACCTATAAATCTTTATGGACCGAATGCTTAAGACTTATTCGAAATATTGATCAGCATTGGAACGATCGACCACGACCTCTACCACAACCAGAACCATTTTACAAGATTGGCGATTACAGGGCGTATTTTCTCCGAACATTTCCTAATCTCCCTGTTCGGGTACATGCTGCTGTCAGGTCAAATGAAGAATTGAAAAACGAACCAGAACTCAAGAACTTTTTTTATTTTAATGAAAGCGAACTACATCAATAAACAATTTAGACACAACTGAACCTGTTGGGGGTAAAAAAGTAGCTATTAAGAAATCATTGATACTGTAAAGATCTTATTTTATAGATATAAAGAAAAACAGTTTCCACGACGTACTTAGATGATATTTTACCACATTTCTGGTGAATCTATAGCCAGTGGTATTCATTGATACAATGTAACATACCTGATTATTTAATTTTTACTGTAAATTGTTTTGGGAAAAGACTGAAGGCCAATATGACATTAAAAGTTAACTTTTATGTTTGGCTACACTGATAAATTTTGCACTACATTCATCCAACACAATAAACTCGTATACGATAAAAAATTGTATTTCTGAAATTATTATAATTACTAAAAGTCTGGCCTTGGTGTTTTGGGCTCTTGGGAGTTCCTTATTGTATAAACCTGACCATTAGATGTTGTGCATAATTCCATGAATAGAATCTTTTGTGTTTTAATATCGCACATTAATTACGTAGCTGAACCATATAAAATAGTTGAATTAAATAACATTTTCATGAGATTGAGTGATTGACAGCATTTCGTCTAATAATTTGTACATGGACACAACAATATTTTATTTAGTTTTATAGAAAAATATTCATAGTTGTCATCATTTTTTGATATTTTGCTTATTTCATGCGCTGTAACCATGACAATTATTTCGTGCCTAAATCCATACAACTAAAATGCAAGTGCTATGTATTTAAGATTTCTTAAATGAATATTGAATATACACCTAAATACACTTAAGGTTAAGTACGGCGCTCTCTATTGCCTATATTCTAGAAACTCTCTCACACTCACATTTACTGAGTAAAGTTTCAAAGTAATCTTATAACTGCTGGAAGACCTTGTATTTACTCCACAGATAGAAAATAGTGCAAAGTTATGTTGATTTTATCATCTCAGATCCCATATCATTTGGTAGGTATCCGCACATTTATGTCACATGAAAGCACTCAGTAATAGCTTGCAATAGTAACTAATCTTCATCAAGCTTCACAAAACTATAAGTTATTTTGTATTGGTTTACAAACCAAATAGTATGCTTTTTTAAAGGGCGTATGACACGAACATTTTTGTGTTTGCAATGACCAGAACTTTTAAAATGTCAGTGTACTTTCTAAAACAGTTTATGCATATCTCTTTTAATTCTTGAGATATTGAGGTTTATGCTATGTCCGATTTATCTAAATTGTGACGTCACATTGAATGATGAGAGCTAGGAATATTATCTATATTTAACGATACTTTACTTTTACAAGGACATAGTTTGATTTGTTGTGACGTGTTTGATGGTATAAAATGCTGCCTATTAGTATGAGCCTAAAGTTGTCAGGAAAATGAAGAGTATTTGAAACATTTTTAGAACTCATTATGCAACATGACGTCACAAGTTGGATGAAATAGAAATAACAAAAACTTCAATATCTCGCGAAGGAAAAGAGATATGCATTAACTGTTTTAGAAATTAAAAGTGGAGCAAGGGAAAGTAACTCAGGAACGAATTTCCTTTACCACATTTATTTTTTATAGGATCTCTCATATATCTTGTTTAATAAAGTATTAAAAAGTGTTCCTAATTTTTGTAATTTAAAATTAATTGGTCCCGGAGAGGGGCATTTGCCATTGGCAGCTTGCCCGGGGGCTGAGTATTTGCCTTCTTGCCTTTCCCCGGCAGCGGGGAAATTGAACTATTAAAACGAAAAAAATCAAATGCCCGGCCGTATTCCCGGGGGGGATGGTAACCCTTGGAATTGACTCATGCATTATAAACTAATTAGTTAATTCAGGTCCCGTGATCTCCATTACCACAGCCATGTTGATTTCTCCCTTGATCTTTTTCAGCGTCAAGCTTAAGTGATATCATTGCTTAAACCTTGCGCCATAGTACTAGCAGATGTAAAAACATGTCCAAGAAGCTGCTGTGCTAAGCATTGGTTACCGTTCTTCAGATATAGACATTTATACAAAGTATATGACATTTGTTTTGCCTCGTGTAACAAGCGATTAAGTAAACAACAAAAACAAGAGTGGACAAACTTAATTTAAATTATACCCTAGTAGTAAAAATATACACAAAATATATACCATCATACTTTATTATTTACTAAAAACAAACTACTGAACACTGGAAATGATAAACAATTTTACATTGCTTACCGGTGTCATGAAATATTTCCTTTTCTCGAAGTAATTTAGCATCCGCACACCACACAAGTTTGCAGCATGTTTCATAGATAAATTTTTTTAAAAGTGTTTGTGCTTGGAATAATGGCATTGATATTTTTTAGTATCGCCATTATGGTTGACAATATCCGGGCGGGCAAAAAACATTTCAATTCGCGATTTCAATCTTATAAAATTGCTCGTCTTTCCGCTGACTCTGACAATCAAAATCCGCCATGTTTTTGACCACAGGCCGCGCGCTAATAATTTATAGTAATTTCGTTGAAATGTTCTTCCAGGTCTTATAATACTCAATGAACAAAACAATCGACGTGTCATACTGGAGGGAATCATATATGACTGGTATAAGAACCAGGAAGGGTATAAAACTTTTCCAAGGGTATTAAACGTTTTCCAAAGATAACATGCAAGCTCGAATGTTCATCTTGAATTTTTGATAAATGTCCGTTTGCCGGTTTGCGTGTGAGCAAATAAACTTGATGAGAAGCATGATTGGCGTAAATAAAGAAGGCAAAGGAGGGGGTAATTACACCTGGTTCCAGGTTATCCTTTTGAATTACTGATGTCAACAAATCTTATAAAATTGCTCGCTAGATCTCATCTGTAAGAATCCGAAACACAAGAGACGGTTACGTCATGTGTACTTCTGACCAATCAAATTGCTCAAAACATAGCTAGTTCTAATCAATTTCAATTTTTCTATAATATAAACAATGGAGACCAGCTCCCACAACTGCATACAACACATGCATACAGCAAACAAGAGCAAATAACAACAATATTTTTTTAACAATATACATATCTAGAATTAACATAATTTTAAACATCTGTTTTTAACATATTTTTTCATGTCCGTAACATAACTATTTCCTGAAATAACGTCGACATTTGAATAAATGGCATAAGGTGAACTCTATTTTTCTATTTCCGGTTGACGTTCCTGTCGTCAAAGAAATATCAACACAACCAGATTCCCCTCCTTCAAATATTGTGGTGTCTAGCAACATCTATACTAGTTCTATTAAGACGGATCGCTTGGCCGGGGGGAGCTAGCAAAATATCGCGCCAGATATTTGACGGCTGAATCAACAAAACGTCAATCAGAATGTGTTGATTCGATATCACACTAACGTAGACGTTGAACGATTATTAGCAGCAATAGCTTCGACGCGCAGGCGCACAAACAGTTTTCCCTTGACCCAAGGATTTTGAAGCTGTAGTATTTTATAATCATCGCTGAGACAACGTTCGCGGGCGCCAATTACAGCAACTAAACAAAATTCTTTCACCTTCTCTTCGGTCAGTAGTTTTGTATCCGGGTTCTTTTGCTGGACGAGTTTCTCTAGTTGGCGAACAACCAAGTACACAACTTGTTCTACTGTTGTGTCGGAGGATACGTGAAGCTAAGAGGGATAGAAATGGATAAATTGTAGAATAATGACGTACACAACTTGTTCTAATGTTGTTTCGGAGGGTACGTGAAGCTAAGAGGGATAGAAATGGATAAATTGTAGAATTATGGCGAACAACCAAGTACACAACTTGTTCTACAGTTGTGTTGAAGGATAAGTGAAGCTACGTGGGATAGAAATGGATAAATTGTAGAATATTGGGTACTGATATGAAAGTATACGAGGTGTATATAAAAAGTTGTGATCATTTCAATGCTTAATGACTATGCTAAGCCAACGGTGGAATAATATATTGTCAGCTACGGGCAGATATTACTTATCTTAATGTTACTACTCTAGTTTTTCTGCACCTGGGAAATCAAAATAACTGCTAACAGCAAGATCTTCACAATGATGCACCCAAAGGCTTGAAAGTGATCAGGAATGAGAAAATTTAAGAATTGATAAAGTTCTAAATTATCATACATTATGCATAAGATTGTTGGGTCTGTTGTTCAAACTTGAAAATTTTGCGTTCACTGCACAGCATTTGTATTCTTTGGAGGCGAAATAAATTTCGCTAATAAAAACAAGACAACATGTAAAACTACAACAAGTATATGAAAACCAACCTTTACACTTCTTCCTGGAGCAAGACCAGTCTCAAATGAGGAATAAATCTTCAGAACTCCACTTTCTAAACTCGAAGCATCACCTAGAATACACAAAAAAATCATGAAAGATGAATTGTGAAGATGTGAAAAACTAACTGAATTACACAGAGAGAACATTTTTTTCAACTTACTATTTGTAGTTATTGTACTCAAGTTTTTCAGTTCCGAGTGCTTCCGATGACAATCGTCGGCTTCCGGACCACAGGGTCGTTGGGTGTCAAAGACGAGATCCAGCGGTATACCACTGACGCATTCTCTATCACGTGTATAGTGTAGAATGTCCAATAACCATCTCATACCCTTCCACGTCTCGTCTAACTCCTAGTTAGAAAGGGATAACATGGGATCATTCTGAGATAATTGATGTTTAATATTCAGAAAGATCTACTGCTGGAACCATTCAGTGCAACAAAGCATACGTATGTTTGTTTTTTTTTCTATATAAACAATTAACTAATTGACAAATGATCCTAGCTAAATCCTTAAAAATCAACTACAAAAACTACCTAAAACAAGTATGGCGATTGGCAAGTTTAGTTTAGTTTCCTCTCGCACTGATAACAGATGTATGTAATATGATTATTTAGTGCAATTCAAGATCAAGGAACTGAAAACTGTCACAGATAAAAAATAATCACATGGACGTAAGAAAATTGATCATGAAGAAGGGGTGGGTTAGTATTCATATACATATGCATATTCTCCTTTATCAGTTTCTATTGAAATCAATTGTGATTATAAATATAACATATGAATATTTGCACATGCCCTTTCTCAATTATCAATCTTCCGCGGGTCCCTGGATACGATTAGCTCATAATAAAGTTCAAACTGCGTCTCACTTTTTGAAAATTACTAAGTGTATTTTGTGTTGCTTTGGTTTCTTTAACTTCGTCATCTAGGATAGCCTAAATGAAATAAAAAGACAATGTTAAAAGCCAAAATTTCTATCCGTTAACTAGAAAAAATGAAAAGAAATGAAATACCTTTCTACAATCGTGTTGACTAATAAGCAATGCCATATCAAGAATGGACGACAGTCTTGAATAGTGACATATAAATTGGTTTTGATACGTTTTCATAACATCTAAAAATAAAAACATATTTCTTACAAAAATGAACCGTGCCTTCCTCACTTGGACATATTTCTTACAAAAATGAACCTTGCCTTCCTCACTTGTACATATTTCTCACAAAATGAACCTTGCCTTCCTCACTTGTACATATTTCTCACAAAAATGAACCTTGCTTTCCTCACTTGTACATATTTCTCACAAAAATGAACCTTGCTTTCCTCACTTGTACATATTTCTCACAAAAATGAACCGTGCCTACCTCACTTGTTTTGACAAATGCTCAAATTGGGCAATGTCCATAAACTAAAGATATTTGCGATCTTTCACACGTAGCATACAACATACTCTGTCACCACTTACTCATCTCAAATACAGGAACAGGAATAGATAGAAATCGATCATCGTTTGAAAAGATATCTCCATCACCAGGACACGAGCAAACATGTTTTGGGGATGGTACAAGGATTAATAGGGACACATCTTTACTCAGTTCAACCACCTCGCGATCATAAATACGGTAATCAGCACACTCCTACATTAAAAACAATATCCAAACTGTATAGAAATCCTTGACTAGGAACAATCGTACGTCATGTAGTATTAACGTCTTGAAAAGAATGCTGGTGTTTATTTTCTTTCTTACTGTAATCTTCTTTCTTTTCTTTTTTCCTGAATTATCAGTAAGCAGCATACACCTCTTCATCTTTCTTTGTATCTAACATTTGATTTTACATAATTAAGCAACACTCCTTTAACTTTTTGATAAGTTAAAGATTCCTTTCCAATCGCATCGAAAGCTGTGATCAGCGGCTTGTATTCTCCTGGCAAACTTTCAAGTAAAGTCATTGCTAATTGGCGATCGTTGTTTTAGCACAACTTAGCACAACAATAGCAGAGTGATGTTTTGTCATCGCTGAGGAAGAAGATTTCAAAATTTAGAGTTGTTTTGTCCACTATGTGGCACACAACGGAAAAGCGACCAGCGTACTTTTCCGACATTTTCTTGCGAGAAAGAACTTTGTTCTTGTTGCAATACCATGATATTTCACTGTCCATCAGAACATTAAAGAGAAGGCTACAGTCATACGGCTTTCAAAAAGTGGACCTTGCTGTCTCAGAAGACACCGTTCGGCAAATCATTGAGAACGAAATGAAGGGACTCTTACATTGACAACTTACGAAGACAACTTGATTTCGGGTGTACCTGATGAACTTTTTTTCTGCCTGAAAGCACTGGACATAGGAACTGCACAATCACTGTTTCTTATAACGATGTTTGTGGTATATTGAACCAGAGAGACGTATACACAGAATCAGAATTGGCAATGGATGAAAATGATATAGAATTGATGGATTACTTCAGGTATGTCGTCAGAGAAGAAAACTTAGAACATCCACCCTGTGATTAAAATCATGCCAAAAATATGTATTTAAAGATAATACAGGTAGCAAATGCCTGATTTGACATTGTGTGAAATCCAGGTGGCAATACAGCTGTTACAATCATTATGAGTTGTATGTGGATGCACAGCATACTTTTATATCAGGTGGCAATACAGCTGTTACAATCATTATGAGTTGTATGTAGATCTACAGCATACTTTTATATAAGGTGGCAATACAGCTTTACAATCATTATGAACTGTATGTAGATGCACAGCATACTTTTATATCAGGTGGCAATACAATTGTTACAATCATTATGAGTTGTATGTAGATGCACAGCATACTTTTATATCAGGTGGCAATACAGTTGTTACAATCATTATGAGTTGTATGTAGATGCACAGCATACTTTTATATCAGGTGGCAATACAGCTGTTACAATCATTATGAGTTGTATGTGGATGCACAGCATACTTTTATATCAGGTGGCAATACAGCTGTTACAATCATTATGAGTTGTATGTGGATGTACAGCATACTTTTATATCAGGTGGCAATACAGCTGTTACAATCATTATGAGTTGTATGTGGATGTACAGCATACTTTTATATCAGGTGGCAATACAGCTGTTACAATCATTATGAGTTGTATGTGGATGTACAGCATACTTTTATATCAGGTGGCAATACAGCTGTTACAATCATTATGAGTTGTATGTAGATGCACAGCATACTTTTATATCAGGTGGCAATACAGCTGTTACAATCATTATGAGTTGTATGTAGATGTACAGCATACTTTTATACCAGGTGGCAATACAGCTGTTACAATCATTATGAGTTGTATGTGGAAGCACAGCATACTTTTATATCAGGTGGCAATACAGCTGTTACAATCATTATGAGTTGTATGTAGATCTACAGCATACTTTTATATCAGGTGGAAATACAGCTGTTACAATCAGTGCATGCTGCCCATTATACATTATTGTGATAAATATCAGTTCTATCAATCTTAAAGTACCTTTTCTAAAAACGTTTTGATTTCTGATACTGGTAAATCATCTAAAGTGAGTTTGAGCTATTCACACAGACCTGAAACCACATAGTCATAAACCCAAGGTTTCAAAATGCATGGTGGTGGACCACCTTGCAAAATGGAGGCAGCCATAAGATTTCCAGCATGCAAAAATTCATTCTCTGTCATTGCTGATGTTGAGATAATGGGAACACCAGTAATGAACAGTCATTGTGTAATTTCTTTAAGAACTTCTGCAAACATAAAGAAGGATTTTTTAAATGCTCTACATATAAATATGTGGCAATAACTGTTTGAAGGCAATGGACTTTTGTACTTTTTAAAACCAAAAAATGGATGAGTCAAACCTGTAAAAAATTCTCTCCTTGGTCCTTCAGCATCTTGAGCAGGCTCACCAATAAAACTACTTTAAGTTTATTTTCATCGATAATCCAGCTACAACATTTTCTTGTCTCAATGTAATCAGCAAATAGCTGGCCTCTCCTTACATTTATTCTAGATTGTGCTTTGAGATTTTTCACTAACGGTGCAATCTGAAGTTGACTTCACACCAGTATCCAAACTCACATCCTCAGTGACATCCCCATTTTTGTTTCCTTCTGCAATGCCATCTAGAAGTTCAAATTTTGTTTCTTAATAAAAAGCCCGTCGGTTAGCATTTTCTGCACATATGTCTGCATGTAATACAATGTCTTTATCTACAAAATACCTAGGAAACGGTAATAACATTCAAACATGTTAACAGAAACAATAAAAATCATAAGGCCGTATCTTTGCATTACATAACAATAAAGCGACGTACCACTCAAACAACGCAGATACTGACTCTTAACTTTTCAGAACGTTGAATTTATCTGAAAGATTGAATGTTCAAAGTTCCAACCGTCGACCACTAAAAGGTTTGTAAGACAAAACATAAAGAATTATCATGCGTGTTTACCATGTATAAATGTGACCTTAAATACAAAATGTTTGTCATATTTAATTAATACATTTTTACTGAATATTAGTCTCACCTTAGTACTATGAAATATACATCATACATACCCGTAGCAATTTGTAATCCTGTAATTGTATACCAATCAAACGAAGTTGCAAATACAAACAATTTACTTACGAAAAATAATTACTGCCATCGAAAGGAAGGCCTGCTTATCGTGATGTGTTTGTTTGCCAAAGAATTGAAATTGCTTGCTAGCATGCAATTATATTTATCTTTGGGTCCGGACGGTATATTTATAAAATATGTGTTTTGTCATTATACTTGTGATAGTATGAAATGACATTTATGAATCAGGAAGAAAATTTAGTTTGAAATTGCAAATGGACTCATGCATGCCATCATTGATATTTTAAATATTTAGTCGGATTTTTTTAACATTTAGTCGTTTTGTAACGTTGCAATTATCTTTCGTCAAGCTGTTGACGCTAAGGTGATACATGCAAATTCATAGCACTAAAAAAACTGAAAATCTTTGATTTCTGATTTGTAAAAACAGAGATTTTGGACCACATGGTGGTGTACAGCAGAAATTCTAATATAATTCTGCCACGTTTGAGGCTCTTCTGGTTAAAATTAGACCGATTAACTAATTATAAACTAATTATTCAATTCAATTACAGCAATGAACATTTTTGTATTCTGGGTGTGGAATCGTTTTGACTTGTGATTTTGATAAACTTAACTTTTGCCACCTTACGAATCAATTCAGATTACCAGAAACAGCTTGTAGTTTAATATACTTAAAAGATACAACCAAACACTGAACTTGATGCTAACAAATATTTATAATTTCTACAAGACTACAACAAGAATTCTCTATCACCTTCCCTTCATTTAATTTATCACAATATAATGTAATGTCACCTTATCCAACTCTTTTCTATTTCTTTCAAAACATTCCCATCGTTACTTAGCCACTTCCTAAGCCTAAATCCTCCCGCAGCCAATTGCTCACTTGCTGAATCATACAACCTCATTACTTTCTTCTTGCAATGTTCACCGGACACTACATCATCGACATAAAAGCTATCTCAGAGTTTTTTAAAAAATTCCTTGTCTATCTCTATGAATGAGTCCAAATGATACTGCATTGTTGCATTCAACAAAAATGGAGAGCAGTTAACCCCAAACACTACTCTACAAAATCAGTATTTTACAGGTTTCACCCTCTCATTGTTTATGTCATCAACCCATAAAAATCTTAGGCAATCCCTGTCCAAAGAATCAACTTCTATATTCAAAAATGCCTTTTCAATATCTGCTACTAAAGCGACTCTCTTCTCCTAAACCTTATCAAAATATGAAAGAGCAATGGTGCTAATTTGGGTCCAACATGCAAGCAGTCATTGAGTGAGAAAGCCTTGGGTGACTCTTTACACGACGCATCATAAACAACTCTTACCTTAGTTGTTTTCGCTTCTCTGCAAATAACCACATGATGTGGTAAATAATGTATTTTATCAGCTTTCTCTAATTCTATCACTGGTTCTATAATACCCCTCCTCAATTGATCCTTGATTGTCTTATCATACTCTTCTAAAATTTCTAGTTCCCTTTTCAGCCATACTAACTGACCCTTTAATCTTCTCAAGCTTATGCTGTAATTTGTATAGTCTAAACTATGTCTATACATCTTCCTCTGCTATTCCTAAAGTTTCAAAATCCGACAAACAGTTGACATTCTTAACTAAACTTAAATTTCCTGAACTTTCACGTGCAATGAAGTTTACTTGAGTGTGCATGTTGTCCAAATCATTTCTTGCTTTCATGGGGCCGGACAACACCCAACCTAACTTAGTAGACACAGCAACTGGTTCATCTACCTGCCCCCGAACAACATTGCCTACTTGAAACCACCAATGATAGTCTGCTCCAATCAAAACTTCAATACCTAAAACTTCCTTATCTTTGCAAACATCTGAAAACCACAGACCCTTTAAATGTGAATAATCCATCTTTCTCAACTCTACATGTGCATTCCTAATTTGAGATATACAGTCTACACTGTACATACTATACTATACTATACTGTACTGCCTACAGTCTACACTGTATGCCTCGATGCTTACACTCTCTCCCCTCGTAACTGACGACAACTCTAATTGTATTACCTCTCACAACTAACCTTTAGCCGTCTCTTGACCAAACAACTTGATTTCTATCCATTCCTTTTTACTAGCCTGAACACCTGCTCCCTGTATAATCTTTCTATTCACAAATGACTTGTGACTTCCTGAATCAAACAACACTCTGACCCTAACACGTCCCTTATCTCCCTTAATAAAAGCCTGTGCTGTCTGTAATGCTACCCTACAATGAGATCCCAGAATAGAATGGTTGGTTTGAACATCACCTGTAAGAATCCCATTGGCTTCACAAATTGACCTATGGTGTGCCTTCCCACATGCATTACATTTATCATTACTATTACAATTTTTACTGACATGTCCTTTCTTCAAACAAATAAAATACCTTCCGTACTTACGAATGAGTTGTTTTCTCTCAGTTACATTGGTTATTTTCTTACATTCCTCTGGATTGTGTTCCCTGAGACAATAACGCATTTTCTTTTCGCTTTACCGTTCGTTGACTCCACGTTGCCTCCGTGCAGTGTTGATTCTGACCCCATATGTCTTTGTCGCTACGTTTCTCGTTGTTTCTCCCCATCTTGTCTCTTGGTTTTCGCACCGATCGGTGTGTGAGCTTCTCGAAGCTCCAACTCTTTAAGAATTGCGTTCAACGCATCTTTCATTGACCATTCCGTGAAATCGAACCTCTTGTTATTGTCAATCGAAAGCGTCCGGCAACTTCGCAATGACTTCCGGTACTACGATTGAAGAATATACGGCTTCGTCCACTCCTAAGGCCTTTAAACCCCGGCAGTTTGTCTTGCAGGTGTCGGATAACCGCCGAAGCTTGTCGATGTCTCCTTCGTCCGTTACCGGGTTTTACGTTCATTAACTCCTAGATATGCGCTTTCTTGATCACATTCTTTTTCCCGTATCTTCGTTTTAACAATTCTACAGCTTCGTGATAGTTCGCTGAAGTTAGGGGAAATCCCTATATTGTCGATCTTGCAGGTTCCAGTAAAAGACTCCTTAAATACGCAAACTTGTCTACGTCATCTAATCCGTCATTATTATTCACCACACTATCAAACGAATCGCAAAACTCTTGCCATTCTTGCAGCCGTCCGCTAAATTTCTTTACTTCCAACATTGGGAGTTTTGTTCTTATAACTCTGCGCGTCTCACTACTAAAACCACTGTTCAGCGTGCCATTTAATGTCGTTGTTGCCGTTTCAACTGTGACATTAGACTCCTTGACGATGTCGTTCACATCCAAAATTCCTTGCTCGAGTTCTGCCCGTATCTCGTTCGCATCTTTAGATTCTTTTCCCAATTTTTTTTCCGCATTTTCCTCATTATTTTTGTTCAGCATATCGATAATCGCGTCATCAAGGATTTTTCATGTTGCGATCTTGTCGTTCAATCCATCTCGTATTTGTCTCAGTTTGTTTCTATCGATCTCACCGTCCGTTTCTCGTATTTTCTCTTTTAATTTACTAACAATTTTCCTCGCTGACCCTCTATCTCCTGCGCGCACTCGTTTCTTTTCATAAATTCATCCATTCTGCTATTGGACTAAAAAACTTCAATTTCCAAAAAGATCTCCAACTAAAATATCTCCGTCTCGAAGGACCACGTGTAGCAATTTTCTCCTTTGCGCGTTAGCACAAAGCAGTTATACGTCTTACGATTCGTTTTTGGGACTGTATACTATCCTACTGTACGCGCAGTCGACACACAATTCTCAATTTTACTCAATATAACTATTCTGCATTACAGATAATCTTAAACATTTCAAGCTTTTACATTCACAGCCAGTGACAGAAGAAACCTGACTTTTGACGTGTCACAACTAATAAAGTATTAACATAAGTTCCTATTTCAGTTCTTCCATAATTTCCTAGTATCAAATAACAATTATCAATTACTTATTCACATAAGTTCCGACACTTAGACTTCAAATACAACATATATTTGATTTTTAGGAGGCGCTGTAATGAATAAGAGCGTCAAATTTTAAAATTGTATTAGAGAAACGCATTTGACATTATACAGTTAGTATGATTTCACTCCCCAAAGTCCAGGAAATGGTATTTTAGAGCTTCTTAATAAAGAATTTTCCCTCGGAGCATTTACCCCCGGACTCCTCAAACATGACTCACACCTTAGGTTCTCGGCTCAGGCTTTGGGCCCCGTTTTTAAAGTGTGTATATTTGAGGCCCATTTTCAGTGGTAGCTGATTGCCCCCATGAAGTGTTCCTAGCACGCAACTGATTCCCCCTTATATCAAACAAAATTAAACAAAATAACTGTTAACTCAACAGAACTTTGTTGAACCAACTAAAATTTGCTTGCAAAGTGTCTTCATTTGAAGGCCACCATACTTTTTCCGTTTCAAAAAAATGTGTTAAATTTTACTTTTCTTACATGACATACATCACGGAGAAGCCACTGGCTGACTTTTAAGCTTAAGCTTCGTTTAACGGCTCAGATATTTCATTTTCAATGGGAAATGTTGCACATTGCCCCAGATTACGATACGTTAATGTGACTTATATAAATCAATGGCCACGCGGTAAGTTCCTTTCCCATAAACCAATATTAAACGTTCATCCCCATGAATTACTTTCGTTGGCTTTCTCAACTCTTCATAGTCCTTACATGAAGTTTGATTTCTTCATGTAAATTCTCGACTTTAACAAAGAGTGATGTATGTTGAAGGTCGAACTTTTGAAATTGATTGATTTTAACTGTCTTCTTGACACATCATATTCTTTTTTAGATGGAATCAAGAGAAAACAGAAATCTACTTTACTTTAGAGCAGTAATTAATGTGGTACAAAAGGAACTTGCTCAATTTTTCATCAAAGAATGGAACTCTCGTTACAAATCAACACATGGAGAATGGGATGATGCCAAAAATAGTGGCAAAAAATTTTACAAGTTAGAATCCAAAAGGTTAAAGTTGGATAAAGAACAAAAGTTAAAATATAAAAATGGAGACACAAATAAATGGGACTGCACAACATTACTCGATGCTATACTTTTTTCAAAATCGATTGGAAAGTATCTTGACACAAAAACAAAGGATGCTTTTGATGCACTTCGTTGTGAAACAAAGAAATACGCACAATGGTATAAAAGCGAATGCTCAGATGATGATTTTGATGAAATAGTCAATATCATTGAAAAATTATTTCAAGATTTGAAATTTTCTTTCGATGAAATCATTAAAATAAAAAGTCATCGAAACAGTTTTGATTCATTTCAAGTTTTCCCTTCTAAATCCAAACATTTTCTCGTTGAACGCATTGAATTACGAGATAAAATTATAAAAGATCTTGAAAAGTTAAGGAATGATAACAATAACGAACTGACATGTTTTTACATCACTGGTAATCCTGGCAGTGGTAAATCTCAACTGGCGAGACAGGTTTGTGAAAAACTATCGTGTGATTGGAAAAATAGAACTTCGTTTGTAATGACTCTCGATGGGAAGAATGTGGAATCTCTATTAAAATCTTACTGTGACCTTGGATACCGTTTAAACTGTAACAAGTATATGGTTGAAAAATTTAAAGATGAAAATTTTTCCGCCAAAGAGAAAGTCAAGAACCTTCGATCGTTAGTATCTGCTCGTTTGAAATTCTGGCAAAATTGGTTGATTATTGTCGACAACGTTGTGCAACTGAGCGAAATTTCTTCGTTACTACCACAAGTAGGTGATCATATGTGGAAAAATGGACAACTAATAATAACTGTTCAGAATACAGATGCCGTACCTTACGATGAATTGTTCAGCAAACATATTTCTATCAGTAGTGGATTGAATGACAGAGAATGTTGTCAATTGTTGAATTCTTACACTAAAGATGAAAATGCTGATGATCAATTGTTGAATGAAGTATCTCACGCATTAGATCGTCAACCGCTGGCTTTGGCTGCTGCTGGTTATTATGTCAGTCGTGTAAACAAAGCAAACTGCTCATTTACTTGGGGTCAATATTTAAAGAAAATATTTTCAGAGCAAGAAGAAAACATGGACGCCGCTTTTGTTAAATTTAACTCGGTATATCCTAGAAGTATGTTACAAGTTTCACTTTTAGCTGTCAGACAAAATGCTGAAAAATCCCCAATATTGGCAAAGGTTATTAACTTTTTTTCCGTGATATCGTTTGATCCTATACCACGAGACATTATTGTTTTTTATGTTCAAGAAATTTATCCCGAGCACTCAAAGGAAGATATATGTCTTTGTTTAGACGAATGCTCATTGTTCTTGCATTCAGAAAATAATGACATTAGTCTACATCGCATTGTTCACAAAGCAATTATTGTTTATCAATCTGAACATTCAAATGAAGAACATGAAATGGAAACTAACGTTGATCAAATATCTAAAGCACTTTACATGTTTAAAGAGAGAGATGACGAAATCAAATTAATGCCACATCTTGAAAAAATTGTTCAATTATTAAAGACCAACAAGACAAAAATCAACATGAACACTTTACAAGTTTTCCAATATTTTGTTGACAGATTAAGACATTTTGGAAAATACGATCTTGCTCTTGAACTATTGGATAAATTTAAATCAGAAGTATCTAGTTATGACAAAGCTTGGTATTTTAATATCCTCGGTCTTTTATACTATGACACCGGGAACTATAGCAAAGCTAAAAATCATCATGAAAAAGCTCTGGAAATTCGAAAACAATCGTTAGGCCCAAATCATGTTGATGTTGCTGCGTCTTTAAACAATCTTGGTTTGGTGTTTTATAAAACTGAAAACAACGACAAAGCTATAGAGTTTTACGAAAAAGCTCTGGAAATTAGAAAACAATCGTTAGGTCCAAATCATGTTGATGTTGCTGCGTCTTTAAGCAATCTTGGTATGGTGTATGATAAAACAGGAAATTATGACAAAGCTATAGAGTCTTACGAAAATGCTCTGGAAATTCAAAAACAATCGTTAGGTCCAAATCATATTGATGTCGCTACATCTTTAAACAATCTCGGTTTGTTTTATGATAAAACAGGAAAACACGACAAAGCTATAGAGTTTTTTCAAGAATCTCTAGAAGTTCGAAAACTGATTGCGCCAGGTAAAGACCATACTCATGTCACTACGTCTTTGAGCAAGCTTCGTACGATGTACGAAGAAACTGAAAAATATGAGTCTGAAACTCTTTGACAGGTTGCATAAAATTGCATTAAGTTGTAATAGTTTCCTCGTCCTCAAAACAGACAGTCAACAAAAACGAACTTTGACAACTTTTTCTTATAATTACTAAGATACTCGACAGATATTGGCGACAACAGTTCGTTAACACTGGTTAACACTAGTCACTCCTCTAGTTTTTGCCAACAGAAAATATATAGTTTGAAATTGTGTCGCCTAGATAACAAAACCCACTTTTTGAGTGTTCTTTTTTGACTTACATTCATATCATGGTTTTTTGTTTTGTTTTTTCCAATTGTAAATTCATTTTATTACTTGAAAATGTCAGTCATGTAAAACAGTGCGTAATATATGTATATGACATTTTGGAGCTAATGGGCGAAACAAAATGAAATATTAAATGAAGATATGATCTTCGCACTTTTGCTGGACAATTTAAGCAATTGTCTCATGAACCTGAAAAATTTTTGCTTAAATTGTCCAGCAAAAGTGCGAAGATCATATCTTCATTTAATTTCAAACACCGCACTGCATATAACATTCTTTGAAATGAAATATATAGTTTTAAAAAGCTACTATCCAAAACTTTCCAATTTATTTGTGCTATTTCTTTTTGAGCTCTAGCTGTAAATTCATTTTTTTATGTGTTGTCAAAATAGAAATACATAGCTTGTGTGGATAACGCTTTTTTAAATATTGTTCGTAGAAATCACAAGTGGTGATGATGCTAAAGATGTCGGAAATTCTCCTGGTGTTGAAAATACAGAACAAGGTATGACTTTCATTTCCATTTTATTTTATATATATTGCATGACCTAAGCATATTTGTATTGTATCACAATTCAAGTCATTTGATTGGTATTTATGTGTTTTTATGAAGATTTATATTATTTAATAATATGCATGATGTACGTATACAGTGTTGCACTTTTGGACTCCAAACGTTCGTTTATTGCGTATGTTGAATACTGTATCAATGACTTAAATTTTTCTTTTGCGAACGACAAATAATTTAAATGTACTGTGTACCAGACGGCAGTGCTCAGCACAACTTGACAAGTCTTTGTTTATCTCAATAAATACTGCGTAGCTGCAAGGTGACGCAACTCTTTTTATAAAGTGCTCAAATTGACTACATTTCATAAGTTCCATTTAAGAAAAAGGATTACGTGTTTGATTACATTAATTCCTATTTTCTTTGTTAGAGTACAGGAGATTAGTCAGAGTATAACTTTTTTCCTGATAGAAATTTATGTTTTTTGCTACTGGTTTACAGCATCGAAAGTATTGAAACATTTAAAAAAAACATCGCCAAGTCCAAGTTCTAATAAAAGTTCTCTTCAAATACAGTCTTCAATCAACCTTTTACATTAACAAATGTTATAAGATATATGAATTTTTTCATCACATGTCTAAGCAACACTGAATGGTAACATTTGCAGCTGGTTTAATCTGTTTTAACTATGACAGTAAAATCTTGTCACTTCACAATTTGTATTTCAAGAAAATTATCAGCCAGTCAAATTAAGATGAGACATGAGGTGATAATGGCATCATGCAATCTACTTTTTAAAGTAACGTTTATTTGTATTCTGCTTGTTTAATCATAAAAACTTCTCAACAAACTATCTTTTGGATATATTGTCATACTTCACGCTTGCCCCACCATGCATACACTACCTAGCTATTGACATTAAACATTATGTAAAGAACGGCCACCATCAAATGGACTTGCTCAATAAACTTCAATAAATAAGAATTCCATTTCATTGTAATAAAATACCTCAAAATCATATGGAAAATGATAAAATTTGACGATGTGAATGCTCAAAGTTTCACAGTAAAAAGAAGGCTATTTACAATTTTCATTTTGACAAATGTAGCATTAAATTTCACGTTTATTAAACGATCTTCTAAATTCTAAACTTACAGAAAAATACAAGTTTTTTGGAGCTCTCTCGTTGCTAAGTATACTAGAGATTACATCTTCAGTGTGAACATCATTCAAAAGTCCACAAAGATCATTTTCTATCTTAGAATTAAATTTTGAATACTTTTTAATTAAAATTGCATTTTGAAAGTTGCATAGAGCATAAAAGTTGCTGTATCAGTTTTTTTCTACTAGAAAATTTCACAAAATAGATAAGCAAATAACGTTACTAATTGCAAAACATAAAAACAACGACTTTATTCATTGATTTTAATAAATACTCCCACTGATCTCAAAATAAATAAATATAATTATTTGCACTATATTAGAAAAGCAAGTGAGTCCAAAAAAGTCATTTATCATACAAACTGTGTCTTAATTTATGATTGTCAAATGATGACGTCCAATAAAAAGTGCACGTGAATCAGACCAAGCCACTTACGACTTTAGCCAACCGATTGAGCACGAATAACGCTGCTGCTGAAATATCGCTTACAGAACTTAATGGCTGAATCATGTTTTCTTAGATATTGTAGCACGGACCACTGTATAGAGAGCCGGAACTATAACTTTTAGTGGGTTTGGGGAGGGGATGTTTAATAACGCTGCTGCTAAAATATCGCTTACAGAACTCAAACGCTGTATTATGTTTTCTTAGATAATGCAGCACGGACCACTGTATAGAGGGGCGAAACTAGAACTTTTAGTGAGGTGGGGGTAACATTTGTTTTTCTTCTCTGTCATAATTATTTCACCTCTTACTACTTAACTTCAACATCTAATGATAACTTAGTGATTATTGTAATTAAGTTTTCGGTATAATCTTAACAGATTTTAATTTCATCATTAAGTAATTTATGAATATTTGATGGTTAATGAAAACTCGATGTTTCAGTGGTGTTCGAAGATGTTTGAATACCGCTGAAACGTCCCAGACCATGGCATATCTAGGAAGAGCTAGTCTTACAACAAATACACTTTTAACAAACCTAGCAACGAATGGATGTACCAAACGAGATGCCAATTGGTAGAATTAGGATAGTAGATAAGGCGCTCCTTGCAGTATTAATACCGCTGTAGGATAAGCATTCCTGATATAATTTTGTAAGAAAATTAATGCCCTCTTCCCCAGAGGACGCGACAGGATCGATATTGTTTGCATTGCAATATTTTCGCCAACGGTTAAGGTATGTAGAATATTGCTTCTTGGTACCGGTCCGCCAGGACTGCTGGATGATTTGAGAAGCCTCTGGTGAAATGCCTCTATCAGAGAGGAGTTCCCCAATAAGTGGCAAAGTAGTAGAGCCAGTTTTGTATTGAGAGGGTGGATTTGATCCGGATGAGCTGGTAGAGTTAAGGTCATTCTTCCTCTAGGTAAAATAACAGGATGTGCTATTAGCATCTGCATTAAAGCTGGCCACCAACTTTGTGTTGGCCAACGAGGGACTAAGACTACTCCTGTGCTTTTATCTTGCACTATTTTTTGTAACACTTGCGAAATTATGCTAAAAGGCGGGAACGCATAAAATGTATAATTGGCCCACGATATCGTAAAGGCGTTGACAGCTATAGCATACGGGTCAGGTTGGTATGAAACATAGGGTTTCACTTAATTATTCAACCTTGACGCAAACAAATCAATGTTCGGATTTACGTCTAGTTTTTGAATGGCACACGTGAACAGAGTCTTGTTCAACTGTCTTTCTGTTTCTCTGCTTGATATTCGAGATTCTCGATCCGCAGTGACATTTAGTAATCCTGGAATGCGCGCTGCTGTCAACCAAGTATCATACAAAATGCAGCAGTTTCAGACATTGCATGTGAACTTGTGAATAGACCTGGAGTGGCATATGCCCATTTGATTAATGCAAGCTACAACGGTAGTATTATCAATTAATACCTTAACATGCTCACCTTTTAGTTTTGAAGAAAATGACTCAAGGGCAAACAATACCGCAAGAATTTCCAAATAATTTATATGATTGGAAGCCTTCAAGGGCGTTCAGTTACCCCCAGCACATACACCATTTAGGGAACAGCCCCACCCTGTCAACGACGCCTCTGTTGTTAGGCATATGCTAGGTTCATTGTGGGTAAATTGCCTGGAAGTCGTGCATATTGAGTGCAACCATCGTAAATCATGTATGGCCTCTGAAGACAGGGTCATTGTCTTGTCAAAATTACCCCGGTTTAACTTAAGGGCATCGCTTTTATCCATTTCCAGCCAATGATAATGCAACTGACCGTACATTACGCCGGGGAGACTCGATGTTCAAGTGCCCAAAAACCGAGAAACAAGCCTTATTTTTGGGTGAGAAGCTTGTAGCAGCTCATGTCCCATGCGTCTTATCTTCGCAGCTCGTTCTGTCGTCACACATACTCGCATAAGAACTAAGTTGAGTCGGAAACCCAAAAAAGAAATTACTTCTGATGGAACTAAAACTGCCTTATCCGGATGTACGTAAAACCCCACTTCACTAAATAAGCATATAGTATCTCGAATATTCCGAGCACATGAAGCATGTGTCGGATGTCAGTCAAGTATCATCAATAAATCCAACCGAAATATGTCCTTTTTGACGTAAATTTGAAAAAACAGGTTTGAGGAGTTTTGTAAATTTTCGTGGGCAGATGGCTAGGCCTGTAGGAAATTAGAAAAATTTATATAGTTGCCCTCTCCACCAAAATTTAAGGAATTTTTGATATGTCTGGTGAATAGGTACAGAATAGTAAGCATCTTTGAGATCGATGGATGCCATGAAACAATTTGGTTTCATAAGCTTAATAGCTGACCAAACACACTCCATTTTAAAATGGTGATATCTGACATGCCTGTTTAAGGATTTCAGATTAAGAATCATGCGAAAAGAACCGTCTTTTGGGGGGCAAGTGAAAATTGGAGATACAAATTCCCCTGATTCAGGGTGAGAAATCTGCAAAACGCCTTTTTTGCGTAATTTGTTAATTTCTAAATCAATATTGTTAATTTCAACCTCGGGTAGGTGTATTTCCTTCAATAAGGCTCTTTGTATCGGAATTGTGTCAAATTCAATTTTTTGTCCAGACACTGTGTCTAAGATTTCCTTATCAGCAGAGGCCGCGGAACCGGGGGGGCATTGGGGGCAAGTGCCCCACCACTTTTTACAAGAGGGAAAAATTTGCCCTTTTTCTGGAATGAAAGTGCCCTTTTTCATGGTGTAGAAATCCCCTTGTTTTAGGTAAAATTGGACTGAAGAAGTTTTTCTTAGATACAAGTAGCCCCGAGAGTAGAACAAGTCTGTCAGCATCATGCGAAATCAGCTATAGCTTAGTTTTTGATCTTGATTACCCAGATGGATCAAAAATCGCGTTTGTCGATTGGGGTTGTCTTCGCAGACGTCCGCCCAGTAACTTAATTAACCAATGAGAAGTCGCAATTTATGATCCATATGAGACTATAAAGTCTGCGGCAACGCATTGCTCCCGTCGTATTGTCTTTTAGGCCATTGGTCTTACAAAACTGTTGACAATTCATAATTATAATAATTGAAAATTTTGCGGTTTAAATTTCACTTCTAATCAAAATCATCATGCCTAGAGCTGCTAGGCGAAAACGAGAAAAGGAAAAGAGCTTGTAGAAACAGCTAAAAGGATGCGAAAACTGACGAGTTTTTTAGTAGTGCTCCAGCAGAGAACGTTGTTGACCAAAACATCGACTCTAGGTCTAATTTGACACTGCCGTCAGCTACAGAAACTCCATCAACGTATTTATCTCCTCATTCTCATTCCAAACCAAAATTCGGCGATTCTGACTTTACATCGTCTTTAGAGATACTTGTCGCGCCGCCGACCGAGCCAGTTCACACACCTTCTCAAAACCTAACGTATGCGTCTTTGCCAAGTTCCATGACTACCACCCTATTGGTAGGACCTATGCAAATTGAGTCAACGGAATGTTTGCTAGGACTCGATTGTAAACATTTGTGCTGTACAGGCCGACAGCCTTACCATCCTACACTAGAAGAAATAAAGCACACATCTTACCTTGATTTAGCTTGTTGCTCCAATGAGCGCAGCCTCTGGAGAACGATCTTTTTCATGCCAGCGGCTTATCAAGACACATCTCAGGAGCACAATGACGGCAGCACGCTACAATAATCTTATTGTTATGCATGTAAACAAGGCCAGAACTGACGAACTGAACTTACGTTTAATAGCTAAGGACTTTGTTCTGAAAAAAGAACGTAGGGTTAGATTTTTTGGGAAATTTTAATGAGATCGCTTTACTTAATAAAATTGTTCATGTAGTCATCTTAGTTCAATTTGTTAGCACGAACGCCGAACAGTAGAGAATACGCATAGCATTCTAAGAATGTCTACCAATATTTTGCAGACTTTGAAACTTGATCATGATTCATGAAACAATGCATATCTGTAATATACTAAGACAGTAAGCTGCAAACTCACATGCCCTTTTCGGTCAGTGCCCCCCCCCACTTTTGAGATACTTCCGCGGCCCCTGCTTATCAGAGGTAAGTGTTTCCCATGCACTTAAAAAATTTGATATGCTGCAAGCCTGATAGGTCTCCAAGCTTTCATCCAAATACGCTATTAGCGTGGGTACAAAAGAAAAATACTGGTTTACCTGTAAAGTCTTAAAACTTCTAAAAAATTCAGTGTTTTCTACTTGCGATCGTTCATTGTGTCCGATCGTTTCTTCCCGAATTGGTTCCTCTTCGATCGATAGGGGGTGTTTCTCTGATGACAGAATAAAAAAGGACGCCATTGTCGTTTCCCTTGTTTGGAATGTTGATGCCAAGTGGTATTCAAAGAGCTTGTTGTCGCGTTGCCAATCTTGTTGGATGTGCGAATGTGATTAATTTGGGTTTGCAATTAATCTCCAAACAAATAATTCGTAATGGGAACATGCGATGCGCAGATAGTACTAAATTCTCTATAGAGATTGGGACGTATAGCGTCACGTCGTCGTTGAGACAATTCAAAACTTACATGTCCCAGGATCGCTATGATATCAGCGTTCATACGAACAAGATTATCAATATTCAGTTCGCTGCTGTTATTGCGGGCAACCAATAGTTCATTGGTGGTTTGTGCTGCTATATGACCGACTTTCGTCAGGGCTGATTGAATGACACTCAATTGTAGATCACCCCTCTAGCTGTGCGGTCTGATTTTCCCAAATTTCAGGGTTTACCTTAGGTACAATAACGCGATCGCATTTCTTAGGCCTTAAAACATTTAGCCTGTTTTTCCTTCAATTGCTCGTCGCTCAGCTTAGTCAGCCAACGCTAGTTGATAATTAAGGCAAGCTTCTCGTTGACGATTGGTGAAGTTTTCTCAGTTTTGTCTAGAGTCTGCGAAATCTCTTCCAGCAACGGGTCCACTGCTAGTTGTTCTGCTTTAGAATTGCTCTTGGTCGAAGGTGCTTCGTTTTGTGTTAACAAGACTTCAAGGACTAAAGCACCTGCTTTCCTCTTACGAGTAGTTTCTACTGTAGAGGATACTAACGTTTGCTGCATTAACCTGAGTGATTCGCTCATTGCAGTCATTGCTTCACTCATCCTACAAAGGGCGGTTGCCACATTCAAATTCTTTGATGTGACTTGCACTTCTTTGCTTTCCTCGTGTTCAACAGAACCCAGGAATGCTGCTTCATCTCCGACATCATCTCTTGTCGTACGTCATCTTGGCATTATAAATATCGGTAGATTGTAAATTTCATTTAGCAGACGTTGACACCTTAGGAGTAGTCTGCCGAAATGCATCGTGTCGTTTAATTTAAAACTATTGGGTTAGTGCTCTTTACTTAAAATAGTTCTTTTAAGAACTAACAACTTATTATATTACTTTTACCATTCACTATGGTATTTGATATCTTTGGAACTATTTTCTAATTTCAAATAATTGAATAATTAAATTTTGACGTAATTGTGTATTAATGAAAATGTAAAACTTACGTTAAGAAGCTTTATTAAGTGAATGTCTTGTTCTATACGATACAATGTTGACATATTATTTATTAGATTCGTTATTCTTTGTTTTCAAGTAATACAGTAAGCCTAATATCAAACCTTCTGTTTCATTTGAGCCCTTGTCAAGTTAGTAAACTTCTGAAAACATTGAAATGGGATTGAGTTGAAGAATATAAATACATGAAATTTTTAGGTACAAAGGAGACGTCCTGTAAAGTGGAAAAACTGGTCACTTCTGGTGGTGGCAATTTAATGATGGAGGATGTTATCTTTGATATTGGTCCTGGCTGTTTAGAAGACACTACAATGATAAAGTTGGTCAAGAATAACAATCCAAGCTACATTAAAAGTTTGCTGGACTTGAAACTTCTTCAAAGTAGCATATGTCATCTGCAATGTCTTCCTAACGGCCTACATTTCTTAAAACCTGCTCAATTGCAAATTAACATAAATGGGAAGAGAGAATTATCAGAAACAGCTTTGGAAAAGGTTGTCGCTCTTTATGGATCCTATTCGATTGATAAGCAAAAAATGGAATGGCAACAGGTGGAAGACATTGATTTGAATGAATCAAGGATTTTGTTAAACATTTCAAAGTTTTCTTGGTACAGTTTCATCAAAGCTTCTCTTTCATTTATTCCTCGTATTTTATGTCATCTCAACCAAAATTTTGTTGCTTATGCCTATGTATTCCATCGAAGATCATCAGAAATGGGAACAATAGATATTAAAGTTGTCTTTGTGAGCTCTTTCGTGCGTGAAATGTTAGGAGATTCTCTAGTGAAAGAATTGGCCAAAGAGTGGGAAGACTTCCACGTAAATAATAACAATGAAGATGTCATTGATATCAACACTGATCGAAATCATGAAATACAGCTTAATTTTCAGGGAAAGGAGCTTGATTCATACATTTTTAAAATAGATGTTTTAAAGCTTGACAAAGATGGTTTTGTTGTTCATCACTTTGAAAAAATTCGAGTAAATTTTCCTGCTAAAGGATATTTGGAGGTGAGAGAAAGTGAAAACAGAAATTCGAAGTGGAAGCTGAATGTTGACGAAGAAAACTCACAGGGAGCCGTGATAAATAAAGGTAGGAACTTGTCTTGTATAGTTATTCTCTTCCCAATGAACTTAACGAACCTGAGGTAGTAATAATGAGAGTAATGATGTATAAGAAAGTTAAACAAAAGGGAATGAAAGTCTTATTTCCATGAACCATAAGCTTCTGCGCTTGATGTTTCATATATCGTCGTGAATGAGCATGAGGCAGGAAATATTAAACCAATGGCAAATTCTTGTCGTCCTGTTAAGTGTTCTAAACTCTGAAAGCTTTTTCTTGTATTCTTTGACAATTAAAACATTTGTTTTGTAATGTATTGCAATTGAAGCCATTTGATTAGTATATATGTGTTTTTGTGGAGATTTATATTATTTAATGATATGATGTATATATACTGTGTTGCATTTTCGAACTCCAAACTTTCGTTTATTACGTATGTTCAATACGGTATCAATGACTTAAATTTTCCTTTTGCAAACGACAAATAATTTAAATGTACTGTGTACCAGACGGCAGTGCTCAGCACAACTTGACAAGTATTTGTTTATCTCAATAAATACTCCGTAGCAGCAAAGTGGCGTAAATCTTTTCATAAAGTGCTCAAATTGACTACATTTCATAAGTTCCATTTAAGAAAAAGGATTACGTGTTTGATTACATTAATTCCTATTTTCTTTATTAGAGTACAGGAGATTAGTTGGAGTATAACTTTTTTCCTGATAGAAATTTATGTTTTTTGCTTCTGGTTTACAGCATCGAAAGTATTGAAACATTTAAAAAAACATCAACAAGTCCAAGTTCTAATAAAAAATTTACTTCAAATAAAGTCTTCAATCAACCTTTTACATTAAAAAATGTTACGAGATATATAAGTTTTTTTCATCACATGTCTAAGCAACACTGAATGGTGACAATTGCGGCTGGTTTAATCTGTTTTAACCATGACGGTAAAGTCTTGTCACTTCAAAAATTGTACTTGAAGCACATTATCAGTCAGTTGAAATTAAGATGAGACATGAGGTGATAATGACATCATGCAATCTATGAAGTATCGCTTACAGAACTCAATGGCTATATCATGTTTTCTCAGATATTGTAGCACGGACCGCTGTATAAAGGACCGAAACTATAAATTTTACTGAGGTGGGGGAGGGGATGTTTAATAACGCTGCTGATGAAATATCGCTTACAGAACTTAATGACTGTATCATGTTTTCTCAGATATTGTAGCACGGACAACTATATAGAGGGCCGAAACTATAACTTTTGTTTGGTGGGGGAGGGGGTGTTTAATAACGCTGCTGATGAAATATCGCTTACAGAACTTAATGACTGTATCATGTTTTCTTAGATATTGTAGCACGGACCACTGTATAGAGGACCGAAACTATAAGTTTTAGTGGGGTGGGGGAGAGGATGTTTAATAACGCTGCTGCTGAAATATCGCTTACAGAACTGAACGGCTGTAACATGTTTTCTCAGATATTGTAGCACTGACCACTATATAGAGGCTGAAACTAGAACTTTTAGTTGGTGGGGAGGGGGTGTTTTCATATCTTCAGTTGTGGTCGACTGATTTCTTGTAAAGCCAACGTAGTCTACATTTGACATAATTCAAATAGACAATAAATAGACAGGGAGATGGATAGATAAAATATTGATCTGAAAATTTTATGTGAAAGCATGAAAATGAATTGCTCAATTGCTTATTTTAATTATATTTATAAGAGAGCTCTAAGGGAGCGTTGTATTGTACGAGAAAATTTTTCAAATTATTAAAAGGTGATTGTGGTAGCCAAAGATAATTAACATGTTCTACATCGTACATATAATGCATCCAAATACAAAAAAGATGTTACAACATTTGAAGCCAGAAGTTCGATCATTTGCTTGCATCGTTCGCGTTTCTTATCTTGTCAATTTATTATACTTTAACACTACAAAATCATGATTTCTTTCACATGTTTCTAAAACAGACAAGAATCTTATCGAAAGGGCTGAAAGATATGATAAGAATTTAAATCGCTTACTTCTTTCGTGGGGTTAAAAATTTATTGAATTGCACGATTCCTTTTCTTTCTGTGTAAATATTTCCTCAAGAAAGAAATTTTCTCGATAACGAAAACCCTGGCACAATAGACACTTGACAGACAAATTGTTTCTTGTAAATAAATCATCATATGCTTAATGAAATAAAAGAATTGAAAACTGCAAATAACCATTTTCAATTCGGCAAAGGAAAACAATATAGCAATGTTTTGAAGATCGCAAATACCATGGTGAATGGTAAAATTAATTCACCGTGGTATTTGCAATCTTCAAAACGATTTTCAAATTTGTCACCTCGACTAAGTCTCTATTTTAGTACTAACACTGTCACACGAGAATGAGAAAAGCATGAGGTAGAGGTTGAGTTTGCAGAAATATAGATAACGAGGTTCACTTTATCAATGAATAAGAGAAACAGTACGTATCAGATAATTTAGAGTTAAAGCATAAAATGCCTATGAAACGAAAATAAGAACCTGTGTTATACTTTTATTGAACAGACATTTTAATATGATAATGGACTTTCTGTACTAGTTTATGCATATCACTTTTCATTCTGAGATATTAAAGTTTTATTATGTCTGATTTATCTGATGTCACATTGGAAATGAGAACTAGATGTATTAGGTAAATTTGCTGATACATTATTTTAACATGGAGGAGTTTCCTTCTTTGTGATGTGTTAATGATATAAAATACTGCGTACCATTATCAACCTAAAGTTGTCAGGAAAATGAAGGGTATTTGAAACATTGCAGCGACTCATTTTGCATGCAATATTATGTCACAAGTTAGATAAATTGGTAATTGCAAGCACTTCAATATTTTAGAATGAAAAAGTCATGCAGAAAAGGTTTAGAAAGCACTCTGTCATCTCAAAAGTTCTGGTCAATACAGATATAATTTAACTAGCAAAATATTTGATTCATTGGCACTTTAAGATGTCCAAACAAGGTTTGAGAGAATAAATGTAGAGATCAGACTTCAATACTAATATTTGGCAACAAACATAAGATAGTCTATCTAAAAGACGAGTGTCGAGAATAGAAAGAAAAATTGAACGAAGCTATTTTGTTATCTTTTGCTATAAAAAATTTTTTAGACTCTAAAAAATATATGCTCTCAAAATTTTAATTTAATATTTTCGAAAAACGCAAGGTTACTCCTTAACAAAAATTCATGAAATTACTGCAAAGAGAAGTTTTTGTGATTAATTGTTTGGTATAAGCTAACCTCGAATGTTACCAGTTAAAAATTTATGATATTTCTAATAATTGTTAATACGTTTTTTAAAAGTGTACGGTATCAGTATCCTTTCCTAATTGGGGAAGTTTAAGCTATTTTGATGTATTTATTTTGTTTCTTTAACCCTTGAATGTAATATTTTTATCTAGAAGAGTGGAAATACATTGATGAATCAACGAAACATAGAGAATTGCTTTTAAAATTGATTGAATATGGACGCAATCCCAGTGTTGAGGTTAAAGAGGTGGGCAATGCGTGTAATATTCTCAGAAGAATTTTGCATTGGCGAAGGAAGTGATGCAACCCGTGTTTTTCTTGGACTGGGTAAGGATGGTTACGGTAAAGCAGTGAAACGAATACATCGAGATAAATTTATCCAGCTTGCACATCACGAAAAGGAAGTTTTAAATGAATTCCATGCAAAGAATTCGAAATATGTTGTGAATTATTTCTACTTAGAAGAAGATATTGGAACGGATTATGTTTATTTGATATTAGACTTATGTGAAGAATCACTGGTGAAGTTTGTGAAAGATTCTACTTTGCATGATCTTCAAAAAGCTCTTCCTGATATTCTTAGACAAATTTTAGAAGGATTAGCTGATCTTCATAGCGGCCCAAGTCCTATTCTACATCGGGATTTGAAGCCTTCCAATGTTCTGCGAGACTCAAAAAGCAAATTTCTGATAGCTGACTTTGGCATAAGTCGAATAATGAAGAATGACACTACAACATATAAAAGCAATACTTCCATGGGAACTGTGCATTGGATAGCTCCTGAATCATATCGCGAAGGTGACGATTCACTAAATAAAGCGCGTTACAATAGAAGGTCTGATGTATATGTAAGTGTAGGAATGTAAACATTTGTAAGTTGTAAAGAAACTCAATGCTATGAAATTGCATTTTGATGTAACGCTTTTTATTATTTTAGAATGCAGGGATGGTAGCTTATTATGTAGCAACGAAAGGAAAGCATCCTTTTGGAATTGAACGGCATAGACTGGACAACATGCTGAATGGAAACCCTGTTGGTTTGAAAGAAATCAAGGATGAAACACTAAAGGACCTTCTGTCGTGGATGTTAAATCTAAAACCTGAAGACAGACCATATTCTAACGAAGCATTAAAACACCCATTTCTTATGTCAGATGAGGAGAAGTTTGAAATGTTAAGTAAAGTTGGGAATCTTCAACAGATTAAGACAAATGATCCCCAGTCAAATTTCGTTCAAAAATTGAATAGCGAATCCGTACTTTGGAAAAGTCAAATAAATTGTGATGTTTATGATTATTTGGTGAATAGAAGGAAGTATGAATCTTCATGGACAGAATGCTTAAGACTTATACGAAATATTCACCAGCATTGGAACGAACGAACATGGTCAAGACCACAACCAGAACCATTTTATAAGATTGGCGATTACAGGGCGTATTTTCTCCGAACATTTCCTAATCTCCCTGTTCGGGTGCATGCTGCTGTCAGGTCAAATGAAGAATTGAAAAACGAACTAGAACTCTAGAATATTTTTAATTTTAATGAAAGCGAACTAAATCAATAAACAATATTTTGGTTATTTTATGCACTGTAGTCCTGACAATTATTTCGTGCCTAAATCCATACAACTAAAATGCAAGTGCTATGTATTTAAAATTTCTTAAATGAATATTGAATATACACCAAAATACACTTAAGGTTAACTACGGCGCCCTCTATTGCCTATATTCTAAAAACTCTCTCACATTCACATTTACTGAGTAAAGTTTCAAAATAATCTTATAACTGCTGGAAGACCTTGTATTTACTTCACAGATAGAAATTTGTGCAAAGTTATGTTGATTTTATCATCTCAGATCCCATATCATCTGGTAGGTATCCGCACATTAATGTCACATGAAAACACTCAGTAATAGTTGTGTGACAGTTTTAGTTTAAAGTTTTCTAAATCATTTACATAAATTTTGAGCTTTTGGGGTGTTTTTATTTTATTGAATTAACTTCGCAAAGAGCTTACTATAGCAACAAAAGAACGTAAATAACTTCTAAACGACAAAGAACAATGCTACAGTTTTCTCCAGTTACTGCAGCCTTTTAAACACAACGTTGCAAACATGAAAAACAACACGATTTATATAATGTATAATAAGTGCAAAGGTTTTTCTTGAATTGACTAAGGCTGACATTTTTGCCTCTTAAGTTGTTTGGATTTATTCCAGAGTTTACTGCATCGATGTATTTAAGATTTTAGAAACGTTCTTATTTTACAATGAGTTGTAACATATGACAGCTAGATTTTCTGGATTGTACAACCGTGTTTGACTTTGGCAGCGAGGATTGGCTTGTAATAGTAAATAATCTTCATCAATCTTCACAAAACTATAAGTTATTTTGTATTGGTTTATAAACCGCATAGTATGCTTTTTTAAAGGGCCTATGACACGAAAATTTTTATGTTTGCAATGACCAGAACTTTTAAAATGTCAGTGTACTTTCTAAAACAGTTTATGCATATCACTTTTAATTCTTGAGGTATGAGGTTTATGCTATATCCGATTTATCTAAATTGTGACGTCACATTGAATAATGAGAGCTAGGAGTGTTATCTATATTTAACGATACTTTACTTCACAAGGACATAGTTTCATTTGTTGTGACGTGTTTAATGGTATAATATGCTGCCTATTAGTATGAACCTAAAGATGTCAGGAAAATGAAGATTATTTGAAACATTTTTAGAACTCATTATGCAATATGACGTCACAAGTTGGATGAAGTAGAAATAACAAAAACTTCAATATCTCGCGAAGGAAAAGAGATATGCATGAACTTTTTTAGAAAGTACAATGTCATTTCAAAAGTTCTGGTCATTGCAAACATATAAAAATTCATTTCATAGGCACTTCAAACGTCATAAGTAATTGTACATTTCCAAGTATAACATCGGGCTGAATTGTAAGGGATATTTTAACCACTTTGTAAATATGTATGCTTTATAACTTATAAAGCGGTAGATAAAGCTGATAAACCACCTGCTGAAATTCACTATCAACCAGCTAGAGGACCACCTTTCACTTGAGGGAAATGAATGTAAATTATAATCCCATTTACCCCCAAAATTGGATGGAAGTGTCAATAACCATTATGAATATTTTTAAAAAACCGAAATTTAATTTAATCAAATTGAAGCATTCGCATGTACTATTTATTATATGTCATGAAAAATGGATATTCTTTTCTACACATAAACTACGTAAATAGAAAAAAATTATCCTCTTTACTTTAAAGACTTCTTCCGAATGAATGAATTTCAAAAAAATTCGTTTTAAGACTGGACCAAATACATTTGCCAATAAAATTATAACTGAGAACATAAATATTTTAAATATAGGTAAAGCCATAAATGCCTTTCCTATTACAATGTACAATTTGAGATTGTTACGTCAGAAATCACTTCAACTATAATATGGGCATTTCTGACACGAGAACAGTGTTTTCGGAATCGAACCCAGAGACTAAATTGTACCGCTCAAAAAAGATGTGTGTGACATTTTGGTTAAATTAAAGCAGTTGAGAATAAATTAAACAGATCATAGATTAATTAAATAATTTAGAAATTTTATCTTCCGAAGATTGTCAGACGGTCAAAAATGGTTCATGTTGATGTTAACTTTATCGGAGCACGTACTCTAAACAACTTTTTTTACAAAATGAATGCTGTCTTTAGTTTTGATGATTGTTTATAACATGGAGTAGAATTTTAGTCACTCACCAAGGTCACTGTTTTTTTAGACTTAACCGAAATAAAAAAATCCCTAATGGCAAAACCTAAACTGTATAAACCAAGACCGAGTACGATGGCACGAGAACTTGGAGAATACTGAACAGGAAAAAACCACGAGGGATTTTAGCTGAAATTCCGCGCCCCGGGGGAACCCCCTTACAAACAATAATTTTCACATACCTTTGAAGCGATTCAAAAAGGTAAAACGTCAAAAAAGTAAAAGATTAAAATGCACTTTCAAGTCTGAACATATGGTCCTGAAGGTATATAGTCATTTTGTTAAAATTCTCCATTTTTAACGAACACGGAATTTGCTACTGTTTACTGACACACAAATCTATCATTGAACTGAACAATTTCTACTTTGAACGAGAAAATTGTTATTGATGAGAATTTCGTAAAACGTGTGCTCTTCACATCTAATCAATATCTGAATGATTGAGACAATACCTTAGCTGATATCCTAGAGTATCACATGGAACATTGTTGATCGTGGATCCAGGGTGATGCAACTAATGCAAATGCTTCAGTCAGATTATTTTAATGATTTCATAATTTTCATTACTTTGTTACTTCGCTTTGTCTACTTTAAGTTCAAGCTAGAATTTAATAAAAATCTCAAATTTATGAATTTTTCTTAACCACAAAGATTAATCGTCGCCAATTTTTGTTGCTATTACTGTTATTTACCTATATCAGTACAATACAAAGAATTTACGCGAATCAATACAAAGACAGTCTCCTAAAATATGTCTAATTGTATTATTATAATTGTAAAATATGTCTAATGATGAAGTCTTTTCATCGGAAATATCGCTCAGTATTTAACTCAGACTTCAGTTACCAAATAAAGAGTTACGTTGGAGCATTACGTCGAGTTGGGGCGAAAATTGCATCCGTCCGAGACCCTTGGCCAAGTTTTCCCAACGACCCGTCACAAAATTGATTGTTCAAAATTGATAATGCGAAGACGTTCAGATGGACTTCGACTGACAAGATAGCACGTAACTCCTTACTTGACTCTGAAGATGACTACCGCTAAGGTTCTCGAAAAGTCAGTCAACATCAACAACAACAGTCCTTCTCAAGACTCTACTCACCTGGACGATCTACATCCACAAACATGTAACGACATTTCCGCGGGCTCAAACCAATTACTTAAAAAATATCGTTGATAAGTTAGTTTCCGTTAACATTTTTTTGTTTGTTTGATTAATTATTTTTGGTGTATCGCGCGAGAATTTGCAACGCGATGAAAGAGTGAGTGCTGCTGACGACGTAAAAGAAAAGCTCGACTCGTGTCCTGTATTAGTTACCATTAGCATAAATAGATGAAAATAATTCAAAATTCTAACGCATATAGCATAGAAATACTACAGTAATGAATAGTACTTGTCGTTTGTAAAATAAGTAAAAACGAAGAGTAAGGGTGTAAATGAACCAGCAGATGAGCCGAATCCTTGACAGTCGTGGTCAATTTTACTGTTGTAGATTTTCGATTTTTTATTAAGTAGTATACGTTCCATCAAATTGTTTTAAAATTAAAATGTCTTAAAAGTATAACATATAGCTTTTGTAACAAATGTCATCTATCAAAATGAATGTTTTTTTAGGCCAGTAATCAAACTCTCAAAATTTTATGTGTTCTGCTAAATCTACGTCTACTTTTGAGCATAAAACACATTAATGCAAGATGCTGGAGGATGCATTCCTTACCAAGACATTATAAATTTGTGGTGATATAGTAACTATCGACAAACATATTCATCAGTTTGCGTAAAAATTGTGGACCACATAAAAGAGATTGAGCATTTGTTGTAGAAAATAAAGCTGTGTGCATGTGGCACTGATATTGAAGTATGTTCTCATGTTGTAGGAAATAAAGCTGTGTGCATGTGGCACTGATATTGAAGTATGTTCTCATGTTGTAGAAAATAAAGCTGTGTGCATGTGGCATTGATATTGAAATATGTTCTCATGTTGTAGGAAATAAAGCTGTGTGCATGTGGCATTGATATTGAAATATGTTCTCATGTTGTAGGAAATAAAGCTGTGTGCATGTGGCACTGATATTGAAATATGTTCTCATGTTGTAGGAAATAAAGCTGTGTGCATGTGGCACTGATATTGAAATATGTTCTCATGTTGTGAAATAAAGCTGTGCATGTGGCATTGATATTGAAATATGTTCTCATGTTGTAGGAAATAAAGCTGTGTGCATGTGGCACTGATATTGAAATATGTTCTCATGTTGTAGGAAATAAAGCTGTGTGCATGTGGCATTGATATTGAAATATGTTCTCATGTTGTAGGAAATAAAGCTGTGTGCATGTGGCACTGATATTGAAATATGTTCTCATGTTGTAGGAAATAAAGCTGTGTGCATGTGGCATTGATATTGAAATATGTTCTCATGTAGGAAATAAAGCTGTGTGCATGTGGCACTGATATTGAAATATGTTCTCATGTTGTAGGAAATAAAGCTGTGTGCATGTGGCACTGATATTGAAATATGTTCTCATGTTGTAGGAAATAAAGCTGTGTGCATGTGGCATTGATATTGAAATATGTTCTCATGTTGTAGGAAATAAAGCTGTGTGCATGTGGCACTGATATTGAAATATGTTCTCATGTTGTAGGAAATAAAGCTGTGTGCATGTGGCATTGATATTGAAATATGTTCTCATGTTGTAGGAAATAAAGCTGTGTGCATGTGGCACTGATATTGAAATATGTTCTCATGTTGTAGGAAATAAAGCTGTGTGCATGTGGCATTGATATTGAAATATGTTCTCATGTTGTAGGAAATAAAGCTGTGTGCATGTGGCATTGATATTGAAATATGTTCTCATGTTGTGAAATAAAGCTGTGTGCATGTGGCATTGATATTGAAATATGTTCTCATGTTGTAGGAAATAAAGCTGTGTGCATGTGGCATTGATATTGAAATATGTTCTCATGTTGTAGAAAATAAAGCTGTGCATGTGGCACTGATATTGAAATATGTTCTCATGTTGTAGAAAATAAAGCTGTGTGCATGTGGCATTGATATTGAAATATGTTCTCATGTTGTAGGAAATAAAGCTGTGTGCATGTGGCATTGATATTGAAATATGTTCTCATGTTGTAGAAAAATAAAGCTGTGTGCATGTGGCATTGATATTGAAATATGTTCTCATGTTGTAGGAAATAAAGCTGTGTGCATGTGGCACTGATATTGAAATATGTTCTCATGTTGTGCTGTGTGCATGTGGCACTGATATTGAAATATGTTCTCATGTTGTAGAAAATAAAGCTGTGTGCATGTGGCATTGATATTGAAATATGTTCTCATGTTGTAGGAAATAAAGCTGTGTGCATGTGGCATTGATATTGAAATATGTTCTCATGTTGTAGGAAATAAAGCTGTGTGCATGTGGCATTGATATTGAAATATGTTCTCATGTTGTAGGAAATAAAGCTGTGTGCATGTGGCATTGATATTGAAATATGTTCTCATGTTGTAGAAAATAAAGCTGTGTGCATGTGGCATTGATATTGAAATATGTTCTCATGTTGTAGAAAATAAAGCTTTGTGCATGTGGCACTGATATTGAAATATGTTCTCATGTTGTAGGAAATAAAGCTGTGTGCATGTGGCATTGATATTGAAATATGTTCTCATTGGTTTTTACTCTCAGGTCTACAAAATTACAATTCCTGTGTCTTAGCAAAATTTTAAACCATTGGCTCCTTTTTTAATCAATTTACTCTCATCTACTTCAAACTCACACAGGCACCATTTACTAATTTTTAGGTATTCTAGTCTGGGATATAACAAGGAAGTTTGAAGTTTGATGTAAACAGGACATTGACAGCTCCAAAATGCTTATTCTGTACCTGCTTTGCAGATATAGCAAATTGAGAATTTTTATGATAGTTAAGTGATAAATTTAGAGTAGTACACAAACGTGGCTTGCAGTTTGAGACAGGCTTCAATGTTTGTATTGTTTTGAACAAAAACGTCTTTTATTTAATTATTTCTAGTTTAGAATCTCACTCATTTAGGAGAGTGAAGTAGCTTTTCTTCCTTTGACTTAAAATACTAGCAGGTTTATTTTATCAGTTTTAACCAGAATAGAGGTAGAACCATTTTGAATTTATTGGAAACTACCCCTTTACTGGTACCAGATCTATATATTTGACATATTTTGACGCTAAAATTGAATACAACCACATCCACAACTTTTTCAAATGCATTGTGACGTTCTTTGCAAGTTGAGGTTGTACACATGGGCAATAAAGTGACTGAGAAACTTGCTTGAACTATTGGTTCACAAAAATTGCATAAACTTGTCTTTTGACCAACTGCTGTTAACATATAAATCAAACGGAGTTTGGTAGAAACATTATGATGATTTGAAGGATTTTTCAAAACAAGGATTTTTTAGAGATGACACTTAAAACAGAGACAGATTAAACACGTAATCCTTTTGTCGGCAAAGGACAGGATTAGTCAATTTAATTAATACCGACTCCATGACGTGTAGCTGGAATAACGAGCGACATTTTTTAATAATTTTAAAGTTCTCATCAGAATAAGCATTGGCACAGCGAGTGTTGCTTAAAAGATGTTTTCCAATCGCTGAATCACATAGAATCGGATTTTCATTTTTGCACCCACGTTTTAGTAGTTGTCGTAAAGGAACAGTTTTATTCCTGACAGAAGCTGGTACATGCTGTTTCATTCTTTCACTCACCTTTGAGAAGTCCTACCTACATAGCGAGCATCACACTCACATTTAAACTCGTAGACCACATTGCTTGATATTCGAGCAGGGAGAGACAATTTGGGAGTGGGTGGAAGAATAGTTCTTTTTGAAAATATAAAGACCACATTGCATGCAAAAAACAAACTCTCAAGTCCCTGTTTCATTAGATATAAAATTGAAAAATGTTTTCGTTTATCTAAAATGTTTACTAGGTATCGTGCGCATAAGATCATATGGTACTTTTTTTAATTCATTTCAAGCATAGCATTTTCATATTTGTTGTTGTTGCTTTCTTATTGCTTCTTGACATTAAGATGGCAGTTTTCTAACATCAAATCTCTTCCATGATAAGATATTGTCACTTTGAATGATGAAAAGATTGTCTTGATTGGTAAAAGTTAAATTGTCATGTGTATGGTTTAGTAAAGATGAAACTATAGGATACGACAAAGCTTTAGAGTTTCGTGAAAAAGCTTTGGTATTTCAAAAAAATTTTAACATCTAAATCATTTTAATGTATATGTTTGGCCTGTGTTAAACGTCGAATTTTACATGCGCCAAATGCATTAAAAACATAAGAAAATGAGATCAACTTCTTCATTATCTTTTGTTTTAAATGGATTCGGCTCATGTGAAGTTTGACATGTAAAACGGACTTTAGTCTTTAGATAATCGTGCATAAAAACCTAAATATACAACAAAGCTATAGTCACTTAAAATTTGTGTAACATCATAAAAATCGATATCTTCAAATTATTTTACTGTCACCATGTCTTTAACTAATTTAGTAATCTTGGTGTGGCGTTTTGGAATATTGGAGTATACGATAAAGCGATAGAATTTCAAAAATAAGCTTTGGAAACTTTTTAAATATCTTTTAGTCAAATTACGTGCATATTTTAACATATAAACTGAGGGACCATGGCTCCCTACCTCCTAGCTAACACCCTCACAAAATTATGTGGTCCCCAAGAAAACATTTTCAGCTTGCACTTTGTCTTGTTAAATGAACCTACGGATAATCGTCCTCATCTAGTTTCACCAATATCTAGTTAACGACCTTACTCTCCAGCCAAGGAATCGTCCTTGCTGGAAATTTAGAACTGTCCATGCCTTGAACCGATTCTCCTTCAAACTTTGTTCAGAAAGTAATTTATTTTTAGCATAATTAAGTACTAATATTTATTGTGTGATTCACAATCACCCTGACGTACATCAAGACAGAATTTCATAACATAATTTATGTTACAAGTTTGTTGATGTAGATCGTCCAGGTTTGTAGAGTCTTGAGAAAGACTGTTGATGATGTTGGTGACTGACGTTTCGACATTTCTAACGGTTGTTATCTTCAAACATCTTCATTTATCTTGACCCTGAAGATGACTACCTCTAAGGTTGTTGAAAAGTCAGTCAACAACAACATCAAAAGTCCCCAGGACTCTACATTGGGGGTACCCTTTTCCTACCATATATACCACCCCACCAAGCTGCAGCCAATATTCCTGTACTGTCCCTATCTCCACCATGAAACATAGAACAAGAACACAATTGAAACCAGGAATCTTTTGCCATCATCAAAGCATCGTAAGCAATCATTGGTGCATCATGACCACAGGATCCACCCCAACCTGCATAACTCACAGATTTATAAAAAACATCACGTTAAGGTATGTTATATGTCACTGGAAACTTTGGTTCACTGGTTCCATTTGTTAATTACCGTAGTTCAAGATATGACTCCCAACTGTCTTTAAAGCAATCTAAAGATTCCTTGTTTTCTTCTACATCTCAATCAACCTTTTCAAGAAGAAAAAGCTTTGGGTAAAACACTTGCGGTGAAGCACATAATGGTAGAGTCCTGCATTTATCTACTGCCAGAATTTTTAAGCGAATCTTTTGACTCATATTTAGAGTTGGAGGAGCAGAATGGGCTCTAATGGACCAACACGACTTCGAGGATAAAGAATGGAAGGCAAATTTTAGTTAAGAAATTTTTGTGACGTTCAGGTTTTTATAGTTAAATTTAAGAAAGTTTTTCTTTTTTTTGGCCTTTTTAGCAAAAACTTATGATAAAGTTGCTAAATCTATTAGCACTCAAGATTTGCAAAATCTTTTGGGGAAAACAGGTAGTTAGACTTTCATATGTTTATTTGACAGTAAAATTGCTGCAAGAAATAGACAATTGTATGTTAAGAATTTTGTCACCAAGAAACACTTTAGAAATAGCTTGCATACAAAAATCACACAGCAAAAAAGCATATTGAACACATGGGGCTAAAATATGGCATATGCTAATCAAGCAAAATTTAAGGAAATTTGGTTTTACCTTCCAAATTATTAGTTATTATGAATTATTTGTTTTTAAATGCTTTCTTTTCACAATTCTTAACAATATGTGGTTTTGAATTGGTGCAATTATGAATAATTGATGATGGTTTTAAAAAAATGGAATTTAAAAAGGAAAAGCTCAAAATAATGCGCAATTTCGCTGCCAAGCAAGAAACCCGATGTAGTGTTCATCGCAGAAACATAGCTTACATGATACTTGTAATCTTGAGATATCTGAGTATAACATTGTTTATAAAAACAGAGCTTTTGGACCACATGGAGGTGGTGTATATGTCTATAGATAAAAAAAAATTTATTCAGTTTACAGTTCTTGACTAATTTAGTTCCACCACGTTTGAGGCTTTTGGGGTTAAATTATGCTAATCATCTAATTATAAACTAATTACTTAATTCAGGCCCCGTGATCTCCATTACCACAGCCATGTTGATTTCTCCCTTGATCTTTTTCAGCGTCAAGCTTATCTTAAGTGATATCATTGCTTAAGCCGTGCGCCATGGTAGTAGCAGATACAAAAGGATGTACAAGAAGCTGCTGTGCAAAGCATTGGTTACCGTTCTTCCGATATAGACATGTATACAAAGTATATGATATTTGTTTTGCCTCGTGTAACAAGCGATTAAGTAAACAACAAAAACAAGAGTGGACAAACTTAATTTAAATTATAACCTAGTAGTAAAAATATACACAAAATATATACCATCATACTTTAATTATTTACTAAAAACAAACTACTGAACACTTGAAATGATAAACAGTATTACATGTTTGTAAATGATGATCGTCCAGGTTAATAAAGTCCTGAGGTTGTCGAAACGTCAGTCAACAACAACAAAAACAGTCCTTCTCAGGACTATACCAACCTGGACGATCATCATTTACAAATATGTAACGATACTCCCAGGTTCAAACCATTTACTTTAAACAATATTACATTGCTTACCGATGTCATGAAATATTTCCTATTCTGGCAGTAATTTAGCATCCGTATACCACACAAGTTTGCAGCATGTTTAATAGATAAATTTTTTTAAAAGTGTTTGGGCTTGGAATAATGGCATTGATATTTTGTAGTATCGCCATTGTGGTTGACAATATCCGGGCGGGCAAAAAACATTTTAATTAGCGAGCCCACGTCTTTCCGCTGACTCTGACAACCAAAATCCGCCATGTTTTTGACCACAGGCCGCGCGCTAATAATTTATAGTAATTTTGTTGAAATGTTCTTCCAGGTCTTATAATACACAATGAACAAAACAATCGACGTGTCATACTGGAGGGAATCATATATGACTGGTATAAGAACCAGGAAGGGTATAAAACTTAAACGTTTTCCAAAGATAACTTGCAAGCTCGAATGTTCATCTTGAATTTTTGATAAATGTCCGTTTGCCGGTTTGCGTGTGAGCAAATAAACTTGATGAGAAGCATGATTGGCGTAAAGAAAGAGGGCAAAGGAGGGGATAGTTACACCTGGTTCCAGGTTATCCTTTTCAATTATTTGAGATCAACAAATCTTATAAAATTGCTCGCTAGATCTCATCTGTAAAAATCCGAAACACAAGAGACGGTTACGTCATGTGTACTTCTGACCAATCAAATTGCTCAAAATATAGCTAGTTCCAATCAATTTCAATTTTTCTATAATACAAACAATGGAGACCAGCTCCCACATCTGCATACAACACATGCATACAGCAAACAAGAGCAAATAACAACATTTTTTAACAATATACATAACTAAAATTAACATAATTTTAAACATCTGTCTTTTAACATGTTTTTTCATGTCAGTAACGTAACTATTTCTTGAAATAACGTCGACAATTGACAAAATAACCTAACACAAATACTGGATAGTAGACTTTTGCAAATACAGTACAGCCTTTCACCTGCTATCACCTGGGTGATTATTGCAAAGATGAACTCTATTTTTCTATTTCCGGTTGACGTTCCTGTCGTCAAAGAAATATCAATATAACCAGATTCCCCTCCTTCAAATATTGTGGTGTCTATCAACATCTATACTAGTTCTATTAAGACGGATCGCTTGGCCGGGGGGAGCTAGCAAAATATAGCACCAGATATTTGACGGCTGAGTCAACAAAACGTGAACCAATCAGAATGTGTTGCTTCGATATCACACTAACGTAGACGTTGAACGATTATTAGCAGCAATAGCTTCGACGCGCAGGCGCACAAACAGTTTTCCCTTGACCCAAGGATTTTGAAGCTGTAGTATTTTATAATCATCGCTGAGACAACGTTCGCGGGCGCCAATTACAGCAACTAAACAAAATTCTTTCACCTTCTCTTCGGTCAGTAGTTTTGTATCCGGGTTCTTTTGCTGGACGAGTTTCTCTAGTTGGCGAACAACCAAGTACACAACTTGTTCTACTGTTGTGTCGGAGGATACGTGAAGCTAAGAGGGAAAGAAATGGATAAATTGTAGAATAATGGCGAACAAACAAGTACACAACTTGTTCTACTGTTGTGTCGGAGGATACGTGAAGCTAAGAGGGATAGAAATGGATAAATTGTAGAATAATGGCGAACAACCAAGTACACAACTTGTTCTGCTGTTGTGTCGGAGGATACGTGAAGCTAAGAGGGATAGAAATGGATAAATTGTAGAATAATGGCGAACAACCAAGTACACAACTTGTTCTACTGTTGTGTCGGAGGATACGTGAAGCTAAGAGGGATAGAAATGGATAAATTGTACAATAATGGCGAACAACCAAGTACACAACTTGTTCTACTGTTGTGTCGGAGGATACGTGAAGTTAAGAGGGATAGAAATGGATAAATTGTAGAATAATGGCGAACAACCAAGTACACAACTTGTTCTACTGTTGTGTCGGAGGATACGTGAAGCTAAGAGGGATAGAAATGGATAAATTGTAGAATATTGGCGAACAACCAAGTACACAACTTGTTCTGCTGTTGTGTCGGAGGATACGTGAAGCTAAGAGGGATATAAATGGATAAATTGTAGAATATTGGCGAACAACTAAGTACACAACTTGTTCTACTGTTGTGTCGGAGGATACGTGAAGCTAAGAGGGATAGAAATGGATAAATTGTAGAATAATGGCGAACAACCAAGTACACAACTTGTTCTACTGTTGTGTCGGAGGATACGTAAAGCTAAGAGGGATAGAAATGGATAAATTGTAGAATATTGGCGAACAACCAAGTACACAACTTGTTCTACAGTTGTGTTGAAGGATACGTGAAGCTAAGAGGGATAGAAATGGATAAATTGTAGAATAATGGCGAACAACCAAGTACACAACTTGTTCTACTGTTGTGTCGGAGGATACGTGAAGCTAAGAGGGATAGAAATGGATAAATTGTAGAATAATGGCGAACAACCAAGTACACAACTTGTTCTACAGTTGTGTTGAAGGATACGTGAAGCTAAGAGGGATAGAAATGGATAAATTGTAGAATATACGGTACTGATATGAAAGTATACAGGGTGTATATAAAAAGTTGTGATCATTTCAATGCTTAATGACTATGCTAAGCCAACGGTGGAATAAAATATTGTCAGCTACAGGCAGATATTAATTATCTTAATGTTACTACTCTAGTTTTTCTGCACTTGGGAAATCAAAATAACTGCTAACAGCAAGATCTTCACAATGATGCACCCAAAGGCTTGAAAAGTGATGAGGAATGAGAAAATTTAAGAATTGATAAAGTTCTAAATTATCATACATTATGCATAAGATTGTTGGGTCTGTTGTTCAAACTTGAAAATTTTGCGTTCGCTGCACTGCGTTTGTATTCTTTGGAGGCGAAATAAATTTCGCTAATAAAAACAAGACAACATGTAAAACTACAACAAGTATATGAAAACCAACCTTTACACTTCTTCCTGGAGGAAGACCAGTCTCACATGAGGAATAAATCTTCAGAACTCCACTTTCTAAACTCGAAGCATCACCTAGAATACAAAAAAAATCATGAAAGATGAATTGTGAAGATGTGAAAAACTAACTGAATTACACAGAGAGAATTTTTTTTTCAACTTACTATTTGTAGTTATTGTACTCAAGTTTTTCAGTTCCGAGTGCTTCCGATGACAATCGTCGGCTTCCGGACCACAGGGTCATTGGGTGTCAAAAACGAGATCCAGCGGTATACCACTGACGCATTCTCTATCACGTGTATAGTGTAGAATGTCCAATAACCATCCCATACCCTTCCACGTCTCGTCTAACTCCTGGTTAGAAAGGGATAACATGGGATCATTCTGAGATAATTGATGTTTAATATTCAGAAAGATCTACTGCTGAAACTATTCAGTGCAACAAAGCATACGTATGTTTGTTTTTTTTCTATACAAACAATCAACTAATTGACAAATGATCCTAGCTGAATCCTTAAAAATCAACTACAAAAGCTACCTAATACAATTATGGCAATTGGCAAGTTTAGTTTAGTTTCCTCTCGCACTGATAACAGATGTATGTAACATGATTATTTAATGCAATTCAAGACAAGCAACTGAAAACTGTCACAGATAAAAAATAATCACAGGGACGTAAGAAAATTGATCATGAAGAAGGGGTGGGTTCATATACGTATGCATATTCTCCTTTATCAGTTTCTATTGAAATCAATTGTGATTAGAAATTATAACATATGAATATTTGCACATGCCCTTTCTCAATTATCAATCTTCCGCGGGTCCCTGGATAAGATTAGCTTATAATAAAAATCAAACTGCGTCTCACTTTTTGAAAATTACTAAGTGTATTTTGTGTTGCTTTGGTTTCTTTAACTTCGTCATCTAGGATAGACAATGGTAAGAGCCAAAATTTCTATCTGTTAACTAAAAAAATGAAAACAAATGAAATACCTTTCTACAATCGTGTTGACTAATAAGCAGCGCCATATCAAGAATGGATGACAGTCTTGAATAGTGACATATAAATTGGTTTTGATACGTTTTCATAACATCTAAAAATAAAAACATATTTCTTACAAACATGAACCGTGTCTTCCTCACTTGTTTTTGACAAATGCTCAAATTGGGCAATGTTCATAAACTAAAGATATTTGAGATCTTTCGCACGTAGCATACAACATACTCTGTCACCACTTACTCATCTCAAATACAGGGACAGGAATAGATAGAAATCGATCATCGTTTGAAAAGATATCTCCATCACCAGGACACGAGCAAACCTCTTTTGGGGATGGTACAAGGATTAATAGGGACACATCTTTACTCAGTTCAACCACCTCGCGATCATAAATACGGTAATCAGCACACTCCTACAATAAAAACAATATCCAAACTGTAAAGAAATCGTTGACTAGGAACAATCGTACGTCATGTAGTATTAACGTCTTGAAAAGAATGCTGGTGTTTATTTTCTTTCTTACTGTAATCTTCTTTCTTTTCTTTTCTCCTGAATTATCAGTAAGCAGCATACGCCTCTTCATCTTTCTTTGTATCAAACATTTTATTTTACATAATTAAGCAACACTCCTTTAACTTTTTGATAAATTAAAGATTCCTTTCCAATCGCATCGAAAGCTGTGATCAGCGGCTTGTATTCTCCTGGCAAACTTGCAAGTAAAGTCATTGCTAATTGGCGATCGTTGTTTTAGCACAACTTAGCACAACAATAGCAGAGTGATGTTTTGTCATCGCTGAGGAAGAAGATTTCGAAATTTAGAGTTGTTTTGTCCACTATGTGGCACACAACGGAAAAGCGACCAGCGTACTTTTCCGACATTTTTTTGCGAGAAAGAACTTTGTTCTTGTTGCAATACCATGATATTTCACTGTCCATCAGAACATTAAAGAGAAGGCTTTAGTCATACGGCATTCAAAAGGTGGACCTTGCTGTCTCAGAAGACACCGTTCGGCAAATCATTGAGAACGAAATTAAGGGACCATCATCAACTCTTGGTTACAGGGGTATGTGGAATAAGTTAAGAACAAGTTACAATATAACAGTTCCTCGAGACACAGTTATGAGAATACTGAAAGACGTCGACCCAGAAGCATCGGCACTCCGTAAAGCTAGAAAGTTGCTTCAGCGAACTTACGTATCTGATGGACCAAATGCTACCTGACTTGTAGATGGATACGATAAGCTGAAGCCCTACGGTTTACCAATTCACGGTTGTGTTGACAAGTTTTCTTGACGAATAATATGGCCAAAAGTTTGCAAAAGCAATAACAATCCAGTTATTCCAGCAACTTTTTGTTACGGTCAGTGGAGGAGTTTAAGTTTTGTCCCATCCTAGTACAGATGGTGGAAAAGAGAATACTATTTTGACAGCGATGCAATGTAGCCTTGTTGGTGGTGAGCAAAGGCATCGTTATTCATCATCTCATGCTAATCAATGGATTGAGAACTGGTGGTCTTACTGAAGAAAAGTATTTTCTGGATGGGTTATCAATCATTTTAAACATCTTGTTCATGAAGGAAAGCTTGCATTGGGAAATCACTTGCAGATGGAATGTATTTGATTTGTTTATTCAGAGTTTTTAATGTCAGAACTTAACAAGGTAAAGCAAGAATGGAACACACATTGCATACGGCATTTCAGAGACAACTTGATTTCGGGTGTACCTGATGAACTTTTTTTCTGCCTGAAAGCACTGGACATAGGAACTGCACAATCACTGTTTCTGATAACAATGTTTGTGGTATATTGAACCAGAGAGACGTTTACGCAGAATCAGAATTGGCAATGGATGAAAATGATATAGAATTGATGGACTACTTCAGGTATGTCGTCAGAGAAGAAAACTTAGAACATCCACCTCATGATTGGAATCATGCCAAAAATATGTATTTAAAGATAGTACAGGTAGCAAATGCCTGATTTGACATTGTGTGAAATCCAGGTGGCAATACAGCTGTTACAATCATTATGAGTTGTATGTGGATGCACAGCATACTTTTATATCAGGTGGCAATACAGCTGTTACAATCATTATGAGTTGAATGTAGATGTACAGCATACTTTTATATCAGGTGGCAATACAGCTGTTACAATCAATATGAGTTGTATGTAGATGAACAGCATACTTTTATATCAGGTGGCAATACAGCTGTTACAATCATTATGAGTTGTATGTGGATGCACAGGATACTTTTATATCAGGTGGCAATACAGCTGTTACAATCATTATGAGTTGTATGTGGATGCACAGCATACTTTTATATCAGGTGGCAATACAGCTGTTACAATCATTATGAGTTGTATGTGGATGCACAGCATACTTTTATATCAGGTGGCAATACAGCTGTTACAATCATTATGAGTTGTATGTAGATGCACAGCATACTTTTATATCAGGTGGCAATACAGCTGTTACAATCATTATGAGTTGTATGTGGATGCACAGCATACTTTTATATCAGGTGGCAATACAGCTGTTACAATCATTATGAGTTGAATGTAGATGTACAGCATACTTTTATATCAGGTGGCAATACAGCTGTTACAATCATTATGAGTTGTATGTAGATGAACAGCATACTTTTATATCAGGTGGCAATACAGCTGTTACAATCATTATGAGTTGTATGTGGATGCACAGCATACTTTTATATCAGGTGGCAATACAGCTGTTACAATCATTATGAGTTGTATGTGGATGCACAGCATACTTTTATATCAGGTGGCAATACAGCTGTTACAATCATTATGAGTTGTATGTGGATGCACAGCATACTTTTATATCAGGTGGCAATACAGCTGTTACAATCATTATGAGTTGTATGTGGATGCACAGCATACTTTTATATCAGGTGGCAATACAGCTGTTACAATCATTATGAGTTGTATGTAGATGCACAGCATACTTTTATATCAGGTGGCAATACAGCTGTTACAATCATTATGAGTTGTATGTGGATGCACAGCATACTTTTATATCAGGTGGCAATACAGCTGTTACAATCATTATGAGTTGTATGTGGATGCACAGCATACTTTTATATCAGGTGGCAATACAGCTGTTACAATCATTATGAGTTGTATGTAGATGCACAGCATACTTTTATATCAGGTGGCAATACAGTTGTTACAATCAGTGCATGCTGCCCATTATATATTATTGTGATAAATATCAGTTCTATCAATTTTAAAGTACCTTTTCTAAAAACGTTTTGATTTCTGATACTGGTAAATCATCTAAAGTGAGTTTGAGCTATTCACACAGACCTGAAACCACATAGTCATAAACCCAAGGTTTCAAAATGCATGGTGGTGGACCACCTTGCAAAATGAAGGCAGCCATAAGATTTCCAGAATACAAAAATTCCTTCTCTGTCATTGCTGATGTTGAGATAATGGGAACACCAGTAATGAACAGTCATTGTGTAATTTCTTTAAGAACTTCTGCAAACATAAAGAAGGATTTTTTAAATGCTCTATATATAAATATGTGGCAATAACTGTTTAAAGGCAATGGACTTTTGTACTTTTTAAAAACAAAAAATGGATGAGTCAAACCTGTTAAAAATTCTCTCCTTGGTCCTCCAGTACCTTGAGCAGGCTCACCAATAAAAAAACTACTTTATGTTTATTTTCATCAGTGATCCAGCTACAACATTTTCTTGTCTCAATGTAATCAGCAAATAGCTGGCCTCTCCTTACATTTATTCTAGATTGTGCTTTGAGATTTTTTACTAACGGTTCAAGAATATCTGAAATTGACTTCACACCAGTATCCAAACTCACATCCTCAGTGACATCCCCACTTGTGTTTCCTTCTGCAATGCCATGTAGAAGTTCAAATTTTGTTTCTTGATAAAAAGCCCGTCGGTTAGCATTTTCTGCACATATGTCTGCATGTAATACAATGTCTTTATCTACAAAATACCTAGGAAACGGTAATAACATTTAAACATGTTAACAGAAACAATAAAAATCATAAGGCCGTATCTTTGCTTTACATAACAATAAAGCGACGTACCACTCAAACAACGCAGATACTGACTCTTAACTTTTCAGAACGTTAAATTTATCTGAAAGATTGAATGTTCAAAGTTCCAACCGTCGACCAGTAAAAGGTTTGTAAGACAAAACATAAAGAATTATCATGTGTGTTTACGATGTATAAATGTGACCTTAAATACAAAATGTTTGTCATATTTAATTAATACATTTTTACTGAATATTAGTCACACCTTAGTACTATGAAATATACATCATAGATACCCGTAGCAATTTGTAATCCTGTAATTGTATACCAATCAAACGAAGTTGCAAATACAAACAATTTTCTTACGAAAAAAAATTACTGCCATCGAAAGGAAAGCCTGTTTATCGTGATGTGTTTGTTTGCTAAGGAATTGAAATTGCTTGCTAGCATGTAATTATATTTATCTTTGGGTCCGGACGGTATATTTATAAAACATGTGTTATTTCATTATACTTGTGATAATATGAAATGACATTTATGAATCAGGAAGAAAATTTAGTTTGAAATTGCAAATGGACTCATGCATGCCATCATTGAATGTTTTAAATATTTGGTCGTTTTTTTTAACATTTAGTCGTTTTGTAACGTTGCAATTATCTTTCGTCGAGCTGTTGACGCTAAGGTGATACATGCAAATTCATAGCACTAAAAAAACTGAAAATCTTTGATTTCTGATTTGTAAAAACAGAGATTTTGGACCACATGGTGGTGTACAGCAGAAATTCTAACATAATTCTGCCACGTTTGAGGCTCTTTTGGTTAAAATTAGACCGATTAACTAATTATAAACTAATTATTCAATTCAATTACAGCAATGAACACTTTTGTATTCTGGGTGTGGAATCGTTTTGACTTGTGATTTTGATAAACTTAACTTTTGCCACCATACGAATCAATTCAGATTACCAGAAACAGCTTGTAGTTAAATATACCTAAAAGATACAAGCAAACATTGAACTTGATGCTAACAAATCTTTATAATTTCTACAAGACTACAACAAGAATTCTCTATCACCTTCCCTACATTTAATTTCTCACAATATAATGTAATGTCACCTTATCCAACTCTTTTCTATTTCTTTGATTGTCTTATCATACTCTTCTAAAATTTCTGGTTCCCTTTTCAGCTATACTAACTGACCCTTTAATCTTCTCAAGCTTATGCTGTAATTTGTATAATCTAAACTATGTCTATACATCTTCCTCTGCTATTCCTAAAGTTTCAAAATCCGACAAACGGTTGACATTCTTATCTAAACTTAAATTTCCTGAACTTTCATGCGCAATGAAGTTCACTTGAGTGTGCATGTTATCCAAATCATTTCTTGCTTTCATGGGACCAGACAACACCCAACCTAACTTAGTAGACACAGCAACAGGTTCATCTACCTGTCCCCGAACAACATTGTCTTCTTGAAACCACCAAAGATAATTTGCTCCATTCAAAACTTCAATATCTAAAACTTCCTTATCCTTGCAAACATCTGAAAACCACAGACCCTTTAAATGTGAATAATCCATCTTTCTCAACTCTACATATGCATTCCTAATTTGAGATATACAGTCTACACTGTACATACTATACTATACTGTACTATACTGTACCGTCTACAGTCTACACTGTATGCCTTGATGCTTACACTCTCTCCCCGTGTAACTGATGACAACTCTAATTGAAATACCTCTGGCAACTTACCTTTAGCCTTCTCTTGACCAAACAACTTGATTTCTATCCAATCCTTTCTACTAGCCTGAATACCTGCTCCCTGTATAATCTTTCTATTCACAAACGACTTGTGACTTCCTGAATCAAACAACACTCTGACCCAAACACGTCCCTTAGCTCCCTTAATAAAAGACTGTGCTGTCTGTAATGTTACCCTATAATGAGATCCCAGAATAGAATGCTTGGTTTGAACATCGCCTGTAAGAATCCCGTTGGCTTCACAAATTGACCTATGGTGTGCCTTCTCACATGCATTACATTTATCATTACTATTACAATTCTTACTGACATGTCCTTTCTTCAAACAAATAAAACATCTTCCGTACTTACGAATGAGTTGTTTTTCTCAGGTACCTTGGTTATTTTCTTACATTCCTCAGGTTTGTGTTCCCCAAGACAATAAACGCATTTTCTTTTCGCTTTACCGTTCGTTGACTCCTCGTTGCAACTCTCGTGCTTCGAGTGCAGTGTTGATTCTGACCCCATATGTCTTTGTCTCGACGTTTCTCGTTGTTTCTCCTCATCTTGTCTCTTGGTTTTCGCACCGATCGGTGTGTGAGCTTCTCGAAGCTCCAACTCTTTAAGAATTGCGTTCAACGTATCTTAAAAAAATGAAAACAAATGAAATACCTTTCTACAATCGTGTTGACTAATAAGCAACGCCATATCAAGAATGGTCAGTCTTGAATAGTGACATATAAATTGGTTTTGATACGTTTTCATAACATCTAAAAATAAAAACATATTTCTTACAAAAATGAACCGTGCCTACCTCACTTGTACATATTTCTTACAAAAACGAACCGTGCTTTCCTCACTGGTACATATTTCTCACAAAAATGAACCTTGCTTTCCTCACTTGTACATATTTCTCACAAAAATGAACCGTGCTTTCCTCACTTGTACATATTTCTTACAAAAACGAACCGGGCCTTCCTCACTTGTACATATTTCTCACAAAAATGAACCTTGCTTTCCTCACTTGTACATATTTCTCACAAAAATGAACCGTAATCAGCAAATAACTGGCCTCTCCTTACATTTATTCTAGATTGTGCTTTGAGATTTTTCACTAACGGTTCAAGAATATCTGAAATTGACTTCACACCAGTATCCAAACTCACATCCTCAGTGACATCCCCACTTGTGTTTCCTTCTGCAATGCCATCTAGAAGTTCAAATTTTGTTTCTTGATAAAAAGCCCGTCGGTTAGCATTTTCTGCACATATGTCTGCATGTAATACAATGTCTTTATCTACAAAATACCTAGGAAACGGTAATAACATTTAAACATGGTAACAGAAACAATAAAAATCATAAGGCCGTATCTTTGCTTTACATAACAATAAGATTTAAATGTTTAAAATTAAGTTGCACAAAATTAATGGCCACGTATCAACTCAAACGACGCTGACATTTGACGCTTAACTTTTCAGAACTTTAAATTTATCTGAAAGATTGAATGTTCAAAGTTCCAACCGTCGACCAGCAAAAGGTTTGTAAGACAAAAGATAAAGAATTATCATGTGTGTTTACGATGTATAAATGTGACCTTGAATACAAAATATTTCTCATATTTAATTAATATATTTTGACTAAATATTAGTCACACCTTAGTACTATGAAATATACATCATAGATACCCGTAGCAATTTGTAATCCTGTAATTGTATACCAAACAAACGAAGTTGCAAATAGAAACAATTTAATTACGAAAAATAATTACTGCCATCGAAAGGAAGGCCTGTTTATCGTGATGTGTTTGTTTGCCAAGGAATTGAAATTGCTTGCTAGCATGCAATTATATTCATCTTTGGGTCCGGACGGTATATTTATAAAATATGTGTTATTTCATTATACTTGTGATAGTATGAAATGACATTTATGAATCAGGAAGAAAATTTAGTTTGAAATTGCAAATGGACTCATGCATGCCATCATTGAATGTTTTAAATATTTGGTCGTTTTTTTTTAACATTTAGTCGTTTTGTAACGTTGCAATTATCTTTCGTCGAGCTGTTGACGCTAAGGTGATACATGCAAATTCATAGCACTAAAAAAACTGAAAATCTTTGATTTCTGATTTGTAAAAACAGAGATTTTGGACCACATAGTGGTGTACAGCAGAAATTCTAATATAATTCTGTCACGTTTGAGGCTCTTCGGGTTAAAATTAGACCGATTAACTAATTATAAACTAATTATTCAATTCAATTACAGCAATGAACATTTTTGTATTCTGGGTGTGGAATCGTTTTGACTTGTGATTTTGATAAACTTAACTTTTGCCACTTTACAAATCAATTCAGATTACCAGAAACAGCTTGTAGTTAAATATACCTAAAAGATACAACCAAACATTGAACTTGATGTTAACAAATATTTATAATTTCTACAAGACTACAACAAGAATTCAGCCATACTAACTGACCCTTTAATCTTCTCAAGCTTATGCTGTAATTTGTATAGTCTAAACTATGTCTATACATCTTCCTCTGCTATTCCTAAAGTTTCAAAATCCGACAAACGGTTGACATTCTTATCTAAACTTAAATTTCCTGAACTTTCATGCGCAATGAAGTTCACTTGAGTGTGCATGTTATCCAAATCATTTCTTGCTTTCATGGGACCGGACAACACCCAACCTAACTTAGTAGACACAGCAACAGGTTCATCTACCTGTCCCCAAACAACATTGTCTTCTTGAAACCACCAAAGATAATTTGCTCCATTCAAAACTTCAATATCTAAAACTTCCTTATCCTTGCAAACATCTGAAAACCACAGACCCTTTAAATGTGAATAATCCATCTTTCTCAACTCTACATATGCATTCCTAATTTGAGATATACAGTCTACACTGTACATACTATACTATACTGTACTATACTGTACCGTCTACAGTCTACACTGTATGCCTCGATGCTTACACTCTCTCCCCATGTAACTGATGACAACTCTAATTGAAATACCTCTGGCAACTTACCTTTAGCCTTCTCTTGACCAAACAACTTGATTTCTATCCATTCCTTTCTACTAGCCTGAATACCTGCTCCCTGTATAATCTTTCTATTCACAAACGACTTGTGACTTCCTGAATCAAACAACACTCTGACCCAAACACGTCCCTTAGCTCCCTTAATAAAAGACTGTGCTGTCTGTAATGCTACCCTACAATGAGATCCCAAAATAGAATGGTTGGTTTGAACATCGCCTGTAAGAATCCCGTTGGCTTCACAATTTGACCTATGGTGTGCCTTCCCACATGCATTACATTTATCATTACTATTACAATTTTTACTGACATGTACTTTCTTCAAACAAATAAAACATCTTCCGTACTTACGAATGAGTTGTTTTCTCTCAGTTACATTGGTTATTTTCTTACATTCCTCTGGATTGTGTTCCCCGAGACAATAAACGCATTTTCTTTTCGCTTTACCGTTCGTTGACTCCTCGTTGCAACTCTCGTGCTTCGAGTGCAGTGTTGATTCTGACCCCATATGTCTTTGTCTCGACGTTTCTCGTTGTTTCTTCCCATCCTGTCTCTTGGTTTTCGCACCGATCGGTGTGTGAGCTTCTCGAAGCTCCAACTCTTTAAGAATTGCGTTCAACGTATCTTTCATTGACCATTCCGTGAAATCGAACCTCTTGTTATTGTCAATGGGAAAAGCGTCCGGCAACTTCGCAATGACTTCCGGTACTACGATTGAAGAATATACGGCTTCGTCCACTCCTAAGGCCTTTAAACCCCGGCAGTTTGTCTTGCAGGTTTCGTATAACCGCCGAAGCTTGTCGATGTCTCCTTCGTCCGTTATGGGTTTTACGTTCATTAACTCCTGGATATGCGCTTTCTTGATCACGTTCTTTTTCCCGCATCTTCGTTTCAACAATTCTACAGCTTCGTGATAGTTCGCTGAAGTTAGGGCAAAACCTAATATTGTCGATCTTGCAGGTTCGAGCAAAAAAGTCCTTAAATACGCAAACTTGTCGACGTCATCTAATCCATCATTATTATTCACCGCACTATCAAACGAATCGCAAAACTCTTGCCATTCTTGCAGCCGTCCGCTAAATTTCTTTACTTCCAACATTGGGAGTTTTGTTCTTATAACTCTGCGCGTCTCACTACTCAAACTGCTGTTCAGCGTGCCATTTAATGTCGTTCTTGCCGTTTCAACTGGGACATTAGACTCCTTGACGATGTCGTTCTCATCCAGAATTCCTCGCTCAAATTCTTTCCGCATTTTTCTCATTGCTTTCACTCAGCATATCGATAATCGCGTCATCAAGGATTTTTTATGTTGCGATCTTGTCGTTCAATCCATCTCGTAGTTGTCTCAGTTTGTTTCTATCGATCTCACCGTCCGTTTCTCGTATTTTCTCTTTTAATTTACTAGCAATTTTCCTCGCTGACCCTCTATGTCCTGCGCACTTTCGTTTCTTTCTCATAAATTCATCCATTCTGCTATTGGACTAAAAAACTTCAATTTCAAAATAGATCTACAACTAAAATATCTCCGACTCGAAGTACCACGTGTAGCAATTTTCTCCTTTGCACGTCAGCACAAAGCAGTTATACGTCTTACGATTTGTTTTTGGGACTGTATACTATCCTACTGTACGCGCAGTCGAGACACAATTCTCAATTTTACTCAATATAACTATTCTGCATCACAGATAATCTTAAACATTTCAAGCTTTTACATTCACAGCCAGCGAGAGAAGAACCTTGACTTTTTACGTGTCACAACTAATAAAGTATTAACATAAGTTCCTATTTCAGTTCTTCCATAAGTTCCTAGTATCAAATAACAATTATCAATTACTTATTCACATAAGTTCCGACACTTAGACTTCAAATACAACATATATTTGATTTTTAGGAGGCGCTGTAATGAATAAGAGCGTCAAATTTTAAAATTGTATTAGAGAAACGCATTTGACATTATACAGTTAGTATGACTTCACTCCCCAAAGTCCAGGAAATGGTAGTTTAGAGCTTCTTAATAAAGAATTTTCCCTCGGAGCATTTACCCCCGGACTCCTCAAACATGACTCACACCTTAGTTTCTCGGCTCAGGCTTTGGGCCCCGTTTTTAAAGTGTGTATATTTGAGGCCCATTTTCAGTGGTAGCTGATTGCCCCCATGAAGTGTTCCTAGCACGCAACTGATTCCCCCTTATATTAAACAAAATTATACAAAATAACTGTTAACTCAACAGAACTTTGTTGAACCAACTAAAATTTGCTCGCAAAGTGTCTTCATTTGACGGCCGCCATACGCTTTCCGTTTCAAAAAAATGTGTTAAATTTACTTTTCTTACATGTCATACATCACGCAGAAGCCACTGACTGGTTTTTGTTTATTAAGTTTCTAAGAATTGTAATATTTCGTCTTTATTCCAAAGACATCATCAGAATAAAGACGAAATATTACACATTATTTTGTTTCAAACTCTTGTAATATCTTGAATATCAAGAAAACGAGATGTCCCTCTTCGGAATTTGTTTTATTTTGTATTATTTGAAATTGTCTGCTCGTCCTGGTTATTAGCTTTGTTTAACGACTCAGATATTTTATTTTCAATGGAAAATGTTGCACTTTGCCCCAGATTACGCTACGTTAATGTGACTTATATAAATCAATGGCCACAAGGCAAGTTCCATAAATCAATATTAAACGTTAATCGCCATGAATTACTTTCGTTGGCTTTCTCAACTTTTCATAGTCCTTACATGAAGTTTGATTTGTTCATGTAAATCCTCGACTTTAACAAAGAGTGATGTATATTGAAGGTCGAACTTTTGAAATTGATTGATTTTAACTGTCTTGTTGATACATCATATTCTTTTTTAGATGGAATCAAGAGAAAACAGAAATCTACTTTACTTTAGAGCAGTAATTAATGTGGTACAAACGGAACTTGCTAAATTTTTCATCAAAGAATGGAACTCTCTATACGAAATAATATATGGAAAATGGGATGATACATGCAAAAGTGGCAATATATTTTACAAATTAGAATCGAGAAGGAAGTTGGATAAAATACTGCAGTTAAAATATCAAAATGGAGATACCAGTAAGTGGGACTGTACGATATTATTTAATGCAATAATTTTTTCAAATTCAATTGGAAATCATCTTGACAATAAAACAAAGGATGCTGTTCATGCACTTCGTTGTGAAAAAAACAAATACGCAAGGTGGTATAAAAGCGAATGCTCAGATGATGATTTTGATGAAATAGTCAACATCATTGAAAAATCATTTCAAGATTTGAAATTTTCTCTCGATGAAATCAATAAAATCAAAAATCATCGTAAAAGTTTTGATTCATTTCAAGTTTTTCCTTCTAAATCCAAACATTTTCTCGTTGAACGCATTGAATTACAATATAAAATCATAGAAGATCTTAAAAATTTAAGGAATAATAACATTAACGAACTGACACGTTTCTACATCACTGGTAATCCTGGAAGTGGTAAATCACAACTTGCAAGACACGTTTGTGAAAAAATATCGTGTGATTGGGAAAATAGAACTTCGTTTGTAATGACTCTCGATGGGAAGAATGTGGAATCTCTTTTACAAACTTACTGTGAACTTGGATACCGTTTAAACTGTGACAAGGATATGATTAAAAAATTTAAAGATGAAAATTTTTCCGCCAAAGAGAAAGTCAAGAACCTTCGATCGTTAGTATCTGTTCGATTGAAATTCTGGCAAAATTGGTTGATTATTGTCGACAACGTTGGGCAACTGAGCGAAATTTCTCCGTTACTACCACAAGTAGGTGATCACATGTGGAAAAATGGACAACTAATAATAACTGTTCATAATACAGATGCCGTACCTCACGATGAATTGTCCAGCAAACATATTTCTATCAGTAGTGGAATGAATGACAGAGAATGTTGTCAATTGTTAAATTCTTACACTAAAGATGAAAATGCTGATGATCAATTGTTGAATGAAGTAGCGCACGCATTAGATCGTCAACCGCTGGCTTTGGCTGCCGCTGGTTATTATGTCAGTCGTGTAAAGAAAGCAAACTGGTTATTTACTTGGAGACAATATTTAAAGAAAATATCTTCAGAAGAACAAGAAAGCATGGACGCCACTTTTGTTAAATTTAACTCGGTGTATCCTAGAAGTATGTTACAAGCTTCACTTTTAGCTGTCAGACAAAATGCTGAAGAATCCTCAATATTGGCAAAGGTTATTACCTTTTTTTCTATGATATCATTTCATCCTATACCACGAGACATTATTGTTTTTTATGTTCAAGAAATTGATCCCAAACACTCAAAGGAAGATATATGTCTTTGTTTAAAGGACTGCTCGTTGTTCTTGCATTCAGAAAATAATGACATTAGTCTACATCGCATTGTTCACAAAGCAATTAATGTTTATCAATCTGAACATTGTAATGAAGAACATGAAATGGAAACTAACGTTGATCAAATATCTAAAGCACTTTACATGTTTAAAGAGAGAGACGACAAAATCAAATTAATGCCACATCTTGAAAAAATTGTTCAATTATTAAAGACCAACAAGACAAAAATCAACATGAATATTTTACAAATTTTCCAATATTTTGTTGACAGATTAAGACATTTTGGAAAATACGATCTTGCTCTTGAACTATTGGATAAATTTAAATCAGAAGTATCTAGTTATGACAAAGCTTGGTATTTTAGTATCCTCGGTCTTTTATACCATGACACTGGGAAGTATAGCAAAGCTAAAAATCTTCATGAAAAAGCTCTGGAAATTCAAATACAATCGTTAGGTCCAAATCATGTTGATGTTGCTGCGTCTATAAACAATCTTGGTTTGGTGTTTTATAAAACTGGAAACAACGACAAAGCTATAGAGTTTCACGAAAAAGCTCTGGAAATTCGAAAACAATCTTTAGGTCCAAATCATGTTGATGTTGCTGCGTCTTTAAACAATCTTGGTTTGGTGTTTTATAAAACTGGAAACAACGACAAAGCTATAGAGTTTTACGAAAAAGCTCTGGAAATTCGAAAACAATCTTTAGGTCCAAATCATGTTGATGTTGCTGCGTCTTTAAACAATCTTGGTTTGGTGTTTTATAAAACTGGAAACAACGACAAAGCTATAGAGTTTTACGAAAAAGCTCTGGAAATTAGAGTACAATCGTTAGGTCGAAATCATGTTGATGTTGCTGCGTCTTTAAACAATCTTGGTATGGTGTATGATAAAACAGGAAATTACGACAAAGCTATAGAGTTTTACCAAAAAGCTCTGAAAATTAGAAAACAATCGTTAGGTCGAAATCATGTTGATGTTGTTGCGTCTTTAAACAATCTTGGTTTGTTGTTTTATAAAACTGGAAACAACGACAAAGCTATAGAGTTTTACGAAAAAGCTACGGAAATTAGACTACAATCGTTAGGTCGAAATCATGTTGATTTTGCTGCGTCTTTAAACAATCTTGGTATGGTGTATGATAAAACAGGAAATTACGACAAAGCTATAGAGTATTACGAAAAAGCTCTGCAAATTAGAAAACAATCGTTAGGTCCAAATCATGTTGATGTTGCTGCGTCTTTAAACAATCTTGGTATGGTGTATGATAAAACAGGAAACTACGACAAAGCTTTAGAGTTTTACGAAAATGCTCTGGAAATTCAAAAACAATCGTTAGGTCCAAATCATATTAATGTCGCTGCATCTTTAAACAATCTCGGTTTGTTTTATGATAAAACAGGAAAACACGACAAAGCTATAGAGTTTTTTCAAGAATCTCTAGAAGTTCGAAAACTGAATGTGCCAGGTAAAGACCATACTCATGTCACTACGTCTTTGAGCAAGCTTCGTACGATGTACGAAGAAACTAAAAAATATGAGTCTGAAACTCTTTGACAGGTTGCATAAAATTGCATAAAGTTGTACAGTTTCCTTGTCCTCAAAACAGACAGTCAACAACAACGAATTTAACAACTTTTTCTTATAATTACTAAGATACTCGACAGATATTGACGACAACAGTTCGTTAACACTGGTTAACACTAGTCACTCCTATAGTTTTGCCAGCAGAAAATATATAGTTTGAAATTGTGTCGCCTAGATAACAAAACCCACTTTTTGAGTGTTCTTTTTTGACTTACATTCATATCATGGTTTTTTTGTTTTTGTTTTTATTTTCGTTTTACATTTGCTGTTTGCTTCATAAAGTTTTGGTAAAACACAAAACAATAGACATTCCGTAAATAGTAAACATTGTTCAATCTAGATAAATAATGTTTACTATATACAGTGTCTATTGTCGTAATTCATGAAGTTTGTTTATCTACATTTATTGGTAATCTTACGCCTAATGAAAGCTGGTTCATAACGTGAATATATATACTGCCCCTCAATATTTCCAATTGTAAAGTCATTTTATTACTTGAAAATGTCAGTCATGTAAAACAGTGCGTAATATATGTATATGAAATTTTGGAGCTAATGGGTAAAACGAAATGAAATATATAGTTTTAAAAAGCTACTATCCAAAACTTTCCAATTTATTTGTGTTATTTCTTTTTGAGCGCTAGCTGTAAATTCATTTTTTTACTTGTTGTCAAGTAGAAATACACAGCTTGTGTGGATAACGTTTTTTTAAATATTGTTCGTAGAAATCACAAGTGGTGATGATGCTAAAGATGTCGGAAATTCTCCTGGTGTTGAAAATACAGAACAAGGTATGCCTTTCAATTTTATTTTATTTTATGTATATTGCATAACCTAAGCATATTTGTTTTGCATCACAATTCAAGTCATTTGATTGGTATTTATGTGTTTTTATGAAGATTTATATTATTTAATAATATGCATGATGTACGTATACAGTGTTGCACTTTCGGACTCCAAACGTTCGTTTATTACGTATGTTCAATACTGTATCAATGACTTAACTTTTTCCTTTGCGAACGACAAATAATTTAAATGTACTTTGTACCAGACGGCAGTGCTCAGAACAACTTGACAAGTCTTTGTTTATCTCAATAAATACTGCGTTATCTCAATAAATACATTTTGTTTTATAAAGTGCTCAAATTGTCTACATTTCATAAAATGTATTGAAGAAAAAGGATTATAATAAATAGACTAAAACTTTTAAAACAATCTTGACATAATGTACACCATACAGATCAGACACTGCATTTAAGAAGTTTTCAGGTTAGACCCTGTGTTTTAAAAGTACTCGTGTTTGATTACGTTAATTACAATTTTCTTTGTTAGAGTACAGGAGATTAGTCGGTGTATAACTTTTTTCCAGATATAAATTATGTTTTTTGCTCCTGGCTTACAGCATCGAAAGTGTTGAAACATTTAAAAAACATCACCAAGTCCAAGTTCTAATAAAAATTTACTTCAAATACAGTCTTCAATCAACCTTTTACATTAACAAATGTAATAAGATATATGAGTATTTTTCATCACATGTCTAAGCAACACTGACTGGTAACATTTGCGGCTGGTTTAATCTGTTTTAACCATGACGGTAAAATCTTGTCACTTTACTATTTGTACTTGAAGCACATTATCAGTCAGTTGAAATCAAGATGAGACATGAGGTGATAATGACATCATGTAATCTATGAATTATCGCTTACAGATCTCAATGGCTATATTAGATTTTCTCAAGTATTGTAGCACGGACCACTGTATAGAGGACCGAAACTATAAATTTTAGTGGGGTGGGGGAGGGGGTGCTTAATAACGCTGATACTGAATTATCGCTTACAGAGCTCAACGGCTGTATCATGTTTTCTTAGATATTGTAGCACGGACTACTGTACAGAGGACCGAAACTATAACATTTAGTGAGGTGAGGGAGGGGGTGTTTAATAACGCTGCTGCTGAATTATCGCTTATGGAACTCAACGGCTGTATCGTGTTTTCTTAGATATTGTAGCACGGACTACTGTATAGAGGACCGAAACTATAACACTTAGTGAGGTGGGGGAAGGGGTGTTTAATAACGCTGCTGCTGAATTATCGCTTACAGAGCTCAACGGCTGTATCATGTTTTCTTAGATATTGTAGCACGGACTACTGTATAGAGGACCGAAACTATAACATTTAGTGAGGTGGGGGAAGGGGTGTTTAATAACGCTGCTGCTGAATTATCGCTTATAGAACTAAACGGCTGTATCATGTTTTCTTAGATATTGTAGCACGGACCACTGTATAGAGGGCCGAAACCACTAGTAAGGTGAGAGGTGTTTAATAACTGCTGCCTTTATCAACGGCACATGTAGTAACATTTAGTAAGGTAAGGGGGTGTTTAATAACGCTGCTGCTGAATTATCGCTTATAGAGCTCAACGGCTGTATCATGTTTTCTCAAGTATTGTAGCAAGGACCACTGTATAGAGGCCGAAACTAGAATGTTTAATGGTTTGGGAGGGGGTATTCATATCTTCAGTTGTGGTCGACTGATTTCTTGTAAAGCCAACGTAGTCTACATTTGACATAATTCAAATAAAGAAAAATATCAATAAAATTACAGGCAGATGGATGGATAAAAAATTGATCTGAAAATTTTATGTGAAAGCATGAAAATGATTTGCTCAATTGCTGATTTTAACTATATTTATAAGAGAGCTCTAAGGGAGCGTTGTATTGTACGAGAAAATTTTTCAAATTATTAAAAGGTGATTGTGGTAGCCAAAAATAATTAAAATGTTCTGTATCGTACATAAAATGCATCCAAATACAAAAAAGATGTTACAACATTTGAAGCCAGAAGTTCGATCATTTGCTTGCATCGTTGGCGTTTCTTATCTTGTCAATTTATTATACTTTAACACTACAACATCATGATTTCTTTCACATGTTTTTTAAAACATACAAGAATTTTATCAAAAAGACTGAAAGATATGATAAGAATTTAAATCGCTTACTTCTTTCGTGGGGTTAAAAATTTATTGAATTGCACGATTCCTTTTCTTTCTGGGTAAATATTTCCTCAAGAAAGAAATTTTCTCGATAACGAAAACCCTGGCACAATAGACACTTGACAGACAAATTGTTTCTTGTAAATAAATCATCATATGCTTAATGAAATATAAAAGAATTGAAAACTGCAAATAACCATTTTCAATTCGGCAAAGGGAAAACAATACTAGCAATCTTGAAGATCGCAAATACCATGGTGAATGGTAAAATTAATTCACCGTGGTATTTGCAATCTTCAAAACGATTTTCAAATTTGTCACCTCGACTAAGTCTCTATTTTAGTACTAACACTGTCACACGAGAATGAGAAAAAGCATGAGGTAGAGGTTGAGTTTGCAGAAATATAGATAACGAGGCTCACTTTATCAATGAATAAGAGAAACAGTACGTATCAGATAATTTAGAGTTAAAGCATAAAATGCCTATGAAACGAAAATAAGAACCTGTGTTATACTTTTATTGAACAGACATTTTAATATGATAATGGACTTTCTGTAGTAGTCTATGCATATCACTTTTCATTCTTGAGATATTAAAGTTTTTATTATGTCTGATTTATCTGATGTCACATTGGAAATGAGAACTAGATGTATTGGGTAAATTCACTGATACATTATTTTAACATGGAGGAGTTTCCTTCTTTGTGATGTGTTAATGATAGAAAATACTGCGTACCATTATCAACCTAAATTTGTCAGGAAAATGAAGGGTATTTGAAACATTGCAGCAACACATTTTGCATGCAATATTATGTCACAAGTTAAATAAATTGGTAATCGCAAGCACTTCAATATTTTTACAATGAATAAAGTCATGCAGAAAAGAGTTTAGAAAGCACTCTGTCATCTCAAAAGTTCTGGTCAATACAGATATAATTTAACTAGCAAAATATTTGTTTCATTGGCACTTTAAGATGTCCAAACAAGGTTCGAGGGAATAAATGTAGAGATCAGACTTCAATACTAATGTTTGGCAACAAACATAAGATAGTCTATCTAAAAGACGAGTGTCGAGAATAGAAAGAAAAATTGAACGAAGCTATTTTGTTATCTTTTGCTATAAAAAATTTTTTAGACTCTAAAAAATATATGCTCTCAAAATTTTAATTTAATATTTTCGAAAAACGCAAGGTTACTCCTTAACAAAAATTCATGAAATTACTGCAAAGAGAAGTTTTTGTGATTAATTGTTTGGTATAAGCTAACCTCGAATGTTACCAGTTGAAAAATTTATGATATTTCTAATAATTATTAATACGTTTTTTTTAAAAGTGTACGGTATCAGTATTCTTTCCTAATTGGGGAAGTTTAAGCTATTTTAATGTATTTATTTTGTTTCTTTAACCCTTGCACGTAATATGTTTATCTAGAAGAGTGGAAATACATTGATGAATCAACGAAACATAGAGAATTGCTTTTAAAATTGATTGAATATGGACACAATCCCAGTGCTGAGGTTAAAGAGGTGGGCAATGTGCGTGTAATATTCTCAGAAGAATTTTGCATTGGCGAAGGAAGTGATGCAACCCTTGTTTTTCTTGGACTGGGTAAGGATGGTTACGGTAAAGCAGTGAAACGAATACATCGACATAAATTTATCCAGCTTGCACATCACGAAAAGGAAATTTTAAATGAATTCAATGCAAAGAAGTCGAAATATGTTTTGAATTATTTCTACTTAGAAGAAGATATTGGAACGGATTATGTTTATTTGATCTTAGACTTAGCTGAAGAATCACTGGTGAAGTTTGTGAAAGATTCTACTTTGCATGATCTTCAAAAAGCTCTTCCTGATATTCTTAGACAAATTTTAAAAGGATTAGCTGATCTTCATAGCGGCCCAAATCCTATTCTACATCGGGATTTGAAGCCTTCCAATGTTCTGCGAGACTTAAAAAGCAAATTTCTGATAGCTGACTTTGGCATAAGTCGAATAATGAAGAATGACACTACAACATATAAAAGCAATACTTCCATGGGAACTGTGCATTGGATAGCTCCTGAATCATATCGCGAAGGTGACGATTCACTAAATAAAGCGCGTTACAATAGAAGGTCTGATGTATATGTAAGTGTAGGAATGTAAACATTTGTAAGTTGTAAAGAAACTCAATGCTATGAAATTGCATTTTAATGTAACGCTTTTTATTATTTTAGAATGCAGGGATGGTAGCTTATTATGTAGCAACGAAAGGAAAACATCCTTTTGGAATTGAACGGCATAGACTGGACAACATGCTGAATGGAAACCCTGTTGGTTTGAAAGAAATCAAGGATGAAACACTAAAGGACCTTCTGTCGTGGATGTTAAATCTAAAACCTGAAGGCAGACCATATTCTAACGAAGCTTTAAAACACCCATTTCTTATGTCAGATGATGAGAAGTTTGAAATGCTAAGTAAAGTTGGAAATCTTCAGCAGATTAAGACAAATGATCCCCAGTCAAGTGTTGTTCAACAATTGAATAGCGAATCCGTACTTTGGAAAAGTCAAATAAATTGTGATGTTTATGATTATTTGGTGAATAGAAGGAAGTATGAATCTTCATGGACAGAATGCTTAAGACTTATACGAAATATTGACCAGCATTGGAACGAACGAACATGGTCAAGACCACAACCAGAACCATTTTATAAGATTGGCGATTACAGGGCGTATTTTCTCCGAACATTTCCTAATCTCCCTGTTCGGGTGCATGCTGCTGTCAGGTCAAATAAAGAATTGAAAAACGAACTAGAACTCTAGAATATTTTTAATTTTAATGAAAGCGAACTACATCAATAAACAATATTTTGGTTATTTTATGCACTGTAACCCTGACAATTATTTCGTGCCTAAATCCATACAACTAAAATGCAAGTGCTATGTATTTAAAATTTCTTAAATGAATATTGAATATACACCTAAATACACTTAAGGTTAACTACGGCGCCCTCTATTGCCTATATTCTAAAAACTCTCTCACATTCACATTTACTGAGTAAAGTTTCAAAATAATCTTATAACTGCTGGAAGACCTTGTATTTACTTCACAGATAGAAATTTGTGCAAAGTTATGTTGATTTTATCATCTCAGATCCCATATCATCTTGTAGGTATCCGCACATTAATGTCACATGAAAACACTCAGTAATAGTTGTGTGACAGTTTTAGTTTAAAGTTTTCTAAATCATTTACATAAATTTTGAGCTTTTGGGGTGTTTTTATTTTATTGAATTAACTTCGCAAAGAGCTTACTATAGCAACAAAAGAACGTAAATAACTTCTAAACGACAAAGAACAATGCTACAGTTTTCTCCAGTTACTGCAGCCTTTTAAACACAACGTTGCAAACATGAAAAACAACGCGATTTATATAATGTATAATAAGTGCAAAAGTTTTTCTTGAATTGACTAAGGCTGACATTTTTGCCTCTTAAGTTGTTTGGATTTATTCCAGAGTTTACTGCATCGATGTATTTAAGATTTTAGAAACGTTCTTATTTTACAATGAGTTGTAACATATGACAGCTAGATTTTCTGGATTGTACAACCGTGTTTGACTTTGGCAGCGAGGATTGGCTTGTAATAGTAAATAATCTTCATCAATCTTCACAAAACTATAAGTTATTTTGTATTGGTTTATAAACCGCATAGTATGCTTTTTTAAAGGGCCTATGACACGAAAATTTTTATGTTTGCAATGACCAGAACTTTTAAAATGTTAGTATACTTTCTAAAACAGTTTATGCATATCACTTTTAATTCTTGAGGTATGAGGTTTATGCTATGTCCGATTTATCTAAATTGTGACGTCACATTGAATAATGAGAGCTACGAGTGTTATCTATATTTAACAATACTTTACTTTACAAGGACATAGTTTCATTTGTTGTGGCGTGTTTAATGGTATAAAATGCTGCCTATTAGTATGAACCTAAAGTTGTCAGGAAAATGAAGAGTATTTGAAACATTTTTAGAACTCATTATGCAATATGACGTCACAAGTTGGATGAAATAGAAATAACAGAAACTTTATCTCGCAAAGGAAAAGAGATATGCATTAACTGTTTTAGAAAGTACACTGTCATTTCAAAAGTTCTGGTCATTGCAAACATAACTAACCTGGACGATCTACATCCACAAACATGTAACGACATTTCCGCGGGCTCAAACCAATTACTTAAAAAATATCGTTGATAAGTTAGTTTCCGTTAACATTTTTTATTTGTTTGATTAATTAATTTTGTCGTATCGCACGAGAACTTGTAACGCGATGAAAGAGTCAGTGCTGCTGACGACGTAAAAGAAAAGCTCGACTCGTGTCCTGTATTAGTTACCATTAGCATAAATAGATGAAAATAATTCAAAATTCTAACGCATAGAGCATAGAAATACTACAGTAATGAATTGTACTTGTCGTTTGTAAAATAAATAAAAAACGAAGAGTAAGGGTGTAAATGAACCAGCAGATGAGCCGAATCCTTGACAGTCGTGCTTAATTTTACTGTTGTACATTTTCGATTGTTTTATTAAGTAGTAAACGTTTCATCAAATTGTTTTAAAATTAAAATGTCTTAAAAGTGTAACATATAGCTTTTGTAACAAATGTCATCTTTCAAAAGGAAAGTTGTTTTTCATGCCAGCAATCAAAAACTCTCAAAGTTTTATGTGCTCTACTATAAATGTACGTCTACTTTTGTGCATAAAACACATTAATGCAATATTCTGGAGGATGCATTCCTTACCAAAACATTATAAATTTGGGGTGATATAGTAACTAAAAATTGTGGACCACATAAAAGAGATTGAGCATTTGTTGTAGGAAATAAAGCTGTGTGCATGTGGCACTGATATTGAAATATGTTCTCATGTTGTAGAAAATAAAGCTGTGTGCATGTGGCATTGATATTGAAATATTTTCTCATGTTGTAGGAAATAAAGCTGTGTGCATGTGGCACTGATATTGAAATATGTTCTCATGTTGTAGGAAATAAAGCTGTGTGCATGTGGCACTGATATTGAAATATGTTCTCATGTTGTAGGAAGTAAAGCTGTGTGCATGTGGCACTGATATTGAAATATGTTCTCATGTTGTAGGAAATAAAGCTGTGTGCATGTGGCATTGATATTGAAATATGTTCTCATGTTGTAGGAAATAAAGCTGTGTGCATGTGGCACTGATATTGAAATATGTTCTCATGTTGTAGGAAATAAAGCTGTGTGCATGTGGCACTGATATTGAAATATGTTCTCATTGGTTGTTACTCTCAGGTCAACAAAAATATAATTCCTGTGTCTTAGCAAAATTTTAAACCATTGGCTCCTTTGTCAATCAATTTACTCTCATCTATTTCAAACTCACACAGGCACCACTTACTACATTTTAGGTAATCTAGTCTAGGATATAACAAGGAAGTTTGAAGTTTGATGTAAACAGGACATTGACAGCTCCAAAATGCTTATTCTGTACCTACTTTGCAGATATAGCAAATTGAGAATTTTTTTGATAGTTAAGTGATAAATTTAGAGTAGTACACAAACGTGGCTTGCAGTTTGAGACAGGCTTCAATGTTTGTATTGTTTTGAACAAAAACGTCTTTTATTTAATTATTTCTAGTTTAGAATCTCACTCATTTAGGAGAGTGAAGTAGCTTTCTTTCCTTTGACTTAAAATATTAGCAGGTTTATTTTATCAGTTTTAACCAGAATAGAGGTAGAACCATTTTGAATTCATTGGAAACCACCCCTTTACTGGTACCAGATCTATATATTTGACATATTTTGACGCTAAAATTGAATACAACCACATCCACAACTTTTTTTCAAATGCATTGTGACGTTCTTTGCAAGTTGAGGTTGTACACATGGGCAATAAAGTGACTGAGAAACTTTCTTGAACTATTGGTTCACGAAAATTGCATAAACTTGTCTTTTGACCAACTGCTGTTAACATATAAATCAAACGGAGTTTGGGAGAAAGATTATGATAATTTGAAGAATTTTTCAAAACAAACAGCCAAAAAAACTGTTTATATATGATACTTTAGATAAAAATGCTGACCGGTCGTGAGTAAAGGGCGTGAGTCAATCTAGCAAGGGAACACTAAACAAGCCATGTGTATTAAAGAGCCCCAGTGTTCTGGTGTTCGTCTTATAGATCATTATTTCTATCATATACATATCAGTGCGTTGATACTCAATGTATCATGTTTCTATCATATATGTATCACAAACTGTAAATAACATAACTATTCACGCTGAAGATGAATTACAGTTAAGTCGAAACATGTATGTAATTAAAGATATAAAATTTAAAGATGGATTTCAAAATAGCAAATACCATGGTGAATGGTGATAATAACAATGTAATAGTTCTTAAAAGAACTGTTTTAATCAGAACACTAACCCAACAATTCAAAGGAGCCGTTATTTACAGCTAGAAAGAGACACTATGCATTTCGACAGACTACTCGTCAGGTGTCAACGTCTGCTAAATGAGAACCACCAAATCATGCTATATTTATAACGTTACAAAAAGTCAATGTCATCCCTATTTTTAGAGATGACACTTAAAACTGAGACAGATTAAACACGTAATCCTTTTGTCGGCAAAGGACAGGATTCGTCAATTTAATTAATACCGACTCCATGACGCGTAGCTGGAATAACGAGCGACATTTTTTAATAATTTTAAAGTTTTCATCAGAATAAGCATTGGCACAGCGAGTGTTGCTTAAAAGATGTTTTCCAATCGCTGAATCACATAGAATCGGATTTTCACTTTTACACCTACGTTTTGGTAGTTGTCGTAAAGGAACAGTTTTATTCCTGACAGAAGCTGGTACATGCTGTTTTATTCTCTCACTCAACCTTTGAGAAGTCCTACCTACATAGCGAGCATCACACTCACATTTAAACTCGTAGACTACATTGCTTGATATTTGAGCAGGGAGAGACTCTTTGGGAGTGGGTGGAAGAATAGTTCTTTTTGAGAATATAAAGACCACATTGCATGCGATAAAACAAACTCTCAAGTCTCTGTTTCATTAGATATAAAATTGAAAAATGTTTTCGTTTATCTAAAATGTTTACTAGGTATCATGCGCATAAGATCATATGGTACTTTTTTCAATTCATTTCAAGCATAGCATTTTCATATTTGTTGTTGTTGCTTTCTTATTGCTTCTTGACATTAAAATGCCAGTTTTCTAACATCAAATCTCTTCCATGATAAGATATTGTCACTTTGAATGATGAAAAGATTGTCTTGATTGGTAAAAGTTAAATTTTCATGTGTATGGTTTGGTAAAGATGAAACTACAGGATACGACAAAGCTTTAGAGTTTCGTGAAAAAGCTTTGGTATTTCAAAAAAATTTTAACATCTAAATCATTTTAATGTATATGTTTGGCCTGTGTTAAACGTCGAATTTTACATGCGCCAAATGCATTAAAAACAAAAGAAAATGAGATGAACTTCTTCATTATCTTTTGTTTTAAATGGATTCGGCTCATGTGAAGTTTGACATGTAAAACGGACTTTAGTCTTTAGATAATCGTGCATAAAAACCTAAACATACAACAAAGCTATAGTCACTTAAAATTTGTGTAACATCATAAAAATCGATATACTTCAAATTATTTTACTGTCACCATGTCTTTAACTAATTTAGTAATCTTGGTGTGGCGTTTTGGAAAATTGGAGTAAACGATAAAGCGATAGAATTTCAAAAATAAGCTTTGGAAACTTGTTAAATATCTTTTAGTCAAATTACGTGCATATTTTAACATATAAACTGAGGGACCATGGCTCCCTACCTCCTAGCTAACACCCTAACAAAATTATGTGGTCCCCAAGAAAACATTTTCAGCTTGCACTTTGTCTTGTTAAATGAACCTACGGATAATCTTCCTCATCTAGTTTCACCAATATCTAGTTAACGAGCTTACTCTCCAGCCAAGGAATCGTCCTTGCTGGAAATTTAGAACTGTTCATGCCTTGAACCGATTCTCCTTCAAACTTTGTTCAGAAAGTAATTTATTTTTAGCATAATTAAGTACTAATATTTATTGTGTGATTCACAATCACCCTGACGTACATCAAGACAGAATTTCATAACATAATTTATGTTACAAGTTTGTTGATGTAGATCGTCCAGGTTTGTAGAGTCTTGAGAAAGACTGTTGATGATGTTGGTGACTGACGTTTCGACATTTCTAACGGTTGTTATCTTCAAACATCTTCATTTATCTTGACCCTGAAGATGACTACCTCTAAGGTTGTTGAAAAGTCAGTCAACAACAACATCAAAAGTCCCCAGGACTCTACATTGGGGGTACCCTTTTCCTACCATATATACCACCCCACCAAGCTGCAGCCAATATTCCTGTACTGTCCCTATCTCCACCATGAAACATAGAACAAGAACACAATTGAAACCAGGAATCTTTTGCCATCATCAAAGCATCGTAAGCAATCATTGGTGCATCATGACCACAGGATCCACCCCAACCTGCATAACTCACAGATTTATAAAAAACATCACGTTAAGGTATGTTATATGTCACTGGAAACTTTGGTTCACTGGTTCCATTTGTTAATTACCGTAGTTCAAGATATGACTCCCAACTGTCTTTAAAGCAATCTAAAGATTCCTTGTTTTCTTCTACATCTCAATCAACCTTTTCAATGAATAAAAAGCTTTGGGTAAAACACTTGCGGTGAAGCACATAATGGTAGAGTCCTGCATTTATCTACTGCCAGAATTTTTAAGCGAATCTTTTGACTCATATTTAGAGTTGGAGGAGCAGAATGGGCTCTAATGGACCAACACGACTTCGAGGATAAAGAATGGAAGGCAAATTTTAGTTAAGAAATTTTTGTGACGTTCAGGTTTTTATAGTTAAATTTAAGAAAGTTTTCTTTTTTTGGCCTTTTAGCAAAACTTATGATAAAGTTGCTAAATCTATTAGCACTCAAGATTTGCAAAATCTTTTGGGAAAACAGGTAGTTAGACTTTCATATGTTTATTTGACAGTAAAATTGCTGCAAGAAATAGACAATTGTATGTTAAGAATTTTGTCACCAAGAAACACTTTAGAAATAGCTTGCATACAAAAATCACACAGCAAAAAAGCATATTGAACACATGGGGCTAAAATATGGCATATGCTAATCAAGCAAAATTTAAGGAAATTTGGTTTTACCTTCCAAATTATTAGTTATTATGAATTATTTGTTTTTAAATGCTTTCTTTTCACAATTCTTAACAATATGTGGTTTTGAATTGGTGCAATTATGAATAATTGATGATGGTTTTAAAAAAATGGAATTTAAAAAGGAAAAGCTCAAAATAATCTGCGATTTCCCAGCCAAGCAAGAAACCCGATGTAGTGTTCATCGCAGAAACATAGCTTACATGATACTTGTAATCTTGAGATATCTGAGTATAACATTGTTTATAAAAACAGAGCTTTTGGACCACATGGAGGTGGTGTATATATCTATATATAAAAGAAATTTATTCAGTTTACAGTTCTTGACTAATTTAGTTCCACCATGTTTTAGGCTTTTGGGGTTAAAATTATGCTAATCATCTAATTATAAACTAATTACTTAATTCAGGCCCCGTGATCTCCATTACCACAGCCATGTTGATTTCTCCCTTGATCTTTTTCAGCGTCAAGCTTATCTTAAGTGATATCATTGCTTAAGCCGTGCGCCATGGTAGTAGCAGATACAAAAGGATGTCCAAGAAGCTGCTGTGCAAAGCATTGGTTACCGTTCTTCAGATATAGACATGTATACAAAGTATATGATATTTGTTTTGCCTCGTGAAACAAGCGATTAAGTAAACAACAAAAACAAGAGTGGACAAACTTAATTTAAACTATAACCTAGTAGTAAAAATATACACAAAATATATACCATCATACTTTAATTATTTACTAAAAACAAACTACTGAACACTTGAAATGATAAACAGTATTACATGTTTGTAAATGATGATCGTCCAGGTTAATAAAGTCCTGAGGTTGTTGAAACGTCAGTCAACAACAACAAAAACAGTCCTTCTCAGGACTATACCAACCTGGACGATCATCATTTACAAACATGTAACGATACTCCCAGGTTCAAACCATTTACTTTAAACAATATTACATTGCTTACCGATGTCATGAAATATTTCCTATTCTGGCAGTAATTTAGCATCCGTATACCACACAAGTTTGCAGCATGTTTAATAGATAAATTTTTTTAAAGTGTTTGGGCTTGGAATAATGGCATTGATATTTTGTAGTATCGCCATTATGGTTGACAATATCCGGGCGGGCAAAAAACATTTTAATTAGCGAGCCCACGTCTTTCCGCTGACTCTGACAACCAAAATCCGCCATGTTTTGACCACAGGCCGCGCGCTAATAATTTATAGTAATTTTGTTGAAATGTTCTTCCAGGTCTTATAATACACAATGAACAAAACAATCGACGTGTCATACTGGAGGAATCATATATGACTGGTATAAGAACCAGGAAGGGTATAAAACTTAAACGTTTTCCAAAGATAACATGCAAGCTCGAATGTTCATCTTGAATTTTTGATAAATGTCCGTTTGCCGGTTTGCGTGTGAGCATATAAACTTGATGAGAAGCATGATTGGCGTAAAGAAAGAAGGCAAAGGAGGGGGTAATTATACCTGGTTCCAGGTTATCCTTTTGAATTACTGAAGTCAACAAATCTTATAAAATTGCTCGCTAGATCTCATCTCTAAAAATCCGAAACACAAGAGACGGTTACGTCATGTGTATTTCTGACCAATCAAATTGCTCAAAACATAGCTAGTTCTAATCAATTTCAATTTTTCTATAATATAAACAATGGAGACCAGCTCCCACAACTGCATACAACACATGCATACAGCAAACAAGAGCAAATAACAACAATATTTTTTAACAATATACATATCTAGAATTAACATAATTTTAAACATCTGTCTTTTAACATGTTTTTTCATGTCCGTAACATAACTATTTCCTGAAATAACGTCGACATTTGAATAAATGGCATAAGGTGAACTCTATTTTTCTATTTCCGGTTGACGTTCCTGTCGTCAAAGAAATATCAACACAACCAGATTCCCCTCCTTCAAATATTGTGGTGTCTAGCAACATCTATACTAGTTCTATTAAGACGGATCGCTTGGCCGGGGGGAGCTAGCAAAATATCGCGCCAGATATTTGACGGCTGAATCAACAAAACGTGAACCAATCAGAATGTGTTGATTCGATATCACACTAACGTAGACGTTGAACGATTATTAGCAGCAATAGCTTCGACGCGCAGGCGCACAAACAGTTTTCCCTTGACCCAAGGATTTTGAAGCTGTAGTATTTTATAATCATCGCTGAGACAACGTTCGCGGGCGCCAATTACAGCAACTAAACAAAATTCTTTCACCTTCTCTTCGGTCAGTAGTTTTGTATCCGGGTTCTTTTGCTGGACGAGTTTCTCTAGTTGGCGAACAACCAAGTACACAACTTGTTCTACTGTTGTGTCGGAGGATACGTGAAGCTAAGAGGGATAGAAATGGATAAATTGTAGAATAATGACGAACAACCAAGTACACAACTTGTTCTAATGTTGTTTCGGGGGGTACGTGAAGCTAAGAGGGATAGAAATGGATAAATTGTAGAATTATGGCAAACAACCAAGTACACAACTTGTTCTACTGTTGTGTCGGAGGATACGTGAAGCTAAGAGGGATAGAAATGGATAAATTGTAGAATAATGACGAACAACCAAGTACACAACTTGTTCTAATGTTGTTTCGGAGGGTACGTGAAGCTAAGAGGGATAGAAATGGATAAATTGTAGAATTATGGCGAACAACCAAGTACACAACTTGTTCTACAGTTGTGTTGAAGGATAAGTGAAGCTACGTGGGATAGAAATGGATAAATTGTAGAATATTGGGTACTGATATGAAAGTATACGAGGTGTATATAAAAAGTTGTGATCATTTCAATGCTTAATGACTATGCTAAGCCAACGGTGGAATAAAATATTGTCAGCTACGGGCAGATATTACTTATCTTAATGTTACTACTCTAGTTTTTCTGCACCTGGGAAATCAAAATAACTACTAACAGCAAGATCTTCACAATGATGCACCCAAAGGCTTGAAAGTGATCAGGAATGAGAAAATTTAAGAATTGATAAAGTTCTAAATTATCATACATTACGCATAAGATTGTTGGGGTCTGTTGTTCAAACTTGAAAATTTTGCGTTCACTGCACTGCGTTTGTATTCTTTGGAGGCGAAATAAATTTCGCTAATAAAAACAAGACAACATGTAAAACTACAACAAGTGTATGAAAACCAACCTTTACACTTCTTCCTGGAGCAAGACCAGTCTCACATGAGGAATAAATCTTCAGAACTCCACTTTCTAAACTCGAAGCATCACCTAGAAAACAAAAAAAATGATGAAAGATGAATTGTAAAGATGTGAAAAACTAACTGAATTACAGAGAGAACTTATTTTTTCAACTTACTATTTGTAGTTAATGTACTCAAGTTTTTCAGTTCCGAGTGCTTCCGATGACAATCGTCGGCTTCCGGACCACAGGGTCGTTGGGTGTCAAAGACGAGATCCAGCGGTATACCACTGACGCATTCTCTATCACGTGTATAGTGTAGAATGTCCAATAACCATCTCATACCCTTCCACGTCTCGTCTAACTCCTAGTTAGAAAGGGATAATATGGGATCATTCTGAGATAATTGATGTTTAATATTCAGGAAGATCTACTGCTGGAACTATTCAGTGAAACAAAGCATACGTATGTTTGTTTTTTCTATAAAACAATTAACTAGTTGACAAATGATCCTAGCTGAATCCTTAAAAATCAACTACAAAACTACCTAATACAATTATGGCAATTGGCAAGTTTAGTTTAGTTTTCCTCTCGCACTGATAACAGATGTATGTAACATGACTATTTAGTGCAATTCAAGATCAAGGAACTGAAAACTGTCACAGATAAAAAATAATTACAGGGACGTAAGAAAATTGATCATGAAGAAGGGGTGGGTTCATATACGTTTGCATATTCTCCTTTATCAGTTTCTATTGAAATCAATTGTGATTAGAAATTATAACATATGAATATTTGCACATGCCCTTTCTCAATTATCAATCTTCCGCGGGTCCCTGGATAAGATTAGCTCATAATAAAGTTCAAACTGCGTCTCACTTTTTGAAAATTACTAAGTGTATTTTGTGTTGCTTTGGTTTCTTTAACTTCGTCATCTAAGATAGCCTAAATTAAATAAAAAGACAATGGTAAGAGCCAAAATTTCTATCCGTTAACTAAAAAAATGAAAAGAAATGAAATACCTTTCTACAATCGTGTTGACTAATAAGCAGCGCCATATCAAGAATGGAAGACAGTCTTGAATAGTGACATATAAATTGGTTTTGATACGTTTTCATAACATCTAAAAATAAAAACATATTTCTCACAAACATGAACCGCGTCTTCCTCACTTGTTTTTGACAAATGCTCAAATTGGGCAATGTCCATAAACTAAAGATATTTGCGATCTTTCACACGTAGCATAAACATACTCTGTCACCACTTACTCATCTCAAATACAGGGACAGGAATCGATAGAAATCGATCATCGTTTGAGAAAATATCTCCATCACCAGGACACGAGCAAACATCTTTTGGGGATGGTACAAGGATCAATAGGGACACATCTTTACTCAGTTCAACCACCTCGCGATCATAAATACGGTAATCAGCACACTCCTACATTAAAAACAATATCCAAACTGTATAGAAATCTTTGACAAGGAACGATGGTACGTCATGTAGTATTAACATAAATACATATAATACTTTAGCTGCATTGGTCCATTGAAATGACTTTACAAAGAATATCTTCAGTTTAACAATGAAATTGATTGAAAAATCAATTTGTACAAGAATAATTTAGTACGTAAACTTCTAGTCAGGTGTTTTACAGCGCGTTCAGATTGAGTGCAGGAGAACGATACCCTGGTTCGGGCACAAATCCTCAGGCCGTTCACACTACGTAGTACCCACTAGCTTCGTTTATTTATAATTTCACTTTTTTCACTGTACACAAGTTTTAAAACCATGTGCAGAATAGAAGCTTCTCTGTACACGTTTATTCATTTAGGTGTCGTCGTTCACATTGGTGTCCGTGCCCGAGCATTGTACTCGGGTACTGTCTTTTTCGTGGTGCCCATGCCCGGGCGCTTTGACTCGGACACCATCAAAATGTTGTGTTCACATTGGTGCCCGTACCCGAGCATTGTACTCGGGTACTACCTATTTTCGAGGTGCCCATACCCGGGCATTTTGACTCGGGCACCATCAAAATGTTGTGTTCACATTGTTGCCCGTGCCTGAGCACCGTACCGGGGCACTCAGTCTGAACGCGCTATAGAACTCGTAACAACATGAAATAATTCATTTCAAATACCTGTCTACTGATGCCAATATCATCGAGGAGTGTTTTAACCGCGTGTTCCAAAGTGGATTGGAAACTAGGAGGTGTTTCCGATGCAAGATCTTCGCTAGGAGTCTTGATATAAAAAAGAAAGAATACACATAACTACTATATCAAGTCAATGAGAAATATCTTTTTACGCTCCGAAAGCAGCTCAAAAATGGATGGACTATATGAAGCAAAAAAGCAATCTAAAAGCCAGCGTTCTGGTCTTCAGCCAAATATATCAAAAGTGTGAAATTTTTAACTCAATCTATTTATGTATTTGAACTAATCCTTACCGTCGCCAAGCCAGTCAACCACTCCCATTCTTCTCTATAAAAGAGATAAAAGATGCAGTTCTATTAGCAACACAACACATGGACAACACATGTACATGTCACATGAATGTACACAACACTGCTGTACAAGTGACAATTGACAGTGCAATTTACCTGGAAACATGAGGATTGTCTCTGACTTTAACGTAAGGTAAAATGTTCGGTGAATCTCGTGGTACGGTGATGTTTATGGAGTCAACAGATGTACGAAGTTTCATTAGACCCAGGTATAAACCTCTAGAACATGGTACACGACATCGTTTAGTCAAAGATGAAACAGCCAAAGAACAATAGTTGAAACCGTCATAAGATCTATCTTCCAAAAACATTTAACTACGCGCACATTCGCTTAAACATAAACATTAAACTTCAGTGTCATTAGCTATATGTTCAAGAAAAGACACCTCTTTCAGATCAAAAACATTCTCTTGCTGGTGACACCACAAAAGTGGCTATTTCGAGAGAAGAAACAATACTTACTTTTCTAGAGGTTTCTTGGTTTGTTGATGGTAAGATATCATATCCTAAATGAATGATGAAGTTAAATCCCTAATTTATACACTCAAAGTTGATTTCCTACATTACTCTATCGTGAGCCGATTTCTAGTCTACATATAACAAAAAAATAGCTATGTAGCATCTGATCATTGTAGGGCTATTTTCCCCGTCACGTTTGTGACATTTACACTGTAATCCTTTTGTTATTCTTGGCTCTAAGCGTGGACAGTAATCAAGGCCTTACAAAGTGTTGGATATTGTGTCTTAGGGCAACTTTATATTAAAATTATATGGTGAACAAGTCTTTCATTAATCATCACAGAGATACAAAGGCATTTATGCTGCATCACAAAAATTGAAGTTTTCCAAAGCCTTTTCGCCCGTCTAGTGAACATTGATAGAAAAAGTAATGAAAAATACATGTAATAGAACATCTAATAATCAAAATTTAAACCAAAATAGACAGACTAACATTACATAACATAGCCATATACAAGTAGTATTAAAATATTTCTATGCAGGCTCATTTTCAGATAATTGCCCAGATTTAGTATATGGAAATAAAGTATTCAGGTCGGTTGGACTAGTCTATATAAAAACACGTAGATCAACAAAACACAGCTAGCATCTAATCACTGTAATAAATTTCTACCTATGATATAAATACATGTTTGTAAATGCAGATCGTCCAGATTGGTATAGTCCTGAGAAGGACTGTTTTTGTTGTTGTTGACTGACGTTTCGACAACCTTAGCGGTAGTCATCTTCAGAGTCAAAAATGTAGTCGTTAGCAAGTTGTTCGCTCTGTCGTCCAAATGATCGTAATAAAGTAAATGGTTTGAACCCGGGAGTATCGTTACATGTCTGTAAATGTAGATCGTCCAGATTGGTATAGTCCGGGTTCAAACCATTTACTTTATTATGATATAAACATGGAGCGAATTATCAGTGTAAATCAGAGTACAATGAGCGCCAGCAGCTACCATAAAAAATACAGAACAACGTCCTTAGATCATTCGGGTAAAACATTTTCAGCTATCTTGTCGCTATATAATACCTGGATGGATGACTTGACAAGATTCAAAGCACTCGGTGTATCTTCGGTGTCCCTCGTCATCGATTTTCGTTCAAGTTTTGATAGCGAAGTCCATTTCATGGAAAGAGTTCGCGAACGGATGAAACTAGGATTCTGACAATAAAAATGTACACTATTGTCGATATAATTTTTAGAGACGAAAAATACCCAGGGTAAATATACACGGCCTTCATATCATTCAAAATCTCATTTCAAGAAAGTCGACTTCATAGTGAATGGTTTGAGCCTTGGAGTATCGTTACAAAGTAGATCATCCATGTTAGTGCAGTCCATCAAAAGAATTTATGGTGTTAGGGTTAAGCAACTTACAGACGAACAAATTTTCTATGACAAATACTCGCTAGCCTGTGTGTGTATGGGCAAAAAACTTTTTACGACAAATTTTTATGTGGCGAATTTCTTTGATCGTCTGTACGTATCAACATATCACATTTGGTTGATTTGTCATATTATCTTTGTAGACCTTACAGACGAACAAAATCAGTCATGTGGCAAATTTTCTATGAGAAATGCATTTGTTTAAAAGCTGACATGCTAACTTTTGAACAAATGTATTTGTCAAAGAAAACTTTGCTAAAAAGTCCCATGCCGACGGGCAAATGACATTTGCAACATAAAAATTTGTCAAAAAAAATTTGCTCGCCTGTAAGCGGCTTTAGGGTTGACAGACGTTTTGACAAACTTAGCGGTAATCATACACCAACGGTAGGCAGAGTTTATAAGTACTTTTGAATGACTTTCAAGGGCAATTTTTGAAAAATTTCAGTAATTTTACCACACCGCTGACCTTAATTCTTTTTTCAATAATTTTACCACACGATAAATTTTTCAATAATTTTACCCATGACCTTAATTCCATTTTTCAATAATTTTACCACACCGCTGACCTTAATTCTTTTTTCAATAATTTTACAGCACCGCTGACCTTAATTCTTTTTTCAATAATTTTACCACACCGCTGACCTTAATTCTTTTGGTAATAACGATAATATTTGTTCCATTTTTATCTTTGATAATTTGATAATGCAGCTGACCAAGATCATCGCAGCCAACACCAGCCTAAAAAAGGTACAAAAACTAACGATTTAGAGCCCAGTCTTCTAGATGTTTAACTATCATGTCAAGATGAGGCAAGGACGCCATATTGAAAGGTGGAAAAAAGCAAAACTCAAATTGAAAAATAAGTTAAAACAAAGTTTAAAAAACCATCCTATCAAACATTTTAAGAATCGAACCTAGACTATCAACTTTGCGACTCTATATCAACTCAGCAAAAGCATATTTTAGTCGTAAATATCGTCAGTTTTGCCACCTTCCAAGATGGCGGCTTGCCTCACTTATTACGTAATGAAATTTAAGTAATCAGTACCTGAAGTGTATCCAAAGCTTGCAATAAACGTCCACGTAGATACACAGTTGTCGACGAAAGATTTCGCTCAACTTGATCTTTTAATAACTTTATATCTTGCCAAGTACAGCCAACCTAAGGTGAAGAATTAATTTCACCGAAGAGTCATATAACTTTGTTCATACGTAGTTGGTTTTCATCGATTGACAGAACTTGTGGAACTGTAATGTTATTTCTTTTAATTTTTTACAGAAATTACGTTCCAAGCTTTTTTGTCGATATATCAAATATTCATACATTTCATTGATTAAGATTGACATGCAACAAGGAAGGCTGTGGTTAAAGACGTTAGATATGCACTTTAACACGGTTGACATGCAACAAGGAAGAGGTTCTAGATGTCAGAATACAGTTAGGAGACTACCTTCAATAGCCATTGAAACTCTTGAGTAAAAGATCCAGCGGAATGATCGTCGACTTCAACAATCGGTAAATTGTCGTCAAGCGTCACTAAGATCTTGTCATCTTTAGTGTAGAACAATGTCGCTAAATATATACCTCTACAACATAGAAATTAATGCAAAGAAACATCATCACGGGCATGTCAAAACATAAAGAATATCTTCTTTAGGTATTACCCAGCCGTTGATTTAAAACTGCACGTGTACTTCACAATATCACCACAATTCAAAACCACCAATCAATAACGCTCAATGCCCAACGTCAAATCTCACCTTTTAACTTCCTTAACAAATTTCGGAGTCGACGTCAGAAGTTTGGCGTATTTCGCAAAAGTTCGCTTTTTACTGTCCTTTCTATCCAGGTAATAGACGTCGCTTCCTGAAAAACCCAACATACCCCCATCTATATCAACATATCCATCATCCTATCATTACTAAATATACATACTTATCCAACATCCTTCCTTATATCTATGTTACCCTATTCATAGTCCATACCCACAAATCTTAACTCTTACAACTACAAATTATCCTCTCCTAGCCATTATCATAGTTCATACCTGTCACCATATACCCTTCCTAATACATATATTAACTTATTTATCCACTCATATCCATATTAAAAAATCACATTCATATATTCATACTCATAAGACTTAAATTGATAAAAATACATATATTAACTTATTTATCCACTCATATCCATATTAAAAAATCACATTCATATATTCATACTAATAAGACTTAAATTGATAAAAATACAAGTTTGAATGTTTACCAGTAACAACGTGCCATGAGCTCGCTCGTTTGCGGTGCATTTGTGGAAACGACGCAGCCTAAACGATTTTGTTTTCACGTGGTATTCGAGAGTTTGTTTGGTGAATTTGAACCTCCTCGAAAAGCTTGGCAATTTGATCAAGTTTTCCTTGGAATCTTGGAATACTATCGTCTATTTCATGCCAGCCTATCAGAAATAATTGAAGTAAATTTAAACAGAAAAAAGCTTCCGAGATGAAAAATATGTTTCAAGCTTCCGAGATGAAAAATATGTTTCAAAGTAGTTTGGTGTAGTCTTGCTTGCTGGGACCACACAAGGTGGACTGGAAACGCGAGAATTGCTATAAGGGAAATACGAGATGGACTGGAAACTAAAGTCTTACTTAATTGGACCACACAAGGTGAACTGGAAACTTCATGAGACTACACATAATGGATTGGAAACTAAAGTTTTATTTGATGAGATCCCACATGATGGACTGGAAACTAAAATCTTACTTGATGAGACTACACATAATGGACTGGAAACTAAAATTTTACTTGATGGGACCACAAGGTGGACAAGAGATCATCCATTCACCGTAGCCTTTGATATTGCCCACAGAAACTCGAACATAATATGCGATAGACTGTAACGAATAATAATAATTACCGGATAAAGAAAGTCATGTTATAAAATATCTGGTTTATGATGATAAAAAAACGAAATTTAAAAACCATGAATATCAAAAACCTCAACATAACATATTCCAGTTTTTCTTAATTCTTGTCACCAAATTTCTAGTTAACTTATTCTTAATCATGTAAATCCTTGTAAACTAATTCCTAGACACCTTATACCTCCCCATTTAAGTCCTTTTAAACTCATTCCTTAATACTATAATTCTCACCATGTAAATCCCTGTAAACTAATCCCTAGACACCTTAATCTTCACCATCTAAATCTTTGTTGCCTTACTCCTTGATAACTTAATCCTTCGTATATAAAATCTCGTTGCCTAATGTAAATCCTTCAAATCTGAACCCTCGTTTCTTCGAATAGTTTGAATGTGAGTTCAGTAATTTTCATGTAAGTTATATTTATAGTTATTCCAGTTTGTAAAAATTTACAAAAATGACGAATCATTTTTATGTCATTGACATTGCTTAGGAAAGCAAAACGTCAGACAATTTTTCTGCAAACATTACAATCTGGAATAGAGTTAAATCTAAATGCTCGTTGAATCAAGTAAACCATTATTTACATCCATTACGAGTTACCTTCTGAAGTCCAGTAATGATATACTGACGATCTAATACATCATGAGAAAAATATTCACCGTCCAGATTATCGAAAGCTTTTTCACGGCTCCACTGAACTGTCAAAACATTGACAATGATTAATAAGCTACGTAGAACATCCTCTTTGTACTAAAGTGAACCGTACTTTCAAAACCATATGTTATGAAATATTAATTCATTTTTGATGAAAAACGGACTTAAATAAATTTGATACATTATTATCCTATCAACTGCACACTTAAAATGCAATTCATGATAGAAAAAAGCGTCATAATTAACATGAAATAAATTATCGGACAACTAAACTCTCGTTTACCCTCCCTCCCCGAATAGTTTGCACTATGTATGAATCGCCACTCATCACGTCATTGCACAGTTTCTATGGAAACTTCGCACGAATAAAGCACTGGGGCCAGTTACACGAACGCCAAAAAGCGTTATCCATTGGATTGGATAGCTTATTTTTTTGAGCTTTTAAAAACATCTTTAAAAAGAAAAATATAAGATTTGAACTGAGCAATCACTGAAAGACAATATTCCTTCTAAGATTACAAAATTTCTTTGTCGTTAGGAAAACATAAACATCTTTTTTACAAGTTTGAAACTTATACTATCCAATGGATAACGCTATCCTTTTGGGCTTTGTGCAGCCGACTCCTGATGACAAATAATGAGCAAATAATACATAGTTATCCGGCTGGATCCTTGAGAAAAGCAGGAAAATTCAAATTACCTCGAAATTTCGTAACGGGGTTTGCCTTTCCACCAACTGGACCAGAGAAACGTACGAGAAGGGAGGTCTCAGATGCCGCTGACAGAAATACTGTCGTCGCACGAGATGGCAACTCTATCAAGAAGAAAATTCATTTAATAACGTAAGAAATGACAACTTGACGTGATGCGACAGCAGAAAATACTCACGTAGACCTTGGAAACCAACCAACATTTTCTTTAAAAGATGGAGTCGCCACTCGCATTCTTTTAAATGTTTCTCACTATCCTGTAATGGGAAACATAAGTTGATTTCTTATGCACTATCCTCACTATGACATAAGTATAAGTAGATCAAGTACATTAATTTCTTAAGTACCATCTTCACTATGACATAAGTATAAGGAGATCAAGTACATTGATTTCCTATGTACCATCCTCAATATGGCACAAGTATAATTCTTGATAACAATCTACTCAATTCATACCTTAGCATCAGTAGAACCTTTATTGACGACATCAGCAACGTATTGTTCCACTTGTTCCTCCGCAAAGGTTTGAAGCATTTTTAGATGATTTTCCAACAAGGAGGCTGAAACTGAAGACAGAAAATCGTTAGGATATCGCCACTAAACAATACAACCTGTTAAACCTTAATGATTAATGACTTACGTCGGTTGCTTTCTCTTGCGTTGTGTTCCAACAACTGACTTGTAATTGAGTCCGATTGCAACATTAAAGAGATGTCAAGTGGCGAAAAGCCATCATCGTTAAATCTGAAAAATTTTAAAGAAGATAAATTAGTGCAAAATGTGATTGGTTGATTTTCTTGGCCACCTTCCACTATATCCTATTCCACTTTACCACACTCTATCCCACTTAACCACATCCTATCCTACTTGACCTAACCCTACCCTACACCACTGTTGTATTTCCTGAAAACTTTTCTCAATCCACAAAGACAACAAAAAAAAATACGTTCTTTTAGATGCTTGCGCGAAAGAATATTGGACTAAAACAATGCGTTCGCAAAGAAGTTAGCCCAGATGGAGGAAGGAATGACACTCAAGTTTTCCAAAAAAGTGGGCAAAGTCATTGGAAAGGGTAATGGAGCATGGATTTGGTCACCACTCTTCGTCACGGTCATGATTTAAAGTTATAATGTGTTTTTTTTTACTTTTTATAAAATGGAAAGAAACTTGTTTTAGAATCAAACTTCAACATTGCAATAAAACTTTAAACTTTAATGATCATCATTCGTACTCACTCGTTCACATCAACGTCAGTCGTAGACAGAAGTTTAGCGATTTGTTCCGAATCTTGATGTTCAACAGCTTTGAAGAAAGCTATAAACGAGAAAAAAACCCCAATAAATAAATTGACGAAAAAGCATTTTACCAAAAATCATGTAATACAAACCTTCCAGTATATTGTCTCTTTTTCGCTTCGTTTTTACTGTTGACAAAAAAATAAATGATTCCAGTTCAAATTCTCCAGAGACATTCAAAAGAATTGAAATCATTTCTTACCAGACATAGTTTCAGAAGAGGTCTCGATGACAGCATTCCGTCGAAAATTTCGTTGAGAAAAAGAAAAACTACGTCGCAAAGGTCGACCTTTCTCTTCCAAGCTCACTGAGCTAACTTTTTCGTCCTCAGCTTCAGGAGTTAAAGATTGCTCATCATGGCCATCCAATGTAAGCTTACTTGATGATACGCGAAGTCTGTTTATATTCTCAAGACTTATCGAAGCTCGAGGAGGCCTGGTAACAAATACAGAACAGCAAATTTTAATATCAAACGATAACTCCACTGATACACTGGAAAGGACTGGGGAGAGCTGGGATCACCGAAACACAAATTGTGCTCAAAAAGGCCAGAAGGCAAAAGTCTGAACAAGAGCAATTCACAAGCAAATACGACGTTACATTTTAGATTAACTCACAGAGTTCACATATTGTTCTTTTTCTCTTACCAAATTGCGTTACCCAACTTAAAAAATCACATTAAATCTCATATTCTATACGCACGTCTCTTGCCATGGATACATTTTACTAACGTAAACTCTATTTTTGAAGAGTGGGTGTTTTGCATGAAAATATATCCTCTTTCCTTGATTGGCGAAAAATATAATTTGATTTGCAATAATGCAGTCGTAACTAGAGTGAAGTGAAACTCAACGTTAAAAAGATTTAATGTCATTTCGATACTTTTTTAATGACAAAAATTTGAGGCTGAAGCGGTTAAAAATATACAATTTCTTCAAACCAACAGATTAAATACAATCATTCCGTACTGTTGACGGACACATTAGCGGATTCAGGGTAAGTCAGCATACATTACTAAAAATACATTTCTAGATTCAAATTTAAAATACTTTAGAGCTAATCCTATTGAGAGTTTTTCAGCCTTAAAGATTACCTAGAAATTTAGAACCAACAAACGTTATTACAAAAGTATTTTGAGTTTAAAATGAGCTTCCATAATTTATTTTGATATTCTCGAAATCCGCCATGCAATGCATAGACATAACGATAGACAACATTGTCAGAAATCTTGTGTGCAATATTCTCAAAGCAGTTACATTTACTTACATATTTAAGTCAGGTGGGATGACTTTCTTCTTACGAGCCTAAAGAAATAAACAAGACAGTGATATTGGATAGAATAACAACAGCATCAGCCTATACATAAATAAATCTGATGAGAATTTCATTTCGAAGATGGTTTCAAGATGTCAAGAATTTCAGTATTCACAAAGCTGAGTAAGACAACGTCGATCCCTTTCTCAACGAATCTATGCATAATCCAGGCAGGGCCTTCCACGAAATCCTGGAGTTCAGGATAAAATTTCCTTAGGTGGGTTAATGATTATAAATATCTGCCACCGCAAGTACAGTAAAGCGAGGTTTATGAAATTTTATACAACAAACGATATCAATGTATCTTCGAATCAAACATACTCGCAGGCACGACAGTTTGAAAGAATCAAACCCTCGTTATTCCCACACAGCAAAAACGAAAATATAAAGCGCCTAAGGAAATCGATAAAATACTAAAATTAATCATTTTATAATTACGTCCTGACAATGATGTATTTAAACTTGACAATTCGTATATACACATGACCCTAATTCGTTAGACAAAACACAAACTAAACAAAACCCAAGAAAAATAGCTTTTACCATAGACGCAAACACATAAGACATTGTACAAATAGCTTAAGAACAACAAACAAAATGCTTAAGATATTAGTACTGTAAAATATCGAAGGAGCTTTGTGAGAGAAACTATGGCGACAGTACTTAAGCCGAGTGAATGCAAAGAAGAATGATTTATGAACGTCAACAGTCTTAGACAAGGATGTTTACATTCATAATTGAATTACAATCTAGCTTGTTCTTTTGCATTCAAATCACTAGAATGATTAAGGTGACACAAGATTATAGAAAATACGTAAATAAAAAGACATGCAAACGAACAAAAAATAAAACTCGAGCACATAACGCTTTTTTCATAAAGAGCAAAGCACGTACATGGGCAGGATAGTTAGGTACACTTACATATATAGAATATGATAAATTAGATATTATATTAAATACATAGACAGTAGCGTAACACAAGCACTGGGCCACCCCTTCGTCAATCATCCAATGGAGGGCCCCCCACCTTGTTCAACCAGAAATATCCTAAATGATCGCATTTGTATTCATTTATAATTCTGTAACTAACAACTTGTGTTTACATAAGCAAAGCATACTTCATTAGTGAATAATCTATATTAATTTGTTAAGCGTTCGCCTCCTCCACAGTTCCTCAAAAAGAATTTTTCCTTCATTGAAAATAAAATAAAAGGGAAAAGTTCTTTTGTACTCTATTGTAAAATAAACACAATAAAACGCGTGCGCTGATTGGTCCATATCTGCGTTTGCATTGGTCTGTGCAAAGCAGATCGGAACTCAATAATGTAAATGAATAAAATCAAATCAATCATGAATACATTTTAAAGGAAAATTAAAATATTTGTTTTTAATTTATCTGTTTCGTATTATTGTTATTTTATAAAAGAAATAAAAGATGTTTTTCGTGTTTGCACTGCTTATGCAAACCTCGGAGACGTTTGTGAGAACTCTCGAGCATGTGCAACCTTCGTCCTTCGGTCTCGGACTTGCACTGATCTGCTCTCGTGTTCTCCCAAATGTCTCCTCGGTTTGCACAAGCTCGTGCAAACACAGTAAACATTTTCTAATTTTTTAAGTATCAATACGCTGCCTGTCCGTCGGTAGTTCGTAAAATGAAAGTCCATAAATCTAAAACTCTCCCAGCCCCTTAGAGCCTCACAGACCCTCCAGTTGAAAACATATTTGCCACATGATATCTTGTACACAAACACAACCAGTAAAGATAATCAGGCAGATTCTTATAAACTCATTTAATATGTGACCACCCCGCAAAAGGCCAGTTAGATCTTTTTAAATGATCTAATGCAAATATTTAGATTGCGGGCTCAATGTCAATGAGAAAAAATACCATCAAATATGAAACAATAGCGTGAAAAAATTTTCCTTGAACAATCTTATCATTCTCCATAAACAGTCAAGAATCCACTTTCAGACAGAGTCGAGTACTGGGAACGAGTGACAAAATCTGACGTGTACACGTTTACGCACAAAAGAAAAATTTCAATTTCAGGTTGCCATGAGAAAAAAGAAAAAAACTAATTTTGGAACAAAAAACTCAGCATGAAAACTAGCAAAACAAAGCAAATGTTCAACTGCACTGCGTGAAAGCGTATGAATGCCTTAAATTCCTTTAGAAGATAACACAAAATTTCGCTACAATAAATGTAAATTACAACATGGCATCAACATTTTGAAGTTTCAGTTTTGTTTATGGAAAGACATCAAATACATACTTAGGTTATTTACTATTTGTTCTAAAATAAACTATTACAGCAAAATACAATTGTACTGGAAGATACAATCATTGTATGCACAAAATAACAACAGTGCAAGCAAGTAGCAAAAATACGTATTAAAATGGCGAAGAGCATTTTTTACACATTAAATACGACATGGATGTCATTAATGAGTCATTCTGTCTCATGACAGTAAAGGATACTTGTTTAAAAAAAATTGTCTTTGAATGGGCGGATAGTGAAATATTACAAATATGTGTCTCGACGTGTGATCCTGAATATATATATATATACTAAAATCTCATCAACGTAAATTTATATTTATGTATTTGGGTGCGTGGACAAAATTTTAGCTGTTCATTTAATATCTATTCTTGAAAATCAAGTGTTTGGTGTATTAAAAAAATTTTATGGCCTCTAGTACAAGAGCGAATCATAATAGTCAACTCGTTATCTTTTTTGCAATCAATTAAAATTTTTGTCATCGATGACATTAGCATACGTTATCTAAGGATTAGATGCATTAAAGGCAAACATATTAAGTTTTCATAATAAATTTTCTTGAATTCATTCGCAATGAAAAACGATGTTAGTAAAATAATTCATCAAAAAATATACAAACACGTACACAAACACTGAGAAAATATGCATATATCTTGGACTTCCTCTTTATAATTATACCTTTATCACTTTAAACGTGAAGGGTAAAATTATAATCCTTTAAATATCTGAAACTCTAGCATGTCGTGGATAATTATAAAACCTCCCACAATATATATTTGTGAGTTAATACAAAAACAAACATCAATGGTAAAACTGACCTGCATTTGCAACAGACATGCTACACACAGTATGATACTGAAAAGTTTCTATCTTGATTATTAACATTATTATTATTGCTACCTTAGTTGAATTATGCTCGACACACTCACCAAAATATTCAAATAATATAAACTATTCAAGCTAATATATACATGCAAAAGGCTTGAATCGTCACTGACATTTAAAGAATAGCAATGCCGATATCAACTGAGATAGTCCTGCCGTTTCGAGCAACTTGTCACCACATTTTAATGACTTGTCATAAAACACAAGACATAACAGCTGAAGACGATTAATCGTACGGATTAAACTTACCCTGTCCAACGTCCCGTACGCAAAATTCGGTTCGAGCGTTCGCTGTAGGTTTGCAAAAATCGAGGGAAAAACTCTCCGCTCGCTGTCGCTTCTCATCATGTCAAATTACAGTCGCAGCTCGCCGAAATCGAGAGCTGTTTTTATCAACGAACGACTTGTATATTTATTCGATATTTAAAAATATGTCATATTCATAAGAACTGGTGATTTCCAGCGCACTCGCCAATCATAGATCTTTGCAAAACATTAGCTAATTTAGGTCTTTACAGGTGGTCGTCGTATAAATATACAACTACAAATTCCATGCTTCGTTTTATCAAATATTATATTCTACTGTTTCATTGTCTTACGAACAATCACTTATGCGTAAAATAATGCATACGTCATAAGAAAATGGGATGGGAAAATGACTCTAGGTACAAAACTTTTTGTATTGACTATAATCAATCATGCTATTGTTAACATTTGCTAACAAAATTATAAACCATTGACTTCTATGTTCTAATTTCTGGATCTATATAATGTACACAATTATCATGTTAATAATAAGTTGACTATTGTTAGTATAATGTTTTAGCGAAACACTTAAATCATGTTTTTCGTTTTTCAACTTAATATGCATATATAAAACAGTCCCCCATTCAATGTCCTCCTAATTGCCATGAATAGCAAATGCCGATGCGAACAAAGACACTTTTTTTGCTTTTGTCGCAGCAAGCTTGTTATACGAGATTTGCACTAAGTTTAAATTTATCTCACAAAAGAGAAATCAAGAGTTCAACAGCAGGGAGCGAACGAGGGAACTATATCGCTAACAAAAAGTTAATAATCGTATATAATAAATCTAGAAACCGGAACCCAAAGGGTGTATATTTATTCTTGAAAGTACATACGTCATTCTGCGGTGTCAAATTGCTCACATGAATATCACTTACTGGTTGGCGCTCATAATTTGCGCTTCACAACGAGGAAAATGAAAATTGTAACGGTACCAGATGTTATTTACAAAAAATTCACTTGACTTGAACTTCCAGTGGCGACATACCGCGCGAACTACACCTATGTCTGTGCCGGCCTTTAATAGGAAAGTGGGATGATTTTTTTATCGTTTTCAAGAAAGACAGCCGCAAACACACCCAAAAACCACACGTCTTTTTCTTCCGTAACAATCACGTTAATTGCTACACATTAATGGCGTACAATGATCGATGATAATGAAACTCGCTAAAACAAAACCTTCAATTATCTTTATTTGAAGGTGCCTACCAAACCACATCGCTCCTAACTTTTCCTCTCATAATTTAGTCACCGAAGCGGACAACAAGATTATAGTAGACGACATAGTCAATTTATGATAGTTCTGCCATTTTGATCGGAGTGTTGATGTGTTTGTTTAGTTTTTAAAATTTATTACATTACAATTTGCAAGGCCTTTGGGCTTCCTTATGCAAGACAAGACATCTCAATGATACGAGATAAAATAAATATATTGGAAACAAACTCTATTCGTGTAACTCCTCTATTTTTATGTTTGAAGCGAAAGCGCGCGTTGCATGGTTAGCGCTGATGAAATTGGTCACGTGACTTCAACTTCATCTGAAACGTTTTCCTCCATGTAATGATTTAAAGCAACAAAAGCGATTAAAATCAAGACCTAAAAACAACAAATAGTACCAGACATTAATGCAGTTACGATCTGCAACGACTTTCCTCCTTTTCCGTCTCGTTGTTTATAATATATGTATTTTATGTGGACACACACGAGCAAGTCAATTTATCTATACAATCAACTATAAAACTCCAGCATCTTAAAATTCCCCTATTATAAGAATGTTTCGATATATATTTCAGGTTGTTGGTTTAAGACAAACTTCAGAGAATAACTTTCTACTCAGAAAGTACAAAAAAATATTTACAATACAATCATTAAAGAACAGTTCATATAAAATATCATTACAAACACATAATACAATCGGAATGAACAGAGCAAAATATGATATTTCGGTTGCATACACTCCACATTCCCCATGTTAACACATCTTGGGGAGCAAATAAAATATTGTATTTTAGTCACAACCAAAAAAAAAACGCTCTGTGAATCGAATTCCATCCCTAGAACACGTGCTGAATAATCAAAATCAGAATACACGAAACGCCATACCTGAATCGTAAATTTAAACGCCACAGATTTAACATCATTTAAAACAGGATAAATGGCGCAAAGATTTCACAGTTATTCACATCAGTCCAACGACGCGGCATGTATAACACGACGAACAAACCGCAAGTTATGCAAATACGGACTCGACTCGCGAACAATATCGAACTCGGAGCCAAAATGAAATTAAATACATCTGAAATTCATTATATGGAAGCTGCGCCGCTGGGCACTCTTCATATATAAACAAGCCATGTAATGGCAAAGAAAATCCGGTTTGATAAAGGATCATCAACACCTGAAGCGACCGAAAGATTATATCCCAAAATACGATAATTGTTAGTTTCTGTTTATTTTATGGAAAGCGAAAACGCAAGACAATTGGCAAAGATTCATAATATCCACTAGACGTTGAAACACTCTAACGGTAATTATGGTAATTTTTTATCAGGGGTTAACGGTGTAAATAATACCATGAACGCCAGCAGACAAATTAACGAACTGTACATTCTCGCGTCGTCAAAACTAGAACTAGCTAGAATATTTTCTTGCCGGCGCATTTCGCTGTTAAAAAAAAACACTTCAGTCTGTCAAGTTGAACTTCAACAAGAAATTTCTGGAATCAAAGCATGCACAAACAGCTGACTGTGTGCACTATGAAATACAAACACTTGTAAAGATAGATTATTTTACTAAGCCCAAAGGAGTCGGAGCCAAAACAAACAACGAGAACAGCTTCACTTTCCTTCACCTGTTTCATACGTAGTGATTTAGTACTACAATATAGGACAGCACAAACTGTTAAATAGATACTTTAGAAATATGTTTCTGCGGTTAAATGTTTTGTTTTCGCTGAATCATATCAAATATCGATGTTAAATGTTCCACGCGCATGCATACTGCTTTTTAGAGTTCTTGTGCAGTCATTAAAATTTTAACGTAATAATTGGTGGAATGACCATCTCTCCCGCGTGTATTTACCCCGCAAACCCCACAAACAATATCCTCAGACAAGTTGCTAGCAGGATCATCAGCACAAACAACGACAATGTCAATTTCTAATTAAATATATTTAAATCGTCTTACACTCTGCTTACATAATTACCTGTAGTTCATGATGCTCATATAGCTCCTTAATCATTAATAGCAAAATTCCGAGTAGAAACTTAAAGCAACGCGCAATATTCCCAGTCTTGTTAACGTCAGTATGAAAACGAGCGCATACATGTTAAGCTGTATGACTTTATAAGAGCAAGACTTATAGTCTTATCTTAAAATCTCATCACTGCCGCCTTCAGTATGCAAGAATGACATGAAGCTATTTCTTAATACCATCGCCTTGGCATAAACACGCAACATTAAGTAGCTACGTCACAAGATATAGACGGAAAACGATGAGAGGATCCGTAATCCGTTATGATCCGAAAAAAAAATCCGAAATTCGTTCCAAGGTGAGAAAACGGAACGTTCGATGATGTTTTTGATCAAAAAAATTTATATTTATAAAAAGGTTAGCTCATACATTTTAAAAGGCATATCAAGCAACAGATTAGAAAATGTCAGTCGATACATATCAGCTTGAAAACTCCCAGGTTTAACTTCCCGGAAGTTTGTCACGTGATATTTGTATCCGTGGCCAAGAGACGAAAACTGTTTTTGTGTTTTATAACAACGTCACGCTATTAAACATAGTTTATTCATAAATTACATCAAGGCCATGTTGTAAGAACGGAACAATTCTCATCTGAAATCTTATAATTAATGTATAATAAACCGGAAATAAAACGAACCAATAGATATGATGTCTGAATGGTAAAACCGGAAGTAACACCAACCATGAGATATGACGTCTGAATGACTGTATGACGAAACGGTTATCTGTCTCGCAGCATAAAATACATTGTCATTACATGGTTCACCGAGAGATAGTCAATGCCCATGCGTAGATAATATTATAATCAAAAGCTACACTACGTCACAGTTCTCATAAGTATTTATCTCTCATAACGATATAAAAAGTGAGTAAATCTTTATATGCGTTTTGATATCAGTAACTTTCAACATATAACTTGCAACTGAGACGGAACCCAAGTCTCAAACGTCTATCAAAACTATGCAGCTTCTCTCTACCCCTTATCCGTTCTTCGCCATTCTTTTACATTATATTACAAACACAATAAAACGCATGCGCTGATTGGTCTTTAGTCGTGTTCGCATTAGCCATTTCAAACCGATCTGAGCTGATCCAATCAATCAATCAATCAAAGAGAATATGTCAATCACTCATGAATGCATTTCAGTAATGGAAAATTAAAACGATTGTTTTGAATTATCTGTTTCGCATTATTGTTGTTTCATTAAAGAAATAAAAGATGTTTTTCGTTTTTGCACAGGCTTATGCAAACCTCAGAGATGTTTGTGAGAACTCTCGAGCAGGTGCAACCCTCGACCTTTGGTCTCGGGCTTGCACTGATCTGCTCTCGAGTTATCCCAAAGGTCTCCTCGGTTTGCATAAGCCCGTGCAAACACAGTAAACATCTTTTATTTTTTAAATGAAAAACAAGTTTGCATATGCACATGTTTGTAATATTTTAACGCCATATACCGCCATAAAAGTAAAATAAATTAAATGGTTTCAATCCGGGAGTATCGTTACATGTTTCTGGATGTAGATCGTCCACAAACATATACCGCCATTATTAATTATTTCCATTGATGTGTGAGAATTTCTTATGTTACTAATAGAACACAACTTAATTTACTCGATTTCTACCAGAGCCGTGGCCAGCCTGAAAATCTAGCCCTGCTATCAGGGGCGAAACTAGAACGTTAATAGGGGGAGATCCTATATTCAACTCTGCCCTTTCTTTTGTTTGCGATGTTAATTTCAAGAAGTCAGCAGGGAAGAGCTGAATATATGAATATCTACCCCCAAATTAACGTTCAAGTTTCGCACCTGCCTGCTATGTAAATTTTTCTTTGTTCACTCGCCGCCAAAAACTATAGTTGTCCAAAGAAGTGAATAATGATCTGTTATTTAAATAGGAGAAACAAAACTTACAGTTTTTTCTGTTTACGCGCCTGACCTTCGCAAATTACAACATCGGTCAATACAGGCATTCACATTTCACATCGCTCACACTTATACCACAGAATATGTATTTTATACTGATGTAGGTGCAAAACGTCGGCAATACGTCATGTAGTACAATCTGTAGTGAAACAAAACAAAATAGTTGCCTACCTCGGCGTGGGCGTCTGGAGAGGCTGGTGCCGATGAATAATATGTTTGTGACGATGAATTGTAACCAAATGGAGTGCTGTCTGTGTGCGTGTCACATTCTACGATAGCATTCTGCTCAATTTCTTCTTCAAGATACCAAGCCGTTCCTAGAATGTATAAGATATGATAATGAAATTGGATTTCTTGGAAAGTCCAAAGTTTTGATATTCTCGCTATTGACATTGGATATTTGTTCCTCGGAGGTTTTCAATGGGTGTGTGGGGGGTACAGGGGACAAAATGAACTTCGTTGTTGTGAATTTCAGAGTGCGAGATTATTGTTGTGGTAAGAAAACATGCTATCCTACACTATCCCCACACAATCCTTCATTTCTTTACAATGAACAACGGCGATACAGAAATTTTAGAAAACATATTGGAATGCGCAAGAATACATTAAAAATACATTATGAATATGTCATAAATACATTACAAATATATTATAAAGCATTATGAATACATTATAAATGCATTATGAATACATTATAAATGCATTATGAATACATTATAAATGCATTATGAATCATTATAAATGCATTATGAATACATTATAAATGCATTATGAATCATTATAAATGCATTATGAATCATTATAAATGCATTATGAATATGTTATGAACACATTATGAATATAGTATAAATACATTACGAATATATTATAATGATATATTATGAATATATTATAAATGTATATAATACATTATGAATATATTATGGCACATACAAATAAACTTCGCTGATTCCTTACCTTTGGTGAAACAAGAAACTTTACTTTAAGTGGAGCCTTAGCAAGATGAAACTTCCGATTTGTTTTATCAAAACTGGAAGGAATTGAGGCAAGTGTAAACGAACGGAGAAGTCGCCTCCTCTGGGCTTTAGTTGATGGTTTTTCTTCGATAGATCTACAAAATATAAAAATATATTTAAGAACAGTTTCTATCTCTTATCATAAATAAAGCTGATTTTAGTAGTGTAAAGACTGTTCTTGCTCTCTTTTGTTCATTCATCACTACCTACACCGACACACGTTATCTTATTTCTTATATATTTTAGTCAGTGTAAAGACTGTTCTCGTTCTCTGTTGTTCATTGACACACGTTATCTTAATTCTACATTGACACACATTATCGTATTTCTTATATACTTTAGTTAGTATAAAGACTGTTGTAGTTCTCTGTTGTTCATTCATCACTAATTTCAATGACACACGTTATCTTCTTAAATATTTCAGTTAGTATAAAGACTGTTCTTGTTCTCTGTTGTTCATTCATTTCTACCTAGACTGCACACGTTATCTTATTTCTTATAAATTTTAGTTAGTGTAAAGACTGTTCTTGTTCTCTGTTGTTCATTCATCACTACCTACATAGACACACGTTATCTTATTTCTTATATATTTTAGATAGTGTAAAGACTGTTCTTGTTCTATGTTGTTCTTGTTCTATGTTGTTCATTCATCACTACCTACACTGACACATGTTATCTTATTTCTTATATATTTTAGTTAGTGTAAAGCCACGAAAAGCCTTCAATAATCAATTAACTTCTTCAATATTAGATGTCTAATATTCATCAATTCTTTCCTAATGACCATCTCCACTACACCCGACCAGCATAGCGTTGACCTCTTCAAGTTCATTCACTTTCATCTTTCGAGAAACAATTTACTCCCGTTCACTTCTTAGAGTGAATTCTGTACTGGAGACTAACAGATTTTTATTTGAAGAATCATGTCAAATTTCTGGGAGGAGAAAAGCTCGTGTGCTTTTAACAAAGATGTATAATATTTGCGCGCGACGTATTGAAATTGTAACAATTACTTAATTTATAAAGTCTCCTTTGTTTGTATAAACCATATATATGTTCCTTTCATTTTACTAACAGCATTACTTCTCCTTTCATAACTTTCGTCGAGGGTCTATAACTAGATGCATTTCTACATTTCCATAAGTTTCTCCTGAATTTGTATCTCGGTATCTGAGCTGTTTCAAATTTGAAAACAAATTTGGAAGAAGCCCTTTGAGACCGGATGCAAAGCCTTCCTCGAAACTCCCTTTGAGTAAACTTTCAGCAGACGTTAGGTCCCAAGTCTCGGTTGCTATCCAAAAGATGAACGGACACTCCTGTGTCTATGACTTTACCATTTACAGTATTAAGTAAAAATATGAATGCAGAATTCGCTGAGTAGGTTTGCGTGCAAAATGTAAAGCAATTGATAAATGACGCAACTTGCTGTTTTTGAAATAGAGGCGGCAAAACATATTTTATATTTCGTGACTGACAAAGCAATGATATTGACACTCACAATCACCGTCACGTTGCATTGAAAACAGCCACACGTTCAATACGTATACAGTGCAGTTACAACATTAAACGAAAGCAGAATAAATGATAAATCCGAGTTTAAGATTCAGGTGCTACTAGGCAAAGTTATGTGTGATCTCACAGACAACACTTTCATGTAGCTTTATAAAACAACCCTACAGGATCAGCAAGCATATTCATGAAAAATTCACGCGAAAAGAAGTAAAAAACAGCGTATTATCAATAGAGAAACCGGTTTAACAAACAAAGAGAATGATGTCAATGAGCTCAGTAAGGTATAATAAGACAAAGATTGTTTACAAATTACATTGCTGTTTGGATTGATAAGCCTCCCTCGACGAAGAGATTTTCTTCAACTATTGCAAAATTAATAATTTCAAGGATATTTTGATATCACCTATACACAACATATACAAAGTTTACGTTTGTCCCTGTAAAAATCTCTTATCATCCTTCAAACTCTGAATATAGAACAATAATTACCCTAAATATCGATGAAATCCTGTCCAAACGTTTGCTACAGCTGCTTCGCAAGTCATTGTAGTGATTTTAATGTACCACAAAAACACAGCGTATCGATATTTACTTCTACAACAAAGACCGCTACGACACTGCACTTATCACGACCAGCGCCTGACTTTTTACAAAAGACGTGACGTTATTAAAAGACGTTTGTTTTCCAAATTGAACAGGGAAGCAATATTTTACTTTTTAAACAATCACTCACTAGATGACCGCATGTACCGAGTTTATTCTTATTGATCAATTGCCCGTGTAATAATAGAGTTGAGACGAAATCAACGACCTTCTAGAATCAACGTCGCACCAATAAAAATTTGACAGACACAGGATTTACGTAGGCATACATTGTGTACTTTAAGACATTATATCATTATAGATATTGAAAATGCACGTAGTATTTTAAGAAAACTTGAGGCAATACCTTATAAAAGATATTAATATTGGCTAAATATGTATTATCACAGTTTGAGTTCTTGTTCAGTTGTTCGGAAAACGTCATCGAAAAAGACAACTTTTTCAGTGAAAACTCTACTAATGGAGTCATTAATCTTGAGATGAATAGCGTTCGCAAAACTAAAACACATAATGACTTGACATTATACTTATTTATATCGATGAAAGGCGGTAAATTTCATATTGTCTTATGTTATGGTATATTCCTTTGTAAACAAACTACTCGAGAATTAAGGTCATTTTCACATGCTACATGAGAATAAAGACACGGGAAATCACACATCATGTCCTGAAACAGCGACGAAAATGTACAATAAAAAGTGAAGAAAATTGAAGCCGACCAGTGTTGTGTTTATGTGGTTGCTAGGCACCAAAACAATATGACGAAGCATCAAAAGAAGTCAAAATAAAAGCGGCCACTTAATGAAAATGAAAAGTAAAAACAATTAGGAAAAAACCAACACACTAAAAATGTATCTTAACAACGTTGAAACACTTCATATATTTACATTATAAATCCTCCCTTTTTGTTTAAAACGCATTCGACATACGTAAAATGGGTCTTTTGTGGTGTTGTGCTCTTTCTTTGTGATCTCATCAAAGAATACGGCTCGAAAATAATAAGGCGGTCATTGTTGTCAGTTTTTTATTCTGCAAAACACGGCCGAATGTAAACAATTTTAGTACTTTCTTTAAAATATGAATTTACCTTTCCAATTACTATAATACTTATTATTATTACTAAACAAACTGCAACAGACTTGCGACACACACAGGTATAAAAATTAAATATTGTTTTATATTCCGTTTCAGTGATGATGTTACGCCAAGTCCGTAATGGTTTTTGACATCATGAAAGAACTTCTTGTTCAATGGCAAATGAATTCGCAACATCGTTAATGAATGAATTTGATTACACAGTTAAATAGTGACTAAATTAATTTCTTCATCATGGCTATATTTGTCGTGAATTAATGAATTTGGTACAGGGCGCGCATGATTACATTGGCTACAATAGTAGATTACATAAGAGTTCTATGGCGTCATGACATGAAAAGCTGTTGCTAGTACGCTGGTTTTTATCTGTTTTGTAGGCAATGCGAAGGCTAGTGATGTGTCAAGGCCTGCCGGGCGGTTCTCAAGGACTTGACTCTTCTTTTGAACTGGGTATATATTTCTTTCTACATGAGCGATGATTTCACAAAATATTTATACACGCGTATTTTAATGTGCGTATCAAGTCTTGATTTGTGTTGAAGACGTACGGTATTGTATTCAATTGAAATCAAGATAAGCAATGCATAAACATGCCATTTCGGATAAATATCGAATACAACATTACAAAAAAATATCCGGTGCTGCACCTATCTGGCGGAAAAAATATCTTGCGCAACTTTCTTGCCAAAAAAATCCTGCACAAACAAATTGTCACTCCCTTTTCCCAATTTCTAATGGTCCAGCGATGTGATCCAGCCCTAAATTTGCTACATTGCAGATAAATCTGTTGCGTCATGAAGATATTTGTTACATCGTGAATGAAGAAATTTTTGCAAGTAATTGAGCTCTGTAATCGAGATAAGTAATATTTCTATAAATTATCAAACTAAATTATCGAACTAAATATCGCAGGCAAATGTGTAGCATCGTTGATTTCCCCTGTCACAAAGATTCAGAGAATGCTTGGTTTAATACATTGTAAGTTCAAATTGCGAGTAATTTGAAGTAAATTTGCTACATCGCGAATAAATTTACTCGTGACGTCATGACCAAACTTGATAATTGTGTATATGTAAATAATTTGCAACATAATGTACGGCAGTACGCGTTATAATCGTTAATATTGAGCAAGCAAACTAGTCACATTGGAGATTTTATTAGGAGTGTAATTCAAAACAATAAATACAAAAAAAACTCAGTTTACTTTTACAGAATATCGCCAGCAATTAACATAACGAAAAACCCGATTAAAAAAGGCAAAACAGTCAAACGCAATGTCGTGTACATTTGAAAACAGACTTGGCAAGCTTTACCACAGCAAAAATCATTTTATGCTGAAATAAATAATTAATGAAATTAATAAGGAAAAATTAAACCTTCGTCAGAAGCAAACATAAAGTTTCAAGCATCGTATTCGAATAAAGGTTTGCAAATTTTATGACCCGCTCACGGCTGGAGTGTTTACAAGCAAAATAATAATAACATCGAGAAATTAATAAAAAACGATTTTAAGTATTAATGACGACTGTCTAGCAAGTAATATGGCGGTTTAAATGAAAGGTCGATGAAAACAATAAAATGTCAAGTTTTATGACTGAATCGAATGACAGACATTCAATCTATATATTCAAGTTAAGGACGCCATATTGTCTAAAGTATCCGAAGAAGCACCTGTAAAATTTTGCAACGAAACAAAGTACTATTAATGCATAAACTACTTACAAATTTGAATCATTAGCGTCCAGGGAAAATGTGTCATCTGTGGGTTTCGACTCAGCTTCTGCGATAGATGTACGCTTATTCATGGTTGTCGATACGACCTTCGTCAAATTTTCAACGTAATTGTTTTCGGGCATCCTGTAGAGTTGAGAAGTAGTTTGAACAAACAATACAACAAGCAAACAATAAATGTTCTGTTTTGAATATTCTAAATGAGTTAGACGTCAAACAGTTTCTTAAATGACAAGCAGGTTTGAAGCTGGAGAGAACGTTTTCCGTAAATTCATCTTTAAGCATAAATTAGTGCAAGTTGTTTGGGGATGTACTTTATCGAATTATTTGAAGATCTTCTTGACATAATTCAAAATCTTCGAGCAACATACTGCTGTACAAAATAAAAGACAAATAGAGAAAAAACCCATGACAAACACGCTTGAAACAAGAGTGAATTCTGTCGCTATGTCCAGCACGTGTTGTGGACAAAATACACAATTGAAATTTGCTATTTGAGAGAAATTTATCATGTAAATGACTCTAGAGTGAACCTACCTTCCTCTTCGCATTCAATAAAAAAAAAACACACGCACACAAAAAAGGTTAACGATAACAAAATTAATGTTGTTGTACCTATTTCTGTCCACCGGCTTCGTAGAATCTAAACAAGACAGCACTGTAGTAGGATTCACGTATGTTTCCGATAAGCTGTTCTGCTTTGTGTATTTTCGAGCACGTCCCATAATTTTATCCATTAAATCGCGACAAATAAAGCCAGCTGTTCGCTCGGCTGATCGTTTCCCATCACTTGCAAGCTCGGCCGTATAAAATCGCTTTCGAGACACGTAAGGTCCAGCGTCGTCTATCGAAATGAAACTAATCCATATAAACACAGCTCAATTTTGGCTCCTTTACAAACGCCAATAATAAACAAGTGCGCTTTATTGTAGTGCTATTAATAATAACAGCAAAAATATCATACGAAAAACCCGTGTGCCACCAGATAGTCCTGTTTGCTACAAAAATTTCTAGCTTGGATTTTAACAAGATTTATTTCGAATGCATTATAATCCAGCCAGCCAAATCCGAAGGAATTAACGTTTGACAGTTCATTTCAATTGTATATTTGGATAAAAATAATACATGGCATAGTCAATGTTGACATTCTCCGATAAGAGCAATCACTATAAACAAACTCTTATCAACTAAGACACTCATTACGCGTTTCCCACGCAAACCCACGCGCAAAAACCGATGGCCAAACGTTGTTGAACGCAAATTATGTTAATTTTGCGATTGTTTGCTTACAGAAAGTTCACTCAGACTGTTTACTGCAAATTTTACGCCGTGTTAAGGATTTTGCGTGCAAGTTCAAAGTTCATTACAAATTAGGAAACAATGCGTCTAACTGGTTACTTGCATAAAATAAACCAATCATATTTTTCGATAATAGATGCTTTTTCAAACTTCATGAACTTTTGAACTTGACAACGGATTTGAAATGATCCTCCTAACGATGTTGAAAATGTCTAACGGTAAATTTTCGTAATACACAATCACGATACTTCAAATTAAATTCTTATTATACAACGCAAAAATACAAAAATGATTGTGCATTTCCATTACAACAAATATATTAATGTACAAATATAATACTCTAATGCCTAAAAATAATTTATGAATCGTAACAATCCAGCCATACAAACAGGCGTGCAAAGTACGAAGAAGTAATTTACAAAGCATTTTTATGTCCGCGATGACAAACAAATAACGTATAAAAATTATACCTTAATTTTACACCAACCCATCTTCAAATGCCAAACTTAAGGCTGATTACCATTCAATGCAAATTGTCACGCGATCTACTTTTTGCGATCAAGTTCTTTTGAATTGAGCAGTGAGAAACTGTTCCGGTCAAGAGCTTACAATTGAAAAAAAAGTGCTCGGAAAAAGTCGATCGCGCTACAATTTGCTCTGAATGGAAATCAGCCTTTATGATGTTACAGACTCGCGCGCATTTTGCAGAGTTTACACAAATATTGACGCGGGGAGGGGGTGGTGATTTGTGCTTCAATGAACATGGCTCCTATAATTTAGTTAAAAGTAAAAAAAATTGCATGGTTGGATATAAGGGGGGTGGGGTGGGTGGTTGTACTACAATGAACATGGCGCCTGTAATGCAGGTAAGAGTAAATACATGGGCATGGGCTCAACATAAGAGGGGTGGGGGTGTGTGTGGTGTGCTACAATGAACATGGCGCCTGTAATCTAAGTAAAAAAGTGTGTGTGCTTTTCTAAAACTTATCCCCGCCTCACTGGCTTGCATTAAGTATTGCACTAGATGACGAGGCATCGGTAGGAAACGCTTCTTCTAATTTCTTCTTTTGGGAGTCTGCCAAAAGACGCTCCATTAGAAAACGTTTGTCGCGTCCTTCCTGAAGAAACATGCAAAATATTATAATAATGGCAAAGTGTGAATAAGTAAAGTAGTTTATCGTTAACATTGCATGATCTTTTGGCAAGATTGTCGATAGGTCAACTCCAAAAGTTCACACTTTCTGTTTTTCAAAAAAGAAAGCTCACATGAAGAAAATAAAACACACGTCCATTGAACTGTGAATTTTCCAAAAATGTGGTAGTGCATGCTTTCTTCACCAAATAAAAGTTTTCTAGCATTGAACTGTGAATTTTCCAAAAATGTGGTGGTGCATGCTTTCTTCACCAAATAAAACTTTTCTAGCATTGAACTGTGAATTTTCCAAAAATGTGGTGGTGCATGCTTTCTTCACCAAATAAAACTTTTCTAGCATTGAACTAGCTAACATGTTACTAAGGGTTTTCGAAATAAACAAACACATTACTAATGTTATACAGTATATCAGCGTATAGCCACAAATGGAAGGACAGGAACCTGTCCACAAATGGAACCTGTTGTATACCAGAAAGCAGGCAAGCTACCCTCAAAATGATGGTGCTAATGAAAGTTCTCCGGGTTTCAACTGAACGAGGCAAACATCATGCGTGAATTTTTCCACTTACCAATATGAGTTGATCCTTTAACATATCAATCATATGATGATGAGCTCTGTTCATTGAACGGAAATAGTACAAAAGAAGACTAAAACGAAAAATATGACTTTACCTCATGAAAATTACTAGTAAGCACCGTAGTCTATAACCAAAGTACTACAGACACACTTCAATACAACCTTAGTCACCAACCAAAGTACTACACACACTTCAATACAACCTTAGTCAACAACCAAAGTACTACAGACACACTTCAATACAACTTTAGTCACCAACCAAAGTACTACAGACACACTTCAATACAACCTTAGTCACCAACCAAAGTACTACAGACACACTTCAATACAACCTTAGTCACCAACCAAAGTACTACAGACACACTTCAATACAACTTTAGTCACCAACCAAAGTACTACACACACTTCAATACAACTTTAGTCACCAACCAAAGTACTACACACACTTCAATACAACCTTAGTCACCAACCAAAGTACTACAGACACACTTCAATACAACCTTAGTCACCAACCAAAGTACTACAGACACACTTCAATACAACCTTAGTCAACAACCAAAGTACTACAGACACACTTCAATACAACCTTAGTCACCAACCAAAGTACTACAGACACACTTCAATATAACTTTAGTCAACAACCAAAGTACTACAGACACACTTCAATATAACTTTAGTCAACAACCAAACAACTACAGACACACTTCAATACAACCTTAGTCACCAACCAAAGTACTACAGACACACTTCAATACAACCTTAGTCAACAACCAAAGTACTACACACACTTCAATACAACCTTAGTCACCAACCAAAGTACTACAGACACACTTCAATATAACTTTAGTTGCAAATCTAAGTACAATAGACACACTTCAATACAAATTTAGTCTGAAAATAGTTCTGAAGACAGCAAATACCACAGTGAATGGTAAAAGTAATATAATAAGTTGATAGTTCTTAAAAGAACTGTTTTAAGTAAAGAGCACTAACCCAATAGTTCTAAATTAAAATGCATCGTGTCGTTTAATTTAAAACTATTGGGTTAGTGCTCTTTACTTAAAACAGTTCTTTTAAGAACTATCAACTTATTATATTACTTTTACCATTCACTATGGTATTTGCTATCTTTAGAACTATTTTCAGATTTGTCACCACGACAAAGTCTCTATTTTACAAATTTAGTCACTAACCATAGTACAATAGCAAATGGGAATATAAAAGACACAGTTCCTATGAACTGTATGATATCTTGAATAACACTTGGCCATTTATCGATTTCGTTCGGAATGACGTCATACATTCGAAAGTTGGGTTCACAATTACTGTTGCTTTATGGAAAAAGACATTATTTCTTAGAAAAGTAACAACATCAAGGGTTAGATGTTCATACAATGAAATTTTTGTGTCGAGCAGTCACCCTCGGTGTTTTTTATGTGACCGCTTCATGCAGGTTGTATAGAAAATCACCACATACAAGGAAGTACGAAATAAATAGTAGATATTTCAATACACACCCTAAATTACCAATCAAAAGCACGTAGACCTGATTACAAACAAAATTTGGGAAATACCCAGGCGAAACTTTCGAGATGAGACTCTACCGTATTTCATCTCTTAAGGCGCATAAAGCCATTTCATTCACGTAAATAACTCAATGATACATAAATGGACAAAAGTATGGATGCTTGGATGAAAGGTATGCATTATAGATGCATTGACTGAACCCACGTCTAAGTTTCGTCTAACGTTCAAACTTGGATACAGAGTATGCAGCTAGAAAATTGACAATATAACCTAAGAATGGCGCTTTCAGGAGTAATTTGACATCGTAAACACTGCTTTGTGTTAATAAATAACCCCCCCCCCTCTGACTAAATAAACGTAAGTAAATATGCTCCACGTGTCCTTTTCACAATTTTTTCTTAATTAAACGAACAGACCTACCCGAATGGTCCACAACAAGACGTCTTTATTCTGAAAATAAAAGAGGAAAAAGTCACCTAAAACTGAAGTGGAAACTCGGATTTACGAACAGTCGATACGAACTTTTATTTCATTATCCATACATGTGAACATTTCATGAGAAAATCATTTTCCCTCATAATTCCTGGATTAAAATAAGTTATAAAATATTTTTTCAAACTTTTCTAATTTTCAAAGCATAGCTTGAATAACTTGAAAGCACAGCTAAGTTGAATACGACAGGTTGCCCTGTCTAATGTGTTTCTTTATAAACAATTTTATCAAACCTCCCCCCCCCCCAATTATCAATCTTCCTACGTCCATGACTTTAGCCTTGTGATTTTCTCAAGATTTGGCCCTATTTTGGAATTTTAGTCTCGTTTTCTTTTAAGTTTTTTTCTTATAGCTAAAAAAGTCTTTAGTCGACATCAGCAGATCACATAAATATTTTGATAAGCAAGAAAAAGAGACTGCGATAAGTCTAACAAATCATCAACATGATGAGTGATTTTAATTAATGTTGTTAGAAGAGCATAGGAAAAGTCTTCTTTATCTTACTTTTTGAAATCTCGTCTCGGAAACACATGGCGTACCTCGTGACTGCGTAACCAATAGCAACAAGACATATGAGATAAGACAAAAGAAGCAGCATGGTGAAGAGGTAGTTAGCACGAGAGCTATTGTAGGGTTTTGATGATGGTTTGCAACTGAACATCAGACCGATCTAATGGATATAAATACAAACAACAAAACATAAGGACAAATATCAAGATATCGCGTGTCATGTGTAAAACACACTTAGCTAAAGGTATGAAAAAGTTGGAAAGGAGTGAAACTAGTTGTCAATTTGAAATCCGTATCTCGATTAAATCATCGCCGTATCTACTTGAAATATACATTTTATTTCGGTTACACTTGCATTCGGTTTCTCAGAACTGAAAGTAATAACAAAATTCTGGCTGGTTTTATAAAGAATGACGAAAATATACGTATAATCAAGCAAAATGGATTTCTAGTCGGACATCTCTCTCTGAGAATTCATTAGTTAAAGTCTTAAACACAATTTCACGTGGATATAACAAATATATAAGAGACGACTATAGATATACACAAGACACAACTACATAGATAAAGCACCTTTTTTGCATAAAACAAAATAAAAAGTTTCACAACGCCCATAGCTGCCATCAATGGAGAGAAATAACAGCCAATCCTATGCGAGATATGAAAAAAAAAGATGAAAACGTTGCGAGGATGAGGATTGCACGATTTCAGAGTGAATATTTCACTTGCCATATCAAAGCTTGACTATAAACCAATTCGAGTACATTTTTTGTTATGTCAAACTCGGGCGACGGAGCAACCTTGCCAAAAAATCCCCAATGATCAAAAAGAAGCCTTAAATGATAAAGTATGAGAATTTGGTTAGAAAGCTGACTAGATTAAAGTATGTATAATATACTGAATATGTAACTATAGTCGCAGGAAGAAAAACAACTTCTCAGTATAAAAACAATATACAAATATCACAATTCAACATACAGCTAATATATCGAGTAGAGCCTTCTAATCAATAAATACAAGCCTTCACTTAATGTGCAAGGAAATCCCATTCCACTTAACCTCTTTTAATTTCTCTTTATTTTACTTCCTAACTTCCTTATCATATAATCCATTTGACACCGCCTCCTTTAGTAGTAATTTAACACCTTTTTGTAAATATAATATCTTGTCTTAACATCCTATTTATTATTTGTCTGAAGATGTCTTGAGTAAAGACGAAACGTTACAATAAATTCAATTTTACAATTTTTCTGGTCTATTTCTATGCTTTAATCAAAATTTTATGTTGGGCATTAATATTTATTACACGAATTCAATTTCCGCTCGGCAGGTCTCTCGCTACTATATAGTAGTACATATAAAACTTTGTAAATAGACAATAACCAGTTACAATAACCAGTATATATATGTATATTTCAATATGAATATATGACAGCCTGACACATAAATTTTCATAGAGCCTTTACAAAGAATTAAGGTAAACGACTTTTTGTTGATGGCGTTTCGTCTTTAACGACATCTTCAAAGACATATGTAAAGACATCTTTTGATTTTTTCTCAAACATGTTTCTCCTTGTGAAAATAAAGAAAACCCCAGTACATGTATGATAATCTGGATTACGTCTGAAGCCAATAATATAAACATATAACATATCTGACAATGTCTTGAGGTAAAGACGACATGTCATCAATAAAAAAAACATTTAACACAATTTGCTCTATTGAAAGTTATAAAGCTGGGCGGTCGTATTTTAATAGAAAATTCGCTTTCCGCCTAGGAACGATTTCGTATGTACATATAAATATTCATCACTTAATAATAATCTACATCTTCAGTTTAACTACAGGCCCGTTGACACGATCCGATTTGTCGGATCCTAAAAAACGGATCGTGTGAACATATATAAAGTTAGCCTCCGAAAGCCAGATCCGTTAATCTGATAAATCGGATGGAAATAGAACTTGCTCTATTTTCATCCGACAAGATCATAAGAAGCCGACTAGTCAAATTACATAGATTAGAAAAAGGCTAGAACAAAAATACGAAAAATATATGGATAAGTGTACTGGATAACACAAATGGCTGTTTACACGACTGTAAATATGTAAACGAATATAAATATCAACAAAATTATCGGACCGTCGGAACAACCAAAAGTCGGAACAAGCAACCAATCGGATCCGGCAAATCGGATCATGTGAACGGGCATAGAGAAGTCCTTTTAACTGTTACTCACCTGTAAATTGAGTCTACAAGCAATGTTGTAAGTAAAACAATAATTAAGTCAATCCATATCAACATGTACATCTGGGCAGCAACCTGATTTTCCCAGCACTATAAAATACGTTGTAAACGATTATTGTAACCTACGTATATCTGAGAAGCAACCTGATTCTCTCAACACTATGAATTACATATCAATAAAAGGAAACTCGTTAAAAAAAATATCAGGAACGAAGGGTTTACCATTGAACTAACATACATGGAACGCTACCTCGAGCAAATAATTGAAGCCATATCTTACGCCAGACACGCGAGATTTTACCCCAGACACGCGTGTTTAGTGTTTCAAGATTCTCTCGCGGAGTAATAATTGATTGACTACACACGCGTGTCTGGGGTAAAATCACGGCTTCAAAAAATTATGAGGGTTTTGTATTACAGGTAGCGTTCCATGTATTTTAGTTCAATGGTGTTTACTTAAAGAGAAGCCTAGCCTGCCAGGGGGGGGGGGCAAATAATTCTCGATAAATTTAGCACCTACTAGCCGTACAATCTTGCTCGTATTTCATAAAAGAAACACGATTAAATAAACTTAATCCAGCACATCATTCATTAATGCATATTCCCCCCTCCCCCCCAGATTATCTATCTTCCGCAGTGTCTGAATATATTATTCTTTTGGTGAATGACTGACACGAATCCTCCGTGCATAACACTGATATATATAAAGACTGGATAACGCAACCTAATTCTATTGCCTAGAAAATTTTGAAGCCAACTTTTGAAAGCAGCGGCCATATTGGACTATCCACTTCTAGTATATATTTTATAATGAATTTTTATCATATTTTGTTATTTTTGTTATTTTCTCTTTCAGAAATCATGCCAAATCTTTTATTATGATATTTAAGCAATGTGAGAAGATTTCTATATGAAATTCAGCAAACATGAGTTTTTGCTAAAAACCTTTCTATTGTAGTCTTGTCATCATAGTAATTCTTTTTTGTCCCAAGAGTAAAACATATGATCCAAAATAAATGCGACGGTAGCAGTTTGCTACATAAAATCTGTATAAAAACTGAAAAAGTGGACAGTCAAATATGGCCGCCACCTGGCTTCAAGTCAATCCAGTTTTATACATATCAGTGACACATAACTGTAACTATATAGCAAAAAATTCACTATATTCAAACATCAATAAATTCTTACTGTATCACATTTCTTTATGTCTGATGCTTCAATATACAACGTAATGACCAAAGATGCCACAGACGCCAATTTGAGCAAAACAGTCCTATGATGAAAAAAAAGTTTTGAAAAACGTTTGCGAAAAAGTTGTCAAAAAAAGACGAAGACGAAGAAAGAGGCGAGAGAATGTAAATAACTTATGCATACCATCGATTTTGCTGCAGTTATGAGATAAACTGAATATATTAAAAATATATTTCTTGATGGGAGCATTGGAACAAAACTTCAAATTACCGTGTAGACTTTCTAAAACTGTTTATGCATGTTTGTTTTCATCCTCATGTTAATGAGGATGTTGTAATGTCCAGTTTAAACATTCAATGTAAAGTGATAGTGAGAAATTGATTTATCACTAATGGCTTGGGAAGCCGTGGGTATTTGGATGTCCGGATGTCCACCTGTGACGTAGGCAGCCCGTAATTTTTGGAATGTGGGTGTACCATGTACACATATGTAGGAAAGACACCTAGAAATTCAGCTTTTTGCTTAAACCTTAAAAGCAGAAAACCGAATAAAACTGAATACTACGAAGGAGAGTTTCGTCACTAGACCAACCACTTTAGACAACAATGCGCACGCGCTAACGTATGACGTACCTGAAAAGATTCATTGCCAATTCAAAACTTGGACTGTACTCTTCAAACGAACACAACACGGCGAAAATTGGAGGTACAATTAAATTGAGAATGGAGATCGTCAGTGATGGTGCGTAACGTTCCACAGTGTCCAGAAGATCCCCCTGTGTACCCTCCTACGAGAAAGAAAACGATATAGACATACGTATATTTAACGCAGAGATGGATTTAATGGGGGGGGAGGGAGGGGAGGTTTTGTATACCCCTCTTATCCTTGAGTAGAGGTAGCGCAAGAAAAGTGCCAATTCAGCAACGAAACATTAATATACCAAGCAATTGAGTAAAAGCAATAGTGATTATGAATGGTGGAGCGCACCATCCCCCCCACCCCCCTCCCTCCGAAAAAAGACACTCTCTCAATCATGATACAAGAGCATAAAATCTACCAAAAAAAGCACGGTGCAAGTGTAACCAGCGACTTCTAATTAAAGCTAAAGCACCGCCGCACAAAATCCATCCCTGATACGGCAACACATGAATAAGCACTTCATGGTAGAATTTCTCTTCATTCACGCATACCTCAGCAGATTTTAAAGCAATTTCAGTTGTGAAAAAGATAGCGTATGTAGAGCCGGCGAGTATGGCCATAACCAATATGACAACAATAAGACGAACTGTATACAGCTTGAACTTTTTCTTGTTGGAACGATTCTTGAATTCTTCCCAACGCTTTATTTCTTCTAAAGTACCCTGAAAACATAAACGTAAAAAGAAATCGTCAATCATATATCATTCATGTGATTTTCAAGTGAGCATCGTCTGTTCGTGCATTAATTTAATCTATCCGTCATCCTTCCCTTTCCAATATTTTGACTCCTTCCCTTTTACATACAGGTAAGAAGTTATATTTTATGACTACTCAAAGGACCCACACTGATTGGCAGTTTTTCTACCCAAAAGAGTCAACTTCCACGCTTGTGAAAACAAAAAAACGCCCGAGCTTACGTAGTACACCCGTCAATTCGTCAATACAAAGGGCGCTTGTTTCAGATGAATTGGGAAATCCCGGGGGGGGGGAGTGGGGTGACTGGAGGTAATGGACCTGTGATTATTACTACCAAGCCAGAACAGATCGCTTCATCTTGTTGCAAATGTTGCAATTATTTAATAAAGCAAACAGGGTTATCTAAGTACATTAAAGTTGATCTGTCAACAAAAATCACCAAGTCTCGTCAAACTTCAATGGATCGACTGTTTGTTTTTGCAACACACCTTTTTCAATTGCAACATGAAATTGCAGGAAGGTGTGTGGACTCGCGTGACATATGTACAGGATATGGCAGCCAACCATTATTTTACGCTCTAAACTCCCACACCATGCGCGACTTACTACAACATCATTCGTGAAATTCTGACTCTTAAATTTCAAACTCGACTTACTACAACATCATTTGTGAAATTCTGACTCTTAAATTTCAAACTCGACTTACTACAACATCATTTGTGAAATTCTGACTCTTAAATTTCAAACTCGACTTACTACAACATCAATCGTGAAATTCTGAATCTTAAAGTTCAAACTCGACTTACTACAACATCTTTCGTGAAATTCTGACTCTTAAAGTTCAAACTCGACTTACTACAACATCAATCGTGAAATTCTGAATCTTAAATTTCAAACTCGACTTACTACAACATCAATCGTGAAATTCTGACTCTTAAAGTTCAAACTCGACTTACTACAACATCTTTCGTGAAATTCTGACTCTTAAAGTTCAAACTCGACTTACTACAACATCTTTCGTGAAATTCTGAATCTTAAAGTTCAAACTTGACTTACTACAACATCTTTCGTGAAATTCTGACTCTTAAATTTCAAACTCGACTTACTACAACATCATTCGTGAAATTCTGACTCTTAAAGTTCAAACTTGACTTACTACAACATCTTTCGTGAAATTCTGACTCTTAAAGTTCAAACTCGACTTACTACAACATCAATCGTGAAATTCTGACTCTTAAAGTTCAAACTCGACTTACTACAACATCTTTCGTGAAATTCTGACTCTTAAAGTTCAAACTCGACTTACTACAACATCTTTCGTGAAATTCTGACTCTTAAATTTCAAACTCGACTTATACTACAACATCATTTGTGAAATTCTGAGTCTTAAATTTCAAACTCGACTTACTACAACATCTTTCGTGAAATTCTGACTCTTTATTTTCGCTGTTTTTTCATCAGTGATGCAGAAATCCCACGAGGCAAACACTTTGTTGCAGAATGAGTGAAACTGACCACCACCTTCGATATAGCTCTGTTGAAAATTCTTTGCTAAACTTGAGGGAGAAGAATGTTTGAAAACTATAAAATGCTACTGCCGCTTCTCGAAACACGTTTTTGTCGAAAAATCGTAATTTTTAGGCGGGAAAACGAAGCACCATGCAGTAATACGAAAGGTATGTTCGGGGATTGATACGTAAAAATGCGAACGACAAATTTAATTTTACAAACAATTCAATTAGCAATAGTTTGTTTAAAAATTTCTGTTGTTAAATAAGTGTTTGGAATGAAACTTGGCATTGGCTTGGCTACTGGCTAAATCCTCTAATGATTATAGTTGCTAATACTCCGTGAGAAAATTCAAACTTTTCTCAGCTAACGTTTCATCCGCTACTGACTATATGTAATTGATAATCCATGAGTTAAATTCAAACTTATCTTGACTATGCTACAATTCCTATTTTTTTAGGTTGTTGTAGAGTCGCTACAACGTGCGTACTTCATCGTCAACATATGTCATACGTACATGTTAATATAAATGTGATACATACTTACCTACTGACCATGAGAAGAAGACTTAAGAATAGATAAGCCACACCAACCAAAACATAAGCTAATGGTAATTTATATGTTGCACCACCTTTTGTCAAATCACCTGCAGGATAGCTTCCATAAAACATGATGGTGGTGTTAATCCAGCCCTTCATACAAAAATACATGATGGTGGTGTTAATACAGCCCTTCATATGAAAAATACATGATGGTGGTGTTAATACAGCCCTTCATATGAAAAATACATGATGGTGGTGTTAATACAGCCCTTCATATGAAAAATACATGATGGTGGTGTTAATCCAGCCCTTCATATGAAAAATACAGGATGGTGGTGTTAATCCAGCCCTTCATATGAAAAATACATGATGGTGGTGTTAATCCAGCCCTTCATATGAAAAATACAGGATGGTGGTGTTAATCCAGCCCTTCATATGAAAAATACATGATGGTGGTGTTAATCCAGCCCTTCATATGAAAAAAAATAACATGATGGTGGTGTTAATACAGCCTTTCATATGAAAAAATAACATGATGGTGGTGTTAATACAGCCCTTCATATGAAAAAATAACATGATGGTGGTGTTAATACAGCCCTTCATATGAAAAAAAAAACATGATGGTGGTGTTAATACAGCCCTTCATATGAAAAAAATAACATGATGGTGGTGTTAATACAGCCCTTCATATGAAAAAATAACATGATGGTGGTGTTAATACAGCCCTTCATATGAAAAAAAACATGATGGTGGTGTTAATACAGCCTTCATATGAAAAAATAACATGATGGTGGTGTTAATACAGCCCTTCATATGAAAAAAAATAACATGATGGTGGTGTTAATACAGCCTTTCATATGAAAAAATAACATGATGGTGGTGTTAATAGATACAATAAGCAATTTAAAATGAAAGATTTGTTTTCCACTGAATAAGGAAAGGTGTGAACTTATCTTAATCTTGGTTTTACATAAAGAATGTAGAGGATTGATGATCAAATAAAATGGAAAGTTGAACAAAAAGTTCGACAGTGGCAAAAGCAAATGTGAACTTTTGTAATTGTAAAATCTGAACAACTTCCCTCCACTAACATGAAGTAACTTGCTATCTGGGAGATCACTTACTTGTCCAGTCATGAAGTCAACAATCTCATTGCCAAAATTTTTCTCAAACTTTTCTGAGTTATTTAAAGATCGACAAAATGTACTATTCTTTGGTAACTCTATCATTGGTTCATCCATAATCAGAGTTGGTAATGCAATGAAACTGAACTGGAGAATAAATATTAGCAGGTCCAAAAACATTAGCCATTTTAAGAAGAGAAAGAAGGAAAGGACGCCATTACCAAATTGACCTAAAAAATGACACGGATTTACGAAACCTCTAGAAATATATTTTCCAAAGATTTATGTAAATATGTCAGCCATCATGTGTGCTGTCATAATGTAGCTTCACTTAAACATAGCAAATTGACCCTGCAATAAATTGTATGTACTTTCTCAGCCTTCATCAATGTGTACAAAAAGACCTCAATTTGATATTTTTTGGAAAAAACTGAGAAACACGGTCAGTAGCTAGTTTATTATTTGGCATTATTTGACATGACACTAGAATTTTTTGTTTCTTTCTGGCTGTTTTGAAAGGATTGGCTTTTACATTAATTACATAGTTCTGTGGCATGATGACCATTTAACAAATGTTTAGAAGATTTACTAAACTTTTGACACATCAAAAAATTGCAAATTTTTTAGCTTAAGCTGGTAGTGGGAACTCACCAATGGTAGTGAACAAGTTAAAAACACGTAATTGTACCTTCAATCTCCTTGAGATGACCTTTCCACAGTTCAAGTGCATGAATGCTCTCTTTTATGGATTGCTTTGTAAGATGCCACCACTGATTTCGAGGAAATAAACATAGTAAAGGTCAGACATCATACGTATGTAGTAATTATAAGAAAAGGTGAAAAGTTTTATAACAAATTACTAAAAGCAATTCCTACAAACTTCTGTTTACAAAAACGTATGTAATTGGAAGGACATTACAGAATTTGGTACTTAATTACACTTACCATGGCATAACGTAGTCTCATTGCCTTCCAGAATGATAAATTTCTTGGCAATGAATGCTCCGACCGTTGTGCTTTCCTAAAGTAGGCATATATGTAATAATTTGGATAAAAATTTAAATTGTCATAATATGACTTGTGGAAAGACATAGATTAAGATTGCTTGTACGTATACCGTATGTGTAACTATCAAAATAAAATAATATTGTGAATTATATTTGAATTATGATGAGGAACGTAGAAATTTGGTTGATGTGTATAGTTTAACACCTCCAAGACTAATAACAGTAAATATTTTACAATTCTTGTTTATTTGGTATTACAGTCACATATTCCTATATTGGGTTGAAAAAATTTGACAGTTAAGAAATGAAAACATGCAAAAATTTTCTTGCCTGGCAACAAAAAATTCATTATTCAATTAGTTTTTTTAATTTACTATTCATAATATGCAAGTGGCTTCTTGTCAAAAGCAAACATGTTATTAAAAATCATGTAAATACAGATCCATTTCTCAAAAAACAGTGAATACCTGCTGTTTGAAAGTTAAGGATGCAACATTGGGCTGTTCACAAAAATTCCCAGACTTTTTTTGTTATTGGGTTTTGTTCAACTCCTGCTCATATTCCGGAACAAAAAAATTTATATGGCGTAATGTTTTAATCCCTCGCTCGTATTCAAGAACGAACAAATACTAAAATGTATATTGGATTCAATTTGGAAATGGTTATCTTCGATATTTCGATGATAAATATAAACACTGTATTTGTGCTATAACTTATGACTATCTCAAAGGCTGGAAGATAACATTACAGTCAGAAACATCAAAGAATGACAACAATGTAAAATATTATGTTTACATTTACTTTCAAAATACAGACCTCACACTGCGTTTGGTAGCTATTGGCGCTGCAATATCTCGATACGATTCACTAGGATATGAGCTGTCATCTTCTATATCAATGGCCAGTCCATTGCTAGTATTTCCAAAATTTTGCGAGCCTCTTCGACGACGTGTTGTAGTGTGTCCCCTTCGGCTGAGAGCACTTTTCGAGCCATCCGTCGTTCGATTAGCTTTGTGGCTGGGCATTTCTTGAAATATTCTGTTATTTCTGTTGTTGCCTAAATTTTAATCAAGATAAATCTATCATTTTCAAGTCCACTTTTCCCAACTTAAATAGCCAAAAAAACTTCGGGACAACAATCATGAGCTGGAAAAATGAACGTATAAAGACGAATATACTTGAGTACAGTGTATGCAATTCGATGCAAAAAACATTACTGCCATTTACATCAGTGTACTTACTCCGTCCATCGTAACCGTTGTCGTGGTCGTCGTTCGCAGAGTCAAGTCGAATCATCTGCATGCCATCGGCATTTCCTAAAAACTCCATATTTGTTCTTCTCTGTAAATTAGTCGTTTTTGCTGGCAATGGTGCAATGCGCCTACTTGGCATTCTTCTTGTTTGAAAAGCGATAATAACACATTATTAGTGCACAGTATGGTTTGTATACTTACAGGAATTACGCTTTGTTGAGCTTATTGTGTATAAATCATTAATTGCCTGAGTCCGAGCTCTTTTGCTCCGCTCGCTTTAAATCTTGAAGTAATCCGACGCAATCATCGCCATGGTTATCAACGTGCAATTTGATTGGTTAGAATAAAATAGCAGTTCAGACCGACCGTACTTTAGCTTGAGGGTTCCAGAATTCATACGAGTTTTGACCTTTCATCTTTTGATTGATAGAAGGGAAGTGGCGTGGATAGATATTTTTAAATGATTAGATGACGATTCCAAATTTTAGTTAAGCAATCGCCCACGCTTTATATTAAAACACACAACATGAGAGAGTCTATCGCCAACGCTACTATCGACATATTCTCACACTTCACAGTTCACATTGACACCCCCACATTCCCAGAATTACGAAAAAACAGCGGAAAATGTATTAAAACTGTATCTATCATTGCAGAAGTGAACAAATTGATGCCTGTGATTTGATTTTCGTGCAACTCATGCGATCATTAGTGACTATTATTAGTACACCAGTAAATTCTACCAGGAATCCAGGACGATCATCAACAGATCATTAAACAAGTATGCATAAATGATTTATTTTTAATGTCGAAGAGGCAATTATCAGACAAAGGGATTATACCACTTAAAACTCAAACACAACATCTCTTTTACAACAAAAATTAATTATAGATTTAGGAAGTTAGTCTGCCTCTGCCATTGAAATGGTCTCTCCAGTCTGCACAATAACAGAAGTTTTTCATTCCATTTTAATTTATTTTTAATTACATAATTACATCTCTAATTTATTCAAAATGGTTGAACGTCAAACAAAATGTCCTTCATAAATTGTATTCATTTGTAGTTTTGTACTGAACGACTTTCTTTGATTAAAGTTGGGTTTTATAGGAAAGATGGGAGGCTTATTTAGTAAGAAAAACCTGAAAAGAGTCGAGAATTACCGAACAGGACAAAGCTATTTTGGTAAAACTTTGGGCTTTGAACCAAATATTTTGAAGAGGGATTTAAGCTTTTTTCTTTCGCAAACTTTCTTATGTCATTTGCTTTTCTTCATGTAGGCTCTGAAACAACAAAGAGATAAGCTAAAACAATATCAGAAGAAAGTACGAAACTTGTAAAATACGATGATTTCAGTATTGAAGATTTTTTATTTTGGCGTGCTATTGCGGTTGTCCCATCAAATACTGTGATTTTATCATTGCAATTTATATAGATCCAATTAAATCTTGAAAAAGAGAGACAGGTTGCCAAAGAATTGCTAAAAAACGGGAAAAAAGAGTAAGAAATGTGAAATGTTTGTTGTTGAACCTTCTTTACTCTGAATGTAGCAAAGTTGTTTTGTTACGTATTCAGGAAGGCAATGTCATTGTTGAAAAAGAAACGTTTGCAAGAGCAGCTTTTGAACCAAACAGATGGGCAACTGGACAACTTGGAACAGATGGTATTATGTTACCACTGTCAACTATAGCATAACTAATTTTTAATAATTAATTAACATGGAACTATTTCTTTACTATAGCACAAGTTTATTACTAAACCTTAGCACTTATGCTTACTATGATTTCACAATTTTTACATATGTAGGTTCAAGATATAGAATTTGCACAAATTCAATCCAAAGTTGTGGAAGGGCTTAAGTATGGTAACGAGTGCTTGGATAAAATGCATAAGGTAACAGATAATGATATTTCCTAGCACTATTCAGTTTTGTTTGGTCCTTTTAACTTTTTAATGTGATATCTTCCTGCATTTTTGTTAAGTTATTGTCCATAGAAGATGTTGAAAAAATAATGGAAGAAACACAGGAAGGAATTGAGTATCAAAGAGTAAGTTAAAATGTTTAGCACACGGTAAGTGCTAAACAGAGAAGCTGAGGTGGTTTTTTATGAATATTTTTTTAGGAGATTGATGCTATATTGGGAACAAACCTTAGTCAAGAAGATGAAGATGCAATTTTGAGTGAACTAGAAGAGATAAAGAAGGTAACTTCATTTAGGTTAGGGTTTCGTCGGTTTAACTGGGAATTTTATGGGTTCATTTAACTGAGGCTCAGGCTGTTCAGTTTCAAGCGTTTCATAGGATCAGTTTTGGGGATTTAAATATGTAGATTGGTTCAGTTGGAGTTCAGAAGGTTGCATTTAAGTAAGGTAGGCTCAGCTGGAGTTAGGGAGTTTCAGTTAGAGTGTTAAGAGGTAAGTTTAGTTGGAGTTAAGAAGGTTCAGTTGTTACACTGGCTGAGGTAGGGTTTCATATGTTCAGCTAGAGTGAGAGAGGTTCCGTTGGGTTTAGTTAGGGGGGTTAAGCTGAAGTTAGTGAGGTTCAGTTGGGTTTAGTTAGGGAAGGTTAAGCTGAAGTTAGTGAGTTAGAAGTAGTCAAAGTAAGACAAGTTAAGATTTCTGGATTCAGTTACATTTAGGGAGATCAAATATGTTGGGGTTAGTGAACATTATGTTTTGTAATTGGAAACAAAAACTTGTCAAAAATTTTGATTGCATAAATCTATGAAAATTCTCCACTTGTTATTGTTTATGAGTTCAACCATATTTTTGTTTGCCACAATTAATCTTGTGTTCAAACATCTCTTAGGGAATAGAAATGCCATCAGCAACAATTAATGAGCCAGAAAATAATTTTGTGCTACCAGACGTACCCAGCACTGAACCAGGTATTCTAAGCATTCAATCCTCTAGGTGTTCACCTTTTATTAAATATGTAATGAGAAAAATAGGGAACATGATGTTTTAGTAGTGTCATCAAACCTTTGTCCTATGTACACCAACTTTGTCTGTTGCAGGTGCGATTGAAGGAAGCAAACGAAAACAGAAGGAGATGGTAGCAGCTTGAATTTAGCCAACATGAAAGTGAATTATTATTGCTGCATACATTGATGCATACACTTGATAAAATGATATTGAGCATTCTTATTGCTGTGAATGAATATTTGTATGGTGCAGGAGTATTGAATTGGTCTAAAGAAACTATTTTATGTTTAGTACCTGGAAAGTTTAAAAAACTGCAATTTTATTTGGATCACAAAAATTTTGGTGCAGAGTAATTTATGCAGTATTGTGATATTCATTCAATTGCAATTTCTCATTAATGAATAATCATCCATGACAATAATCGTGACATTGCTCCAAAATGGAAATAAACTGTAGCATTAAAAATTTTAAATTGGAACATTAGATGGTAAATTGCAACATTGAATATTAAATTGCAGCATTAAATAGTGAATTGCAACATTAACTTCAACAGTTGATTGCTAATAAATTGCAACAGTTGATCACAAGTAGCAACAATCAAGTATGAATTACTTAACTTAAAGCATTACAATGCTAACCCTTTTCAAAATATGTAGGTAGTTGTACATCCAACATAGAATAGAAAGAAACATCTCTTCCTTCAACCACAGCATACTTCAATGGGACTGGATGTGCCGCAGCTGCCATTTGGTTCATCTCACCAATGGTAGGTGGGGAATCACAAAATCTAGATATGACAAGCATAGATTTCATCTTCATAGGAAGTAATGAGAGAAAAAACAGAGATCACCAGAAGGGATGGACATGGAAAATAAAAATGTATTTTGAATTTTCAATAGAACAGTAAAAACATACTTAGTTTATTTTTAGTTACTATAACTTGATCCAAAATTACCTGACTCATTCACACTCACCCCTACCCCCACAACCATATTTTGTCAATTTCCACTGCCAGGCATTATATCAGTGTGCAAATTAACGGTGTGCAATGTGCAATTTGCACATCATTTTAGCTAAAATGAAAACAATTGCACATCACTTTTTCAAATGACGTGCAAAAATTAGCGGTTGTAACGAAAAACACTGTCGTAAATCATATGAATTTGTCCACATTTAAAAATATTAATTTAGAAATTAGCGCTATATAATATTTAACGTAATATTGATGTGATTATGCCTCTAAAAAAGCACTTTTGTCAAAAAAATTGCACATCGTTTTTTCTGAATTAATTCACACACTGATTATATTAAAAATGCCAAGATCAAATCCAATATTCATTGCCATGGAAACAAGATTGAGAAAAAGTTTGAAACTGTAAACAGCATTGATCAGTGTGCGAATTAGTTCAGAAAAAACGATGTGCAATTTTTTTGACAAAACTGTTTCTTTACAGGCATAATCAAATCGATATTACATTCATTATTACATAGCGCTAATTGCTAAATTAATATTTTTAAACGTGAACAAATTCATATGATTTACGATAGTGTTTTTCGTTATAACCGCTGATTTTTGCACATCGTTTGAAAAACTGATGTGCAATTGTTCTCATTTCAGCTAAAACGATGTGCAAATTGCACATTGCACACCGTTAATTCGCACACTGCCATTGATGGCCATCAACTTACCTACAGACACAAATACAATGATTTGGCAAACCAGGGTCACTTTTCTTGAAGTTTTTCTGTGGTTGGTAAACATTGTAGGTTATTTTAAATCTACAGTATTCTTTCTCACACAATTTTGAGGCATCTGCAACTGTTTGACCTTTGATGATTTGTAGTTTATCCAGAATATTTTCTGAAGGAAATACTTGAAGTTAGTACAAACAAAGTTCAAAGAAAGATGAATGAAAATCACAAAAAAAAACATTACAAAATTCAAAGATTGTACCAAGGGATGTTGCATCATTAGGATGAACCAATGGACAACATTCATCATCATTCCAATAATGCATTGCAGGATTTTTATCATCCGGAATCACTGCCTTCTTTACTTCTGCTGATTTTTTCTGTATTTCACTAGCCATTTCTGCTGGTTGCTCAACAGAAATATTTTGGTTCCCTTTTCCAGTAACTCTCCTTTTAAATCAATCAATTACCAAGAGAAAGGAGTAGCATATTAGAATCTTCAGATGCACACAATTTTCAATAATATGTTCACTTACTTTTCATGACGAAATACAATAAAGCCAAGATTCCTCAGATGACAATAAACCTAAAAATTTATGCTTGGTAAAAGCCAATTCACTAAAACATTTGCTTTATGAATGATACAATAGAATGGTCAATGGTAGAACTTTCCTACTTACAACGTAATGATGAAGAGGAAATACATCAGACAGAAACAATTCATATCCCTAAATGAAAACATGAAATGAAGAAGTTTTAACTAATGGGCAACAGTAGAAAGGTGAATACCAGTATAAGCAAACATAACTGTTATATATGTTAAGTTCATTGTTCATCTAACCTGTTGTACAGAAATAGGTAACTTGTTATAGTATATCTCCAACAATCCCTATAAAAAAATAATAAACACTCTAACAGCATATGTCCAACAATCCCCATATGATGTACCTATTTATACATGATAGTATATCATTAACAATCCCTACATCAACTGTCAAATTATATTACAGAATAACTCCAACAATCCTTGAAAAATAAGTATATGGTATACTACGTGTACCCAACAATGCCCTTAAACACAATAACAGATATGTAAATCAGTTCCCAATGCCAAATAAGTGTAACACATAATATATAGACCTGTAGATGCCAAACTTTCAACTTAAAAAGTAAAATTATGACAGTCATGACAAACCATATTCCTCTGAGTAAAAACATAAAATATACTGAAAACAAACTTAGAAATAACCGCTGGTAACACTTACATGGTCAAGTAAGTACAACGCTTCTTCTGGTAGCAGCACAAGTTGACCACCAATCATTTTACCAAACACATTCCAATGGACACCCTAGTTGTAAGTGTGAAATAAAAAAACTGTTATTTATAACCTGGTTATTCAAAATTCTCTCCTCTTTGTTTTGTTTGTACCTTTACAATTGAAATTTCGACTAGTTGTTTCTCACTATTCCAATGTCCAACTGATATGTTACCTCTGTAAATTGTACAAATACCATGTCTAACGTAGTCAATCATTCAAAACAACAACCATTATTTAACACCTTTAGTAAGAGAATTGATGTCAATTGTCGAAATCTGGTTAACTCTGGCCACTTGTAGGCTTAGCTGGAGCTATAGGGAGGTGCAGTGTTAGTTAGAGGTTCATTTGGAGTATAAAGTCAGTTAAAGTTGGGAAAGTCAGGAAAGTCTAGTTGCAGTTAAAGAGATTCAGTTGGAATTTTAGAGGTTCTGTTGGAATTAAAGAGATTCAGGTGAAATTAGAGAGATTCAGTTTGAATTAGAGAGGTTCAGGTAGAGTTAGACAGTATCAATTAGAGTTAGGAAAATTTTTTTGTCATACACATTTATCAATGTTGTTGCCAATGAAGTGCCAGGCGGGAAACAGATTCTCAATATAAATATTAGAGCCCAACAAATAATTTTAAACATGGTCATAAACAATTTAGTTTTATGAAATTTATTAAAAGAGTGACTTTTAAAATTAGCCTGAAGATGTCTTGAGTCAAGACGAAACGTCACTCTTTAATAAATTTCATAAAACTAAATTGTTTATGACTATGTTTAAAATTATTTGTTGTCCTCAAATATTTATATTGAGAATTACATTTAGTAGGAGTTAAAGAGGTGGGGCGAATGTTAGAGAAGATCAGTTGTAGTCAGAGAGGTTCAGTTCGGGTTTAGTTCCAATTGGAATTATAAAGGTTCTGTTCAAATTAAAGAGATTCATGTAGTCCAGTTGGAATTTAGGTACAGTTGAAGTCAGGCAGGTTCAGAAGGAATTGGGAAAGTTTAGTTCAAGTTAGAGCACCAAGTTCAGTTTGATTTTCAGTTTCAGTCACAGACAGAACATTCATTTCTAAAACTGATTTGCAAACAGTTCAGTGATAATCATTAACGTCGTACTTTCTTAATACTCTCTGTTCTGACAACACATCATCTAATTCTTCAAGCTGATCTTCCAATCGTCTGGTTTGTTCTTCGCTGTCATCTTTAGCTGAATCCTTTGGTCCACCACGACAAGGCATTCGTGTTTGCATAAGATTCCTTCTTAGTAACTGCAATCTTTCACTACTGAAAGAACGTTAATTCAAATGATAAATACTTAAAAGAAATGAAAAAACTCAAACTTCAGATCGTTATACCTTTCGTGGAACTGCATCTCACTAGTAAGACGTTTGCGCTGCAGACACAGGTAAGTTGATATGTATCAATAATCAAGACATGTGCTTGCTTCTTGTTGCCAACGCAATGTAGATAACGCATGCGCATATTGTGCTCATGTCGAGTCGAGTGGAGTTTTTTACATAAACGCCTGATTTTTTTGAAGATTTTTTCGCTTTCCTTCGGTAAATTTTGTTAAAAGTTCGTGTGGATGTTCATTATGAAAAAATATAGCATACGCAAAATAAAACAAAATATACAAGGGAGGTTTTCATGTAGCCGAAATTCTCACATATCTCAAAAAATTATTTATAGAATTCCTTCAATATTAAACATAATGTTCCTTGAATGAATAACAATCATCACGCGAAAAATCAGAAAAATTCACCGAACGGAAAAAAGACCAATTATTTTAAAACTAGAGAATAAAAGTGTAAAAGAAAATGAGACATGGTTGCCATAACAAAGCCAACAGTTATCCTATTCAAGCATCTTTACACTTTTCCGTTCATGTTTCCAAAGTTTTAATGATGAAAATAATGTTGTGAAGTAAAGGCTACCTGAAACACCTGAAACACCCGAGATTTTGGGTTAACTGTAGTGAGCCTCCGCAAGTACCTACTTAATGGGATTACCCTATGAATGGGTTTTCCATTTGGTGAATAATACAAGAGCGATGAACATTCATTATTGATCTTTAGATTTTTCATTTCTATTGCGCATTGTGTTTGCATCGTTGGATTTCGAAGAACAAGTCGTAAATCACTTCACCTCAAAGGTGGGTGCTTCACAAAAAGATAGAGGTTCGATATTTCTCAGTAAAGACCGAGAGAGCGAGGTTATTAAAAGATTTATTATATGGCATTATTTGACCTGAAACGAAGCTTGCTTTCTTTCTCGTCCTTGCTGTTTTTTACCGGTTGGCTTTCACTTTTCTAGTTTTCGTCCATAAAAAATTAACTCGTTTCAAATTGTATCGTCTGGATAGTTAAACTACTTTCCAAGTGTTTTTTCTTCGAATCACATTCGTAAATGTTTTTTTGTTTCGTTTATTTTGCGTTTTGCTGTTTGCTTTACGAAGTTTGTTCACATTAGACTGTAAAATTACGCGTTTTGGACCGTGGTCGATTACGGGAAAATAGTGGACGGGCAAAACTGTTTCTGAGCCAATCAAAGCGCGCCATTTAGCCGGAAGTGACACTTGCCATATAATGAAGAAAAATAATCTATGAAGTTAGAGAACTTTATGATTTCAAATGACTTATATGAGTCTATTTATACAAATCCTTAAACAACAAAATTTATATGAGTTAAATTATCAAAAAAATGATTACAGTGCGGGTGTTATAATATGGAATATAAAGTAATGGTTTGAGCCCGGGAGTATCGTTACATGTTTGTAAATGATGATCGTCCAGGTTAATAAAGTCCTGAGAAGGACTGTTTTTGTTGTTGTTGACTGACGTTTCGATAACCTTAGCGGTAGTCATCTTCAGAGTCAAATGAGGAGTAAACGTCAGGTTAGCCGTATTTGTCATCTGGTTATCTGGTTACCAGATAACAAATACGGCAAACCTGACATTTACTCCTCATCTGACTCTGAAGATGACTACCGCTAAGGTTGTCGAAACGTCAGTCAACAACAACAAAAACAGTCCTTCTCAAGACTATATTAACCTGGACGATCATCATTTACAAACATGTAATATGGTATATGTTAATAAGTATCACTGACGTATCCTGAGGGGATAGGCAAAAGACAGACCCACCCTGACAAACCCTGGCAATTCTTGGCAACCCTAAAATTTTGCTTACATTACATTATCTAAACGGTGATGATGACCCTCTTCCTTTCAACTGGCCTCTATTGATAGAAAATCCTGGCTACCCAAATCATGTTATTTGAACACTATCTGAGTTTTCAGCGGGTGCTCTAATTCCGGCGTTATTTTCTCGCTGAAATCCACGGTTATCTGCGCCATTGTTACGGTTTCCTTCAGGTTGACAACAACTTTTTCTTAAATGCCGAACTAGTAATATTATTACAACCAATACAAAAACAACCCCTAAAACACTCCCTACAGCTATACCAACGATTATCCCTATCGACAATCCACCATTGCCAACTTCTTCTCCACCTGAAAGATGATATTTTATTTTATTTCCTTTGCTTTTAGTCTTGCTCGATTAGAATTCTGATAAGTTCAATTCTGATAAGATCCGATTTGAATTTTCAAACTGCAAATTGCGTTTGGAATCAACCAGAAAATATTGCTAAATTGACAAGTATGTTGCAATGTTCATGGGAACACAACATTCGGTTTGACTGTAAATGATTTCGAGGCATTGAAAAGAGGCAAAAACTTCAAGGTTAAAAATTAAAACTGTTTGTTTAGCGCCACTAGTCATTCCTCTTGTAATTCTCAAATTAGGCCAAATTTGTTGTTTTAATTTTAAATCTTTTGCGTAGTTATCAAATGACAATATTGTAAAATAGCTCAAGAAGGTTGAGGTATATGATGATTTGTATTGAATCGTTTCCATTTGCCAAATTCATTTAACAACTGGCCGAATCTCGACTAACAGGGCTCATGTAATCAGCCCTAAATTCAGATCGGTTTGCACATGTTAATTCAACACAGCTATAGACCAATCAGCGCATGCATTTTATTGTGTTTTGTTTTTTGAGTCTTAAATAATGCACGAGAACTTCAGTCTGGCAACTATCTGACAGGAAATATTAGTGACGAAAATATAATATAAAAAATATGATATTAAATTAAGAAATTTATATTTTTAATTTTGTTTTAAAAAGATTATTTTATGATAGGAATAGAAAACGTATTTACTTGTTCCTATTGAGTTAAATGAGCGCTTCTAAAAGTTTGGTAAGAACTCGAAATCGCTTGGAAACATTCGCACTTTGTGCTCGTGCTTGAAAGCAAATTCTCGTTTCTCAAAAACTTTCTCGCGTGTTTCTTAGATGTTACTAACAATATACTTGCAATAAATGTAATCGTAATTGAAAAGTGAACTTATACGATACACGTACCTTCATTTCTTGGGTAGAGAATAGATCTTTTGTTTCCTTAATAGGAATAATCATTTACTAAAAGATACATTCTATATTTTAAAGTCTTGAAAAACTGTTCAAACCTTGGACGCCACCATAACATTTCTCAGAATTTGTGCAATATGGAGTTTTCAAAGATGTCGACGTTTCTTTTTTATAAACACACCAAGTACATGATCTTAAGCCATAACAGGATTCTCCAGCAGCCTTTCCCACACAATTTTCATTATAACAGTTCTGCAAATCTTTAGGAGGATCAAGAGAATTCTCAAGATTGAAAAGTAACGAAGGAGATACCGGACACAAAGGATCTCTATGATATAAATTAACGAACGTTAATAGTTGCCTTAACGCTGGATCCGTTACTTTTGTTAAGCGCCACAAGTTATTCCTGTTGTAATTCTCAAACTAGGCAATATTGGTTGTTGTAATTTTAAATGTTTTGTGTAGTAATTAAATCAGAATATTGTGAAATTGCTTAAGAAGATTTATCTGATGATGAGTATTAAATCGTTTCCATTTTACAAAATCATTCAACGTTTTGCTGGGCTCATGTAATCAGCCCCTAAATACATTCAAAAAATTGACATGGGAGCAGTCCTGCTGTCATTCAAGAATTGTTTTTATTGCTGTGTAAGCCTGGACAAACTTTCTATCTTGTACTAGACCATGGCATCAAGTAAAGGTGGTGTGCAACTATTCCCTTGGGAGTGAGAGAACAATGGACCTTTTGTCATGTTGGATGACACTTAGATTGCAAACTAATGCTTTGTTAAAATCGTCTAACATGGCAGTCATGACGTATTTTGCACATCAAAAATATTGAAATTATGAGTTCGCTTTTTCAGCGGTATTCACATGAACGTTGTTGTACCAGGGCTTTAAAACCTTTTGGATCTCCAGTGCAGCACTACGTCAACATTCGGTTATTTTATCAATAAAACAGTAGTTTGCTCTTTTCATACCTGCTTTTGGAAAATAGTTTTGCAATAATTGTAATGTAGGGATGATTTGAATGGACATAAACATTCTTCATTCCCTTTTATTTTGTAGATACCATCTGGGCAATAACACGCACCACTGGTTTGAGGACAATTATAGATGATGCCTTGGGAAAAATCAATGGACTAGATTTTAGACATTGCTTCAGTCAGGATAAGTCATTCATACATCATTTCATAATTTTCATTCAGGATAAGTCGTTCATATACACGACTTCCCTCAGGGTAAGTACTTTTGTATACATCATTTGAATTTCAGTTCACTCAGGGTAAGTACACTTGTATACATCCTTAGGATATGTATGATTATTCATATCTTACCGAGATAAACTGCTGTACCATCGACCCGACCGATTTGATATTTTGGACATTGTTCCGTATCAACATAAGCATCAGTGGTTATGTTTACTACATAGAAATTTTTATTGGTTATGTCTTTGAAGTTTTTGCATTTATTTCGATACATAAGTTTTCTCTTAATCATGTCTGCAGCAACTGATTGCTCTGCCTGTGTGATATGAGTACTGCCAACGTTTTGCGCCAGCTTTTTCAAATCTAACACTGATTCCAATTTAATAAAGTCATTGTGGATTAATAAAAACCCGCTTTCATCCATCAGGAAGCATCTGTACCTTTTCTCACATTCAGGATATGTTTCTACAAGAAGTCTAAATGCCAGGAAGAGCAAAAACGTTAGGATAGTTGACATTCTGATTAGTGTAAAATCATTACATGTATTCCAACCTGTAAAATTTAAACATATCAAAACTGGCGTCTAACACAGCGATTACGTTGTCATTGACGTTATGTTGTTGGTTAGACTTCCCTTCATAAAGAGTATGAGAAACACCCACAATAAGACCTGCACCGAAAGAGTCAAGATACGGAGTGGTTATCGTCAGCTTTCCTTTGCTATTTAGAGCATTTTGAAACCTGAAAATTTAAATTTTAGAAAATGATTAACTTCAACTTTTTTCAAGTTTGCCGGCACGTCAGCGATGAAATTTTTTTGCTGTGAATTTGTTTTTTCCATTTAATACTTTATATTTGCTGGCTTTTAGAACAGAAATGTCGGACGCTGGGCAATTTTACTTCCGGTGTCTCAACTTTTTCCTATGTAAGGCTATGGTAATCAGCACATGCAGCTGACGAATTTGTAATATTTTAGCATTTGTTCTATAAATATATTCTATGTATAATCAATTCATGTAAGAGTCAGTCAATAAACACGAATGTTAAGGAAGACCTTCAAACATGTAATAAAACTAAAATAACTTCTACGGGAAATAGTGACAAAATAATTATCTTTGGGTCGGAATTTTTTAGGGTTTAGAAAATTTTTAAGGGAGCCTGGCACCCAGCCACGTCACTGCCATGAAATCTAGAAGAAAGCAACTTAAGGAGAAAGTATCCTTTTTGCCTCCCCATAAAATCGCATTAATGCCACTACTTTCACCACAAAAAAACTTTGTTGAATATAAAATATACTTACCACGAAAGTGTTGTGGGATTATAGCGCTTATTAATAGCAACACCTGGTTTAGTATATATCACCCCATTGGTTGAAGCAAACGTTCGAAACGATGTGTAACGTTTGAATCTTGATTTATGCCTGTCCCAAATGCTCTCAGTTTCTAATGCAGCAAGAGCCATTTTTCGAACTCCATTCACAAATTTTGGTTCAGGATTAGATCGACCATTTATTATGTAATTCTTAAACGCTTTAATTGTTTTATCTGTTTCTTTAAGAGATATATAATCATAGGGCTTTTCAAAGCATTTTGGAGAAAACTTCACAGTTCCTCTTTCTAAAATGTCAAAAAATAATATGTAATCATCAAATTTGTTTCCATAAATGAGAAAGTAAGATATGAAGAGTTTTTCGTTTGTATAAAATCACCTGTTGTGCCCTTAACACCATATAGAGAACATATTTTAAAGTCATTGCTTCCTTTGGGTGAGTTGACTTCAAGATGATAGACAAAGGAATTTTCACTGGAAACTAAAATCAAATTGTGAATTTCATGTGTTTTTCACGTTAACACAAGTGAACCAGTGTAGGAAACATGTGATTTTCATTCATGTAAGCCACATAAGCCACGAATATCCACATGTAAAACACATGTAATCACGCATAAACCACCACTAGATATGATCACATGAAATGCACCTGTGAGACACATGTGATTTCTATGTATTTTTCCACAAGGCATCATTTAAGCTGTAAATTTCATAAACTTAATGAAGCCAGTTTTTCAAATGGCTTCAAAAGAAAACATTCGAAGTACGTAAATACATTATTATGTATCAATTGTAAAAGTTTTCTCCTGCTGCTTCATTGGTTACAAGTGTATCATGTAATTGTAAAAGTAAGCTGTTTCTTCGCACGTTGCTTGGGAGTGAGATAATACGTTGTTTACAGGTAGATAATACAAAAATCACGTTGGTCATTACGTAAAAATACGACCTTTGACTTTCGCCAACTGAATTCGACCAGAAAAGGGCGAAAGGGTGGAAATATTGAAACCTTGTCGAGAAAAAAGTGTTTCAATGTATCATTGAAAACAATTAACAACTGATCTCTTTCATTTGGTAAATGCCAGATATTTTGACGACATCAGTAAAAAGCATGTACATACTCAAGTTGGTCAAAAGTAATCATTAAAACTTATTTAAATCTTACCAGTTGAAAGAGCGTCTAGCCTACTTTGTATTTCATTGTTGGCAAGAACTACACAGAAGCTCAAAGACGTTCCTTGAATTGCCTGCCAATGATATGTTGAATTTATCAAAAGCGCTTCTACACCTCCACTTCCAATCTTTGAATATCTTCTACTGATAAAGTTTCTACTTCCTTCTTCTCTCCTGAGGAAAGCAAACAAAACATTAAGGTCAAAAAAGCAAGTCTAAAATTTTAAATAAAAAAACCTAACTTTGTCTTACGGTGATGCAACAATGTGGAGAGAGGTCAGTAGCCTCAATACGATTGTATTGTTTTTAGTTCTTTTTAAACTTAGACCATGCATAGTCCCGAATTAAGTTGTAATTGCTTAAACTACATTGTGGCAAAACTCTTGAAAATTTTTCATTGTTGTCCACCATTATATGAAGAGTTTTTCTTCAAAACATAATAATATTAAGGGCAAAGACCTCAGAAAAATTTTGCATGCCTCAGTTTTTTTCGAGACTGACCATTTCATTTTTACAATTTGTCTTTCTTTTCTTCTTTCCGAAGAAAACTAGGAAAACTTACAACTCTGTCTCGCATGAATTTGTAAATTATGATTGCCGACGAAAACGAATCCTCAATATTTTAATAGGATATACTGCATATGGTTTATTTAAACAATCTAATCATGAATAAGATCACTGGTCAATGCTCAATGCATTTTAATAAAAAAGCCGTGTCAAAACAAGCTCGACATCTTTAAAAAAAATTGTGTTAAAACTATTGTTTGAAGCCCAGCCTATCGCAATTATATAATGATAAAACTTGAAACCTCATCATTGACGGCAAGACAAAATCGTTAAACTCATCTTCCTGCTCTAAAGCTGTAATATGAAGCAGAACTATATCGTCATTGACAGCAGTAGTTCTGGGCATATATGGATGGTAGATAGTGTTTCCAGTGCTGCTCTCAATCAAAAACGCATAAGAATACTGTCCGATATAAAATAACTCTACGTCAGAAATTAAATCTTCAAACACGACATCTGTGCCCACAACTCCAATTACTCTCTGTTGGTAAAAACATGGGGCGAGTATGGTCACCATCTCACCTAAAGAAGATGAAAGACAGTTCATAGGCAATCTAAAATAATATATGAATGCTTTAATACATAACGTAAATTGTATATTTCATTTTGTCATCATTGATATCACAGCAAAAATCTTTCGCATATTTTAGCTATTAAAGCCTGATAACCATCAAGCTGTTTAAAAAACTGAAACTTTAGCTTCCTTATTTGAACAACAAGAAACTACAAAAAAAGAGAACAGAATGTCTTACCTAAACCTGAAGCATCAAAGTAAGGGCTTGTTATGTAATGAGAAGAGTATTTTGTCGTTCTTGCAAAGAAATTGTAAAAAGATGCAAAGACCAATCGTAACTCATCTAAATTTTCTTGAGTTATTTCTGTAAATCTTCCCTAAAAACGACAAAATATTTTTTAAGACTTTAGAAGTTAGCTAATTCTAATTAATACGATTTTCTGTAACTTGATTTGTAGTTGTTAAGAAATAATCAACCTTTGTTCCTTCAGCTTCTGTGGCTTCGGCAATTTTCTTCAAAAGACTAAAATCTCCTGATCCTATTCCGTAAGCAAAGATGACAACATCCTTTGAGGTTACAATCTTAAGAGATTTTTTCTCTTCGGTGAGTAAGGCCGTAAAATTTTCATTAATATCCGTTGGTTGTCCGTCGGTTAAAAATAGAATCACTTTCTTTCTTGCGTTCTCGTTTCCACTCCCAGTGGAATTTGTTTTCAATAAAGAAAACGCTTTACGAATAGCATTTCCATAAACGCTGCGACCTTTAAAAGCATTTAAGCAAAGTCAATTCAGTCAAGATCCCTTAAAATTTAATATACATAAATAATTTTTTACCTTCTGTTTTTATATTTCTCATATACTTTTTCAGGTATTTCAAATTAACTCCAACAGCAGTTGCAAGCTCGTTTTTATAACATGTACTAGAGCTTTTTTCGCCCGGTGGAGTTTCTGCTTCGCTATTGAATGTTACTAAACCGACCTGCAACAAAAAAACATTGAAGAATAGGATTAAGAAAATTATTTATTTAGCAAATATTCTTTCTCACTCGATCTTGAGGATTTAATGCATCTAGTACAGTGTCCACAGCAGACTGAGCAATACTTATCAATGTTTTTCCTCCGCTGATCATTGCCATGGATTCACTTTTATCCACAACAATAACGATATCTTTTGCTTCGGGAGCGATACCTTTAATGTACCAAGGACGAAGACGGTTGTCGTAGCTATCACAAGATGAAAATTTATTTGAAGGATAAATCGATGAAATTCCTTCTTGCGATCCAAAATATTGCCATCGTAAATCAGGATTATTTTCCAAATTATTTTTCATCGTTTTTTCCAAGCTTTTTGAAAAATGTTTTGCACCTTTATAAGTATATTTTGCATGGATTTCGCAAAACTGATCACTAATTATCTTTGTCTTGAACCTGTGGTCTGTTTTAGTTCCCTCAACTTTACAACATTCAGGTCTTGTTGGTGATGATGTGACATCGTTGTCTTCGTAGGATTTTTCAACAGTTTCTTTAATCTTTTGAACGGCTTGAATGTTTCCCTGAAATCTTTGCCTCAAAATGTTTGCAAGTCTATTCGCGTGGTATTTCCCATTCACATCAGGCTCATCACTCAGAACAAAGGTTGATTTATCAAAGAAACTCTGCGAAAATGTAAAAAAAGAAGTGTCATTTGTTTAAAGAAATAAGATTGCATGAATGGTGCCATAAACATAAGTAAACCAAAGTGACTAAATTATCATTTAAAAATAAATAAAAATCTTTTCAGCCTCAATGAAAGCGAAAAAATTACCATATACTGCAGACGCCCACGTAACTTGACAAAAGTAAAACAATTATTCATTTATCACATTACATTTCATCATATACATTTTTTATACTATTCGTAAGAAAACGGAGTTCTCATGTTTCATGATTGTTTTATGTAAATATTTTGGTGATCAATCACTGAAAAAGGCATAGATTTCTAAAAAAATAAATGATGATAATGACTGGATATTGATAGGATGATCAAATATGCCCATCGATGTGTTAATCCAATAAATGCTAGTCAAAAAATGCAAGTATTTATTCTAAGATTTTAGATTTAACAATGTTGGATACCCTACGATGGAATTACCGTTTTGATGAGAAAGCCAGCAAACGCCTATATTATGTCTTATTCAACTTAAACGAACTGATATATTGCACAAGTTATATGAAAAACACGAAATAAGGAAGCTAATTGAGGCTATCGTATTTTGTTTATATGGCAAAAGACAGTTAAACCTATCATTTACTTATCTCGTAACTTCTTTCACGGAATTAATTTCATTATACGAATGTTTTCACCTAGCCAAATTTGCTTTGGGCTTTACTTGTGTCATAAAATATCCTTTATTTCGCTCTGTTGCAATGTTTTGACGTCTACCGGAACGGTTCAATCCTACTTAAATAATTTGATCATTTGGTATGTATAACATAAAGTTAAACAATTTGATGACCTAGATACACGACCTCGACGTAGTTTACGCTTTACTGTGGTAAGCTGAAGTTGTGTTTGGTAAAAACGTATTTTTACGCTGTGGATGTTCTCGAAACATCTATCTAAACATCCACGTCTTTATTGTATTGAGAAACTCTAGTGATCTACTTCCGTTGTTATTCAGAATCTCTAGTGAACCATGTTTATTACAAATCCATAAACACTGACGATTAAACTGCTTTCAAAAAACAATTAAAATTAAAAAAAACTACTTTAAACTTTCACAATCTTGTTTGTATATGTAAATGTTGTTTTCATTTTGAGCTGGAAACCTATCTTATATAGCACAAATTAGTTATTTAATTAGGGAGAACTGCATTGATAGAATAATATAGTTAATTATTATTCAAGTTGACGTGTTCTAATTCGTGGAATGTTACTATGCTGTACTAAGAATTGTTGGGCGTAAACCGTAAGGTTGGTTATCATTGCATTCACTTAATTTTAACACTAAACTGTACGATCTAGTATGATCTAGTATGTACGATCTAGTGTTGCAATTTACATATAAAATTTGGCGAACTAGTAAATTTTTGTCTATTATTGACCGAAAATGATAAAATGTCGAGTTATTTCTATTTAATTATTATTTAAATGATCGAATCAGCAACCGTTTGTATGCAAAGCCAAATTTTTGGTAATTTTCAACTTTACCAACTCTCCTAATAAAAAAGTAAAAAAGTATTTATTCCTTTCGAGAGAATGCTTTAAATTTACCTGCATTTCCGTCACTCCCAATACGTCATTTTTTACTTCTTTAAGAACATTTGATAATGTAGCGGTTTTCAGTCTATTTGCATCAATACACTTTAACATCATTACAAAGTACCACAATATCCCCAAGTACATCCACATATTCATTCTTCAATACAAATAAGAAAGTTTACTTCAAATGATCACGTCTCTGATTGCTGTGAAGGTTGAATGTACTTTGGCAAAGGCTGTTTTCACTTTTGCATTAATAACGGTAGCATTGTGCATTGTGCATTGTTGACATGCATTGTGCATTGTTGTTTAACCCTCTAGGAGCCGGGCGTTTTCAAAAGTTTGTACGCGTCGCGTTTGGTGATTGTTGCCTTTGAGCAACAACGGCCTCTAGAGTGTTAAACAAATTTTATTATCTATTTACATGATTACATCAGTCAAAACACCCATATATCTTTGGTTATTGTATTCTTAGACTCTCGTCATCCACTTCCATATACCCATTCAAAAACATTTTTGATTATTTCTACATGCACATTTCATGGCTATAAGCACAACTTCAAAAAACAAGTAAATTAAAAAACTGTGCTTTCCCCCGTCATTGCTTTATTTGACTTCTGCATAGTAACTGATGATGACATGCATTGTGTATTGTTATTAAAACAAATTTACATGACAACATAGCTATGACAACACAGTATGCACACTTTATAGATATAGGTGTGTTCCATTGAATCGATATCCGTTGATATCTATTTTTGGAAAACTAGGCAAACCAGCAACAGGTTACTAAAAACTGCTTTTGCTGATGTCACTGTGTTACAGTTTGGAATGTATAATGCACTGATTCATTTTGAAATATGTTCTGTGGCTGCTGGATGTATTTTTAATAAGGAAAGAATGAATTCACGCTGTTTTATTGAAGAATTCATCATGAAAGTTGATAGGATAAACATCACAAAGGCATGCATATCATCCAGCGATGCTTAAGGTGAAAAAGAAATAAAAAAAGATCTTTTGAGGATAGAATTCAGGAAAATACCTTTGAGAAAAAGCCTTTTAACGTATATCCAGGTCAATCATAGTCATTACTACACTAAGAAACTCTATGTTAGACTTTTGAAACCGTTATTCATAAATATTTGAGAATATAGTAAATTACAATAAATGCACGAGCAATATGTAAAAAGTGTTTAAGCAACGAGCTCCAAATGTTAAGTTTTGGATTTGATACCAATGACTACTTTCTGGGTATCACCATGCCATATCAGACGTTTTTGTTAAGCTCTGTTATTTTTGAAGCATGGTTTGGAAGTATTTTTTGAAGTATGCTTCATTGTACACAAATCACAATTACTTTTTTTTAACTCCTTGCTTTATTCATACTTCCCATGGAAATTTGCACCACCCCCTACACTACAAGGTAAGGAATAGTGCGCAGCCCTCTGTAACCCTCAGGAAATCTATACCTGGTTTTTTAACACCAAAATCATTACGAAATGAAAACCTCTAAATTTACAACGATGGTGCGTAAAGCTGATTTAGTAATTCTCATTTCCAGACCATCTCCTGTTGGTAAAGACTGCTTTTCTCAACGACGATTTCTCAATTTTAGCATTGACGAAGAACCCACTATCGATCATGCATTTTTTATCTAGTGTAAAACCATTACGAAATAACGTAAAAAATCACATTAGATCAGAATTCAAACTATTCGTCTACCTTTGTCTTCCAGTTTAATAATTCCTGTAACTGTTTCTTTATAAGCTGAAATATGACCATTTTCATAGTTATTGAACATGAAAATGACAGCCAGTTTTTGGACATAGCGAACATATATCGCCCATTTGATAAAGACATTACTCTTCTTCAGTTCTTGATTGGTGGTGGCTCATGATAATCACGTTACTTCGATCTTGCGTACTCCTAATCCACCATGATAAGTTTTCGAAAAGTCTGCACTCACCCCTCGGGGCCATATGAATAAATTTAATAAATTCATTTCTCTAAAGCTAGATAAAAAGTAATAGGATGTTGTCATCAATCACAATGTTGGTAGAAAATCCCATAAAGTGAAAAGAATTTAAGTTGATTTAATGCTCTGTTGAGCACAATTTTATTTAAACCACAACATGGCCGCTTGACGTCACATATGGAAATACTTCATTAGAGTTCTGTATGTCATTCTTTTTGATTATCATCAGGAACAATTATTTTCCCTTGGTGTTTTGTTGAACTCAGGTTTCATTGACGTCTATGCAACTCGTGACATATTTGAAGATTAACCCTCTAAGAAAAACGTGTCATTTGAAAGCTACTTAAAGAAAGAATTCCTCTAAAACGCGTCGACTTGGTTGAGGAAATTTGTGCTTCTTACATCAGTATACATGCATGAAGAATGGTCTGCAAAATGGTCTCGTCGAATTATTTGAAGCAAGTTCAGGTAATTGTGCTATTTGATGTAAAATACAAACGACACTAAGATCTCTATCAAATTATGACACTTGAATATTCTTTTTCTCAAAATTTTTGAATTAGGAATGTTTCTTTTATTCTTGGTTTTAGAGTTTAAAATAATCATCAAATAAGATTGAGAAACAAAAAAAACAAATATTGGTGGTTTTTATTCACCATAACAATAGAAAGAAAATTATTATTGTCGACAGTGAATATGCATTGATGTGGTTTTTGTTAAACACTCCCTTGAGGCTGAGCTAAACACAAAAACGAACAATTTGTGTTTTTGCATTTTGATTTTTGAACTTGGAAATCAGTCATAGTAAAATATTTAATTTATGTATTTTTTTTACTGAACTATGACAAGAATGGACAAATACTTTTTAACGAAGTTGAAAACACGTGATTTTTTTTGTCCACTAACCGTTTACGTATGACAAAATATAAAATATTGACATCAGTTCACCACAGTGTACTATCCACAAATAACTGTCACTGTTTAACTGGGGCCGGTTGCACGAAGCCTGGATAGCGTTATCCATTGGGATAGCATTTTTTACAAGTTTGAAAATTTTTGCTATCCAATGGATAACGCTATCCAAGCTTAGTGCAACCGGCCCCTGAGTTGTGGCTGTTCTAAAACATTTTTCTGGACATTTTGCTGCTAAGATTACGAGTTCTGCTTTGCCAAACATAGGGAAAGACAAATCAATTATAAATGACAATTTTCCATGAAAAGGCTGACAATGGGGATAATCGTAAGGTAGCCTGAAAATTGGGTATGATGGATGAACCATCAACTTTCTAAAGATTTCAAAAAATTATTCTTGGGCTCCTAAATGGTTTCAATGCGCATATTTCCAAGCAGTTTGGAGTCTCTCCCAAACTTCCACTTGTTTTTATTGAATGTTCAAAAATTCTCGTAGCCTTAAAGTATTAAATAAAATATTGCTTCTAAGATTACAAAATTTCTTTGTCGTAACGAAAATGTAAACACCTTTTTTAACATGTTCGAAAATTTTGCCATCCAATGGATAACGCTATCCAAGCTTAGTGCAACAGGCCCCTGATAATGAACTATTTCGGATGAAACTTGTCATTTCTCAAACTCAAATTCAGCAGATTTCGGCCTGTGACAAGCTGGCGCCCACATCTGTTAGCAAAAACTAATTTCATCATGTCATCGTTTTGTAAAGGGAGAATATTCTACTACAAACTAAAATGTTATTTCAAAAACACAATTATTGCCCACTTGAGTGAGCTACAAAAGAAAACAATAATGTGGAGAGTTTTCATGTGACGTCAAGCGGCCATGTTGGATTGTTGGGGGAGTACGTGAAAGTGCCTTGTAGGATTGCTAAAGCTATTCCTTCTAACAATATATTATTTTTGTCGTGGTGGCAAATGTAAAAATTGTCTTGAAAATAGCAATTGCAATGGTGAATGGCCAAAATAACCTAAGAAACATAGAACTTTCGTTGTTATCCTTCAAAGTGAATCCGGGGTTGCTATTTGCTCCAGGTCAAGTCGGAAAAGGTATGAAATTCTGCTCTCCGAAATAGCATTTCTATTCATTCTGAGAAAACTTAAAATTGATTTATGGAAATTTTTTGAGAAAGGATTACGATATTTACTACAACCTCAAACAACTTAACAGTCTCATATAACAACTCTCATGATAACTCTGACTAATTTTTACCTATATTTGGCCTAATTATTACGTGTCGTGAAATAGGAAACAAGTTATTTCGTGTAATAGTGACGTTAAAATATTAATTAGGAAACTATTAGTATACATACTTTGATTATCATTAACTACAGCTAAAGTTCCTTACATAAGCACATGCGTAGTAAAGCTATTTCTTGATTAATTAACACGTTATTTTTTGGTGATATAATCTAAATTATCTAACAAATTGCACTATTGTCCATGAATGTTTTCTGTAAATTGAGACCATGCATGTCACCGTTCCCAGCTATCTTATAATTGTGTCTAAGCTTCCCACTGCACAATGCTGAGACGATGTCTCTAAAGATAACTGTGACGACGAATGTGACGATTGCTGTGACAATACCTATAACAACGACTGTGACGACGATTGTGACGATGGCTGTGACGATGGCTGTTACAACGACTCTGACGACAAATGTGACGATGGCTGCCACGATGGATGTGACGGATTGTGACGTGTAAAATGTACAAGATTTTCTTTTTCATGAGGTTCAATGATTTCTTTCAATTTTTCCAAACTGACTAGACATACCCGTAAACCTTGGTACTCCTTAGAGAATTCCTCAAAATCTTTTATAAATTCTTTTTCATTCTGTGGATCGTAAAGGAGTCCATTTACTTCTGCCTGATTATTGCAAACAACGCAATGACCAATACCAGAAATCTTAATCATTCCAAGAATGAGAACTGATACATCAGCAACTGTTGAAATACATTTCCATGCTTCTTCTGCTATCTGCTTCCGCTTAGTTTCATCACCCGTAAAATCAAAGTCCCTGTACACAGGAACTATTCCAGAGAGTATCAGACGTTGCATAAACTGGTTACACTGCAAATCCTCATTTTGATAACACTGCAAATCCTTATTTTTATCACGAATTGATCGGAGCTTAACCATATGTTCGACAATAATAACGTCCAAATTCCTTTCACACAGACGCATACCATACTTTCTCTCATATATGTAGACAAGGCAAGATATCACACAGTTGTATTCACAAACTTCACCTTTAGATTGTAAATGTCTCTTAAAGTTAATTGTCATGCTCTTTTCATGCTCTAGTTTGTTGATTCTTGTTTGTAACTCGATGTTTGAATTCGTTAACTGGTAATTTACACACCTTAACTGGTAATGTTCATTCTTTAACTGGAAATATTTATTCGTTAACTGGTAATTTGAATTCATTTCACGTTCTATTATTTCATCCTTCTGTTGCAATATATCATTTGCGTCTCGCTTGAAAAGTTCCAATTCTTGTTTCAATTGTTCATTTTCTGTTTTTTCGTCAACTGTTTCTTGCTCATGAACGTTCTGAGCAAACGCAGCCATTCTCTATAACTCAGTGAGTGTGAGTGAGCTTTTAGAATACGGGCGTTTGTCTTCACCAAATGACTGAAGAGAGGAAACGATCTAGAACATTTTGGTAAAAGTAACAAAACAACTCATTAGCTACATCACATTTAATGACATTTAATTTCGTCAGTAACAATTCGTAGACATTTATCTCCACAGATTACATTATACTTAAATTAAGGGCTAAGAATTTTAGCATACAGACTTTATGAATGTTTTTGATTTTATTCAAAAATTTCAATCTTTATCAGAGGACGGATTTTCTGGAGGTGCGCACCCATTAAACTCTAAAGCACTCCCCTGTAAAATTCTAATTAATAAAATAATACCAAAAGGAAATTGCATAGTAAGATGTGTTATTATAATAGTATCAAAGACTAGGAAATTGCACAGTAGGCAAAAAGTGGAAATTTTCATTTAAAAGGCAATTACATATTTTATACTACCACCAATTGCAATTGAGTTCCTACCATACCCGTTTAGATTGAAACATTAAAATCGAAATAAATTACTAAACGCAAAGTATCCTGTTGCTTTGACATGTAAACTCTGTTTGCCCTTTAATGTCTTCACGTTTGTTTATCATATGTAAAAGCAACTGTTGCAATTGTGTTTCGTTCCTCGTATCCAATATTTGGATACATAATTATGAAGATTATTTAAGGTATGTAGTAATGTCAGCTTTACAACTAGAACTGATAATTTTATAAAAAAAATTAAAAAGCTATTGACACTTTTATTTAGCAAGATTCCCTTATCTTTAAGCCTATAAGTCTACAATGATGATCCACCCCCCCCTGTCACATGAGCACTAATCCTGCCTTGTCACAGTATAGAAACAAAAAGTAGTCCTACTTTGTTGTGCAATTGGCTGCTGTATACTCAATTGGTGTACTGACCGCAGCTAGCCACCTCAGCGCTCCAATTGGTCAGAAAATGCAATTTATTGGCTGCCACTATGCATAATTAGCATGTGATTAGCAAAGCGATTATGCCCTACACAAAAAATTTCTATAGAGTGGGACTACTTTCAACCTGGACTAAAGTCCTTAAATGGCAAAGGGCAACATAGCTCTAACTTCCATAAACAAAAAGAAATAACCTTTATGAAGTACTTAATATGTGGTTCACTTTAGTGGTGGTAATGGGAGGAAAAAATTTGCACAAAATTAATATTTACTGAGAAATTACTATGCATCATCTCTGTTCAAATGTCAATTTTGCATAAATCAACAAATATTCTACATAAGCAGAGATTGAATTTTCATATTCTCAAAGAAAAAAAAAACTGGATAGACAAAGAAAGGAAAACAGAAAGGAAGAATATAAGCTTCAGAAATATAGAGGCAGACTGCCTGCCAGACAGCAGTCTCGGTAATTTGAAAGTCAGAAGATTGTATAAAAAAGTCATCTTTGCAGTTCTTACAAGTCATTTTTTCATCTACTGCATTCAATAGGATTGATTGATACAAATGATTTCATTCATATTGGATAAGTGAAAATTTCCATGAGGCCTTTTCATGCAAAAACCATTCTCGCTGATCTTGATGTCCCAGAAAACAAAATGTTTTACGCAGCCCTGGCGCATCTAATATTAGCCTGTTACATTTTGAGTGATTATCAACATTTTCTTTGGCATTCCTATGATAGATAGCCTTAATATCTTGCTTTACTAATTACTATTAAAATACTGCGAGTGTTTTAAATATCAGCTAACATCTGATATGTTTTCATAACATGTATAGTACCAGTTTCCCTCAAATCTACTTAGAATAAAGACTGTCAGACTGTTTGGGCAGGTCTAATATTTTTAGAGGTGCGATTACTAATTTTTACAATCTAGGGAATCTTGATGAATACTTAGTTTCAATTCATTTTTTTTGTAAATCACACAATGAAAATGGTGAACAGAGCTTTGAATCTGATATTTTTCATTAATTATTGACTGTCAAATGGCAATTATAAATGTCACTAGATTGAATTCACATTCCAGTCACTTAAAGGATATTAGGTTCATAATATAATTGTTTGACTATGAAAACAAGGCTTAGAGAGGTTAAATTTACATTTTATCACACTTATAAAAGTTATTATTAGCGTAAATGACCTTTTAAAACATCATTAAAGTTATTTCAAACACAACAAATTCCTAGCCTTCTTATTCAGGTAATTACGTAATATTTATCTCCACTAAAGAACGAATAGGAAGGACGCAATATATTATGAAATCATTCAATATTGTTTCCGCATGCTTTATATAAATAGCATGTTCGCCAAATATAACGCCATTCGTTGCCATTTATTTCATCAAAAATATCACATCGATCGCCATTTTCATTGCGTGATTTACGAACTATTCATCTAGTTCCTTAAATTGATGAGATAAGTAATCTCGCCATAAAATTAGAGCTAAAGTGTAAAATAAATGCAGAAAACTTACAACTTCAAAAGTTATTTGATCCAATGGTCCAACATCAAAATAATTTCTTAATACGAAGTGTACGAGGCGGCATAACTGAAAATAATATTATACTTATGTAATACAAATATTTTGGTTTAGATAGTGACGTCACTTGAGCGCGCGCCGAGTTCTGGGACCGGTTGCACGAAGCCGAATCTCTGAGCCGAATAGCGCTATCCACTGGATAGCAAATTTTTTAAACGTTTACAAAATCTCTGAAAATAAAAAAAATATGCAATTTGAACTTTGCAATAACTGAAATAAAGTATTGCTTTGATAATTACAAAAATTCTTTGCCGTAAGAAAAATACAAACACCTTTCTTACAAGTTTGAAAATTTTTGCTATCCAATGGATAACGCTATCCAGGCTTCGTGCAACCGGCCCCTGGTCTTTGATTTGATAAACAAACTGGGAATGAATTGGTCTCTTTGAAAATGTTATAGCATGGTTTCGAGTGCAATTTGGGAAAAACATGCACGAGTGAGTTTTACAAAGACTATCAAGTATAATATAAAACAAATTCCGAAGAAGCAAGACATCTTGAGATTGCAAAATATGAATCAAAACAAGACGAGAAGTAAACTGTAAATTTTCGACTTTATTTCAAAGTCATCCTCAGAGGATGACTTACTTCTCGTCTTGCTTTGATTCATATTTTGCAATCTCAAGTTGTCTTGCTTCTTCGGAATTTGCTTTATATTATACTTCTTTAAATTATCGGCTGGTCATGATTTAAAGACTATCAAATTTGAAGTCTTTGAAAAACTTACTCTTGCATGCTTTCCAAAGGTCACGAGCAGAGGCGTAACTAGAACGTTAATTGGGGAGATTGCATTTTCAGTGCATATTCATATATTAAGTTGTGTCATACTGATTTCTTTTGAAAGTGATTGGAACTTCAAAAAAATTTCAATGGGGCACAACTGAATATATGAATACACCCCCCCACAATTACCGTTATAGTTACGCCTCTGTGCACAAGAAACTATGCTATTACTTATTAATAATATACATGAAAAAATTTCTCAATTCTGTTGATTTTTAACTTCAGCGTACGTAGATTTCAGCCGGCAAGTTATTAAAATCGACCGGCTCGTATATCTTAATTCTGTAGGATATTACTCTGTGTTCACATTTGTGTCTAGAAACATCTTTAAAACGGTGAACTTCAAACTCGTTCGCCAAAGAAAATCTACTTAAAACTTACGCCAGCCATTGTAATTGCTTTGTTTACAATAATTTAACTTTCCCGCTTTTCAAATGTTTTATTTTGATTGGCTCTTAGATCATTCTTTGTTCGAGTAACCAATCAGGAGGACATTTTTTGAAAGTTAATTGCACCGGTGTAGTTTCGCATTTTTGTACTGGTTTTTACGATAAATTAACTGCTCTTAACCAATCAGGATTGAGAAATTGTTTCATGTATATTATAAATTATTTAACCGTAAATAAAAGCTAGTTGAAGTGAAAGGCTTCAATTTTTTTCCAAAATGTATTCATGATCGATTTGCAAATTTTCTTTGACTGATTGATTGTATTGATTGATTGATTTTATTGGTTGAGCTCAGATCTGTCTTGCACTGGCTTATGCAAACACGGCTATAGACCAATCACCGCGCTATTTGATAGTTTTGTTTTATAAAATGTATTATAAAATAAACACAATGATGCGCATGCGCTGACTGGTCTAGAAACGTGTTTGCATCAATGGTTTGCATTAGTCTGTGCAAAACGATCTGAGCTCAACCAATCAAATCAATAATTCAATCAATCAAAGAGAATTTGCAAATCAATCATAAATACACGATAAAAAAATATTAAAACGTTTTGTTTGTTTCGCATTATTGTTATTTTATAAAAGAAATAAAAGGTTTACACTCATCTTCTCTTGAGTTCTTCAAAAGGTCTCCTTCAAACACAGTAAATATCTTAAATAACAGCAGGAACTAGAAATCCTATAGTTTTTTCATTCATCTCTCCCCTCATATAATGCATGTTTTATTGGTGACAGACGTTTGTTTTGGCTAGTTGGCAGTTGAAAACACTGAAAAATTTTTTGTTTTCATTTTTTCGACACATTTTGTGCTTTAAAATTGCATTGTCTTTGCTTTAACGTTTTTCATCAATACCAAAAGTTTTCGCCAACTTTTTTGACATTCTGAAAGTTGGACTAATATTCTTAAAATTTGATAATATTTCGAAAAAGTTAGAAAAGGTTTACTTTTGAAGTTTTATAAATATAAAAATGCCATATTTTGTACAAAACGACTGGAAGCTGCCATCATGCTAGCTTCAAAGACACCTTCAACAGCAATCTTTCAGTTCAATAATTCCTGTAACTGTTTGTTTATGAGCTGTAACATGCCCATTTTCATAGTTAATGAACAGGAAAATGACAGCCACCTTTTAGACATAGCGAACATATATTGCTCGCTTGATAAAGACATTACTCTTCTTCAGTTCTTGATCGATGGTGTTTCATGTTTCATTTGTCCATAGTATACTTTCAGTTCACAATTTTTTAAAACCAAAACTGGTAAACACGTTACTTCGATCTCGCTTAATTCACCACGATAAGTTTTCGGAAAGTCTGCACTCACAACCCAGGGGCAGGACGAATAAATTTAATATATTCCTTTCTCTAAAAGGCCTAGTTCAAAGATCGATTAAAACAAAGACTGCTTTCACTCAAAAGTGTTTTTACATTTATACTATATAGGATGTTTTCATCAATCACAATATTGGTGGAAAATCCCATGTAGTGAAAAGAATTTAAGTTGATTTAATGCTCTGTTGAGCACACTTTGATTTAACTCTTGAACGTATCACCGCTTGGACAACACATGAAAACTCGTCATGCAGAGTATTTTTACGAATGCCATTCGTTTGGATTATCATCAGGAAGTGACAGGAACAATTATTTTCCTTTGGTGTTTTGTTGAACTCAGGCTTCATTAACGTTTCTGAAACTCGTGGCATATTTGAATATTAACCCTCAGACAGAATACGCGTCATCTGATAGCTATTTCAAAGAAAGAATTACTATTAAACTGAAGGTCAAGTGGACCTATGGTTGAGGAAGTTTGTGCTTCTTATATCAGTATCTGCATGAAAAATAGTCAGCAAAAGTTATAGCCATTTGTTTGGGTATATTTAGCTATTTTATAGCCATTTGTAATCTCGTTTTAACCAAGTTCAGGTATAGATGTGCTATTTGATGTAAAATTTAAACGACACTCTGATCTTTATTCTCGCAAATTATTCAATATTCTTTTTAAAGTAAATGGTTTGAACCCGGGAGCATCGTTTCTTTTTCTTTGAAATTTAAGATTTGGAAATTAATATTTGTTTTGTGCTTGATTTTAGAGTTCATAATTTCTATTTCAAAGGAAAATAATCATCAAATATGATTGAGAAACAACAAACAAATATTGGTCGTTTTTATTCGCCATAACTATAGAAAGAAAATTATTATTGTCGACAGTGAATATGCATTGATGTGGTTTTTGTTAACCACTCCCTTGAGGCTGAGCTAAACACAAAAACAAACAATTTGTGTTTACTGTTTTGTGCTTTGATTTTTGAGCTGGGCAATAAGTCAGAGTAAATTATTCAAAGTAAGTACTTTTTACATTCATTATTTTGACGAATTACATTTTGAACTGATAGTAACTTTGATCATCCCGTTTAGAAACCCTCTCAACAATGGTCAAGAATGAACAAAATACTTTAACGAAGTTGAAAACAGTGAATTTTATGTCCACTATAACCTTTTACGTATGACAAACTATTGACATCAGCCTACAACAGTGTATTGTCCATAAACAAGTCACTGTTCAACTGTACTGTGGCTGTTTTAAAACCTTTTTTCTGGCCAATTTGCAGCTAAGAATACGATTCCTGTTCGGTAAATCACGGGAAAAGACAAGTCAATTGTAAATGACAGTTTGGCATGGAAAGGTTGACACTGAGGATGTTCGTCAGCTAGCCTGAAAATTAGGCACGATGGATGAACCATCAACTTTCTAAAGTTGTCAAAAAATTATTCCTGGCTCCTAAATTTTTTTATGAGCTCAGCATCCGATCACTTCTTCCTTACAACGGGAAAGAAATTCGACGCTCATGGCCGTCTGTCGTGAAACTTGGTACGGATCGACTTCGCTGAAAACCGTAAGTTTATATTTTAAAATGTAAGCCTTAGTGTAGTTTAGTCTTCTAAAGCTGTGAATTCTCATTTACAGCATTTTGAGAACACATGTAAAGTAGAAAGTATAGTAAAAAAAACAGTGAAAATATTCAATGCAAAACTTATTGCACAAAATGGGAAACCGCCATCCTCACCGACTTTCAAACATTTGTCATTTGCCCACGTTAACTACGTTGATACCTGAAGAGTAGTCTGCAAAAATGCATGTCTTTCAGCTTTAAAAACAGTTCTTTTAGAATTGTTGGGTTAGTGTTTTTAAGCAGTTCTTCTAAGAACTATTACGTTATTATTTTGACCAATCACCATGGTATTTTCTCTTTTTTAAACAATTTCCAGATCATGTTATTCATATGCAAGATGCAATCAGGGTAGATAAATGTTACATGACACTCCATCTGAAACAGAAAAGTTTATGTGCCATACTAATCCGTTTCGTACGACTTTTTGGTACGTTTTCATAAGTAGTGTATAGTTGCTTATTTTTAATCAAGACTGCAAATCACTGATTTCAAGTAAAATAACATTGCTTCATTTTATCACAGTATAGGGAATACTTAGTAGGTGCACTTCGTTTTTATTTACGTAATTAGTTTACTAGCTACCATAAGCGATTTTCTCATTCCTATTAGTCAAAAAAACCATTTGAATGGCTAGTGACTACGCGTAATAAGATAAGCATGACACAGCAAAAATGTAGCTCTACTGTACGTTAAATTAAAGTAAGTTAAGTTAAGATTAAAGCTAAAGAAAGTAATTATGAAATTAGTAATTATATTTGTAAGTTTATACAGTACGTTTTTAGTGTTTATCATGAAAAAATATGCAGTAAGTCTTAACTTTGCGTTTAAGCGTAGTAATCAACATCCTCTTCAATTGTGTTCTTTCCAAGACGTAATGTTGCTTTTGCCTTCTCTTTTATTTCAAGAATTTTTTCCTTCGGTAATGGAGGCATCAATGCTTCCACTTCATCCTCGATTTTTTTTATTCTCTTTTCAAAAATCTGATCGATTTCCCTTCTCTTTTTTCTTGCTATTTGTTTGATGGCATCCTGAGCCGTCATGCAGCCATCGTTTAGTTCTTCTCGCTTTAAATTAATCTCCCTTTGATCTGTTGCGGGGTTCAGAGCAATTAGGCGGCCAAGGTGGATGACCTGTGGCATCAGATACGCCTGCGATATATCGCAGTATGCATCAGAAATGCTAAAAAATAAGAAATAAAGGATTAATATTATCCTAGCGAGTAAGTGGAATCCTTCGAAAAGCAGGGCGTATTCTTACACCAATTATGATTTTGGACGAGTGTGTTGAAAGTGTTATCAAGAAATGAACTTTTACTTTCATGGAGGATTTGCACTATTTTTCCAATGAGATAGCAAAATTTATACTTATAAAATAAACAAAATGTAACGCGTGCGTTGATTGGTCTAGAGCTGAGTTTACATTAGCCTGTGCAAAACGATCTGAACTTCAACCAATCAAATCAATCAGTCAATGAAAGAGAAGCTGCAAATCAATCATGAACACACGTTAGAGAATATTAAAACGTTTTGTTTGTCTCGCATTATTGTTATTTTATAAAAGAAATAAAAGATGTTTTCATGTTTGCACTGGCTTATGCAATGCTCGGAGACGTTTGTGAGAACTCTCGAGCATGTGCAACTCTCGACCTTCGGTCTTGGGCTTTCACTGATCTGCTCTCGTGTTCTCCCAAAGGTCTCCTCGGTTTGCATAAGCCCGTGCAAACACAGTAAACATCTCTTATTTCTTAATTGTTATACCAAGAAGAAGTCGGTTCAGCTGCCAACGCATTTTATCAACACAATATGAAAAAATTATTGGAAATTGAAAAATTTTAAAAGGGATTTTATAAATATATTTTACAAGCCACGATACATACCTTACAAAATTAATAAATGCATAAAACGACTCTAATATATATTTATACCTGTTTACGACATAAGCAATCTTGTTAGCCCCAAATGCTTGCTCAAAAAGTACATCTCTCATGGTGTTAGACATGATTTCACCTTTCGCGCCCAGTTTTGCGCTATTGCGGGTCGTACTGGTGAAGAGTTCCAAGGAAGATTCAAGCGAGCATTTCACAAGATTTGAAAGCATTTGGAAAAACTGCACAAGTTTTCCCCATTTCTCTTGCAGCTCGCCGAGTACTCTCATTCCTTTAATCAGAATCTGTCGAATTGTTTCAATGTCAATCTTTTTCAGATCCTGTTCAGCCAGCTTTGCTAATACATTACCATATTCCTTCATCTGCTGAGCAAGTATTTCACATGACCTATCGTATCTATCTCGAGAATCCTGCAACATTACCTTTGCTGTTTCTGTTTTGAATCTTGCCACTTCTATAGCCGACTTAACCAAGTCGCCACCGTCACCACTTGTTCGTTGTTTAGCTAATTTTTCCAAGTGTGGTGGGTTATTGACTATTGGACTAGCTCCTTGAGCAACGTCAAATGCCACTTTCAAACTTTCGGACTCGAAAGACAACTTCTCTGCTCTTTTGGTCAAATCTTTCACTTTCTCCTTGTTAATATTCATCATACTAGCAAGCTCGTTTAGCTCTTCGCAGATTTGAACACTTTTGGTCAAGATGGCTTTTACTTTAGCTCGTAGATCCTTATCGTTACTTTCCGGGAGGTTTGTCTTTCGTATGTTAAGATTTTGTTTAATTTTTTCCAAGGTTTTTTTAATGTTATCAACATTTAAATTCTGGTTGCCATCTTCATCTTCTTTCAAGACAAGCAACTCGTTGATGGTTTTAATTTGAGAATTGATATACGGCATGAGTTTCAAAATATCCATTTTGCTCGACTGCTTCACGAAACTTATTTGAGCCTTTTTATTTCCAACTGTACTGCTTGCCTTCGGTGGTATTTTATCAAGTGAAGAAATACTAATGCCACCAGGCCCGAAAGACACCGACAAATTTCTGGCAAAGTTTGTTAGCATACCAGCAAAAGCCAATCCTACGGTTTTTCCTAGTTTGAAAGGAAGAATGTTCCACCATATGAAGAGAATAAAAAACTTATTTCAAAAGATAACGTCCATGTTATGGACCGAAGTTTTCTTGTACAGACCGATTCAAGCATTCAAGCAATCAGCGTTTGCGTATTTAAAAGGGTATTTTATAAATGGCATTATTTGACCTGAAACGAGGCTTTCTTTCTTTTCTCTTCCTGCTTTTTTTGCAAGAGTTGGTTTTTACTCCTATATTTTTTTGTCATTAAAAAATTAATCGCTTGAAATTGTGTCGTTTTGGACAATAAAACTCACTTTCCAAGTGTCCTTCTATCATTTCACATTCGTACATTTTTTAGTTTTTTCATACGCTTTCGAAACTTTTTTTGTTTGCTTTGCAAAATTATGGGGAAAGTAATGGACCTCATCGGAAGTGACGCTTGCCATATAATAACAGTTTTTAATATACTAATCGAGTAATGTGAAAATAAGTAGAAAATATAATCCATGCTTCTAAAGTAAATGATTAAGCCTTAATAGAGTGATTTAGCAAACACGACGTTTCGTCTAAGACGCCGTGAAAATGGCGTGGCGTGCGCCTTTTACTTCCGGTTCAATCTACGACAGCAGTCGTGTTGATGACGACGACGTGAAAACATGTGATTTGACGTCGTATCGACGACGGCTTAAACAAACTTAATTTTTTGGTGATTTCAGATGATTACCTGTTGAAGGTATGGAGTCCATAGCTTCCTTGAATTCCTTTTCAGCATTCTGCATTGTTTGAAGCATTTCGTTTTTCTTCTTTTCGGCATCTGCCTTTCTTACTTCGATATTTTTTTTTGTATGTATTGAGAACTTCGACCGCTATCTTGGTTTTTCCTGAATCTTTTGTGTTCCGTCCTTGAGCTTTTGTACATGCTTCTAAAAGCTCACCAATCAACTCCATTACTCCCAGGAATTCTTCTTCAGCTGAACAAGACAACGTCACACATTCTTTAGCGATTTTTTCAATGGCACGAAGAGAATTTGGTAGCATTAGTTCCACCTCACTTGAAGTTCCTCCAAGCAGGATTCTCATAGCCGTCCTAACATGAGCATCGACGTTACCAGAGTACAAACGTATTTGATCCATGTTAGTGTGGGCTGTATTAAACGCCTTGTAGCCACCATTGCTTACCTAAAATCAAAATTACTGATGTATTGATCAAAATAGTTTTCACTCCTTGCATGAAATCCATACAAAAGATGTTCTGACGAAGAAATTTTTCTTCTTGACAATTCACATTAGTTTTAAACTTCTAATAATTAAAATTATCACATATTACTCAAATATCCCAATTATCTTTGCTTTGACATCAACACTAATATTGTGTAGAATTATTTATGTAGTCATCACCTGAACTAAGCATGCTCGAAATGATTTTGGATGTTTGAGATGTTTGAATGAAGTTCCATCGTCGTTCAGGGAGAAGTCTGTATCGGCAGAGACAAGGATGAGTTGTCCCAAGAGTGCAATTGACATGGGAGCAGGTGCAATAAATTGATCCCAGTTTGCTTGGTCGAGTGTTTTGATTCGTGCCTCTTCCTTTTTATCTGAGCCTCTATTCAATTTCGCCAATCCCCGGTTTGCCCGTTCCATATTTTCGTTCTTTTCTAAAGAGAAGAAGACGATGTTTTTTGGCAAGTATGCATGTCAATTACGCAAACACTTTCTAAAGAAAACTTCTCAATTGTGAAAATATAAAACTGCTGTGCCAAATAAATAAATAGAAATACGTTAGAGTCTAATTCTCGAGAAAGAACATAAAGAAGTTTTTATTATTTTAAAAGTGCTTGACTTTTTTATTCAGCAACTTATTTTCAGCTGTTTTGACTTCATACCCTTTAACAACACTCTGGTTAATTTTGACCAAATGAGATTAAATTTTTGACATATTCCTAAAAAACTGTCCATTCAACATAGTCTGGTTTATTCTACCAGGTAGACCCCACCATAAATTCTTGTGATCTCATCAGTATTTTTAACTTTACACCCAATAACCATTAGTGGAGTATCCCGAGTTAACTTATCCCCAATTTTAGCAAATGGAAATCAATGATATTGTATTTCATTATTTTTATCCGATTGCTAATATTGGAGTTCACACGGCATTAGAGATGCTTAACAATAAGTTAAAACATTTACAGTTACTTTTAAGTTAAAAACCTAATTATGAAGATAAATGAGACAATCAGAAATTTTCACACTTGGTTCTTGAATATGCCTTGAGATATTACAAGAACAACTGGTTTGAAATTAAATCCGAAATTTACAGTCCGAGATTCATATTTCATTCAAAGATCCATAACTTGCCTTTTATCATTATTGGGCTAATGCTTACATTCAACTATGGTTAACACACAACAACCATGTGTGAACTGTGATGTGTCTAAAAAGGGTTACTTCTAACTTCATATAAGGTTGAAGAATTGAACTAATAAAAAACGGCATGATTATTATTAATGACGATACATGCCAAAAAGCTCAAAATTAACGTAAAAGACTAACAGCAAGATTTACGGTAAGATTCTTACTTACTGTTTACTTACTTTGACTATCGTGCTCAAAGTAAATACTGCATGCTTTAATGCTGAATGCTCCTGATATTTTTGAAAAAAAAGGCAGAAATATTTAAGAACCAATCCTAAAGCTAGGTAAGCTTAGAGAAAAAGACGCAAATAAACTCATTTAGGCCGTGTTCAAATTAAATACAAATTGAGCAATAGTCATTTGAATGCTGTCGCTTGAGTTTGTCATTGTGGTCGCCTTTGTCTCAGATAAGCTGTATTGAACTCTTCTAAATCAATTTAAATATATTTTATTATTTTATTATTAGAAACTACGTAATTTGTCGGTTGCTATGTCCTTTTACGATGAACGTATAACTGTATCGACTTTTCAATTGACACTAAACGGACAACAAACTATGCGTTGACAGTGTGAGTTAATCACTGTATAAAAAATATTGTTCAATAGTTGTGAAGTATTTTTCTTGGATAAAATTGATGAAGTTGATACATAATACAAAACAATTATGTCGTGAGCTTTGGTGATGAAAAACAGTCTTCAAATTAATGAAATTTCAGTTTCAAGATTTTAAAGGGTTATTTACAATGGATGATCCAAATGGGAATCGTACTCTTTATTATTTAAAGAATGTAAGTACTTTTGACGTGCTTGGCTTGCCATATAAGTGCGTATCAAAATTTAGGTTAGACAGAGCCAAACTAACAAATTCTTATACTAGTCGTATCCGCATGCATGTGTGTTGTATAATGGTTACTTTAAGCATCCTTTGCTGGGCATAAATCCTTATTCAAATATCACGATTTGCAACTGGTTGATTAATCTCAAGAAATTTGAATCACTATTACTATATCAGTCTTATATGGATGTCTTCTCTAGTATTTGGTAATAAATTTATGTTTTTCCCACTTTCCAACCGGATACTGAAAATCAAACAAAACTTCTGAATTTGCTCACTTTTAAAGTTTGTTTAACTTTGTAGAAACGATCTCTGTTTCTTTAGAATGTTTACATGCTTTATTTAATGGCAAACACCTTACTCATTAATGGTTGAAAGCGTAAAGAAATCAAAAAAATATATCAACCATAAGAAATACTACTGACTCTGTTAGTTCATTTTTTTGATGTTCACAAATATGAAGAAAAAACAGGATGTATACTTGGGAAATTTGTTTAAATTTACATTTCCGTTCTAAGTGGTTGATTTGAAACAAGGTCAAGTGGTAGATTAGCTTTATAGTGAAGTACAAAGTTTTTACATGCAGTGTCAGTGATACAGTCTATTATTCCCGGAGTGCAGCGAAGATGTCTCAATTGTTGACAAGACATTGCGATGATCAAGCACTCCTGGAGGCTCAGGCTATTCAAAGTTTTCTTGATGGTATAAATGATTTCGATCGTATCGTTCGTATTGTCGCTAAAGCTAAGATAACAAACGAAACCACTGCTCGCATAGCGCTGAAACAACTACCGCCCATCGTCGCTGATATGTGCAATAAATTCGAATTATTGTTTAAGGCATTGAAAGGTGAAAATGCAAAAGTATCACAGAACCTGGAAGAAACTGTTGCAATACTTGGCACAACAAAGAAAGATTTGACTTTAAAGACACATAAAATGGAAGAGCTAAAGCCGAGGCTTGCTTCATTTAGAAATCAACTATGCAATTGCAAAGATGAATTAAAAATTGCCAATCAATCCTTGTCGAAGGCCAATGATGCCCACAATATCGCAGAAAGAAACCTTGAAAAAAAACAACGACAACAAAAATGGGCATGTGTATTCGGTGGGTGTTTATTAATGTGTAGCGGACTAACTGCTATAACGATCTTGAAATATAAGTTGTCTGTCTTGCATTATGCTAAGAGATTATGTCCTTAGAATAAAATACTGTCACTTTTGCTTTTAACGAAAAGAGTGAAAACTTAAATGCATGTGCATTGGTGTCTAGTTAACACGTATATTTCAATTTAACATTTTCTCCTGAATGAACATGACAAGTTTTAAGGCTAAGATAAAAATCTCTTCTTCATGTCTTTTTGTATATTTGTTGGGACGTTATCACTTTCAGGTTATGTGGTGCACTTTGTTCTTGATTTGACAGTGTTTAAAGATGCAGTGAATGAAGCTAAAAGTAGAGTTAGTTCTACAGAAGAAAACGTGCATTCTTGCGAAACAAGAATCATAAACAAGGAACGTGAAATTGATAAGCTTGAAAAGCAACTTTCAAAAGCTCAAGACGAACATGATTTGCTTCAACGACAAGTACAACAACTTGAGATGAAGAAGGATGAATTAGAGCGAAAGAAAACGAAATGTGCTGACTTATCAACGAAATTAAAACAAAACTATTCTATCGTGAGAGTCATTTTTGCGCGAAGCAAAGTTTTGGAATTCGAAACAAAATTTAGCAGTAACTCGCTTGAGAATTTGCTCGGAACGTTAAAGGAAATTGCTGAAATAATTTCGACAAGTGCAGAAAGCAAACGTGAAGTTGCTACCTTCTTCTCAAGGGAAATAGATTACACAGTATTTTCTCAAAACTTGAAAACTCTTTACGAAATTGATAAAGACGATATGCCATTGTTCAAGCTTGTTGATGAATTATCCTGAAACATGTGAACCCGATATGATTTGTGAAGATATTTAGTGTTGGGATTTATAATGACATACTTTATGCCCACATTTGCATTTAGAATACACTATTAGCTATCTTATGTGGTAAAATTTCTAGCATCGAGCACTGTTCTAAAAAGATTGTTTTTCACTTGATATGATGATAAAAGCTGAACAAATACTCTTGACATTGCATGGGTTGTTATAGTTAGTAGAAAATTTGATTATTCTTTTTTACAATAGGCGAGATCCTCTTGCAATGACCACCAAAGGTTATAAATGTTTGGTTCTTTTTCGCTGCAACAAATAACTTTTTCATACTGTTTTCATAAGAATAAACTATCTTTTTTTTACATATCCAACATTGTTATTTGTTGATTTTTGATCTATTTTTCATTGGTTGGCTATCAATGTCATAAATGCAAAATGAACCATATTTTCTTACTGTGAAGTAATCTCAAAAGCATTACTACAGTTGCAAGAAAGAAAGTTCCCGTTTAAAAGGCGAAACTTTAGTTGAATTTGTCAAGTTGAACTTCCGTCAAATTGAATTTTAATGAAAATGTTTTTAGGTGCGTTTACGTCTCTAATATGAACTTCAATGAACTACAGCTTTTGCTTTGAAATTGAAACGTTTAAAAAGCTTTTTCAAGAAATGTTCTTTTGACGGACTCGACATTTATAGAAAGAATTTTTGTGAGATCGATTACAGCTTTCTTCTTGTAACTCACATATATAAATGCAAGTATAAACATCCTTGTCCTCATACTGGACTGAAATTTATCTGAAATTAATGTAATACTCAAATTAATCGCACAAGACTTGACAATGCCAACTACAATAGCTATAGAATAAAGAACCCATGTATAAGAATAGGGAAAATCTGTGTCCATCATTTCCTTCTTAGCCTGTAAAAATAAAAAGCATGTTATGAAAATACCTACATGAAAAACGATAAAAGCTGCGACATTATGAACACCAACCCTTTATTTGAGCCAACGAATAAATGACAAAACTCGGTTCCAGATCATCATTCAAATACAAACGTTGGAATTTCAAACCATTTTCTAGCCTACCTTTTCTATTAGTTTTCTAAGCACTAAATGCATCAACTTGTTTGCACTAACTGTGCTTGTTCACTTCATGTGACACCAAAATGGAGGTGACTGTTGTGCCGATATTAGCGCCCAATCTAAGAGGAAAGGTACACTCGAGAGAATTGAGTGTAACCATCCACTTGATTTGTGTGCTAATAACCTAATTATAAGTAAGCCAATTCTGACGAAATGAGCAAACACTGACGTAAATATAGAAATTAACTGCACAAGACTCATCAGGTCCGTGCCAACTAAAATAGCAATAGAACAAACTCCCATTGAAAAAAAGAGGAAAATTCTGTGTGGATCATTTTTTTAAAGCCTGTAAAAATAAAATTAGGTTATGAAATTACGCACGGTACAAAGTTAGGAACTGCAACATATTAAACACCAATCTTTTAATGAAACCAATGAATAAATGGCAAAACTCTGTTCAAGATCATCATTCTACTGCACACATGTGATTTTTCAAAACTATTTTCTAGCCTACCTTTTCAGTCAGTTCTTTCAGCAATAAATGCACTAACTTGATTGCACTAACTGTGGTTGTTCACTGCATTTGACATCGAAATGGAGGTAACTGTTGTGCCGATATTAGCACCCAATCTAAGAGGAAAGGTACACTCGATTCAATTGAGTGTAACTATCCACTTGGATTGGATGCTAATATCTTAATTGTAAGTAAGCCAACTCTGACGAAATGAGCAGACACTGACGTAAATATAGAAATTAACTGCACAAGACTCATCAGATCCGTGACAACTAGAATAGAAATAGAACAATGCTTCTATCTAAATAAAGAAGAAAAATTAGTCTGGATCATTTTTTTTAGAGCCTGTAAAATAAAGACAATTGTTATGAAGATACGTACAGTAAAACGATAAGAACTAGCTGCGACATATCAAACACCAATTCGTTCTTGAAACCAATAAATAAATGGCAAAGCTTGGTTCAAGATCATCAATCTACTGCACACATAGGATTTTTCAAAACCCTTTTCTAGCCTACCTTTGCAATCAGTTCTTTAAGCAATAAATTCCCTAATGTAGCGATAGTTGAACGGCACACATAATGAATGAATAGTGAATGAATCCAAAGGATAACTTCAACTAGACAAACAAAAAAAAATAGTCGGATAAGCAACTTTTGATTAAAGTGTTTGTTACCTGTGAAAGAAAAACACCTGCGAGAACGATGTGAGTACTCTCTTCAATTTCTGACAGAAAACTTTTCCTATAATCCAACACTTTGAAAATCAACTCGAACTGAATGCTCTGAGTTCCAACGCCTATCTCACGTGACTTCTTTGTGAACCGACCAATAATGAAGTAGAATTCAGGGCATGCGTTGCGTTTTGTAAAAAGTTATTTTGAGAGCTATGAAAACAAAATAATTTATTTTCGAATATTTGCAATGCAATACTTTTCACAATAAATTTGTTGATAGAAAGGCTATGAGACATTTTAAATAAAAACATTTTATTCAATTGTACATAAACAACGAAACTCTCTCTCTTTTACCTTCAAAGGCTTCTTCATCTTGCTTAGCAGTTCAGTTCTATGAAGATTCTCTTTCCAAGACAAACTGGAAATCTACGATTTCTCTTCTCAAAATCAACAGCATTAAAAATGACTAGCAACATCCAACTGTAGCTAAGCGAGGACGCTAAGATACTTTTAAATAAATAAATAAATGTAGCAGCTGGCGTTCCATGGGACGCTTGTGTCATCAGACATTTTAATATGTCGTGACATTAAGCATTTGAAATATCTTTTCAATGTCAAAAATATCTGATCCCAATTTTGCTGTAATTTTCGGTAATGACAGAAATTTACGATATAATTTATTTGTCAGCTCTGTGTACAATAACTCTTTCCAGGCAAACAACTTTTTCACAGCCAGTGTTTTCGTCAGAATTAATAAACTGTCTTTGTTTTACATTATATCAAAATTGTAATATGTTGAGTTATGACTTGTTTTTTTTATTGGTTGGGTATGAATTTTAAATACAAAAAAAACAATATTATCGATATGCATTACCATTTGAAGGACAAAACTTTAGTTGGCAAATTGAATTTAAATGGAAACGTTTTCAGCTGCGTCTCTTATTGGAACTTCTATGAACTTCTGCTTTCATATTGAAACGTTAGAGAATTTTAGCAGTTCGTCAGAACATTTTGTCTTAAATGACTCGACATTTGTAGACAAAATTTTCTACGACATTTTATACAACGTTCATCTCGCCACTTACTCCACATTGATGCAATTGATGGGGATCTTTCTTATTGAAAGGATTGGATAAGAGATTAGTATTCCAGATTATGATTCCAGATATAATGAATAAAAGATGACAAAACGCAGTTAATGCAACTTTGTCATCTTTTGTTCAATGCATCTGAAATCTCAAAAAAATGCAGCTATGTCATCTTTTCTTCAGTAAGCTTTGCAAAATGCACTATGATCAGCCTTGTTCACAGAAAAAGCCACCAAAACGAAGGCGACTTTTGGGCCGATATTAGCACCCAGTCATTGCGTTAATCATTTTCTTCGTAGACTTTAACTGCCTAATAAAGGATTCACTGACAAACTTGACTGTCCTTGCTTGAAATGTTATGTTCAAAAACTAGTATTCTCGTAGTCTTTGATTTAAAAACGAAAGCTACGACATTACTCATTTTTGAACACAACTCTTCCATATGCGCCATAACTCTTGTGACAAGTTTATTATGGGGCTGCAAAAAACGACATCATATTGTTCCCCCTTTCCAACTTTCCAAATTTACAGGCAGTCGTACATCAGTTCTTTTATTTTGAACAATTCTAATGACGATAATCACAATTACAACCAGATGAATCTAAAATAGGAGAAATCGTTGCTTAAAACGGCAATAGCTAAGTTAATCTTCACGATTGTTAGACACGTTCAATTTCCGTTTGAAGGGCATAATTTTGGTTGGCAAAATAAATTTCAGTGAACATGCATTTAGATGTGTCTTTTATTGGAACTTCTATGAACTTCTGCTTTCAAATTGAAACGTCTGAAAAGCACTTAAAGTAAAAACGTGCATGCAAACCTACGTTACCTCATTGAAGGGTTTCGTTGAAATTTGGCTTTTTTGATGGGGATCTATTTTAAAAAAGGGATAGGATACCAGATTAGGATAGCAGATCAGGATACCAGATTAGGATACCAAATGAGGACACCAGATTAGGATACCAGATTAGGATACCAGATAGGATTCCAGATACAATGAACAAAAGATGACATAACTAAATTAATGCTCTGTCATCTTTTGTTCAATAGATCTAAAATCCCAAGAAAATGCAGCTATGTCCTCTTTTCTTCAATATGAACATGGAAGCTTGACAAAATGCATTATGGTTCACAGAAAGTGCCGTCAAAATGAAAGCGGCTGTTGTGCCAATATTAGCAATCCAAGCAAAGTGGATGTAAACGCTCAATTATTACTAAGCCAATGTTGACCAAAGAAGTTGACGCTGACTTGAATATAGAACTGGATGCACAAGAATCGTCAATTCAACACCAAGTAAAAAGGCAATATACCAGGACCCTGTTGAAAGGATAGCTTGGCCGTTTTCTTCGTAGCTTGTAATTGCCAAAGGAAGGTTTAAATGATTAACTTAAGTGTCAATGCTTGAAATGTAATATAGAGGAAAAATCTGTGTGGATCATTTTCTTTAGAGCCTGTAAAAATAAAGACAATTTTTTTGAAGATACGTACAGTAAAACGATAAGAACTGCGACATATTAAACACCAATTCTTTGTTTGAGGCAATGAATAAATGGCAAAACTCGGTTTCAGATCATCATTCAACGGCAAACGAAAAATGTTTTAAAATCATTTTATAGCCTACCTTTGCTATCAGTTTTTTAAACAATAAATGCACTAGCTTGTTTGCACCAACTGTGTTTCTTCACTTCATATGCCACCAAAATGGATGTGACATTATGCCGATATTAGCACCCAATCTAAGAGGAAAGGTACACTCGATTGAATTGAGTGTAAACATCCACTTGGGTTGGGTGCTAATATCTTAATTGTAAGTAAGCCAATGCTAACCAAATGAGCAGACACTGACGTAAATATAGAAATTAACTGCACAAAACTCGTCAGCCCCGTGCCAACTAGAATAGCAATAGAACAAACTCTCATTGAAAAAAGAGGAAAAATCTGTGTGGATCATTTTCTTCACAGCCTGTAAAAATAAAAAGAATTGTTATGAAAATACGTACAGAACAACAATTAGAACTGCGACATATTAAACACCAATTCTTTGTTTGAACCATAAATGGCAAAGCTTGGTTCAACATCATCATTCTACTGCACACATTGGATTTTTCAAAACCCTTTTCTAGCCTACCTTTGCAATCAGTTCTTTAAGCAATAAATTCCCTAATGTAGCGATAGTTGAACGGCACACATAATGAATGAATAGTGAATAAATCCAAAGGTTACTTCAACTAGACAAACAAAAAAAAAATAGTCGGATAAGCAACTTTTGATTAAAGTGTTTCTTACCTGTGAAAGAAAAACAGAGATGGTTTCATTAATAGTCAGGAACACAAAGATTGATCTATTACTTCTACAATTTTACATTGTGATACTTACATCTTTGTAGAGAATAGATCGTGTAGGTTTGTGCAATCTTGAGAAGTAATGTTCGTGTTGATTTTGCCCAGCGTTTCGACAACCTTAGCGGTGGCGATTTTCAGAGTCACTTTAATAGGAAAATGGGTGGGAATGTGACTTCTTTGTTCCTGACGAAAGACTCGTAGAATTCAAATAAAACTTCACCGTTCAGGTAAGCCTTGTTTAGTTTTTAAATTCTACTTCATCATTGGCCATTTCACAAAGAAGTCACCTGAGATTTTAAAGCAATGTGTTCGTGAACAGCTGTTCAAGACGTTTGAAAGAACAACAAAAAATTTATTTGCTCGTATTTGCTCATATTAGTAAATTTTACATTTTGCATAGGTGTTGTCTGCAAAGGAATTGCAGAAAATTCAATTTTCTGACCAGTCAATGTCTCTAGTATTCCTGCATCAGAGGTTTAAACCAACCATTTTAAAACATAGCAGGCTAATATGCCTGCTTTAAGCGTTCTAACTTTATCTTTAAGGTAAGCTAACAATGACGGCAAAAGATTATTGTAATTGTTTACCTTCACTTTTGTCTAAATATTTATCGGTATCTAATATCTTGGCTAGTAAAATCATTCCTGTCAGCCGGTAGACATGTTGAAATTTCTTGAGCGATTCGCAAACAGCAATCATATTCGCATTTAGTAGCGTGATACCAGATAGTAGTTCCTTGTTCACATTCGCCGAAGATTCGTCTTCCTCTTCTACGAGAACTATGTCAGAACTCTCTGTAATTTCTGTAATTTCTGACAGAAAAATTTTCCTATAATCCAACACTTTGAAATACAACACGAACTGAATGCTCTGAGTTCCAACGCCTATCTCACGTGACTTCTTTGTGAATTGACCAATGATGAAGTAGAATCCAGTGTATGCGTTGCGTTTTGTAAAAAGTTATTTTGAGGGCTATGGAGTCAAAATAATAAAATTTGGAATGTTTACAGTGCAATACTTTTCACAATAAATTTGTTGATAGAAAGGCTTTGAGACATTTCAAATAAAAACATTTTATTCAAATGTACATAAACAACGAAACCCAGCAATTCTCTGTTACCGTTAAAGGCTTCTTTATCTTGCTTAGCAACTTCTATAAAGATTCTCTTTCCAAGACAAACCGGAAATCTACGATTTTTCTTCTCAAATTCAACAGCGTTACAAATGACTCACAACTTTCAACTGTAGCTAAGCGAGGACGCTAAGATACAAGTAAGATCATAAATAAATGTAGCAGGTAGCGTTCTATGGGAACGCTCATGCCATCAGACATTTTAATATGTCGTGACATTAAACACTTGAAATATTTTGACATTGAAAAGATATCTGATCCCAATTTTTCTGTAATCTTCGGTAATGACAGAAATTTACGATATAATTTAATTGTCAGCTCTGTGTACAATAACTCTTTCCAAGAAAACAACTTTTTCACAGCTAGTGTTTTCGTCGGAAATAATAATCTATCTTTGTTTTACATTATATCAAAATTGTAATTTGTTGAGTTATGACTTGTTTTTTTTTATTAGTTGGGTATGAATTTTAAATACAAAAAAAAATGTTATCGAGATTCGTTACCATTTGAAGGACAAAACTTTAGTTGGAAAATTGAATTTTAGTGAAAAAGTTTTCAGCTGCGTCTCTTATTGGAACTTTTATGAACTGCTTGAAACGTTAGAGAATTTTAACGGTTCGTCAGAACATGTTGTCTTAAATGACTCGACATTTGTAGACAACATTTTCTGCGACATTTTATACAACGTTCTTCTCGCCACTTACTCCACATTGATGCAATTGGCAAATTGAATTTCAGTGAACATGCTTTTAGATGTATCTTTTATTGGAACTTCTATGAACTTCTGCTTTCAAGTTGAAACGTTTAAAAAATAATTAAAGTAAAAACGTGAATGCAAACCTACGTTACTTCATTGAAGGGTTTCGTTGAAATTTGGCTTTATTGATAGGGATCTTTTTTAAAAAAGGGATAGGATACCAGATTAGGATACCAGATTAGGATACCAGATAGGATTCCAGATACAATGAACAAAAGATGACACAACGAAATTAATGCTCTGTCATCTTTTGTTCAATAGATCTAAAATCCTGACAAAATGCAGCTATGTCCTCTTTTCTTCAATATGAACATGGAAGCTTGGCAAAATGCATTATGGTTCACAGAAAGTGCGGCCAAAATGAAAGCGGCTGTTGTGTTGATATTAGCAACCCAAGCTAAGTGGATGTAAACGCTTGATTGCTACTAAACCAATGTTGACCAAAGAAGTTGACGCTGACGGGAATATAGAACTGGATGCACAAGAATCGTCAATTCAACCCCAAGTAAAAAAGCAATATACCAGGACCTTGTTGAAGGGATAGCTTGGCCGTTTTCTTCGTAGCTTGTAATTGCCAAATGAAGGTTTGAATGATTAACTTAAGTGTCAATGCTTGAAATGTTATGTTCAAAAACTCTAGTATTCTCGTAGTCTTTGATTTAAAAACGAAGGCTACGACAATACTCGTTTTTGAACACAACTCTTCCATATCCGCCATAACTCTTGTGACAAGTTTATCATAGGGCTGCAAAAAACGACATCATATTGTTCCCCCTTTCCAACTTTGCAACTATTCAAGCAGTCCATCAAGTCTTTATGATAATAGTCACAGTTACAACAAGATCAATCTAAAGGGGAGAAATTTTTTCTTTGAACGGCAATAGCTAAGTTAATGCTCACTATTGTTGGACACGTTAAATTCAAAATTGATCAACTAACACTCTTAAAGACAAATGAAAAGAACATTAAGTGATAGGTTGGTAAGATAATTGGAACCTGTTAATGGTATTAAGCACACCTCTCTGTCTTTCAAACCTCTTTTGAGTAATATGAAATTTCACTGTCCATTGTGTCAGCACTTATACAGACACTGCCTGCATGAACGCAAATCCACAATAAACTTTTGCTTGAATTGAGCTATTTCAACAATATCAAATCAAAAAAAATATGAAATAAGAAAATATCAAATAAAAATCGCCCCAGTCACGAGAGACGAAACGAAAAGCTCAATCGGATTACTTGGAAAACGTGTTATATCAATATGCGAGTAATGCAGATTACTTTTTAATAACAAACTTCCTTGTATGACAGTAACTGGCATCAGAGAGCCCAAAAATGGAAAGAGAGAAAACGAAAAACATATAAATCAAACACGTGACTATGAATGCAAACCAATAATACTTCATCGGAGTATTTCCAAGAAACTAGGCGTCTTTCATAAGGATCTTTCTAATGAAAGGGATTAGATACAAGATCATGATTTCAGACAGATATATTGAAGAAAGAATTACGTCATGCAATTTGAAGAGCCTCTCTGAACTCTCCAGCCTTCCTCCAAAATAGAGGTGACTGTTGTGTAAATATTAACACCCAAGATAAGAGGATAGGTACGCTTGATTGAATCGAACGTACTTATCCACTTAGATAGGGTACAAATATGTCGATTGTTGGTAAGCCAATGCTGATGAAATGGGTAAGCACTGACGTAAATATTGAGCTTATCAGCACGAGACTCATAAGCTCAGCGCCAACTAGAATAGCAAAATAACCAAGCACCCGTGTAAAGAGATATCTACGTAAATTGTCTCCTTCATAGATGGCAGTAAATTTCCTAATAATTTCCTAATAGAAACGTTATAGAGTGTCACGTGAGTCACTTTCAAAGAAACAATAATTTTTCATAATATTGTTAAATTATGATTTTTAATGTCGTCGGAGACTTGATCCACCTTAGCAGAGTGTTCTGTGATTGTGTGAAGTTTAAGTTTTTTTTGATTTCTTATATTTTCAGTAAAAGGTGATAAAATTTCAACAGCATCGTAATTATTCCCGAGTCTAGTAGCTAACTCACAAGTGAGGTAACTCGACACAATTACGCTTCTTAATGGGTTCAAAAGGCAGTTCAGTCGATCAGAAAGACAAAGCTTGGCCCATATACGTAGAAGCCTGACTCAACTACAATTTTTATAGAGTTCTAAAAGCACTTCGACCAATCACAAAGACACAGCTTGACTTATAAGTAGGGTGCAGTGGCCTGGTGGCAGGGGGGCCGAGCCCCCCCCCCCAGCTGTTAATTTCTGGGGGCGCAGAAATGAATATGAGTCACGAAGTTTTAAATTTGGGCTAGCAAAATGAATTGAAGCAGAACAGTTATTTCCACAGTTATAATATACAGGTAATGAAGTTAACTGTAGAGAAAAAGGAAGATTGATTAAAATGAAACCTTGTAAGGGTCGTCGTTTTACAGTCAATTAAGGAATAAAGTAATTGAGGAGCATTCTTGATGTTTCTTATGTGGCCACAACACCTGACTTGTCAATTGTCACAATGACTGTAGACAACATCCACGGCCAAATTTAATGTCTTCTTAGGGGGCGCAACAAGGCCTAAAAATGTATATTGTTTTGTCTATTTCAATCAATTTTCTTGGCTTTCTCCCACAGACAGGAATCGTTACTGGCATTGCATCTTATTATTAATCCAAGCTTAATAATATTATTCGTGGGTAGCCTTCTCACAGGCTAACCACAATGTTATATTAAAAAATGTCCAGATGTCCAGATGCTAGGTCGGCAATACACGAATTGACACGACTACATGACGATGATGCGTTACGGAAAATATTCGAAAATATAAAATTAAGGAAATTCGTAAAACTTTACTGGCAATAGTTGAAATAAACATCTCAAAATATCATACAGGTATACTAAAGGTTAGTATTAATACTGAACATCAATCATCTACAATTCAACACTTCCCGTAGCATTAAAAATAGAAATATAATTGTATAAAATTCTGTTGTGAAGATTCTCTATTGAAGGAAAAAAATTAATTTTTTGTTAAAATTTTTGAGATTTCTTGAGAACGTCGCTACTCTTGTTATAGTGGCTAGCCTAGTTAGCAGGTCTATTGAGTCATTGGCTAAAGCCTGTCTCTCAAACAGATGTCCGACTTGTTTCAGTTATTTAAGTCAGTCGTCCATAGAGCGCGAGCTAATAAACTAATAAGACGGACTTTTACTTTGTGGTATTTGGAGACAAAATTATCATTATTGTTGATAAATTATCTATAATATTTTGGTTATCATTACAAAAAAATGACCTTCGGACTTCTCTAGTGATTTCTCATGTTGTTAATTACATATTAGTCATTTACGCTATTCGCGTACCTATTTTAATTTTCTAGTAGTAGCGCAGTCATCGGTTGAGTGTATCGAGACTCAATAATACTGCGGCATGTACTGCAAATTTCGTTAGTTCAAAGGTGAAGGGTCGAGAAATTTGCTTTGGCCCCCGCAGTCAATTGTACCACCACGCTACTGGTAGGGTGGCTTGACTAATAAGTAGGATGGACTGATTCACATACGCTTCTTAATGGTCCAAAAGGCACTTTGACCAATCACAAAGAAACGGCTTGATTTATAAGCGGGGAGGCCTGACTCACTCGCAGTTTTTAATGGAGTGCAATAAATCAAATGTTGAAATCAACAATAAAAATTCTTGCCACTGGCCCACTCCATGACTCTTGCAGTTGCAATGTTTTGCAATCTGCAATATTCTTGCTTATGATGGGAAATTTCTCGTAAAAGTATAAACAGATGGCAAATATTAGTATGGTCTATGTTTGCTATGTTTAAAAATGTTATTCCGAGGAAGGAAGTGGACTTTGTGGATCTTTTAATGATGTTTACACTGTGGAGGACAGTAATGCGATAATGCTTACCAAGGATGCAGGAGTAAGCACTACCAGTAGTAAGTGGAGAATTCTCTAACAAAGATAATTTTATATATAATAGTAGCCAGCCTGCTTTGTCTATAATTCTGCCATGTGAATTTTATTGTATTCGCTTCCTATCCTAACAATAGACTTTTTAAAGAAATGATTTGTGATGATGTTTTGAAATTTACATAGCAAGACAGCCAGAAGTCAGCACGTAATCTTGCGTACGCTGGCTTTGCTGCTCTTGTTGATACTATCATACTTAACTTACATTGTTTGAACTTGCCGTCTTTCGTATATATCAGTCAAGAAAACTTAGCTGTACATGCACATATGGGATTTAGTTAACAAGTGTTATTTATCTTACAATTAAGAAAGAAAGATATCTCAATTCTCAACTACTACTATTTCAAATTACATGGCTGTTGTCACCACTGCCTTGAGAAATTTAAACTATTTACTATGATGAACCAAATTCTAAATGTAATTTTATTATTGATATGGGAAGGTTGGGTCATTTGTAATGTCTGAGATAGCTTCCAACCTGCTCAATTTTGTTCTTGAGATTTTCTCTTCTATGGTATATAATCTTAAACAAAAAAAGTCTGACAATACTTGGCATTAGCAATGATTAATCCCTTGGATTCATGTTTATTTCACATTGAACAACAAGACTTTATGTCAGCCATGGAGAAACATGCTTATTGCTTTGGAAAACTGTGATGCTATTTTTCAGTAAAAAACGGGCATGATGCTATATTTCTCAGCAAGTGATGCCATTTCTCAAGAAGACTACAATTAACAGATGTTCTTAAATGAAAATTAAGTAATCGCTTCCCCCTTTATTATTCACTGTGTCGAGTTTCAATGATAAATGTTGTATTTGTGAATAGATAAGCTATAGCTAATAAAATACATATTCAAAGGTAGTATGCAACAAGTAAACGTTTGAGCATTCAATAGCACGATATTTTGTGAAAATTATACGTGAAGGAATCGTAATCGAATGGACATTCATGGTATCGCCCTTCGTGAACATATTTTTTATTTACATTTTCAATCATGTGTAGAGCACATGTTAGCGCTGCGGTAAATGGATGAACGAACAGAAGACGCACGTTGGGAGCACATGAAAGAGTCGTGATTCAAATTGCTTAGCTTTATTTTAATGTTAATTTGCTCAACTATTGTTGTCACTGCAATTTAATAAACAAAATATATGGCAAAACTCACACCAAAGAGATGGACTTATTAGAAAAACCGAATTAATGAAAGTTGATTTGTTTCAAACGTCTGTTTTAAAAAAACACGCTGTTCTTCGAGGTATTGAACAATTTACGAACGGCGTGAAAGAATTTTAAATATTTCTTAATGGTTCTCGCATGCCGCATGGCGAATAGCAATGCCGGAATGGTCACAAAGTGCATCTGTATTTCGAAAAACGACAAACGTCTTGACATCTCTTCATTGAAAACAGTCCACAAAATTCTAGTTTACTAGATCGAGTGTCTTTTAGTTCATACTTCTATTGATAAAAAAGTTCTTTACGTTGCTAACAAAGTTGAGGTAGCTTTGTGTAGACATTGTCAATTCAAACGAATAACAATGTAGTGATTGTGGGTACTTTTACAGATAAAATGAATTAATTTTATGGTGGAAATGGGTGATGATGAGCAATACAATTTACCTATGAAAGAAACTTCTTATCAGCCTTACAAAGATGGATAAACAATTATTCTACCACCTGCAGTAGAAATGGACGCGATGAATAAATTATAAAAATGACAAATTCAATTCACATGTACTACTCTCACCACAATATAATTTTAAAACTTCTTAAAATATTTTTTGAGGACAGTAGGCTATAGAAGCTGGGAATATAGATATCCTTGTAAAAGCATTTTGTTTGCATGACGTTGCATTAGCAAAGTTTTCATCTAAGATTTAAAAAGTCAAATTCAACAAGCATTGGAAAATTGGACACTGACTAATGAAGCAATTTAATCCAGATAGCTAAACGTAAAGATCTTCATTGCTTGATTGAACTAAACAGACTGATTTTCGCCAAGAAAAATATCAATGTAATCCAACAGATGCAAGTTGTTGAGATGCTTTAAGATTTTAAATTAGGTTTAGCAATCTCGTACGTGAAAGGGTTATATATCAAAAAAAATCACGACTGCCAATTTTAGTAAAACACAAAACGATTGACATCCTATCAAAAATCAACACTATTCATTCTGAACATTTCGACAAGAATCAAAATCTAATATGTTGTGAATTTTTATGCCAACTTTTGAAAAGGAATCTGAAGCGTTTTACCATTCGCTCCTAAAATACCTAGAGAAGGATTTCGAAGTACTACCAACAACATCATTAGCAATAAATATATAAACACCGAAAAATAAAATGATCAAAGTTTGCAACTATAAGGCTCTGTATGATAGAAATGGACTATACAAGAATATCGTTTGAATATATACTCATAGATTACTAACTGGGCAATATAACTTTAATATACTTTTCATTAAACCATAGCTCATCTATTAACAGAATATTTGAAAATCGACACACTTAACAATAATAATAAAGGGAAAAGCAATCACTTTAAATTCAATTGAGAATAAGCTCTGATGTTTTTGTTTTTGCAGAGAAAAAGCATAATAAAAATTTTTTGCTAGCTGTTTTTCGAAATAGTTCCAAGTCTCTGGAAAGTTATGTGAGAGTGTTTGTATTCAGTTGTACCCGACCGATATCTTTTGAAAACAGTTCACTTTCAAAATAAATCTTTCGGACTAAATAAGCAAAAAAACACTCTCCCGCCCCCGAATCAACGTTCTAGAGACGTCGCCGAGGTTTCAAATCTCACTTCATAGAGGAAGCATTTTGCTGAGGATGTATTTTCATCCATACTGTCCGTATTTCTATTTTAATTCACGGAAAATAAATATTGTTAAGGTATACTAGAGTGGTGGTTGGTGAAAAACGAAATTTTTTTACGCGGGAAACGTTCTCGAACCATCAGTCCTAAAGTCTGATTTCCACTTGCGAATTTTTTCGCGCGAAGCGATAATTTTTCAAGCGAAAACTTTCCTGCGAATGAGAGTATGATTTCCACTAGTAATAATTAAGCTGCGAAATACAAAACATGTTGATACAAAATGGCCGAATCAAACACTAGCTATATCACTGCTACTGCTTTGAAATAACATGTTTATGATTGTTATTGCTGCAACGACAGTAGAACGCCCAAGAAAGTACAAAGACGGTTTTTTATTCGTCGTTTGACTCGTTTATAAATTAAACCGCCACTCAAACGAAGAATTTCGTTTGCTCGTAAAAGAGCTTAGTATTTACGACCAGGAATATATTTCCATGAGCATCGTTTGTTTTGTATTTCTTGTAAGAAATTCCTTAGTCAAAATAGTCGGTTTTTTATAGAGTAGAGTCGTTGGATGGTATGGAAAGTCTTTCACGAGGAAATAACTCCTCAACGTCCGCCATTTTGAAAAATGAATATGGTTAACAAACATCACAAATCAGAAACACTGAAATCTGATTGGCTAGTGAATTTTTTCGCAGCGAAAAAGTAGAAAGCAGTCGAACTCAAATTTTTGTCGTGGCGAAGAGTTTATACGAATTTCATCGCTGTGTATATGTGACGTGTTGAACGTCTGCGTATGCTTAAATTCGAAAATTATCGCTTCGTGCGAAAAAATTCGCGCAAGTGGAAATCCGGCTTAACACCCACGTCTTCAGAAACTATAATTGTCTACTTCTATATCCATTAGGAAACTCTAAAGATCAAACTCGAACATAATGACTTAGAAAAACTTTAAAAAACAAGTAAATAAAAAACTTCGCTTGTTCACTGACATAACTCTTTTCATGTTGTGTCAATGCCATTTCAAGCCATCAGAAAATGTCTCTTTTAAATCACAAGTTAGTTAATTTATTTGAGATATTTGCATTTAATATATTCTAGCTGATAATTATTCAATTTGACGTGTTCTAATTATTCATCAAATGTTTCTCTTCGTTTTAACATAAACAGCATCACATCGCTGAGCACATTCACACAGAATTCATTTTTAAATATCAAGAAAGTTTTCGTTAGTTAAAGTTCATCTTCAATTAAATTGGTTTTGGAAAAAATTTTTGAAAAAATGAAAGTGAAAATATTTTAAGCATATACACTCTGTATTTAATTGTACCCATAAATATATCGTTGAAATCTTCAAAATGATTTATATACAATCTATTATTCTAGATTTACAGACAAAATTTGTAAATTAGTAAAGTTTTTGTATATAATTGACCAAATATGTTGAAATATCGAGTCATTCCCCCTTATGTTATTATTTAAATAATCGAATTGTTTGCCTTTTTATTCTCATAAAATATGAGCATCAGTTTGTATGCCAAGCCAATGTTTCCCCTAATTTTCAACTTTACCAACTCTCCAGATTAAAAAATAAAAAATATATACTTTTTATGAGGGAATGCTTTAAGTTTACCTTCATTTCCTTTAACCATTATACGTCATTTTTTATTTCATCAAGAACATTTGATAATGTAGAAGTTTTCAGTTTGTTTGTCTCAATAGACTTTAACATAAGTACGAAGTACCACAATATCCCAAATAACATTCATATGTTTATTCGTCACAACATATAAGAAAGTCTACTTCGATTGACACGATACCTCTAACCACTGCGAATGCTGAAAGTACTTTGGTAAAGGCTGTGTATGACGTCTACATAAATAACTGATGGCATGCATTGTGTATTATTCAAACAAATATTATAGTTATTTAAATGATAATTTCGATCTCAACATTCATATCTTCATCGTATTTAGCCAATGTCTTGATCTATGTCCATTCACATTAAGAAACCGTACTGATCCACCTCTATTACCATTCAGAAACTTTTGAGATAACCATCCATACTCCTTTCGATCCATGTCTGTACTCACACATCATGATTAAACTATTTTAACACAAGTAAATGAAAAAGACTTTGCTTTTTTACAATCATCACTTTTGCTTTTGAATGTGAATGTTGTTGTCATTTTGAGCCAGCAAGCTATCTTGTAAAGCACGAATTAGTTAATTTATTTTTGGACAATTTCATAAAGTATATTCTAGTTAATTATCGGTGAATTTGATGAATTCGTTTCTAATTATTTATGGAATGTTTTATTTAATTTTTTTAAGATCAACAACATGACATTGCAGAACACGTTCACACAGAATCAATTTTTAAATGTCGAGGAAGTTTTCTTTACTGACAGTTGTCTTTCATCTTCAATTATTTTGCATGTTGGCTTTACGGAAAACGATTTTTTTAGAAAATGAGAATGAAAATATTTCAAACACTCAACTCGACGAATTTGTTTCATATTGTATCAAAAAAATCTTGTGAAAAATCTTCAAAATGATTTATATACAATTTACTCTTAGAATTTACGGACAAAATTTTGTGAATTAGTATAGTTTTGTCTATTATTGAACGAAAGTGTTAATATTTCGAGTCGTTTCCATTAAGTTATTATTTAAATGATCGAATCGTTTGCTTTTTATTCATACAACATTTAAACATCAATTTGTATGCTAAGCCAATTTTTTCAAATTTTTAACTTTGCCAAGTCTCCCGATTCGAAAAGTAAAAAGTATTTGTCAACATTCATATCTCTACTATTCCTCAAGACAAATAAGAAAGTCTTTATCTGTTGATACGGTATTTCTAAATACTGTGCTGAATGCTAAAACTTGGCAAAGCCTGTTTTGACTTTTGCATTAGTATAAGAGGTATGCATTATGTATTGTTATTTGAACAAATTAGATAATTGTATGATAACATAGCTATGACAACACAGTATGTGCATTTGATGGGTAAATGGGTTCCTTTGAATCGATATCCGTTGATATCTATTTTTGGAAAGCTAAGAAAGCCGACATAGTTATTTAACTAGATGTATTCCCCAAATGGCTCTTTTCTGAACAACAAGAAGTAGACAAACGAAACTGAATAATTTTATTAGGAAAAAAATTTAATTGTAGAGTGTGGGCAATTCTACTCGTACATACATTCATACATAAACGTGAGTATCTTTAATGTACAGTCTTTTTCGTATTCGCTGTTTGCTTTACTGTTTATGTTCGCTTTGATTGCTGTCATTTATGCTCTAGAACATCTTTTATCGATCCCAAATTTCAATAAGTCGGTCTGAAAATAGATAAGTGAAAGAATTTATGGAATGTTGCTGAAAATTGTTATTGTCCCACCCTAACTCTCGAAACAAAATTTCGCGATTAATACCAGCTATGATATGGCTGTTTTCAATGAAATTTGTAAACTTTTTGAAAACTTAAGGTTTGTCTTTTAAAGCCCTATGAAAGACATGTTGGTAGACGAACAAGAGAAAATGATAAAAGTTAATGAGTTTGGGGAATTTCAAACATAGCAACACGCTTAGCAATGAAAATTTATTGTGTGAAAAACGCGGTAAAATAACGTATAAATTTATTATATTGTCAATTTTACTTTTCTAAAATGTAGAACAAGTTGCAATTGGGGTAAAAATAGTGTGAATCCTTTTAATAAGAATGTATGTATTTAATTGATATTTAACCCACAGTCCCTCAACAAAGCACAATAGATGCGTATACATTATGTATTTACATGAGATTTATATAATTTAGAATAAGTTAAAATCACTTTAATATTGTGTATGACTTTCCGTTGATTTAAACACAGCAATAACTGTATTGGGCACAGAGTAAACAAATTTCTTAAGTCATCTGCTGACTTTAAGGTTATTTTATCATTAAATTTATTATCAAACCGTCTGTACTTTGAATGCGGATTCTTCTAGAAGAATCTGTCTTTCAGAGCCTACAACAATTTCTCACGTTTGTTGCTGGATCTTGTTGAAATTTTCTGTTCTGACCACGTTCAACCACAGTCTTTTCTAAATATAGTGTCGTTTATTGGCAAGAATCGAGGATAATTCAATAAACTATTACCAGACAGAAAATGCTAAAATATACAAAGGAGGTTATTTGAATATTTTCAGTAAGATAAGTGCAATTTAACTTCCATAATTTATGTATTTTTACGTTGATTATTTTCAATTTAAGATACAAAATTTTTCGAGTGTCTCATTTATTTTGCCCTTTGATAGCGATAAATATAAAGCTTACCCGTGGTGTGAAATGTTTTCATTTTCGTTTTTTCTTCGTTTTATTTGCCTCAAAGCTACAACACCAAAATAGGACATTGCGTATTTATATGAATTATGTTCTTGAATTTTACACAATCAAATCAATAAAATATCTTTTTAAGAAGCATTTTTGCAATAATTTTACTTTTCTGTTGACACTGAGCTGTATAACTGTATACTTGCTGTGTGTGTGCGTGTTTTCATGGCATAAAAAATGCTTCTTAAAAATACATTTTTCTCTGTGGAATTTTAATGCTTTGAAGTCAATTCATTAAACTCTTGTCTGAGTTTTGAACTAAAAGATACAACATGTCTCTTTTAGTTAAAAACTCATTTTTTACATGTAATGGTCGCTATTCTCAACAAATCAACGATGTTTCCATTGGAGTCTTTTTTTACCTTTTTACAAAGATTTCCTTTTCTTTCCACAAGAAATCCAGGTTAAATAGATGTGCTCCTTTTTTCACAACTTTCTTAACAACTTTACTTATGGACCATGTGCTTTTTTTTCTTAATTTTCTCAACCAACAGCATATCCGATCATTCGTTTCAGAACTGAACGAGTAAATAATGGCAAAATTCTCTTTCTCGACTTTGAAAAAATGCTTTCTTATGGTGCATTCTCTACTCTCGCTTATGCCAAAACTACTTTCACCAGTCTCTTTACTAATTTTCATAGCTTCATGCTACTAATATACAAACCTTCTTTAGCTTCGGTCCTCATTCATCGAACTTTCAATCGATGCTCTACCTTTTAAAACTTTCAATCATTTTCAGCTTGGTTAAGAAAAGTAAATTTTATTGATGACTTACCTTGTTTACATTTTGCTGACAGACAGATTGATCCCAAGAGAGGCTCGCAATGCTTTGTTCCTCGTATTGTCTACACGCACTCAACAAATATGTCTGCTAGCATAACGTAAACAAAGCAAGTCACTTATTCGTACTGGAATATGGTGTTTGCATAAAAGTCACCATGAATTCAGTAGCAAGCTTATCAAAATCTGCTTACTGTAAACACAATTAAAATATTCACTGATTCAGTTGGCGATGTATTTCTCCGAAGTCAGAAGGAAAAAATAAACAATAACGAAAGGACTTTTTCGTTTTCTGTAGAAGTTTCTAAAGACAAAGAAATCGTAATTTTTGCTGCATAGAGTTTTATTGTTGATGTCTATTGAGGCTTCATTGATTTTTTTGTTAACTTTTGCGAACCAAGCTTTAATCTCGGGGCTTAAAGCTTGATTCACACAAGTGGAACAATCAAAGCTCAAGCAAAAACAGAATACTAAACAAATAGAATCAACAAAGCATAAGAACATACGCATTTACATAAGTGTTAGCATGAGGAAAGAGTTAAGCATAAGCTGAAAGAATATAGGTACGCTCAGAGCACGTTTAGCACAGGTCCTTTTTAGGAAGTACAATGAAGTAGCTATAATATTCAACTCCTTTATTTTGTTTTAAAATGTGTAATTCCAATTTTTTCGGTCTCCAAAATACTTTCTACAACAGTGCAAAATGAATTGAATATTAGGGAAAAAGCAAAGTTGAATCTAAACAAGATGAGGAAAATACTATGTCTTAACAAAAAGTTTATTATGATTCCATCATATGAACACTTGTAACACTGAACACATGTATGAACAAGATTCCGGTACAACGAAAAATTTCCTATTGAAATTATTTCATTGAAAAGAACTGGTAAAATGCCCGTGGACTTTTTAAAATAGATTATTCACAGTCTTAAAACTCTTTCTTTCCATTCTCAAGATATTGAAGTTTTGTTGATGTCCAATTTGTAGAGAAAGATACGTCACATTGCATAATGAATTTTAATTTTTAAGAATATTTGCTTATATGTTACATTAAGAAGGCAGAGCTCCTGTTGTTGTGAAGAGCTAACAGTATTAAATTCTTCGTAGGTATTTCATCCAAAAGGTGGTAGGCAAATAAAGGATATTTATATATTTGCTGCGACATGTTGCTTTCTCTATGAATCGGACATCACAAAACATCAATATCTTGAGATTGGAAACAGATGTGACTAAACTTTCTAGAAAGTCCACTGTCTTTTTACAAGCTCGTTTAAAGGAAACCATAATTCTAATTGCAAAATTTTCGTTATACTTTAAAGTTTTATAATGTCCTGTATCCTTGCAATTCTCTTGTAATCAAACAATCTTAATTGCTGAAATTATAATCTAAATTGGTTATTTCCATTTGAGAGGTCAGCTGTCCCGAGGAAAGGCATACAATGCTAGCTTAAACAATATATTTACGATATTAAGCCTGATATTTCCAAAGATACAGCAATCAACAATTATGTAGTACATAAGTTATTCTACAGAGTGTATCATAAAAAATAACAACGATAGAATTTATCCTATTGTGAAACTTCAATTCCCAAGCACTATGCTAATCTCTCTTGAGCATTACTGTGCATGTTTTGCAGAAGTTCTGTCAAATTTCCAGGAGCAGAAAGTTTTTATGCTCGTAATAAAGGTATACTGATCATATTTGAAGTCAGCCGACGTTTACAATTGACATTATTCCGTAGCTATTGATCCCGAAAGATGTGAAACGCAGTCGGAAACAATAATAACAAATTGCGGCTTCTGTTTATTGCAAACTTCAAGCATAAAATTCATTTCAATTCGCTTCCATGGGGAATCATACAAATTCTAAATGTCGGCTGATTTCAAAGATGAGCAGTTTTTTGAGTTATCCTGTACATGCATGTAGCTCACAATACACCCGCGTGCTTAGCACAATGAAAGGCATTGAAAATATCACAATGCTTCAAATTGTATAAAAGTCTTGTTGTTTAATACACCCTTAATTTGCGACCGGCATGTTTTACAAAGCAAGCCGTTTGCGTTCCTCACGCAAACAGCTTGTTTGCCTTCCTTGATCGTCGTCATCATCCGGTAGCAAAAATTCGTCATCTTTAAAACCAACTCTCTCTACTAAGATCCATCTTCGCCTTCGTCTTGACTTGCTAAAGCTGCAAACGCAACAGCATACCATGCCTGAAAAAGAAAGCAAATAGAAATTAAACGGAGACTGAAACGTTACCTGAATGTTTTAACTTGAAGTCATGTTATCGTCTAAAGCAACAAACTCACTGAGAAGTTACACAGATCTAGGGATCTTATGACATTAAAAAATAGGATTTAAATTGCTAGTCCATCATGCGTTATGCCAGTATTGTAAATGCTGGGTACGACACAGGAACTCATTTCTCCATGAAGGATGGCAATATTTTTGCTAAAATATTTCGCATCAAGCTATCAGGAAAGGGAATTACTCTTTTTGAACAGCTATGAAGGTTGGTTTTGGGTGCCTATGGAACGTAAATGCGGTTATTTGCCATTCTCCCAAAGATGTTTTGCTCCATGAAACGCTTTAAAATACTGTCATATTTATTTTGGGTCAATCTTCAACCAACATTCTCCACAGTGTTCGATGTTTTGTGTCCAGCGTGATTTCAATAACAGTTTAATATTATCAACAGCTCAAATGAAACAGTCTATCTTTCTCTTCTTATTTTTCTTATATTTCTGATCCAATTGTGACACCTTTACGCAAACAAAACCGACCAAAACGTTTTGCATATCGACGGAATTCAAGAAAATTATTATTGCAACTGTTGCTAAATATGTACAGGAAATCACAGCTCGAAAAATCTTAAGAACTAGAGTAAATGTGGATAGTATTAAGCTACGTGTGGAATGGAATACAATTTTTTGAGCAACCTGATTTACAACAAAAGCTCTACATGTGCAAATATCATCTCGATACTTGTGAACAAAGGTGTATAAGTAAGTGCTGGTTTGATTGAGCTGCTGGAAGACTCAGGACCTCAAAGATAGTGCAAGTTGGCTGCTGAAAGAGTTTGGGCTTCAGTGAGTGTTAGTAAGTGAGTTTTTAGAAGAGTCTTGGCCTCAATGAGTGTGAGTGAGTGAGCTGTCAGGAGAGCCTGGGCCTCAATGAGTGTGAGTGAGTGAGCCGTTAGAAGAGTCTGGGCCTCAGTGTGGGTGAGTGAGTGAGCTGTTAGAAGAGTCTGGGCCTCAGTGAGTGTGAGTGAGCTGTTAGAAGAGCTTGGGCCTCAGTGAGTGTGAGTGAGTGAGCTGTTAGGAGAGTCTGGGCCTCAGTGAGTGTAAGTGAGTGAGCTGTTAGAAGAGTTTGGGCCTCAGTGAGTGTGAGTGAGTGAGCTGCTAGAAAAGTCTGGGCCTCAATGAGTGTTAGGGAGTTGTTAGAAGAAAGGTTTTAGAGAACAGACGTTAACTTACATCCTGTGAGAACAATGATACACAATAAACCAACGAGTTTAAACAGTCGAACTTTTTGGTCTTCGAACTCGAAACCAGTCGAAAACGCCGAATTACGATGAACGTTGAATGTCTTGAGCGTTGAATTATCGTGAGCAATCACTTTGGCAAAGGAGTAAAACAATATCTACAGGAATATAAACAAAATAAATATGGGAAGTTACAAACAATGTAATTTAAATAAGAAATAAAAAGTATAGCTTGTGTGCAAGTGCGGCAAGTCATTTGTAGAGTAAAACGATGTTTTTTTTTGTTGGAGAGCTCAAAGGAGCTGACCATACCCTTCTTTAAATAGCGCAGTGAATAGTATATGAAGAAGGGATGTGTGAATAGATTTCTTCGTTTAATTTATTTCTTACAATGCCGTAGATGGCTAGCACAACAGACTCTTTCATTTTCACTTCGCGGAGTTTTAACTTCTCAATCTTGTGTCTTTGATATTAACTACAAAAGAGAATTTTACAGAAATTCATAAAAGCGAAGAAAACGAAAGTTTTTTTTTACTTTCTTATGTCATCGATCTAAGATGGTACACACCCAGACAGTTTCATAAAAACAGATGACTAAACTTCGTATAAAACTAGTTCATATATTATAAGCACTGAACTTACTGAATAAAAACAGATGACTAAACTTCGTATAAAACTAGTTCATATATTATAAGCACTGAACTTACTGAATAAACACAGATGACTAAACTTCGTATAAAACTAGTTCATATATAATAAGCACTGAACTTACTGAATAAACACAGATGACTAAACTTCGTATAAAGCTAGTTCATATATTATAAGCACTGAACTTACTGAATAAACACAGATGACTAAACTTCGTATAAAGCTAGTTCATATATTATAAGCACTGAACTTACTGAATAAAAACAGATGACTAAACTTCGTATAAAACTAGTTCATATATTATAAGCACTGAACTTACTGAATAAACACAGATGACTAAACTTCGTATAAAACTAGTTCATATATTATAAGCACTGAACTTACTGAATAAACACAGATGACTAAACTTCGTATAAAACTAGTTCATATATAATAAGCACTGAACTTACTGAATAAACACAGATGACTAAACTTCGTATAAAGCTAGTTCATATATTATAAGCACTGAACTTACTGAATAAACACAGATGACTAAACTTCGTATAAAGCTAGTTCATATATTATAAGCACTGAACTTACTGAATAAAACAGATGACTAAACTTCGTATAAAACTAGTTCATATATTATAAGCACTGAACTTACTGAATAAACACAGATGACTAAACTTCGTATAAAACTAGTTCATATATAATAAGCACTGAACTTACTGAATAAACACAGATGACTAAACTTCGTATAAAGCTAGTTCATATATTATAAGCACTGAACTTACTGAATAAACACAGATGACTAAACTTCGTATAAAGCTAGTTCATATATTATAAGCACTGAACTTACTGAATAAAAACAGATGACTAAACTTCGTATAAAACTAGTTCATATATTATAAGCACTGAACTTACTGAATAAACACAGATGACTAAACTTCGTATAAAACTAGCTCATATATTATAAGCACTGAACTTACTGAATAAAACAGATGACTAAACTTCGTATAAAACTAGTTCATATATTATAAGCACTGAACTTACTGAATAAACACAGATGACTAAACTTCGTATAAAACTAGCTCATATATTATAAGCACTGAACTTACTGAATAAAAACAGATGACTAAACTTCGTATAAAACTAGTTCATATATTATAAGCACTGAACTTACTGAATAAACACAGATGACTAAACTTCGTATAAAGCTAGTTCATATATTATAAGCACTGAACTTACTGAATAAACACAGATGACTAAACTTCGTATAAAACTAGTTCATATATAATAAGCACTGAACTTACTGAAAAATTGAATCATATAAACTATGGATTTTATGTTTTTAACAACACAGTCTGCGTTTGATAAACGATCAAATAGACGCAGTATAATTTTATGACAAAATGGAAGACTGAATACTGTTATGTAATGAAAAAAATTTTAGTCAGACTTGTTTTCTTACCAAAAATAGTTATAAAAGATCCACAACTTTTTAGATTTTAGAGTTTCAACATTTTGTTTCGATACGCGAATCAATAATGTAAAAAATTTATTACTAAAGAATTCAAAATGTTTCAAAAGCGTTAATAATTAATGACATTCAAATTCATTATTTATACGCGGTTTCGTGGTCATTTGTCACATGCTAAGTGTATTTCATGATTTCTTTAGGATCATTTCTTTATCAATCCATTTCAAGAAAAATGCTGAAGAAAGAGAGAAGACAAGTTTTAACATCCGGGTATAAATGAAAAATTGTAAAAATTAGGAATTAGTTTGTGACAGGAACGTAATCAGTACGAGTATTGGGATGGGATGGGGAGTATATAAGCATGACATACCGTATTAGTTTCTTTTGAAATCCATTGTTTTTTACGTTATATAGCACATCCCAATTATCGTTCCGGCTACGTGCCTGGATTATGATTTTATAAGTTGACTCTCAGATGATTGGGATTAGGGTTTTATGTAAGTTAGAAATTGGGTTATGACGTAAAACATTTAAGTTAATATGATCAAGAATAGTTTTGTAGCAATTTAAAATGGAGTTATAAGGCTTAAATTTGGAGAATAAGATAGGTGTAGGATGTAAGATAAGATAGGAACAAGTGGGTAGCATGTTGGGCAGACGAAGGCTGTCGGGCATCATTTTTTGCTGGAAAGTTGGGTAATTTGGATTATTTAAGATTGAAAATAAGTGAACTATTGTCTTTTACGTGAAATGTGGGAAGGATAGCTTTTTCGTGAAAACTTGTAAAACTGCGTGAATTATAGTCTTTGCCTGAAAATATATGAAAATGCATGAATTATAGTCTTAGCCTAAAAATACGTGTAAATGCATGAATTATAGTCTTTGCCTGAAATTATGTGGAAATGCATGAATTATGGTCTTTGCCTGAAAATATGTGGAAATACATGAAGTATAGTCTTTACCTGAAAATTTGTTAAAATGCATGAATTATAGTCTTTGCCTGAACATATGTGTAAATGCATAAATTATAGTCTTTGCCTGAAAATATGTGTAAATTCATGAATTATAGTCTTTCTCTGAAAATATGTGTAAATGCATGAATTATATTCTTTGCCTGAAAATTTGTGTAAATGCATGAATTATAGTCTCTGCCTGAAAATATGTGTAAATGCATGAATTATAGTGTTTGTGTGAAAATTTGTTAAAGTGCATGAATTATAGTCTCTGCCTGAAAATATGTGTAAATGCATGAATTTTAGTCTTTGCCTGAAAATATGTGTAAATGCATGAACTAGAGTATTTGTAAACCATACATTATAGGGACCTACACAGGTTGTAGACCTGCAGTGTGGGGACCTGGTGTACTGTGTGGACCTGACTCAGGACCCACAACATTTTCTAATATTTCTGACCAAAAAATTAACAACTAAGCTGAATAAACCAATTTTAATGTGAAAACAACTCTTACACTTTGAAAAAAATATCAACAGGCGGCATAAGTAGAAAATTGTGAAAAAAGTCACGTCCCCAAAATGGCGTTTTACAAATCGAGGTGTAAAATATGTTAGTTCCGCTGTGGGAACCTCGAAAAGTTTTTTTCACAGAGGGGACTAGTGTATTTAAGTCCACACAATGTTAACACAAATTTTAACCGAGCAACTCGATGATGGTGTGGAAAGCATACATTCAATTGTACTCTGTTCTAACAGTTCCTATCATCTTTAACCAATTATCTATCTAAAAATTATTTCCGTTATTTGAAATAACCAAATTAAATCGTGTCAACAAAAATTGGTTATTTGTTATAATCAACTGGTGTCAAGTTTATTATTTGATATAATTACGTTACATCAACTGACGAAATTTTGTAATATAATAAAATAACTAATGCGAAATATCTTTGTCAGTAAGTTAAATGATAAAACATATTCGGCGCTTCATACATTACTTGAAAAGAAATTAATTTATGGCTAGGAGTATATGTCTAAATTTCAAGATCAGTTGGATGGAGTACTTGGTATATTATTAAATATGTTAACAAATCAAATCATCGACTACCGCTAATTGTTGTCGTCTCATCTTCAATTTAAAGACTGCTTTCTCCTTTAACTGTTAGTATCGTTTCGTATTGTATCGGCAAATATGCCCTGTGTAAACATAGGTACGCAATGCGTACTCTTCCTTTGTGTCTACCTTTAGGTCTACCTTTATGTCTACTTTTCTGCCCTACCTTTATGTCTATCTTTATGTCTATCTTTATGACTATCCCCAAGTCTACTTTTTTGTCGCTCAGATCATTTAGTAACTGCACTACAACACGATGTAGCTACTTAGTGAGTTGAAGGTAATCTAGAAAGAATTTTAAGATTGCCCAATTGATAGGGGAAATGCACGAGAAACATTTTTGGCGAGCAATTTTTTATATACATGGGCGTAGGAAGATCGATAAGAAGGGGGCTCGAAGGGATTGTGCTCAAGGGATTACTATTCAGATATATATGTATATGTGTGAATATATGTGAATATATATGTATATGTGTGAATATATGTGAATATATATGTATATGTGTGAATATATGATATATATATGTATATGTGTGTGAATATATGTGAATATATGAATATATGTGAATATATGTGAATATATATGTATATGTGTGAATATATGTGAATATATATGTATATATATGTGAATATATATATATGTGTATATATGAATATATGTATATATGTGGAATATATGTGAATATATATGTATATATGTGTGAATATATATATATGTGTATATATGTGAATATATAATATATATTATGAATATATGTGAATACGAGCAATTTTAAATTTTCCAAAACATTATTTATTCGATAATTCTCGATAATTCTGTTCTGTTATACTAATTTTTACAACTTGGATTTTTGATTACCTTACCTGGTTTGATGATACAGTTCTATAGCTAATGCATGCCATAATTTAGGTGCAACATTATCTCGCTCGAATTTTCTTAGTGGAGGTCATCTTCAGAGTCTACTTTTATTTAATTTTTTTGGTTCATAAATGGTCGAATGGGATGGTACACAGTAAAAAATCTGTAGCTATCCTCAAGCTTGAGAGGTGAAGTGATCCAACACATCGCTTTATAAGTTTACGATTCAAGATTCGATTCCGCCTAAGGTCCATCTAAAATATAGTTAAACAATGGAGGCAATGTAATATAATGATAAAACTTTGAAATGTATTTCATTTGATGTTTGATTTTTGTTGTTTTTAGCATATTGTATTCAGGGAAAACACCACATTTAATGCACTCTTGATTCGTCCGGACAGTGGTTATACTGTGGATCATCCCGATAGGTGCTAGGAGCACGATGGGTATGGACCTATAGCACTGTACAAGTCAGACTGAGGTAGGTATGTACTTTGTATGTATAATGTAAGTTATCAATAATCAAAATAAAATAAAATCTTTGCATTTAAGCCACCAGAAAGGAAAACCGTGCTCTGTTTGACAGGGAAACTATAAATGTATGATGTTTAATTTTGTTGTTTTGCAAAAAGACTACATGGATACTCAAAATAATGAATTTACGAGATCAATCGTGGAATATAATTTTTTCCATTTAAAATCTATAAATCTTCTGCGCTAAAAAGAGACTTATATCATTACTCTAGACTAGAGTATTATCTCCTTTTAGAATTGGTGGCATTGGATAGCAGCGCTTTAGACATGCCTGGGGTTGTGAAGACTGGGACCTAGTAGACAAAATCTTGTCAGAAGGCCTAGAAATCGAATGCTTGGAGGTGCTTAACTTTTTTCATTTTTATCACACAAAAAAAAGGGAATATGGAAAGATTCGGAACAATAGCTGCAATGAAAATTTATTGTCGCATGGAGATTCAAAATTCTTTGATAGAAACAACATATAATACAGGCTGATAGTTGAATAAAAACATAAAACAATGCATTGTAATAATATTTTTCTATCCAATTCATTCCTTTGAGTTTTTAGTTTTAAATTCATGTGTGCAAAAGGAGCTGGTCATTTGCCATTGAAGACCTTTGTATAATTTTAATGTCTGTCACTGTGCAAAGCCCACAGGTGCATAAAATATTGTTAGCTTTGTAGTTGCAAGCACAAAAGCTTGTCTCCATTAGAAATGTAATGCACGTTTGGAGATTAGCACAGTGATTGGGCTTCAAAATTTTACAATAGTTTAATTGCCAAAACTCGTTTTTATGTACACTCTGTAGAAAGCAAATTAAAGAAATCAGATGTTAATGTTAGCTAATAACTACAATAAGAAAATGAGAAGCTATTAACAATCTAGATCGTTCATCAAATCTTTTTGACATCAGTCGACATTTAGAATTTTCATGATCAGCTGTAGTTGTTCACCAAGGAGGCTTAAATGTTTGGAGTTTGCTATTTTCTGTAGCTGACATATACGTATTTACTTATATCTGTGTTTATGTTGTATTCAATTGCATTTACCGCTCTGTGGGGATTAATTACTTCTAAGTAATGAATCATGCAAATTTTAAATCTCGGCTGATTTCAAAGACATCAGTTTTTGAGATAGGCACAATGTGCAATTGACAACACACCTAGTAAACGACCAATCAGAACACAACACGTTTACGCCACACCTAGTCACTGTCCAATCAGAACCCAACACGTTCGTGAAACGTAGGCCATAGTTTATGGCAAAACCTAAGAACGTTCCATTTGAACGTGAAAGTCGGTAGATGTACGACGAATAGTTAGCAGAAGTCGAAATTATTCCTTGGTGAAATATCTCCTGAAGTGCTCTGAAAAAAATGTTCAGGTATATGTGTTGTTTCATGTTCTTTTGCATTGAGTCTGAATTAAATTTGGACGCTGTATGGGATGTTTATCTATGCAGAATGCGGTGTGGCCTTTCCATAAAGTTTTCGTCTTAGTAACTTTTGTTTCTTCTATGCTTTATTTTAGACATGAACATTCTCTTAAACGACATGTAGTCATCAAATGAGATTGAGAAACAACGAACAAATGTTGGTGTATTTACCATGATCGTAGACTCCACAATTAAAGAAAATGGTTCTTGTTCACAGCGATTGAAGAGAATTGTGGCTCTTGTTGACCATTTCCTCGACGCTGGTCTAAACATAAGAACAAAATACAATCCTGTAATTTGGTTGAAATTCTTCTTCCCTTGAACTACATTACGAGTGAATAAAATGTTTAATGTAAGTATGTTATCAATGCTTTTTATTTATGAAAGTAGAGCGTGAACTATCATTAATTGGATTCAATTATCCTATGTAGAAACCTTTAATGAAATCCTCTGAGTAATGATCAAGTTAGAACAATGATCAAGAATGATGAAGTCCTCTGAACAATGATCAAGAATGAACAATATACTTTAATGAGTCCGCTGAACAATGATCAAGAATGAACAATATACTTTAATGAGTCCTCTGAACAATGATCAAGAATGAACAATATACTTTCATGAGTCCTCTGAATAATGATCAAGTTAAAACAATGATCAAGAATGATGAAGTCCTCTGAACAATGATGAAGAATGAACAATATACTTTCATGAGTCCTCTGAACAATGATCAAGAATGGACAATATACTTTTATGAGTCCTCTGAACAATGATCAAGAATGGACAATATACTTTGATGAAGTTGAAAAACACGTGACTTCTACTGTCCCAAAGGCCATCTCTACCAAGAATGCAAACACTAAACACTGATGACCAATGCATCCATCAAGCTAACGCCTGTTTCCATGGACAAGTCAATAAATTAACCTTTTCTAAAACAGTTTTCGTGGACATTTTTCTGCTAAGATCACGACTGGTCGATCAATCGCGTTGATGAATAAAACCACGCTACTATCGAACGCCCAAATTTCAACATTATTTAATTCAAAATTTTTCGTAATAAGAACATGGAATTTCTTTGACTTGAAAATACAAAACCTAAAATCCTAATTTTCCGACTGGCTGTCGATATTTCCGATTTAATGCCGTAGCGACATGCACAGTTGCAAGAAATGGCCAATCTTGCTTCTGTGCTTGCCGTCGTCGACATTAAAGCGGGAATGTTTGTCAGGTAGCCTGAGAATTGGATACGATGGTTTCACCATCAATGTTTTTCATTTTTAAAAAAATTGTTTTGGGCTTTTTTGTGGCTGTCCTTGCTCAGTATCCGATCGTTTCATCTTCCTAGTTGGCAAATGATTTGTCGTTTATCGTACTCTGTCATCGAACTGCCAAAGATTCTGCCGTCAATCTGCCCAGGATTCGTCGAAAAACGTGAGTGTAACAATAAATCTTTTAATTATTTAGACCTGCTAACAGGTCAAATCTCTAATATATTTTGGACAGTAGCCACAACAAATCCTGGTGGTCAGTATATTCCACATGAGGCTATTTTTTAATGCAGGAATGGAAATAAATATGTTTAAAGAAATTAACATCTGCATTTTCAAAATAGTCTTGATTAAGAGGTGATAAAAATGTTCTTTCTGTTGAAATAATCCAATTGTGCTTTTTGGTGCTGCTTTAATTATATTAAAAATTTATATATTAGTAATCATGAAGTTGTATCAACTGTGTTAAGTCAGTGACTGACATACAATTGTGTTTGTTCTATATAATTTACCTTCGAAAAACCTCTGTGTGAATATACTGCTTTAAGGAGCTACGCATGATCGCAGCGGCTGTTGCCTCGCAGAAGGATAGACAGGACCATAGCTTAGAATCGGAAATGCAAGTGAAGTTTGGCCAAAGGAAGGCAACTTCAACTTGGGGTTAGTGGGTACAAATGGTACCTTAGCGTAGAGGATGCAAATAGCATCTGTAAGAAGACCTTTGAAGACTGGATCTAGCGAGCAAGACCTATTGAAGACAAAGGAAAGATGGTGGTTTTGCTGGAAAGACAAAATATCTCCCTAGTACGGTAAAAGCATGCAGTCTTGTAGTTGGCCAATTTCATGAACGGCTTTCTACAGTGACTATTAAGGCACTCCTGCATGGATCCCCTATAATGCACGAGTAGTTCAACCCACCTCGGTTGGAGGTCACCCGTAGGTGCAACATGCACTAGGTTGTTAAGTTAAGGGCATGATGGGTTACCTCCTTCAAGGGCATTCCTTTCAGGGCGGAATTCCGGTGTCATGCGCAGGTAGGAAGTTTAGATAGCTTAGGCATGCGCTGTAGTTGCGGCGGGTAGTTGCTACGCTCAGGTAACGAACGTGGGGTTTGTACCTTTCAAGGATGAACCTCACTATCAAGAGAATTGAGTGAATTTCACTCATTATTAAATCGACAAATAGATACTTAAAAAAGTATTTAATTTGTTAACACATTTACAGTTTAGGGGCGGCGTGGCAAGTACTGTAAATGTGTAAAGGGACATGTTGTTTTCTGTTAAAGAAAACTTTATTCCTGGGAATTTCAATGCTGCAAGCCACAGCGTAAAAAGCACAAAAGTAAATTAATACACCAGGTCTAAGTATGCGGTATGCCTTCATAATAATCTGAAAGAAAACACGGTTTTATTAAAAGTGCATTGTTTTGTTTATTTCTAATGGTTACTATGAAGACAAACCGTAGACGTTGTCACATATTTTACTTAAAAGTTACACGAAGGTTTCCATGTTCGCCATTTGCGTTTCTATAAAAGTGAACTATGTGATAATTGTCAAACTAAAACATAATTTAAATGAAGCGCTGCGGATTGTTTGGTTAAACTATCGCCACTTCCTCGTTAACCAAACTTAACGTGTGTTTCTTCAAGTAGTTGATGTTAAATTTTGTCTTGAAAATAAATTATATTTTCAAAGAACATTAAATTTCGTCTGTCCGTACAAACTATCTTGAAGTACTATAATCTAATCCTTGTCATACAGTCAGCGCTTGCTCCAGTTTTAAGCTTTAGTGGCACCGGGCGCGCAAAGCACTGAATTAAATTCACGGTGCAAAATAGGGACGCTTAGGTGGCGCTAGGTGCGACTGTTTTGGTTATGGATTAGATTAGAGAAACACACGTTACAAGAAATTCCCATCAAATACACAATTTTCTCGTGCAAAGAAGGAAATTGTCCAGTTCGGTGATCGGTTTAATTTGGCGAATATACATTTACGTAAAAATGGCAATATATACATTTACGTAAAAATGGCGATATATACATTTACCTAAAAATGGCGATATATACATTTACGTAAAAATGGCGAATTACTTCCAAAACTACAGTGTATCTTCAAAAAGACTAAAAAATTTTTGGACTTGAAAGCGTGTTTTAAAAAAAGTTGACGGTTTTTTTCTATTTTTTTGCTATTTGCATCGTTTCAAAGGTATGTAAACTTTATTGTTTATACAGGGTCCCCAGGGCGCGGAACTTCGGCTAAAATCCCTGGTGGTTTTTCCTGTTCAGTATTCTCCAACTTCGTCTGCCTTTGTGTTCGGTTTTGGTTAATACCGCTCAGGTTTTTCCATTAGGGATTTTTATTTCGGTTAAGTCTTCAAAAAACAGTGACCTTGGTGTGGGACTAAACTTGTACTACTTATCATGTACAACCATGGAACCAAAAGAAATATTTTTGAAAGTTATGAATTTTAGATGAACGAACCTAAGGTCTGTCAAATAAATTTACGGCTGCCTTTACTTTCGTTAAACAATCAGAGTCATGTCTAAACAATTCCGCTTTTATAACAGTTTGATTGTGATTTCAGTTAAATTATCTTGCATGTTTATTTACTAAAAACATAATGTTAATGTGAAAGTCTTATTTGCGTGTATTTAGGAGCTCAAAGTTGGAAATTTAAACATTCTAATGTTCAACCTGTAGTGTTAAAAAAACTGGTAATTTGTTTATTGTTTGTGACGTTAAATTGTGAAGTGTAATTGAACGATAAAGATCTTGAATTGTTTTTTCCTATTACGCTCATGCAATAACTTACTAGCTTTGAGCTTCAAAATTCCTACAAATATGAAACTTTGGAACTATAAAATATTCCAAAATATGTTCAATAGCCAAAAACAGCCTAATTTGGGTATCTTTAAAACTGCGGTACAATTTAGTCTTTGGGTTCGATTCCCAATACACTGTTATTATTATATTCAATAATTAGCAATTTCCCATTTTTATAAATACATGAGATTGATTGGTTTTTATGGAAATAAATAATATTTTTATTCTTTGCTATGTCAAAGAGCTAAACATCTCAATATGTACACTAGTGTAATATATGAAATAATTTTATTTTAAAGATATAAT